ACGTAGTAGACTAGTATACCTCTTAGAGTAGTTAAAATCGCGTCGAGTTAACGACTTACTTAGTAGGGAGGGTATAATAAACTCTTAGACGCTCTACTAATAAGCAAGCGTGTTTTCCTACCTTTTGCTGCTAAGTCTAGACTATGTACGCTAAAAAAAGGTTAAAAGCTAACCTATAGAAATTATAGGCTTACGTAATGTGTAATTAGTAGAGCGTCTAATTAATGAGATAATCTTTAAGCTACTTTCGCGTTAGTTTACTATATTGCTTAGAGCTTGTTCGGTTTAGCGAGGGGGTCTTTTTTTAAACCTTAGATTATTGCTCTAGCTCGTGCTCTCTAGTCGTAACGGTTAGCGTTACTTATTACTCTTAAATAAACTATGCCTTGTTCGGTTCGCTATATAAGCTCAATTATAATCCTTATAAGCGTAAGGGTCCGAGTTCCTTAAGTTCTAAGCTAAGTTCCTTAAGTTCTAAGTCCTTAGAGCAATCTCATTAATGGCTCTAGATCGACGACATCGTATAGTAATTACCGTCGTAGTAGTAGCTACTACTACTTAGTATGTTAAACGAGGAGTGCCTTCTAGTGTTTAGACCTTATATATAAGCGCGTATCGTAGCGAGGAACTAACTACTAAACTACGGCGGCCTAGGTTAGATAAACGTCTCTTTAACTTTACGCGCCTTCGCCGATATACCTTTAAACACCTCCTCGAGTAGCTAGAGACTAAGGCCGATCCTCCTCTATAAGGTAGCCGCTTTATATTAGCTACCTAAAAGCTTATTATCTTCCTCTATATCTACGCGTATAATGTTAGATTTCGAGTAGTTTAAGAGAACTTCTAATACTCGCAAGATACTATATCGTATATCTTCTATTAAGTCCTTAACTCTATGCAGTTAGTCTACCGATCCTACGTCGTCCTACCTAGCGAAGAGGTGCCTAAAAAGATCCTAGAAAATAGCAAGTTCTTGCTATACTTTAATGACTACGTCGGCACGCTAGATAGGTCCTATATCGTTACGTATATCGAGGGTAAGTAGGCCCCTTAGAGGAATAGGAAAGGATACCTATTATAAAACGTTTTAGTAGTCTATAACTTCGATAGGAACTTTATATACATACTAGCCGGATAGGAGGGGTCTACTTACGATAGCCGAGTTCTAAAGTTAGCGCGGATAAAGGACTTTAAGCACCTAGGTAGTAGTCGTTACTACCTCGTAGATGCTAGATATATTAACTCTAATATAACGTTAACACTATACCGGTTAACTCGTTACTATCTACGCGAGTAGATTAGTACTACGAAGAGGCCTAAGACGAAGGAAGAGCTATATAACTTACGCTACTCGCAGTTACGTAATGTTATTAAGAGGACGTTTAGGGTCTTTAAAAACAGGTTTAAGATTACCTCGACGGCGACTAAGTTCTCTATGCGCATATAAGTAAGACTAATCTACGCGTTAGCAGGTCTCTATAACTTTATAAATAAGACTAACCGAACATACGCATCTAAGGACTTAACTAAGGAGGATCTCGACGAGGTTAAAGATAAGGATAATAACTATAAGACTACGCTAGTCGAGGGAGGAGGGTTAATTATAATAAACGCTCTACGAGAGCGTATAGCTAATAACATGTAGAAGGATTACTAAGAGATAATTAGTTAGAGGGGAGGTTAAAATCGAGGGAGGTAGTTAGTTAGAGGCGAGATTAAACACGAGGTTAGATGTCGTTTATTTAGTACGAATTTAATGAAACTTGCTCTCTTTACATTAACTTTAAGACTTAGTCGCTTCCTTAAATACATTAACCTCGCTTACTAAAGCAATAACATTAGCAACCTTATTAACTATTACTATTTCCTTACGCTATTACTTAACATAATATACCCTTATAGCTCTCGGCGCACTTAAGAACACCTACGCGAGCCTTTCCTTACTTAACTTCTATGTAATTACTACCTATATAGTAGGCGCGAGCTCTTTAAATTCTTCGAAGAATAAGCTTACTACCCTTATAATTAGTAGTTTCTTAAGCGCCTTAGTAAGGCGCCTAAGGTTTGTCCCTATTCTCTCTCCTAGTATCCTCTTTATACTACGCTCTATCTCTTCTATAGCTTGTTTTAATGCTTACTAACTTAATAGTAGCCGAGATGCCTAGCTCGAAGGCGTAGGAGTTACTAGTAACGGCGAGTCTAACGACGGTTCTTCGACCGACGGCCTAACATTAAGTTAAGGATCTAATAGTAAGTCCTTGCGTGCCTTAGAGGTAGTCTTAGCGTACTAACTAGTTGTAAGTACGTCGTTATATAGGTACTTAAAATCTTCCTAATACTTAAGAGGTTTGTCGCGATACTTAGCTATATTAGGCTTTTTAGCGAAGTAGTTGTCTATAGCGGCCTTATTAGTCGTCGGAAGGCTAGTCTTTAAGTCGTAACCCTATCCGGACTAGTTTATTATCTCCTTCTATGTCCTATAATAGCTCTTAAAGGTGGTCTCCTTATTCTTAACCTTCTAGAATTCGATAAGATGTAGTACGCGAGAGACCTCCTTTACGGCCCTTATAGCTTCTATTAATACCTACTTTTTCGAGCCGCTCTACGCGCGCTAGTCGCCTACCCTTACATTACGTAGTATAGCGATAAACGCTTCCTCTATCTTCGTCGTCCATCTTAATGTCTCTAAGCTACCTAGGGTCTACGATAGGGTAGCGCTTACGGTAGAGGGTGCTAGCGAGTCTAACATAGCTATTTTAAGGGTTAGATTCTACTTAGCATCACCCCCTAGAGGTACTTTTAAGAAGAATCGTAATTATTTGGTCTCGGCACGCTAACCATACCGTTTTGAGCAAAAATACGCCTCTAGCACGCTTCTCTATAGCAACATGTTTATAAACCAAAGCACGGAGGATGCCGAACCGAACAAGCAAGGTTTATTTAACGATTATAAGCAGAAACCGAAGAATCCGCTTCTCAGAAGCTCGAACCGAACAAGCTCTTATTCGCGATCAACTTTCGCGTCCTGGCAGTGGAATACCGTAAGCAACCAGCAAAGTCATGATGACTTTCCATCTATCAGTGACCTCGATTACAGCGTGGGGGAAGGCGCGTTTTGCTGATCTCGCTTCGCGTCTACGCGACAAGACTTGAGGCTTTGTCTGCAACTGCTTCCTTAGTCGCGTCCTGGTTGATTTGCTATCATTGACATCGACATCTAACATCGAATTCTGCGTCATGTTGTGGGCATCATCAACCAGCAAGATTCTCCTGCGTTCCTTTATTCACCACCTAGGTCATAGAATATGGATGAAGCCTTGCAGGACAATTCGCGGCTGTGCCATGCAATCCTTCGACGCTTCGAAGCAGCTATTGGTCCTCATCACAATTCGGCGCCTAGAACCATGCATGTGCTGGCGTCTGACACAGCCCTAAGCCCTCGTCCAGGAAAGATAAGTATCTCCGACTCTGTTGTCAGATGTCTCTCTCGACTGTCTCTGTATCTTGCCTTGTTCTATTGAGGATGTCTACGCCAACGATAACGACACCGACGGTTCAGAGACGGAGAGACAGGTGGAAGAGTCTGTTACCTGGAAGAGCGAGGGCTGTTTCCCCTCGTCCACCAGTTGCTGGCACGTCGACAAGCGCTCCCCCGCAGACCTCGCAGTTGTTCCCATCTTCGTCGGTCACCCCAACAGTGTCTATCTTAGGCACACCACCTCCACAGCAAAACAATTCCCCTCCTCTACCTGCCACATCAAGTCCCTCTTCAGCCAATCCTGCTCTGCTCATAGCGATCCAAAACCATCTCAATAAATTGCCAGAGCAAGACAAGGAGAGATTTCGTCAAGCTTCTGCCACTATCACAGACGAGAACCTACTTTCTAACATCAGGAAGCTGAATGACCAACACAAGTCGGACTCACTTTTCCGTCGCCATGCGGACAAGTTGTCCAAGTTCCTTGGACTCCTCGACCGCTTGCTGGGGAGCGTAGCTATCGCAATTCAAGCCGATCCTGGCATAGCATCTATACCTGTTGGTGGTGTGAGACTGATCGTTGACCTGGCCAAGGGATTCTTCGAGTTCTTCGACAAGCTGGTTACACTGCTCGATCACATCTCCGACCTCATGATGCCATTACAGGAGTATGTAAAATCCGTCCACATACCTGTCATCGCCAGTGCGCTCATAACTGTTTATGGTGACCTATTGGATATTTGCAAGCAGACCAGCGACATGTTCCTCGACAAAGAAGGAAACAAAAAAGTATCTGTAAGCTGGAGGATATCGTTAAGGCTGCAATGGGAGCCTTTCGAGAAGAGTGTTGGCGAGATAGAGGCTCGTATGAATCACCATCGCGAGAATCTGCTGCATGCAGCCGGGGCGACTTTACTATCCGCGACAGAAGTAGATCGCCGAGACCGAGAGCGCGAGATCCAGCAGCGGCTGCAGGAGCAACAACAGCGCGACACGCAGGGGCGGCAACGTGAGACTGAACATCGAACCCAAGAGCAATGTAAGGCACCTTTTATAGTCATGTAGTGACGCTCGAGAGTTATTGACTTCGCGTAGTGAGAGCAAGAGAAGAATTTCTACGCTGGTTGTCGCCCCACAACTTTGAGCACAAGCAAAACGAGACTTTCAAGACCAAGCATCAAGGCACCGGCGACTGGTTGTTGCAGACGGAAGAGTTCTCAAATTGGGAGAAGGCGACGACCTCTCAGCTACTGTGGTGTCATGGCAAACGTGAGTGTAGACGATCATCAATATGGGTATTCAATGACTGATTGTCAGACAGCTGGCGCAGGGAAGTCTGTCCTAGCGTAAGGCCCAGTCGCTCTTCGAGGATGCCCCATACTGACACAACAATGCAAAGGTCTCATGTAATCAATCACCTCCAAAAGACCCAAATGGCAAACCAGACGGGTCTCTGTTTTGCGTACTTTAGCTTCACTGATCCAACCTTCCATGGAGCTGCTCCCTTGACCTTGGCATTGCTGAAGAAACTCTGTCAACAGCAAAGATCCGTACCCGATATGCTGTCAAAAGCCAAGCAAGAGGCAAGAGAGCCTACCAGCGTCTCAAGTGTTGAAACGTTTATTGAAGTCGCACAGTCGTTTCAACAGATCTTCGTGGTCATCGACGGGCTCGATGAGTGTCCGGAAGAGCAACGACCAGCGATACTGGACTTTATCATTGACGCATCAGGTGTCACGAGTTCTTGTACCAAAGTCTTCGTGAGCAGTCGAAGAGAAGGTGACATATATTCGCACTTCAGTTTCCTCAAAAAGCCGGTCATCGAGCTCGAAGCCGGCTTGATCACACCAGACATCATAAAGTTTGTCCGCGAGGAAGTATTAAGACGTAGAGCTGTCTCTGAGCTGCATATTCAAGAAGAGAGTCTTCTCGAAGAAGTGATTCAGAAATTAATCGGGGAATCAAACGGCATGTGAGTATCTCTTTGTGCCGCCTCTGCTCTGACTGACTCAACTCATGGTACCAGGTTTTTGTGGGTCCGTCTTCAGCTAGATCAGCTTTGCAGAGCCAGCAGAAAAGGAACCGATTATCATGTGAAAGAAGCGCTCTCACACCTTCCTCAAGGTCTTACTAAGATATACGCGCGCATCTTCGACGGAATCGCTGCACAGTCACTCGGGGATAGAGAGATTGCCATGGAATGTTTTCGCTGGGTCCTCTATGCAAAGGAATCTATCTATGGCGATTTTTTGCTGCCCGCACTTGCGCTACTGGGGTCGTCATCCGCTACTCTGCAGGAGCTGGAATCGAAGAAACTGGTGCCAGCCTACGTCTCCGAAGCTTGTGGAAATCTGTTGAGCATTGATGAATGGTCCGAAGTCAAGCTCATACACTTTTCCGTCGATGAATTCCTGCGAAAGGTCTTGTTGAGCACAAGTGGAGGCTATTGGAAAGACTTAGGAGATCGACATAATGCCGAATTTGTTCTGGCTTGCCGTTGCATCGATCTGCTTCTGCTTGCAGATATCAGCTCACGCAGCCGCGGCTTTGCATACGCAGCCAACAATTTTGATACGCATATCTTAGGTTCAATAGATGGCTCTGCTGATCTGCCACCTGGTTTGCGGACAAGGATCGACCAACTCTTTGGAGTTGACGACGGGCGCCTTCGATGGCTCTTAGAGTCGCGGTCGGTATACGAGGATGAACATACCGAACCAGTCTCGTCGAGCTGGCTCGTCTGGTCAACCAAACTGTGTAATATTCCTTCCTTGAAAACAATCTGGCCAGATCTGGCAAGTCCAAAGAATGCCCTCCTTCTCGCGGCAGGACATGGAGAAATCTCAGTTTTGGAACTTTTACTGTCAGAAGGCCTTGATATCCACGAGACGGACAGATCGGGCTGGACGGCCTTGTCGCATGCTACCTATCACAACAACCAACCAGTCATTGAGCTACTTCTGCAAGGAGGTGCGATAGCAGATATGTCTAAGGCTGGCACTGGAGTGTTGCACCTAGCTGTTAGCTTTGACGACATCGATTTGACAAGGAAACTGTTGATTGCTGGCGCCGATGTGAATGGAGTTGAGTATGTCCGTTCAAAAACCCCTTTGATGCACGTTCAATCACTGGCCATGGCAAGAATGTTTTGCGAAGAGTTCAAAGCGGACCCCAAGATCGATGATGCTCGTGGAATGAATGCTCTTTTCCATCTACGAGGGACACCCTTCGACGATATGACCGCGATCTTTGAGTACCTTGTCAAGCAAGGTGCGGACGTGGCCGCTACAGCTCCAATTGGAATGAACATCCTGGATCATGCTGTGCAACAACGTTGGGGCTTCAAGAAAGTACAATTCCTACTAAAGCATTATCCGCAATTAGCCAGCAAACAAGAACACGAATGGACAGCTTTGCATTGGGCATGTAAAAGACATCATCCAATCCTGGATAATGTGAAGGAGTTGGTATGTCACGGGGTGAATGCATCAACAATCACGACTACCCATCCACCGGGAAGTTGGACTCCATGGGACATATCGATACACTATTCATCAGACTGGATCTTTCAGGAGTGTGAAATCGAGATACATGGTCTTGGTGGACCAACAACTAGCCAAACAGTTGCTCTCGCGGCAGGGGATGGCCCCAGTGTTGATGCTGCAGTGGCAGATTACAACAAAATCGACAATTTTAAGTGCAGTTTGTGTGGGATGAACATGGTGAGGTTTCCTGGTATAGAACGAACGTACCGAACTAATTGTATGAAGTGGGCATTCAGGTTTGACTGCACGACCTGCCATCAAGAATTCTGCCTGATGTGCAACGATCGCATACACTCCAGGAATCCAGATCATGAATACAGAACCACATATCGTGTACCTGGTAGGTATGAAACACCAATGTTCATATGCTTGACTAACTCATTCCAACAAACAGTTGAGCTTGAAAATTTTGCCGTTCAAGTTCCCCATTTGTTCGACCCACAAAGACCAGACTGGCAAGATTGGCTTGAGGAAATAGAAATGAGGATCAAAAAGGAGGAAAGTGGACGGCTCGAACAAGAAGACCGAGTAACGGAGCTTGAAGATGTTGACGGTGGTGCTGAGTCCGCTGACAACTAAGTGGGATTGGGATCCTGCTTTGACAGGGGTTGCGACGTCGAGCATCAACGCTCGTTCTTCAGACTGTACATCTTCCAAGTATAGTCAATGGATTTTGGTCTCATCTCGCACGCCCTTTGATATTCCAGGGATACTATCACATTTGGTCTGGCCAGGAGATTAAGAGCTCTTGATGACTGGAATCCCCTTTACTACCTGTTCTCAACTTGTAAAGGATCGTTATCACCTAACGGATATGACAAGTTGTACCCAACATGTGTTCTCGGAATAGTGCAAGGCAATGGCACTGCTTAGACACGCCTGCAGATCGTGCTTAGTGTGGCAGGCACGAATAATGAGTTAGAGTGCACTTGATTATCATTTCTTCTACCGAGCTTGACTTTCCGAGTCTCTGTGTATGTAATTTCTTCTCTCCATCATCGATTTCCTCCATGTCAGTATTTCTTCGAGCTCAAAGCCATCTATCTCTCCTTTCGAGTTCGTAGGCCGGAGCGATTCGCTACCATTTGAGCTCGATTTCCTTCATGCAGCCATCTTAGTTCCTCCATGTCGTTATGAGGTCTACTCGAATCTTGTCTCTTTCCGCGAATCTACTTGTCTCTGCGAGCTTTCTTGCATGCAATCATGTGTTACCTTCGTGGATCGGGTGTGGCCGAGTTCAGATCAGGTTGCCGCGCATTTCCTGCTCTCTCTCGATGGCCTCGAAGAGTGACTTGAAGTTACCAGCACCAAAGCCCTCGAAGTTGTTGCGTTGGATGATCTCGATGAAGACGGTAGGGCGGTCCAGCAGATGCTATCACAAAGTGTCAGTATGCTACTTCCGAACAAGGAAACAAGTCCCAGGGAACATACCTTAGTAAACAACTGGAGGAGATAACCGCCTTCATCAAAGTCGATGAGGATGTCCAGACTCTGTAAGACATCAAAATCCTCATCCAACACCATACCAGCCAACTCCAATCTCTTTCTCATAGCCACATAGTAAGTCTCGGGCACCTTGATGAACTCCATACCCCTGGCCTTCAAGTTTCTGATCGCGGTGATGATATCTCTAGTGCGCAGAGCAACATGCTGAACACCAGCACCACCGTAAAAGTCAACATACTCTTCAATCTGCGATTGCTTCTTGCCAGCGGCGGGCTCGTTGATGGGCATCTTGATGACTTCGTTGGGGGAAGCCATGACCACGGATTTCAGGGCGGAGAATTCGGTGCACATGGTCTTGTCGTCGACGGACCAGAAACGATGGAAGCCGAGGGCTTTTTCGTAGTAGGCGCATACGTCTTCCAGGCCATCCCAGTCTTGGTTGCCGACGCAGTGGTCGATGGCGTCAAGAGTGATGGGGGGAAGGAGTAGGTTCAGGGGATCCTTGACGGCGGGCTCGAGGCGGAAACCAGGGAGGAAGGCGCCAGTGTAGTTTTGACGCTCGATCAAGGTGTGGGTGGTTTCTCCATAGGTTTGGATGGTGGCAGTCTTGACCCAACCGTTCTTGCCGTCTTGGATGACTCTGGGTGCGTGGATGGAAACTGCACCGCCCTCGACAGCAGCGTCATAGATGGCATCCACCGAGTCAACCTCAAAAGCCACATCTGCAAACATCTCATCAGTAAACATTCTAACGCAAGAACAAAACACCTCCAACGCTTTCCACAAACCTTTAACAGCATCCCCGTGCATTTCCAGATGCGCATGCACCTCCTTCACCATCTCCCTCTCGCCCTCAGGCACATCATGCAACATGCTCAATCCGCGCAGAGGAGAAGTCAACACGAAAGTGACGCCGCCGCATCTGATCACGTAAGAGGCGAGTCCTCTAGACCCGGTCTCCAAGCCGCGATAGGCGATCTTTTCGAATCCCATGCGCGCAATGTAGTAAGCGGCTGCTTGTTTGGCGTTGCCGACGTACCAGTGCACGTGGTCGTAGTTGAGGTAGGATGACATTTGTGCTTGGGTGACGGCAGGGGATGGGGAGGGTGAGCGAGGGGGTGAGATGGCTGATGGTGCCATGGTTGGTGTTGTGTTGGTGTTGTGTTGATCGTCGTGGTGCGAAGAAGAAAGCTTGGTGGGCAATTATTCAAGGTGGTGGTGGTGTCTACGTCGGATTGCTTCAAAAGTGAGCGCGTGTGTTATATAATGATAATCATCACTTGATGACCTCAATGTTATTATAGATATCTCACTTCGTGATCAGGAGCTCAGATAGTGAGCCGGAAGACGGTCCGTTAGCTTCTGTCGGATCACAGATTCCCTATAGAGCTTTGGAAGGATGATGGTAAATGAGGGGCATCGACAAGCTTCTCAAACGCGGCAGTATTCCGCCTTCAACGGCAGTGGTCACCGACTAGATGTAACGTCACAGACTGGGAGGCGAAAGTGATGAGCGCACGTGAAATGGTACGGAGAGGCTATTCATCACGAGGAGAGGAGATATAATTGGATGACTGTAGCATTGCAAGAGTCCTCTGATAACAAGATCTGCTCGACTGCCTCCGCGTGAGCAGAGACCTCGATGTAGTAGACAGCGAATCCTGCCTGCCGTCTGTTGTTCGTGTTGAGATATCATGAGTCTTTTGATCAAAGCTGATCTGCCCTCCACTCTTCATGCTCCTTCTTCAGCGCCTCCTTGACGATGGCGCCGCACATCTTGGCATATGGGTTCGTTCTTACGGCCATCTCTCGTGCTTCCTTGTTTCCGTACTGACCTCCAGCAGCAAAGTCCCTGCTTGCTTGCTCCTCGACAGTCTCAGCAGAAGCTGACTTGACCGTCTCGTTGACGCCATGAACTTGCTCTCCGTTGCGAATGATGTCGGCGATCTTCAATAGCAGAAAGCCTCGGTGTGTGTGAGCGGCCGCGAGCACTGTAGTCTGATGCGTTGATGGTTCTTGGTCTGATGCTTTTGGTTCGGCGAGCTGAATGCCTTGTTGGAGATCTTTGAGTAGTTGTTCGCTAGCTTCAGCGTGATCGGGCGTGAAAAGACCATCAAGTGGGATGAGCAGACGTCTTGCTTGTGCGCGATTGATGTATGCAGAGGCATAGCCAGGCGACTCTTTGATCAGCGATGATAGGCCATCAATCGTGCCTTGAACGGTGCTTGTAGTTGGAGATTTTTCTTGCAGCTGAGAGATGATTTGGAGCTCAGTCGATCTGTAGATGGTGAATTGATGCTCTGTCATCCCGGGTAGTGATGTCTGTGATGATGCATGTTTTGTCGTGTGTGTCGCCGATGCCTCAGGGTCGAAGAGTGATTTGAGGACAATCGAGTCCCTTGTCGTGAGAGCCGGCATGTTGATGATCGATGAGAATGAAACAACAAAGTCAATGGTGTTGGAAGCAAATGTAGCAGGGGTGTCGCTGACTATCTGCTTCAAGATCTGCGTGTCGTTGTTTGGGGATGGTGTGAACACGGAGGCGGCCCGGCTTAGCTTTCACCCCCGCTTGACAGGCTGGGGAAGGAGCTCAACTATCACTACCACGGAATCTATTCCGCGCCCCAGTCACTCCTCTTGTGGATTGGGGTCTGCCTCAGCAACACTTCACTAACCCTGTCGTCGTCGTTGCTCCCTTCACGACAAGGACTAGTCTCTCACTCAATATCTCCCACCATGTTAAGATTTTGAGAGCGTGCAAAAAAGGTTGCTATTGCGGGTATCATCGGGGGTGATGTCCGCTTATCTTAGCTCCTCCGGACAATCAGGCTGCTGTTGCCAATGGGACTTCTTGAAAGAGGGGTGGTCCTTCAAAACAGCGTAGACTCTACAGATAGTCGGGAAAAGCTCAAGTGGGACTCCGAACTTCTCAGCATTCCACAGAGCAGGCACCAAACAAACGTCGGCCAGTGTGATCATGTCGCCGCAACAGTATTTGCCCGCCGTTTTGCTGACCACGGTTTCGAAAGCCTTCAGTCCGGTCTCGGTAAAAAATTGCGACCATTCCATCTGATCAGCTCCGAGACTTTCAGCACGTTTGATCACTCTGTCATTCGTGGGTTGTTGGATGTCGATGGCGATGATGTCTGTCAAGGTGCGGACGTCCGCTCTAGACTTCGCATCCCCAGGGAGCAGAGGAGTCGAATTGGAGTAGGCTTCTTCAAGGTAGGCCAGAGCTGCCATTGATTGTGGTATGGCCCAGGTGTCGTCAATCATTAACGTCGGCACAGAACGCGACGGGTTCTTCAAGACGTATTCGTCCTTGAACTGCTCGCCATTATTGAGGTCGACGTAGACGGATTTGTACACAATATCCTTCAAGTCAAGAGCGATACGGAGCCTGGCCGAACAGGACGAGCGATAGTAGCCATATAGAGTGAGGCCAGCCATCATGAGTTGACTGTAGATTGCGAATGGATACTTACCAGGGGAAGCCACGAAGCCGACGAAAGATGAGGGGTATTTTTTGAAGAAGTAACGTGACTTGCCTGCCCGCCGATCATGTCTGGTTTTACAACGGAGACATGAACAGACAAAAGGCCTTGATTATTGACACCTGCGCGGAACTCTCGGGTATATCGACCAGCTCTCCATAGATATTGTAAGCTTCATCCGGCGAGCTCCCACCTTCTAGAGATCCGGAGCCCATAACGAGTATTGAGCAATGTCGAATAAGGAAGTCGTTTGTTAAAAGCATTGCGACTGATCAATATCCAAATTCAAGCTGCGACCGTCAGAAGGGGACCACGCCTTGGGCAGTCGCGCCCGAGGAGGACGTGTCGCATTTCAGACATACTACAGGGCAGTCTTCAACACGCGAATTCAACACTGAAACATAGCTGGAGATACTGTAACCACCCTCGGAGTGGTAGGGCCAAGGACCGAGAGTTTCGAGAAAGGAAATTGCGAGATAGAAGAACGGTGGAAGAACTTCGGCAGGCGCGAGGCGCGAAACTGACACGATTTCCGTTCTCTACCTTTCTACTTTGATACAGATACATTGCCGCCCATTCTGTCCTCCAATCACTCACCGGATGCTACTCACAGCTGAGATGCAACCTGACTGAATCTAAATATCCTAGAGTCTATATATGAGTCGTTGGTGTTTCACTATTTTGCCCCTTTTCCTGATATCTCATCTACGGGATGCCAGCTTGGGGGACCTGGAAGTGATATTTCCGACCTCTTTTGAGGATGCAAAAAGACAAGCTCTGGTAACCATGCAAATACAGATCCGAACTTCGATTGACCAAAAGCTAGCTTGTCGGTGCCTAACAAAGAGCCTTTCTGAGCGTTCATCAAGCCTTGCTTACAGTCTTCCGGAAACGGAATTGGCGACAAAGAAAACAAAGGATCTACTGCACTCAAGGAGTCAACGTATAAAAGATGGCGGTTAGTTTCTTTCCCTCTTCTTGCTCTATCGACCGTAGCAACGACTTCTTTCCCCAATCATTGACACTGCTTCTCCGCGACGATGTCAGGAAGCCCTTCGCGACAATCCAAAAGGGTCACCGCAAAAGAAAAGAAAGTGATAGATGAGAGAAAAGCACAAGGCCTTCCCGAAGATGGTAGCTATGATTTCAGACTTGAAGTCGAAATGATCCGAGGTATTAGAACTCAACGCAAGAGGCTCATACGCACAAAGGACAACGTGTCACTTGGAGTTTGGGCTTGCAACCAAGCTTGGGACTTGAAGAAATTTTACCCTGGTCAGATCATTCGCGCGATTAGGCCTTACTCAGAATCCAACATCGACGTCAAGTTTAATGAACTTGGTGGGAATAATGGTATGACTTCCGACGGAGGGGTCGGCGCGAAGAATCGCTATGTGAGTAAGCCCACTCAAAGTACCAGATCAGTGACGCTGCTTAGCGTGATTGAATAGCACTGTTTGAGTTAGCGTACTCATTCATGTCGAACTCAATCCGTGAGCTCGTTCGCTGAATAAGTACTGTGTGCCCCTTGTCCTATAGAATTCCGCTAACTCTATCTTTGCCTTAAGATGATCGTCTTGTGGAAGACCAACTATGGGCTCTATTGTATACCGTAAGTCCAGTCCATCTGAGATTTGATGAGGAAAACGCTAATGTGGGGTCTGCGGCAGTATGTTCACGTTCAGTGGGGTTATATCCGTAAATCACTTGGACAAGGACCGCGTAGGAGAACTCGTCACCATGGTCACAGAAGACAAGAGGGATGAAATCATCGACCACACGGCATGGGCAGGGCTACCACTCATCATGAACCTCAACCCATCGATGCTCGGTGCGGCCCCGAGCCAAATCGCTTACGCTGATCTCAGTCGCCCTTATTGGGTCGGCAAAACCGAGCAGATAACAGACAAAGTTGGTTCGCTTGATGGTGATGAATATCTGCGTCTGGTTTGCCTGTTTGAGCAGAAGCAAAAAACTTGGATCGAAAATTCATTCAAAGAATTCGGTGTTGATTATATCAACGTGCCTTCCATCACACCCACTCCTCTGAGCGATGGGAGAACAGACAGAGACTACGGACCCAACATAATGGTCATGGCTGATCATGTATTCAACGGGCAATACAACTCCAAATTCAAGGTGCAGAGAATCAAGAAGAAACACGATGAGGCGGCGAAAAATCGCGGTGTTGTGAAGAAGTAGACTGATCACGGAAGACGAGTGAGATGCCATTCTCTATGAACCTCCGCACAGATTCATAGAATGAGTTATCGTATTCGAATCAATGAAACTCATTATGGGTTCAGATGAGGCATTATTTTAGTTTACTTTGTCATATGTAAAGGGGAATTCGATTCGATGAGATTTGCCGTTCGAGCTGCAAGGGTTGAATGTGAAAATGATTATTCCCTTTGCTAGCAATATCTCAAGAAGCTTCTGTTTCGTGTTTTCATGTTTTTTTCTGGTTATACATATATGATCGCAGAGAGTCAAGGTGCATGAGTTCGAAGCATCGTCTTGAGTTGGAGCGGAAAAAAAGGACATATGTGCTTGTTCTCCAACGCAAACTTTTCTGCAACCCGAGCTGTGTATAACTTATAATTGTACCTGCAGGTGGTTGTCCTCATCCCTCGTCCACCTCCAGGACCCTCTTACACTTCTCACAAAGATCGTCCACGTGACTCTGAACAGCATCCCAATCCACCCAATCAAAAGCACCGGAATACCAAACAAGAAAATCACCAAGAGTATCGTAATATCCAAAATCCTGGAAATTGATGTTGTTGATAAAGATTCTCCACTCCCGCGGTTCATCCGGCTCATCGACTCCTTTGCAAAGCAGATAGTGTATCCAAGAATTCTGATCGTTGTCGCCGGCCTTCCATCCTGCGGCAACTTCAAAGCCAAACGAAGGGGCGCGCTCGCACATCTTTTCCAGTGGCTGTGCCTGCTCTTGAGCACTGGAAATCGTGTCTCCGAAGCTACAAACAAACATTTGACGGTCGAGGTTCGAATAAGTCACTCCTCCCGTATGCTTAAAGAACTCGCAAAATGGAGCTGGCAATTCGAGAGTTTCTGCTGCGTCGCCGAGCAACTCTCTCGAAGCGTTCTTGCGTACAGCAGACTCAAGGCTCTGTAGAAAACCTGTGACGTAGTCGCTTGAACCTGACTTCCACGGATGGGTACCTGGTATATTGCCTAGGCAAGACTGAGCTCTGAAGTCATCTACAGAGGTGATGGTGTTTGGTAAGTCGAGATCATCACTATTCCACGACTTGACTTCTAAGATTTCCGGTGTTTCCATTGCCAGGTGTGTCGCTAGCATATCCAGATGCAGGGTCTTCTGGCCTTTTGTGTCTGTAGCGCCAATAGTATCTAGCACACGAGAGAAAACACGTTTGTTGTTGTCGAGCATTTGGTCGGCGAACTGTGCTATGAGATCGGCCATTGCTTCAGATTGTTCGGTGGGAGTAAGAAGTTTGAAGTCATCTTTAATCTCGATTGGTGAGTCCATGTCCTGAAAGAAGCCTGATGCCAGACCGTAGCGAGTTGTGGGAATGACGTGTTAGGATTAATAGTTTTGTTTGTGGTGGCATTTCAATCATGAAAGGTGGAAGGAAGTTGTGGTCTGCGACACGTTGAGAGCTCCTACCGGTCGTGCCTAGGGCGCCTTAGGCAGCCGTGACATGTTTCAACTTTCGACACGATCAAACATGCTATGCGTTGACAATCAAGGCGCGAGGAAGACACTCGACTAACTGAATCATGGCTTTGGGGACAAGGGTCGGGGGTTTCACTCCGAGTAGATGGAAACATCGCGGGACAAGCGCTGGAAAAACTTCGGCAGACGCGAAGCTGACACGATCTCGTCTTTTGTCCAGCTCCCTGCTCTGCTCAAGATCAGTCATGAAATCGGTCGCTACGCTGGCGCAAGTTCAGTCACGCCGAGCTGAAATTTGAGCATATGCAGACTCAAAGGTGCCGCCTATAGCTGTTTAGCTAAGCCTGCCTCTAGGGTCAGCTGACCAAATGCATCCAAGTACGTGAATGCGTTGCTGAGAACACAGAAGAGGCGTACCGAGATGCAAATTTTCCCTACCTACTCCCTTCGTCTGACCGCCTCGAGGTGCGTTTAACCTTCATTCAAGACGATGAGTGGTTCTCCACAGGGACGAATGATGCCGCTCAAGATCTAGCGATGCTCACCAGAGATGCTCATCACAACTCACCGGTTCTATTGCGATAAGAAGTATTCGTCGGACATCCCCGAAATCGACGTATTCCATGCATAATGCCTTGTGCTCATCCTCCAAGCAAGCAGAGGACTTCGATGGAAGCGGGGTCGGCACTCCGATCATCAGGCTCCAGCCTTTCCTTCCATCTCGGCACGTGTGCCGAGGCAGGCGTCCAATCCATGTGTCGACACTTTATCTCTATGAGGCAAGTTTTGACAACACATCTTGCAAGCATTATGCTCGTTTAAGCTCAACACCTGGACTGATGGGGTCGATTGCCCATACATAGAATATCTAAGATGGCGGTGCCTTCGGAGGTGCATTGATTGTATGCATGAGGCATTGCGAAGCACCCATCCTCACTGCCCGTCGCCACGCATGCGGGTGCATACTGACATGTAACTTAACAGGTACTGTGTATTATTCGCTGCTGCGGTCCCGGACAGAGCCAATCAAAAATCCTATCTCTATATCACTCGGGTCTGTGGCGCCTTTTGATCGGCTTGTCTGGCTCGCTGAATTGCTTCGCCCTCTGCCGACAAGGGAGGCATGTGATACCCACTGCGGCTGCGGCCAGCCGCACATAGGAGCACCAGTGCGATAACCACGGCACCTGCTGCTCGTCGACAGTCCACAAAATCTCTTCGCCTTACTTGTACGTCTCGACATGAACACATCTGATTCGGTATGCCCCTGTTGCGCGATTCTCGAGCTTGTGACATGTATCGCAAGACTAATATAGACTTTACAGAAGTCCATCGTCAGCGACACGTCGCATAGCTCGGTGTCTTCGAAGTTGAAGACGATCTACCGCAAAATATCGCAAAGGAAAACAACGAAGCAGCCGTCACTGCGCTCGCCCAAACCGCTGAAGGTAGAAAATCACTTCGGCCTGATTAAGCTACATGAACCGAATGACACAACGAGTGTCATTGCGGACATCATCTTCATCCACGGGCTAGGAGGTGGTTCCAGTACAACATGGGCCCACAACTCCGACCCTGACTATTTCTGGCCGCACAAATGGCTACCTCATGATGGGGCATTCGAAGGGGTTGCTATTCACAGCTTCGGCTACGACGCCGATTTTACAGCAAGAAACCCTAATTTCAAGTCGAAGAACGTTCAGCCACTGAACGTTGACACGTATGGGCAGTCTCTTGTCGAGGATCTGTACAACCATCCGACGATCAAGAATCGTGCCACGCCCCTAATCTTTGTAGCGCATAGTATGGGTGGCTTGGTCCTGAAAAAGGCCTGCATTGTCCTCCAGACAGACCCTAGGTATTCTGATACCAGACCGCGCTTGCATTCGTTCTACTTTTTGGGAACTCCTCACCGCGGTGCAGAGCTTGCGGACATACTGGGAAATATTTTATTGCTCTCGGTTGGCAACAAAAGCTACGTCCAAGCTCTCAGACCTCACTCGGACCTGATAGCAAGCCTTCACGATCAATTCCGGCACCACTATGACGGAATTCAGATCCATACCTTCTACGAAACAAAACCTGTGGTCAGCATGGGATTTCGAAGCATTGTAGTTGACAAAGAATCTGCCACATTAGGTGAGTAAACGGCGACTCTTGCCCTGATTCTATACCTGACGATCTGCAGGCTACAAGGAAGAGGTTCCTCAGCTACTGAACGCCGACCACATCAATCTCACCAAGTTCACTAGTAAGGATGATGCCAATTATCGCACTGTACGAAACAAGTTGGCGAAGACGATGGATGGCATAAGACAGATGAACAATACCCAAATCGGTGCGTCATCCTCGATGAGACCGGAATCCAAGTCTATCAAGTTGCAACTCGACACTTTACGCACGTATCTGGGCATCGAAACCGATCCGGCCGATGCGCTCTCCAAAATTCCCGACACAAGGGTAGCGGGATCCTGTAGTTGGCTCACGAACTCGGTATCATACAAAAGCTGGCTCGATTCACCCTCGCCACGATATTTCTGGTTGGAAGGAGCACCGGGAGCAGGCAAAACCATGCTGACTACACATGTCATTGAAGATCTCCGTGAAGCTCCAGCTTGCTACTACTTCTTTGAAGGTGGCGAGAGTTCTTCGTCCAACCTGGGAAGTTTCTTGAGCTCGATGGCATATCAGATGGCTCTGGTCAACCCTGACGTGAGAGTTGCCCTGCTCGGACTGGTCCAACAAGGCATCAAACTCACCACTCGTAATTTCCGCTCCTTGTGGCAGAGTGTATTTGTGGGCTGCATTTTCCATCAGAAGTTCAAGGAAACGTAAGTATGTTTGGTCTAACCGCCTCGTCTGCCAAAACGCTAACACAGCTCCTTAGTCACTATTGGATCATGGATGCCTTGGATGAGTTCGTCGATGGTGGCCCTGTTGATGAGTACTTCTCCATAATCTCGAAGATCGACGAGAATATTCCTCTCAAAGTCTTTGTCACCAGTCGACCTTCGAAATCCCTGAGCAATCTTTTCGGCAACTTACCAGTAATTATCAAGCACATCGAACCGGAGGACTGCCTTGCCGATATACGTCTCTATGTCCAAAGGCAAAGTCATGGATTACCTGCCAGCGATGACAATGACCGGCAAGTTTTGATCGAGAAGGTGGTCGAACAATCCGGTAGCAGCTTTCTATGGACTAAACTCGTGATGAAAGAGCTACAAGATGTCAACACTACCGAAGAGATAGGCGCGGTGTTGAGCGAAGTTCCTCAAGAATTTCGAAAACTCTATATTCGCGACGTCTCTAGGCTGCTGTTGTCCAATTCTAAAGCTCTCGCCAAAATCATGCTGACGTGGGCAATGTGTGCCAAACAACCGCTGACGGTGGACGAGATGAAGGAAGTCGTATCGCTGGCAGGCATGACTCTAGTCCGTGACCTGAGCCGTGACTTGCAACATTTGTGCGGACATTTTCTGGAGATCGACAAGTTCGGTAGGATACAGGTCGCGCACTCTACCGCTCGGGTGTTTCTGATCAGCGAGGACTGCGATCAATACTTCCGCATGGATTCAGGTACATCCAACCTCGCTGTTGCACTGGCATGTTTGCAACACTTGTCGGATGAAGCGTATGCCAGAAGAAGAACCGGCGCAATGCAGTCTCCTGTGGAACTCCCGAAACCCTTCGTTACCACCTATGCTTGTGTAAACTTTACCTATCATCTGTCCAGAGCTAGTCCGACCTCACACGAGCTATACGAAGCCGTTTCCAGCTTCTTCCATAAGCGTCTGCTTTTTTGGATCGAGGAGCTGGCGCGCTTGCGACGACTGGACTCCGTGGTCCGTGCAGCTAAACATCTTTCTAGATACCTCAACACGCTATCCATTCATCCTTACGTTATTCAAGATGACTTGAGTCAATGGGTTGTGGACCTGCCTCGTCTGGTCACACAATTTGGTGCGAGTCTATCGGAGAACCCTGCAGCGATACACACTCTCATGACTCCTTTCTGTCCGCACAGCTCCGCAATCTACAAGAAGTATGGACAAGACCACAACGGAATCGAATTGATAGGATCCTGGACAATTGCTTGGGATGACCGGACCGGTAGCATACTATATCGTGAGAGACAACCCACCGCTCTGGCGTGTATGGACCGACACTTCGCCGTAGGACTTGAAAATGGGTCGATCATGCTTTACAAGACCGCAACATGCGAGGAATATGCTAATATGAAGCATGGCGAGTCCGTCAAGATTCTTCGATTCAGCAATTCATCGAAATTTCTTGCCGCAGCCTCATTAAACAGACTAAGCTTGTGGGACGTAGCTACAAAAACTCAACTGTGGAACATCTCGACAACGTCAAGAACGCTCAGCTTGGCGTTTCGAGAAGACGAGTCGCAGCTGATGGCGGCAACTGAAGCAGAAGTGCTTTCCATGTGGCGAACATCTAGCATACACCTCGACGAGGAGCTCAGCTGGCAGAGCACCAAACTTGATGACGGACAGGCAAATATGCCGAAGGCGCCTCCACAAGGTGTCAAGATGTCCATCGAGCAGAACATTATGGCAATTGTCTACAAATCCCGCCCACTGCAACTGTGGTCGATTGATCCATGGAAGCCTTTGGGTCTTTGTGTCAGGCCTCATGAGCAGATGCAGCGCAGTAGTGGACAGGCAATCCATGCCGTCACTCTAAATCCCGATCCATCTCTGTCGTTAGTAGCGGTTGCCTACTGGGATGGGACAATGATTTTATACAGCACAAAAACACGCAAAGAGCTCGAAAGTGTCGACGCGCTAGTTCATCGGCTGTGTTCTTCGCCCAACGGACGTATACTGGCAGGAAGCGACAACGACGGCGGTATCAACCTCTATGACTTTGAGTCGCTCCAGTTGATACATCGCGTTCGACCTCGTGAGGACCCAGCCATCGACCTGGTGTTTACCAGCGACAACCTGCACATCATTGATGTTCGAGTAAGCCAGCTAAATTTGTGGGAACCTGCTGTGCTTGCTAGCCGGGATATCGATTCAAACTCCAGTGAACCCGCAGGCTCCTTATGCCCTCTTGACGACAACGCTACACTGGTTCGAGCTGAGGACCTAGCCATCATCACTGCTTTGCGCTGCTGCAACGAGACCCGACTCGCGTTTTGCGGAAGAAGTAATGGCAATGTCGATGTTTGCAGTCTAAATGATCCCGTGAAGACACTCCAGCCACTCTACAAGCATCAGGGCACTTCCAAGACCATCACCAAGATCGAGTGGAACCCGACTGCAAAGATCTTGGTTAGTGCAGATTCATCTGGCACTTTCCGTGTGATGCAGCTTGCGTCATCTTCAGGTGGTATTTGGAGTGCAAAGCTTCTCTTCCGAGACCAGCTTGGACCTGGAGTCCCCATCAGCCAGATGGTAATTCAACCAGATGGATCAAAGCTGCTAGTCTCGTCACCTGAAGCGGACTCAACTTGGTCAATCAGGGAAAAACAGATTGTCGCTTACCATGAGAGGCATGAGAGACATGAGACACACTCGTGGAAATGGCTTCTTGATCTATCAGATGAATCACGACTGATTCTGGTCGAAGACTCGACCCTAAGCTTGCATAGCTGGGCGAACCTGGACGCCTTGCCAATGTCCCTCGGGCCGCCCTCCTTGGCAAGTGAACAGCCTCACGATCGTCTGGATGTTGATAGCATCTCCATCACCAGCAAGCACAACAACCTTGTTTTCACACACAAATCACAATTGTCGCACAGTCCCGGCGAAAGCAATGGCACCAGAATCTCTGTCCTGGACTTATCGCTCTTATCAGACAACATCCACAGCAAACTTCCCTCGAATCATCCACTCATACGACACATCACAGACATACCCAATATCGAGATGACACTCGGCACAATACGCAAGTCCGACTCTTCCTATCTCCTCTTTATCTCTACCACAGGCTGGATATGCTCGGTGAAGCTCGATGACACTTCCTCAGCAGGAGATATCCAGAAGTACTTCTTTATTCCATCGATCTGGAGAAGTGGTAATTCTGGAATGAGAGCACGCATCATGAAGGATCACAGTATTGTGTTTGTGCATAATGAAGAGATTGTGATTGTGCGGGATGGACTAGAGAATCCTTTCTTTGAAGATTCGTAGAAAGCGTGTTCATAGTGAGTCACGAAATTGGTGTATTTTGGGATCAACCCTTGTGTGCATGTTCCATTTATGTACAGGTTAATCATATTTCTGCATCACGCAGCTATTTTTACATATTGAGCTTGTACAGAAGAAGTAAGAGCAACTAGAACAGTGAAGCATACGTCAGTGTCGCGCGAATCCCGCTCCTCGATGCCCCCTGGCCGATCATCTATCGATAGCTACACAGTAAAGGAGGGATTGAGCGTGAAACCCCGTGATCTGCTGTAATGCCCGACCAATGGCCCTGGTTCCGCACACAGCACACGATGATGACACATAGAGTCTGGGAGCTTCGATGTGCTGAGGAAATAAAATTGTCAAAACTATTGTAAACATGAATTGTGTATGCCAAAGAATGTAAATGCTCGCTATATGCCCGCACTGAAAGCGAATGAATAGAATGGTAGGGTCAGAGGTTGCTGTTGCGACGATGGAGCCCTGCCCTGCCCAAGAAAGCGAACGTGTGGCCCATTACCCGCATGCGCCGTAAAGCTCTGTTGGCTCGGTGACGTTGGGAGAAGTGTTTGGAAAAGGCGGCGGTGCGGTTCATTGCGCCCACGGAAGCACGGTGAGTGACTTGGTTGGTAGGATGACGTGCGGAGGAGGAGCTACCCCTGCGTCTGTGCGAAATTCGTCTGCGAAGGGGTCTGTTCCGCATCACACCTGTAGAGCATCAGCAAAAAGTTCGTTGATCAGACCTATGTACGTACGCGCTCTTGGTAAAAAAAGTGACGCCATTTCATAAGCCGAGGCATGACCAAGAAGACGATTGGTTTGGCTATTGAAGGCAGGATATATTGCGTTATGGTTTGGACCATCTGTTTCACTATCAGCAACTGGACAAAGGTGCAAAATCGGAGACATACACCGGATTATAGAGCGACTTTGATCGTCACTGCCAGTTTGACTTTCGACATCGGAGTTGTTCATGACTTCAACAGCGGGTTTGCGAAATTGCAGGTATGCAAACAGCACAGCAATCGCAGCCAGAACGACAGCAAGAGTGCCAAAAATGATATTGAGTACAACCTCTTGGCTGGGATGAAGCTCAGCAGTGTGAGAGGCTGATGGCGATGCAGGCGACAAAGGCGATGAAGGAGACCCAAGGGCCGAGACAGTGGTATTGAGCAGCATTGTAGCCATTTCTGTGGTCGCACGGGTATGTTGTGTGAGGTGTGTGGGTTGGGTTCACAAAATCATTGCTGGAGCCAGACAACTTTATAGACTGTGTCACTTGACTGCTGGTGTTCCATCGCCCTGATGACGATTGTACTCACCGTCTGGAGTTCGCGAAGCTCAATCGCTACTGGCTTGTAAAGCTCCTGTAGCTGTCAAACCAGGTTTTGTGTTGTGTTGAGCGCCACCTCTTATGAACCTGTGCTCCGAGTGGTCCAACGCAGAGGGGAAAGATCGTGAGTCGCATGGGACACACATGCTAGATCAGATCTGTGCACAGTGTTGTGCAACAGGACCAAGTCGAGACTCTTCATAAAGTCTAAGCCCGGTGAGACAGAAGCACACCTTTGACTGGTCCGATGTGCTATTACCAGTCGTACGGGAAAGCTCCGGGTCTTCATGATATCGCCGACTGTGGACTTCGCCGATTGATGACTTGGCCGACCGCGGACCTCGCCAGACCAGTGACAGCTTTGCTCGGTGAGAAAAATTGGTGACCTCTGATTGGGGCCTCAGATCATGAGTCGAGGTAAGAAGAGCAAACAAACGTCAGAACGCGAGTGCACCAGCTCAGCTATTATACGGGTATTCTCAGAGCGAATCAGAGTCAATTTTGATTATATCATCGGTGAGGCTGGATTTGCGGTTAGCTGATCGAGTTCATTGGCACTGTCAAAGACTGCATCGCAGCGCATGCGGTGTTCTCGCGCAGCTGATGTTGACGTGGCTTTCCGGCGTCTCGAGAACCAGCCAATCGCAGGCTGTTTTCAAGCTTCACCGGCGCACGGTACACTTTCAGCAAGGAACCTGTTCATCTGCCACGTCCCTCTACATGCAGGCGGCTTTGCGATGCATCACGTGTACTCCCAACTATCCGAAGAGACATGATCTGCTCACCGTAAAAATTCGCTTTGGCATGTCTCCCATTGGCTGTGCTATCTCCCTGCGTCAACGCCTCATTTCGCGTATTTGTTTGTTGCCTACGACTTCCGATATCATGCCATACAAGACCAGTATGATTGAGCGCGTCAAATCATAGACTATTCGCTCAGTTCAAGCATGGCAGTGAAGTCGACTATGCTCAGTCTTACAACGTTGCTACTTTTATCTATCACTACCTTCATGCTCCTGTTCGGTCGACCTGATACATCTTTCTTCTTCGGAGGGCTTTCTCGAAAATGTTGGAAGACCACAGTTGCCGAGAAACTCGAAAGAGTGAACGCTGAGATTCCACGAGACTGGCTGTTACCCTCCAAAGTCCTGGAAGAAGGCAGAGGCCGTCGTGAGATCACCGGAAGCTTCATCGAAAGCTTGCTTGACCAGGAGACATTGGCAATCACAAGCCTGGACAACTCGGAAATTCTGGAGCAGACCACCAATGGCTCTTTGACTGCAGTGCGAGTGACTCGCGCGTTCTGCAAGCGAGCAGCTTTTGCCCATCAATTGGTAATCCACTCGCCTTACGCTCGAAGCTTTACTGACCAGCCTAGAACCACAATCTTCTTGAGATAGGATTTGACCTTGCGTTAGAGAGAGCCCAGGAGTTGGATGATTATTTTGCCAAGCACAAGAAACCTCTTGGACCTTTGCACGGGCTACCTTACACCATGAAAGATCAATTTCACATGAAAGGTATGGAGACCACGATGGCCTATGTGGGTTGGGTAGGTACATTTGAAGGAAAGAAGGGTACGGGAAAGGAAGGTAGGGTCGAAAGCGAGTTAGTCATGGAATTGAACAGTCTGGGTGCGATTCCTATTGGAAAGGTAAGCATTACGCGCAACCTTCCCCTGTTTTTTTCCCCTTGTTTACTTACATGATACAGACTACTCTGATCACCAGCTTATGGGTAAATCATACATCCGAAGACCAAAATAGATTTCTACTAATCATCGCAGGGCGGCGAAACTAATAACAACTTTCTTGGTTATCTCTGGAACCCGCACAATCAGCAACTATCAGCTGGCGGATCTTCAGGTGGTCAGTCAAATACTTTCGAAAGTTGGCTAGTTGCTCATATGCGTTTTCACAGGGGAAGGAGCCATCCAAGCTTTGAGAGGAAGTGCTTTCGGCTTTGGAACAGACATTGGTATGACACACTGCAAAGTGAAGAAGTTCAGCTAACCATGATCAGGTGGATCCGTATCTATGCCGGCCGCTTTCAATGGTGTGTGCAGCATGAAGCCCTCGTGGGGCCGACTGTCGTTCAAGGATACCGCAAACAGTGTAAGTTGTGCCGTGCTGCAAATGCTAAGCATCTAACGCTGTTTCAGGCTCCCGGTCAAGCCGTACTGCCTACTGTTGTTGGCGTGATGGGTCCTGACTTCTTCACGATTCGCAAGATCTTCGAGGCCACACTCAGTACGCAACCATGGCTACGCGATCCAGACGTGTTACCGATTCCTTGGAGAAAAGAGCTAGAAGAGCTGCCTACGAAGCTTACGTTTGGCTTACTGTTGACTGATGGTATAGTGTCCCCCCATCCACCTATCACTCGAGCGCTGCGGGAGGTGGCAGAGATAGTGAAATCACTAGGACATGAGGTGAGTTTATAGTTGAGAGCTACGGGCTGAAGTACTGATATTTTCTCAGGTCGTCATGTGGGAGCCTCCTTCTCACAACGCTTCTGTAGTGATACATGTAAGTTCCTCATGTCTTCCTTACAAATCTGCGGTTGACTCAAACCTTACTTTAGCCTCAAATTGCACGCGGCGATGGCTCACCTGATGTACTTGCCAACATTCAGCTCTCTGGAGAACCAATCATTCCGCAGATCAAAAATTTGTTTCCAGGGGGCAAGCTCAGGGCTCCAATTCCTCTTCCTCAGTTTGAAAATGCGACGCTTTACATGAAAGACTTCCGCAAACAATACCAAGCTTATTGGCAGTCTACTGCTGAATTCACGAGGACGGGTAAGTTTCCGACAAGGCTTCACACTTGCGTACTAACGTTTTTATAGGACTCCCCGTTGATGTTGTGATTGCTCCGGTTTCTCCTCATGCAGCACCCATTCCAGACAAGTCATACTATTACAGTGGGTCAGAGCCAAAGGCTATCATCCTAGAATCACGGCTAAATTTTATCAGCATACAGTAGCATTGTTAATGTGTTGGATCTCCCCGCCGCCGTCATCCCGGTCACTTTGGTTGATAGTAAGCTTGATATCTTTGATAAAAATTACAAGCCTTTCACCGAGAAGGACAGGCTCACGTGGCAAGCATGTAAGTGCAAGAAAGCATCTCGAGATGAGTTGGGTACGCTGACTCCTGAACCAGATGATGCCGACAAGTTCGACGGGACTCCCGCGTCAGTCCAGATCCTTGGACAACGATGGGAGGAGGAGAAGGTGGTTGCTATCGCTCGAATGATCACTGAGGCGCTAAAGAAATCCAAAATGTGAGAGGAGAGGATGAATGAGCCCAAGTCAGATGAAGCAGAAGTCAGATTGCACATTGGAGCAAGTGTAGTATAGAATTAGGCAGTAAAACAAGCAAGTCAAGTCGTTACCTCTAGGTTGTCCAGCATTACCGAAACCTCTTGCAGTGTTGGACGTTTTGACCCTGCCATACCGCGAACACGTTCGCGACTTGTGCCATACAGTTCTGCGCGCTCCAACTCTCTTGTCCACCAGGACATCGCTGTATCAATAACCTCTACTGGACTGCTCTTCTCTGAAGCATCAACGACCAGCCTCGAACCTTGACGGATAACACGAGACAGTAGATTAACACCACCAGGACTTGGGTTTGTCGCTTCTTCATTCCCCAAATCCCACTCAGACGCGTCCAGCGTGCAGCACTTGATGATCCGACGCAAACTTTCTGGCGTATGGCGGAAGCGAGGAAATTCTATGTCCGGGTCGATGGGCCAGGTATTAGCAATGTTGTTTCTCACATTGCTAATGCCTTCAAACAGACAGTAGATCAACAACCCAAGTGAGAATACCATGGCCTTCTCTTGTTCTGCCCCTGAGAGCTGAGCCCACACTGGGTTTATCTTTGACATATAAGTTCCCGAGATAGCGGAGGTTGAATCGTCCAGCATTTCATACATGCGTAGTAGATTACGCCACCGAGTAGATACCTCAAATGAGTCTTTTTGTGATGTCAAATTCTTGACATACTGACGGAACAAGACTTCAGGGGCACCCCATTCGTGCCAATTGCCTCTCTGTTCAAAGTCGCAGAGAACAATATCACCATTAGCCTTGAGCAAAATGTTGTCGGGCCTTAGATCGGAGTAAAAGGTGTCAGCTTCTCTACGTATGTGCACAAGAGCGGAAGTGACTTGTCGTGCCCAGTCCAGTCTGCGCTGCATCGAGAATCCTGTACCGCGAGTCTCTCGGGGAAGAAGATCTCGTATGGAGCCTTTGGAATGGTAAGGCAGTGTGAATCCGACAACTCCGTGCTTGTTTCCGAAAGCGCCCTTCTTGGTGACGATGTGTATTGGCCGTGACATGATATTGGGGTGAGGCGGCATACGCGACAGAAGTGCAAGCTCGTTGTACAAGTGCTGATGGTCGTTCGTGTTCGATTTGAATATGAGGAGACGTCGTGTTGGTGTGTCATCCTCCAACACCTCGACAAGGCTGATCGAGTCATGGATTTGTTGGATCAAACGCAGCTTGGTAATGTCTATAGGTCTGGGCCAATCAATGCAAGTCCTGCTGTCCGTGTACTCTGCTTGAAGGGCTTCGAGGGTGATAAATTGACGTTCCAGGTTATGAGAGTGGAATGTGACCAATTCCATCTTGGCGACATCTGCGTCGATATTGGTGAAGTAGAGTTTTGAGCCAAATGGTAGTCTTTGATACCGACTCAAGAAATCAGGATCACGATCACAGACATGATCGAGAGCATTGCAGATATGACGTGATATTCCCAAGCTTCGTATAGCTGTACCATCTCTTAAAGCTACCGACAGAGAAGAATCGAGAGCAAACCGGAGATGCTGGGGGTGACTCTCTTGGTCGGGGACGAAGACATCCACACGTAAAGGTGTCAGGCTGGTTTGAAAGATCGGTGTCACGAAGAACTGTGTGCCGCAACGAGTCGCTCCATCGATCCTCCACCTCGAGCCTCTATTCTCAAGGGTGTTGATCCGATTAATCGGATTGTTCTGTGAGAGATGCCACGGTATCGGTTCTAGATCTCTCTGGCCTGAAGAGTCGCAGTTTGCTCTCAAGAACCCATGTTTCAACACAAAGCTTGGTCGCCATACCGCATCCACCAACAGATGGCTCAGCTCCATGTTGAGTATGAGGCTTTGACTTCACAACGGCATGGTCTATTGCTGGTGTGAACAGGTTTTGTAGGATGCGGGACCAACCTGGAGCAGCTGGTGGCGCGTCATCTCAACTCCCCATGTGGACAGCGCCTTTTGCTGCAGAGCCGCCGCGCTGTCAAGCTGCGTCCAATCGCTTGCAAAATGCATGGCGCAGGGAGGTCGCACGGGCTCACCGGACTCCGAGAAACTTGTTCGATGATAGGCTGAACGAGAGTGTTAATGATGGGCACTGCCACCTAAATTTGCCGCTCGAGTGGTTATACTGACATATACGGAGTAACATTCCATGTGTTGATTGTTCCGTGATGCGCCTAAGATAAGAGGTTCCCCTTGTTGCGAAATCTTTGCCCCCACTTCCCCACAGCCAACGACATGAGAAGCCCAAACTCCCGCCCTCATTACGTCTTCTTGCGACCGGCATTGCCAGTCACCAACGGTATTCAGTTTAGTCGAGAGCCTGCGTTAGCAATACCGCCAGTGGATACTGCGCCCATCTCGCGAAATGATATTACGCCGTCAACATCGTCTCGCAGGTGTAGTGTAACGACATCGGAGACGACGCCGGGGTCACTGCCAGCTTCCACGCCCATCTCCTTGCGAGAAAGTCCCTCAGACTCGGGTGGATCATGGAACACATTGACTCCTAGCTCAACTGCTGGAACCGTTCTTGAGACCTCTCCTCCACAAGTAGAACAAGGCCCTCTGAACAAGCCTGCCGTCGAACCAACGACTCGAGTTTGGCAACCATGTCATCGGGGGGTAAGCTTTAGACGAACTCTTTACTCCACTGCTAGAGGCTGACCGTTCGCAGCGTGGAAGAAAGAAGAAAGTACCACTGCCGCTTGGCCCGAAACCTTCCGTCATCCAGAGAAAGGGTCCACAACACGGTGGAGTTCGAAGTAATCCTCTTACCGATCAACAAAGAAGCATCGCACATATCACCAGAACCATCGTAGCCTGTGTCAATTGTCGTTTCAAGAAAGGAGCAGTGAGTTTAGGCATATGAAGCTATCACCGCCTGCTACTGACCACGCCCCCCCACAGTGCCGACCAGATCCGATTGACCTAGCTGATCCGAACAATTTGAGGCCCTCTTTTGTACCGAAATCATGTCTCGGATGTCAGCGTGGTCAAGAGCTATGTATTCGCTGGAAGATGGCCGATGCATCGCTGTACAGAAAACAGAACGCTCCATTCCAAGCATTCAGCAAACGATGGCAGAACATGGATCTCGTTGACATAGTCGGCTGGGCTTCTGATGAATTACGCATCATAGATTTGACGCAAGTCATCGTCAATGCCCCATACTCGGTCGTAGTCAGGAAGTTTGTTCCTCAAGATGGCGATATGCTCGAGGAAGAATGGTCTAAAGATGGGAGGGCTCAAAAACATGCGATCCCGCCGTACGCTCTTGCAAACATGCAGAGTACTGCCCTCATGCTCGAGGGTTGGATGACGAGCCAGGTCTGGTGTTATGTTTCGGGCATTGTTTTCCATCTGGATATTTTCATCTGGTCCACGTATATGGAAGCATTTCGTTATGCTGGTAATGCCCAGGTAGTACAACCCCGTCAGTTGACTGTCAAAAGTTTACTGACATACATACTAGACCGATGATGAGAGAGAGCTCATAGGAGTTGCTTTTAAGCTTTGGCTTGCTTGTCGAAAAACGAGCAATCCTGAGCGAATATGCGGATCCGACTGTCTCGGAGTCGTTCCGGTTGACGACACCGACAGCCCATGGTTCAAAGGTGTTCCGATGCCTCCAATAATCATTGCTCAGATGGAGTGCATCATGTACACCAAGTTCCTACGACCCATGAGCAAATCGGTCTTGAATCGACTCCAGAAAATGATCCTTTCGAAGAAGAAAACCTGTTGGTTCACGACATATCTTGTGTCGTTTATACTACTTCACAGCTGCTCTATGGTCACGAGGAGAGACTATGAATATGCAAGGCAAATGTCAATGCAGGTAAGCACAACTATAGTCCTCCCGCCATCCTTGCTTCTTCTAAATCTGAGTAGTCAGAATATGCCAACCCGGACAGTATACGTGACCATCACAAAGGCGCGGAAATTATTTTGACCTTCTTTCACGCTGTCAACAAGGGTTCTATGCCCTTTGAAAAGATATTAAATGAGGCTGGTCGCCAGGAAGTGGCAGAGGCAACCCAACTCGGTCCTGAACAGATTGAGTTTGTCCGCTGGACCGCAGAGTGGTACAAATCAATGGGTATCGCCAATTCAATCGGAAGCTCTGACCAAGGCTAACAAATGCTCACAGAGTCTTATCTTCGCGAGGTGAGGAGTCGGAGAGAAGTACGCAACGATCTCTACTGGGTCGCTCAGCTCTTCGAAACCGACTGGAAAGCTGCTGGCACATCATGAGAATCTCGCCTAATCCAGTCGTGTGTGATTCAATCTTGGGGATGGATTAATTGCAACCCCAATTTACAAAGGAGAACAAAACCATATGTACGGCCGTGACGCGAGACAAAGCAGGATCGTGAACATGTAGAAAAGAGACTCGGCCGTAAACTTCAACAACTCCCAGACATGCTCATCTGTTCATCAATCGCACGAGCCAGCCACTCTAAGGAGCTTACCATCCTTTCTTGGTGGCTCAATGTCCCAGCTCTCGCCACGCTCATGGTCTTCGAAGACTCTAGCCCAAGCTAAACGTAGGGGAGTAGGTAGCTTCCAACACAACTCCTCGTTGTGCAGCCAAACTCTGATGAGATGGCGAGTAGCCTTCGGATCATCAACGAAAGCTTCTCTTCTGTGGAGGACACCCATGTTGTTGACGAGTCGAATATCGCCAACCTCCATACGAGGTCTGACCTCATGCTTACAAGCGACGAAATGGAGAGCGTCCAAAGCTTCTGCTTGTGCTTCGGTGAGGCCCGGGATGCCTTCAGTGCGCTTCTCACGAGGGGGATGTCCGACCAAGAGGCGGCGAGAGTAATTCAAGATCATCCGGCCATCTTGAAAGTACAACAGTGCCCTCTTATAGTAGGGAGGGCTTCTACCGTATCTGAGAAAGCAGTGAGTCCTATGTTCCGTGGGCTTCGAAGAGATTTGCTTACGTGTCGAAAGGCCAGTCTGGCTTGGCCAGGACTTGGATCAAGTCTGGTCTGGTGGCTGCCAACTCATTGTACACTGTCCATGCTGACGCAAGGACGCTCTTGCCTCCGTATGCCGAACAGCTACGGGTCACAAGACAGAGGACATCACACACAGTATCTGTGTGGAAAGGCTGGATTAACGTTAGTGTTTGCTGACTGCTTCTTGACATTTACTTTCTTACCTTGTCAACATCGTCACGGTTCGGTTCTTCGACGTAGTCACGTTTCATGACATGCACTAAGTAGCGTTAGAGACTTTGCTCGACCGTTGGATATGTCTTCCCATACTCAACATGGACCCTCTTTGGTCTTGCTTGCCACGCCTCTCTGCGATGTGGCTAGTGATGCCAAGATACACGACTGTGTAGTCTTCGTGCGAAAAGGTGTCTGGGTCCAAGCCACGGATGATCATGAAGCCGTGACCGTCATAGATCTTCTCGGCCACAGATCTGAGTGTTTCAGCAAGTTTGCCGAGTGGAAAGTTGTCACGATTGACTTCATCTCCGTTGAGTCCTTGTTCTGGACAGAAGTCAGTCACAACACAAGAAACGAACTTTATGTGACGGATGATTACTGTTAAAATGCTCCAAGGCCTGAAGAACTTCAGCCTTGTCTTCGCTTGTCATCATGTATACATATTCGTGTTCCTTTGACTCCAGATCCTTGGTAGACCAAACCAAGGGTCCATCTAGCTTCTCCGGAAAGCCGGCCGGAAGCTCTTGGGTGAGTTGTTCACTAGTCAAGCGGCTAGCGGACCGAGCCAGATATTTGGCGTGGTCGACCTCATAGGTGATATCGGCATATTTCGTACTCTGCTCGGTAAATGAGAGATTTTGCAAGGCGTCCGCACGATATCTCTCACGTAGACCACGAGAATAATAAGGCTCAACTGAAGCAGGAGTAAGAGTCTCGACAGAAGCCATGGTGTTTGGGGTCTGCGTGTGTTTGAGTAATTTGGTGCCGTGAGACGTTGGCCTGAGGACAGTATAAAAGTCGATGGTCCTGACTCCACTTGAACCGCGGAAAAGAGGGGTAGTAGAAGCTGCCTTACTGATAAGCACGCATATGACCTGATCCTACCATGCAGGCTCTGATAAGGTAGAGCCATGTCACTAGTACATGTAGTAAGAAGTCTTGCAAAGGACAGGCTCGCCCGCGGTATATCACTGTGTCGCGAGCTGAAAGCATGCATCAAGACCGTCTTGCACAGGAATAGTAGCCTCTGAGATCTGTCCGCCCCCACACCTCAGGTTCTGTATGGGTCCTATTGGCTGTTCTGTAGACATCTAGAAGCTGCCCGTACACGACTTGACAAGCAAACGCATGAACTTTAAACAATCAAGTGCGCTGGCACGAATGAAGCGCTTGAGCTTTTGCCTATTCAGCGTTCTGGTCGACTATCAGTTGAGGCACTGAAGCATCACGCGAACAGTGATTGGTCAGGGCTTAGATATGTCAGCTACGAAATCGCTACAACACATGCGAGTCGCTTGAAGAGGGAAAAAGCCATCAGTGAAGTTTTTCAACGAAGTCAATCAGATTTGACCACTATCTCGGCATCTGGAACTGACATACCTGAGCCTTCGAAAGTTGTCGTCCTTGTGTCGTGATCTCCTTCCCAGCGCTTTCCAGATATCTTCGACTGCAATCACAAGGTCATTGCGACTCACACAATCCACTTCGAGGTTGAACAGCATCCTTTCATTATGTCTGCACTAGACTTGGATCAGCAGCTCCGACCAGGTAAACTCTGATGCACAGAACTTCACGAGCACGACCCAAGATTTCAACCGGCTCGACTCATGGACATAAGAAATTCAGACGGACACTCAAAGAGAATGAACTTGGACTTGAGATGAAGCTCTCTTAGTGAGACATCGATGCGATGATCACAAGGAGCTATGAATGGGCTGCTTGAATCATAGAGCGTGCTCAAAGCTAACAATCATGCATCACAACATCTGTAACCGCAAAGTCCGTTTTCAGCTCGTCGTAGGCCTGCTCAATTGCAGTTCCGAGATCATCTCGCCCAACATGCAGCTCCCTCAACCTTGGTGCGTGTTGATGGATCATCAGTGCAATACCCGTAGCATGCTCTTCAGTCTCTTCAGCGCTAAGATTGTTGTCAGTTTACATAAGGTTCAACAGCCTGGTTGTCAACATACCTCATGCAGAAAGGCCAAGGTTTGATCTGACCAAGTTCAAGCGCCCGAAGCTGTGGAAATAGTGGTTGCGACGAGACCTTCCAAGCTCCAATATCATGTATACCGTCCATGATCAACTCGGTCAACTTTGGGCAGCTCTCGGCGATGAGTCTTGTCTCTGATATCCAATGGCTAGCCAAGGGGCTTACGCCAAACTGCAGCTTCCTCAACTCAGGATAACTGCATATCCAAGAACGGAAGACGTCGTCGGTCCAAGCTTCGGCGACCAACAGAGTTCCTTCTTCTTGATAGGGACCTCTCGTGGGCCTGTAGATACTGAGATCTTTGAGTCGTGTCAAGCCTGAGATCGCTTGTAACTCTTGGATGGCAAGACGTTTGGGCGCAGAGAAACAGAGATCGACGGTCTCTAAGCAAGGCAGACAGCCGATGGGCCCGAAGACATCATGATCCGAGTCGGTCAAGGTCAGTTGAAGCTCCTTCAGCAACTCAGCTGCAGAAAGTAATGGTGTCAGTGCTTTCGACTCGATGCTCAGGAAGAGGTTCCGGATATTGCGGAATGGTCTGATTCGTGGATTTTGCTGAAGGACGGTAGCAATCGAGTGATGAGAGACGAACTTTCGTGGAGCATCGAATACTTCTAACTGTTTCCTGGCCACAAGATTGTCCAGGACATCAACAGGAAGGCTGAGATCATTTTCACATCCCAAAGTAAGCTCGCGTACTTGTCGGCACTTTTGCAAGAACTTGAGAAAATGCTCGTTTCTTTGGTCGTCCCGATCGTAGTCAACATGGACATCTCGAAGCTTGGGACAGCAGAAAGCTATCAGATCGAGCACCGATCGAGGTAGATGGCGACATTCCACCATCGTAAAGGAGGTAACGTTTAAACTGAGATACGGACGTAAATCGAGCTTGAGCCATGCCGGGCAAGAATTGATCTCCAGTCTCTTCAATCGCGGGAATTTCAGGTTGGCAAATGCTGCGGCACATCCAGTGTGATCGGCTCGGTAGAGATAAAGTCCGATACTCTGTACTTTGTCGGCATAAATTTGTCGCCTGTCTGAACGTATCTTGGCCAAGGCAGGAGTGAACGGCTCGCGCCAGAGAAGATCGGTACCTCGAAGCGCCCACTCTCTGTTGACAAGAATGGCGGGCAATAGAAGTCGAGCATAGCAGCGCCATGCATCGTCATACTGGCGTTCTGCGACCTCGTGACGAGCGTCTTCGGCCAGAAATTCCAGTATCTCCAGTTGGATCTCCGTTGCAAGTTGTGGGCAGCCTCTGTTAGACATGTTGAAGAGAAGTCTGATTGCTGTTTGTCCGTCGCAGGCAGTCCATGGCTTTTGTTATGGTTGAGATCGAGCTTAAGTCTTGGAATCTTGCCAGTCCAACAGCACACTCAGCTTGAGCGATCAATAACGAGTGGCTCATGGTTGACGCTGACAAAAGTCCTAGTCGCGTATGCCGCGCTGCCCGCACAAGTACGGTGAAGCTGATGTTCGAACCAATCTGAGTTTAGCTCGCGGCAATTGAAAGTGATAAATCATATAAGACCCTGGAATGTGAGGGTTGGGATGGTCGTGCACGCAATGGCTTGACCCGACACGCGACTTCATGCGGAGAGTGCATGCTTATGAGGCAACAATGCCCATGCACATGCGGAAGGAGCGCGAAGCGCTTCGACAGCCAATCACTAACCAACACCGACTGCATTTTCCATATCATACGCCACCCACCTTGCAGTACGTACCTCAGAAGCGCTGCGAGCTGAGAAGACAACCTTGAAATCATCAATCGGTAATGTTGCTTTTCGGCATCGAAGCGGCATGTATAGCCAATTCTTTCGGCCGATCTGCTAGGCATCAGGCCATAATCCTTGCTCGAATGCCGGTCCACCTATTGCAATTCGTCGCTAAGAGCGGCAAATCGTTGTGCTGTGCCATGTAGATCCTGAAAATGCCAGTCCCTGCATCGTCGCCTATACAAGACGAAGGTGTGCTGCAAAGAGGAAATTGGTCACCACCCAGAGCTCAATAGTGGCCGTTGACTGTTGTCCAAACGTAGTGAACTGAGCAGGTGGGTATCTAGCTCATCGTCGATTATGTTTCATGCAAAGACCACTGCATTCATCAAAGTAGGGCGTAGGATACCAATCCCCGTGATCTGTTCGGCAGTCCGTGTGCATCAATATACGGAGCGGGAGGGCCATGATTCCGCGAGCGCATCAATGCGATGGCTATCCGGGTACGTCGACTCGAGTCATTCAGGAGAATTGGTGTCTTGAGATGGAATGCATGAGATGTTGATGAAGTATTTCGTAAGGAGTATGAGATTGAGAGAGGGCGCAAGACAGGGAAGGTAGAGCGAAGCTGGCGTCTTGGCGAAAAAGAGCTCAACAGGCAGGGTCCTCCTGCAAGCATTGAGCATTTTCCAATCCTCTTCTAAATCCGATCTCGCTTTGGTTCAGCTGTTCAATGTGGCAATTAGATGACTTTGCGAGCTTCAGGAGTTCGTATCTCTCGAAGAGACAACCAAATCTAGCCATCCGAAGACCAACAGTGAGCGCGTCATGAATATAACAGGCAAAATATCACGAAGACGAATCATACTTCCAGACTTGAGTGAATCACAATTGTTTTGCACGCATCACATGATGGAATGAGAAGATCTCAACGAAATGTCTTATTGATACATGAGTTGTTCGCTCGTTTCTCTTGGAAAACGAGTGCGATGCAATGCTACTTATGGTGCTGGTGATGGTACAGTGTATGGGACGAAAATTAACCTCATGCCAAAAGCCCCAGAGAGACAGAAAGAACTCTGTATCTGTCGACGACCATTGATGCTTGCGCATTCCTTCTTCTTTCCTCTAGAATTGATATCTCGAGCCATCAAAACGCCAGTAACCACGTATTATGCTCGGCCTGTATCGCCAATCTCTTCTTCTGAGGGATCCGAATGACCTCTGCCTTTCCTGTTTCGTCAAATGCAATTCGTTCGCTTAGTGAGTCAGGCCAATAACCTTTCTGTTTCTCTTCACGAGACGACGCAGACCAGCCTCCTTGTCGTCGGCAAAACGTTTAGCCTCGGCCAGTCTACGCTCCAAGTCTTCAACGCTGACGATATGGTTCTTGTCTCTCTGCTGTTCTTCCTTGATGGCCTTCTCACTAGGAGGGCTGAGTGGTACAGGAGGCATGATGAACTCGTTGACGTACTTGCCAGCGGTGTCGACAAGGAAGCTACCCTTCTTGCTGCCTTCCTCGACAGCCTTCTCCATGGCGTTGGCGCTGCGGTGACGGTTGCCATTGGTTGCACCATCAAACTCGCGGCGCAAAGCGGCGATGTCCAAAGCGGGGAAGTCAAGATCGGTAGGGGTGTTGCTGTGCTGGATGGGGTGGAACTTCAGGTTTTCGGGGAGTTGACGGTTCATGGCTTCCATTGCGAGGAAACGATCTTCAAGTTGAGGTTCCATGTGGCGGATGATGGTTCCGGTAGGTGAGATGACGAGACGTTCCCAAAGGCGCTGCTGCTCCTCGGTCACGGGACGCCAGGCATGGCCAGAAAGCAGGATCTCGATATCCTCCTTCTTGAGCTCAGGCATGTGTGCAGGAATCGCGTTGTCGGGGCTCAGGTCGGCGGGGGTGGGTGCTTGAGTTGGCTTGTAGTGGGCAACGGTTTGGGCGAAAGGGCGGAAGAAAGCGTCGAAAGCGCCGGCTATAGTGCCGTGTTCACTGCGCAGTTCTGCAATGAGAGAGGCAGGAGTCAGCGCTGCTGGTGGTGGTGGCGGTGGAGGGGTTTTGACCGGGGTGACGGGAGCAGGTGGAGGAGGGGGAGGAGTCTCGACCTTGACGGGAGTGGCGGGCTTCTCTACCTTTGGGGGTTCCTCTTGCTTGGCCTTGATCTTAGGAGAGGCAGGACGTGAGGGAACTGGCGTGGACGCAACAGGTGTGGATGCGGCAGGTGTTGCTGGCTTGTCTCTCTTGGACTTCTTCTTGCGACTGGTGATCGCCTCGTGAATGGGCTCTGTGATGGGCTGGTTGATATCCTTGGATAGAATTTCTTCAGTCGCCTGTCTGGCCTTCTCTTGACGCAACTTCTTCTGTTGACTCTTGGTGTTCGCGCGCTGATATGCGGAGCCCACTCTGCTGGAAGTTGGAGGCGGTGAGTTGGCACGTGAAAGTGAAGTTGAAGTGACGGAAATGTCGTCCGAAATGTGCTCACTTCCGGGAGTGCCGGGAGGTGGGATAGAAGCAATGCTGGGTTGTCTTGAGGGCAAGCGAGAGGCTGCAGTAGCGTTCGGTCGAATGGCGGTGGCAACAACCGGCGCAGGTGCAACCTGCGTTGTCGTGAGACGCAGAGTGCGAGGAGCAGTCACCTTTTTGGCCGAATCTGATGCGATGCTGGGACTCTGAGGGCGTGATGTAGTGATGTTGCCCCACGTGCGAGGGATGTTCTCAGACTTGACCGGTGTGGAAGTGACGGAAGTGGGTACTTCGCTTCCCTTGAGGACAGCGGCTGTTATGTCAATCTTTCCAGGATTCTTCTTCTTACTGACGGTCTCACCAGCAGCCGACTTCGCGGCAGCAGCCGCTTCGGCAGGCGTCAAGTCTTTGACGAGATCAACAGTGTTGGTTGCTGCCTTGTTCTTTTCGTCCTTCGAGGCGCCTGGTGGAGCTGGCTGTACTTCAGCAGCAGCGGCAGCAGCCTTAGCTTGAGCAGCTGCTTTTTCAAGCATTTCGGCGGCATTCTTTTGAGCAGTCGCTTCGGCGGCGGCGTAAGCAGCGGCAGCAGCCTTTTCGGCTTTCTCGAGTCTATCGGCTTCCTTCTTGGCTGCTTTGTCCGCTCTCTTAAGCTTCTTTGCTTCAGCCTTTTCAGCCTTGGTCTCCGCCTTTGTTTGAACCTCAACCTCAGCACCAGGAGTAGCGTCGTTACCTTCCGCATACTCGACATTAGCAAGATGAGACTCGGATCTTCCACGCTTTGTAGGCGTGGCGAACTCGTCGAGGATACCAGCAAAAGGTCTGGTCTCGTGTCTTAAAGGCGTAGGAGCGCGAGAAGGTGTTCCGGGAAGAACGGGCACTGCAGGTAAGATTTGGGAGTTGCCACGTCTGAGACTAGCTCTGGAACTAGATCTCGAGGTTGGAAGGGAACTGGTCGACTCGTCCTTGAGCGGGGGAAGGACTGGGGCTGTGAAGCCTGGGGGAATTGATGGGGTTGGGCGTCTCGAACCCTCTTCTTCGTCGTCAATATCAAGAGGCAATGACTGGCCGAGACCTTCCAGACCTGGCGGCACAGGTGGGGTCGATCGTCCAGGCTCGTCGAATAGGTCTGATGAAAGATGAGCGGCACCACCAAGAGATGAAATGTCTGAAATGTCTATACCTCCAGTCAGCACTGTCCTGAAAGTTTCGTTGTATATACGTCGACAAGTAGCAGTTGGTTTCGGCAGATGATAGACGAGCGCCGCAAGATAGAAAAGCTAGTATACATGATGTGAAATCACACAATAACGCCGGACGAAAGTAGAGAAATAGGTGCAAGACGGCAGACACTGACTTTGTTAATCTACCAATCTGCGACATCAAAGGTAAGAAGATACGTACAAGAAGGTGGCTAACGTTGCAGAGACGTGAGGGGCATAAGGAAACGAGAAAACTCCTGCCGTCCACATAGCCACAGCGGCAAAATGCATCGATGACAACTCCAAAGCTGACGAATAAGACCCGAAACGCCAAAGGTATGAGATTCAGAAAGTCTCTTTTGGCAAAGCCAATGCTGTGCTCGCTTTTCCACCCTAAATCAAGACGCCAGTAGCAAAGTCATGGGGAGTAAATGGACATGACGAGAAAAGGAAGGAAAAAAGCAAAAAAAGGAAGGAAAACAAAAAATCAAACAGGATCAAAGGAGGGGTGGTCGTCTACCATCTGCGGAAACCACCGGCGTCGGCGCTGCTGTACACATTATGCAACCCACCTTGTCCTTGACCAGTGAAAAGCCCCTGGTTTCCGATTTGGCCGGCTTGGTGCAATCTGGCCTGAAGAATGCTGGGGTCTGCTACATCAACTACACCACCTCCAGAGGAGGAAGTGTTAGCATGTTTGTGCTTCTTGCCCTTCTTTTTGGGCTTCTGAGCAGCGTCCTGAAAACCTTGAGGCTGGATGCCATAAGGAAGATTCAGAAGACCAGGGGCTGGGACTGGGGTAGAACTGGTGGGGTGCTGATGTAAGAAAGAAGGAAACAAGTACTCACGCTTTGCGGCATCCGAAAGTTGGGCACCACCGCCGAGATTGCGGTTTCGCAAAAGATCTCTCATCATTTCGTCGTTAGGGTTGCGTCCGGTCAAGTTGGCGCCATAACCGAGACCGCTTGTCGCAAACCCGTGGCCCTGGCCGAACATGCCACCTCCGCTGAAAGGAGGAGTGCCAGTGGTTTTGAGACCAGGAGGAGGGCCTTGAACATTGCTGTAGAATCCACCTGGAGGAGGTTGCTGGAAGGAAGACTGAGAAGGCATCATGGAAGATTGTTGGTTCATGAGTTTGGGGTTGGCCACTGGCTTGACGGCAGCTGAGGCCGAGGAGGAGTCGTTGGCGAACGTGTATCGTGAAACATTACGTGCGTGACCAGCCGGAGCAGCGGGTGGTGGCTGGAACGGAGGCTGAGTGGATGCAGCGGAGGGTGTCTTGAACTGCTGGAGAAGCAACTGCTGGCGTTGCTGGGCAGTCAGATTGGGAGCTGTAATGCTCAGATTCGACAGCTCGTTGGAAAGGAATCCTCCATCGATGACCGAGTTTGTGCGCGAAGGAGGCTCGATAGCGTGCTGGGGAGATTGACCACGGCCCATTGTGTCTTCCGGTTCACCACCGAGCTGCATGCTACCACCAAGCTCAGGACCGTTGTCATCCTCGACACTGTTGACAGTCTGTTGGGCAAGTTGAGCCTCTGCTTCCAGGCGTCGACGTTCTTCGTCTTCCTCCTCTTCACGAAGTCTCATTGCGCGTCTCTTGGCACCGCCGTGAGGATCAAACAACGAGGGGAAATTGTCAAAGTCCAGCGCGTGTTCTTCCATGGTCTTGCTAGAGAGAACGAATTTGAGGTCGAAAGACTGGAAAGCCTTGAACATGTGTGTAAAGGGATCTTCCACGGCTGGCTGCTTCTTCTTGACGGGAGCGACAGGAGCTGGAGGCGGGCTGGGAGTTGGAGGTTCTTCGGGCTCGACGGGCGATGGTTCGCGTTCGGGTTCGGGCTGAGGCTGGGGCTCAGGCTTGGGCTTTTCCTTGACTGTTTCCTTAGGCATCACGAGTGAGACAGAGCGGCTGCTAGCAGTACGGCTCATCTGAGGGGCCTTGGATGCCCAACTTGCGGTCGAAGGCAGAGCGGGACCATCATGTTCGACGCTAGGGCTCGGCGGGATGTATTGCGAGTCTTGTCGGCTGAGCGTGTGGGCGGCAGCAACAGGCTGTTGGCTTTGCGGCGGAGGTTGCGACGTGGGCTGCGACATAGCTTGCGGGTGCTGGGTTGAGGCGACGTTCATGGAAGACAAGTCCTGGCGTGTGAAGCTGTCATTCTCCTCACCGGGCTCGTGCAAGAACATGCAGTTGCGGTTGGTGCATTGCTCGTTGCGAAGGTAGGCCGAGCAGTATTTTGTCGTACCGAATTGAGCTCTCAATACACGGTTTGCGTTTTGCGAGCCGTCGACAGCAGCGATACAAGAAGCGGCGTCTTGCTTGCGGGCGTATGTGACGTAGACGCCGACAGACTGCGGGTTGATATTGTCCTTTGCCTTGCTAACGACTATCTTGACAATCTTGCCGTATTGACCAAAGTACTGGTCGCCGCGCAGCGTCTCGAGCAGACGGTCTTCTTGCACGCTCGGGCTCAAACCAGTCACATAAACCAGGTTCTTTTGCACGACGCGCAGGCCGGCGAGATGCTTGCGGGAGAGGGTGTCGGCCTCGCGCTTCTGAGCTTCCTTTTGGGCGGCGGCGGACTGCTTCTTTTGTTTGGCAGCCTGTTTGGCTCTCCATAAGGCTTCCCTGTGATGCATGTCAGTCGTGGTCGGAGGTGTCGATGGACGGGGATATGTACTCTTCAGGGCCAGGCTTGCGGAACTCTATGTTTGCATCGTCGTATGGGCGTCGACATGCAGGACATAGTCCGTTCATGTTGTTGCGGACATTGTGGTAGCAGAACTGGCAAATCTGTAGGAGCTGGTTAGCTAGACGGCGCAAGGAGCTGTGTCAGTGTCAGCGCATAGCATACCTGGTAGCCACAGACGCATGGTCGAAAGCCGCGATCTGATAAATCAAACTCTTCGACACAGAGAGGGCACGTCTCTTCTTCATCGTCGTCGATGAACTGATCTTGCTGTGTCCGCGACATGGTGTGTGCCACTGCGAGTGCGGAAGTGGTGGTGGAGGATGAGGGCGGAGGGAGAAAACTGCGCGCAGATGCGGATGAGGAATTGCAGGTGCTTTTGCTTAACGAAAAGAAAGGACAGGCAAGTTCCTGGGGGTTGGAAAGTGATGGATGCAATTGTGGTAGTGTAACAGCGCGGCCGCGGGAAAGAGCAACTGCTCTGCCAGAACTGAGAAGGGAGACTGTGCCAAGACCCGCGCCTGTTGTTTCTGATTGGCCGAGCTTTGGACGTCTTGGAGTGGTCATCATCATTCCTTCCTGCTTTGTATCACGGGCAATTGTCAATTATACCACACATCGACACAATGGCCCTACGACAAACCGCCTCTCGCTCTTTGCGCATTGCCTCGCGCAATGTCGCCCCCTCGACCAGAGCCTTCTCAGTCTCGGCCCTCCGCGCGAAGGAGCTCGCCGCCGATGTTTCCGACTTGCCCAACATGAGAGTACGACCAGCTGCACATGCAATTGCCACACGGACATGATCGAGTATTGATTTCTGTATCAGCACGCCCAAAGAAGCGCTCAGGGCCGTCTCCATGTTCCCATTGTCAACCCGGCCGACAAGTTCCAAGAAAAGGCCGACAGCTTGCACCAGTATGGCCAGTACTTGATGTCTTGCATGCCCAAGTACATCCAGCAGTGCGTATACTCTTTCTCTACTACCAACTCAACAGCATTGACACGCTCCATGCAGGTTCTCGGTCTGGAAAGATGAGCTTGTCATCTACATCGCCCCCAACGCCGTCCTCCCCGTCTTCAACTTCCTCAAGTACCACACCGCCGCCGAGTTCACCCAGATCAGCGACATCACCGCTGTCGACTACCCTACCCGCGACCAGCGTTTCGAGGTCGTTTACAACATGCTTTCCGTCCGCCACAACGCCCGTATCCGCGTCAAGACCTACGCCGATGAGGCCACTCCCGTCCCTTCGCTCTGCGGTCTGTACGACGGCGCAAACTGGTACGAGCGTGAGGTCTACGACTTGTTCGGTGTCTTCTTCGTTGGACACCCCGATCTTCGTCGCATCATGACCGACTACGGTTTCGACGGTCACCCGCTCCGCAAGGACTTCCCCCTTACTGGATACACCGAGATTCGTTACGACGAGGAGCAGAAGCGCATTGTTGTTGAGCCCCTTGAGTTGACCCAGGCCTTCAGAAACTTTGAGGGTGGTAGCTCTGCTTGGGAGCAGGTCGGCCCTGGTCACGACAGAAGACCCGAGAGCGTAAGTTTAGCTCTATCCGAATGCTGCCAGCTTCATTTACTAATCCATGTCTACAGTTCAAGCTCCCTACACCAAAGCCCGAGCCCAAAGCTGAGGAGAAGAAGTAATCGATTCACTCTAGACTCCCTGGTGGTGTATCATAGTGTAATCAGCCCACGTCAAATTTCAATACCGACTTTTCTTTTTTGTTCATACCTAAGTTTTCAGAACAACATGTTTTCAACACTTAATTGTGCAAAGCGTTTCTAGGAGCTCCTCACTGCGATTTGCTTGAAAGGCCCAGGTTCGACGCACGGTCCACTGGTTTGCGCATCCACACCTTCCTATCACAGACACCTATCCTCAGGCTGCCACATCTCGTCGAAATTTGATTAAATGTTGAATTAGGAATACTGATCAACCAATAGCAGCTTATCGATAATCCGTGGCTTCTGAGGGATTCATCATGAGTCACTGCAAACACTTGAAATCCTCTTCGCCTGACCATGGTAAGTACATTAAAACCTCGAGCACATATCAGTAAGAGAGCATACACGACAGTGAAAACTTCTTCTCAGAAGCACCAATATTCATCAGTGAAGACGTCGAAGCTCTCGACCATATCATCCAAACTCGCGACAATCTTCGTACAATCATCAAGCAAACACATTCGTCAACGCAAGCAGCACCAGCAACCAGCTCTACCAAGCAATCCACACTCTCAAACACACATCTTGCGCACGCAGCTCTCCAATCAGCAAACATGACAGACCCAAACTTCCTCATCACAACCCCTCGCCTCACCATCTCTTACCTCGACCCATCAAATCCTTCCCACTGCCAATTCATGGTCAACCTCTGGAACACACCCGAATTCATCACCATGCTCGGCGGCAAACCAACCTCCATAACCACACCCCCTGCCGCAAAATCACTCATCGAAAACCGCTTCATCGCCGATCATAGAAGAAATGGATATGGCATTTATCTGGTTTCCCTTCTCGACAATGGTCAGCCTGGTCCTCCTATCGGTACTGTTTCACTCATGCGTGGTGAGAATTCTTCACTGCTGGCGCCGGATATTGGGTTTGCTATGCTATCTGAATATATGAGGAAGGGCTATGCTGTTGAAGCTGGAACGGCACTGATTGACTATGTTGGCAAGGAACAAGGTGTCACTGCTATCTTTGGTTTCTGTAATGGGAAGAATGAGGCTAGTATGGCTACATTGAGGAGACTGGGATTGAAATGGGAGGGTTTGAGAGTGGTCAAAGATTTTGGAGATGATGAGACGGCGTGTTGGAGTTGGGGTATGGAGGATGTGAGGGAGTATGGACTGTGAGGTTGATTGTGAGACGTTTGTCATCTGTTTGGATCAATACTCGATTACTGAACCACGTAGCAATACACAAAATCTGATTTCGATTTATGTCCTTATAGCTACAAAGGCGTTGAGATCCCAAGCCAGCAAGAAGAAGGATATGGTAAACAGCTTCTTCCTTGTCCTGATATATGGGAGGTGTATAAAAAAAAACACCAACAAGAAACCACAAACCCAATCACCTCACCAATCCATCACAAATTCCCGAAAACATAAACTCCCAATTCCAACTCCACCAACAAATTCAGAACCACCGTGGACATGTCAACACAACCCGCCAGCCAAACCTACCTCATTACTTTCTCCGACACCCTTCTAGCTTACACCTCTGATTATCCACCTCTACCCCCTCCCCCACATCCACATAACATGGAAGTCACGATGAGAAGGTTCTCGTGATGGGGAAGCAATATCAAACATGCAGAACTCAATACGATATTGAAATAGGCTTCCTAGCATATGATCAATAGCTTGCAACAGATCCTCCGAAACAGCTATACTCGGCGACTCCAAAGAACAGTACTATCACCATTCAGGCTTAGTATCATCAAACGACTGAAAAGTCCCAGAAGTGTCTTCCTTTGTCGCGCTATCAATCTAAAATGACACATCAGCCATAATCCATTCGTTGCAAGCAAGGAGGAACAACTCACCTTCTCAATCATAGCTTCAACACTCTGCTCCAACGAAACAGGCGCCCTTTCCATTCCCACCACTTCAGCACCATGATTTCCCATCTCAGTCCTCACCCAACCGGGGCTCAAAACCCAGCTGCACACGCCCAAGTTCTCGAAATGTATCTTCCTCACGATGTAGTTTAGAGCTGCTTTGCTTGCGCCATAGGCAGTAACGGGCATCAAGGGCATGTGTTCCATGTCGTTCAAACTCGCAGCGCCTGAACTCATGGCCACGAATCTTGGGTGTGCGGATTGGAGAAGAAGAGGCAAGAAGGCTTGGAAAAGGGCTAGAGGGCCGATGGTGTTGACTTCGAAGTGTGTGCGGAGGGCTTCTAGGGGCGTCTCGGCTGCGGTGCCGTAGTAGTCGCTCATGCCACTATTTGCGATGACTGCATCAACGTGATTGTAGCCGTGGATTCGAGAGATGACTTCAACGGCTTGTTTGGCGTGTAGGGGGACTGTGGCGTCAATTTCAAGGGGCGCTACGTAGCTGTCTTGACCCACAGGGAGTGAGGTGAGAATCTCAGTCGTTTCCGGGGTGAAAGTACGGATGCAGGCGAAAACGACTGTGTTAGGACGGAGTGCGAGGGTCGTGGTTAGGGCGAGTCCCAGACCTCGATTTGCACCGGTGATTACATAGACAGTTTGGCCCGGCTTGCGACGAGGATTGTATGGAGGCCAAGTCGTCTCGTCATTGACTTCTCCAATGACTGGGGATATGTCAGATGTAGGGGGTGCAGAGTAAGGTGTAAATGCCATCTTGCTCTTTTTTTCGTGTGATGTTTGGAAGAGTAGAAAATTTGAAGGACCACTGCCGCACGACGAAGTCACCTACTCTTTATTACTCGTTATAGCTGCTCATATGACCGACACCCATCTTCCTTACCTTGCAGATCCGTTGAGCTGACCGCGTTTAAGAGCAAGGCATCATGACGAATCGTTGCAGCATTAGGGACGCTGTCAGCTGCGACGAGAACGAAGTGCATTACGGGCATAATTTGTGAATGGCCAATTCACGAAGTGCACTGCGGGATCTTTCACGAACAAAACACACGTACACCTGGAAGTAAGGATGGAAGAAAGCAATTGAATTAAGCATCTGAAGCTGATGAGCATGGTAGAAGTCCGGCTAGCTTGTTGCATAACTTATGCACAATAGACCTCCGTGTGCTGTGACTTGTGCCACTTCAACATTGTCTTTACTCGAGTTCGCGATTTCAACGACTTCGTTCTCCAGCTCAAATCCCAATAACTCTCTTTCCTCAAATACGCTTACTTGCAGCTGCTGGAGCCAGAAACAAAAGTACCATCAGAGTTCTCACATCCACAAACACCAGTCTGAGGATCCTTAATACACCCAGCACCCTCACCACTGCTCTCGCCGTTGTCATTCCAGAAGAAAGTCCAGTAATCAGAATCAGAGCTCAACTGCGAGTCGGTGGGTGCAGTGCAAGTGTAAGCCTCGCAAGTGCCGTAAGGAGCACCATGGTTGGCGTCGTATTGGTGGTCGACCTTGAAGATGGCGAAAGTCTGGGTCTTTGAGGTTCTCGTGTTGTGACTGCACTCGGCAGCTTGGATGGCCTTGCTGGTCTTTGCGGGACTGCAGGAGGGAGATTTGGGGTATTTGCCTTTGGTGTTGGAGGTGGCGGGGGAGAGGGTGGCGGTTGCGAGGCCGAGGGTCAAGGCGATGGCGAGGATGTTGGCGGTGATCTTCATATTTGCTGGTTTGGATTGAATCAAAAGTTCATAGAATTGAATAATGAGTGACTTGAAGAGAAAAAGCGAGACCTGCTTGCTTGTTATGCTTATGTGGTGATGAGATGGTAGGAGGGAAAGGCAAGTGGCAGCTACTTGAACCTTTATAGGCACGCGTGTGTAGTATGTAATCTCTTTTCGAATATACCTACTTTTGTTTCGCATTATGAGGGCTTCGAGGGCATGATCGACTTGACATGTCGGCCGTGTCGTATATAGAGAGGCTGCGACATTAGGCGTGTATCAGCCTGGTGGTCCGGCCTTTACAACCCTTGTGAACGCGTCAACGCTACTCTTCCACGCATGAACAAACACCTCGAACCCGCATGTTGCCTCAGTCATGGTGTTTGACAGTCTGCCCTAAGCAAATACGTCTGGTGATTGTTGATGTTGCAGAGACTGGAGAGGGCGTCCTTGCTAGGATCTTGACGCGTCTCCGCGCGATCGGTCAAAATTCTAAGTCCCCGAAATTTGGCCTGTGACCCTGTCACTAATTCCATCAACCCCGAAATCGATCATGAATGCAGCCTGCTTCAAAGGAAAAGCATGAAGCCTTGCATAGTGTAGTTTGATTGACGCTTACAAATGCTTGTATGTCCCGGAGAAGTGTGACATTGAGCAAGAACAATGTCAGCCATTTCTGTGTTTCGGCTCAGTCCATTTCTTGAAAATGCCCAAGGTTGCACGCTTTGAACAGCAGCAATGGTCAACTTTCCAATTCACGTTATATGTTTGAGGTCTCCAGAATGAAGAACTCATACCTCATTGATCGACCGTACAATCCACCATGCTATGCTTGAGACTGCTTCTGCCAAACGTATTGATCATGGTAACTCCCCCCAACGGAGCAGACACGAGTTCAATCCTGGCAACACATCATTTGGACCTTTTGGGTCGACTTGACCTCAGGAGAGTAGGCACCACTCAGGAGCCTGTTGGTGGCAGGGCGACTGGCGGGAGACGCAAAAGTTAAGAAAAAAAAAAAACATTGCCAATATGCCTCATCGGCATGGTGCTACTGGTGGGGCAAAAGGCAGAGTCATCTGATATAGAACTGTCTTCCTGCCTTCCCCACCGGTCAGGAAGGCTGTAGATCGATGTCAGAAGGATATGATGCAGTCAGTGAACACACACAACGGATTTCGCTGTCTTTTGTGCAACATGCGCATCGGTGAAACATGTGGGCATATGAATCTTGTGTCACACAGTTGCCTTGTGAGCAAGAGGGGAAGATGCACACTTTTGTATGTATTGTAGTACGAATCGAGCCTTATCGGCTGTCGCAAACATATGGGCCTCTTGTTTCACAGCGTGCGATGACTGGACCGGTGAGCGATATGAAGCTGCATGTTTGTGCTGTATATCGCGACTGTATCGTGCCAAGTGATGGTCGTAAGTATTGGGACCGGTGCCGACCAGGTACGCTTCTAGCAAAGAAGCAAGAGTTCTGTATATTCAATTGGAATACAGGCCAACCTTGACGCCATTGTCTGAGCTCAGGATGACACCCGCAAGGTTCTCCACGAACGGACTGGGGTCGCGACATTCGATGCGACGGAAGTGTTGTATGAGTCGTACAGTGAGATAGTACACTTCCGTAATAGCAAATTGTTCTGTAGTAGGTAAGTCAACGATCTGTGACGTTCCTAAATGTACTTACGCCCTATGCAGATACGCGGGCCGCCTCCGAACGGAGTATATGCCTGTGCATGACTTAGTCAGCCGATCCAAAAACACGCAGTGGAAAATATGCGTACCCAGCCTGGACGGAGATCCTCCCATCTTTCTGGTCTGAAATCCTCCACGTCGTCCCCGAAAACGTCCTTGCGGCGGTTTGCACAGTAGATGTTGACCACTAAGGCTGCACCTTTGGGGACGAACAGTGGTGATTTGCCGTCCTCGCCACCACCCACGGGCAATACAGTATCCTTGTTCGAAATGCGTGGTGGCAGAATCGGCGTTACTGGGTAAAGTCTCATGGCTTGATACACATATCAGTCAACGAACACCTGATTTAGAGACAAGAGTAACACACCTTCATGCTCACAGTATCTCAGATACTTGGCGTTCTTGATCCATTGGTAGCTCGGTGGTACGCCTTCTAGCTGATCGATCTCTGCCACAAGCTTCTGCCACGCAGCAGGATTTCTGGCCAGCAAGAACCACATGCTGCCTAATAGACCGGCAGTGGTGTCTTTTCCTGCAAACATCAAAGACGTAGCCTCCTCTCTCATCTTCTTTGGGTCTTGAGTCTGACGTGCCATCTCGTCGAGGAAGGAGTATCCGGACTCTTTGTCATCCGTTGCAGTGAAACTCTTCTCGGCTTTCGCGGCTCGCTCCAAAGTTTCCTGCACATACTTGTTGGTCGCATCATGCACATTGCGAATTGCCTCATCGACTCCTTTGCGCTTGAGCAAGCGATACAACAATGAGTAGCGAAAACGGTCGGCAGCATCCTGAATAGTTAGCTCAATGTCGTGGCCCAACTGGGCTTTGGCCTCTGTCTGTTCTCCTAGCGAGCCGATCGATTCTCCGAATAGAAACTCGGAAGACACATCAAAGGCATAACGATGGAAGAGTTTATCCAGGTCTACGGTTGCGCCATCCTCGGGTATTAACTTCAAGAATTTCTGGAAATGTTTTTCGAAGAGGTCCAGGTCTGTGATACGGTCTTTGGCGAACATTGGACGTAGAATACCACGAGAGTGTGACCACTCAGCACCATCGGTCATGAATGTCGCACGTCCGAGCAGATGCTTGAAAGATTGGCGACCACCTCCAGCAGACCAATCATCGAATTTCTGGCTGAATGCAGTCTTAAGATTCTCCGCCTCGGTCGTGTGAACAGCGTGTCCTTCGATAGTTCTTACCACAAACGTAGGTCCGTATGTTTGGTATTGTTCGAAGAACCAATGCAGAAGAAGCTTTTTTCTGGCTGCGCCGAGCACCGACAGAATCATGTTCAACCCAATGAAGGGCTCTCTGATGGGATAGAGACTGCGAGGGGGAAGGCATTTGTTGATCCGCTCGAATTCTTGCCGCGATTGACGAAGCTTCCACCGGCCGAAAGAGGCATAGATGAGACTCCCGACAAGCAGTGTACCTATTGCGACCGCAGTGAACGGATGCGAAGTATTGGAGAACACCATCTCGTTGCTGCTATAACAGGTATGGTTTGTAGTAGGAAAGAAGCACTGGGTGAGACGCGCCAGGTAAGAGAAAACGATTGCACAAGACGGAAGGATCAAGGGAGCTTCTGCAGCTTACTCTTTGAGCTAATCTAGCCAATAATCAGCTGCAAGCTGAACCTGCATGATCAGGTGCTGAGAAACTGCGACATCTTCTGGTCAGGACATAAAAATAGAGCACGGCTATCATCATTTCTTCAACCGTGTATCTCCTCAACTTTTCGAGAGGGTTGATGTTGCAAAGAACGAATTAGGATGTTGCGCCAGAATGAATGAAAAGTGCCGAAGGGCGATTTCGTACGAGACCGGTCAGCGGCCGTGTGATTGGCTGCTGGGCCGAAGCTGCTCCAGGTGGGGCAGTAGCGGGACTGGAGCAGCCCCACAATCACCGTCATGATCACTTTGAGCAACAACGACCGTCGGCCATGTGGACGGCTAGTATAAGAAAGAGAAGCCCTCGTCTTTGAGGTCACTGAATGAAACCTCGACATCTCAAGTTACACAACCATCAACCATGAAGGACCTTACAACAGAGAACATCACCGAAAACGTTCACGCCATCAACAGCCAATGTCAAAATCCCCGGACCAGATACATCTTCGAACGTCTGGTATCTCATCTCCATGATTTTGCAAGAGAGACACGACTGTCGACCGATGAATGGATGACTGGACTGGACTTCTTGACGGACGTTGGCACAATCAGCACTGATCTGAGGAGAGAAATGATTCTACTATCAGACACACTTGGACTGAGTGCTCTGGTAGATTCAATTGACCACCCTCGCACCGGAAAATCAACCGAGGGAACAGTGCTTGGTCCGTTCCACACGCATGATGCAAAGGAAGTTGAAAATGGCTACGCTATACACAAAGACCCTGACGGAACGCCACTCCTGGTTCTCTGCACTGTCAAAGATACCGAAGGCAATCCGCTTGGGGGTGTGCAGATTGATGTGTGGGAAGGCGATTCGCATGGAAACTACGATGTCCAGTATCCGGAACGAGACGGACCGGACGGTAGGGGCATCTTGTTCTCAGAACAGGACGGAACTTTCTGGTTCAAGGCTGTGAAGCCTGTGTCGTATCCTATCCCCATGGATGGGCCTGTGTTCAATATGCTTCAGATGTTGGGCAGACATCCAAATCGTCCTGGTCATGTTCACTTCCTATTGAGGAAGGACTCTTTTGACCCCTTGATCACGTAAGTCTTGAGCTACTCCACAACAAAGATCGCTTTTCTGACAGCATCGCAGTGCTTTGTATCCTCGCGGTGATCCGTATGAATCTTCTGACCCTGTATTCGGCGTCAAGGAATCTCTAATTGTGGATCTCTCGGAGGTGACTGATCCGGAGATGGCGAAGAAGTACGACGTCAAGGAGGGAACATCACTTCTGACTTACGACTTCGTATTGGTCTCGACAAGGGAAACACTCAAGCTTCGTAAAGAGAAGGCCGAAGAGGCCATAAAGAAAATGGGAAGAAGCATGGAGGATTTCCAAGGCTTACCCATCCTAGATGTCGACTGATCTCGGGCAGACTGTACAACAAATTAGTATCCCGTCAATTAGCCTGTCTGACCTCAATCGAGAAGGCGAATGCAATCCTATCTGCACGTCGCTGATTCTCTGCACTGATCCAGGCTGGATGCCAATACCTTTGAGCTCGTACCCTGTAACTTGTTGATCACGACGTCTGGAAGAAGAGCCGGATGGCTAGTCTTGAACTGTAAGTTCGATGCAGGGCCACGAGCTCCGGATCATCCAGTCGAAAGCCGCTCTTGAACTGCACCCCGCACTCTTACCCGCTGCAGTACCGAGAGAAATATAACTCCGATGCGATGGTTTTGTGTACCTGTCCAACCAAAAGACTCACTGCTCGGGGACTCGGGTAAGCCTGCGAGATGGCACCCGTCGTCGCGGACAGACAAATCGCTGCCGTGGTGTAGGACAACATAGTCGAGTACGATGAGAATTTGAGCGGGAGACTGTGGGGGATCGCATACCGCGCCAAGGTGCGGTGGCCTGATAGTGCTGACGCAGTCGACAAGGAGATCCAAGGGTCGTCGTTCGAGCAATGTTGGGCATGAGGTTATTGCTGGTAGGGTATCCCTTCTCATACAGGAGGCGGACCAATGGCGGCCGCCGGAATGTCGAGCGGAGCGAAGTATAAGAACGGTTTGCACCACCTTCTATGGTTTTGTGAGTCGGTTAGCGCCGAGGGAAGTGGCTGATCGAGGGCACGAGACCCCCGCCCTGAGAGCAGTTGCGCCGCCTCCGCATTTCCATCACGTCTGACGCCTGCCTTTAGTAGTCGTTCGAGCCTGCGCGTGCCTACATATCTCCTCTTCGTCTTCCATTCTTCACGACTCAATCGTCCATCGTGATCAGATAGACTAATTCCTAAACTCTCAAAGCATCTTCCACCCGTCGAACAAGTTTGTTATTCACGCCCTCGGCTGGTTGCGAACTGATCGGCGTTCTGCATCCTCCGAAGCCTCCCCCCCACAAAGGGGCCCGAGCAATCCAGAACATCTGTTCTCATTTCGCCCTACAAAAGCGGAGTCGCCTTGCAGTTCTCTCTCACGAGTCTTCGCAAGTCAAGTTACGTCGCAAGTTGACCTCCAAATTCGAAATCTGGGGATCCGGAGACTGCTGTTTGCTGTTTCGACACCCACGTGGCGCGCGTTTCTCCACAACATCGACAAATGAATTTTGGAGCGTCTTTCTTTGTCCAGGATCGATACCATCAAGACAGTTCGTTGTCACCCGGAAAAAGGACCATGAGACTGTGACCAAGGCGTTTGATCGAACCTGTGAGCCAATATCCTCGAGTCTGAAGCCTGAAATTTCGCGCTGGATCATTGCGACCGTCTGGTGGCTGCTGACTGACAAGCGCCAGGTATTTGACGGAATCCGCAAGACCGGCTGTTAATGTTGCAAATATTTCTCCTTGTTTCACTTTGTCCTGCTTGAAAACAAAGCTCTCGCGATAGGTAAGACCATCTCAGATCTATTCAGGATTGTATGCTCGACGAAGCAACGGAGATTGACTTGACATAGACTGAATTTATAGATAAAAGGAAAGGGACCCGGATACAGGTATTACAAGCGATTGTTAGGTGAGTCTGATTTTCTTCATCAATTTCTCCGCCCAGGGAGACAAGTTCTGAGGTGAAGGCAGCCTGTGTGTCGTCTTCGCCTGAAAGACTACATCCCCTGTTTGGCGCTTGAAGCTAGTAGCCAGCCTGATGGTACACAGTAGCAATGTGATGGCGCTAGATCCATCTTCTCTATAATCGTTGACGCCTCGCACTGACACGAATGTGCAGAACATCTTGAGGACCTCTTCACTTAATTCCTGCTCATTTGGCCGACTTTGAGGCCCACATACCCGTCATCCGACACTTTATATCCAGTTCGTCATTCTCACAATTTCTCGAACAACGCAAACCACTGAGGGTTACCACCGACACTTTACCTGTGAGTTGTCCTGTTGTTCACATGCTGTCAGGTTCACTTTTGAAAATCAAGCTCTTGCCTATTTCGGCGAGCTCGACGTCGAATTTGCACCTACCACGACAATACATAGAGCATTATGGAACACGAGGTCATTCAGATGGCAGCTGACATTCGAGGATTAGGCAACGACGTCGATTCGGGACGACATCATTGTTCCCCCAACCAATTGAAGAGCGGACACATTGAGAGATTTGCCATCTTTCGAGCGAACCACTTCTCAGTGCAACCTCGCACAACGTGGACCGAGCTTGCTTGACAGTTCTGAATCTCTTGATTCAAGTTTTAGGACGCCGCCGTGGTCAATTGACATATCCTTTGTCCTACACAAGTCACTCCACGCAGACTATAACGTCCTCACCAGTCGCGGATTTCTGCTTTACCGCTTCACTCGAATATCCCGATTGCTACTGCTCCACCTGAATAGGTCAACATCTACTGCTAGACGCTGACATAGCCGAAATTACTTCGCGTCACGAAAGTACTCAGCGGTTAAGATTCGATATTACTGCTTCACGCGGACACAGCCGAAAGTACTCTGCTACGCGATTCGACCACTACTACTTCACACAGACATAGGCGAAAGAACACTTCGCTTCACGTTTCGACTCGTCAACCACTTTACGTGGACATAGCCGAAAGTACTTCGCTTTGTTGATTCGACTTCTACCACCTCATGCGGACACAGCCAAAAGTACTTTGCTCCAAGAATCATTGCCTACTGCTTCGCGCGGACATAGCCGAAAGTACTTTGCTTTGTTGATTCGACTCCTACAACCTCACGCGGACACAGCCAAAAGTACTTCGCTCCAAGAATCAACTCCTACTGCTTCGCGCGGACATAGCCGAAAGTACTTCGCTTTACGATTTGACTCCCAATTCACGCGGACANCAGCCAGTACCGTCAATCGCTCAGGCTTCGGGCCCACAGTCATCCGAGGCGAGAAGATCAAGTTTGGCCGTTCGACTCCAGATTCTGAGGCATTGGCATCGTCAGAAGACGAGCCTGAACTCTCTCACTCGGCTTCATCGGTCACAGTACGTCCTTCCGCCGCCGCAGGCATCCGAAGATCTTCGTTCCTCAGCGAGATCAAGTCTGGAGATCTAAGAAAGGCATCCATCTCTGGAGCCACTATGCCCTCGAATGGATCTCAACCCTCAACACCTTCAGCCGAACACAACCCATGGACCTTCGGATCTGCACTCGGCCGTGTTCCATCAAACGGCTCCAACGGAGGTGCCTGGGCTACGCCCAACTCTATCTGGGGCGCAGATCGTAGAGAGATGCCTCTAAGAATCAACGAAGGCTCCTCTCCTGCCTTTGCGCCTCAACCAAGTCCGGGCATCGTCGATCAACCCGAATCGTTTCCCTTCAACAATATGCCTTTGCAACCGATCATGAAGACACACCGGTCCCAGTCTTACTCGGTCGGTCAGCTCGAAACCGAACTCGGCTTGCAAAGTCCTGGTGCCGTGGGTACCCCTTCAAGAGCCCGACCCAGTGCAACAGGACCCCAGTACCGCCCGATGCGCCCAAGCGCACTTGGAGAGACAGTCTACACCGAAGGCAGACCTCTGGGACAGCTGAGTGAAGTTGAAGATGATGAAGGCCCTGACCAGGGTGTGCTTCTCGCTGGTCCGAGAAGCCGTCAAGAACAGGTGTCGGACCTTAGCAACTCTCTTCTTCGTCAGGCCACACATGAGAGCGCACGCGCAAAGCATGGATCTGCCACACTCGGTGCTTCGGCCGCAGAAGATGTGCGTCGTAACATCAGAAACCCTGCATCTCCCGACAACTTCGCTCAATCTGGTGCTGATTCCGCAATCGATGACGATGACTTTGAGCAACTCTACTCAGGAAGGCCCAGCAACGGACTCACTCAGTCCATGCTTCAGGATGCATCTCATCGTGGTATGTGGTCTACTTCTCTTGGCTTCGGCATGGATGAGATCAATCAGAGCAGAAGACATTCGCTAGCAGATATCCCAACTCGTCGCGGTTCGCTCGTCGGTGGACTGTCTGGCTCGGGTCAAGGCTACAGCAGCGTTGCTTCAGCATTCGCCAATATGCCGCACGGCTCAGAAAATGGAAGCAATGGCAGTGCCCTCTCGGAGTATCACCAGACTTCTCACGAGCTGGAGAACAACATGACCGAGTCAGACATGCAGCACAGAGAATATGCCCACAACTACTTCTCGGGTCTGACCACTGCCCACAGAAATCATGCCGAATCATCAGGGCTCATGATGAATAACAGTCATCAAAGCCCTTACTCTTCCGCTGGTGGCGCAGGCAACGTCTTTGGTCGCCAAGGATGGAGTGCTCCGCTGTACATTGTCACCTTTAAGTGTTCTAGATCTGGCATCTTCTATATCCACGAAGGTACCGGTCTTGACGTCAAGGAGGGCGACCTGGTCATCGTCGAAGCAGACCGCGGTCAGGATCTGGGAACTGTTACTCACGCCAAGATTGACTGGCCCAGAGCAAAGGAAACACTTGAGAAGACAGGAGAAGACCACTACAAATGGCTCATGATGTTCAGCCGCCATAATCTTGCCTTGACCGACTCCGAAACGCGTGGTCTTATGGCCTCTAATGGTGCCGACCGCGGTAGCATGCACAGAGACAGACCTCTCGATGAGTACCCACCCGGCATGGGCGGTCCTCCGGAAATGCCCACAGAGCCTACGAAGCCAAAGATGATCAAGCGTCTCGCTCAACCCCACGAGATTGCCAACCTTCGCGAGAAGGAAGGAAACGAAGCCAAGGCAAAGAGAATTGCGCAGCAGAAGGCAAACGAGCACAATCTCAAGATGGAGATTCTGGACGCCGAGTTCCAACTGTAAGTTCATGTTGTTCCTTTTCATGAAATACCTGCTAACGTTTCTAGGGATTGGAAAAAGCTCACCTTCTACTTCTACTCAACCGAGTACATCAACTTCAACCTCCTTGTTGGCGACTTGTTCAAGATCTACAAGACACGTATCTGGCTCTCGGCCATCAATCCTGCCGCCTTCCGCTCAAGACCCAACCAGCCACCTAGCTCCATTGGACCAGGTGCCATCCAGCCCGGCGCTTCGCCGAGAACGATGAACCCTACTGCTTCATCCTTCTTTGTCCCCCGTGATGGAGGCGGCCCGAACTATGCCAGTGAAGCCACTGGCAGAACCCCCCAGTCATACTATGAGCCGCCTGTGAGCCAGTCCCAGATGCAAGGACAGCTTGGATCGCGTGGCGGACTCGGTAGACAACAGTACTATGGCTCGAGTGGCTTCGCCGGTACCACTGAACAGAACTGGTACATGCCAACCAGCTCCTACGGACAGCAGGCGTTCGATGCCCCATACGGAAACGCCCCTTCGCCCTCGCACGAACTGGCATTCAGACCTGCTCCAGGCCTGGGACAGAGTCTGTTGAGAAACGGCAGCCGTCAAGCTCGCCCCGGCGACTTTAGCCACATGCGCTAGAAAGTCTTGATCGATGGCCCTTATATGGGTTGCTTCTATGCAAAATCTCCACTCTGAAGCTTATCTTCAATGATTCAAACTCGAGAGAAATCCTCAATCTTCCAAGCTTGCAAGACACAAATTTTTGCAACGTCCAGATGGACAAATACGAATGACGAAAAGGAAATATAAGAAAAGAGAAAAAAAAACTACAAAAACAAGGCATCGGGGTTTACAAGGAATATGGGACATGGGACATGGGAACAGATCAGTAGAGCGAGGCTTACAACAGCAAGAAACCAATGGCGGCAGATGGATCTTCGATTTTCTTTCACGAGGACTTTTTCCTTTGACCTATACTTCTTATGATATTTCCAAGATGGCGAGGGATTTACTACGGACAGCAGACGTGGGAAGAAGGGCAGTATATCGTGTATCATTAGTTAGGTAGCGGCAATCGTTTGAGAACGAGAGATGCAGATATTGCTCAATGAAGACTTGCTGGTTTTGACGAATGTTGGGTCCCTCGCACCTTCCACATGACAGCGAATACTGATTTTGCAGCTTCTTCCTTGGAGCTTCTACGCAAGTGAAACTGCGCAGGACGCATATCTCCCTCTTCAAACCACTTCAAAAGGACAATCAACAATCTACAAAGCACACAATGACAAAAGGCAAACGCAAGGCCGGAGGTATGCTATCTTCGCATCCGATGACACAACCACTGACGTTCCACTTTAGCGTCGCAATCTCCAGACAGCAGATCATCAAAGCGCAGAGCAGATGCAGATGACATGGACGAACAAAACGCATGGGAAGAGGAGGAAGATCAGGGACGCGTTGAGAGCCAGTGAGTCGAGCCTTGATCAGATGACGGGCTCTTTGCTTAACTCGAACAGAAGCATGCTGGCTGCCATCAATCGCTTGCAGCACAAAGATGATGGCTGGATTGATAAGATGCGCGCTGAAGTCGACAGCGATGAGCAAGCGCTCAATGAGTTGCTGGATGACAAGGAGCGTGAACTGTCAGTCTCTCTCTCAACACTCCGCTTTGTCGACCGAGCTGACATACAAGCAGGGCAGATCTCGACTCCCAGTTTCACAACGACATACGCGCCTTACTCACCGATGTCCTCGGCGGACCTGCACCCAAGGCCAAGAATGGCGCATCCGCCCAAGACGCCTCCAATCTCCGACCTGCCCACGAACACGCTCAGCTTCTATTCACCAAGTCCGACGACTTGATCAAGAACTACAAGAAAGTCGCCGAAGTCATCCAGATAGCCGAGAGAGAGCTCACCACCGACCACATACAAGCTTTCGACAAAGACAAGGATGATGTCGGCGAACTTCTACATGTCGGCCAAGAGCTCGCTCGTCGCCAGGTGGAGGACATTCTGAAGCGACGCGATGGAGATGATACGCCTCAGCGCAAAAAGATGAAAGCTCTCTTTACCGACGAAAAGTTGGACGAAGCTGCTGCCCTGTTCAAGGTTCTCCGTGATGAGCGCAAGGAAGAAGATGAGGATGAAGAAATTGAACAACTTGTCAAAATTGACATGACCGAAGGAGACGGCCTGTTTCCGATCATTCATCAAACAAAGAAAGGCGTCAAGAAGTTGGCAAGCCACCTGTTTGCTGAAGACGTTTGATGTGTCTTCTGCATCTAGTCACTGCCGCCCCCTTGCCAAACATACTTCCTGTCTCACACCAAGTCGCTACACGAAATACACATCGCCTTGCTTACGTTGTATCATTCCGGCTCGAGCTGGTCAAAGGAGAAGAGAAGAAAGCTTTCACGAGCTGGAGTTGAGGCTCACGTCGGGTAACTTTCCTCTTTCAGCATCGGCATACCATGACGTTGTGTTTGTACATCATCGGCACACTGTCGCCCGACCTCATGCGGAGAGAGTCGACCACCTGCTACATATATCTTTTGCTTTCCCATACATTTTATCACACCTTGCTCAAACCGAATCTATCGTCTCTACAGCTTCCTCATTCCATTACTTATCGGTCTCTCGTTGCATGCCCCTACGGGTGAAACACTTCGATAACATGTCTGAACGCGATGCTCTCTCGTCTCGAGCCATTCCATTCATGGAGCTTTCAGATGGTTCCGCTGCTTCGTTGACTGCTCCTCCGCCTCCGTTGCCTCATTATCTCAATGCCGAAGGAAGAGCGATGGCTCGTTTCGCTGTTGAAGGCAATGCTGTTAGTAGGTATTACCATCGCCATCAAGCAAGACATTCAAATACCATTTCATCACCTTATCTTGCAAAACGAAAATATCAGAAAACACTAACCTACCATCACAGTAACCGGAGGAGCCGGCACTCTAGCTCTCGCAGCCGCTCGTGCACTTTTGGAACACGGACTGGCCAACCTCTACCTCTTCGACTTACCCTCCACCTTGCAATCTTCCGCTCAAGCCATAGAATCTTTGCGAACAGACTTCCCCTCCTCCACCATTTCCACAGCTCCCGTCGACGTCACAGATGCCACCCTCGTCTCTTCCGCCTTTTCCTCCGCTGCTGCTGCCATGGGTTCACTCGACATCCTCCTCTGTTTCGCCGGTATAGTAGGCTGCATCCATGCCATAGAAATGACAGCAGACCAATGGAGAAAGGTCATCGACATCAACACCACCGGTTCCTTCCTCTGCGCCCAAGCCGCGGCCAAACAAATGCAAAATCAAAACACCGGTGGCACAATAGTATTCACAGCCAGTATCAGCGGAAGAAGAGTCAATTTCCCTCAACCCCAATCCGCATATAACGTCAGTAAAGCCGCTGTTGTTGCCATGAAGGATAGTTTGGCGGCTGAATGGGCTAGATTTGGTATCAGGGTCAATTGTATCTCGCCCGGGTATATGGATACGGTGTTGAATGAGGGAGAAGGGTTGGAAGAGGCGAGGGGTATTTGGGCGAGTAGGAATCCCATGGGTAGGATGGGTGCTGTGGGGGAGTTGGATGGGGTTGTGGTTTTGTTGTGTTCGAGGGCGGGGAGTTATATCAATGGCGCTGATTTTGTTGTTGATGGGGGCGCTACGGTTTTCTAGGCGGTGAGAATTCATGATTGCGGAGGTTAGTACACTCGAACTGCATGCTTCATCGCTAATGCGCTCTCTCTTACAGCATTACGAATAGGAGACTGGAAGCAAGTTGCATGTCATAAGAACGATCCAAGATTCCATCTCATGTCCAGCGAATTGATACTGGTGACTGTTTTACTTTTGCTTTATAGCCTTTACTGGACGGAAATTTCTTTGTTATCTGAACACAGGTTTTTCTAGCTGGGGACGAACAAAGAAGGTCCGTAGATAGTTGTGGTATGTTGAGCGTCGCTCTTCTTTTGTTCGACTACCATTCCTGACTGAGTTCAGTACGCGACAGCAGGAGCGACCAGGCATGCTTCTGGCTTCCTAGATGACACTTTGTTAAGCTTTAGTATCTTACTTGACCGACAAGAAAAAGAACTGCTCACGAAAATGGATGTCGTATTGAACCATTCAAAGTTGGCCGACAAAGGATCTGATCAACCAAAGTTTACTGTATTCCCCCAGTTACCCACGGAACTTCAACTTCTTATCTGCAAAAATGCAGTCACGCGTCCCGAGCCGATAGATCTGAGCAAAAGAATAAACCACAGGCTTCCCGACATCATTCGAATATCAAAGCTCTTCCATACCGAAGGAAGCAGATTGTACTATGGAGAAAACACTTTCCTCATCCCACTGCCCAGCCGCCTCGCTCGGGAGGAGAACATTTTCCTGGACCATTGGCTATGTGACAGCTCAACGAGTGAGACTGTCGCCAAGATGGGTCGGATAAACGTACAGATATCGCTTCCGCCGGATAGAGCAAGTCTTGCAAATTTGTTACTACTGGCAGTACACTTCAGTAAAGTCTCAAGCATAGAGGCCAGGAAGACTGTCGTGTTACAACCTGTCATCACTCTTCCGCGCAGACACAACTTGGTTGTTCCTCTGCCAGCAGTCACCACTGAGCTCCAAGATCAGATATCGAACGCTTTCTGGCGCATATTTGACACGAGCATCCATGAGCTGGCAACCGGCACTTACAAGATTGTGTGGGCGGATGAGGAAGAGATGGAACTGAATGCTGGTGTGCCACTACTCGAGAGAGCTGTTGCTTTGGGTAGAATCTGTGAAGAGTTGTGGTCCGCCATCATGACCGTCTGGAACTCTGGTCAAAATGTGCGCTGACTCTAGAGCAATATTCTTTGTCACAAATCCATTCGTCTCCATACTCGAGAGATGAGGCCTTCTTTGTACACTGCACAGATGCCGGATCCGGGTGGATCTTTGTTTGGCCTAGAAGGTGGAGAGTCAATATGAAATCTCCAAGACTGTCGAGCGTAGCATCTGTTCTTCAACTAAATCATACAAGATGGCTCTTCCGGCAGGACAAAAGCGGTTAGCCCTCAGGTTGCTCAACTTAGAAGCCGAGTACACGGTGCTCACAGCTATCAATTCCGCCACTCGAACCTATGAAGAGGACGCAAGAATCAAGGAACTCGATTTCCTCTGTCTCGCTCACGGCCTCCCGAGCGAAGTCAAGAATAACGTCCTAGAGTACTATATCCCTGGTCTTGAACCTGTGGATATAGCAGATCCTACAAACCATACCCGACCAACCTGGTGTACGGATGATGAGGCGGAGTTTTTATATTGGCGACACACTAGATTCATCTTCCGTACTGATGATTTGACCAGAACCAATTTGGACAACAAGATCAACGCCGCCCAGACGTTTATCCAGAACAACCTTCGCTCCACCACCCATCCCGCCAGACTCTTCTACATGCAACCCAAAAAGAAAGTAATCTTTGAGATATACCTCAAGATCGACCTATCCGTCGGCGGAGCCGCCGAAATCGACGACGAAAACCTAGAAGCCCTGTGGAGACTTTTGGAACTCTTGAATGGAGAAATGGAACATTTACAACTCAAATTCATCTGGAAGAATGACACGAACCCGAATGATATTTCCGCTGCTACGAAGAGGGAGGTCGCTACTAATAATTCAGCCCCTTTTGCTGCTATAAAGCAGAATTTACTTGCGATTGTTTTGGCGGCGGCTAGGCATTATACCACTTGTATGCATGCTCCCGCCACCGTCAATCCAATCACAAGATGGGCGAGATATCTATCTCCGATGACCGCTACCGACCCTGCCACCACAGACGCGCATAGATTTGCATTCGCGAGGGATTGGAGTACTCTGCGGGTCAGCGGTCAAGTGAGCAGAATGTGGACCACGAGAAACAAGAGGGGGTTTGTTCTCTGGAGTGTGTGTGGCATGTTTAATGTGCCGATTCCTAGGGATGATGGGGGTGCTGCGACTTATGGGTGGTGGATGGGGACGCCGACGTTCCCCTTGGAGTTGGGGGATTTGGCTTGATGGGGGAGGGTATGGGTATTGCTGTTTTTGCTAGTTTCGTATGATTGAATTCAATGAATCTTGTTCCTGATTGCGAGTTCGAAGAGAGATGGTGAAGGCATATTGTGAAGACGCCTCTGGGCATCACAGTTTTGTTGTAGGGTCGTGCTTGATAGGTTGAGATGGACTTACATGCCTCAAGTGCTCGGAAAACCTTGACCTGTGGACCCGTATGCACTTGTTGAATCTTGGTGTCAAGACGAATTGCCAGTGGCTAGCTGAGATGTTTGTACATCTTGATCTTTCCTCAATTCATTCACACCGCTGTTTACAGAACGTGTTTGACCCTTCAGCCACTCTTTCGGTGCACGGGATATCATGATGTGTCGGCAGATTGTGCGGGCACAAGGAAAAGGTGAAAACATGCAAGATGAATCAAAGTTGTCTTGAGCAGTCAGTACCTCCACTCTTCGAAGCATGGATCTTGGGGAAAGAGTCTCGACTGTCATGTGAATTCAATGGTGGACATCTGCAATGCTAGATGCTGACAGACTACGCGGTCCAAAGATATGGTGCTCATTCCTATTCTGGCAAATGACATGCATGTCAAGTATCATCGGCCAATGGTATCGCTCGGTGAAAACTATACATGAGTACTTGACCACGTGCAGGGCCTAGGCCAAAGCATCAGACAAGTCCGAAAGTCCGAGTCTTCTGCCGTCTATGCACGCGATATCGATTTTATATGCAGCCCTCAGCCAGCCTCCAAATCGACAAGCATGGAAATGCGGCTCTGCGTGATGTCGAACTTTTGATGGCCATCGTGGTGAAATAAAACATATACTAGCATTTGGCAGCGAGGGAGGTTGTTTCTTTCCTCCCTTCCTATCCTTCTTTCCCCCGCAAACATGAATTCGTCATTCGAGCGTATTGACAAGAATATCGTGTTCACTTATCCGTATATTGGCGGAAAGGGTTACTTCTCTTATCAATCCTATACTTTCGACTTTGCGGAATGGATTACACTGTTGACGCTCTGTCTTGCACCTTTACTGGCGCATGTCATCACAGGTGTCCTGTCCATTGCACATCTCAGCCGTTCTCGACCTCGCTGGCATGATATTCTGCCTTTGTATCATCCCACCACAATTCTATGGCGTTACATGGTGCTTGTCGACCGTCGCATTCGTGCAGTCGCTTGGGATGTCGGCGATCTGGCTGCGGCAAACACGGTGTTTTGGATGTCAGATGGGTGGGACGGAGACGAGCACATCGCCCAGTATAGTCGCCGGTATCTCACCCGACCACCGGAGATCGAGAGACTTCGCAGCTTCGTGTCCTCAGAGACGCTGGGAACTGTTATCACCACGCTACAAGGTCTCCAAGCAGCATATTTGTTGGTGTGCCAACTTTCTATACCGGCAGCTTCTTCTGTCAAGGGAGCTACCATGGCAAATGTCTTTGGTTGGCTGTCCACCCTCGGACTTCTGCGAGTACCTGCCGCCGCTTGGGTTTCAAAGGACTTCGCATACACTTATCACAATCGGGAGGCTAGCCATACGACCCCAACAACCGCAAAGGATGGAGTGGATGTGCAAGTGACAGCAAGAAACTGGCAGCACATCCCTTCCGATAGTCATCTCGAAGATGACTCCACAAGGTACACAAAGCCTGGATGGCAGAGCTATGTCTTACGTTCGTCGCTTCTTGTGTTTGGAATCGGCATGACTGCTTACAGCTTCTACTTCAACTTCATCCAACCTGTCTTTTTCTACGAGAAGATTTACGCCACCACGACGCAGCTGTCACTGCTTCCGCTGTATTTATTTCTGATTGCTCCTACGACGATATTGTTTGGGGCGTACGCATTCAGAAAGTCTGAAAACGGGTTGTCGACGGTGATGCCTTGTACGGGAACGTGGTGGTATAAGATATATGTTATTTTATGGTATATGTTTGCTGCGAGCGTTGTGGTGATTGCGGCTGTCGAGACGACAATAGATCGATGCGGTCATTATACTTCTGCGCCTTTCCAGCCATTGACATGTAGATAGTGATTGAAATGTTCTTATATGATGATTGTCTGACCACAATGCGTCCTCAACTTCGCTTCTTCCCTCAACATGTTGGTGCTGATGTTTTGTTCGTCGTTCTTTTGTAGCATTTCTTGCCCCAATGTCGTGCAGGCCTGACTAATGATGTTGGCTTTGTGCTGCTTGTAGCTATCCGCGAGCGAAGAGTGCTCTTCTTCCGTTGAAGTATGAAGCAGCCGGTGCTCTGATATAGACAGTTGCAGCAGAGCATCAAAGACTTCCATGTCAGCACCTGGTCGCAGAATATACAGCCAGCGCAACAACGCCTTTGTTTCATGACTGATCATACTGTTTGGTGCAGCAGCTGCATCTGTTTGCTCCACTGCAAGTCTCTGCACAGTACAGTGCGCGAGGAGAGCCAAAGTGCAGTTGACATGACAGGTCGCAAGCTCCTCTGTCTGATTGCCAGAGATAGCAGCACCATATTTCAGGAGTTCGGCGATGAAGAGGTAATGTGCTGTTGGGCAGTAGTTCCAAGCTAAAATCAGCCATTGCGACATCTGGTTGCTTGCAGCAGTGTTGTTATCACTTTCCGACTCGCGAAGCACTTGCTCGTCATGAATGGAAATCGTATCAGCGACAGTGGGCGATAACCCTGCATTCAATCCGTTGAGCAAAAGCGATCGTGGGGTTGCTGTGACGGTCGCGAGACGCTTGGCAGGGCTCGTGGAACTTTCCGCAGGTGAGTATGAGGGTGGCCGTTTCCTCGTCAAAGAATCAGGAACACGATCGGTATCACTCGGCGTGTTTGCACGCGTCGAGAAGTCCCCATCAGAGAAGGCGCGATCACAGATCGAGGCAGCCACCTGGACAGACAGGCAAGAGCCATCCCGCGTGACTGCTCCACGTTGGTCCTCCAGAACATTGCTGATTTTCCGCAGTGGCGAAGCACTTGGAAACCCAGAAAGAAAGGTGGCAGAGTAATTTGGCGAAAGCGATTGTTCGGGTGTCGAGTGGTGAAGTCGAGACGATGGTGCAAATATCTGGCTCGATCCTGCTGATGGATGTGTGACGGCAAGTGGACGGGCAAGCTGATCCGCTGCACATACAGTAGGTGGAGCACCGGCGGGGGGTAGATGTGGAGAGAATGGTGCGGTGTGAGGGAGGTCTGACGTTCTTTGTTCGGGCGAGAAAGAAGCGGTCGGAGGTAAGTGTGGCTCGTCGGCTTGACGCGAAGAAGCGAATTTGGGTGGTAGCACGTCGTCGAATTCGTAAGGTGGAGGAGGTTGTGGATCATGGGATTTGATTATTTCTTTGTGATTTGTTCCAGATGCTTCAATCCTCTTATGATCATTATGATTCGTATCTTCAAGCTCGAACCATCCTTGTTCATGCCAGAGGTTTCTACACGCTGAACGACCTCCGGGATAGAAGCCTGTGAGCACAACAGAGGGGGTTGTGATCGAAGCGCTCCCAGCTAACATAGTCGACACATTCTGAAGAGCTGCCTGTATCGCACCATCTTGGTTTGTATACAACTGGAAGGATGACGATTCAGAAAGCAACTTCAGTTTGCGCAGTAAGACCATTGCTTGTGGCATCACATTCGGTCTACATTGGTACTCCGGCATTATTACGTCGCTACTCGTTGGTCCTAGATCCAGAGACATGTGTAAAAGCTGGGTCTTTGCGGACTGGACATCATTGGGCACATCAAGTAGACATTGCGGGAGCATCTTGATGCTAGAATAGTCAATGCAAGTGGAGTGCAGACGGAGCGACTCGGCGGGGACAATCAAGAACATGAGACGACCTTGACGGCGAGTCTTCTTCCGCACGGGAGATGCTCTGATACGAATAGTCAAAGTCACAAGCATCTCACGAGTGACCTGGTTGGATCCGATCCAGAGTCTAAGGATACCACCACAGCCGTTCCGGTCTAGCGGTTGTCCTAGGAATTCAGACTCTTGTATTATCTTGTTGTCGTAGACTGCAACAACAGGACAGTCCGCGACTACCCAAGAGAGGGGGGCGGATGTCATGAGCTTCGAAGCCAGCCCATCTATGTCAGCTTGTGTGGCCATGGTCGACCGTGACGTACTGAAGTCAATGGAGATGTCAGCAATTGCGTTCAGAAAGGGGGAAAGGAGTAACTTGTCCCCCGCAGATGCGGAACCCACCCACCCAGGCTTTTATCGTATTGAGTAGCCTTGACTCTGTTTGGTGACGACTTCTCGGCGGGACTACCTACAGCGCGCACCGCCACGAGTATCTGCACAGGTCGGGGGCCACGCTTGCAAGATGCCAAAAGAACTGGAACGCAGTCGAAGAAGACTCTTGGGGAGCATGCAACGATGTATTCGGGTTCGACTTCAACACCCGTCAAGGATGGCGCGCTCACGGTTGGGCGTTACAGGGAGCAGGCGTCTGTGGAGATCAGGCTGTTTGTCGCGTCTCTCCGGAGCGCGTCGAGGATTGGTTGTCGCAGTGTGTTGAGAAAGAGTGGGGTTTAGCGATGTACAATAGGAACAGTCGAAGGGACACGAAAGATGATAGCGTTGTGATGTGAGAGTCGCAACTTCAGTCTTGGAGACGCGACGCGGTCGTGGCTGCCCGAAACGCGGCTGTCTCTGGCCTTGGCGTCGGTTAAGCTTCGGCTTCCTGATCCTTCCTCCACGCTTGCCCGCTCAAGTGCTCGCTCAAACCACCTTATTATTCGTGCGATACTTGCAAACTCGCAATCACCATTGTCAAGATCATGACATGCGCTTAGCTCTCACAAGTATGCTAGCGATTGATTAGTCGGGGTTTTCCTGCAGGTTTCTATGTTGTCTAATGAACTTCGACTTCTTATATGGAGACATAGAACAACCAGCCGACTAACTAGGCATCAATCTATTCTGAAGTTTCTCTGTTATCACAGAAGACGTGAGCAACACTGATGATTGACTAATCACCACCTCGTGTAAGGCCACACTGGCCGCCCGTCTAAAAAACGTTCCGGGTTTGGTTGACCGCATTCGGTCGTCTATACCTTTGTTCTTTGTTCGCAAACGCATTTCATAGGCGCTTCCGGAACATTGAGAATTCGGTATGATGTTTCCGGATCAACCCATGGAAACGCTTGAATCCCAGGGCATGCAGAGTCTTGCATGCTCGAGGCTTTGTGCTTTGGGAATGAACGCTCCCTGAAATAGTCAAGCCGAGATCCTCTCAATCTTCTCCTTTTCGAGATGGAACTGCCTTTGGCTTCAATCCACAGATTTCACTATGGCTGATAAGCAAGAACACGATTCTAAGCGCCTCAAGACCTCTCACCCACCACGGCCCGATCATGATTATCCTATGGGTACTTTCGAGAAAAGGAATCATCTCGCCAAGCTGGGCCTCCTGAATGAATACACCACACTGGAAAAGAGCGTCGCAGCTCAGCAGGATAGAATCAAGCAGATCGAGCTCTCGGTATATGCGAGGGCTCGTATGAATGTGGAAGAGCTACAGCTCCAAGTTGCGGAAGAGTATTTCCGTTCAACTTTTATTGACATTACTCTCCTGAGTTCTCGAAAGGCGCCAGACTGGATCTTCGACCTGGACGCGTTGAAACCTCATGGGAAATTTGCTATCTGGCAAGCATACTGGCGTTACTCTCACCTCTACGTTCCCGGAGAAGCATGGACCAAAATCGGCAAGCATCTGTTGGTGGATAACAATGGCGCGAGAATACATGAACAGCCATGGCGTACTTCCTTGAGCCGCATGCTTAGATTCACAGATCGGCTCTTCTGCTATCCCGCCACTTCACCTCAGGATCTGTCTCTCCCGGCGGAGTATCACCCACACCCTGCTAAGCTTCGTGATTATGTTCGAGCTCCGCGTGCGCCCGAGAACTTGGCCGACGATCGTCCGAATATCGAATTTGAGGTCCTTTGCCCCTTCAACCACAATGATGACGAGGATTATTCTTTCTGGCAGGAATTCGAGTCGACGATTATCCACACATTCCGCGCGCTCATGTGGTTGTTCGACACATTAGAGTGCTATCGCCCAGAAAACAGGCATCGACTGGTCATCACACCCAAATGGAAGGACGTGAAGATTAAGGATCCGCTCACGAAGTCTCCCTCCCTTGAGTGGAAAGGCCATAAAGAAAACATTTACGCCAAGAAAGATCCTGCAATCAAGGCCACCATACCAGACGGTCTCGGCATCAAGGAAAGAGTCATGGACGTGATCAATGGAGGACTAGAGATCTGGGGTGCGTTTCGCATCGAAGAGACACGTCTGAGAAATGTACGCTATCAGAGATGGAAGTTACGACAAATGATAAATGCTCGTATCGGCTTGACGACAGTCGAAGGCGAGGAGGCGGACCAGCTGGCAACCACAGACCTCCCGGGCTTCAACGCTAACGATCCACCTACCAGGCATGGCATCAAGGCTGCCCGTGATAATGTTCACCCGAGAAACCTTGTCAATCATCTGGCCATAAGAATCCACAACAACATATCAGAGAGCTTCCACCCGGATGACGAGCTCGAAAATGCATACATCGAATTCTGGCAGCGTGTCACTTTGGACATTCCGCCAAAACTTGTCGGGCCAGGAACATGGAACGTCAATGAATCATTTACCATGCATGTCGATGAACTGAGCAGCAATATGAGTGGTCTCAGTTCCGTGCCTGAATTCGCCGATGATATGCCAGGATTCATCAGAAAACACAACGTCAAATCACAGTCTGACATCTATTTCCCAAACCCTGTCCATTGCGAGTGGGAAATGGATGATGATGAGAGGTTGGCGGTGGAACTCTACAAGCCTGAGGATGATGACTCTGATTGAGAGTGGCAGAGCAGAGTATCTGAATGCGAGCGCGATCTTTATCTTGAAATCGTGTATCTTGTCAATGCTGATTTTCCATTCCTACGCTTTCCAAACTTTATGCTGTGTGTTGCATCGGATTCGGGAAGGCTAAGAAGTAGAACATGATAAACCAAACTAATCTTTCGGGAACCGTTTCTTCTCTTCGTGTGCCTTCTTTCTTCGTCACATGCATAATTGCACAAAACTCCATGCCAGGCGCAGGTAATCCCCGAGCCGTCTCGTGTCCTTCTTCAATGACCATATCCTTAACGGCTGGACGGATGTACGAGGCAGATTGAGATAAGCGTCACATCAGTCCTCAAATAAACGATATAACAGACGAGTCCCATATAGTAAACAGCTTATAGCACCTCCGTCTTCTGCACGTAACAGACAACAAAAGCTCCTCACAGAGAAGCAGAAGTAAAAAGCGCAGCAATCAAGAAGCGGCAAGTTTCGGACCCGAGATCGTCTCTTTGACGTTGACGAAAAGGCATTTCTTTGTTTCGAGTCTGTTCACAATGTTCTCGGCCACTCGCTTTGTCACGGCGTCGACGTCTGTTTGTCCTCGAGATCGTCGACCCCTGGACCGGATCCGGGAGTCTACTTCGTGTCTTTATTGTTGGCGTCGAGATGCGGTCTGAAATCGCTCGATGCGAGGGGATGGTGATTTGTTGGCTTTCTTCGTAGCTTTTTGAATCTGACTTGCTGTCCGTCACGCGTATCAATCATCTTTAGCTCGAATTTTACGCATCCAACTATTCCCTACTCAACTCGAACCCTGCTTGTCGCCGCACCCGTACGCACGCACGCCTAACATCATGGCATACGCAGGAAAGCCACCAAGTGACGATGCACTCTTCCCCCTCGACCCAGCTCTAGCAGACGAAGGAGACATCCCACTCGACACGGATGCCGCAATGGCCCGCATAGAAGCGACTTTCGACATCGACCCCCCTCTCTCGCGTCGCCACAGAGCCAGAGACATCACCGTGCGAGAAAACCACCTCACCCCTGACAATATACTCACAGGCGGTGATCGCTGGGTGGAGTTTTACTGGAGCAATGTCAATCTGATCGTTCCTGGCGAAAAAACTCTTATCGATCCTAGGGATCCGGAGTGGGAGGACATGACTGAGAATTGGTGCACTGCAGCTTCGAATGTTTCGGGGTTCATATCGATATTTTTCAAGCCGCGGCAGGATTTGTCGGTGTATAATATTCCCATGAGTGCGGAGTTTCAAAGGTGGTTGTCCGATTGGCGGAAGAAGGGTTATCAGGAGCCTCTTGGTCCTGGAGATGTGGAAGGCTACGTCGTACCCACTCAAGCCGAGGTAGCTGCCCACAACAACCAGAGGAGCCTTCAACGCGTCAACTTCCAGCATCGCATGTTCACAGATCCTGGCGTGTTCGTACACTTCGAAATCCTCATCATGTGGGACTTCAACGCTGCCGCAGAGCCAGGTGAAGTCACATGGCCCCGAGTGTGTTGGGAAAACATCCGCTTCTACCTCGACATGTACGAGTCCTTTAAAATCTTGGGCCATCCAGATCGCCTTAAATGCCATTTCATGTACAAAGACATCCGTCAAGGTCGCTACACCCAAACGCCACGTTCAAAGCGCGAGATCGACAATGATTCAATCCTTGGCCGTCAATGGCGATCTATCATCCACCGAGCTCTGGCTGATTACAGAGCTCACCTCGACTTGGTTGCGATTCCTGGATCTGGAGCGGGGCCGATTGATGTTGCGCAGGATTTGATCGCTATCAAGGCAGAGAAAAGGATCAGACGAACTTGGAATGCACATCGTGCGTCCAACAGAGGTCAAGTCAAGTTCTGGATGTGTGATGCTTTCCACGCGCCGAGAAGGTTGAGAGAAGAAGACCCTGATATCGCTGCTTGGCTGGCCAGAAGGGCCCAGTGAGTATGTTGTATACAGCACCAAACATCTGGCAATGTACTTCGGTGGTGTCCTTGATGGTGAAATGTACTTGACGCCGAGCGGTGGAGGTGGCCACCTTTCCCTTACGACAGGGTGGAGCTGCCGCGTTTTGACGCCTGGTTTTCTTGCTTATTTTTGTCTTGTTCTGGACAGTCTACATGATCCTCGCACATAGTTCTCCTCGTTTACATTAAGGTCGTCATGAAGCATGAAGCATATCCTTTCCTAGCCATAAACGATGTGTGGTCGAGTGGGTGATGCGTGATCAGTGGAAGCAGTATTCTGACATGCTCTCTGTAACCATGATATCAACGAAAAAGGCATCATGCCTTCTGCCAAGTGTACGACGACCTCGGAGTATGGATGCCGAGATCAAGTTCGACAACAAGTCCGGATCCGGGAGCGCAGAGATGCTTTGTTCTCGAGACCAAGAAATCCAACCACGGTCGAATTATGTTCGTTCAATCACGACTGACACAGTTCGAGCAACACAGCTTTTACAAATCGCTTCTTGTTCCATCTCTTGTTTTGAACGATTGCACAATGAGTCAGGCCGACGAAGAGTTCCTTGCTGGGCTTGGACCACCACCCTACCACCTTTCGACGGAGACCTTGGAGAAGCTCTTCAAACAGTACAAGCCCAGAGACATATCAGTCTTGCAGTTGATCAATGCACCCGCTTGGATTGAGCAAGCCGGTCGACACTCGGAGTTATATCGCTTGTTCTGGCAGAACGTGCCTCTGCTCATTCCGGCAGAAGCTTTTATCTCGATCATCAATGAAGACACCAACGAAGATCTGGCAAAGCTGTCGTTCAGAAACGTCTGGAGATTCATCGAGAGATATTTCTTCGGCTCGAATTACTCTTGGATGGCCGAAAAGCAGAAGGTCGTATTCGAGATTTCGTTGACCTGGTGTTTCGAAGAGTCATTGCAGGCAGAAGGATCCTTCCCGACAGTGAGTGTGAACAATCTTGCTGCCCTCTTTGAGGTGTACAACAAGCTGCAATGCGACACTTATCCGGATCGGCTCGTCCGCACGTTCGTCTGGAAAGACGCTCGTGGCAACAGACGAACGTCAAAACAGCCAAACACGAAGCGCAACATGACCTTCGAGCTCGGTTTCAGCCTGGCAATCCATCCGATCCTCGACGATGCTCTTGATATTTGGTCTAAATATATCGCATGTGGACAAAAAACACTCCCAACCAAAGATGAGCTGAAATGGCATCTAGCTAAAATGACACAGCAGCATGTTCATGACCTCTGGAATCCGCCAATCAAGCGTGGCTACATGAAGTTGTGGATGATTGATGCTTTCGAAGCGATGAGCAGACCGGGTATGCGAATGGATCAAGACATGCAAGCATGTTTGGCATGGTACAATAAGCCTTTGGCGGAGATATCGCCGATTGAGGACATGTTCGACACCGTAGATGACCCTCCCCTAGATTGGTATCTTGATGAGTTGCCTTGTCCGGAGTGAGGCAATCCAGAAGTCGAAGAGGAAGGATAAGATGGAAAACTTCGATAATCGCGATCATCTTGGGTCTCGACAAGCCATCCTGGATCATTGGCGAACAGGTTATTGGTAGATTAGAAAGACTTGAGACGAGGGGAGGCGATCTTGGCATTTTGTACTGAATGAGAAGATTGTACTCAAGACAAGCGTGTACGCTTCAAGTTCAGTGCTACAGCCCATGACTCATGGTGACCTGAGCAAGGGTCGTGCTTGCAGATACAGTTTGTTCGTGAGCAAAGCTCCATAAGCTGGTGTGCGATGCAGAAACCCAAGGTGCAGTGGGGGCGATCTTGTCCAACGTTCCTTCTCCTGCCTTCGGAGTGTTCAATACTATTCCAAGCTCTTTCTACGTGTTGTGATGTCCAAGGACTGAAACAGGCGGGCTCACGGCGGAAGACGGCAGATCCCTCTCGACATGTCGGTGGTGCGATAATGACAAGAGTTTCCACGGTGAAGGAATGGAGTCGAGTGTAGTATAATGCTCGCGCATGCTGTTGTGTTGGTCTGCCTCGACTTGCTCGTAAAGATGACGTTGGCTGATCGCGGCCCGAAACGGCAAGCGCTTTGCAGATCTTCTGACCTGACTTCATGCAGTCACTCCAAGCATTCGATGTTCCCAACAATCTACTCGAGTAGCCCTTGGACATTACGACACCACTGGCAACTCAGTGAACATCCATCAGAAGCTCAAATCATTTGCTCTCTCACTGGATTCACCAGGTGCCCAATAGCGTTGTGTCTCCCGACGGAAGGTGGCATTGATCGCACTGCTCTTGGAGAGAGCTAGAGTTGACAAGCGCTGTCAAAGAAGATCTGGTGTGCTTGATGCTTTCGGTCACCGAGATACATCAACTCACCTCCAACATGATACCCGCTTGATGTTTTTTCCCTATGCTTGCAGTCTCAGAAGCATAGCTCACGGGGCGGGTCACGGGTGCAAGCATACTGTCCGTTTGCTCTGAGAGCTCTTTGCTGTCCGTTTGCATGTCCAGCTTCTATCTACTGATCACAAACGTCCTTCCTCTTTCTCTCCCGCTCTCCCTGGTCAATAAGCCCACTGTATTGTCTTCTCCTGCTTGGCTGAGCTGAACAGCTGATCGTTACAATCTCCAAGATTGTGGCCATTTCAGAAACGCATTCACCCCGTATCAGAGTAAGCATCTCAAGCACCGCTGGACAACCTTTTACTGATATAACTCAGCATGGAGTCAAACGAGACTGCTGCTTCTAAGCAGACCGATGAACCTCTACCCACCCAAAACCGCACTTTCAGCCCCGAGGAAAAGGCATCTCTTGGATTTGGTCTGGATACTTCGCTCGCGATTCAGAAGGATTTGACCTCAACTCTCAGACAAGACCTCAAGTTTGTGAGACACGATTCCAGTCTGCTTTTCCTTACCAAGGCTAACGTCAATCGGGAATATAGTTCGAACGACAGATCATGCGACGTCAGCGAGACATCGAGCGAGCCGCAGAGCAAGCTGTTCGACTGCACGAGGACATCACTCGCTGGAAGGGAGAAGAGAAAGATGCTGGTGAGAGAATAGCATACTTGGAGTCGTATCTCAGAGACCTGCAGGACGTGGAGGTGAAGATGGAAGTGCTGAGTGCGCATATGAAGGGGTGATTTTTGTATTGCATTGGTTGCTCTCTTTCGTGCATGATTTGATAGTCTGATCGCGCATACATCAGACTTTGATGAAGATGGATAGAAAGTAGTATGTCAAAGAGATGAGGGAGTACTACCAGGCTTACTTTTGATATCCCACATCTTTGGAATTTTCCTCTTGCTCCAGTCTTCGCGCAAACAGAAAGAGTTGACTCTCTCTGGGAGAGGAAAGCTCGCTCTATCAAGAGTATCTGTCACCAACTTCGAACTGGCCGTCACTTTTCACGAGAGATGGCTTCTTTAGTTTCTCCGCCAAAGGAAGTGAAGAGCTGAGACCTGCCACATGAACTTGCTGCTCAACCTGCAGAGAATCCCTCAACATCCTTCTTTACATCAAGAAAGTTCTTTCCACCACAAGCGACCCGTACCTCCTTCAAGTAAGTCTTGAGCTCCGTCTATCTTGAATCTCACTAACATTGATATAGAATGAACCAACTCAACGACGCTGTCTCGAACGCTGTACAAGCCATGGTCGCAAGAGTTGTCGACGAAGCTGTCAAGAAAGCTCTCAACCAGTCCCGCGTCGAGAGTGAAGTCAAACGCGTAGGTTGTCTCCACATTCTGTCTTGATACCGGCAATAACGTCGTCCAGCTCGAGGCCATGCACGAGGTTTACAAGACACAAATTCGCTCGACCAACCAGCACTGCGACATGCGCGAGTACCAGATGGCAAACATGACCAAGTCCAGACGCTATTGTCTAAGATCCATGAGTGACATCAGACTACGCCTAGCACCATTGTTGGTTATGCATGATGGCGCTGTTGGCAACGAGAAACTGTGGCTCTATAACCACTGCCGTCAGCTCGAGCGCGAGAACGAAGCAGTCATCAGTGAGCTGCAGAAGGCCAAAGCTGAGCTGGAAGCTTTGAAGGATTGAAGGGGTGGAGAGTTGATAGATCGACTGCGTAAAGACTGAGTATGATTACATATCCTCGGAATGGATCACGAAATCTTGTTCGTCGACTCGCACAGTCCACTTGATATCTCACTCCAAGCCCCACTCTCACGTCGACGACTGTTCCGTGTCACCTCTGAACGGTCGAGTTCCAGTTTTTCCCCAACTCCAACCATCCCTTTCCATCAACAGCATGTCTGTCCCTTGTCTACCTGCCACTCAGATCAAGTATGTCTCACCATCTCATCATACCACAGTCTTCTGACCATGTTGCAGGATGGAGGACACCACTTCCAGCGACGCTGAGACCAAAGCAGCCCTCAGCAGAGACAGAGCAATCTACGAGAGTGGTGCCAACCAGGCCAACATCTGCAAAGTAAGTAAATACACCTTGACGCTCTAGACCCAGAAAACTGACCGCAATCAGCTCTTCGAGTCCGGCTTGGACCACGCCGTCAACGTCGTTCAGATCCAAAACCAGATTCAGTCACGCAACATCAAGTACCAGCAAATCCTCGCAGTCTGGGAGAAGCACAAGCGCGAAGCCCTTCCCTGCGCCACTGTCAATGAGATCATGCTCAGGCTGGCCGAGCTCGTCACCAGCGACCATGAATTCCTTACCGCAAAGTTCGAGCACCATGTGAAGAAGGATAGCGAGTCAAACTTGCTGATCAAGAAGCTGTACGAAAAGGAGAAGAAGATCGAGATGGAGAAGTGGATAAAGAGGGAGGAGATCAACTGATCGCATGCAGCTCAAGTGCCTGCTGAGCTAGATTTCTACTGCCTGAGCACGCTGCTCTTAGATCTTTGGCAGCTTCTAGAATGCTCGATAGATTCCGGAAGAAAGGAAAGAGAGAACACAAGCAGTGAACTTCAACTTCTGTCACTTTCATGCTTGAGCGTGAATGAAATGTGAGACAGACCACTTGCCGGCTTTCGACTTTCACTCTTGTAACCAGAAATTGGCCCTCTTTTGTTGACCGCCCTCCTGCTGCACGACTTACTATTCCTCTAATTCTTTATCACACCCCAAATTGCCAGTAAAAAGAATAACGAAAAGTAAGCACTCAAAACTCTTCATATCGCTTCCCACTGACCTACTCCTAGCATGGAGGCTATCCGTGTCGAGCTGCAGGAGATAGCAGAAGCCATCGACGAGCTCGAAGAGATACACACCGAGTCACCCAAGGAGTCACAAGACGACATCGCCCTCCGTTTCCACTTTATCAAGGAGTCGCTGGAGAAGATCACCGAAAACTATGATTCGACTGTCAAGAAGCTGGAAAAGACCGCAAATCATTCTGTCAAGATGGCCAACGATTCTCTCAAGATTGCCGTTCAAACCTCCATCAATCTGGTAAGTTTGAAGGGGAAGTATTGAGAGCCGCACTGACGGTCCGCAACAGCTCAAGGATCAAATCGAGCGTCGCAAAGAGGATGTAGCGCGCGCCGCAAATCAAAAGAAGCAGCAGGCATGGCTGTTGTCACTCTGTGACGATGCCATACACCACAGCGGTCTCAACATGGTTGATTCTGACAGATTGGACAACTGTGTTGGCGAACTGTACTGTGAGGGTAGCAAGCAGCTCAATCAGAGCATCACTCGCTGGCAGGAGGAGATTGAGAAGGCTGAAGGCGAGATCCGCAAGCTTGAATGGATGACCCCTGCTTGATACCATACGACGAGGCAAGCTACGAGGTTCTAGAAGAATGCGAGAAAGACGGAGAGGTGAGAACGATGTACTTTGATCAAAGTCAGGATGATCAAACACTGCTGACTATGGCTCGTTGAGATGTGGTTTTGAGATCCTTTCTGAACACAAGAGGAAACATAAATAACCAATGAATCTTTACCTGTCACTTCCATCTTGCCAATTGCGTGGTGAAGACTTCTTAGTTATCGCACTTGTGAAAGCCGGCTTGTAATTCTTCGAGCTTCCACCCGTTCCCCTATAGCTTACTTCCTCAAAACTGCAGCTCAGACGAAGCGCAGCACATCTGTCTCCTTCATCACGCGCGCACCTCCAACTTAAAGTATGCTAATTTCTCCATCACATCTTCGTCTACTGACCAAATATCAGCATGGAACCACTCGCTGCGATGGCCAAACAGCTGGCAGCCGCATCAACCAAGCCGCTGAATCGTTCACATCCGTCAAGAAGGAACTCGCAGAGACCAAAGCCGCTCTCGCCCAGACCAAAAAGAAAGCCTTGAAGGACAGCATTGCATCGGTGAGTCTCAATAGCATACCGCTGACGGTCTAGTTACTGATCAGATTCATAGCTAGACTCCAGATCAAGCAGCGCGAAGAAAACATCAGACAAGCCACTGAGATCATCTCTTTGCTAAACGAGATCCACAATGAGACTTGGAAGCGTATGTTCAGGCACAGCATCACGATTGACACCACCTACGGCGACGCCATGTACAGTGCTAGGTACCACAGCACTACTGAGCTCGAAAATAATACCTTCCGTTGGACAACTGAGAATCGAGAGGCTGCCATCGAGCTCAACGAGCTGCTGCTGCAACTCGATAAGATCAATCCAATTACCGAGGCAGAGCCTGAGAGTGCCTGATCATTGTCGGGGGGGGACGTTCTTTTCTGTTCACCAGCAGCTACAAGGCCTCCTCGACGGTGGACTTCCATAAGGGAAGGAAGAGAGGAGGTGACGGATATGATTCAAGACCACGAACAGCTGGTTCAAATCGGCTGAATGGACACAAATACAGACCGCCTTGAGGGCAATAGCAATGATCTCAAACCTCCAGCAGTTGAGAAGCGGAAGGGGGCTGGTGAGATGCTTGGAGCGCGGTACTTTGGAGACAGCTTGGAGGTCATTTCAGGATGGGACCGCCAGAGCGAATATCATCGCGCATTCTTCCGGTGTATATCTGGGCTTGCAGACAGAAATGATAATAAATCCACTTGGCCAAATTTTCTCTAGCACATCAGTGACTTGCCAATAGCGTATCGCAGCTTCTTCACTTCTGGTCAGCTTGACTTCTCCTGCCTTTGACTTGAGACTTGATACTCTCGTGCCTTTCGGCAACCACGACTTGCCAATCTAGACTCTTGGCGCTTTCACCTTTTCACCGATGGAAATCAACCGCTCACACCTCACTTACACTCTCATTTGCCCTCATCTCTCGACAGCTTGTCTATAAAGCGCATCCTGAACATACTGCTTTCTTCATCTCTGACAACCACACACCTCCCAACCAGGTATATACCCGATACCCCTTCAGCCCTTGATACCCTATCAAATCACTCTGTGCTAACACAATATCAGCATGGACGCACTCAACCTCAACATCCAGCAGCTGGTAGAGGCGCACCTCCAAGCAAACAGAACCTTCGACGCGACCAAGACCGCACTCCAGCAGAGCGATGCTGCACACATCTTGACCAAACGTAACCTCCATCTGACCGATCTTGCTCTTGTCCAGCGCGATCGTGAGTTCCAGCAAATCTCTAGCGCTCTCATCCAAAGCAAGGAGACGGAGATCGATCAGGTAAGCCGTACCACCTTCTCTTTTGACAACGGGTGACTGACGATGGTTTCTAGCTCAACTACCAGATCGAGATGCGTCGCGAGGACATCAAGCTAGCTGGATCAACCATCAGGTTCTTGCAGGGTGGCAAGAGTGATACTGAGGATCTCATGTCCGGCCCATACGGTTTCACCAGAGCAGCCACCACTGACCACGACCCTATCTCCGATTTGGCTCAGTCGATTGACGATAATCTCAGCGCCGGTATTCGCCTTGTCGTTGCGAGCGTGAGGTTGAGCAAAGTATGACTCAGATAATGGCTCTTGAATCGCAGCTCGCAAACTGAGGTCTTGAGCGCAGGGGGAAACGCGGCCTCAAAGCTCAATGGACTGATGTCCAGGAGAACCATGAATCAAGACGAGAATGGCCTATTGGGTTATACAGTGGCTTTCGGAATGGTCCACGGGCACAAAGAAATTCCAGAATGGACGAGAGGCAGACAGTTGTCCTTATAAAAAGAACCTCAAAGACCAGACAAGGTTGGACATTGAAAGCACAAGTCGTGTCTCAACATGATGCGTTGAAGACAGCTTCGACGTTGCTCCAGGATATAGAAGAAACCAAAAATATTGGACCTGATTCCTCATGGACTTTCATTTATCATTTGTGACTTGGCGTGTTGGTGTCGATTGTGAGCCGGCACTGGTGAAAGTCAGCTTGTTTCTCTTCCACTTTCACTCGAATTGCCAGCTCTTTTATCACGTTGCACCTTGCGCGCATTGTCTCTTCCTCATCCTTCAACCACCTGCCGCCATCGCAAGGTATGCTCAGATCATTGTCGCTCCACAGCGTCTCGCCTGCTAATCTGATAACAGCATGGAAGCACTCACCGCTACTGTCAAGCAGTTGACAGAGATCCTCGCCCAAGTCGGCGCCTCGCTGGCTGCAGCAACCCAGAAGCTCGAGCAGACCACCAAGTCTTTGCTGTCAAGCGAGGAGTCGCTCACTTCGACCAAGGAGTTGCTTGCCTCGACAAGAGAAGAGCTCGCTTCTACCAAGGATAAGTTCGCCTCGGCCAATCAGTCACTTGCCTCGACCAAGGAGAAGCTCGAGCAGACCGCCAGTGCTCTCACTCAAAGCCATATGAACACCATTGATGTGGTGAGCCAGACCGCTGTCTAACCAATCGATAACGTGGCTGACACTTATGACAGCTCAATGCCCAAATCGAAGCGCGCAACGAAGACCTTGAAATGGCTAGAAAGGCCATGGAGGAGTCTGAATGGGACCAGAAGACGCTCAAAAATAATCTCCAGTTGGACGATGATAGTGGACTTCCGGGAAAATGGCGACTGTACTTGAATGAATCCTCTGAACGCATCTGCTGGGATATGGCTGAAACCATGGATCCCATCTCTCAGTGCGTCACTCGCTGGGAGGAACAGAACATGGAGGCTACCGGCGAGATCCAGAAGCTCGAACTACAGCAGGGGACCTGAGACCACAAGCATTGGCTCAGAGGTCACTCAAAACTCTGTCGAGGAAATATCCAGGTTCAGTAGAGAATTGTCATGGCCTGTGACGAACACTCGGATATGAAGACTGGGAGGCTCGACCGTGGCGTTGTTGAGTTGCAAGATTGCTCCCAAACCAGCAGGCGCAAACAAGCTTGAGACAAGAAATCCATCACTTTTACAACCATCTACTGTTTCTTTCGTGCTCTTCGTGAATGTATAGTAAGAAGGAAGGATCAAAGGAGGTCAACTCATCGGAGTCAGCTGCGGTCCGACCGGCAAACCCCTCGTCGGCTGGAAGGTGGTGGGGGGTGCAAAGCCTCGGCCCTTGGACGATCTGTTGACTTTCCCGGCGCCGGCAACCAAAAAAAGATGTGGACCGAGAAGCGCAACCCAGAATCGAAACACTGTTCTCACAATCTCGCATGAATATTCCAGTATGCCAATTAGAAATCAAAAGGGGGATTGAGAATCAGACGATTGTGAAGATGACACGACGCTTTCATCTTTTCTCTTTGTCTTGATCTCATCGCGCTGCTCAACAATCACCCACAACACCTCGCTGTCGCTGAAACGAGCACAATACCAACGACTGTAGACATGTCTATCGCAAGCAACATGATGCGCGCCATGCGACCTTTCAGTCGACCGATTGCGCGCCCGTCGGCGCAGGCAAGATTGCTTCAGCCTATGCAATCGCTTCGCCAATCGTCGCATTCTCCACTGGGAAGCTCATCGCTGCCGACGCGCAAGAAGGTCACACTACCAACGATCATGTCGCTGTACCGCAAGAACGAACCCATCACCGTCATCACCGCCCATGACTTCCCCTCCGCACATGTAGCCGATCAGGCAGGCATGGATATCGTTCTTGTTGGCGACTCGCTTGCAATGGTAGCGTTGGGCATGGACGATACCAGCGAAGTACTCATGGAGGAAATGCTGTTGCATTGCCGTAGTGTGGCTAGAGGTGCTAAGTCTGCTTTTATCGTATGCTCTACCCTTTCCTACATCTTTCCTCCTCCTCTACGTCTCTGATCACCATACTGACATGAAGAACAGGTCGGCGACCTCCCCATGGGCACCTACGAAATCTCCCCCGACCAAGCCCTCGCTTCCGCAATCACCATGATCAAGACCGGCCGCGTCCACGCCATAAAACTCGAAGGCGGCGCAGACATGGCGCCTACAATCAAAAAGATAACATCTGCTGGTATACCCGTCCTCGCCCACGTAGGCTTGACACCGCAACGTCAGAACTCCCTCGGTGGCTTCAGAGTCCAAGGCAAAACCACAGCATCTGCATTGAAACTGCTGGACGATGCAATCGCCGTACAAGAAGCCGGCGCTTTCGCCATGGTCGTTGAAGCCGTACCCGCTGAAATCGCAACACTGGTGACGAAAAAGCTGCGTGTCCCTACCATAGGTATTGGCGCTGGAAATGGATGTTCTGGTCAAGTCCTCGTACAAGTGGATATGCTAGGCAACTTCCCTCCCGGTCGTTTCCTGCCCAAATTCGTAAAGAAATATGGAGACGTTTGGGGAGAAGCTTCGAGGGCGATTGCGCTGTACAAAGAGGAGGTGAAGAGTAGAGTATATCCTGCTATTGAGCATACTTATCCCATGCCCAAGGAAGAGCTGGCGGAATTCAGAAGGTTGATTGGGGAGGAAATTGGGGGAGGTGAGAAGGAGTAGGACCTCTTCTTCTTGTGGCCTTTGGCTTGCTGTTCTTTTGTGGTTGTGTTGCGTCTATACCCTCATTGGCGATGTGTGTTTTTTCTGGGAGATAATTATATGCGCTTTCTCATTGCGTTTGTTCACCTTGTCTATCCTTTCGCCTTGTATCGAACTTCCTGTGATGCGTCTTGTAAACTCCATGCCTACCATCAACCCATATACCTCCCTCATCCCACCACATCGCACATCTGCACTCCATCCTCCCACAAACCCATCACCCAAACGACTGCGCAACACAATACGACACCACCAATTCATCACCCGTCCTAAAGCACCTCCACAGATTCCCCACCCCCTCATCCAACCCAGGAGCAAACACCTGATTGACATAACAAAACACACTCTCATGATTCTGCAACCCCAACCTCTTCCTCAGAAACTTCACCACCGCGTCGAAATGGAGAGATGAAGACATTTTGAAGCGTTGGCCGCCGCGGAGGGGAGGCGTGCTGGGGCCGGGGCGGAAGTGTAACATTACTGTGATTGAGGAAGTATCAGTAACATATAGTAGACAAGTATAGGGATTAAGAGGGGTTGTGTGTAAAAGGGAGAATGGGGATGGGAAGGTTAGGAAGGTTAGGTGAAAGAAATGGAGGTGGGGGTTGCTACTTTTCTCCTGCTCGAGCATTCCGGCTTTCGATAGGGCGTTGTGGGCATCGCGTGGTAAATGATCTAGTACCACTGATGCTGCCATCGTCATGGGCATGTCTGTTTGTAGTGATTCGTTTGATGTGAGTGTTGCTTCTGTTTCTGCTTCTGCTTCCATTTCGGGTGTATCTTGCGGTAATGGCGGTGTTGAGGACATTTTGGTGGGGAGGTGTGGTTTTGCGACTTTTTTTGCTTCACTGGAGATGACGATGTGATTATTGTTCGGCTGCGTGAGATGCTGTCGAACCTGATAAAGGTTGGTTTTCGCTAATGATATTCGGGGTTGATGTGTCGTTGACCTGAATGGTCGTCGAGGAAGTCGCGAGTGGAGGTGGGGTTCTTCAAGGCAGCCAGATCAACAAAGTTTCCACCACAACACATAATAGAATTACTTTTCTCAGACAACGGATATATATCTGTTGTAAGTTGGACTGGATTTCAGACAACTAACGGTAAGAATGTCGAGGTTTGGAAATCAAATCACTTTCGTGTGATCTTCGCGAGATGGTGACCTGGATTTCCAACGCATTTGTCACTCGAACGATTGATGACCGCAAGTTAAGGGATTTGAATGCAGAGAAGACGTGAGAAGATGCGATAATTCAATGAGGTTTGTTCGTAGTCTCTAGTTATGCTCGAAACTGGCGAGTGTGAGTTCGGGAAAGTATGAAGTAAAATGAAAGTTTTGTTCTAGTCAAAAGACAGTGCTAATCACTGGCAGTCCATCTACAAGTCTTCTATCTCATCGCATCTACCTTATCGGACTCCCAAAGATATCCTTCTTGATGGGAGTCTGGTTGGCTCCTCCAAGCAATGCAGGTCCAACAGTCTTCCTAGCCGGTGTACCAGGCACGCTCATATGTCCTGGAGTCTCCGGCCTCCATTCTCCTGTCTCTCTTTCCGTCTTGTAAACTGATGGCGGCTTGAAGTTTGTTTCTCTGCCGCGGTCGAAGATGTCGTCGAGCATGTTCTCGATGATGCCGGCGTCCATGAATTCTTGGTATTTGCGCCATAGCTTCAGTGCTGTACGGGCGTCTTCCACACTGTCATGACCCTTGTCCGCGTCTTGTTGAATCTCTTCTCTGAGCAGATACCAAGCCAAGAAACGCAGCGAGAGACGGCGCTGACTGCGGAGGCGATGTGAGAAAAGATCAACAGTGTCGACGACCTGAGCTCGCGGTACATGTATATTGATGATGCGGAAATCCTTGGGTAGACCATGACCGACAAACACAACACCCAAGTTGAGCAATAACCAAAGCTTTTTGTAAGCCACCTTCAGATTGACCAAGTTATGTTTGCTGACGGCGCGGTCGAGGTCACCAGGGCTGATGCCTGAGTATGCAGTCAAGTAGTCGACCACGGGCTCAGAGCTGGCGATATAGTCGTCGATGAATGGCAGGCCCTCGTAGGGACCAGCTCCTCTTAAAACCGATACACGAGCCAGGCCAAGTCGTGGAGGCCGGACCGTCTCACGCGTACCATCCGCTTTGATGTCAATCTCTGCCTTGGAGAGAGCGACGAACTCAGCGTCGATCGCGCATGGCATGCCAGCACGGGGCATCTCGGTCGTCGGGTTGAGATTGCGCAGTACCGTAGGGTCCGGTGTTTTGTGTGGCCCTCTGGGGACATAATAGAGTAGTGATGGGTCAAGGTTTTCTTTCCAAGAATCGTCAATGACGTGAGACGCCGACTTGGCTTGGTAGGTAAGAATGGACGGTAGTTTCCAATTCATATCAAATCGAAGAGCTTCTTCGGAAGTGGTAGATCTGACAAGGAAGTCATTGAACAGGTGCCATTGGTCTTGATCAGCTGGGTCGGGCGAAGATGGTGCAACATTGATCAAAGACACGAGATGCGACTTTTGGTTGTCTGCGCTGTTGATATCAACAACCATACCAACAAGCTCGTAGACCATGATATCGTAGAAGCCGCGCTGCAGATGGTATTTGAGGTCAGATCCTTCGTAGCAGAAGAATTGACCATTCTGTACCACAACGCCAATCTCTTGAGGCAGCCACCCTGACGTTGACCATAGCTGTTTGTGGTCTGGCGAATGAATGGCCGTGTTGACCATCAAGACTTTGGGGATACTTTGGATGGTCTTGCGGGTACTCAGCTGTTGGTACCGCTTGCATCTGTCGCACCAGCCTCTGGTCTGATCTTGACGCTCAACACTGGCTTTGAGGACTTGGGAGAACGCAGGCCTTGGTGTTGCCATGCGAGGGTGATGTTTCAGGGGTTTCGGAGGGTATACCAGGTCATGAACGAGAGTCTCGCCTGGCTTGAGCATTTCGTTGGCGCAATGCCCGCATCGTATTGCAAGCAAGGCGCCAGTGGTCAAAGACTGCTCCATGTGTCTATTATGAGGTGGTAGCTGTCGGAAGCTGTCACAGAACGTCTTGAGCAAGAATCTGTTTGCTGCTTGTATTGTGACGGACAGCGGATTATTTGCAGCGGCGAACTGTTCGAGCAACCCTAGCGTTGAAGCGTCTGACGAACTGCTGAAGACCTTGAGGAAGTTGCTGGCTTGACAGTTCATACCTGCAGCCTTTTCAAGCATGTCTGTCAGGAAGCCCATCTCGCAGAGTAAGCAATTGTCGTACAGACAAGAAGTGGCTGTGTGATGGAGGGCAAGATTACGAATTGTTGGCGTGAAGCGTAGAAGTTGCAAGAGTGGGTTCGTGTATGAGTTGGCGATATGAGTCTCCAGTCCAGAGTGCTTCGTTTTGTTGTAGTACCTGCATCGTGTCAGTATAGGAACAAAGGGCTGAAGATAGTGAAACTAACTCAAAATCGAAATCATCTACACCAAATTTACTATATTTGATCTCGACATTTCGATACATGACTGGGACATCTCTTCGTGTTGCGCCGCCAAGAGCCAGGTCACCCAATGCTTCAAGTGCATCTGACATTCGTCGAGGGCCGTCATGACCTTGCGAATCGTCTTTTTGTCGCTCACTGAGAAACCTGGGCGCAGAGAGTGTATCGTGTGCTCGTTGAACAGCTCTGGTATCCTCAAACTGGTATCTCCGCGTCTTACGCGGGAATGATGCGTAGCCTCCGATATCTGATCTTTTCAAAGAGGCGAGTATGCCGGCATCAATCTTGCTCGGTGGTGCTCCAACTTCAGAAACAAGGTGACTTGGCCAAGCGGAGAATAGCATCTCTCTGTAGTAAGGCATACCAATGAGGTTCAATGGGCTACTAGTCATCAGCAAACGTCCGCAATCCACATGTAGAAGAGCTTACATGTCTGCAGACCAGTCCATTTGTGGTGTTGGAGCAGGCTGATCAGCGAATTCGGTCGGACTTCCATATTCGGTAAACTGGATTTTGTTGGGTGACCCCCAAAGATGCATAGCGCATTGAGCATCTGCGAGCACCAAAGCATCTCCTGATGGTGCTATATCTAAGGATGTAATGTGGGTGTCGAAGACGTTTGCATGCCGCATACTAGGAGCATCTGGGTTCATGATGTCGATTGCATAGATCAGTCCACCTTGAGACGCAACCATACAAGTAGTCGACATCTTTGGATGCATCCTTACAAAGGCAGCGCCTGGAGGAAATGGTACCGGAGGAAGGGGCATCATAGTCTTCAGGTCAAAGACGTTCGCCAAGTGGTCCAACATATAGCCATGCTGTGGCCTTGATGACCATCCGCAAGTAACAAGTACGTCAGATCTGGCGTCCATGTCGTTAATGAGTGCTGAGTGTGCTTTCCATGTTCTAGCGACCTTGTAGTTGATGAGATCCAGGAAATGAACGTAGCCGTCAGCCGTACCAGCACAGATGTACTGACCGCCGCGTTTCATCAAGGTATATGGTGCATCGGCTTTGAGCTGCAGATCGGTCAGTAAAGATCATTGAACATGGACAATACACATACTGTTGAAGTGATGACACCCTTGTCCACATCAATCTTGTACATGGTCTCCTGGCAGCCGGCGACCAAGACCTCATGGACACCTTTCGAGGTGAATGCCATACACCGCAGATCCTTCATGTCGTCTTGGCTTGTAAACAGTTAGATTCTCTCAATCATAGAACGCCAACCGAGTTCTTACTTGAAATGCCATTGAGTCACTCCTTTCCGTGAAGCCAGATGCACACTCTTTGCTGTAATTGATATGACACCTCTATCGCACATGAGCATCTGCTTGACAGGACCTTCGGAGGGGGCATGGCCGCGGTAGGAGGTGTATCTTTGCAGCTCGGGTCCGTAAAATGATGTTATCCTACCCTGTATTTCTGGAATGAGCAAAGAATAGAATTAAATGGATGAACTGAAGAGGCACTTACAAATTCATTTGCGGCCCATAGCAGCTCTTGCATAGAATCAAAAGAAAAGGTGCTGATTGGTGTGTTCAAAGCATTTGGACTAGGCGGAGGAAGCACAACGCGAGCGACCTGTAAATCGAATGAACAAGGTGATCTCTCAAAATGCAACCGTCCGATGGATTCAATGTCGCATTGATGTTGTTGGGCGACGCCTTACCTCATCCCAATCTGTCTCCATTGTTGCGGGATTGACTCGATCTATGCAGCATTACTTGCGCAAACGACGACATGTGGGTTAAGAATAATGTTTGCTTCCCGCCTTCCATCAACCAAGGAACAAACAAGGCAAGCGACAATGGTGGTTCTTTGCAGCAATCAAGCAGCCCTGTCGAAACCGGCGGGATGGACGTGTTCTCCTTGGTCGGACGCGTCTCGATCGAGACGGAACGCAACATGCCGACGCCGAAGCCGAAGATCACGTGCATTCCATTACACCTTGGTCATGACGTCCATCTTTGTCTCACCAGCGAGTGGTCGCCATCGATAATTTTCCATGATGCAGAAACAGTTTTTTTCGACTTTGAGGAGGTTGCAGCATGAGAATCCGTTGGTAAGCATGGATCGACTGGTGTTGAGATTGGGACTAACGAGTCTCAGGGATTGCCGAGATCTGGCACGCCGCCGAATTTGAGAGCTCGCATGCAAAGAGGATTACCAGAAAAGCGACCAATTAAAGATGTGAAGAAGGTTATCGCAGTATCCTCAGCAAAAGGTGGAGTTGGAAAGTCGACTATTTCCGGTATCGTTATACCCTTTACAGGTCTTGGTTCTTGAGCTGACAGAAATTAGTCAACCTTGCTTTGGCATTCGCAAGAAGTGGTCTAAGGAGTGGCGTCCTTGATACTGATATATTCGGGCCCTCAATTCCAACTCTACTCGACCTCGAAGGAAACGAACCAAGACTATCGGCCAGTATGTTCTCCTACAGGCACCTCTGACTTCGACTAATTGACGATACAGACAATCAGCTAATACCGCTAACAAACTATGGACTCAAATCCATGTCTATGGGCTACTTGGTGCCCGAAACATCAGCAATCGTATGGAGAGGTCTTATGGTCATGAAAGCACTTCAACAACTTCTTCATGAGGTCGAATGGGATGGCCTCGATGTCCTCGTACTCGACTTGCCACCGGGCACTGGCGATGTACAATTAACCATCACGCAGCAAATTGAGCTTGATGGTAAGTCGTAATCCTGAGCCAGGTTGAAGATGTTCTGACGAATAACAGGAGCTGTCATCGTATCAACGCCACAAGATGTCGCACTCAAAGATGCGGTTCGTGGTGTTGAGATGTTCCGCAAGGTCAAGGTGCCGGTAAGAAAACGCGTATACCCATTGCCTTGTCCTACAGCTGACGTTTCAGATCCTTGGAATGGTCCAGAACATGTCTGCGTTCACCTGCCCAAACTGCTCCACCACACATTCAATCTTCGGCCGTGAAGGTGTGATCAAAAAGTGCGACGAGATGGATATCAAGCTACTTGCCGACATTCCGCTTCATCCTAGCATCTGCGAAGATGCGGATCGCGGAAAGCCTACAGTGGTTGCAGAACCAGACAGTGCGAGAGCACAAGTTTTCAAAGACTTGGCAGCAGATCTAAGGAAGCAGTTGCAGTTTTGAAGTCACGAGTCCTCCTACGACAAGGGATGCAACAACATTAAGACAGCTTATCCAACGATCGACTCGACATAGCGACTGGTCTGGACGGTATTCTTGTCTTTACCAGAGGATACTGTTCTGAGGTTCATGAGAAGGGACAATTCTCGGCGCGACCCTGCATATCAAGACTAAATCCTTCCATAAGCTCCGCCACGTCAGCAAGGCTACGCCCCAAAAATGGATGTAAGCGCCCGTGAAGTGTTCAGGACAATGTTTCAAGTCAGGCTGAGCTGACAGAGACTCATTACCCGCTCAATCCCATGAGAGTTCTGTTTGCGTCCGCCGAAAACCAACATTGAGGAACATGAGGTTCTGAAAACAGAGACCATAGTTCTAGTATCCCTACTCTTCATCATTTTCACCAATTGCGATTTTCGCAGCATCAACCATGGTTTTCTTATTCTTTGACCACAAATCCACACGAGCATGCTTTTCTTATCTCTCGACTGTATCATGTCTTCTCCTCTTCAAACAAGCTCTTGCACAGAGCAGGATCAACCCAGATGCGCATCCTTGGGTCCTCAACTATAAGTCAGTCGGTACGTTTATTCGGATTCTGGTAAAGGAGGATCTTGTTCCAGCTAACACAGCGCAGCCGGTCCTGATGGTATGTCGACCACTTTCATACACATTGAAGGCTTTCTTTGACATCATCGTAGGCCCTTGGAATGCCGTCTCCCAGCTAGTGGACTACCCGGAGCAGGTTTGTCTTCTGTGTTAAGATCTATTCCCCGAGCATAGCTGACACTACCGACCTCAGAATCTCACATTCTTCCCATCTCTTACACAATCGAGCTTGTTTATACAAGCTAGTGCCTGTGACACACAGGATTCCGCCTGCCCTTTGGAACGAACAGGCATGTGGACACGAAGTGGTGCGCATTCGCTCTCAAACTGGGTTAATTCGACAATCTCCCAGGCTTCGACATGGGATACCCTAGCCGAGCCTCTACGACTGGACGGCTCTGCTGTCCAGAGTACGGATCGCATTGTTCTGTGGTCAGCGGACCGTGCCGACGGACCTTATTATCTCGACGGTCTGGCTATCACCATCGCTTCCAACTACACTATCACTTATCCACAGCATAGCATATCACACACGATGGATGTTGGCATGGTTAGTCGACCGAATCCGGAATATGTTGCATGAATGCTAATATGGTGGATCATAGCTGTCGCTGCATACTGGATCTGACACGGTGAATTGGACCTCAAACAATGGCTCGCAAGTGTCTTATGATCAGTACTTGTACAAAGCCTACACAATGGGAGACATCCCATCTATCTCTTACGGCCTCCACGTGGGATCTGTATATCCGCCGGTGCCCGGGAGCCTAATTCTGGGTGGTTACGATCGGTCTCGATGCATCAGCACCCTCATCGTTTCAAGCGAAAACAAGTTTACGCTCGCTGAAATAGACTTGGAAGTCACCTCGGGAGGCTGGCCTTTCGTGAAGAAACAATCAGCTTCTGACTCCAACCTCCTGCTTGACGGCAATACTGGGAGCAACAGCTCGCTGACAGTGATTCCGAACCCTGGAGTACCGTATCTTTATTTACCTGGCAACACCTGCAAATTGATAGCGAGTTTTCTTCCGGTCGCACTCGACGAAAATCTTGGACTCTATGTTTGGAATACGACGGATCCGAGCTTCAAGAGAATCATGACATCTCCATCTGCAATCAAATTTTCTTTTCGCACCGATCCCGGGCTCGAGGACATTTCAGTTCCTTTTGCATTGTTGAATTTGACATTGGATTACCCTCTCGCGAATACACCGAAGCAATACTTTCCTTGTTCTCCATATACACCATCAGATGGCTCGACCTACCACTTAGGGCGTGCGTTCCTGCAAGCAGCATTTCTTGGAGAAACCGGACAGACGCAAAAGGTGTTCCTAGCTCAAGCACCTGGACCTGGAGCGAAGGATGAGGTTATAACGAAACTCGCATCCACTGACAGCACATTGACGGCTATGGCGAACCCACCGACGTGGAATGCGACATGGACAGACTATCTGAGAGCACTGCCAGATGACAGCACTAGCACGACTTCATCGACTCCGGATGGCTCCAACGGATTGAGTGGAGGCGCAATAGCAGGAATTGTGATAGGTGCGGTTGGCGGTATCGCGATATTCGCAATGGCAGTCTTTATTGTCATGCGACGCAGACGCAAGTCTCGCAAGCCTCAAACGGTACATTGGGGCGGACATGGAAGCGCTTTCCAAGACAAGGATGACCCTTCAGGAGAAGGACCTGTAAGTGAATCGGCCAGCGACCCCATCTACGAGGTTGCATCCGATCAGGGAAAACGCGACAAGGCAAACGGAGCAGCCGAGATGGAAGTGCCTGGATATATTGGGGAACTGGAAGGGAGTTATGCGTATCGAAGAAGCCAGGTTTTGACTTGATTGTATTGAGACATGGAGGGTGGTACTTCACATGTCAAGGTCAGCATGGCGTCCGGCTAACCAGGCTGTCGGAGCAGGTGGCATGGAACAGAATCTGTCGAGAATGGTGCATGGGTCATTGATGCAAGAAGTGTTGAGGACTGTAGCCACACAATGCAGACATGTGCATTCACGCGCATTTGATAGACTGTGGTGAACTTGACTCGAAGATTGTGCTTGACTCGAATGATGACCATTTGACAGGTTGTTCGGCGGGCAACCCCAGAGCGGCGGATTTGACGCTTTGAGGGGCGGCGCATTCAATCTCTCCACGCCGTCATAACCAGCGCATCCTCGATCCACCATCTCATCGTCGCCAAGTCACACTGCATGCCGCCCATTGGTAGCATAGCATGAGCAATTAACGACAAGGTACCCCCTAGACTTGTACCACAGTACCAGCATCCATTATCCACCACCATGGCCGGCGATGACGCCCCGGCGAGTCCGCACCCCAGGCGACCTCCTCTAGGCCACCGGAACTCGAGCACATCGTCGCATCTATCCCACTCACCCGGCGACTCGACGACCAAAGGTCACCATAAACCCGCACATCACAAGCCGCAGCGACATGTCGTTAGCCATCACAACCGAATGGGCTCGCGCAATCCTTCCTTCCACCGCACTCTGAGCAAGATCAAGATTACCCAGCACGATACGAACAAGCAAGACGACGACGAGCCGCCGACTCCGAGGGCGAAACAACAGGCCTCGGTAGCCTCTCAATCCACCCTTGTCCCGCCCAGTCCAGCCAGACCCAGCATGAAGCGCAACAACACGTCCGTCCACCTACCGCGCAACCACTCGCATGCCGGCCTGAAGAAAAATCTCTCCAGTGGTCAATTGTCCCGCGTTGGCGGCGGGAAGACTACTTCGCATGGCCGCACTGCTAGTCAGCAACAACGACCTGATATTCGACGCGCTCATACACAACCATACAAGCGTTCAAAGAGCCCTGCACCCAAAGCTTCGCAAGTCCAATTCGACGTAGGCGATGATGATGACGACGATGACGGTGAAGAGATGGAAGGAGTCGACGACCAATGGACAGAAGAGAGCGCTTCAGCCTCTCCGAATACCACCCGCGACAATACGCGAAACAACACTCGCCAGAACTCGGTCGTCTTGGACCCAAAGCTGAATCCCTACGCTCGACAGCTCGCTGAGGAACAAGCTGCAAATGAATCGTCAGGTAGCGACACAGTTGGCTCTCGCAGTCCGCCTAAGACTAAGAAGACTCCCGTCTCTCTGAGCATTCGCACAAAAGACTTTGCTGCTCCTCAAGCTGCTCCTACCTCTGCACCACAACAGCCGCAACAACAGGCACCACCCACCTCATCATACAATGCACAAGCAGCGCAACAACATATGCCGGATGCTGACGCCATAGCACGCCGCCTACTCGAGAGAAACTCTGCCCTGAACGCTGCACCACCGAGGGTTTCATCCATCTCAGCTCTCGCAAACGCAAGTCCCGGCGATCTCAAGAGTCTGTCGACCTCACAAACAGGGCCGTCTGTCACAGGCGCCACCAACACACCGGTCGTCTCACGCTTTATTTCGAACGATGGCATGAACAGTAAGGATGGAACGCCAGCCGAGCAGTCGGGCTTCTTGCAAAGCGCCAAAGGCCACTCTCGCACTCTATCACAAGCCCAGACCCGCAAAGAACAGTCCGACCTCTACCGCAACCAATCTACCCCAAACTTCGCCTCGCAAAAACAGCCACCGACTCCCTCAGGCTCGGGTGCTGTTACCCCAGACCCAGCACTGAACCAAAGCAGAACACAGCAGAAACTATGGTTACAACGCGGTCTCTCCAATATCGAAGCCAGTTCACAACCCCACCTGCCAGGCCTGTTGCCCACAGGCCGTGCCCAAGCCATGCGCACCCCGCACGCGGGCAAGCAATTTGAGTTTGTCGACAAGGAATGGGCCGTCGTGCGTCGCTTCCAAAACCCTCTGGATGCAGGTCTCGAACGGCTGAGGAAGATGAATGGCGGTTCTTTACCCGGGAGACCTAGCAAGTCAAAAGCAGGCGTGTCTTCTTCTCAACAACATACCAATGGTGGTGTCAATGGGCATATCAAACGGCCTTCCACCTCTGCATCTATTGCTAGTAAGAAGAGCGATGCTACTATTGTCGCTGGGAACGAACGTCCTACTGCAGGCAGGAAGTCGCGTGTCAGCTTTCACATGGGTGAGCTCGAAGGCGACAATGACGATGACGAGCACAACGAACATCGATCACCGCCTGACCGCGACACTCCTGCAGACATTGCTCGCAGGTTATGGGATTCACCTATAGGTATCCAAGTAGAGGGTTAGGACGAACTCTACGATACGTACTAATTTCTCCACGACTGCTTCTGGTCTTTTGTTCTTTCTATTGCTATTATTACTGTGTCTTTGTTTGACACTTGTTCTTCTACTCGCTTTTTACATTCCTTTCTTTTACTCTGGCTTTTGGGTCTTGGTTCAATGGGTTCTCGGTCTATTATACAAGCATATGGCGCGGCGTTGGTGGATTGTTCTTCTTCAAAGTGTACCTTTTCTCCATCCTCTCTTGGAAGTAACTCAATTCAACATTTCTCTTGAAGCTTTGAAGCGTTACTTGTCCGTTCGTTTTCTGACTTTTGACGACCTTTTCTCGTGTACATAGTCGTGTTTGCGAAGAACCTCTAGCATATCACGTGTAGCCTTGACCTTTTTGTCTCTTTTGTCTTTTTTTTGGTTTGGTGCAAAGCAATAAATGACCGTTTACCAAGACCCAGAACGCCAGACGCCTCCTCTCGCTTCGTTTGTTGAGAATCTTGCACACCTTCCAGTTGAAGCTTCATACAAAGTCTGGAAGGTGGAGAAGCTTCCGAACCAGCGAAACTGCCACCGACTGCCATTCAGGCACAGCATCTTTCTTATTGGATAGGTATCAGTGTCTGAATGTAAGAATTGGAAAGTCTACGCAGTGCTCGAAATCTCTGCAAGCGTAGACGGATAGCTTGGAGATATCATCATCTCATAACAACCCAGCCTTATGTTAAGCACTTCATACAGCAATAGGAGGTTCAAAGTAATAGCTAATCTCGGCATATTGCTACATAGTATAACAAGATAGCCAACGAAGAATTAAAACCCTGATTACTGTAATCTGGGAAGCGACGATAGAGATAGCCATCATACCAGTGACGTTTTGTAACAGAAAAAAAGCGATGCGAGGGAAAAGAGGCAGCAACAGTCTGTGGGCGTTGACCGGGTGTTCTGGGTTGCCTTTTTCTCGGTCGCGACGTGCTTTTCACCCGGCAACCGCGCAAAAAGTATGGTGCATGGTGGAGGGTCTAGAGTTTTGATCGCGACTTGTCGTGCAATAATGGGCGAATCGTGTGGAGCAACCATCTTTTTGTGCTACTTGTACTATTGCCTGTAGTGCTTGGTCGCACGACTCAGGATAGATGTCCAGAAAGCACCACTTAAAGGAATTGTTGAATTTTTTAATCGATTGACAAATGTCTCAGTTGTAGATTGTACAGCAATCGCAAATGTCACTGCTCTCTGCCATAATCTTGTGGTGGAAAGCCAAAATCTGCTTGTCGATATGAGTACCAATATGCCGAGGATGTTGCACATTTCCGCTTGCTGTTCGAAAAGAGGGGTCGACTTGGAATTTGCCTGTTCGTTTGGTATGACGGGCTTGCTCATTTCGTTTTTTTGCTTGCGGCGGTGTGCTGGTGCTGCGAACTGTTGATCTTTTCATTTTCGATAGCATGGTCGTTTTCTTTTTTGGCTACGCGCCCGTTTTCTGTTGCCTCGAACTGTTTCTTGAACCGTCCCCCCACATGTGTGCCATGCATGGATGGAGAGCAAAAGGTTGCACAAACACTTGCAGCAGCAGAAAGTCTCCGATTTGACACAGGCACAAGCGCCAGGTACCAAAGTCTAATGGTCGCACCGTTTCGCTCTAGCGCCCATTTCTTGCGTGAAGTGGTGAAATGAGGTTGTGCGACTAGGCCGGAAATGGGTGTTTGCGATCAAGCGCATACCGGGAAATGAGATTGAGCACGTTCTTTTGGTACCCTCTCCACACAACCACACTGTGTCCTCGTGCCCGCGGCTAAGATTGAGGGCTGTCCGGTATCTTGGGATTGGCGGTAGGTCCAGAGGTGTGAGATGTTGGTGCTTGGTATATGTTCTGTGGAGATCCTCTCGTATCCGCGCGCTCTTTCCTTCCCTTCCTTCTTTCTCTATCGATACACAGTCATTCCAACTGCAAGACAGTAACAGTCACTCTTTCCCTTTCGGATCTCATCTTGCCAATTGCGAGCTGTGCTCTGCCATCACACTCATTACACATATACTTGTCTATCAGACAACACTAGCCAACCTCGAAGGCCTAGCATTCATCACCAACATTCATTGAACATATCGCAACCAATCACCGATACACCACTATCAAACATCTCAGCCAGCCACAATGCAGTTCACCAACTTCTTGCTTCCTCTTCTGTTCGCCATCTCTGGCGTCAGTGCCCAGGACCCCGATGTCACTTCCGTCATGACTTACTACACCACCTTCACTGTTAGCCGTGTTGTCGAGACCACCACATGCACCTCGACCACTACTCCTCCTGCCGCATCCACCACTGAGGCTGTCTCTACCTCTGAGGCTCCTATCATCTCCACCTCTCAGGCTCCTGTCCCCACCAGCTCGCCTTCCACCTCTTTCACCACTGAGCTCCTCACTCAAACTGTTCAGAGAATCGCTGCCAGCCCTGTCGTCTCCTCATCCATGGTCACCGTCTACCCTGTTGCCTCTGCCGCCAGCGCTTCAGCTGCTATGCCTCACGCTTCTACCAACGGTACCACTGTCGCCATCTCATCTCCCACCATCGCACCTTACACCGGTGCCGCTTCCGGCTTGACCATCCAATTCGGCGCCGCTGCTGTTATTGCTGCCGTCGCTGGTGTTGCTCAGATGCTGTAAACCATCTCATCATCACCGCCTTTCATCTTCGCTTCTCAAAGTACCGCCCTTTTTTTACCTTCTTGGAAAATGCCCCGTCATGTCTGGTTTTCGGCACTTGATGCCAAACCACTTATCTTATACACCACCACCTTTTGTATAATGTTTTCTTCCACCTCTTTGATATAGAAGGGTGTGTTGATGATATTCCCCTTTCCCTTCTTATCCATTCCTTTTGTCAGCCTCCACGGCTCTTTATACACCAACCTTTTCTCTATCACAACTTTTATGAAGAACGACCAAAAAGCGAACAGAGACGGCGTTCGGAAATCACTTCTTCCTTCTTCTATTTTTATGGCGGATTTTCCAGATATACCCCTTGGGAGTTTTCGATGTTTTCTTACTCTTCTACTTCTATTCTTTATTTATATTCTTTGTTTTCTCTTTTGTATTCGAATCAATCTTATACCATACACATGTACATCTAAATCATTTCAAGACAATTGACTTTGCGGCTGTGAGATCTGTAATGCTTGTTCCACCGTTGTGGAATTGCATACCCCCTATTTACTTTCCTGATGTATAAATGTGCAAATTGTGGAATGCAAGAGCGTTTTGTCGGATGTTCGTGGCTCAGCTGTCATGCAATCTCACGTCATGAGGAGGATTCAAAGATGGATGTCATGAACGATGGTTTACTCTTTCGTCATTCCTGTATGCCTGATCTACATCTACACTTCTCGAGCTGAGCTGAGCTGCAGACGTCATGGAGAGGGTTGTTGCTATGTGCTCACTGCTCGCCTGATGACACTTTAACATGCCTTGATATAGACTACGATCGTCTATTGACACGTTTCCGGGGATCGTGGGGGCCTGATCGACTTTGCTCGGCTGATCTACGACCATGTTTGGCGCTGCCTGGTTTCCATTCAAGTGTGCAGACACGAAACCGGAGATCTCGAAACATGGTTTTTTTGAAACATGTTCCCCTGCACAAATCCAGACCCCAGACTTTGTCGGGAAGACCATTCTATGGTTTGATGTTTGACGAGTTTCGTGTCTATACATTTCGAGTGTTCTCTGACTTTGATGTGATGTTTGCAATGACATGGCAGGCGCTTGGGAGACGCCGAGCGGCTTCATGGCCAATCAGGGCATCTGGCAACCCGAGGAAGGCTTCAGCATATTGTGCCTGAGGTATGCAGGGAAGCGTTTGTGCGTGTGTTGGAAAGGGAGGTAGGCAACAATTCATCTGCATATCAGGATGACCAGTAGGCACCAGCATGACTTGTGATTCTGCAGCCTGTCCAGCAGCCAATATGTATTGAGGAGCCGAATTCGGTTTTTCTATCATTCTGTTACCTCCATCGTCGCGTCCTAACAACAAGACTTCACTACTCTCTTCAAAAATCTTACAGCGTACAAATCAAGTACATCACCGGCACACCTTCGTATCTCGCCGCAATGTACCAGTAAGTTTCGGTTCAAAACACACCGACGGTCCAGGTTTCTGACTTTTGTATAGTGAAATGATACCGCCTTGCAGAGAGTCGATAACAGAATCAGGCCCCAATGTCCTGGCTCTCGGCACAATGGTCAATTGTATAAGAGCACCGCTGTCCACGCCTCCTCCGCCCAACACTCTTCTCTCCTGGAACGACACAAATTTCGTCTTCCACCTTCTCCCTCGTGGTCAGTCTACTGCATACTTTGTCGACACCTGCCCACGCCCGCAGGGTACTGCACCAATGCACGAACTCATCTACGACGCCGGCTCATGTAGTGGAGTATATTTCCTGGGAGATGAAGTCGTCTGCAAAGTCAAAGGGTGGAAAGAAGGAATGCAAATGGAATCAGAAACCATCGCTTTCGTCCGCGAACACTTCCCCACCATCCCCGTTCCAGAAATCTTGTATACGTGGATCGACAAGAGCATCAATCGCTCCTTTGACATCATGAAGAGAGTTCATGCGAGGACATTGGATAAAGCTTGGGCAGATCTGACTCCTCAACAGCGATTGAATATCGCAGAACAAGTGGCTGGGTATATCTCATTGCTGGCTACCAAGACTGCCAAAAGGTTTGAAACCATCTCCGGTTGTGGTGTGGGCACACCTGCTCTGATCGCTGGTTGGCCATTCGAAAGCCCTATACACACTTGGTTCAGACGTACCCTGCCCCCTTACTCTGTCGCCGAGTACAGAGACTACGCGAAACGCATATCTACAGCACCGCCGCCGGAGTTTGATGATGAGTTTGTGTTCTACCATGACGATCAAGGACCCACCAACATCCTCGTCTCCGACGACGGAGACAGCGTTGCTGCAATCATCGATTGGGAGAATGCGGCCTTTTATCCTCGCTACTGGATCGCTACGGTTCAATTCGCTCATGCTGCGTTCTTACTAGAGCCTCCAGAAGGTCAGAGGAGGTTCGAGGGTGATGATGAGTGGGGGTTGTTACTGGTGGAGGCTCTGAAGCAGTATGGTTTTGACAACAGCAAGGAAGTCTATAGGGCGTGGAGTAAAGGTAAAGTCGAGGATGTCGATACCGAGAAGGATTTGGCGGAGTGGCGGAAGATATTGGATGATGGTTATCCGTATGAGGAGACTGGTGTTTGAGATGGAAGGTACGGATTCATGTGTTGCTTGATGTGTTCCGAGAGTCGTAGTCTTTTGATGGTTATACAATCTTACCTAACCTCGATTCTTTTTTCCACAAGCATGGAGGAATACATTGACATATACTACCATATACAGGTTTTTCAATGTTTCCTTCGTTCGAATTGACTGGTGAAAGCGCATTTCTGCTGCTTGTCCCTGTCTGTGTTGCTCTGACGACCACTTTTGAAAACGTAACTTTCATCACAGAATGTGCCAAACAGGTCCACAAATCCAAGACTATATCGACTCCTTCAACCATACTCAATCCAACCCTCCATAGTCCTTGATCGATGTTGAATCGCATGTTGCTGCCCTGAGAAACATTTCGATCTTCGGAGGTGTGGTTGAGCCGATCACCCTGACTGAATTCACCAAATCAGACAAAGATTGGAGATTGCGTAGGAAGACTCTCGGTAATCGTTGCGATGGGTAGGAGGACTATGAGTACGTAGAACGGATGTGGAAAGTATCTTCCATTGATCCGAGCACAAAGCTACCGTGATCGCCAACAGGCGTACAGAGTAAAGGAAAGAGCGATCGATGAACAGTCCGCTTGGAAGAAGTATGTCGAGCAACCAAAAGCAGATCAACTGTATCAAGTCCTGATTCAAGGAAGATATCCTCCGATGAGTGCCAGATTCTCAATCGCAGCCAATCCATATTGTCCAACATCGTTGGTGCTAACCCAAGCCGCCTCATCAACGGGGGAAAGCACCTTGCTTCCATCAATCCTCTCACTCTTCCAAGGTGCATCAGGGCTAAACCCATCGGTGTTGTAGAATTCATTCCAGGCACGTGCAGCCAGAGTGACATTGCCCGAATGTTTTGCAGCGTATGCGGTCAATCGCGAATGTCCCTGATGGAGGTTCAATTTACCAAACGCCTTGCCATAACGCGCCAGCTGTTCCTCTTGCGAAGCACCAAAGTAGTAGCAATAATCCAACCAAGCCTTTTCGAAATCAGCAGGGAAGTCATCACCAAAGTGGGTAGTGAGTTCTGCGATGACTTCTACAAGACCGAATACCGCGGTGAGATGAGAAACACCGACCACGCCTTTGTTGTCAGGATCTTGTGAAGGAGGGACGATGGTGCCGTTGTAGAGGTTGTACAATGCTTCTCCGGTGACGAAACCATTTTTGAGGTTTGCGATACCTTTCATAGTTTCGAGAAGTTTGGATTTTGCTTCTTGCCAGCGAGGGCCGCGGCATTCGTATTCGATTAGCCAGGCTGCTGCTTGGCCCGACCAGTCTAGGCCGACGTCGATGAGGAGGGCTTCTGGGTCAGCGACGTAGGTGATGTTGGCTGCTCGAACCTTTCTTCTAGGATCAACGACCAGGAACGCTTTCTCGGCATCGAGGATCTCGGTAAGAAGATCGCCCACTCTCTCATCGCCACCGGTCAAGTAGTAGAAGACCTTACGGTATTGTGGCTGCGAGATACGAATCTGCTTAGACGAGTCTGACCAATGGTTCACACCGTGTCTAGTACCCAAGCCCTTCCATGGCCCAAGATGGTAGACGTCGGTCTCGCCAGTATGTCTGGTATGAGCCTCAGCAAAGCGATAAAGATCAGCTTGCCCAGTACGAAGGAACTGATTCCAGAAAAAGAGGTTGGGGGATAGCTCGGAGTTGTCCCAAGCATAACCTCCTACATCGTAGCGCCATTCATGGCGATCAACATCATAGGTATGCATGACATCTCCATGGTCCCAGAAACCATACCATTTGCGTTGAGAGACTTGACCTTGGTAGAATTGTGTGAGGAAGTTCAAGTGGTCTTCGATAGTCTGAGCCGATGCACTACTATTCTCAGGACGTTGCCAATAGGTTCCGAGAGCTTCCGATTGTGCAATGTGGTCGCGATCAGCGATGAGAACAGGTGGAGAGTTAATGTACTGGGTCAAATTGGCGAGAGTTTCGGACTCGGGCGTGCTGTCAAAGCCAAAAAGGAACAGTTCACTAGTCTTTGCTACACCATAGGGCGAGTCGTAACCTCCCTCCCAGTCCTCGTAAGTTATCTCGAGAGCGTCAAGCTGGTCAGCATAATCTTCTTCACCCAGCCCGTCATGAAAAGGTCTCGTGTCAAGAGGTTGAGCGGCAGGGCTGTAGAGCCATAATGTGATTGCACCAACATCTGTAGCGGCATTGGAAATGTCGATCTGGGACGGATACTGCTTCCAGAAGTTCCTCAGACCAAAAGCAAGGCCGCCCTTGGTGGCACCACCAAGGTAGGCTAGTCCACCAGCACGTGTACTGCCAGGTATGTTGACCCAGGATTGACCAGCCTTGGTCCTCTTCTTCAAGGTGAATCCATCGGATGAGAGCTGAGTCAAACTGTAATCGTTCCAGGTAGGAATCCATTGCAATCTGGAAGAGACCCTTGTGTCCCAAGTGTCAAGTGCAGGAGTCTTCTTTCCTTCATACTGTGCTGTACGTACGGCCTGTCCGGGGTCCCTTCTGAGACCAGTGATACCTTGAACAGCTTCGTTGAGGATGCCACCATCGACGCCAGCAATTCGGATGTGTCGATCATAGAATTCGTCAGCAAGGGGAACATCGAACCGAAGACCAATACCGCGTACGAAGTCAGTCTCGGGAACGCCATCGTAGATTAAAGAATGGACAATTTTGATAGACTCCGAGTTGGCATAGAGGTAGAAACGGACCACGAATGGAAGCCAGTCTTTGTGTGTCGAGGTAGTTGAGTTTCCACCATTGATTTGTCGGTGGTCGCCATGCACGGAGACCAAAGTACGGGCGATGTTATTCTTGGAAACGGTGACATTGTCAATCTTGCTCTCAAAGTTGAAGTATTGAACGGCAGGTTGACCCTGCTTATCTTCGTCGTCGAAAACGGACGACTGAGACCGAAGAATAAGTTTTCCATTCTGCCCAACTACTTGTCCACTTGAAGTCTTCAACTCTTGGACAAGTATATTGCCAGTCTTGGAGAAAGTCGCGGTGATCTTGCCAGTGTCGACCTTGATAGTATCTAAGCTATCAGTAACCTCTAAGCTGCTTGTTTCGGAAGGAACAGCTGTTGAATTCTTCGATACTGCGTTGACAGTATAATCGTTTTCGAGGGCGCTGGCTGCAATAGCATGAGCAGTCCACTTGACAGACGAGTCTGACCAATATCCAGTAATCCAAGATTCTGTGGCAACGTGATCACCGTTAGAGACGACCGAAAAGATTGTGTCGTTAGCCTGATATTTCCCTCGGGGCCATGGTACTCCGAAGGTTGTTCCAGGACTATAAGCAGGCTTCTCGTCGAGCCACTGAATCTTCACAGTCCCAGAGTTAGGAGTTGTCGAGTTGGGGTAAAGCTGAGACATTACTTGACCACAAAGGCCAAACGCTGCAACCAGAGAGAAGACTTGAGAAGGCATGCTTCTTGGAGGCAAGAACTGAATCCTGATGTCCGAGATGGGATCCAGTGGGCAATTTATAGTAGGGAAGTGATATCAAGCGCAAAGGAGATTCTTACGGAGCGTATGCTGATCACTCCAAGCAACAGATACCGCAACGAGTGTAGCGATGAAAATGCACGAAATTTTCGAGAATTGGAAGAAGGTCCAGTGAGAGAGCGAAAAGTCGGGCTCTCAATAGATCATCTTCAGATGCTCAATATCACCGTGCACTTTGACAGTAAGCAATAACGATCTCACTGGATGAGGAGAGCTGAAGTCGACATGCGCTGTATAACAGACCCTCGTGTGCTTGTTACCATCTTCTCGACAGCATCGCTTCCATCACGCAAGCACATGGCGTGCTGCAACCTCAATCTATCGGTTGAAGATCAGGCGAATACCGAAGTTGATTTTCCATTGCATTCGCTTCATCACTCACTCCGGCGGGGAAACGGTACGAAATTCGATGATCATCAGATTGCAGCAGTTTTTGAGAGAGGAAACGAGAGGGAAAATATCCGTGAAGCCAAAGATGGTGCATGCCAAGCCTCCAAGCTGAGGGGCTCGCGTGGCTGACGATTGTGGTCGGGCAGAGATGTCCCTTCCTCTTGCACATCACCTCCAATGCAATCGACCGACAAATTGGAATGCTCAGGCTCAATTCATCATGTCAATTCTGAGAGGACACTCGACCGATAATGACGGGCGTTCAACTTCCCACGGACGCTCCCGCATCTAACTGCACTGAAATGCTCAGCGAGGTCGTTCACACGACTGTCACAATCCGCGGATTCTTATGTAGGTTTGGCGAGAAGAGGAAGCGACCATCTCCAAAGAAGCTGCGAGGTCTTTTATGCTCCTGCACTCTCTACGCAAGACGAAGTAGCTCGAGAGCGTCGACTCAATTCCGATCATCTGTGTCAGCTCCCATCAAAGATCGCAACTCTTACTATCAACTCAGTTGTTATGCCCATCCTTATCGTATGTTGACCCACTAGAAGCTACTTTCATTGTTACTAGGAGCCATGATTTCCAGCAATCTTTGCCGGACACTTGTTTTGTATTCAGATCCGCTGCCGCCGCCGCCTCCTCTTCTCTACGTCAACAATGCCGACGTTGTCATCTCGCTTCTTCCAGGGGAGCGACACAACCTATATGTTACCAGCGCCATGCTCGTTCGGTACTCCTCATTCTTTAGGAGCTCATTGAACTCCGATTGGATCAATGGAAAAGTCACTGGACAACAAGACATTGGTAACGGAACACATCGGACAATGAAGAGATACGAGCTGGAATTCGACCCGGATGGGTCAAATGCGTTGGTCGGAAAGGTCAGCATATTACCGAATGCAATGGCTTGACATCGCTAATACCACAATTGCAGACAAGCATAACCCCAAAAGAACAGCGCACAGCTGCAATCGAGGCGGCCATCACTAGCGAAAGCTATCAATCGGCCATCAAGGACCCCAGAAGCTCGTCATACCCGGTCTCGTGCTCTGAAGTACGCCTCGAGCAAGACATCATCGCCACCGTCAACCTGCTAGGTTTCTGCATATTGTGCGGGTTTCCTCTCCAGCCGACAGCAATCTCACCAAACATCAATGGTTCCTACACTGTTGCTTCTGCAAAAATGTTGTACCTTGTCAAAAAGCTCCTGCAATGGATCAATTACTACGATGTTCTGGAAGCCACCCGCTGGAAACTTGCCCACATGTTCATGAGCGCGCCCTGGCTCGAGTACCTGCCGACATCCGACGACCAGCTCATACGAATCGCTTCGGTCCTGCGCGACGAGGAGCTCTTTAGTCATGCACTGAACAGGAATCCATTCTTCAGTAAGGAGCGGTCATTCAACTTGGAAGCTCTTGACATCAGATTGGGTCTGCCACAATGGATTTTTTAGTACGAACAACGCTTGGACGACCTCGTCAACGAGCTTTTAGTGCTTCTTGACAATGTTCCCTGGTCGACAGCAATCACTCCCGTTCGGAAACTTTACCTCGGCCCTCAATCTTGCCAGACTGATATTGGACTAACATCTCACATTTATTTTGTCGCATACAATTGTTGGCGACATTGGCTGATCAGTGATGTCGTCCGTGGTACTAGCTTTCCTGTGATGGGCGCATTACGGATGTTCCAGCTCAGAGATACCTTGGACCTCGTAAACATCGGCAGCGATCCCTTTCCATTGAGCCTGTCTCAGTATACACACGGCATCCCTCAGCGTGTTGCAATACTCCTGCGAAAGTGGGTGGACCTTGGTCAAGATCTCGCTCTGGAGCATTTTACGCCTCCCCGTAAGCAGGGTCAAGCTTATCGACTAGACAACGCTCAGCTCTTCCTTGACAATGGGTATCCTTGGGACTATCGCAGCGCTAGTGTGAGCGATGATATCTTGTTCAGCTTAGTTGCAGAACAAGATTAGGTGCTTTCAGAGAGACCCTCTCCTGAAAGTCTTTACCTGTAGGTTGGGCCCCGATTGTTGATCCTTGTTCGTTACCGTAGCTACAGTCCTCATTGCCGCTAAATCAAGACTTTCGTTTTTTCCAACCCTCAAACTCAGTACGGGCTAGACTTCACAAACTATGGCAACGTTTGGTGAGCTTGACAATGTGGTATCTGAATAGCTATTCTCTACGCAAAAGCTCGCTATTCTTGCTGGTGCAGCGTGTGGTTGATCTAATAGAGCTGACGGAGCGCACCAGGGAAACATCTCATTGACTAGTCGTAGGAACCGGAGCTCTGGGCATATCAGTAGGTGCACCAAGACCAACAAAAAGCAAGTTGTCTTACGTCAATATCGTCCTCGTGAAGGGTGGTAGAGTGGCCACGGTCACCGGTGACGAAGATTCTGTTGCCATCTTTGAGCCCAACCTTGTATGTCAGAGTCAGAGTCAGCCTATCGCAAGCGACTCGAACGTATCGTTCAACGCAACATACCGACTGCACAGTAGCGCTATGAGTCAAGTAGGTGAGAGTGTCCTGGCTCCAGTAGACACATTCGGCACTCCAGGTCTTGCGAGCGAAGATGCCTTCATCTGAGTTAAAGACCACGGGTTGAACATTCCACACCCTGCCACCAGGATAGCCGGTGAGGGTGCACCAGCGGATGGTGACCTGAGCGACTGGCTTCTTGGTGAAAGGTTGGCCGGATTTCGAACTTGATTCATGATTTTTGTACTCCTCTTGGGTGGGCCATTGTGTGAGACCCATGGTTGCTGAGTTGATGTTTTGGTTGGTTGAGATAGTTGATTGATGTTGGGAGGCTGGCGAGATATATAGCTGGGAGCTGCTTATGCCGGAAGATTCTGCTGGGCTGTCGTCGTTGTCGTATTGGCTATCATGCTTGCTCTGGGAGCTTCCTGTTGTGCCTTGCGGGATCTTTATCGTGGTCTAAGGCTGTATGGAGGTCTTTGAATCTTGCTGCAGTGCAGTGGCTGTGGCTGCTAAACGACTTCGTTGTAGTCTTGGAGAAGAGAAGATGTTTGCTTTGGAAATCCCTTCCAAGGGTGGATACCACGCCTTTGAATGCTTACGCCTAGAACTTTTGGCTGAGCCTTTTTAAGTGATGCTGTTGTAGCAGATAGCATGAAAGATTGCTTGCTTGAAATCATGCCTAAGATCGAAATGTCTGGTAGACAGCAATTTCTTTGTAACCCTCTCTAGATCATCACGTCGTTTAGCCAGAGCTAGATGCTTCTTTTGCAATAGATGAAAACCGACTTGTAGTTATACCATTGCCGGTATAGACTTAGGGTATTGTCACAATTCGACACATCTTGATACTCCACCTTAAGCCCGATCATCCAAACATGTCGAACAGTTCTTGAATTCTTATGACAGCATGGCGATGAAACTCACGATTATGACCCGAAGGAGTTTGTTCATGAAAAACATGTCTGAAAAGGGGCCAGGTAAACACTCGGTAGTGTTTCTACACGTCCGAAATCCTACGACGCATCAGTTCTGCGAAGTAAACATCAAACACTTTGCTGAAAAAAGGAGATGTTAAAGAGGGATGTGTTCTCCGACACGCTTGAACTTGCCCTTTTCGCATGCGTCCGAGCTCATCACCTAGTCAGGCGGGGTAATCAGAACTCGCTCATTGGTCATTCCCCGCGGTAATCAGGGCGACGGCTACTGCGGAGAGGGCAGGAACAAGAGATGGCATTACGAATTGATACGATATAGAGCCGGTATGGTGCTAGACGGATATGGGGAAAAGGCTTGTTTACAGTTGTTCAGTTGGCAAGGAAGGTACGAGCCCTCGGTGTACACCTGCACCAAAAAATCCATATCTTTGCAGATTAGCCAGGTTTGGAGATTGTGCTAACCGGCGGGAGCTTTGATGATTCGTCAATGACGATCCACCGTCTTTAGCTCCTGCTTCTTCTTTTCTACATAAACGTGTTGGCCCCGTGGTCTTCTAGAGCTTCCTGGCCTTTTGTTTAGTTTCCCTGTACCTAACATCCCATCACAACTCGCTCAATCACATTCATCATGAGCGTCACCAAATTGGCAGAGTTCGGCGCGAAGCACGTGGCCCGTGGAATTGGCCGTCTCTCAAACCATGTCCTTGAGAGTGGTGCTGGCAGCTACGTGACGACAACTGAGGGTCGCAAGATGCTGGACTTCACCAGTGGTATCGGTGTCACAAACTTGGGTCATTGTCATCCCACAGTCACAAAGGCGGCACAAGAGCAAGTCGGCAAGCTCGTCCACGGTCAAGTAAACATCGCTTTCCAAAAACCATACCTGGAGCTCGTCGAGTCATTGCTTCCGATGATGCCTCACAAATCTCTCGACACTTTCTTCTTCTGGAACTCGGGATCAGAGGCCGTTGAAGCAGCTGTCAAGCTTGCCAGACACGCAACCAAGAAGCAGAACATTATTGTTATGCAAGGATCTTACCACGGACGCACATTCGGAACTATGGCCATGACACGATCAAAGACAATCTACGGAGAAAATTACGCTCCTTTGATGCCCGGTGTTTTCTCAGTACCTTTCCCTTACTGCAAGCAATGCTCAATCGCCCTCAATGCCGATGGAAAGTTTGGATTCGACAAGTGCTGTATGGACCCCGTTCTCCAGCTCGAGTTGCTCTTGAAGCGTGAGACTGCTCCCTCAGACACAGCAGCCATCTTTGTCGAGCCTGTTCTCGGTGAAGGCGGTTACGTTCCTCCACCTGCTGGATACCTTGCTGCTCTCCGCAAAATCTGTGACAAGCACAACATTCTTCTTGTCGCTGACGAGGTTCAATGTGGATTCGGCAGAACCGGAAAGATGTTCGCAGTCGAGCACTGGGACGTCAGACCTGACATTCTTATCATGGCCAAGGGTATTGCCAACGGTTTCCCTCTTTCTGGTATCGTCTCGCGCAAGGAGTTGATGGACAAGCAACAACCCGGAAGCATGGGTGGCACATACGCCGGTAACGCTGTATCCTGTGCCGCAGGTGTTGCAGTAGCCAAGGCCTTCAAGGAGGAGAAGATCCTGGACAACGTCAATGCTCGCGGAGGAGAACTCAAGGGAGCTCTTCAAGCAGCCAAGGAGGACCCCAAGACCGGAAAGCTCATCTACGACGTTCGTGGTCTTGGTCTGATGTTGGCTCTCGAGTGCACACCCGGCAAGGGCTACGCATCCAAGATCCAGGCCAAGTGCATGGAGAAGGACATGCTGGTCTTGACAACATCCATCTACGACACACTCCGCTTCATCCCTCCATTGAACATCACCAAGGAAGACATGGCCAAGGGTATCCAGATAATCACAGACGCAATCAAGGAGGTCGCTGCTGGTGAGGACCCGCAGGAGACAGCAACCAAGGGTCAGGCTCCTGAGTAGATGTATGATGAGGATACTTTGTACGACAGACGATAAAATTTAATGACATTTTCCAACTTCTTTTCACTGTCACCCTACGGTATGAATGGACAATCTCGTGACCGCGGTATTTGGAAAGCGCTATATAACCAGCTCGCCACCTAAGGATTGACTCTCAAATCTATAACTTCGCTCTCCTCGCTAGAAAATCCAAAATGGCCGTGGAGACAGGAGAAGTCTTGTGGAAGGAAGCGATCAACACCGACAAAGGCAGCAAACGACGCGACTCAGGCTCCGACTCGATGAAGGAGGCAGCAATATCCGAGTTCGAGTTCATCAGTAGGTCATCCGATATGAGTGCACGCAGGAGAACACATCCAACAGGTCGAGGTGATGGAATAGAAGTCAGTCTTTGTAGGATAATCGGACAGTGCAAGCCATCTCACTGTCGACAGTTGGGTTGTCTTCGAGTATACCTCGGTAGGGTTCTTCTCTTCTGGTGCAGAGTCTACTCAACTATCGGACTACAGAGTGTGAGTGTTTGGTACAACTGACATGCCATCCGTATGGCACTTTTCTGACTGATCCGCGAAAGACACAACGACAATACAAAAGGAGCAAACAAGATCATAAGAAAGAAAAGTATGACTTTAGAACTACAGAATCAAAAAAAGCAAAAGGGGTATCAAACGCAACCGCATCATGCCATACGCTTGAGCGTTCCCATCCTTCTACTTTACTAATCTTCCACCGTTTTCCTTCTCCTCCTCTTTTACCCTCTTACTTCGCAATCCCAAACTGCTGAGCTCCATCATCGCCAGCTTCAAAGCTAAACGGTCTATCCTTGGCAGCAATGACCGGTCTGGGAGGTAGAGGTTTATTCGGACTAGATCCCAACACCGACGGCCCAGCAGCCGCAGGAGCCACAGTGACAGGTCTGCTCTTTCCTCCATGTCCAATCTTCAAGATCGCAGGAAGAGATTCGCGTTTTGTCTGTAGAGGTGTAGCATCCGCTGCCGCAGCCGAAGGTGTCTTAGGCAGAAGTTTAAACTCCGGCACCGAAGAGGAGATACGATGGCGTTTTGAAGCCGCAGAAACGGGAGGGTTGGAGGTCAAGGCTCTACCGATGTGATTGCTGGTTTGGCGTTGAGGAAGCAGGGCTGGTGTTGCGATGGCGGAGAGGAGAGTGGTGTCTCTTCTGCTTGCGCTGCTGGAGATGCTGGAGTGCATGCTGCTGATTACACTGGGGGTATGGTTATGGGAGGCAGCGATTGCAGCGGCGGACGGAGGTGAAGGTGTCATGCGGGGGTCGTAGAGCCAGGCGCTCTCGGGAAACGAGTTATGTTTGTCGTTGGCCGCTGCGGCTGCGGCGGCTTGACGGGCACGACGGCGGCGGTAAAGGGCAAAGAGGAGGAGAGAGAAGATAGCTGCTGCTGCGACGGCGCCGAAGGATATTCCGGCTATCTCTTGGGATGAGAGATGGTTGGATGTCGACTTTGAGGTGGTTGCACTGGCAGTGGTGTTGCTACTGTCCGATGAAATGGTTGCAGTTGCGGTGGAGGTTGTTGAAGACGACGAACTGGTGCTCGAGGACGATGAAGGAGGGGTAGTCGTGGGGAGAATGAGAATGGACGACGGAATCGCACTGCTGGTTGTTGTCGGACTGATAGTCGGTGATCCAGAGGCAGTCAAGATTGATGCTATGCTGGTTGTGCTGCTGGTGATGCTCACGCTGCTCGAACTGCTCGAAATAATCGAACTCTCTGTGCTACTAGGCACCGTTGAGGTTGTTGTAGAGCTGGTTTCGGTAGATGGAGTTGGAATCGTGGTTGTACTCGTAGTACCCGGGATGGCATCGCTCGTACTGGGAGACGTTGTGGCAGAATTGGCTCCCGATGCGCTGCTCGGGGTTGCCCCTGATGCGATTTGTGACGAAGAAGAAGCTACTGCTTCTGTTGTCGCGGATGTCGATGCTTGTGGAGTCGAGGTGGTAGCAGCAGATGTTGACGAAGCAGGAGTAGAGACACCACTCGAAGACGCTGCTGCGACCACTTGTAACGAGGTGTTCGAAGAATCAGCAGCTACACCTGGTGTGATAGCTTGGCTGACTGCAGCAGTTGCGGAAGTCAAAAGCAGAAGCGCAGTGGCTGTACTTGAGATTGGTGACGTTGTCGGGGAAACAGAGGACGACGAGGACGAGAGCGACTGCTTGGTAGCGGTATCACTGGTCAGCGTAGAGGTAGACATTGTTGTCGGCAATGAGGAGGCTGTGCTCGAAGAACTGATTGCGGTAGTGATGTTAGACGACAGAGACAAGCTCGATGTCGTCAAGGAAGTTGAGCTATTCAGATTTGCGGTTGAAGTCTTATTGCTTATAGATGCAGACAATGACGGGTCTGCAAGTATTGTCGTGTATGAAACAACAGTAGTGAAAGAGTGGATTGTAGACGTTGCAAGTATTGTTTCGTTAGGGTTCGAGGATATTGTGCTCGATTGTGTTGAGGTTGATATGATTGTAGTGAATGTGGTAGATTGGTTGTTTGAGGAAGATCTAGGGGAGAAGGTGAAGTTTCGCCATGCTGAAAGGGCATATAAGCGTTGATCGACCACCTTTGTTCATCAGAAGCCTTACTGTAGACTCCTTTGAAGGCCGCTACTTGATGGAACTGAATCCACACAAAGAACCAGAGCATCTTTCTAAGCCACATGATGGCGTAGATAAAGGGGATGAAATGAATATGAGCAATTGCAAAACAAAGAAAGAGGCAAAGAAAGAGGTCATGTCATGGACCTAGCCTTTCTTTTGCATGAAGAGAATTCCATTATCTCGCAGACTGGTAGAAGGGTACAACATGGCTAGGAGACGAATTAGCATGTGGTGCTATTTACTGCACTGGGGTGTTGGTTCGCAAATCGCCTGCAGAATTAAGCTGGCTGCGGCTCTTAAGGCACAGCCTCTCGAATGAATCCTTCGAGTTGGTTAGCCGCGTTCGTTTTGGCGCGACCTAATATTAGTGGTACAATGATTGTGTTCAACCTCGAGTCGTAAGCATTTCTTGGAGGGTGACGTTCTCTGACATGCTGTGTACCTGCTTGCGAGAATGACAAACGACCTGCGAACTGCTAGCCTCGTCAGCCACGTGCTGATTACTGAATGGTACCTGAGGATACTCATGACTATAAGTTCATTCACTACCCACTCGAGATCTTGAATGATATTGTGGCAGCCCATGTCTGATAGAGGAAGTTCTCGCAAGCGTTGTATCGCCGCGGGTTCATCCAGCCACCTTATGGCCTGTGAATAACTCCCCAGCTGTCAAGCAGGGATAGGCACCTCGAGCGCTGGCCCCAATCTCCTAGTCGTTGGGAGATTCAAGCTTTCCGAGATTTTGTCCTCAGTCTGACGGAAAGCAAAGCAAAGCACCATCAAGGCAGCTTCGAGTGAAACTTGACCTCGGAGATGATGTACAAATTACCAACAGGTCGTAGCTACGATTCCCGCCTTCTATCGACAGCATTCTCGTTCAACAGCTGTTCGTGAGCAACCAGGTCGCTTGACTTCTCGGCTTGTCATTGCTTCAAAGCCTGTTCAAAGACATGAGCGATGGTAATCAGACTGGTGGTCATCAACATTCAACATCTCTCGATGTCGCCCGAGCTCGCTCGACGACCGACCAAAGCCTCTCCAGCCAGACGGCAGTCAACGCCCCAGTACTTAAATTCGCGGTCTCTAGCATCGGCATATGAACATTGTTGGAGGAAGAGTGGAAGGCGTCCTCCGCAAGTCTAAAGGCCGAGAGAACAGCGACGCTTTCTCGGGCTCGGCACGTTTGCTCGGCTTCGACTCGCAAGTGGGGGAGCCGATGTCCTCGATTGTTTTATTCCGGGCGCCAAACAATCAAAACCGCGCCCCAACGAAACATGTACGCGCTCATGACTTGACGGCGAAACTGCATTCCGTGACTGTAGAACATGTAGCCAAATCGTGCATTCATACAGTTCTTCTGTTGAACGGAAAGAAGGATGGAGAAACTCTCCGAGGAGTCGCAGCATGCTGCGGCGCAAAGACAACACAACGCGATAAAGATAAAGATAGATATTGAATCTTGCCCTCTTGAGCTTTTCCGCGGGAACGCCTAGACTATCATTGACTATTCTTTACAATGACAGATCCTAAATGGTTGGCATTGTTCATGCACCCAGAATCTTGAAGTGGTCTTTGTTCAATGTTTAGCCCCCACCACGAGGCTGGCTTGATGAATAGGCGGATGAACTAGATCTCACCGCGGCTAAAGACAATTTACAGTGGCTCGAGATGATCCGGAAGACTGATAAAGTCAAAGACCAATCTTTCGGTAGACTGTTGCCCTGTCACCCTATGTAGAAGGATTCTTGCGGTCGAAATGTGGTTCACAACAATGTTCACAATGGCGATACTTTACAGTACGGGCAAAAGTAAGCACTTACAGGCGTACCTGAGCGGGAGAAACATGCTTCTCTCACAGGACAAAGTGGCAGAAGAAAGGCATCGTGATGCTGGAACAGTCAGACAGTCTTTGTTCAATTAGTGCATTTTTCGGAAAGGTATAACTCGCCGGTAAAAGGCACCGCCTTGCAAAACTCCCCAAGCGCCTTCGCTAATACCATATTCTCAATTGTCCGGGACCAATGTGTAGTCGAAATTATCCAAGCAACTGCAAGGGAGCGTTAGCAACAGCTTTGGAGGGGCAGTGGGATTTGTTACTAACCTTGAACTGACCACCACCAGTAGCTTTGTTGGCCTGCTTCTTTTGAATGCCGGCACCGGTGTTGGCTCCGAGAGGACCCTTGTCTTCCTTGACCTTGTCTTTGTTGTTGTTGTTCTTGTTCTTGTTATTCTTGTTGTAGCGGTTGTTGTCTTTCTTCACGACAGTCTTGATCTCGGTTTCGGCACGTTTGATCAAGACTGGATGGCTGCCAATGTACTTGCCCTGCATCTCTTTTGCGGCCTGGAAGAACTCATCTGTATCGGCCAAGCTGACGAAACCGAAGCCTTTGCTCTTGGTGGTACGCTTGTCGCGAATGACGCGAGCTTTCTGAACCGAGGGGTATTTGGCAAAAGCCTTCAGCAAAGATTCGTCAGTCACTTCACCTGCAAGGTTACCAACGAACAAGCGCGGGTGCGTGCCCCATTCGAGCAGAGTAGGATCTTCCCACTTCTGACCACCTCCTTCACGGAGAACAGTCTGCTGCTTTCCCGATGTATCGACAGGGGCCACGGGACCAGCAGAGACAGTGGACGTGGTAGGCTGAGCTCTGTTGGCACCGAGCGGAATGGTGTTCGCATTTCCTGTAGGAGCGCCCTTGTTGGCCGTCTTTGAAGGGTCGTCCTTGTTTGTGTACGCGCTCTGCCACTGCTGGATCTGAGCCTCTAGTTCTGGATCGTAACCGCCATTACCGTAAAGAGAGCCTTGACCTGCTGCTGGTGGAGGTGCGAAGGGATTCTTAATCTGAGGAGGAGTGTCGGTGTATTGCGCTTGGGCGGGATAGGCAGCAGCGCCTGGGTAAGAAGCACCGGCGTAGTACGGCTGGCTAGCTGGCGCTGCGGAGTATGAGGGAGGGTAGTAGGATTGCGAGGCTGGAGCGGCCGAGTACTGTGCGGGATAGTTCATGGCTGGCGCAGCGTATGGAGCTGGAGCGGCAGCTGCAGGCGCGGCCACAGCGCGCGGCTTGAAACCACTGAAGGCAGCGACATTGCGCGCAGGCTGAGACACGGCGGATGGAGGAGGTCGGGCTGGGAGGTTGGCCGGTGGTTGCGGCGTAGAGCGCGCTGAGTTGGACTGGCTGGTGGAAGGTCCTTGAGTCGGGTGCGACATGATGATCAAGGATATGCCTACGTTGAAAGTTTTTTCCCCTTCCTCACAAAGAGTTCAATAGATCGCCAGTGATGGAAATTTTCGGTCAAGTCGCTATGTGCGCAGCTGTTCGAGATATCGAAGCAGGTGATGACAATGGTATGCCTTGAGTGGATCGAAGTACGAGTCTTGACAAAGTACCGAGCAGTCCGAATGTGGAAGGAGTGCAAAGCAAGGAGATAGAAAATAAGTCCGGGGTTCCGGTCGGCTGGGTCGAAACGCGAAAGGCGCGAAGAAGCTGAGAGAAGCCGAAACACGATATGGTCCGTCGGAAAATTACCCGCGAAGAGTTGCTAGACAGGAGCTCGCGAGAAAGAGGCTGAACAGATGGATGTTTGATGAGAATGTAGCCCCGTCGGCGTTTGATTTGCCAACGACTCTCTCAGGCGGTGATGGTGTTTGAGATGGCAGCTCTCTGCGACGAGACGGTGAGCACGGACGCAAGGCAGTCGGCGGGAAGTGACGTCTAGCGTAGTCTATGGGCAGGTTGAGCAAGAACGATCGGTAAACATCCGTCATCGGCGTTCCATCGGGAAGGTACTCATCAAATTAGCGTCGGCGTTGGTCGGTTGTAAAGAAGGAGGGGGATGGAGTCGACGAAGGGCGCCGAGACAGGCAGCTACCTACCTAGTTGGCAAATATCATTCGTGTCCAGTGATTGACAAAGAACTCGAGCCTCTGCATATCTGCATCATCACCAGGCCTCACGCCGAAACCCCAAACAGTGAGTACAACCGTCGTTCGGGGCTGCTGCGGCATCGAGAGACGCTGACAGAGCATGTAATGTTTAGCACACTTTAGGGTCAATGCCACCTTGGCCCCTCCGCGTTAGTAACCTTTCCGAAAGGTGTTGGGCTGCTTTTTCAACACCTCCGGCCGCATCATCTCTCTCCCTCACACAATCTCCACTGACACCGCGTCTTCTTTAAAAGCCTCAAGCCGCCCGGAGACTTCTTAGCCTCTCTTCCCAACTCAAACACTCCAACACCACCACAATGTCTTCCGAAACTGCTGTGTAAGTTGATCATCCAACATTCACCATCCATCCCACTCTGCCCCACCATCCCACCAAAACATTTCTTCCGCTGCATTCCGTTGCCGGTATACACAACACGACAATGTTGTTGCCACCCATCAATGCCAGCAGCAGAAAAGCTCCGTCAACAGCATAGCTTCTCCAACCATGTACCATAGCAAAGCTGTAGCTGTAGCTGACATGCCTTCTTCCACAGCGGAGACTTCGGTCTCATCGGTCTGGCCGTCATGGGTCAGAACCTGATCCTCAACGCTGCCGACCACGGCTTCAATGTTGTTGCTTTCAACCGCACTGTCGCCAAGGTTGACCGCTTCCTCGAGAACGAGGCCAAGGGCAAGTCGATTGTTGGTGCTCACTCCATCAAGGAGTTCTGCGCCAAGCTCAAGAAGCCCCGCCGTATGATGATGCTCGTCATGGCCGGCAAGCCCGTCGACGACTTCATTGAGCTCCTCCTTAACGAGGGTGGTATCGAGGAGGGCGACATCATCATTGACGGTGGTAACTCTCACTACCCCGACACCAACCGCCGTACCAAGTACCTCGCCTCCAAGGGTATCCGTTTCGTCGGTACCGGTGTTTCTGGTGGTGAGGAGGGTGCCCGTTACGGTCCCTCGATCATGCCCGGTGGTAACGCCGAGGCCTGGCCCTACATCAAGGATGTCCTCCAGGGCATCTCCGCCAAGTCTGACGGTGAGGCCTGCTGCCAGTGGGTTGGTGACGAGGGTGCTGGTCACTACGTCAAGATGGTTCACAACGGTATCGAGTACGGTGACATGCAGCTCATTTGCGAGGTAAGTTGTGAATTTGAAGTTGTTACGATGTGAACGATTTTCTGATTTCCCATAGGCCTACGACATCATGAAGCGTGGTCTTGGTCTCTCCAACAAGGAGATGGGTGATATCTTCGCCCAGTGGAACAAGGGTGTCCTTGACTCCTTCCTTGTTGAGATCACCCGTGACATTCTCTACTTCAACGACGAGGACGGTTCGCCTCTTCTCGAGAAGATCATGGACTCTGCTGGCCAGAAGGGTACCGGCAAGTGGACCGCCATCAACGCTCTCGACCTCGGCATGCCCGTCACCCTCATCGGCGAGTCTGTCTTCTCTCGCTGCCTGTCTTCCCTCAAGCAGGAGCGTGGCCGTGCCTCCAAGCTCCTCCAGGGCCCCAGCCCCAACTTCTCTGGTGACAAGCAGAAGTTCATCGACGACCTTGAGCAGGCCCTTTACGCCTCCAAGATCATCTCGTACGCCCAGGGCTTCATGCTCATGCAGAACGTAAGTCGATATCCATGGAAGTTCTCTTCTCATCATCATACAATTCTAACACATTATCGCAGGCCGCCAAGGAGTACAGCTGGAAGCTCAACAAGCCCGAGATCGCCCTCATGTGGCGCGGTGGCTGCATCATCCGCTCCGTCTTCCTCAAGGACATTACCACTGCCTACCGCAACAACCCCGACCTCGAGAACCTCCTCTTCGACGACTTCTTCAACAAGGCCATCCACAACGCACAGGAGGGCTGGAGAAACGTCGTCTCCAAGGGCGCCCTCTGGGGTATCCCCACCCCCTGCTTCAGCACCGCTCTGTCCTTCTACGACGGTTACCGTGCCGAGAACCTCCCCGCCAACCTCCTCCAGGCCCAGCGTGACTACTTCGGTGCCCACACCTTCAAGATCAAGCCCGAGTTCGCCAACGACAAGTACCCCGAGGGCAAGGACATCCACGTCAACTGGACCGGCCGTGGTGGTAACGTTTCCGCCTCTACCTACAACGCTTAAGCGCAGAAATGATGAGACGACGGAAGAAGAGTGGCAGAGATACAGATGGGCCGTAAAGGCATCCGTCTCTTGCTATGCGTAGTGCAACGAAAGATAACCCCCAATAGTCATGAACAAGCAATTTCTTTTACAGTTAAAAATGATACACATTTTCCTATGGAACAAATTCATTGAGCGATTGTGCCGAGAAGAGTGGTGATGGTCTTAATACGTGATACAAATGTTGAGGCTGTTGATTGTGGCATGTCAGGCGTGGATGCGGGTGGGGAGTTGACGGCAGTCTCATGATTCCCTCCCAAGTTGAGAGCGAGAGCGCATCGCTCCTCTTTCGATTTACGTTCTATCTTCTCCGTCACTCATTTGTTACTGTTTTTGACCGACTACGCATGCCTTGATATTCTCTCCGGGCACGGCGCAAGTGACATTAACTCCGGAACGTTGGTGAAGGCCATCCACAGCAACAGCGGGGTGCCGACGACATCACCTCTCGATATCATGGCCGACGTCAAGCGCAACACGGGCAAGGCCAGCGCTGGACAGGTGCCAGAGGCCATCGACAGCCTAGCAGCCGCCATTGGCGCTCGGTACGTCGATACAGAACGAACCCCTGTCCTGTGCCGATTCAAGGACTAACCATGCGCCCAACCACAGTGTCAAGATCACGACCGTCGCGCCACACTCGCAGACTCTACAGGGCACGCTCTTCACTGCATGCCCTATGCTCAATGTCGTCGCCATAAACACCGCTCCTGCTCCCCCGAACCCGTCATCCACCCTCTCCAACCAGCCCGGCGACTACCACATCATCCCCATCAAGCACATCTCCACCTTCGAAATCCTGTCGCTAGACCCGAACTCGGCCAAGCAGACCATCAGTGCTGTGCAACCACCTGTCGCTGCCGTGGACATCAAGAAGTTGCGCGAACGTGAAGAGGCCAAGATCCGTCAATTGCGCGATCAAGAAGCCAACAAGGGCAAGGGCGTCACTCGTGAGGCTCAGCAGATCTACGATGCCTTAAAGAGAATGTGCGTTTCTATACACCTATACCCATGCGCATAAGGCCATTGCTAACATTCCTGCTACAACAGGCTCCCTACTCGCTGGCACGAGCAAGAGATTGTCGTCAGTGATTCGGTGATCATTAGTCCGCCATACACTGTAAACGACTGCAAGGCTCCCAAGGGCAAGGACCAGGCTCTCGACAGGATCAAGATGATCTTGGACGGTGAGAGGAGAAAGATCGCTCAACGCGCCGCTCAGGGAGGCACACCACCCCCTGGCGCTCCTAGAAAGGGAGGTTGAGAAATACCTACCCTTTGCAAAAGAGAAGAAGGCACATGAGCGCCATCAGTGCATATGCTTCAGATGAACTCAAGCGAAGCGTTCCGGCTATACATACCCAATATCATAAATCAAGGGTGTCTACAGGCATCATTTTCCAGCGCAATCAACATCTGATATCAAAGTTCAACTTTCTCGACCATGACCTTCATGTCTTCGTCTCATTGCTCTATTTCAAGGTATAACTCTTTCCTCCCTATCTCTGAACCCAGCAAATCATACTTCATGCTCTCTGTCATAACTACAATACGAACCCGACTCCCCGTCTCTCTTACTTGTTATACATCATTTGACTCATGACCATACGCTACACCCTCCACATATTTCATGTTGTCGGACGGTGACTAAAGTTCTCGAAGCTCCCCAACATTGATGGTCTTTGCACAAAGCTTTGTGCCCACAGTTTGTGCAAGCTTCGTCCCCGACCCCTGAGCACCAAAAAAATGCCGGAACAGAAGCAAAAATCGACAAATACTTTTTAACCTCCTCAACGACCATAAACAAAAGCAATTGATGCCCCCTAACGGAGTCGAACCGGTGACCTCGGCATTACTAGTGCCGCGCTCTACCAACTGAGCTAAAGGGGCTTTGATGTGTTTGTGCTTGTCTATAACGTTAATAAACCTGTTTCATTCCGTTCTACGACAGGTCGCGGTTCATTGCAAGTCAGGCACAAGAGGTCCATCATCCTCCTCTTGACCCAGCACATCTTCTAACCTATAGCCCTCCCTAGCAATCCTAAAACACACGTCATCCCTCACCCCCAGCAACGCACTCGTATAAGCCCTCTCCTCCACCTCTCCCCTCGTCCATCCACACCTCTCCAACAACTTCAAACTACTCACGTTCTCCACATCCACACGGGCGACTGCGAATTTCTGCTCTGCAGGCATCATTTTGAACAATGCGGGTGTGAATGCCAATAGTGCTTCCGTGGCATATCCTCTTCCGGCATGGGAGGGAGAGAACCTGTACCCGATCTCTGGAAATGTGACACTGCCGAGGATGCCGATGAGGGTTTCTGGTGTGCTAGAAATGGGTTTGAGGCATACGCCGAACATAGAAGGGCCGGAGCGTTCGGAGAGGTAGGTTGATGCTTGGTGGAGTTCTGTGAGTGGTGCACGAGTTCTGTGATCTGTTAGCTTAGGAATTGAGAGTAGTAGAGGGATTGTTGTACGTGTATTGCATTGTGGCAGGTGTGAGCATCATGTTGAAAACGGCATCTGCGTCTGATGGTTGCAATTTGCGGAGGATCAACCTCTCTGTGATTATGGGATCTTGAGTAGCCTCAGCCATCTTGATATGAATTGTAGTTGCTGTTTCCGCAGAGGAGAAGAGTGTTGGAAGTTATTATCGCTCGAGGTAGGAAGACCATTAATACGTTGATCCTGAGTCATCAGGGTTCATGTCCGCAGAGCCACCCTGTCTGCAGCATCATCGCTCCTTCCGCAACGTTTCCGAACCTCGACTTTGTGTCGCCAACAAAACGACCAACAACTGTTTGTCGGACTTTGTAAAGAGCAAATGGGAAATCTGGGGTTGGAAAACCATCAACGACCACAAAGATGAGCGACAATGCCGTCTCAGCATCGGCCAAAGGAGCCTCATTCCTCATCCTCCTCCAAATCGGGTCCCGTGCCCTTACCTTCGCCCTAAATCAGATTTTACTACGCTTCTTGTCCCCAGAACTGTTGGGAGTCAATGTACAGCTGGAATTATACTGCATCTCTGTCCTCTACTTTGCACGCGAAAGTCTGCGAGTAGCACTGCAACGAAGAGCCGATGGCACACAAGCTGTCATCAACATGTCCTACCTGGCCATCCTGGCAGGTCTTCCTCTCAGCTATGCACTCGCAGAACTATATCTCCAAACCGAAGTCCCCAAAGTGCCATTCTTGGTCCAGTCATTGAGGGTGTATGGAGTTGCGGCTATGGTGGAGTTGTTGGCGGAACCGAGTTTCGTGGCTGCTCAGCAGAAGATGCTGTACAAAGTGCGCGCTGGCGCTGAAGCTGCCGCTACTATTATGAAGACATTTGCGACTGTTGGATTGGTTGTGTGGGCGAGTCGACAGGGAAGAGATTTGGGTGTGTTGCCTTTTGCTGCTGGGCAGTTGGCTTATGCTGCATCATTGTTGGTTGTATACACTGCAAGGCTTGTTCTTGTGGCGAAGTCTGAGGGCTTCTCTTTGCTTCCTCGAGCCATTCAAAGGTGGGATAACGCTTGAACAATTCAAGTGGCATTGACAGGGCTGACTTTCATGATAGCAAAGCCGAAAAGTTCTGGCTGTCGCTCTTCTCGCAGCCTCTGCTCAACCTCTCCTTGAGTCTGACGGTCCAGTCCAGCATCAAGTATGTGCTCACCCAAGGTGACTCTCTACTCATCGCATCTTTGGCATCCCTTCAAGACCAAGGAGCTTACGCTCTCTCCTCCAACTACGGTGGTCTGATCGCACGCATGCTCTTCCAGCCCATTGAAGAAGCCTCCCGCAACCTCTTCGCCAAACTCTGCGCTCCAACCTCCGCAGCAGAGAAGACCAAAGAACGACAAGCATCTGGCAATGGCATCGCACAAGCCAACACCACGTTGACCTTGATCCTCAAATTCTATTCCCTAATTTCACTGGTTGCTTTCGCAGCGGGTCCAACCGCTGCACCCGTCCTTCTCTCCCTGGTAGCAGGAAGTCGCTGGTCCGACACCGGTGCTGGCGAAGTGCTGGGCTGCTATTGCTACTACATTCCTCTTCTAGCCCTCAATGGTGTCTCTGAAGCCTTTGTGGCTGCTGTAGCAGACAACACACAGCTCTACACTCAATCAATATGGATGGGTGGTTTCTTCGCCGCCTTCGCTGGCTCTGCATATCTGTTCCTGCGGGTACTGGAGATGGGAGCAAAGGGCTTGGTGTGGGCCAATTGCGTCAACATGGGATGTAGAATCCTATTCAACCTGTCGTTTGTGAAATCTTTCTTCGCAAAGAGGGGACAGGTATATTTTCTTTCACCGCGTTCTTCTTCAGAACTGGTCGCTAATGGCTTTGTACAGGCTTTCGATGTCACAAAGATTTTGCCTTCGGCTGTCAGTATTGCCGTCGCTGCTGTGGTGCCCAGTATTTTCAAAGCGACTACTGGATTACTGTCAAGATATGGTATCATCGGCGAACTTGCCAGAATTGGAGCAATCACTGGAGTCTTTGTGCTTGTACTAGCGGTGTCTGAGCGCAAATTCCTTGTACATGTATATAAGCAGATCAGACCATAGACATCCCCACCAACAGAGAGGTCTACGAAACCTCCCTGTCAAAATGCAGAGTTGAATTTGGAATCCGATGAATGTCCAGAGAGAGTGCGAATATCTACTGCTTTCACTGGACAATTAGCGAGTCCTGGAAATCATCTTGCATTTTTATAACGTACTATTAGCATATGTTTGGTCAATGAGATGCAAGTAGGGGTCGGTAAGGGGAGGTACAGTAGGCTAGCGCCTTATTTGATAAGTAGTGTTCATCCCAGCTTGCTAGTATACCCCTTGTTTATACATCAAAATGCACAATTGAATTGATATTTGTACGTTTGTCCAGTGAGAGCCGCATATCAACATACTCTCTTTGGACAAACACGCCAAAATGAAAAACATCTTGCATTTTGCAACATACTATTGACATATACTCTGTCGATGAGATGGCGATAGGGAGTTGTTTAGGGGGTACTAAATAAAAATCAATGCTTATCCCAGCTTACCAATAGACCTTGTATTACACGCATCAAAATGCACAATCGAATTGGTTTTTTGAAGAATGTCCAGTGAGAGTGTACTAAAATGCCACTTTCTTTGGACAAACACACAGATCTGAAAACACTCTTGCCTTTTTACAAGCATACAACAGGGCTCACTGGCACATGAGAGCTCAAAATAGTGTGCGTAATTGTTCATTTTCTTCAGGGGTATCTGTCTCATTTCCATTGATTCTGCTCTATTTGTACATTTCCCGCGTGTTTACGCTTAGGTTTTCTTGATGATCTTGCTAGCCATCATGCTAACCTTGTCCTTGATACGGCGAGGAAGCGACTTCTTCTTGTCCTCGTGTTCGGTACCCGAGACAACAGCGTCGGCATCGATACCGGGTCCAGCACCCTCGTTCTCCTGATCAACCATTCTGGCAGCAGCGGCGGCGCCAGCGGGCAGAGCTCTGCCATCAGGTCCGTGACCGTTCACACCCTGCATGAACTCTCCACGGGCAGCAGCAGCGGGCTCGGGACCAGACATGTCGACGTTGACGGGACCAGATATGTCGACGTTGACGATGAAGATGAAGAAAAAAGAGACGCGAATGTCGCGGGCGTAGCGGTAGCGGAAAATTTTGATCCAAATGGTGGAAGGGTAGTCTTGGACGGAGAGGAATTTGATGATGCAGAGTTGGTGGGATGCGGCGGGAACGGCAAAGTCGATGTTAAAGTCGAATGTGGCGTAGGGAGTAGGCATGGTATGTTGGTTTGCTGTCTTGGAGATGGTCGAAGTGAGATGGTTCTGGATGTGTCTGTTCGGAGCCTGCGTTATCTATTCGAGTCGGCCTCGTTCTTGTGTTTGTGGAGACCCGAGAGTAGGCGGGGGTGAGTAGACGGGACGGGGCGAGTATAGCGATTGAGTAGTCTGCGGTCGTGAGTTGAGTCAGTACGTAGCCGGGAGAGACGACATGGTAGATCCTGTTACTTACTGCTGGTTACTTGACGGAGCCTGTGGTATCTATTCGAGTCGGCCTCGTTCTTGTGTTCGCAGAGACCCGAGAGTAGACGGGGGCGAGTAGAGCGACTGAGTAGCCTGCGGTCGTGAGTCGAGTCAATAAATAGGTAGAAGAGACGATAGGACAGATCTTGTGTTACTTACTGCTAGTTTGTTTACGGAGCCTGCGGTATATCTTCAAGTCGACCTCGTATGCGTGTTCGCTAGGACCCGAGGGCGAAAGGGAGGTTGTATGGAGCGTCTGTGGACGATTGAACAGCCTGCGGTCGTGAGTCGAGTCAGTTCACGGGCCGGAGAGCCGACATGATAGATCTTGTGTTACTTACTGCTAAGTTTGTCTACGGAGCCTGCAGTATGTATTCGAGTCGACCTCGTTTGCGTGTTCGCCTAGACCCGAGGGCGAAAGGGAGGCTGTATAGAGCGTCTGTGGACGATTGAACAGCCTGCGGTCGTGACTCGAGTTAGTACGGAGGCGAGAGAGAGAGACGCGAGACTGCATTACTTACTGCTGTCTGGTGGACACGGAGAAAGAGTTCGTCTTTCGAGGGGTTGTTGTTGTAGAAAAGACGGAGGTGGACACGGAGAAAGAGTGCGTCTTTCGAGGGGTTGTTGTTGTAGAAAAGACGGAGGTGGACACGGAGAAAGAGTGCGTCTTTCGAGGGGTTGTTGTTATAGAAAAGACGGAGGTGAACAATGGACGATTGAACAGCCTGCGGTCGTGACTCGAGTCAGTACGGAGGCAAGAGAGACGCGAGACTGCGTTTCTTACTGCTGTCTGGTGGACACGGAGAAAGAGTGTGTCTTTCGAGGGGTTGTCGTTGTAGAAAAGACGGAGGTGATCAATCAAAGCAGCATGAAGTAGTTCTGAGAGGCGAGTTTATCGACGCGCAGGACCATCTCACGTGCTATGCTCGCTCGAAGGGACACTTCACTGGTTCTGCTCACTCGAGATACTGCCAGAAACGACATCATCGAGATGAATCGGTGAAAACAGATCTCTCACATCACTTCAGGACCCAAAGTCGCTTCACTTCTCTTCCAACCTTCATATACCCACTGGCAAGAAATTCTGTCACTCACCCCGAGGGAACATGGCCACGAAAACTATTTAGTCTAGTTGGTTTCCTGTCGTTCATCATGATGCGTTCAACACAACAGTGAGACTCGGGGTGTAGGGACTGGGTTCGAGCCCCTGCGTCGCCAACCTTTCCTTTAATTCGCAACGCGCTGGATTCGGACGACAACACCTGGATGCCTGGATATCTGGGCAATCCGCCCAGACCTGGATCTGGATCTGGATCTGGATCAAAAAGCAAACCAGGCCATCCGGCTGAGTTTAGTTCTTCACCTACGTAGTAGGTGAAGTTTGTTTTGCTCAATGATGATGGAGAATTGTTTTTGTTTTGCTTCTTGTTTTTGATATTGAGACGAGCGGAAGGAGGATATGGTATTGCAGAACTCACAGCTTACCAGTCAATATGCACGCGGTAGAGAGTTAACGTGACAAGCTGAATGATGCTGAATTTAGGAACGAGCATACCTCATCGATGTATGTGATTTGTCTAATCACTAAGTAACCACTCTGGCTCGGCATCGTCATCCTCCGGATCATGCGATAACAAGGATCCGCGATCTTCATCCTCTTCTTCCTCTTGTCTGTGAACGCGCGGTGAGTCTCCTCGGGGTAGGCCTCTAGTCTCGACCTCCATTTCGTCAGGATCGAAGGTATCGTCTGCTTCATCGGGGTCGAAAGTGTCGTTCGCCTGATTTTCGACAACAGCTTTCCGACTGTGATCTTGTTGCTCATTACACTCTTGCGCATCCTCGGATGCTGATAGATTGACCGGTTGACTTTCATGTGCCTCTTCTTCTGGCATAAATCCACCTCCAATCCCTCCATCATCAGCCTCAGGCAGGAAGCCGCCGCCAGATTCAAGAGTCGTATCGTCGCCCTCGGGCATGAACCCACCGCCGGAGTCAGAAGTAGACTCCATGTTGGAGGTTTCAGGCACAGGTCCACCACTGGGTTGATCGACTGCTTGAGCGCTGTCATCCTCAGGCACAAACCCACCTGCAGATTCGTCTCCGTCTGCATCTGGTAGGAAGCCTCCTCCGTCGTCCGTGTTATCTTGGTTGTCCTCCGGCACAAAACCGCCTCCACCTTGATCGGGTTGATCGTAGTGTTCGTTGTCGGAGGCAAGTGGGCTCTCGCTCACCATGCGGCGACGTCGGACAGGTGGCCTGCGAGGTGATGGTTCGTATTCCTCCTCGCTCTGTTCATCACTTTCCGGGTCACTCTCGACCATGGCTTTTCTTTGTCGTCGGAGTCGAGGCGTTTGTTCAGCAATATCGTGTTCTTGATCAGATGTGTTCGACTCAGATGCTTTGAATCGATGGGCAGTCGGTGCAGTGGTTTCGCCTGCGTCAGGGAAGAAGCCGCCGGCCTCGACCGAATCTTCTTCAGCTTCCTCTGCTTCATCCATTCTTGCTTTGACTGTTTCTAGCTTGACAGTCTTGGGTCCAGAGGTAGTGTACTCGCTTAGTCTTTCCTTGATACGCAGACCAGCCAAGAAGCGTCGCCACATCTTCAAGCATTCCAAGCTGTACATTCGTGCTTGTTCGTTCTCTTGATCGTATTGGAAGCCTTCGATGACGGCTTCGACAGCTTCGCGGTATTCTTGTGCGACGATAACGCCAGATGTGACCGCTGTACCGTGACGACCTTTGAATTGAAACCCAGTGACTGCGTCTGCATAGTCAACTCCGATGAGACGAGCAGCATTCTTGGCCAATGTATGTTTGACGTGGTAGCCACCAGGGGGAACCATGGACGGCACGTAGATGTCAAGGTTCCCAAAGGCGTTCTTCGGTATTCGGCCATGTACCACTGGAGGCGGGACGTACAACGATGTTTGAGAGAAGGCGTAGAGAGCAGTGGCTGGCGGTTCGTCCATGTCAACATCGTCCAGATCTTGAGCTCGGCCTTTTGGTACTCTCGCAGGTACATGCTTGAGTGGATGTTCATTTGGCTAGAAGTAGTGTTAGTCAAAACCAACTCGACAAAGGAGCAGGCAACATACCTTGATCTCACGACCGAATCTGTACCACTTGTCGGCGCTGCGCACGATATGAACGTCGCCTCGTCGATAGACAGGCTCAAGAGCACCCTTTCCGACGGTGACTTTACCGCTCGCTCTCTTCGGCCAGATAACCTCATGTCGCTTCAGGTGTCGTTCCAAAGCATAGTAAGGATGATCTTTGAAGTCTTGCACGTTGTTCGGCAACCCCTCGGTTGCATCCTTCTTTGCAAGCTCGGCATCCTCAACTTGATCACGATCGCGATAAGAGGTTCTCTTAAAGACCTTGAGCGCTTTATGCCACCATTCTTCTCCTCTTTCTGTGATTTCCACTCTCAGTTTGCGAGTTTTGGCATTGTAGGCCTTAGTGTAGCGACGTGTCACGTCTCTTGCGATGCCGTCATCTTCGAAACCCACCACGTAGGTCATGGAATTTGCCTCATAGGAAGCAGGTGGCTCCAGCTTGCCTGGCTTTGCGACTGTACCTGTTACGGCTGCATCGACAGGAACCCATTTCTGGTAGGCTCCATTGAAGGCTTCTACCCAATACACAGGATAACTTAGCGTGCGAACCGGCCGCTTCTTCTTTTTGACTGTATTACAATTAGCTGAGGAGTTGACCCTACAACTTTTGGGTTCTTACCAGGGGTCGTCGACTTAGGAGTGGGAGTTCCTGAGTTCAGATTGGGCTTGCCGAATCGGCGAATGCGTCCAGGAGCAATGATCCTGCGTCGAGACGAGGTAGATCCTTCTGATGCAGAGCCTGCAGATGTTTCTCCTGCACTAGTGTTGTCCTTGTCGCTTTCTGCATATACCGTAGTCTTGCCTTTGACAGGTGTGGCAGACTTGGTTGCAGATGTGCCAAAAGGCAGTGGTTGTAACGAGCAGACCAGCCGAGCTTCAACACCAACACACCTGAGAAGAGCACAGAAGAGCTGTGCACTGATGTCTTGGGATCCAGAAAGAGTTGTTGCTGCCTTCACAAAATCCTGCTTCTCGACAGGAGCAAACTCATCCTCTATTGCCCTGATTTGCTGAGAAGCATGTCAGCGTTTTGTAAATCGTTGTACTGGGCCAACAATTCATACTTCTCTGATACCTTCCGGTCCGTCAGCCCAGTTGGGCCTACGTATACCCGAGGCAGTGACGTTGAACTTGTGTCTCCATACAAAGACCGCCTTCTCGAGTCCGGCCATAAACTGCTGTGATTGGCCGAATTGGATTAGTGATTGATCAGGATGGAGTAGTGACACGATGTCTGGCATTAGCAGCGTTTTGAGTTTGTTCTGTGAACCGTCAGCACACTGAAGACAGCCACCATGAGAAGAAACGCCAGACCCGAACCTCTGCCAGGTTGCACCAAGCATTGCGGACATGAACGTGGAAGAGCAGGAACAATAGGTGAGCTTCATGAGCTTCCAATCGGAGTAACTTCTCGGCAGTGGTGGCAGGCTTCCGTTTTACAATTGCCCTCTTCTGTGCCTGTTTTGTACTGATTTTTAACGACACGTCCCCAATCTCATTGTCATTTTGGATAGCAGATGGTTTGGACTCGACATGATCCAAACCGACCTGCTCCCAATCCATATCATCGTCTTCGGACTCATCGGAGTCGATGATTGTTTGCTGGGGTCTAGCTTCATCTTCGGAAGTTTGACCTTGCAGTGCCTGTTTGTCACGTCCAGTTGGCTTTCCGGATGCTTGACGCGGTTCGACAGCAGGATCATGGACAGCATCTGGCTGTTGATTTTGTCGCTGTCTTCCAAGTCGAGGTTTCTTGAGTGGTCTCTCGACAGCTTCCGGGACTGATGCCTCAGATATCAGGCTGCGATACACGTCGCGGTCGTCATCGGGAGCCGGGGCGTTGCGCTTCGATCTTGTTCTGGCCGTACCATGAACTGCAGCGATTCTATCCTGAGCTCTAGTCTGCGCCTTGCTTTGCGCTGTAGAAGGAGCCATTGCGCTAACGATGCGAGCAGTATGAATGTACCCAATGAAGCGGATCCAACTTGAGTAGCATTTCAACGCGCTATCAACCTTTCATGCAGACTCGTCGGTCGCCACACTGTGAAATCGAACTTCGAAGTACTTTCACCCAATTGTTCGTTTGTAGAGAACGGTATGCGAACGCTCGAAAGTGAAAGCGTGAAAGACAGCGCGTTTCTCCGTTCGATGACGTACGAAATTCCCAATCGCAACGCGTTGGCTACATGTTCAACCTGAGTTCATCCAGACTCTGACGACCTTCCTAGTTCTGTCACCGCAACTTGTGTTTGGAAACGACTGTTCTTCTCTATCTGCAGTGCTTGTATCAGGTATACGTATCCCTCGGCCACTCTTACTGGTCAAGAAGGGGACCCCCAGGGCGCGCGATCACGACAGCGACGATCGAAATCGCGTTCAACGGAGTCGGACTCGGACCCTTTCAAGATCCGACTCAATCTAATCTGTACTATCAGTCCAATCGGGCATTCGCGTCCTGAACGTGTCAGTCTGAACATCGTAGCACACAGGACTTTTTCGAGACAGACGCATAACACAGCAGATAGACCAGCATCCACGGCCAATCCGACAACCGCGGTGCAAGTTATGGTCTTTGATCGGGCTCTTTATGAAAGAAACGGGGCGACGGTCTCAGTCATACAAAGATCGAGACGTCAAATATAAGCTTGTAAGAAGCACAGGCCGCGTGCTTCCAACAAAAAACGGTCCAAGCAAAGCCACGGCGCTGAACAAAGACTCCCACCTGAAAATGGTTGGCTATCGATGACTAATGACATCCGATGCCTGCGATGCGATCCATGACGGGCCTGGTACTAGTGTGTGCCAGGAGCAGATCGGGACGATAGACAATCTAGACGCTGGGGTAACTACTGTGGAATGTCTTCCGTACGCATCCTCCAGGTGCTCCTCTTCTTCCTGGCCTTCACATGCAAGAGTACTGCCTAGCGATACATACAAGTAGTCCTCGTCAACACTCTGGAGCCCCACACCCTTACACCCTCTTAATCGCAGCATATCCCGCTCACACCAGTCTTGTTCACCCCAGACTCGGTATCAACCAGCAAGAATATCTTGGACACTTTGCTCGCCTCAACCAACATGCACACCTCTGCTTCTCCCAGGCCGTGCAAGCGCCAACGTATGACGATCACTCCTCCGTCCACCATCCATGATCCGGAGTCAATGTCCATTCTCGACCGTGCTACTCGAGTTCTGTCCATTGAAGCAACTGCCTTGTCTCATGTCACCAGATTGTACCAGACAGATCCACATGCCAGAGAGGGGCTCCTTGGAGCGGTCGAATGCATCACCAAGTCTCAGGCAGAAGGAGGAAAGGTGATTGTCTGTGGAGTCGGCAAGAGCGGTCTTGTTGGCAGGAAGACAGTCGCAACGCTGAAGAGCTTGAGCATCGCGGCCAGTTTCATGCACGCTGCCGAGGCCGCCCATGGCGATCTTGGTGACATCCGAGAGGTAGGCTCATCTTTCTCACTTTTGCAACACAGCATACTGACAACACGGTCTAGCACGACGTCCTTTTCTTCATCTCGTACAGCGGCAAGACCCCCGAACTGATCAACCTTCTCCCTCACCTACCTCGCAAACTCCAGATTGTCGCTCTTACCTCCCAATCGAAGGCATCCGAATGCCCACTTCTGAAAGAGCACGAGAATGGCGTCTTACTTCCCGCGCCTCTATTCGAGTTGGAAGAAGTCTCATTCGGTGTTTCAGCACCGACAACATCAACCACGGTACAAATTGCCATCGGCGACATGCTGGCCCTCACCGTGGCCGACCAGTTGCATGAGAACAAGGGCAAGACATTCAAGAAGAACCATCCTGGAGGAGCCATCGGTGCTGTGACCAAGGCGTCGGCAGAGGCCATTGCCGACGCTTACCAGCAACCAATTACAACTCTCGACATTGTTCCTCTCGAGTTGCCATCTCCGAGCATTTCCGCACAGAGCGACAGCTGAAAGAGTCCTGTTGTATTGGCGAGCGATGCCACAGTAGCAGTACGCACCAACACCTCACTCTTTCAGAGTTTCCAGTCTCAACGCCTGGATTGCCATTTCTGATGCTGGTCGTCGAAATCAGCACTTCAGGACTCGCAGGCAATGCCTCGGGCCACAATCGTTAAAATTGCCAACGAGCGCACCAAACATGACGCACGACCTATCGAGGTCATCAGACGTTCGGTGAACGTCTTGATTCTCCGGACCGGAACTCGAACTGTTTCATACACTCCCCTCTGTTGTTAGGCGATTTGTTGTAGGAAGGTGACGGACACCGGATAGCGCAGCGGATTCTGTAGCCATGTCCAGTGTCTTGGAAAGAAAGCGAGACAATACAGGTGGCTGAAACAGACCCTTGGTAGTCACTGGACGACTGAGAAGTCGTAGAGAATCCGCTTGGTCTCTCGAAAGGGAATACCTGAAGTGTCGTAGCATGTGGGATGTCCACCAGAATTGAAACACTTGAACAGCGACGCGGCTGTTCCACCACCAGACTTTTCTAGAAAGCCATTCCCAAGCTGCTTGTTTGTGAAAAAGGCCGACAAGATGTCACATTTGTGTAAGCGAGCAAGAGCACATCCTTGTACTCCGGTTCGAGGAGTCGGTGTCCAGGGCTGCCTGCATCGGGCAACGACGCCGGCTGATCTTTTGGACGATTGGCCGTGCGAAGCCTCGACACCCGCCTTCCTCTCCCAAAACTTGTTCTGTGACGACATCTCACACTACACCATGCCAGTCTTGCCTAGAAGATAGGCGTTTCGCAGCACAAGACCTCCTATTCCTCCTCGATACCCTCACGTCACAGTGCGGATGTCTCCAATCTATTTTCCGCCTCGGTAGCGACTCGCGCAAATCGGCCCCTGCCTTATATCTGGTTTATATTGTTTTGTACCTTCAGCCGCACATCGATGGCGCTGTGACGTGTGATCTTCAGCTGTCATGCAATGTTATTACTGGGAGGAATCAACTTCCACCTTGTCCTGTAATTTTGTGCTCCCAAACCGTATGACTTGAACATCCATCTCGACAGACTACGATCGGTCTTGTCAGCACAGCAGATCAACTCCTTAACAAGAATTGCCCTTCTGCTCTTAGCACCAGCTGGCTATCTAACATTTGCGGATATGCGATCAGACTCGGACATCAAGAAGAATGAAGCAAACGAAAGAGATGGACAGCAACGGCCTTCCACAACGATAGATTCGACAAACCGACCGAGCAACCGATACCTCGCCAAACTAGGCGCTGTCGCTCTCATCGTCACAGCCACACTCCCGTTCATACGACAACCAACTCCAACAGGAAGCAATGCTGCACCTAGTATCGGCGTTGACAGTCGAGCTGTGCCGCGCGAGAGAAAGATGGTCCTAGAAACTCGAGCAGATAGCCCCACTGACGTCTGTACACGATGGTCGCACCAATCTGCCGTGATCAATGGCACGCTCTACGTCTATGGTGGACAAGCTACCACTGAACCCGGACAGACCGAGAACAAGTGGAGTAAGAGGATTGCACCAAAACTGTATGACCAGTAACTAACCAGCACTCCTAGACAACGACTTCCTGTCCATGGATCTGACCAAGAGCTGGCAGATTTCTACCCCTTTACTGACTGGCCTGCCTCAACCGTCTGGTCCGCCTAATGTTTCCAACGGCTTTCTCTGGAACGATCACGAGTCTTTGTATCTCTACGGTGGCGAGTTCTCGGATAGCCCCATCAGTCCACCCTCGGCCTTTTCTTTGTGGGAGTACAACGCAGTGAACTCTCAGTGGTACGAACATAGCGACCCGACAACTTCGTCTGGTGAGAATGCCCAATCTGGAGACCAATCAGTACAACGTGCTGCCGAGGGCGCTGGCGCCTCAGTACCAGGACTGGGTCGCGGTTTCTACTTTGGTGGCCATGAAGATACACACACGACTCAAGGATGGTCAAACCAGGTGGCGCGCATTTACATCAAGTCGTTGATCGAGTTCACTTTCCCTGGATACCAGAACAGTCAAGTCGCTTCGCTTTCGGACAACAAAGCTGCAGGCAATGATGGCGCATGGCGGAATGTCACGGATGGAGGTGCTCAAGATAGCGCTGGTTTCCCTGAACGTGCAGATGGGCTGCTTGTATACATTCCTGGATTCGGCGCAGAGGGCATCCTCCTCGGTTTGGCTGGAGGAACTGAAGACACATTCGTAAGCCAATCAAGACCGCGCGCTTTTCAGATCTGACCGAACGTTACAGACACAAATGAACGTTATAGATGTTTACGACATCGCCACGTCCAACTGGTATAAACAAGCGACAAGCGGACCAACGCCAAAGATTCGTGTAAACCCATGCGCTGCAGTCGCAGCTGCCTCTGATGGCAGCTCATATCAAGTCCACATGTTCGGCGGTCAGAACCTCATTCCCGCTGGAAACCAAACTCAGTATGATGACCTTTGGATTCTCACTGTTCCATCATTCACCTGGATTCAAGTTGATCAAAAGTCGCAATCAGTACCGCCTGGTAGAGCCGGCCATTCGTGCCACATGTGGGACGGGCAGATGGTTCTGGTCGGTGGATATGTTGGCGATCAACTCAGCTGCGATAGTCCTGGTATCTATGTGCTGAACGCGAGCAGCTTGGAATGGGGAACTGGATTTACCGCACTTAGTGGTGGCTCTGGTTCTGGTTCTGCTGGATCCTCTGATGCTTCTGGCGGCTCGTCTGGCACGGTCGCAGCCTCGGGATCTGGCGCATTAGCAACAGCAGACGCAGCATCCCCCACAGGATCCAATGCCGCAGATTGGGTCTCAAATGCTCGTACCAATCCTTTCAACCAACAGCCAGCTCAGTTGGCCAACGGTAGCAGTTCAGGCGGTCTCGAGGGCTCCTACGGCTACCAGGTTCCTGACGTAGTCATCTCTGTCATTGGTGGTAATGCTCAAGGCGGAGCTACTGTCACAGCACCTGCTCAAATACCACAAGAAGGTCCCTTAAAGACGGGCAGCCCAATCATCTACAGCACCATAACTTCCAGCTCAACAGCAACATCAACAGGTAGCCCTGGTGGCAACAACAACTCGGGTTCAGGAAGTGGTAGCGGTGGGCCCAACATCGCAGCCATCGTCGCCGGTGTGATCGCCGGCGTCCTCTTCATAATCGTCTGCTACCTCGCCTTCTGCGCCTGGCTCTACCGCAAACGCCTTCAACTCTACAAACGCCACGTCGAAATGTCCCAACAAGCCGTCCTGAACGAAAAGAACCACCCCACCATCCCCGGCCTACTTCCCACCGGCGCAGGATCCTCCAGTGGAGGCTCCAACGACCGTCGTCCCTTTGCTGCTTTCAGCGAAGATGCAAGTGGTAGAGAAAGTTCGAAGCGAAATGATAATAATGATTGGGGGTATAATGAAGCTTATAGGACTGATACTGTGGGCCAGGGGAGTGTGGATGGGTTCTTGCTGGGGAGGAGGAGTGATGATAGTGGTGCGCCTGAGGATCTTTTGGCGGGAAATACGCCGTCGTTTTGGGGGACCGTGTTGGCTCCTCGACGCAGTTTGCGTGTTGTCAATAGGGACTAGAATGGTTGGTCCTGATTGACGTTGGTTATCTATGGTCTATGGAGGATGCAAGTTGTTTAATGTATGGTTAGAATTCTATTGATTTATGATATCCCAATTCGTTCTGTCGTGCCTTTCCTCTCGTGTCTTCTGACAGCACATTCTTTCGGGAGGTCGATCCCATCGCTTGATGCGTGGTTGGCACAGTCGTCTTTGACAGTTCAAACATCCGACAGAATGCACGATCATCAGGATTCAAAGACACGGAAAGGGAAATAAAGGACAGAATAATCAACACATCAACGTAATTTTGTCATTTCAATTCTCAATACAGGTAACGACCGTGTCATTGATTCAAGCTCGAAGCTTGAACCACATCTCAAAGCATGCCACACGTTTAGTAAAAGGCAGCACACTCCTTCTGACGCTGCTCAAAGATAGCAACCGCCTCCTCAGCAGCCTTGACACCGCTGAGCGCCATGGCACCAAAAGTAGGTCCCATGCGGTTAGCACCGTCGACCTCGGACAACTCCATACCGCCGACGATGAGGCCCGGGGTGATTTCGCGGGTGCCCTTGACGATGGCGTCTTCGGCGCTGTTCATGTCGAGGCCGCGCATGCCGCCGAGGGCTTTGATGGCTTGCATGCTGACGAGGCGCTTGACGCTGAAGGCGCCGAAGGGGCCGTCGTGGCCGGTGGTGGAGATTATGACGGGGGCGTTGATGGTGTTGGGGTCCATGCAGGATTGGTCGTCGTGGTGCATGCTGACCTGTTAGATGAGAATGGTTAGTGATGGCCACTGACAAGGCTTTGGAAGGAAGTTACTACTTACTAAAGTCCAGTTGGTGACGACACCGGCAATCTGGATGGTGCCGTCCTCACGGGGACGGGTGATGAGATCCTCGACGGCAGTGGCGTTGAAGAGCTTGACGTTGGGGAACTGCAGGACCTTGCTGAGAAGGGTGCTGGTGAAGAGAGCGGCGTGCTTGACAACGACATAGTTGCTGTCATCGCCATCCTCCTCATATGCGACACCAATCTCGCGGAGGAAGGCATCAGCAGGTTTTCTCATGACCATGGCTGAGAAGAGTTGGCCACCGAGCCAAGCACCACCACCAGGGGCGACACCGGCCTCGACTATGGCAATCTTCAGGTCAGGACGAGCCTTAGCCAGACAATATGCAGCACTGAGACCGCAAGAGCCGGCGCCAATGATGACGACGTCGGACTCGGCGTACTTGTCCAAGTCGGAGAAGTAGCGACGAGTCATGGCTCTGCTGACCTGCGACTCACGGATGGGACGGAAGTTGAAAGACTGCCAGTCACCCGCCATGGCTTCAATGGTTTCAGGCTTGGTCTGTCCTCCAACAGGAACTGCAGCTTCATGAGGAAGGTTCAACTTCTTGGAAGGAACAGTAGGAGAGACGGGCTCCTGGAAGATCATGGCAGGGGGAGACATTGTGATGTAGGTTTAAGATGGTGTGGATCTGTTGCTGATTAGAACAATGCCTTGGAGGCACAAGAGGGAGGTTCGATATGCATGATCCTTTCGCTGGTATTATCCAGAAAATCAAGTTCAGGCGGTATAATCTCAGAAAGATAGCGAGGCGATACAGTTCTGACACCAATGACCATGATCAGAGATCAATGGGTTGGCAGACAGAAGCTCGCTATCAGACACCCGCTCATGCATCAGGTATAACCCGTTGTTTTAAGTTACCTTGACCCTTGATCGTCTCGATCAGAAGATACCATCTGAAAGGTGTATCACGCATCGATCCATGATGGATGAGCGTACCGTAGAACGGTTGAACCTGCTCGAAGAGTCAGCATTGAGAGACAAGGCCGCAAGGGGCGACGGTACAAGTAATTGTTTGACTGAGAAGTTGTGTTTGAAGAGAAGGAAGAAGAAAGTAGAAAGGATTGAACAAATGTGACTCTTAAATACCCAGCTATCTGAGGAGCACATGCGAGTGCGGGGCTTGAGAAGGGTGCTCTTACGACCCCTCCCTCGCACGGTACGAGAATTGACCTGAACGACAGCTCCCTCGACGTCAATTGGCAGATATCGGACCTGTATGGATAAACTGTTATGCCGTACGAGTCAAAGGCGGGCCGATACTACCGAGTAAACCACCTGAGGAAGTGATACCGAGCACGTGGAGTTTGGTATCCAGCGTGGGTGATGTGCTTCGTTATACAGGTGTAGCTATAAAGATACACGGAACTCTTACAATTCGTAGAAGCTACACCAGTAGCCATACTCAAAAAGGCTCCCATGGAGTACTCTTCTAATCAATTAATGCTGGATGGTTTCTCAAGATGGTGAGATGTAGGAGCAGGTCGGGGCTTGGCATGCTGTCGATAAGAAGACACCTGCGCTTAATATTGACTCTCACCACGTATGCGCGGAGGATGTGCTCGAGTAATAGGTCCGTTGAAGTGCGGTTGAAGAACACCAGGATGAGCCTCTTCATCATCGCTTTGTTGTGCCACTAGTATGGATGGTCCATTACTCGTTGAACAGCTGCCCTGTTTCTCCGCTGTGGACGATGAAGCCATCGCCCATGCTGAGGGGCTTCTGTTGTGACTGCCAGTTTTCCTCGCGGTTGGAGGTCGCGATGTCGCGATGAATAGGCTTCGGCTCAAGCGAAGTCAAACGATCCATCGAGGAACGACTGGAGTCCTTGGCCTCATCGTGTCCATCCTCAGCCAAGCAAACCATGACAAGACCTCATGCAGCCCATTTCTCCGGTCTTGTTCGTCTAGATTGCTCTCTGGAGGTCGGCCGAGGACAATTTGCTTTCAACAACTGCCATGTGAAAGCAGGCGGCCTGGACAAGGAGCCCCAAGGGCGCATCCATGCATTCAGCCGCTTTTCGTTAATGTCAGCAGATGCGGAAGTGTCGATTACTACATTCGGTGCGGGATGATGCTGTTCCATGCGACCTCTGCAGAATCTACCTGCACGTCGATATCATTGCTTACGGCTGGAAACAGGCAAGACCAAACAACATCCAATCTTCTAGCAATTTGTTGGCAGAAAAAGAGGAGTCACGGTCTTTGGGTCCGCCTTTATCTTTAAGATTATTGCTGCGATGCTGCAGAGGTGAGAAGGAAGGACCCGCCAAGTTTTGCACTTCGGACTACTCCTCTCTGTCCGGAGCCCCACCTTGATGCTTTCCAACCTACCTCGCACACACACTCCGTACACGAGTGTGAGCATTCGGGCTTAGAAAGGCTGGCGGCTGGCTTGATCAGCAGCTGATGATTCACGGGTGAGTGAGAAACATCATGACTTAAGCCCTGCCGTGACAGAATACTGCCGTGCTGCCGGCGATGGAATGAAATAGGACATTCCAAACTCTCGAGTCTATTAGTTTGTACAATCTTCCCAGTTGGTCTCACGTCTACTCCTGCTCTCTCTTTCTTCTTTCTCTTCCTTCTCGGATTCTTTCGATGCCGGACCTCTCGTCCCTTGACTGCTATCACTTCAACCCACCTGTCCCTGTTCTCAACCCATCTGTTCATACTGCCGTCTCGCGATGCCGAGCCAGGTGATCACCTTGACCAGCACAGCCTATCTGCAAGTGCCAAAGGTCGTCCCTTATCGCAAGAACAGATCAAGATCACGGTCAAGATCGTCTTCAAGACCCAAGTCCCCGGAACCTGTGTCACCACAGCCGATCAAAGCCCGACCATTACTACGACCAGTCACGCCCCCTTCACCTCCACCTTTCCCACCAAAGATGTCTGAGACTCGAACGGAACCACCGAGTCCAAGTCTCAACTACAGCTTCAAGACAATGTCAAATGGCTCCAGCACACCGAGAACAACAAATGGTGGCACATTGTACGACCTGAACGGCTCTTCACCCAGCATCAACATATCCAACATGGACGACCTAAACGGCGACTACTACACCCTCTCAAAGACACCCAGCCCACCTCCCCAGCGTCCCCTCAGGCAAAGACTGATCGGCGCATGGCGTCTCGAAGCCTACGTCGCCTACCCAACACCCTCATGCCGCTTCCAACGCCCAACCTTCCCGATGACCAAAAACGTCACCGGCCTCATCATGTACACGCCCGACGGCTACATGAGCGCACACATGTTGATCCCCGGCCAAATGTCATTCAAACGCGGCGAAGGCGAGGAACCACAATGGGCCGAGGCTGGTAAGCGATCGTTTTCGTATGCAGGGCCGTATTACATCAGCGACGAAGGTATTGGCAGAGAAGAAATCTTGAGACATACCTTCCAAGTGTGCAATCTCCCCGGTTGGTTAGGGGATATCCAAGTCAGGACGTGGAAGTTTGAGGAAGACGATAATGTGTTGGTGTTGGGTAGTGAGGAGCCCACGGAGATCAGGGTGAGTGTTTCGTGGTACAAAGGCTGTTTTGCTCGACAATGATTGCTAATACATTTGTAGGGTGACCAGAGGATCCCGGTCTTGAAGTGGAGAAGGGTCAACGATAACTCGAACGGCAGTCCGCCAGCACCAATGCCTCATATCAAGGTCAGCGGGCCAGGCGAACCTTGATCACGATCGAGACACGTCCACGAAATAATGATAGTCGGAACATCACATAACGAACAAGTCAGCATATCTGAACCGTTTACGACCAGATGGGCGCACGCACAAATTCTTAAAGCATGGCTAGGATCATGAGTTTTGCTTTTCCATGGGTATACCAGGAGTTTTCATAGGAATGTGTTCTTGCTTTTCTTTGCAGCAGAAATTAATAGTATTTATTTACATTTTGTCATGTCATTAAATATTAAGGTCCAACCTCTTAGATCTTGTAGACGAGCTTGGTACCGGAGACCTTGCCGGTCTTTAGGTCGTTCAAGCCACCGAAGATACCCTCGAGACCACCGCTGCGGACCTCCTTGGGGTGAGCCTTGACCTTGCCGTCGGCGAACAGCTTCTCAGCTAATTCCCAGAACATGCGACCGAACTCGAAGTCCTCAGGCTTAGCGGGGATGGGAGTGCCACCGAAGCTGAAGGCCTCACCAACAACAGTGTAGCCCAAAGTGCTCTTGTCCTCGACGTCCTCGCGGGAAGACTTGGCAGGGAGAAGGAAGGAGATGACACCACCCTTGCTGGAAAGAGCGTTGCCACAGATGTCGGGGGAGCTGCCCTCGGAGATGCAGTCGAATGCGTGCTTGAGGTTGTCCTTGGTGTGCTCGCGGATCTTCTTGGAGCACTCGGGGTCCTTGTAGTCGAAGGTGGCGTCGGCGCCGAGGGACTTGACGAGGTCCCAGTTGTGAGGAGAGCAGATGGCGATGACCTCGAGGCCGGAGAGCTTGGCGTACTGGACGGCGAGGGTACCGGTGGCGGTCGAGGCACCGTAGATGAGGACGGGGAAGGGCTGCTTAGCGGGCTCGGTGGGGAGGGGGAGCTTCAAGCTCTGGTAGAGACCTGAACCAATTGCGTTAGCACTCTGCCTTGCTGTGTAAGTCTTGTTGCTGCTGCTTACCTTGTCCAACGGTGGTGACACCGACACCAAGAGTGGCGGCATCCTCGGTGGACAGAGACTCGGGGACCTTCATCTGGACATCACCCTTGGCGAGAGCGTATTGTGCGAAGCAACCATCCTCCTTGTTGGCAGAGTTGACACCGTGGGAGAAACCAGCAATGCGGTCACCCTTGGAGAACTTCTTCTGGACAGCTGAGCCGACCTCCTCGACGGTACCGGCGTAGTCACAACCGACAGTGGCTCCAGGGTTGGCGAGATAGTCAATGTGCTTCCAGTCGGTAGGGTTCAATGCAACAGCATCAACCTTGACCAGGACATAGTCGTCGCGGAGCTTAGGAACAGCAACGTCCTGAATCTCAGCCTTCTTGGCTTCAACGACCTTGATGGCCTTCATGTTTGAGGGTGCCATTGTTGTGATGTGATGTGGAAATGTGTGTATGGATTGAAGGATTCAAAAGTCAATTGGAGAAGCTCTTAAGTATGAAATGTTGTATTAAAAGAGGGGTAGCATATGGGGGGTTCTTGTTCTAGAAACACATCGTCGCCTGCTGAATAATCCGAAACATCGAGCTTGGAGGTTGATCAGTCATCATCGCTTCGTGTGAAAGTCTGTCTCTCGTTTAGCTGTAAAGATGCACGAATGGTCTTTAAACCGGTGCCACATCCAGAGGGAGTGGATCAAGCGAGGCATCTCTGTGGACCAGTGCCATGATACCAAAAGCATCGTGTATTCCTACGGCTTGAAATTTGGAAACTGGTCATGAGTGAAGCCAGAAAAAATATCAAGCTGGAGAAGCCGAGGGAGATCGTAAGTGACGTAATGGGATTGGGTGTAGAAGCGACGGTTATTTGAACGTTTTCATTATTAGAATAGTACAGCCTTCGTGAGAGAACATAGAAAAAAAGCCCATTGTCTTCATCATGGCCGTAGCTGTTTTGGGGTATCAAAGCCACGCCATCCGTAACGCCATTGTTCCCGCGCCAAATCCCAATCCCGTTCCCAGTCCTCATTACAGCGTCTCATGTGGTGAGGGGTGTTGTAACGATCCTCAACCCTCAACCTTGCTTAGTATCTGGCCGGAGGAGGGTCCTTAGGAGGAGCGTAGTTGCCATTGTAGGCGGCCTGAGGCTGTTGCAGCTCAATGTTGTTGCCGCCATGGTAGTTGGTAGTGTTGGGAGGAGGGCTGTAAGCTGTGATGCATGTCAATAAACGCTATGACAGGAAGTGCATCAACATGTTCGCATACCTGGAGGAGGGTTGTTGGAGTTGTTGTAGTGAGGAGCCGTGGTGTTGTTGGCGTAGTAAGGCTGAGCTGTTTGCGGCGCGTTCTGGTTGTAGGTAGGCGTGCCGTGACGGACTGTCCATCCAGTGCCGTAGTAGGGGTTGGCGCCGCGTCTACGGCGTCTTTTGGCGGACAGGCACGAGAAGAGGAAGAACAGGATGAAGAAGACAGCAATTATGCAGGCGAGAAGCACCCAGCGTCCCCATCTGTTCCAAGTGCTGTTGCAGTTGTTGCCGTAGCATCTATGGGAATTCATGTCAGCGAGAGAGTCGCGCAAATATTGATGAGCTCATAGGCAGAACGCCGAATAGCGCGCGAGTAGAACATACCGGTTGTAATAACCATAGTATTGACGAGCTTCGAGAATAGGCATGTTTGCGGGTGGAAGAAGTTGATGTGTATGTAAGAATCACGCGTGCCAAAAGACAAAGGCCAGGGAGCGCGACTGTTAAGTAGAGCTGGTTGTGAGACCTTTGTGATCTGGAATGGGTAGAGATGACGACAACTCTTGGTGGCCAAGCGACTACTGGTACCACTGCCACCAAGTGAGGCAGTGAACGGCATGGCTTTTCCGCTTTACGGCTTGTCGGCCGATCTGGGAATAAATTGTCATGACTCTATTTCTTTCACTCCAGGGTGCCTAAAAGATGCTGTACTTTGTCTTGGGATCCCTTGTGGAGCAGATGACCGTCAAGGTAAAGAGGCGATAACGCGATAGGCTTGATCCAGCCACACTTGTCGTGGCTGTGCTGATCAGCCACCGGATCTCCAAATCGTGCCAGCGTTGCCAGCGCATCCTGCATTGCACTCCCACATGATATCGAGGGGTTTGAAACATTCGAAGAGCTGCAGGTTTTCCTGGCCATCTCCTGCCTCTTTTCTCTCCCCTTTTCTTCGTGTTCACATCAATCGTTAAACTGCGTCTGATGACTGTCGTATTCTTCGTGAATCCATAATCCCATCCTTAGCCCGCTTGGAAAGCAACAAGACCGCCGGAAGTCAAAAAAGAAACAAAGAAGACACCCATGTGCACCCGCCGTTACGCTACGCTGCCATTGCTGGTTCGCAGGAAAGAGACCATCTAAACCCCATCGCTTGCAATGCCCTATGCAAATGCCCATCAACCTCATGACTGGAAGCCAGCCTCTATACTGCAATGAATGCTCTGACCTCAACTGAAAGATCATTTGCTCGCCCTGGCGATCAACCATTGCAGTACAGCGTCCAAGTTGGTTTCTTCCTTGGCGCTGATGCCGTAGCAACTCACCTCACGGTGCGTTACGGCTTTGAGATTCAATGCCTCGATCAGCTCGTCGACTGAGAGGTGATCTGGAAGGTCGGACTTGTTACCCAACACCAACAAGGGGATACCTTCCAAGGCAGGCTTCTCTAGCAGCACGTGCAGCTCCTCTCGTGCCACAGGCAAGGCTTCCTTGTCTGCTGAATCCACGATGAACCTATTCTCACATCAACACAAGTACGTTTGCAAGGGCTAGAAGACGTACACCATAGCGTTGACGCCTCGACAGTACCGTTCCCACATTGACCGGAACCTTGGCTGGCCTCCAAGATCCCAACTGCATTCAGTGAGTCTCGTTATCGATACACTAATGTCGGGCAGCGCTTACCACTTCAAAGTCACATGGCCTTTGGTAACTCTCTTCATGTTGAAACCGACAGTAGGTATTGAGCTATCACGTTGCAGACACTGTTTAGTTCACGATTTTCACTGTAGCACGACACCAGACTTACTCGATCGTAAACTCTCCGCCCTGATCACAGACTGTCAATATCGCCTCTCAAAGCAGGATCTCAAAGGTCAGGATAGGCTGCTTACTGCTAGGACTCTCAAGAGAGACGTCTTGCCGGCATTCTGAAGACCGATCATTGTAACATCCATCTCAGTCGCCCTGATCGCAAGAGAGGTCTCATATCAGGAAATGGCCGACTTGAACAACAAAGAGAACATACCAGAAAAGGCTGAGCAGCCAGTCGTAGAGACGCTTGAAGAGACCTGCCATGATGTTGAGGTTGGCAGACTAGGCACTGCAGGAGGGTGTCGAAGAGTTGAATGCAGGCAACAACAGTAGAGCAGCTCGATGGTTGCACGGACAGATGGTTTGGCCAAAAGCGCAGGGCACAGGCAGAAGCGGGGCTCGGGTAGGGTCGAACTCTTATTGGAGGTGTTGATGATGTAGAATCAAGGCGAAGGATAATCCGCAGATTGAGGCACTGCTGTCACGAAATTTAACTGTTTGGACAAGGTTACAAGGACCCTAGGTGTCGCAAGGATTGGTTCACGATTAGAAGCAAGATGTAAGAACAATAAGCGTCAAATCGTCTTCTGACAGCCGCGGTCACTTGAGTCGAGTGTCGATAAGTTGGAGATGCGGCGAGAGAACGGAGCCTCGGAGACTTCGAAAGGCTTGGCACGGCTTTTTCGGCGCTAAAATTTCCAGAACGATTCGAAGCAAAAAAACATCTGCTATCACGGTGCTGCCAACCATATCACGAAGGAAGATTGAAGAAGGGAAGGAAGCTGGACAACTGCAGAAAGGGCGATCGAATACAATTCTGGAATCACAACAAGCCCCGAACACCAGGGCGTTGAGAGGTTGAGCTCTTGCCTGCATCAACCAGCAACACCTCCCGAGTACCTCGACACATACAAAACCATGGCACCCTCATCGAAAGAGAACGGCAAGTGGTCGACCGACTTCGACACGGTGCGCCGCCACAAACTGTTCCGCAATCCTCCTTCAGACAAGTCGGCATACCCTACCCTCGCCTCGGCCGTCGACCCTCATGTTCAGTCCTTCAACGCCGTCTTTGCTGAGAAGGGCCAACTTCACCATGCCCTTCGCGACATTGGTACAAAGACCTTCTTCGATGGCAACCCAAATGAGCCCTTCTCGGCCGATGGTCCCAAGCGCAACAGGCTTCAGGTCCGCGTGAAAGAGGTCTTCCTCGAGAAGAGCATGCTCCCTCCTTCGAACAAGATCGACAAGAAGCGCGAGATCCTGCCTGTAGAATGCAGAGAGCGTCATTGTACCTACAGAGGTCGTTTCAGAGGCCGCTTCGAGTGGCGCATCAACGAGGGCGAGTGGAGAGAGAGCGTCAGAGAGTTCGGTTCTCTGCCTATTATGTTGCGCGTATGTTTCTTGCGCTGACCTGAAGGCTTCAGCTGACACCATTTTCACAGTCCAACCGCTGCCACCTCGAGGGTCTTTCGCCTAAGGAACTGGTCGACAAGAGAGAAGAGACTGAAGAGTTGGGAGGATACTTCATCGTCAACGGTATCGAGAAGCTGATCCGTATGCTCATTGTCAACCGACGAAACTACCCCATGGCCATTATTCGTCCCTCTTTCGTCAACAGAGGTTTGACCTACACCAAGTTCGGTATCCAGATCCGCTCCGTCAGACCCGATCAAACCTCGCAAACCAACGTCCTCCACTACCTCAGCGATGGAAATGTCACCTTCCGTTTCTCATGGCGCAAGAACGAGTATCTTATCCCCGTCATGATGATTTTCAAGGCTCTGGTCGAGACAAATGACCGCGAGATTTTCGAGGGCTTGGTCGGTCCTGCTGGAAGCAAGGGCATTGAAGACAAGCAGTTCGTCACCGACCGTGTCGAACTTTTGCTACGCACATACAAGGCATACAACATCCACGGCCAGGCAAAGACACGCGCATACCTTGGAAGCAAGTTCCGCATCGTCCTGAGTGTTCCCGATGACATGTCTGACGAGGACGCTGGTGCTGAGTTCTTGAGGAGAATCGTTCTTCCTCATCTGGGATCATCCGAGACCAAGGAGACCAACGATGCCGACAAGTTCCGCATGTTGCTCTTCATGACCAGAAAGCTGTACTCCCTTGTCGGCGGAGAGTGCGCTGTTGACAACCCTGATGCTGTCCAGAACCAGGAGATTCTCTTGCCCGGTTTCCTTTACGGTATGATCATCAAGGAGCGCATCGAGGAGTGGCTCAACTCAATTGGTCTGCAACTCCGCGACTGGGGTAGAACCACCAACTGGGCACCCATCGTCTCCGACGAGTTCGAGCGCGACTTCAGTGCAAAAATCCTTCGCAGAACCAACGAGAATTTGGCACAGGCCTTGGATTACTTTTTGTCGACTGGTAACCTCGTCTCTCCCAGTGGTCTGGATCTGCAACAAACTTCTGGTTTCACTGTTGTTGCTGAAAAGATTAACTTCTGGCGTTTCATCAGTCATTTCCGCATGGTTCACAGAGGTAGTTTCTTCGCCCAACTGAAGACCACAACCGTCAGAAAGTTATTGCCAGAAAGTTGGGGTTTCCTTTGCCCTGTTCACACTCCCGATGGTTCTCCTTGCGGTCTGCTCAACCATTTGGCCCACAAATGCAAAATTGCCACAAAGAGCGTCGACACCAAGGCCATTCCCGGCCTTATCTCACAACTTGGCGTAATCGAAACCCCCTCAGCTTCCGTTGACGACAGCGTTGTCGTCATGCTCGATGGCCGTATTCTCGGCTTCTGCTCTCCCAAGCAGGCTCGTGTAATTGGAGACACTCTCAGATACTGGAAGGTCGAAGGCACTCACGGCGTACCTTCCGAGCTTGAGATCGGTTACATCCCCAACTCGAACGGAGGTCAATACCCTGGTGTCTACATGTTCTCACAAGCAGCTAGAATGTTCAGACCTGTCAAGTACCTGCCCCTCGGCAAGGAGGACTTTGTCGGTCCATTCGAACAGCCTTTCATGTCCATTGCCTGCACAGAGCCCGAAATTGTCTCAGGCGACTCAACACACGTCGAATTCGACCCCACAAACATCCTCTCTATCCTCGCCAACCAGACACCCTTCTCAGACTTTAATCAATCGCCGCGTAACATGTATCAGTACGTCCAATTGACAATCAATGTGCAAGGATAAGGACTAATTCGTAAACCACAGGTGTCAGATGGGTAAGCAAACCATGGGTACTCCTGGAACTGCTCTCAAATACCGTACCGACAACAAGTCATATCGCCTACAAACTGGACAAACACCAGTGGTCCGACCTCCCCTATACAACGAGTACGGCTTGGACAACTTCCCTAACGGAACCAACGCCGTTGTTGCTGTCATTTCATACACTGGTTACGACATGGACGACGCTATGATTATCAACAAGTCTGCCCACGAGCGTGGCTTCGGTCACGGAACTGTCTACAAGACCAAAAAGGTTGACCTTGCCGAGGACAATGGCGGCAGACGTGGCCGTGGTGGTGGTAACGTGAAGAAGCTTTTCGGTTTCGCTCCCGGCGGTCTCGTCAAAGCACAATGGCGCGCAACCCTCGACGACGACGGTCTTATCGCTGTCGGCATGAAGGTCAAGGAGGGTGACATTATCGCCGCATCGCACACTGTCACCAAGGATCCCATTACTGGCGAGTTCGTCAACCGTGACGGTATTACTCACTTGCACAAATACAAGGACCACGAGGAGGCTTTCGTTGAGGAGATCAAGATGCTTGGCACAGACACTGGTGCTGATGAACCCTGCCAGATGCTCAGCATCAGACTCCGTATTCCTCGTTCGCCCGTCATCGGTGACAAGTTCTCTTCTCGTCACGGACAGAAGGGTGTCTGCTCCCAGAAGTGGCCCGTCATGGATATGCCTTTCAGTGAGAGTGGTATGCAGCCTGATGTCATCATCAACCCTCACGCTTTCCCTTCGCGTATGACCATTGGTATGTTCGTCGAATCGCTGGCCGGTAAGGCTGGCTGTATGCACGGTGTTGCGCAAGACAGTACCCCCTTCAAATTCAAGGACACCGCAGGCGAGACTGCCGTTGAGTACTTCGGTCACCAACTGAAGCGTGCTGGATTCAACTACTACGGAAACGAGCCCATGTACTCTGGTATCACTGGCCAAGAGCTCGGTGCCGATATCTACATGGGTGTGGTTTACTACCAACGTCTGCGTCACATGGTCAACGACAAGTTCCAGGTCCGTACCACCGGTCCCGTCACTGCGTTGACTGGTCAACCCATCAAGGGTCGTGCCAAGGGTGGTGGTATTCGTGTCGGTGAGATGGAGAGAGATTCTCTGATTGCCCACGGTACAGCATTCTTGCTGCAAGATCGTTTGATGAACTGTTCCGATTACCAAAAAGCATGGATCTGCCGTGGCTGTGGATCTTTCCTTTCCGCACAACCGACTGTCAACGAGTATGGACGCAGAAAGGGTGTTAATGCAAGCAATGTTAGATGTAGGAGATGTAGTAAGAAGGCTACTGGCTCCGAACCCAACAGCGATACTTGGGAGGATGGCCGAGGTGATAAGTTCGTCGGTGGTTCAGACGTCACTGTCGTTGCTGTTCCTGGTGTTCTGCGATACTTGGACGTCGAGTTGGCAGCTATGGGTGTCAAGATGAGATTCGATGTTACGCCGTAGATAAAAGGGGGACTGTTCATATAAGCATTTGCATCTTCTTTTAACTATACCAAAATGGAGTCTGGTTTGGGTTCTTTCTTTTGAATAATTTTGGCCCGATTTCCATAGTGAAGCTTTTCATGTTGCCTTCTTGTTCCCAACGCACGTACCTCGCATCTTAGATCGCATCCAGGATGCAATCGATTGCATGCTTCCGAGCCTCAGTGACACTTTCCCAAATTGATCTTCTATTTTGTGCCTCAAGCGATTCCCATTGTATTCGATGGTCCTTTGTCCAGGGTGTGGTGAGGTCCTCGCGTGTTCGTTTGGTGGACTGTTTTCATTCGACGCCGACCTCGACTTCGCATCCATTTGCCATCACTCATTAACACAACTGGAACCCGTCTTCATCTCTAAAGCGATGTCCTTGCACATTGACACATGATCTTGCGATAAGATGGAAGGCGCCGCGAAGTTCTATCATCCGTACGAGCCGTACGACATCCAGCTTGAATTTATGCGGACATTGTATGAATGCATTGATCAAGGCAAAATCGGCATCTTCGAGTCTCCGACTGGTTAGTGATATTTTGAGTCTTACTCAGGTGCACGACTGACCACTGTTTAGGAACTGTAAGGATGGGTGATCTGCATACTGTGATCGACTTCTAATCCTTGCTTAGGGCAAATCTTTGAGTCTAGCATGTGGTTCCTTGACATGGCTTCGAGACCACAAGAGAAAAGAATTCGATGAAAGCATTGCTGCCATTGAAGGAGGTCAATTGGCTCCTCGTCAAATTCTAGCATATCTGGCTGACTAAGTACCAGACGATGACGAGCCCGAATGGATGGTCCAACACTCTCGAGAAGAGAAGAAAAGTCAAGTCATACAGAAACGAGCAGAGCTAGAAGCAAAACTCGAGAAGATCCGCCAACACGAACGCAAAGTTCGAAATCGACAGGAAAACGGACCTACATTGACCAAAAAGCGGAAACTGGATGATGACAGCGGCAAAGATGTCGATATTGTGGATGAAGAGCAATTCGCCCTCGACGACTACGAGAGCGATGATGAAGGCACCAAGAGTTCCAAAGCCAACAATTGGGACGCTGACCTGGGATTGTCAAAGGAGACACAAGCGCTTATGCAGAAACTCGGATATGGTCTTTCGGCCCTGTCGAAACCAGAAGATCTTGAAGCAGAAGATGAACTGAAGATTTACTTCTGCTCTCGCACTCACTCGCAATTGAGTCAGTTTGTTAACGAACTGAAGAGGATAGATCTACCAGCCGCTATACCTGCTGTGCAGGAGGAAATCAAGAAGAAAGATAAGCTTCACGAGGAGCTCAAGCATCTCTCCTTGGGCGCGAGAAAGAACCTTTGCATCAACAGTAGAGTTTCTTCGTTGAAGAGTGCAACAGCAATCAACGAGCGATGCTTGGAATTGCAAGATGCAAAGACGCCAAAAGAGAAAAAGTGTCCATTCGTGCCAAACAAAGAGAGCGAAGGCACGGTACTCGATTTCCAGCATCATGCTTTGGCAAAAATACGAGATATTGAGGACTTGGGCAGTTTGGGCAAGAAGTTGGGTGTCTGTCCCTATTATGCCACTAGACCTGCAGTCAAGCCTAGCGAGGTAAGAGCTATCCCCAACTCGCCTTCTTTCGTTGGTCCCCAATGCGGTCCTAATGTCGAATCCAGATTGTCACACTACCATATCCACTTCTACTCCAAAAGACGGCACGAGAAGCACTAGGTCTATCGCTCAAGGACCATATCGTCATTATCGATGAAGCACACAATCTCATGGATGCAATCTCTTCCATCCACACTGTCGAAGTATCACTGCAACAACTACAACTCGCCCGAGCTCAGTTGACAGCCTACCTCCAACGCTTCCGCAATCGTCTCAAAGGCAAGAATCGCGTGTACGTTACACAAGTCGTACGGCTACTAGACTCAATAGCCAATTTTCTGTCAACATTGGACATCAAGAAAGGAAGCGAAGGCACTGTCCAAACCACCGAACTTCTCAAGGGAAAAGGTGTGGATCAAATCAACCTCTACAAACTGATGCATTACCTGCAAGAAAGCAAATTGGCCAGAAAAGTGGAAGGCTATGTTTCTCTAGAGCAGCAGAAACAGCAGAATATCAATGCTGCGGGTGTTGGGAAAGAAGTCACAGTGCCTGTGCTTACGCATATTACAAACTTGTTCATGGTGTTGACGAATCCGGCGAGAGAAGGACGTCTGTTCTATACCGTTGGAGCAGACAAGGCAGAGACGAAGGTCAAGTACATGTTACTCGATCCCTCCGAACACTTTCGCGAGATTGTCGAGGAAGCTAGAGCAGTAATACTGGCAGGTGGAACCATGTCACCAGTAGGTTTACCTCCTTTCCTTCCATGCTTTCTACTGTACTAATCCAGGACAACAGATGTCCGACTACCTGACCCGACTGTTCCCCTATCTCGATAACGACCGCATCACAACCCTATCCTGCGGCCACGTAATACCCACCACAAACCTCTTCGTCAGCCCAATAATCTCAAGCCACAACAACACCGATTTCAACTTCACCTTTCCCTCACGAAACTCTCCTTCCACAATCACAGCATTAGGAGAATCAATCTTACAACTCCTCCCTTCCATCCCAAACGGCTGCGTAGCTTTCTTCCCCAGCTACTCCTACATGGACCAAGTCGTCGCCTCGTGGCAAAAGTCCCCCTCTCCCTCCCAACCTTCCCTCTGGACCCGCATGCAAAAACAAAAGGCTCTTTTCAAAGAATCACAAGCTACAGGTACAGAAGACGTCCTCACATCCTACACTTCCGCCGCCAACACGACGCAAAAGGGAGCTTTCCTCCTCGCAGTCCTGAACGGCCGTCTCAGTGAAGGAATAAACTTTTCCGATCATCTGGGTCGGTGTGTCATGGTCGTCGGTCTACCCTACGCGAACCCGAATACCGCAGAACAGAAAGCCAAAATAGCTTATATTGAGGAAAAAGCTGTTGCTGCGGGACTACAGGCAAAAGAAGCGGCGAGGGAGTTTGCGGATAATAATTGTATGAGGTCGGTTAATCAGGCTATTGGTAGAGCGGTGAGGCATAAGGGGGATTGGAGTGCGATTTTGTTGTTTGATGCGAGGTATGCGCAGAAGAAAATACAGGGGAAATTGCCTGGGTGGATCAGGGCGAGTTTGGGGGATGGGATGGGTGCTGGGAGGAAGTTTAGGCATGTAGAGGTTGGGTTGAAAGCATTTTATGCTAGGAAGAAGGCAGAAGGAACCTTGAGCAATACATAGATGTGGATGAAGAATAAAAGGGTATCAATTTCTGTAATCTTACTATGAGAGTCGTAATATCATTTCTTCGCACCCTTTGCCTTTTCGGCCGCATGCATGGCAGCCCTCTGACTCCTACTCCCACCCAACTTGGGCCCCTTCAAACTCTCCAACTTATTAGCACCAAACGTCGGAGGCGGTGGAGCAGCAACCCTCCTGACAGCTCTTTCCTCTGCCTGAGCGTAGAAGTTTCTCTGAAATTCAGCAGCCATGCGTTCGTCTGCGTCTTCTGTCTCTGCTGCTGTGGAGGTGGGCCCTTGAGGGGTGGCAGAGGTGGAGGGTGATTCGTAAATGTTTAGTTGGGATTCGCGGAGGATTTGGTCGACCATTGCGTCGCGGGCGAGGGAGGCGCTGTTGCGGCGGTTATGCCAGGGTTTGCGTGGGCGTTTTGGGGGGCGGGATGTTGTTGTGTTGGTGGGTAGGGTGGACTGGTTTATATCGACTTCGTCGAGATGGCCACGAGCTACCGAAGCTGGGTTTGCTGCAACTTGTTGTGTCGCTGTTGTAGAGACATAGGTAGGGTCTACTGGTGTAGAGGATTGATTTGTGGTTGAAGTGGAAGCTTCATGTGATGGAGTCAGACGGGCTAGTTTGGAGTCTACATAGGCCATCCTTAAGATTGTCAGTCTATTCTGTATCTTGTGTTGAAGGAAGAGATGGGAAGACCCACATATGCTTGTCGTCTGCAGAGGCGATATGTCCTGTTGGCGCAACGAAGCGGGCTTGGGCGTGCTCGACAGGGTTCAATGGTGTAGGCGGCGCGTTCGTGTCAAAGACACTGCTTGTCCCGCTGTCGTTTGCCGTTCGTGTAGATGAGAAAGCTACACCGCCTTTCCTTGCGCCGCCTGGTCTGACATGTCTCAAGGCTACACTGCCTTCTCTTGTTTCTGTTTCCACCTCTTGATCCTGGTTGTTAGTCGCCACTGCGGTCGAGCCGGTCGGTATCGCTACCTCGCCATCGGATTCTTCATCGTCGTCGCGTCGTTTGCGAAACACCTTTCTTCGCTTCGATGCTCTGAATACTGGTCCCTCGTTTGTATCGGCCATGTTGTTGTGTCAAGAGAGTTCAGGTATCACGCTTTGTCAGAAGCTCTTTCGTCATTTTTGCATGTGACAGCCAAGACTTTGCTACACCACCTTGATCCTCCCATATTAGCTCTATACCGCTGTCATTTTTAATCCCTAGTATGAGAGGATAGTCAGCAGTCTGTATCGGAAGCCAATGCCCGTATATCTCAAGCTATACATCACCCGGCTCCTTTTTACTGCCGTGTTTCAGTGATTTACAACCTCTACGCTCTGGTTCCGCGCTAACCGAATGACAATTATTAAGCAATCCGTCCATCCAATTCCACCATATCAAAAACCGCATTCTTGCCACTTTCCTCCTCCTACATAACTTCAAGAGTAAATATAATCCTGCCCTCTCCGTTAACTCCTTCTAAACAAATCAATCGCCCATCCTGGCTTTCCGCAACACCCTCCGCAACATGACAAACTACAACATCTCCATCGTCAGCGATACAGTCTGCCCCTGGTGTTACGTGGGCAAGAACCGCCTCCAAGTCGCCATAAACAACCACAAGCAAACCTACCCCAATGACACCTTCACCACAACCTGGTTCCCCTTCTACCTAAACCCCGACGCACCCAAGCAATCCCGCGACAAGCAAACCATCTATGTCGAGAAATTCGGCGAGCAAAGGGTCAAAATGATGCAAGGTCGTCTATCAGAAATCGGCAGAGAGTTGGGCATCAACTTTGCCTATGGAGGTAAAACCGGAAACACCAGGGATTCGCATAGGGTTGTGCAATTGGCGAAGACGAAGGGAGAGGAAACCCAAACGAGGGTTATGGAAAAGCTGTTCAATGCTTATTTCGAGTTGAATGAGGATATTACCGATCATGCTGTTTTGACAAAGGCGGCGATTGGTGGTGGGTTGGAGGAGAAGGAGGTCAAGGAGTGGTTGGAGAGTGACAAGGGTGGGCCTGAGGTTGATCGTGAGGTTGCTGCTGCTCAGAGGAGGTTCATCTCTGGTAAGTTTGATTTTCAAGGCTCACGCTGGTTGAGAGCATGATGGCTGACTGTCACTCTAGGTGTCCCTCACTTTACTATCCAGAACATGTACGAGGTTGGTGGTGCTGAGGAGCCTGCCACTTTCCTGCAGATCTTCAACGAGGTCAAGAAGTCTGAGGGTGCCAGTGGCTCTGCTGCCACTCAAGTCTCATCTGGCAATACATGCTAGATTGACTGGTTCTACAAAACTCCAAGCACGAAACTCAGGAAAGTCTTTCGAGGCATAAGGAGAAGCCTAAGCGTTGACCAAATAGTATCATGTGCTACAATATAAAAATGATGATAATAACTACATAAATGCAACAAAATGTGGTGTGCCAGTACTTCACTGGAAATAAATGCAACAGCAAAATGGCCAATCCTTCCTTTCATGCATCTTTTCTTTTGGTGAAAAACAGATTTCTTTGCAAGGTAATGCCTTCCATGTAGATATTGTCCCTTTCGAATAAAGCGCCAGGAATGAGAGAAAATGAATCAGGGCCTTCCGTGTTCGTGAATCGTCAAAACAATCCTTCCAAAATATTATATTGACAAGTGGGCGGGTTTTGGTATTTCCTCCAGAGGAGTGTCTCTATCACTTGGAGACGGATGATGTTCTCTGACCACCAATGGGTCCGAGAGTTGGCTCGCTCTTTCCAGGCAAGAGACCAATGGGAGATACTGAGGGCTTCCTCGATGAGCTCGCGAATTCGTCTTCCTCCTCCATGGAGAACAGGCCTTGGTCTTCTTCTTCGATGGTCTCGTTGCGGCCCAGACTGTTGCTGCTGATACCTCTGTCGAGTCCGCCACGGAGAGCACCGCGAGAGTCGCTGGAAGAGGTGCGAGGGTGTAGTGATGGTGACTTTTCGGAGATTCTGGTACTCTGGAGCTCACGGGTGAGCATCGACATGCTTGCTTGCTTCGGCGGGCTACCAATAAGGGAGCCAAAGTCACCTCCGGCAAGCGAAGAGGAGCGCAACGAAGAGGGTCGCAGAGGCGAGCCAATGTGTCCAAATCCGTTCTCCCCCTCTTTGCGATATGATCCGGATGACCAGATTGAGCTGTATCTCGAGGGGCTGCCGGTGTGGGGGCTGACACTTCCGACTTTGCTGTCTGAGGGAATCTGGCTGTTGGAGATAGCGCGTCGGCCAGCGGAAAGGAAGGAAGGGTTGATATCGTCGTCAATCTGCTGAGAGGGTCTGCGCAACTTCTCTGGAGGGAGCAGCTCGTGCAAGCTCGAGGGCAGAAGATCCTCGCCGATGCCCTCCTCTTCACTCTCCTCAGAATCGGTAGCGTCCGGTGGGAAGTGCGAGTAGAACGAGGGTCTTGTGCCAACACTAGCGGACATCATGGGTCTAGGTCGCGAGAATCTCTCCGAGTGTAGAGGTCTCTTTCCAAAGCTCATTGGCTCTTCGAAGGTAGGTGGGGAAGAACCGGCCAACACACCGTCGAGGGTAGTATCTCCAAGTCCGCGCAGAGTGCTTCCGAGGAAAGCCTTGTTAGGCAACGACGAGGGAGGTGACTCGAGACCGTGGCCGAGACGAGGGGGGACGGATGATGCGAACGGACCGTGGCGCGCAGCATGTGAGATGCCCTGGCTGTCGAAAGATCCTGGCAGCGGCGCATCCAAGACGCTCAGACCTCTGGCATTCGGCGATGCTCCGAAACGGTTGTCGTTCATAGGCGAACCGAAGGTGTTGCTAGGGTCTAGCGATAGGGGCTGTGAAGCCTGGATATACGGCGTAGGGTTCGGAAGGTTTGGGACGTCTTCTTGCTTGGGGTAACCCATCTCCTGCGGTTGTTGTTGTTGCTGCTGCTGCGATGCCAGGTCGTTGGCTTGCATGGTGAGCAACGAGGGCGGTGCGGGTGCGTATGGTTGAGGGCCACGGCGGCCGTAGTTGAAAGGCTGTCCTCCGCGAGGAGGCCTGTTGATTACTCGACCATCGGGGAGAATGTGGGCGAGAGCGCATCCTTGACCGAATCTGCAGCTACCCTGATATAACGAGTCAGTGTCATGCAAGCATATACACATGCGACAATGGCGCAGGTACCTTGGCAAAGTATTTGCAAGGCGCGTTCTGCGTCATGGGGTCCATATCGTGAGAGAACTGGCAGGCCGCGCCAGCTTGACAGGTGCCAAAAGGGTAGAACTTGCATGGCACATGCGACGTGTCTGCAAACACCTGTTAGACAAGAGAGGGTGACTCGGGCTCCGTATGTCCATACTCTTCGCTTTAGGAGGACTGCGGGCACCGGCGAAGGCTGCGGCCGAGTTTGGCTGGGGAAAGTCCCTGGACATGTTTTGAGCATACGAGGCGCTGCTCGAGCGCCTGTGAGGCGTGTTCTCTTCGACACTCATGGCCAGATTGCCAGATTGCCAGCCAGGTCAGTGGTGGGGTGGAGAGGGGCAGTGTTGGCAAGGTTGAACAGGCGGAGGAGGATCGGAGCGTTGCGGGAGAAAAGGTCCTTGGTCCAGAGAGGGGAATGGGAGAAGCGAACGCTAACAACGCCGCTGCTTGTCGAGCTGAAAACCGTCACACTGTATACAACTGGCGGATTGGTGCTCGTCTGGGTCTTGCAAGCTCGGTCGATTGGTTGTTCTCATGAGATCATATCTCTTCGAGTCCGACAGCGCTCGTGCAAGCATGTGAGCCGATTGGTCACCTGCGCGAGCTTCGCAATGCCCTCCTCTAATCACGTTCACCTATCTTGGCCGAACCCACCTGAGGAGCTCCACCTCACGGCCGACGAACGAACGATAGCGCTTTCTGACTCTGGCTCGAGTTCGCCGAAACTTACGCACATGTTGTAACATGGTCCAGAGAAATCGCATCGGAACCTGACATGCTCGTTTCAATGAAAGCTGTCATAAAGCCAACGAGATGAACGATTCATTCAGGAAGCAGAGTCGTGTCTACCGAAAGCGAGCGAGATAGCCACTCTCGAGGGACAGCTCTGCCGATCTCAAAGCATTGTACCCTTTCCCGGACCTCTCGCAAGAGTCTAATGGTCGAGCTGTGTTCCTTGAGTATTCCATGGTCGTGAATGTATATTGCTGAACGATGAACCTAGGCGATATTCTTCTCATCTGTTCGAGTACAGCAGTCTGTAGTGAAGCACATTCGACAAATGCTCGGTACTGTCTTTCGGATCAGTCCTATTTCGCCATCATCGAATGGTCCTGTCGGCTACTGACCAGACTATCTTCTGGCTGGTCGGCGTGTTCTTCCCGTGTTCGAGAGGAACTGGCCGACTCTGAAACTCTGTCGACGAGGAGATTGGAAGCAACTTTCTTTGTCCATAGAGTCGGCCGTTGCTAGCATTACCGGCATGCAGCTCCGTTTGGTCGCACGACAGCCATATGCTTCCTCACCGCCACAGAGAGCGTCACACGTGCAGCTTTCCGCACGAGCTGTTCCTCTCCTAACCACGCTCTTTGTCCCTGGCATCAGAAGCGGAGATTTTCTCGACACATGGTCAATTAGTGACTGTTGTGTCATGGTCCGGCTTCGTCTTGTTCCTGAAGTTGTGTTTCGAGATTCGTCAGAGGTTACCGTCTGAGTGGTTCCACGAGCAAACGAGGCTATTTGGAAGGAAGAAGTCGAGATTACCCAGTGGTACTAATGCAGGAACTCTCACATGGACGCACGATCGCTTCCAAATCGTGGAAGGGATGGATCTGTGTCTGGTGATGTGGTATAGTGTGAATTGTGGACTGGCAGGCTGAGCCTGATGAGAGAAAGAGGAATCAGAACTGGATGTGAGCGTATGAGTTTGACAATGGTGTTGAAAGAGGAAGGGTTGATGAGCCAAGCGTTAATCACCCAGCTCTCTCGAGATGCGTTGTGGGAGTCCGACTCTGTGCTGTGCATCAAGGAACGAAAGTTGCTGCTGACATCTGAGAGAGGGGCCACAGAGCAAACGGATGTCAAGGCCATCATATTGCTATGGTGATTTGATTGGTTGTCACCAACGACAAAGTGCGCCTGCCAGATTTAATTCCGTCACTGCGCACTTTCCTCGTTTACCTTTTTCCACCCACCACACTCGTTCTTTATTCAACCACTCCCCTCGTTGTCTAACCCTTCCTTACCAAAGTCACTCATTCCTCCATCCATTGCTCAGAATGCATCTGGCAACTTCTCTTGTGGCATTGAGCCTTGTTGGCCTTTCTCTTGCTATCAGCCAGTCCCAGAAGTGAGTTTGCAGCACTATGATCTTCAGTTGGCCACAACCTGCGCGTCTGCCTTGGAAGATCGTGGCATTCATTCTACGCAGCACACATCTGCTAACACGATATCACAGTGCCTTGTCTTCATGTGAGCCGGTCACTGAGACCGTCACCCTCATGTCCTGCCCGAGCGAGACCACTCTTGCTTCTGCCATCGACTCTACTACTACAGCCTCGTACTCGACCATCACCAGCTTCTCTACTCTGACTAGCTACGTGACTGTCTCCCCATCTCAGACCCTGGCTGGTCCTGTCTCCTCTTCTGTTGATGTTCTGCCTTCCAGCTCGGGCTACTCCTACATTGACCATGATGGCACGACTAGCTGGATTAGCGATGTTTCTCCTACTGTCAGCTTCAGCTCAACTGTCACCGAGACTGTTCAGATGACCGTCTTCCCGGTTGCCACCGATGACATTAAGGTCACTGTCACTCAGACCACGGTTCTCACCATCACACCTCCCGCTGTGACTTCCATCAAGTCTCAGTCCTCGGTGGCCTTGGCTGGCCAGTCAGATGAGGAGACCACAACCTCGACTGTGACTTCTTACCGCACCAAGAGCGTCATCTCTGTTCTGACGGTCTACTTGAGCTCAAGAAGCTCCAAGCCTGCTGCTCTCATGACGTCCTCTGCAGCTGCTAGCGCAGAGCTCACTTCCCACAGCACCTCGACCAGTCCTCCGACATCTGCAGAGTCGGTCTGCTCCGTGAGCTATGTGGACGTAACTACCGATTTCACCTACACTGTCATTGCTACGCCTTCCGCCGGCTTCAACTCGGTCATCAACAGTGTTGGTAACCTGAGCTCTTACGCCCCAATTGCATCTGCCTGGAACACTACTATGCACCCGTCCGCAACACTTACCGGCTCTCTGTACAAGCCTTCTGGGTTCTCGGGTGCTGTGACAACACCTACTGCCTCGCTGGTGTCGTCCGTGTCTGTTGGAGCTGCCTCGCAGAAATCTGCAACTGCTATCTCGCCTGTCGTTCCTTCTTCAGCCCTCCGCCATGGTAACAACGGTAGTACAGTCTCATCCTCGGCCACTGGATATGTTCCCTTCATGCCAGTCCCTGTCATCTCGTTGAGTGCTCCCGCTGCATTCTCGCGTACTTCTTCGACCTTGAGCAAGAAGTACACCAACACTTCAAGCTCTGCTATGCCGACCCCCACCGTGTGTGGTGAGCATGGTGAATTCACTTTGACTGTAAGTACCCTCTTGAACACATCAACAAAAATATGAAGCTGACTAAAACTTGAATAAAGTGGGAGGATGAGCCTACCTTTTTGCCGACCGAGCCCATCACCGACCCTAGCGACGCCCCTCCGGTCTTCAACCCCTACCACCACATGTACTTCTCTGATGGCTTCGTCTACGCTCCTCCTCCATCGGTCCCCTTCGTAGCTGTCTCGTCTCCTCGTCTTGTTATGTTTGTGGCCAATGAGACCGGCGATAATGACAACCACAGCGAAGGAGGACAGCTTTCGGGCGAGATCGGCGCGGGTACTCGTAGAAGCTCCAACGCATTCTGGTTCAACGCTCACAGCGCTTACCTTGGATGTGAGAACCATTCGGCCCACCAATGTGTTCTCAAGATTACAGGCCTTGTCTACCAGAGCGAGACCAAGTCGGAAGTGGCAGCGTTCCATCAGACTGTCAAGCTTCTTCCATGCTACTTGCCCGACAACTGTCACCTTACACAGATCGATTTCTCAGAGTCAATGAAGGGATTGAGTGGCCTTCGCATCCAAGCCTCGGTCAACGAGGAACCTGTTTCTTGGTTCATGGACAATCTGGCACTTGGCTGGTCCAACAACACTTGTGCTGCTGGTCTTCTTAGAGCCAGAAGCCGCTAAAGAGGACTTGATACGAATTTGAAAGATTGTAATATTACCAAACTAGGCAAGCGGGACTTGTCTTGACCATACAGATGTGAACGGAAGAGACCGATTTTCTAAAGGCAGTGCAGATGAGGTATATAGAACTTCAATAAGATGACTGCTTTTACTGGAATGTCTGAGAAACAAAAGTGTTGTCGCATGTAGGAGAAAACGATTACTTGCAGAAGCCCGAATACTCTCGTAGGTATGGACTTTAGAGTTCAGAATCTTGGCAAGGCAGGAAAGTAAAGCATCGCGACTGCGTGGGGTGAAAGTGACCATCGCGCCTTCTCGTGCTTCACACGACTTATTATCATCATCATCATCGTCAGTGAGGCGGCGCATCACTCTCCGGACGATCGGCTCGGCGCACATCACTTCACTTTCACTTTCACGACGATTTCCGGAAGCTGGCAGAAGCGACGACATCATCATGAGCCAACCGGACGGCGCGCCGCAAGCGGCTTCACAGTACCCTCCTGATATGATCCGACCCGAGAGAATTGCGAATATCCCTATGCTCTCAGCTGAACTCAAGGTCACCTATACGGCGGGACTGACCAAGCTTTGGACTGCACTGGAAGCCAACCCACGTGGAAGCGAAACACACACTAAGGCAACAGCTAAGATCAAGGAAGTCTCCAGGGAGATTATGCGCCACATCACAAACTGGAAAGCCAACAACCAGAACCAGCAGCAGCAGCAGCGACCCCAGCCTCAAGCTCAAGTTTCACAGCAGCAGCTTCCCAACCAACAGCAGCAGCAACCACAAAACCAGCAGCTGCCGCAACAACCTCAACAACAACCTCAACCTGCTCAACAGCAGCCTGCTGCGCAACAAATCACAAATCAGCAACCTCAGCAGCATTCGCAACAGCAGCAGCAACAGGCCCATCATCCTCAGCAGCCGCAACAGATCCCTCCCCAACAGCAACAACAGATCCCGCAGGGTCAGGGATCTTTTCCGCTCGGCCAGCAGGCAAAGGCTTTCCTGAACGGCTTCAAGGTCTTCCCTCCTACCACCGTCATTCCTAACACTCCCGACTACGAGAACTACAAACGCCGTGTTATGGGTACCCTTACTAGACTCGTCACCATGCAAGAGAGCAGTGTTAGTCGCTTCCAACAAAACCACGAAAAGATCTCGCAGCTGGAAAGTGCTGGACAGACGGCGACACCCGACCTAGTCGCGGCTAGAGACTCTGCTAGAATGGGTGTGCAAGATGCAAAGACCAAGATCGATGGCGTCCGTAATGAGAACGAAAAGAACCGTCTAGCTTGGGCCGAGAAGTCGAACAAGTCGCAACAACAAAACAACTCGCAGACTCCCATGCCTCAACAGCCTGTTGCCTCGCCTTACAACCAGTCCGCTCAAGTCAACAACAACCAGGCCATGAGCCCTGCTGTGCCCAACCCCTACCAGCAGCAGCAGCAGCAGCAGCAATCGAATGTTCCTATGCATCCTCAGCAGCAGCAGCAACAGCAACAGCAGCCGATCGCACGCCCTCCCAACCAGCAACAGCCTTACCAGTCACCGGCTCCTCAAGGTCAACCTCAGCCCCTTAGTCACGCCGCTGCAATCAACCAAGCCCAACGCAACTATTCTGAGCAACAGGGACAAGGCACGCCTACTCCTCAGTCCGCGGGTCAGCCCTTCAACCACACCCAGAACGCTGCACTCAACGTCGGCAACCCCAAGTTCCCCATCCCAAAGAATCTGCCGAACTCAGGCCCTCACAACCCCGTACCACTCGGTCCCGCTCGTCCCACTTTCGGCGGCCCTAGCAACGGCGCCCCAGGAATGATGGGTCAGCCCGCCGTACAGAAGACACCTCATTTCATATTGGAAGGAGAGGGAGACCGCGTTCTTAGTAAGAAGAAGTTAGACGAACTGGTTCGACAAGTCACTGGCGGCGGCGAGGGCGATGGTCTCACACCAGATGTTGAAGAATCCGTGCTCACCCTGGCCGATGACTTTGTCGACAGCATCATTACCGCTGCTTGCCGCTTGGCCAAGATCAGACCCAACTCGACTCTGGACATTCGCGACATCCAGATCATCCTCGAGCGCAACTACAACATTCGCGTTCCTGGCTACTCGCTTGACGAAGTCCGCACTGTGCGCAAGTTCCAGCCCGCACCCGGATGGACTCAGAAGATGAACGCCGTGCAAGCCGCCAAGGTTATGGGCAAGAACGACGCTTAGGCAGCTGTCTACTTGAATCCACCTACTCTGAGCGCACCGGTCAGGAGAGCAGCTGCACGCAGAAGAAAGAGAAACACCGCCGATGATTGAATTTTATTTCTTGCAAACTTTTCATTGCTTTGAAGCGAGGAGTTCTGGGACAACTGGGATATTATCATCACTGAAAATGGAGAGGGACATGGGCCAACGAACCCAGGACGGAATCTTTTACTAGCAACGACGTGGCTATTCTTTGCGCATTGATCTTGCGAAATTGCTATGGTTGCAGGCATGAGATTGATACAAAAAAAAAATGCCAACTTTACTTTGAAAACAATAATGCCCTATGTCTTGAGATTGCCGCTCTTTCCTTCAAATTGGTATCTCGTGTGTTTGAAAAAAAAGAAAAAGAAAAAGAACAATTGATAACAAGACCAGGGTTGCCCGGCAAGCAATGGTCTAAAGACATCTTTCGCTCGTCACGTCGACAGCAACGACCAATTCACTAAATTTGATCCAAGAGAGCATTCCTTGTATATTTTTCCTGGTATCTACACAAGAATAAATTGGAAAATGGTGACAGTTGTTGCAAAATGTGCGATATAAGGATTTCACAACCTCGACATCGAAGCTTCATGCTTATACCACTGCTGAAACCACAGCACTTTTCCCCTGGAACATGCTAGGTTAGATAAGCAAAAAGAAAATGACGTCGAGGCACTCGGTCACAAAAAGCATGTTTTGACGCGTGTGGGAAGCATTAAATGTGTATAAGAAAATGGGGAGAGAAAAGGTTCATGGAAAGAGTAGATGGATATTTGATGTTTAGCCATCTTGGTCTGATGCTTATGCTATATATCCTGATGCAGGAACGAACATGCCAAACACGATTTTCCATATCCTTTACATCCACAAACACAATTTTCCACTAGCGGTACCAGCAGCGATCCAATCTTTCGTCTGATGGAACTGCGCCACCGAAGGCACAGCAGTGATCCCATCACCTCCGAGTTGAGCCAATTGTTGTCCATCGCCGGTATATACGTCTACGAAGCGATTCATGTTTCCGATGACGAAGCGTTGGATATTGTCCGCGGGCTGGAGTTGCCATTGCGCGCGAAGACTGTGGGGTCATAAGTCAGTAAAAGGTATGGAGGGCAGGGTAGAGTAGGGTGGGAGGTGAACTCACATGGTAACCCATCGTCCAGTTTGATTGTTATGCGGAATCACAGTCGTGGGAGTCATTTGTGCTTCGTCCAACTCGACACCAGCGTCCCATGTTGCTGCAGAGCTGAAATCGTATACCTTGACCGTATCATCATAACTGGCTGTGGCGACTTGGCCTGCAGAATTGAACGCGGCGTGAGAAACACTTAACCTGCTCTCGTGTGCTCCCACCTCCGCAGGACCCCTCTCATCTCCCTTCCCCTTCAGCATTCTCAAATCCCAAAGTCGTAGGTAGCGATCCAATGATGCGGTTGCAAAAATATGAGGTTGAGCAGGGTGTAAACTGAATCCTCCTATTTTCTTTTCCGACAGCCCATAGATATCAGTGCCTTTTCCTGGTTTCGAGCGAGTGTCGTGGCGGCCGAAGTTTCCATTCAAAGTGCTGAAGAAGAGATTGTGAGGATCGAATTGGGACATTTCGACGCCGGAGAGTGGTTCGTCGTCGTCTTTGGATAGGGGTGCGTAGGCTTCTGTCGCTACGCCTTTTGCGAGATCGAGTTTACGGATTGAGGAGTCGTAGCTGGCGGAGTAAAGAGCATTGGTATCGTGAGGGCTGAATTGGAAGGCGGAGATTGTGCGAGTGTGGATCTTGAGGGTTGTGATTTGAGGGGAGGCTTCTTCGTCGTCTGATTCGTCGTCGTCTTCGTTTTTGATGGTGGCGGAGGGTTGTTGCGATGCGTCGAAGAGACCTAGACTTCCTAGCTTGTCACCGGCAAAGACGAGTGCTTTATCGGTGGTTGGATGGAAGCCTAGCGAGTAGATTCGCTCGGGTGTGATCTTTATCCTGTTGGGTTCGAAGCCTTCCCAGAGATCCAACCCACTCATGCGTTCGCGCAGCTCTTTCAACTCTTTGTCTGTGGTCTCCTTGACATCTTGGGCGCTGAAAGTGCGTTCGCCTGGATTTGCTGGACCGACTAGACGTAGAAAGTTGCCAGACTGATCCCAATCCTTTCCTGCGACTACGACATCTGAGAAACGCAGGTCTTCGGAAACGCGTTGACGTTTTGCTCGTTCGGCTTGAGCTAGCAATTCATGCTCTTCCTCTGCCTTTCTTTTTGCAACTTCGCTGTCTGCAACGATGCCTCGTAGACGACTTGATGTTCTTCTGGGTAGAACCTCCTCTTTTACTTTTTGAACAGGAGTTCTCTTCTTCTTTGCGGATTTGGAGTCGGGGGTGGCGCGTGAGGGTTTCTTGGGCGCGATGCCTGCTGATGCGGCTTCGAGTTGCAATTGACGAAGTAAAGCCTGATTTTTTGCTATGTTTTCCTGTCGTTGCAACTCATATTCGCTGAGCTCGGCTGCTGATTTCTTAGGCATGATGATCGATAAGTGTTGTGTGTTGTATTGAGGTTCTTGAGAAAGTGGCTCCTGCCCTTTTTCGAGGGAGACGCGAAGGTCGCGAAAGCGTGTTCATGACGTGCATCGCTGTCGGTGCCTGTCGGCCCGATCTTCCAAAGTAAAACACTTTTGGGTCTTGAAGTTTATCGTCATTGCTATACCACGCTTTCGACACTTTCTTCTGCCCAGAAATCCGATAGCCTGCTGGACGGGTCAAAACTCCGTACGAAAGAATTAGGATTCTCAATATCCAATCACTGCCGCAACTTGATCGCCAACTACACTGGACACCCTCGAACTCGGAGTCGAATAAATGTCTGGATGCGCGAATGCAGGTCAGGCTCTCAGCAGAGGCTTGAAGCTATACACAACTAGGAGCACATATTCGCTACCCTTTCTATATCAAACACCAACACTGCGCCGCTATTACAGCGCTCTGCAAGATCTGGCCAACGAAAATGTGGCCAAAGCCAGTCCAAAGACAAAAATCAGGAAACCGGAAAGAGAAACCACACCTGAGCCTGCTTCTGCCCCCGCCGCTCCTCGCGCAAAGCTAGAGAAAGAGGAATACGTCCCATTCGAAAGATACGAGAGTGCAGAACCAAATGTGAGATCTGCACCAGTCCAAGGAGAGACCCTCACGCCGAAAGAGCGATATGCCTTTGACCAACTCGAGGCACTATCAGGTACCCCTCAACCACCCAACGTGAAGAAGCAGCAGCCGAAGAAGCCAGCCGGAGATGTCTTCCTAGACCTTGACGAGGTCCTCAACGAAGCAATTCAAAATGTCGAATCCGTCGCACAAGCAAAAAGAGCAGCAGAGGTTAAAGCAGAAGCAGCTGCATCAAGGAAAAGACCAGCAGCACGGAAATCAAAATCCAACATCCTCAACCCGGCCCCAAGGATCACACAACCAGAAACCAGTTCTTCAACGACAGACGCAAGAGCTGCCTATTCCAAGGAACTGCACGAAGCCAGATCTCTGCACGAAGAATCAGAACGCATGATCGTCGCCATGAAACACGCCCCGACCGACTTCGCCCTCTGGTCAATCCTAGAAACCGACCTCTTCACCCCAATCGCAAACCTCCAACTCGATGGACCTTCCCCCGATCCCTCTGCCCCGACAACCGCAACTCCCCCTCCCACCACACCAAAATCCCGTCGCAATCTCATGCGCACATTCCCTAAACGCCTCATCCTCGCCGCTTCCTTGTTACGCACAGTATATCCATCTTCCAACCTCATCCTATCCATCCTACCCCGTCTCCGCGCCATAGGTCCTTCAGTCTACGCTCTAGGCATCACTCCAAACCTCTGTAACCAACTCCTCGCCTTCCACTTTCAAAAACACCTCGATCTCGACGCCTGCAATTCCCTGCTGTCGGAAATGGAATCTTCAATCATCGAGCCCAACGCCACAACTCTGCAGATCCTAAACTACATTTTAAATTACAAGGAGCAAGCCAAAGAGGGCAAAATGGGCGTGCCCACACAATCGGTCTTCGGTACCGAGAAATTCAGACGCGGGTTTAGAGAATTGGAAGGGTGGAGGGTGAAAGTGGAATCAAGTCTCGAGGAGTTTGAGATTAGAGAGCAGAGGAAAGCTGCGAATGAAGAGGCCAGGGTTGCAGATGAGAGGAAGGAGGTCAGATATATAAACTTTGAATGAAGGGAGCTAGGGTTGCCGAGGAGGAGCGGAAGGAGGTTAGATATATTGACTCGGATTTTATCTGATATATTCTTGATACTGGTATATCTAAATATCATACTGTGATGTAGTACTTTGAGAAGAGATGAGGAAAAGATGAGAAAGAAAATCATGGCTAGGGAGGAGAGAAGAGGAAACGATAATGCAATCAAGCAGAAAACAAACATCATATGCGTGACCATAGAAACCCAACTCCATCAATCAGAAAATACATGCGACGCCAGGTCCCGCCTTGGATACGCCTTGATATGCATCAATGCTTTCAGACCTCGCCCCAACCACCTAAAACCCCATCGCCAGTACTGCCTACACTGACTACACTGCCAGTACTGCTTGGGAAATCCCAATAGCGGCGCGAGCCTCCTGATCGCGTACGCTTTGTGCTTTGACTGGCACAGCTGCTGCTCTGTGCCCGACGATGCATAAGTGTATGTAATAGCACACTCTCCCGTCTACGCTGTGCCGATACAGAAGCAGCATGCGAGACTAGCGGATGATGTCGCCTGATGAGATCTGCGCGACGTCGTGACTCAGGAGATGTGCCTAAAGCAGAAGCCGTGACGGCAGCATTATCGGGAGATGCCCAATCTGCTGGTAATATGCTCTGTGAAGATTGTTGTAATCGTGACTGTGGTTCTGGAGGAGTTGGTGATGGTGGTCGTGATGAGAAGCGGCTGCGGAGGTATCGGAATACTACTCCGATATCTAGGTCGCGCTCCCAGTATTCGGTATCTTGGTCTTCATCATGGGAGGATATTTGTTCTTCGGTAGTGTCTTGCGGTTGTTCTGGGATGCCCCAGAGCGACGTGTCTGCTTCGACTGCAGGAGATACAGGAGGGTTTGCGAAAGTAGGAGCGAAGAGAGGAGGCGCAATGTTAGAGTCAGGGGCGTCTACTGAGGGTATTGTCGGATTAGATGGCGGGATCTGGCGTGGTTGTGTCTGTGTAGTAGGTTGGTCTACCTGATAGGAGGGATATGTGCTGAAGGTGCGATCCTGTCGATCATGATCGGCGAGTTGGTTGGCAAGTATACCAAGCTCTTTTGCGATGCGATTGAGAAGCCTGTTCTCCCATACCCGATCTTGATGTGCTGAGAAGACATCCGCAAGAGGAGATTGCTGAGTGGGAGTCGTTTGAGCGGCCGGTGCAAGTTCTTCGCCGAAGATGACTGATAGAGTAGTGTCGTCCAGACCCATCAGATCCTTGATGACTCTACGGGTGACACGCTGCCAGAATGATTCCGTTTCGGTATTTGTGGCTGGTGCGGCAGTCGAAGTAGCGCGCGAGGCAATTGATAGTCTTCGCCTTCGTCTGCGAGTCTCCTTCTCGATCTCCTCCAGCACAGCACGACTCTGCTCCAAGCGCCATCTCTCGATTCGTAACCGTCTCTCCTCCTGTTTGTCCGTTTCCTGTTCTTCTAGTGCATCAAACCTTCGTTGTACACTGCTACGTCTTCGTTGGGCTCGACGACGGTTTGTCGGATTGTATCTCTCAAACTGCCATAGATGTTCTTGAACGTTGTCGTTGTTGTGGTATAGTGCGGGGAAGGAGCCCATGCCATCATGGTTGGGCAGCACGGCACCTCCACTCTGATCGAGGGAGAATGGTGGGTGAAAGGCATGTAGACCGTCATCTAGACTGTCCAGCTCTTCCTCATCTTCATCTTCGATCTCAGTACCCTGGCAGGTGACATCTCCATCGTCGTTGTTGCTTTGTATCTGATTCGAGCGGTCACCAGTTTCCAGAGATCCAAAGTCGGAGAAACCACGTACTTGTTGGATGTGGGATGTTTGTGATGTATGTGAGGTCCACGATGGCTCGTGTTCGAGTTGAGGTGAGAAGAGAATCCACTCCTGCGACTCATCCACACGTCCGTGAAGTGTGGCGTCGCGGGCCACGAGAGACTGCGGAATGGATGCTGGTCGCTGCACCTGACGCCGCTGCTGCAGCGGCTGTCGGAATGCCATGTTTGTTCGATTGTGGTATGTAGCTCAGGACAGAGCTGTGAGTCGTCTCAGGGGAGAAAGCACAAGCAAGGTGTGCTTTGGGTCGCCTGCAGTTGTCTGCTTGCTTGTTGCTCTATGCGGTGTCGATCTTGTGGGGTATTGCTTCTTATCCGCCGTTGGTGATGTACGGACAACAGGCATCAGTATTTGGTCATTCCATCATAACAAGAGAGAAAAAGAGACGAGAGAGTCTTGGAGAAACATCAAAATCATCACCGTCGACTCATGCACCTGCCCAACAAGTCACGACTCACTGTTCAGTGGATGGCACCATTCCTGCCTGTTTCCTCGTGAGCCCATCGTGACGCACTAGCCACAGCCTATTTGTTGGCGTTAGATAAGATCGCAACCTTGATAAGCTTTATTTCCATACTCCGTTATCGCCCCTCACCAAAAAGATACCTATATACACCGAGTTGATGTGTGAATTTCCTGAAACATGCGTCATGTCCATACTCATACCGGCCCGATGCATGATCCCGTACGCTGCTTAAACCTTCCGGAGCCTCTACCTCAGACGTGCCATGAAAAGCACCTATCTTGAGGTGATGAAGACTGCCCAGCTACTTCTAGTATGTCCTTCGATCTGGTAGTTGTTCTGCGTGCGATGACTTCTGACCAAGGTTTGATGATGTTGGGATTTCTACGCCTCTACGTTTTCGTTACTCGAGTACTTCATCCCCTGTTTCGGACCCTGGCAACTTCTTCTCTCCATCGTCACCACCTTCTCCCAGCCAATGCCTAATCACACACTGTGCTTGCATGCGCTGGCACACCTTCTTGCGCCCCAAGTTCTTGAATCTGGGTCCAATCGGCCCACTGACATAATGATACTGCCCCCAAAATCTGTACTGCCTCTTGTCACTCATGGGATACATCTTATCGCCCCAATGGCCCCTGAAGTTAAACCAACTCACAGGCGCATGCGGTGTTTGAGCGGATGATTTCAAGTGCCGAGATGTGTAGTTGTAGACATATGCGTGGTGGTTCAAGGTTGGGTCCCAGAGCGGTCCTTTATCAGTTTGGTCGTGCAAAAGACCCCACGGTAGAACATACGGGTGCAACCCTGGCGTTGCGTAGATTGCATGTGTGCCTGTCGCACTGTAGATCACTGGCCGCTTGCCATACTTTTCGACTGCGTGATATGCGTATGCCTCGCCGGCTCCGTGTTCCGAGATGTATACTGCCTCGGGAGTGCCGTTTCGGAACCTCACCATCGAGTGCTCCCAGTCTCCCACGTGGTTTCCGAATCGGATGTTGAAGACCTTGTTTCCAAGGTTGTAACTGTAAAAGTAGAACCAGAAGGCATCAACCACACCGTCTTCCTTGGGCACAACGATGAGTACTGCTGGAGCAGAGCTGTGCCCTCCGCGTTCTTGCAACCTGTTTGAGGGCTTGCTATGGTCCTCAGGACCATTTCTGCTGAACTCGTTCCAACGCTTCCGACCAGGTACTCGTCCTGGCTTCAGTGGTGGATTCTTCAATAGTCGATCATGAGATTCGTCATACACGTCTTCGGGACTTCTGGGAATGTTCGAACTTCCACCTAGCCAGTCAGGACGTTCCTCTACGTTGTCCTCACTCTTCAAGTATGCGAAGCGGCCGTATTGATTGAGCTCATCGAGGTTTTCCAGAGTTCTGTCGTTCTCCATGCTTCGTATTAAGGTATAGTTTGCGTAGGGAGATGTGTGAACGAGATGTTCAGCTATGTCACACGGCCAGAACTGCTCTCCTGAGAACAAATGGACATACGGTGTGTAGTCGTAGACATATTGAGGAATCTTTCTCGAGAGATGTTCTTCTTTGGACCACTTTTCCGGCTCTTCAAGACCGCTAGTCCAAAACTTCGTGGAATCTAGCGGCACGTCGTGAGGTTGGACTTGTGACAGAGGCGTTTGTTGGTCTGAGTGGAGAGTTCGATAATATGATTCTTCGACATTTGACCTCGATGTCTCGCAGTCGCTCAGCCAGCGACAAGTCTGTCTGTTTACCCATGATAGAGAAGATTCAGTCCAGCTGAGAGTCTCATGTGTGGCAATATCACCGGGACTGTCTGGGTGAGGATGAGCTGATGTTAATGCTAGGCAGCCAAGTATTGCAGGTACAATAGCCATAGGCTGATACCAGCTTCTGCACATTACGACCTTGGAGGCAGAGATGTTCCTGGAGTAAGTTTGACCAGCTTGCTTGGGAGCATGGAAGGAAACCCGTCTGTGATGCGAGGAAGGCGAAAAGCTACAAGGTGATGGAGAAGATGGGAAAGTGGTGCAATATGGTTGATCATCAAGTTCGCCGTTAAAGGCAGCTGATTCCACTGTCATCCGGAAGCACGGGTCAGCATAAGTCCGTATAGGTAATCACATGCTACAAATAGACAGAGTCATCTATCATTCGAGCAATTAATGTTTGAACGGACGCAAGTGTCGACAAGGTAAGCTTTGTGGTAAAACAAGGCAATGGAGTTGCGGCAGCCATGAGAAAACAAGCAACGCCAATCAGAATTGACAACAGATGCAGAAACGCATCCGGAATACACAGAACCGGGAAATACGAAGGCAATACACCTTCAATCACAGGGCGGTAAGCAACACGTACTCGAAGGTGTCGCGACGAGGGGCGCACTTGGCAGGGACTTTGCGGATGCGCCGGCAGGATGCGGGGTGATGACGATGGACGAGTATCTAGAATGGAACACGATCTTGTTGAAGAACAACAACAACTGAGTGGTGTTAGAAGGTGAGGGGGAGAGAACGGAGAGGAAGAGAAGCAAGTCAGACAGGCTACATGCAAGGCAACCGTCGATGAGTTGTCCTGTCCATTGAATGAAGGCATGCAAGACAATGTTCGTCACCTTCAGCCCTACGACCGGGCGGCGCTAGGATCTGCTTCCGAGTCCCGGCCCGGACTTTCTTGATTGTTTGAAGAGATCCAAATGCTCAAGCTCGAAGCTGCCATCTATGAACATGGATATGCCAACAAACTAGATATGCCATTACACTGGAAGCATGACAAGCACAAACATGGCAGGCTCGGAGGATGAGTCCGAGTGGGAGTACGAGTACGACGATAACGCAACCGACGACTTTTACTTGACTCTGGATTTGACCACACACATCCCGCCAGCACTCGCCAGGGATAGACGTTCAAAGGCGCAAAAGTCAACTACACGCGGTTCGAACAAGAGTCTTGCGAACGCACCGGGTACCGGTAACGCTGAATCTGGCGCGAAAGACGGCGCAGGTCAGAACGATGATGAAAAAGATACCACCGTCGAGCGCATGCAGATTGTTGGTCTTCACGACAGGAACCCCATCATCTCATACAACAACGCAATTTACTCATGTCAATGGGCTACAGACCTGGCCACTCAGATCTTTCTCACCCCTCCACCGACCGACTTCGATCCCGACCACGTAGCAATACGCTCCACTCCCTCGTTCGACGTCCTAGGTACAAGCGCTGCCCGAGTTGTCGCTATACCTGCCAGTATCCAACCTCGAGAGACTGCTCTTCCAAATGCCACGAAAGCCATATTCGCAGGTCCAGAAACATCCTACACCACAGCTGAAGGCGATGTGATCGAGCACAGCACAACCAAAGGCCTGCGCATCGGCTTACCATCCACCGCCAGCGCTCAGCGAACAAGCCAAGCAAAGTTCCTCGAAACACTGTCAGCTATCAAAGCTCGTCGCGGCGACGAAGACGCTGTGCCAGTTACGAACATCAAAGTCTACCATGCACCCGAGGGCTGGGAGGAAGAGCGCTCGGACTACATTGAAAAGGAGAGCGCGAGAAGCAAAAGAGACAAGGCTGAGGCTGCTGCACGTGCGAAGAAGGAGAAGGCAGAACAGACGGCTCGTCTTACCCGACTGAACAGACGCCCTGCCTATGCTCGCGCTAATACCGATGAGCTGGTCGAGGAAGAAGGCAGCGGTGAAGAAGAGGACGACGACGGCACTAAGAAGGACGAGGACGGAAACAAGCTGGTCACACGCAAGAGAAGGACTTTGGCAAGAGGCGGCAGTCGTGGAGGTGCTCCCAGTGGAAAGAGGCTGCGCCAGAGCTTAGGTCTACCTGAAGCAAGACGCGACTCAAGACCTAAACCCCGTCCACGAAAGAAGAGGAAGCTGGCCGCAGTCGTTGAAGAGGTGGTTGAAGATGCCAACGAGGATACCGCTGCCGAAGGAGCAGCCTCTGCTGCAGGGCCTAGTCAAGATGGTGCAAGCACACAGGCTGAAGCCGAACAGGAGGATACCACTATGGCTGAAACCAGTGGCACACAAGATGCTGATGACGGTGCGGTACAGAACGCTGAAGGCAGCGCTACACAAGAAGTCGATGGTTGACAACACCAATTGTACATGATTTCCTACTTGCTCTTGCTTCAAAGATACCACAAACGCGAAATCAAGCACAGATACCTATACATTCAAGTACCCCAACGCCTGATGTCACTAAACTAGTCCTTTGAGTCCTTCACTAGAAAGCAAATCTTGATTCTGGAGAAGCACTTTTCATTCTCTATCTAAAACCCAGTTCAAACATACCACAGTCCATTTCCATCCATAAAAAGTCATCTTCATTCTACTTCTTAGCAGCACCGTGCCACTGCTCAAAAACAGCATCCCAGCCCTGCTCATTCATAGCAGCCTCACGCTCCATGACCTCAGCGGTAGACTTGTCAGCATACTCGATCAAAGCCTTTTGGATCTGACCTTCCTTGAGGCCAACGATACGAGCAGCAAGCAGAGCAGCGTTGGTGCTGTTGTTAACACCCACAGTAGCGACGGGGACACCACGAGGCATGTTCAAGATACTGAGGACAGAGTCCGTGCCATCGCCGATGGTGGGCTTGACAGGGACACCGATGACAGGGATGGCGGTGTGAGAGGCAGCCATACCGGGAAGATGGGCGGCGCCACCGGCAGCGGCGATGAGGACTTGAATGCCGCGAGGCATGGCTCCGTGAATATACTCGGACATCCAGTCGGGAGTGCGGTGAGCAGAGGTAATGTGAGTCTCGAAGGGAATGTTCAAGGTCTTGAGGATGTTGATGCCGGCTTGGAGGACAGGCATATCGCTGTGAGAGCCCATGATTACACCAACGACTGCATCTTTGGCTTGACCAGCGGGCTTGGAGTCGGAGAGAGGCTTGCTCTTTCTGCCGCGGACGTCGTCGGTGATGTCGAGGAGGGGTTGCATAGCCTTTTCGGCTTCGCGCATGGTGGGTGCTGTGAGGGTCATGTGGCCCATCTTTCTGTTGGCGCGAGAGTCGCCCTTGCCGTACAGATGGATGGAAGCACCGACACCGGCAGCGATGGAACGCTCAGCGATCTGGACCGCTGATTCGGGAGTAGAAGCACCAAGGATGTTGAGCATGATGGAAGGCTCTCTGATGCGTAGCTCGGATTGTTGGATAGGGATATCCAAGATTGAGCGCAAGTGGGCATCGTACTGAGAGATCGGGCATGCTTCGATAGTGTAATGACCAGAGTTGTGAGGGCGAGGAGCAATCTCGTTGATCAAGAGACTGTCGTCATCGAGAAGGAACATCTCGACACCAAAGACACCCTTGCCCCAGAAGCAAGCGACAGCCTTCTTGGCCAATTCTTGGGCCTGCTCAAGTACCTTCTTAGAGACGTTACGAGCAGGAGCGTACACCAATTTGCAGATGCTGTCCTCGTGAACGGTCTCGACAGTAGGGTAAGCCAGAACACCATCCTTGGTCTTAACAACCATAACTGCCAACTCAGCCTTGAAGTTGGCCCACTTCTCAGCATACAAAGGACGGCTTCCAAGAGCCTTCAGTGCAGCGTCAAAGTCGGCAGATGACTTGACAGGGAAGTTTCCACGGCCATCGTATGCCTCTGTGCGTGACTTGAGCATGAACGGGAAACCAATCTGCTCACCGACCTTCTCCAAATCCTCAGTAGTAGCTCCAGCCAGAGGGATAGATTGTGCAGTAGCAACATTGTACTCTTGAAGGTGCTCCTTTTGTGCGTACTTGTCCTGGATCATGCGAATAGTCTTCCAGCTGGGTTCCACAGCGACCTGAGATGAGATCTTTTCCAGAATTTGAGTGTCCACGTGCTCGATTTCCACAGTGACAACATCGCAAGTTTTTGATAGTTTTTCAATGGCTTCCGGGTCCTTGAATGATCCTTCAAAGTGGCCTTCATGGCTGCTGATTTGCTTTGCGGGTGACTTTGCTGCGTCCAAAATGTTGACTTGGATGTTGAGACGGTTCGCAGCCTCGACGAACATACGGCCAAGTTGGCCACCTCCCAAAAGACCTACGACCTTCTTGTCCATGTTTGCGTAATGCTATAGATATAGATTAAATGGCGCGGTAGGGTGAGAGGACGAGTAGTGCTATGTAAATGTTTGAATGCCAAGAAGTATGAGTACCAAAGTCAAATTCTCAAAAGGCCGATCTTTTTTCTAGTTGCGGTTTGTATTCGCGGCCAGTATCAAAACGAGTCAGAACATCTTCAAGAACATGCATGCAATGGATCACTGTAAATTGAAACTTCTGGAACATGTGAGATAGACCGAAGTCTTGGTTTCGTATTGATAATTTCGGGTGGACAAATTGGGAGGAGGTATGAAGTGCCTCGATCAATGACATAGACGGACAGACTCGAAGGTGGGAACAGCAGTGTTGCAGTCACGTCGTAGAATATTGCCATTTGATCGTTGTTGTTCCTTTTTGCGAAAACGGCGCTTTTTTTGTAACACCAACCAATTTGTCCCGGAAGATGCTTGAATTCGCTAGCAAAGAGAATCTCATCATGTCTCGCCTCATGATTGATATCACCCAGAGACAGCCATTTTGAACCCCATTCATAACCCAATTGCTTACACCTTGAAACCCTTCGAGCGTCTGCGACCACGGGCACGCTCGAACTTGCGACCCTTGCTCTCGACGTAAGGCTTCTGCAGAGGTTGTTAGTATACGTGTATATCCAGGGAGTGGGCTGCAACTGTTCGCGAAACAGGCAGAGGGTGAAACGTGCCTTGTGAGAGTGGGGACCGAAGCCGAAGTGCTTGACGGCCTCACGGGCGTTCTTGGGGCCACGGAGGAGGAGGGTGTTGGCACCGGTAGGGGCGCGCATGGCCAACTGATCGATGGTCAGGGCCTCACCGCCGGCGGCGACAATGCGGGCACGGGCGGTGTTGGTGTAGCGGAGGGCGGCAATCGACAGCTTGGGGAGCTCCAAGAGACGGTTGTCGTCGGTGACGGTGCCGACCAGGACGATGGTCTTGCCCTCGTGAGCCTTGCTGGAGTGCTTGTTGGCAGCAGTGGCAACGATCTTGGAGAGCGACATGGGGGGGCGGTTGATCTTGCTCATCATCAGGCGGCGGAGGACAGTGGCGTTGAACTTGCTGTCGGTACGGCCTTTGCGCAAAAAATGTCAGCCTTGCGCTTCTGGATTTTCGTGCATCTCTTTGCGGCTCGCGTCTTCGGAACATCGCAGCAGCAGCCGGTCGAGTCGTGTTGTTCAATGCATGCAGAATCGGCTGCTGGCGGTGTAGAATCGGCGGTCGCTTCGAGAAGTGCAGTCGGGGAGGTTGTCCTTACGGCTCAAGAATCTGTAGAGCTTGACGAGCAGAGCAGTGTAGGGGTTGTCCGACTTGGGTGCCTTGCGGTGGCCCGAACGGACATGGTGCTTGTCAAGATCGATACCCATGTTTTACTAGTAGTCGACCGGGAGGTTAGTTGTCGGTTTGTCGTCGTCTCGTCGTCTCGCAAAGTGTAGAGACGCAGCAAATTTGGAAGGCGCGTGTGCGTGCACGGAGCCGAGCGAGAAGCATACGGCAATTTCCGCGAGTGAAGACTTGGCGTTGTCGAGGCCAAACAGAAACACCTCCATTAGGAAGCACCGACTTTCACGCTCTCAGTGGAGGGCCGTACTGGTTATAAAAACATTGTGCATTTCTACAGGATGTGCATGACAAAGTTCTGCACACGGGGAGGGAAAAATTCGATTGGCAAGTAATCCTTACACTCCCTCTGGTATTGTTGTGTCTGGCACGCAATCTGCTCTGTTGTCACATCTTTAGGCTGTTGCATATTATTCATCTCCACAAAATGCATACCACCCCATGCAGAACTTTGACCATGACCATCGGCATTCTTCCTCTATCCAATCTGGCAATAGGCGTTGTACAGATACAAAGCAGTTTCGAGATCAGGTGGCTGACCACTAGAAACGACTTGTTGATGAGTCTTCGCTGGTAACAACTCCCATCTGGAAGACATTGTGCATCTCGAGAGCCATAAGCTTGACAGTACTTCAGCACACGTGAAAGACATCAGTTACATCTCTAGGCTTCGCGGCCAGTACAATTCTCTGCCTCCTGTATCTAGGTCAACTACATCCACTCTTTTGCCTCCCGTGCGCCAAAAACTCCTTGCGATGCCTGGTGGTCTGGAAAGTATATATCCTAAGACGCCGTTTTTCTGCAATGAACAAAAGAAAGGACAGAACTATAGAGTATTGCAATCGTTTTCATCGTGCATTTTGTAATTTACCCTTCCTTCTAGACCCAATAAGTCGTATAGACGGCTGAGAAAATATGACAAAGGAGATGTCGGTATGTTGGTTTTATACTTCGGGTTTCAAGCCGACGAGGAAGTCGCGTGTGAGCTCGAAGCTGAGCCAACTGCTGGCCATACTAGGGGCGACCTTGAGAAGGTTGGGTGTGATGCCTTTGTACAGACCCTTGATACCTTCGTGCTTGACGATGACTCTGACGGCATCGAAGATTGATTTGTATTGGTAGCCCATTCCTGACATGGTGTTGATCTGGAACCTTCGGCGAAGCAAGTCACTGTCGATTTCAGTCAGTATTTTCAGGCTTGTTTTTGCTCGAGAAGCTTACAAAGGGTATGTGCATGTTTGTGCAACGGCTCCCGAGATGGCACCAGCACCTAATTTTCCAATCGATCCAGGATTGTCTGAGCCTTCTGGTGTGAAGGCTTCGCGGACAGACTCGTAGACCATGAAGTTCAATCCAACCTGTCAGAAATTAGCTTGTGGGTCAATCCGAAGAACTGAGAATTTCCTACATATGGCGCTACTCCAGCAACTGTTGGCACGATGCCACGATAGAGAGCCCAGAAGCCACCTTCTGTCTTGTACATTTTAATCAATGTCGGCCACATGCCCGGTAGCTTCTTTCCGGCTTCTGCTTTTTCTAAGCCTGCAAACGAGGCCGATTGGATGGAGAGTCGTGTTCGAACGATGTCCAGAGGGTAGGTGAAGGTCACGGAGGTAATACCAGCGATCGCACCACATGACAAACGCTGCAGAGCACCAAGAGGTGCACCAGGTGTGTCCTCAAAGAACTATAATGGGTCAGCGATTGACCATAGCAACTCTTACAAATGCTCTTGCATACCCTCTTGTAGAAATTATAACTTCCAAACTGCACAGCCGAGTACGGTACAATGCGAATGCAGTTTGTGCCGTTTCCTGCCATGAACCCACGGAAGCCTTCTTCACGCCACATCTTCCCCAGCGCCTTGCCTATCGACATTTTGTATTCTTCGCGTCCGACACTTTGAATCTGGAAGAGAATCTTCAGGCGCTCAAGCGGTGAGACGACGGTTCGCGACACAGCGCCGGCCATACCGCCGGCAATGAAAGATGCCACTACCGGTTGTGAGAGCCATTCTTTTGTGCCATCCCATGGCTTCGAGACCGGTGGTCCTGAAAATGAGGACATTGGCGATTCGAGGATGACGTTTTGCGGAGGATTCGAGAATTGTTTGTCTTGGGGGATCGAGTCGAGAGTGTGTCCGAGCGGATGCCAGTTCGCAATTGAGAGAAAACTAGGCTATCGCGTTCTCGCGTGCCAGCTCTTTTTCGTACTGGTGATAGTGCCCGAGGAGAATGACGATGATGCCGGGTTGACGCCAAGTCGCAATGCGGAAAACACGTCGATGGAGTCTCAAGGTGGACTTCCTTAGGATACGCAGATAACTGGAGGTTAGCGAGTGTAGGGACAAGGCATTGGTCCACGAGAGCGAGCTGTGGTTGTGATGACCAAAGGTCGGGTTGGTTCAGGTTGCTGCGCTGTTAGTCGACTTAATCCCGCCGTGCAAGTGGATCGCGCTAATTTTTGCCCAGTCACTTTCTTGTCCCTCGGTCTTCTCTCCTTCTTACAACGGTAACACGTCTTCAACTCGGGTGCTACTTATCTGCCTTTTGACAAGCCCTCATTCTCTCAATCCCGATCCAGTTGCCAGGGGCTGGCGCGATTATGAGCAGTCACGCTGTACAGAAGCCACAAATCACGAGCACTGGTGACCGACTCCCGAACATGCCCTTCTCACTCATGCTCATGCAAATAGATCCAACGTGCTCCGGTGTAACACCTGGTTTTGGTCTTGTGAGCCTCTACTTGTTTGCCTGCTCTACTCAACTACTTCTTCGCTGTCTGTACTCCGTCAGTTGCACACGACACCACCTCATCCTTGCCTCGAACCTTCATCATGATCTGTGGAGATCTTGTGGGGTATCTCGTCGGCTCTCGGGTGCATACGGGTTGGTGCACCGTGGATGCTTACCATGGAATTATTCCGAAGTGCGGAGGAGCTTCACAGATCTTCGTTCAGCTTGAACTCAGCTTCCTCCCCTCCAGTTGTGAAGCAGTTCCTTTTGATTCCAATATTTACATATTTCCGTGGCAAGTCAAGAAGGCGAATGCACGACCAATTGAGTCATGGTACTGTCTAGCAAGTCCTCGAGAGAGAGTCCGCGACTTTATGAAAGTAGGCGTATGTGACAACACCCCCTCCCTTTTCAATATCTTCCTTTTCAATATCAATGTTTCTACTCGAGCAGTCTTTCATCGCGTTCTTGTCTGAAACTATATTATCGTCTTCTTTGATCACCCGTTCATTACACCTTGTCTCTAATTTTTGACAAGGCAACATAGATGTAGGGGCACAGGAACTGCACCAGAACCGAGCTCTCAGCCCAGCCTAGGAAAGGCTCCTTGCAGTAGTAGTCAAAAGGCACAATGATTTTCTGGTTTTTGATGTAGGTCCGAAGAGATCAAGAAGTAGTATCGCTCTCGATGGACACGTACTTGATTATTAAAAGCATCCTGCCTTTTTGCAGCCTAGGTTGCAAGGCTTTATAGGCGAGAGAGAGTTCGGTGCCGGGTCAATCTCTATGCGGCTACGCCTACATTAACGCACAGAATCTCACAGAACAGCCAATCGCCAGAGAAAGTGCAGATACTGTATTCGAACTTGACAAATGAAAACGACCTTACACAAAAATCCAAAGACAAAAGAAAGCCATCGACCTATTCCGAGTTCACCGCCCCTTTCATCGCCTCGACAGCATGAGCAGCAAGCTCCCATGTCCGACTCAACACACTACTCTGCTCGTTATCCGCCCTATACCCACTATCATTACTCCAATCCCCTCTTCTCTGCGATCCCTCCGTGTTTGCTCCAAAAAGGCTTTGGATTTGCTTCACTGGACTCGCATTAATAACCGTCTCTTGAAGTTTCTTGACAGGGGAGCTTGCACTAACCCATTCCTCTGCCAGCGTTTCCGGTCTCGTTGCCGCAACAGTGGTTTTCCTCTTGTCTTTCATGGCGGCGTGCCTGGCAGCATCGGCTCTTACCGATACCATTTTGATTTCTCTCTCCGCCGCTCTGATGTTCTCGGCCGCCTGCCAGCAAAAGTACTCATCAGCGTCGTTACAATGCTCCAACTCGCCCTCTTTCCATGCATCTTCTAACTTTTTTTCCACATCCTTCAAGGTGGCTTCGTTTATATCGAACATCGCTATCAACATGGCGGAATGTATATTCTGCGCTTGGTTCCAAGCAGCGACGTCTTCCTCCACGTTATAGTTCAGCCAGCCGCCAAAGCTCATGTCCAGCCATTCGCCTCTGGCGTGAGCCGCTTTGAGTTCTTCCCTCAACTCATCCTGCAACCTGGTGGAATAGCGGGCTGACATTTTTGAATACAATGCACTCGTTGCCCTTTCTTCTGCTCGTCTGTCGGCGACTTTTTGGGCTGCTGCGGGGCCTAGTGGGTTGTTTTCGTAGATTCCTTCGAATCGCTTTGGTATGATGGCTCCTTCCTCTAAGAATTCAGCGTTTGGGTCTTTCTTGGTGGCGGGCTTCTTCTTGGTGGCTTTGGCGGTGGGTTTCTTCTTGGTGACTTTGGCTGCTGCCGTTTTCTTGGGCGCCGCTTTCTTGGGGGCAGCTTTCTTGGGAGCCGCCTTCTTGGTGGTCTTGGTAGTCGTGATCGCCTTCTTGGGCTTGGGAGCTGCTGGTGCAGGTTCTACAGCCGGAGTTGTGGGTTTCGGTGTTCGTTTCGGACGAGTAGAAGCGGCTGTCTTTACAACGGCCTTCTTTGCTGCCATGCTTGTGGTTGATACCTTCGGTTGTAGCGTGTCAGTACCTGTACGGATCATGGTGCTTTGATCAGGAGTAGTTCACGCATCAACTCAACTTACAGAGACGATTGTGAGCAACGAAATGGGTTGGGAATTGGTTGAGACTCTAAACAGTTTTTTTTTTAATTCAAGTGTATCGAGCAAGTGTAGCAGAAAGCCACGCTGAGCAACCGGAGCTAATAAAGGTCCAGTGAAATAAAGCAAATGCAACCCCAAACGCCTTTGACCGTCCCGGCATGATTATTTGTTTATAACTTTTAAGTCCATCTACCAGAAGAATGTAGACGACCGGCCTTGGTGAGGCCTTTATCAACGTAGCGCATTCCTCGAAATCTATGAGCGCAATTTGGCCATGCGTTCATTCATGCTGTTGCGGTAGTTAGTTGTCTGCTCATCTTGTCACATTCCAAGGATCAAACTTACAAAGAGAAGAACGCAAACTGGCTGGCCGAAATGCCGCGCTCGTAAATGAAGCGAGATGAGAGGTAGGAGCCAAAGATGGCGCGCAAGTAGTTCTCGGGAACCTATAACAAGATTAGTTTGATGTTTGTTGTAGTAGATACATTCGATGGTGACTCACTCTCTCGATGATAAGATCAAGACCGATCTTCTCGAGCAACAGACTGGGCAGGGCGTCCTGGAGCACCGACTTGCGGAGCTCAACATTGTCCCAGAGCTCAGTGTTCTGCAGTTCCTCATCAAGGTTAGTGATGGCGGTGCTGAGAGTGTCGCTGAGAATGCTCTTGGGAGTGCCGGTGGCTTCGCTCTCTCTCCAGATGGCCTCGAACTCAAGTCTGGCGTTGTTACGGATGGTGTCTTGGACCTGCTTCACGTATGCCTTGTAGAACTCGGGGGTGGTGCCGTCCTCGCCAACGCACATGTTCTTGATGAAGCCTTCGTTGTCGAAGGACAGCGAAGCCAAAACCTCAAGAGAGGAAGAGGTAACACCACCCTTGTTGGCTGAAGCATCCTTGAAAAGAATGCAGCCAGCCTTCTCAAGACGGAGCTTGGCGTCTTGTGTGATGAACAGGTTGGCACCTTCGACAATGTAAGGGATGATCGACTTGCCGTCGACGATGAGCTTGTTGACCGAGTTGAGGTTAATGGACTCCGGGCGGCCACCACAGGGCACGAAGACGTCGTAAGTCTCAGCGCGCAGATGGTAGGCGTTGCGGAACGCAGTTCCGTTCTTCACGACCTCGCCCGAAGGGAGGGTCACGTTGTTATCCTCGATCAAAACTCTGTAGCCCTGAGGCGAGAGCTTCGACGCATCGAACTTGTGAATCATGACACGTTCCTTGGCCAGACGCAGGAGCTCGTCTCTGTCAATACCGTTGGGATCGACAAGGACACCGGCTCCGTCGACAATGGCGGTGTACTTTTCATTGCCGAGAAGGATCTCGTTGCTTCCCAAGTCACCGTCGGGACCACCAGTCTGAAGCTTTCTCATGCTATTCTGGTCGAGGTTGAGCTTGCGGTAGATACCCAAGACGTACTCACGGACAGACAAGGTAGTCATGCCGTACTCATCGTGAGGGATGCCACCTAGCTTGGGGCTCTTGCCGGTGAAGAATGACTTCCACCAAGGTGCGTTGCGCGATCTGGCATGCTCGGTAGCCCAGTCGACAAGGTGAGCGGTGTTCTCGTCAGGACCCAGGAAAAGGATCTCTTGCTTTCCGTGGAGGTCGACAATAGGGTCCTTGATACCAGGGCTAGTGGGAGGAAGGAGCAGATCGAGAATGCTGTCGATGTACTTCTCAAATGCCACCTTTTCACTGGCCTTTTCTTGGTGCTCGACATCAAGCAGGATGACACCCTTGGAGCCGCCTTCAGGGATATCCTTGTTCTTACGTTGTTGAGTGTTGGCAAGGTTGTAATTCTCGTCAAACAGAGAACGGGCGTTGATGTCGTATGCTTCAGGGCTTCTAGACTTGACGATACGAATGCCACCACGAGCGATGTCGCGGAAGCGAAGATGGAAGCCACGGAACTCGGAACCGATGATCAAGAACATGCCGTAGAGAGGCTGAGGGTACTCCTCAATGGGCAGGAACGAGGGGTTCAGACGGAAAGACAGAGCAGTCTTTGTGGGTGTGTAGTAGTTGGTCTTCAGAACAGCCTTGTTGAATGTACGGAAGGCTGTCATGACCATTTCCTGGTGCTCATTCTGGCAGGTGGTAGAGATCATGTTCTTGAGCTCAGAGTCGGTCAGGACCTTGTCAACCTTGAGGCGAAGGTAACTCAAGGTCGGGAGGAAATCATCCTCGTCACCACGAGTCTGAACGTAGTGAGTGTTAGCAAAGTTCAAGTACAGAACCTTGACCAGCTCAGGGTACATCTGCATAATCTCGAGAATGAAGTCCGAGGTGAAGGTCTCAGTACGCAGACGACGCTTGAGCTTAGCAAGTAGCTCAGCGTGAACGCTGTTGTTCGGGTCCAAGATGGCGCTGAGAGTGTTGTACTCGGAACCCAGGCGGTTCAAGAAGTGGCTGACAAAGACCCAGACGCAGTGAGCGTAGATGGTCTCCTGCAAGCTGAGGGTACCGACGGCAAAGTGGTTCTGGAACTTGGTGCGAGGCACGCAGTAAAGCAGCGAGACTTCCTTCATGATCTGATGGATCGAGGCCTCGATGGGAGGGTGCGTGTTCGACTCAGGTCCAGGGACGGGACGGAGGTACAGTGACATGATGGTGTAGCCGTTGGAGAATTGTTCAACGTACTTGCGCGACGAGGTCAGGCCATAGTAGTGATAAAGATCACTAAGGGCGCTGAACAGTCCCAAGGCAGAACCTTGCTTGTAGGCAATGACCAATCTCTTCTCTCTTGAGCCCTTGATCTCAAACAGTTCGATGACGGGGCCGGTTCTAGCGACAGCCGATTCGAGAATGTGCTGGTAGATGTCGCGGGTGTTCTGGGTGGCCTTTTGGAGGAATCTCTTGTCGGAGATCATGTCGAGGCGGGTCTCGTCAGGGCCGGGGTTGGGCTGCTCGAAGGAGCATTGGTAGACAAAGTAGCAGCGGAGCTTTTGGTCGAGGTCACCAGGCAACTTGCTAGACGATCTGAATGTCTCGACACGGTAGCTGTCGGCGCCCTTTGAGTTGTTCAAGTACTTTTCGTCAATGCGTTGCTCGTAACGAGGTCCGCCGACGGAGGTGATGCCAGGCTTGCTGGTGTCGATGAAAACAGCATGGTCGGCTGCTTCCTTGTCCAGACGGATCTCAAGCTGCTTGTCGTCTCTGGCGAATGCGGCAACCTTTGCTGCATACAATGAGTGGATGTGGCTGACGATGCTGTGCTAGGTTAGCAATTGTTTGGAGATGAAGGTGTTGTGGAGGGGACGACTTACGCATCGGAAGTCTCGGTCGAAAAGTACATGTCGTCAATGCCCAGTTCGTTGTAGAACCACTGGGTCTCGGTCTCGACAAATTCCGGAGGAAGGAAACCCTTCGCCTCAATCTTGTCCATAACCCTGCGCAGAAGTTAGATGCGCGTTTCGGCGAGACTGTGGTCATCGTGTGCTTACTCTTCCATCTGAAGGGTCTTGCCCTCAAATTTGGGGGCCTCATAGCCGGAGCCTTGCTCACTCAGGACGCGGGAGTGATTTGAGGTGCCGGGCACGCTCAGGTGTGTGGGTTGTGGTGAAGGTTTTCTGTCAGGCGATCTGATGACCTGTTCAACAGGCTTGTTGTGCAGAACGCCATTGCCATTGACGTGGCCGTTGGTGTGGGTGTCCGACATGGTGGACGAGTGTGTGGATGTGATGTTGTGTTGTGGTGGAACACCTTGATGAATAAAGGTGGAGGTGGATGTCGAAGAGAGAGTCTCGGCGTGAGAGGGACGCTTGTTTTATGGACGGCGTCGACGCGCAAGCTGGCTTGTGAAAGAGCTCGAGCCGAAGTAGCTGCGAGTAAAGCGTAGAAGCTGGTGAAAGGAGGGTGCAGTTCAGGAGGTTTCCAAAAGGCGCAGGAGCAGTGAATCGCAGTTTCCCAAAGTAAGCACGATAATGCGGCCTTATCAATCACGAGTGCAGGGAGAAAGCTGTTTGATACGAAACAAGCGGTAAATGGCTCAGGACTCTGGCCTGGCATCAGCTCTGTCTTTATGCCAACGTCTCAGTCACATGGCATCATTGTTGATTCCAACTCGGTCACTTTTCCTCGCATACTCGCGGCATACCCACTTGTACCTGATCAACTCGGAGGCGCTAGCGTCAACAGACGATCTGGGGAAATTTAGCGCTGCCGAAATGTTCGGCCCGCGCGCCAAAACTGCTGCGCCTTTTTTTAAATTCTCGCACGCCCTGAACGCCCTATGCGCGGTTATAGACGGAGTGAAGGCAGTAAGCAGTGATTGCTCGGATGCCTGTCCGTGCTCTTATCTCTGGCCTCAAAGAGTGAATGGTGTTTGTAGTCATATATCTGTCTTCTACAATCATGTCCCTCATCATCCGATCCGTTCAGGCACCCTGGCTCTAGCTCTTCAAAGTGCTCATAATTGCATACACTGTTACGTATTTTTAGTCATAGTTTGACTCTAGCCAAGTTTACGCCATAAGACGAAGTGGTTTTATTCCCCAGGACTGCTCACATGGCTCCTCCCCCTCGCTCCTCATTTGCGGGGCAAACGGCTTTCGTGGAGCGACGGGGGGTCTATTCGTTGCCTTTTCTCGAAATGGGACATTCTATTACGAATATTATCAAATAGGAATTGCAAGAGTCGCGAGTTGTTCCGTCAGGAAGCGGGGTCTCTGGGCAGAGTCTTCACAAGAGGAAGCCCATGGCTAAACCCAAAGAAAGACTGCAGCTGATGAGGAGAAGCATACGAAGGGGTATCGAAACTGAAGAGCTGGTCAGTGTCTGAGTTCAAGGGGTTGCGGTCTGGGTCCAATGACTCACCTGTGGTGGCTTTGCTTGGGGGCACTACCTTGCCTGAACCGTTTACTGTCCATCCGCTGGGCAATCCGGGGTACGTGGTGGCTACCGTGCTGGTCATGCCGGATGCTGTGGCTCTCCAGTTGCCGATACCTGGGGTCGAGACCGAAGTCGAGGTTCGATGAGTTCCTTCAAACGGAACGGCACCGCTGACGACCGAAGTGATAGCAGGTGCCGAAGTGTCAACATTGGTCGAACCTCCATTGATGAACCCTCCGGCCGCTTTGATACTGGTCCAGCTTCCAGTCTGGTCCGAGTATGAGTAAGACTTGCCGGTCGAATAGTCTGTGACAGCAATCGATTGAACCACCATCGTGTACGGCCCTGCCGAGTAATCCGTGTTGCCTCCTGCCCAAGCAATGGTGCCGGGAGCATTCGACGAGTCACCACCACTCCAGATACCAAGCTTGACCAGCATGGGCGTTTGAGGGTACTGATCACCAGCATCGGTAGATTTGAGGGCACGTTGTGTCTTCCCATCCACCTGCCAGACCAGTTCTGTGGATGTCCAATCGATGGTGTAGGTGTGGAAGTCTTCTGTAGGATTGTCCATGTGGAAGGCTGCGCCGCGGCCAGAAGTCGAAGCATCTCCTTTCCTGAAGTATATTGACTGTACTTGGTCTTGCTGATTCCCGACCCATTCCCAATCGATCTCGTCCAGGTCGTCTGATTGTAAAACACAGCTGCTGACTATGCCTTTGCCTGGAGCTGCCTTCATCTTTACCTCGACTTTTCCAAACATGATGTACCAATTCGATGTAAGCATAGGTGCATCGCCTGACTGGGCAACCGTGAATGATGCGCCATTCGAATCGTATGTCGGTAAGCCAGACGCTGTAAACTGATCCGATTCGCCAGAGGTAAAATCGACATTGACCGACTTGGAGAGTGCCGGATCAGCAGGACAGCTGTATTGTTGTGTCGGATTGCAGCTACTCGTCGTTTGGGAGTAAGCGGTTTGTGTGAGTGTGAGGGACGCGACCGTGGCGAGGGCTGTTAATCGCGTAGAGGCTTGTAGGCTGAAGAGTTGTGATAGACGTAGCATATTTGACAGTCACGATGGATAAAAATGCTGGAAAACGCGAAAACAACGAGAATACCACAAAAGACAAATTGTAGGTGTGAAATGCAGGCAAAGTCATGGTGGAAAGCAAAATCATTAATAGCGTGATACTACCTCCAGCCATTTGTTTTCTCAAACAGCAAATATAGCAAAGCCTACGTCAGTCACCACAAAGCAGGGCGCCAACACACCAAGCAAAGACTACAATGCGGTGTGCAACAGGTTGTCGAGGTGGCTGGGAAGTGATGAGCAGAATGGTAGCTGGTGGTTGGATGTTTAGCCGCAGTGGTCCGGGCTCATCACTGGAACAACGAGACGAAAAGAGACGACTGGAACACAGTAGCTCTGGGAATCAGAAGATGCAGAAACATAATAGATGAGATCGATAGATTGTGTTGAGTTTGGAAAAGTTGTCATTATTCTGCTGAAAGATGTTCTATGCACCAACCGGCGGACGCCATGCTGCTCATCAAACGCTTCACGTCTTTCCTTTGGCCACGCTCATCTTGATCTTACATAGCCGAGTCGTCGTATCTATATGCAATTCCATGCTTTACATACCCTCGAACTCGCCAGCGTCATCCTCATCCATGTCGCCGTCCTGGATCTCCTTGGCAAGCTCACGCTCTCTTTCGCGGGCATCCTGGGCATTCTTCAACTCTTGCCTGTGCTTGTTCATAGGATATCTCATGGCCATCACACATTCGTCGTGAATGCTCAGACAAGCCTTGATACGCTCGTGGAAAGCCTCGGCAGGCTCTCTTGTGGCGTAGATGTCTCCGGCTTGCTTGGACTCCATAAAACCGTGCTCGTGATCCAGGGTGGCTTCGATTACACCGTCGCGAATAGCCTTTGCAACAATGTACTCGGCGGACTCCTCGCTCTCAACACCCAGGCGCAAGCAAATGTCGCGAAGTGAGATGCGAGAGTACGAAAGGGAGAGCATACGGACACCAGTCTTGATGACGTTTTGACGCAAGCGGAGGATCAAGGTGTAGGTACCGTCGCGGCGGAACTGTGATGTGTTCTCTTCAACAACACGAACGAAACCTTGTAGGTCACCAACACGAACAGCCTGCACAAGACGGAAGTATGGGTAGAGAGCACGCTCGAGCGAAGGTTGTCTGAAGATGGCTCTGTCCGGGATGTCGCCCATCAGGAGCTCGACGATGATCAACAGCTTCATCGCAGACTGGTAGAAGCCGGCTGCGACATTGTTGGTAGGAGACTTGCGAGTGGCGCTTGTCAAATGTTCTTGAGCGGCAGTGTATGAAAGTTGAATGGCACGAATGCGTCCGAGGTAGTAGAGGTAGCGGCAGACTTGGTTGTTGGGAGCGTTCGGAGGGAAGGATGTCTGGTTGACCAAGAGGTCGGCCTGAGTGATGTCGGCGGTAGAGATGTAGTTGCGAAGGAGAAGAACGATGACGGCGGATTGGGTATCGTTGTCCTTGCGTAGAACGGCGCTACGGAGGGCGGCCAAAAGCTTTGATCTAGTGGCAATGACGGGTGATTGCTTGGACGGCGGCTTGGGGTCGAGCTGCTCGTGGAAGAGGTGGTAGTAGAAGTAAGACTTTGCGGCGAGAGAGTCCAAGGTACGGCGGTTGTACTCTCGTACTCTGTCGACCAGAACAGACGAGAACTCAGCACCATGTGAGTATTTTTGCGCATCGTGGAGGTAAACCTGGTAGATAAAGTCAGATACGAGACCCTCGGGAAGTAAGTCGGCGAAGACGCACCTGGATCAAGACGGCCAGATAGATGAAGGACTCTGGAAGAACGTCGCCATCCTTTGGCTGAGCATTGCCGTTCGCCGGAGCGGACGAGGACTTTTGGAGAGCTGATTCCAGGAAGCGCTTGTCGGGCGAGTCTGGGTGTGAGGCGTAGAGGGATCCAACGGCAATAGACAGGGCGTCAAGGAGCTGGGGGCTCTTGCGCATGCTCGATATTGAGCGGAGTACACGGAGGGTGAAGCGTCCATCGAAACGAGCAACAGCCTGATCAAGTAGGCCAAAGTTTGCGATTATGGCTGCGAGTGCGTGTCAGAAACATGAGTGGTCGGATTGGATGGCCAAGCATACATTGTGAGAGCTGCTCAGCAGTAGGAGCCTTGTCGACAGGAGCAGAGGCGACCTCGACGCCTTCCATCTTGTCGGCCATGTTGAGCTTCGGAAACAGAGATAGGCGGACGGTATGGAATGATGGTAGCGCGTCAAGTGTTGTGTATGGGCTGTGTTGATGGAGTTGCCTCTTCGCGAAGTCAAGCTGATGATGCTGGTCGAAGGCCGATGGCAATGACGGAAAGCCAAGGAAAGCCGGAGCTCTCACTCTCGGAGGTTCAGTCAATCACATGCGAGCCCGTCCATTTGTTTACCCTTTTTTGTTTAATCTTTGCAACGGAAACACACAACTCAACAACCATGACCTCGTCTCTGCTATCGTCACATCTGGATCAGATCGCTCTCTGTGCCTCGTCCATATCCGACCTTCCCTTCTCACGACCGAAGCAATTCACCAATGCCCTTCTCACCCACCATGACATTACCGCTCTGATTAGAGACACCGAACAACACGAACGCGCCCTGTTCTCTATAGCTCCTCCTCCTGTCCCTTCAAAGTCGCAAATACAGCAAATCTCTTCCACCTTCACCACTTCTGCCTCACGATCAATCGTTGCACCAAACACTCAAAGACCACCTCGTCGCCATACTGCTGTCGCTGCAGTTCTGGGTGGTGACTTGTATCGCAAGACTAGATCTGGACACAGTGGGAAGCAAGCCAAGGGTGATATCGATGTCGAACTTCTGCTGCGAGGTGCCGAGAAGCTGTGCAGAGTCTAGTCAGTTCTCACTATTTGTTTGGGCTCGATCGCTCGTACTAACTTTTGCGACAGTCCCATACCCGGCGCTTTTGACAGAATCGGCGAGCTGCGAAATCGATATGCTCAATTGAGTGCGAATATCGCCCACTATGAGGAACGCGTTGCCATGCAGTCTGCTGAGCTAGACCATCTGCATCAGAACCATGACGATTATGATCAAGACGATTACGACGACCACGATGACCACGTTGAGCCTACACTACACATGAGCAAAGAGGACCTTATGAATGAGGAGGACGAAATTCGTGCTCTGGAGGACAAGAAGAGGGCACTCCAGTCCAGAGTCACCAGTATGGAGAAAGATATTGAAGGTCTGGCCAGATGAGACATGACTGCATTCTGCAACGTCAACGATTGATGTGGCTTCGAGGGATACTCCTGGCGAATACAGCTGGTTAGCGTATGGCAAGTCCATCCAAATCGGTTACAGACTCGAAAGCCACCAGTCCATCAAGACCAGTGACAGATTCCAGTACAGTATGCATGATCAGTCCGCTCATCGCTTTGCCCGATGCTCGAGACCCTGCCTCCCCTCCCCGTATGTCAGAATCTGTCACTTCTGGCCATCTCCCGCGACCACGCCAGGAGTCTTCCGGCCTGTAAAAATGCACAGTGTTTTTGAGATCGGTATATTCGTCCGCAGAGAGGCGCTAGATCACGATCTTCACCCTCCTCAAGCTATCCACATTGAGATCAATGTCAACAACGATGATGCGGACGTCGTAGCGCAGACCATATTCCAACTCGTGGAGGAGATCTGCGAATACTTCAAGGATGACCAGAACGCACATAGCTCGATTTTCGACACACCAGAGAAGAGACTGCTTGTGGCTCAGAAGATCTACAACGGCATGAAGAGAGTTAAGGTGCTGCCCGACTATGTCGACGACAACACAGAGACCTTGGTCGACATCCTCACGAACCCCGACTTCTGCATCTCGGACATCTGCAAGCTACGCCGCGTCGAGATTACTGATGTCCCGAATCTGATCGTCAACTATCTCATGGTCTATTCCGATTTTCCCGATGCTCGGGACCCCGAGATCTACGATGGCAAGTCTCTGCAGGTTGGTTACAGACTCGAAACCCACCAGTCCATCACGGCCAGTGACATCAGATTCCAGCAGAGCGTTCATTATCAGTCCGCTCGTGAAGCTGGTGAGTGCCACATGTATCACGTTTGCGATCTGGAATACCACGACGTCGATATTGTTCCCTTCGCCGAGCAGATCACAGTTCTCTTGTTCGAGACCATCAACAACAGCGTGCTCGATTTCCATAACTACAACCACCCACAAGCTGGAGAGTTCACCGCCGATCGCGAATTTGCCAAAGGTTTGCTCGGTGTTGCTCAACACGTCTTTGCAAATACTGTTTGGCCTGGAGGATGTATCTCCAACGCTTCCTTGGGAGCTTCCGTTGGCCTCAACTGGAAGATGCCTGTCGTCCAACACGACGTGAAGAGGTTGCTGTGGAACAAATGACAGATTCCAGCACATCACATCGACTCTCAAGCCGTAGCGATGCGCATTGATTAACGCATCAAAATGCACGATGGTATTGAGTAATGGCACGTCGTCCACAGAGAGCGATACTTGGAGGTCTTCTCATTGTTTGCCCCCTACGTAACACCTCCCTGTATGCTAACCTTTGTCACTTCGACTCCCACGTCGCGGCGATGCGCATGTTCCATCCATCAAAATGCACGATAATTTTGAGAAGGAGCACGTCGGCCACAGAGTGCGACTATTTTACACTCTCTCCTTGGGCCTAGCTCTACTTTCGAAAATCATCGTGCCTTTTGACAGCAGTAGTAATGACAAACTTCAGCATACGGGGAGGATGGAGCTCTTGGGGGCCATGTTGGATTTGCGTTACCTTCGAGAGCATTTCTACGGCGACATGCTATTCGCGAAAAGAACATGGAAGATGCGAACTGATGGCAACGATGGGTATGGTCTTGTATGTTGACAACTTGGATCATGATCATCAGATTATCAAAGCTTAACTGGCGAAGCAAGCTTTCCAGGCTGCACGGCCGGCTTGGCCAAGACCCTTGGTGAACATGTGTATGAACCGAGGGAACATCTTACAGCTGCGGTCGCAAACAAAACAGGCTTGCTGTGTCGCCAGCTAACTGCAGGCTGGACAGGATCTCAAATAGATACACACAGCCACAGAAGCAAGAAACGACCGACGCCATATTACAACTAGCCAATCCGTGCACTCAAAAATACCTCATGTCCGACCTTCGTATTCCTACGAATGAGCTTTCTGTTGTGACGTGGGGCTGAATCTAGATCAATGTAATGCGGGCAACTCTCGGATAGCTAGGACGTTCTTTCATCATCCCTTTACACCGCTTCACTTGCTTATTATCCTCATTTCCTCTCCATCGATTCTACTTACTTTCTCTTCATATTCTCCTCCACATCCACGACACCTGATACAACTCACAAATATGGGCTTACTCGGCAACCTCATCAACGAATTCACCCACCAAGGCCAGAGCAATAGCGGCGGTCAGCAAGGTGGCTACAGTCAACAATCTCAAGGCAACTACGGCGGTCCACAGCAGGGCTATGGTGGCCCTCAACAAGGCTATGGAGGCCAACAACAAGGATACGGTGGTCCCCAGCAAGGATATGGAGGTCAACAGCAAGGCTACGGCGGCCCGCAACAAGGCTACAACTCTGGTCCTCAAGGCACACCTCAGGTGCCACCCCCATGGCGTGCAGTCTGGGATGACCGTGACAACCGATGGCTGTTCATAAACGACCAGAATGGTGAACGCACCTTCGAACATCCCGGTCGCACTGGCGGGTATGGCGGTGGGTATGGCAGCAGCTACAACCAAGGTCCTCCCCAGGGCCAGGGCCAATACGGCGGCTACGAGCAGCAACAACAGCAACCTCAACATCAGAAGAAGAACCACAACGGATTGGCCTACGGAGCTATGGGTGCCGCAGCAGGCCTCGCTGGTGGTGCATTACTCATGCACGAGGGTCATGAAGTCAAAGAGGACTGGGAGGAAGACAAGTACAGAGCTGAGGAGAAGTTCGACCGCTTCGAGAACCGTGTGGAAGACGCTCCTGAAGATGCAGCCCGCTGGACAGGTCGCAAGGTAAGACCTCTCGACCATGTAGTGATCTGACCACCTACTAACAATAAATTCACAGGTCGGCGAAGTTGAAGACATCCCCCAGGACATCGAGAATGATTACGATCGCATGAAGTATGGCGCAGAGAACAAGTGGGACAACGCTGTCCAGGACGTTGAGGATGTGCCTGAGGATGTTGCCGGCTTCGTTGGCGAGGGTGTTGGCAAGGTCGAAGGCTGGGGCGATGATGCCGACCGATTCGGCGGCCGCATGGACAACGCCTACGACCAAGGTAGAGATGACGAGCGCTACGGCGATGACAATGACCGCTGGTAGATCGTGGATTCGATTCCTGTCCTCTCAGTCAAACATGATGTTTCTACGAACCAGTTCAAGCACCTATCCAGACTTGTAATAAGTTCCTGCTTTGACCCTCCGATTGACACGTTTCACAAGAGCAAGTCAAATACGGTTCGCTCTTGGGACTTGCTCTTCTAAGAAAAACTGTAAGCTTGGCAACCCTGTCCTTACTTCTTCTGGCATCGTACTCTACTTTGCCAGCAAGATAAACGCGTTTGGATAGTAAATGGACATCCGTTATGAGTTAAGGTTACCTCCACTTGAATCTCTGCCAGTCGCGAGCTCTCTAGGCTTGATTTGTTGTCGTTTTGCTGTCAGATGTTTCCATCATCGTCAGACCCATAAAGCACCTAAGTGTTTCAGTGTGCCGAGACAAACCAAATCTAACACCAGCAAATTGAAAACTCGCCTTTGTCAGGACCATATCGCAGCGTCTAGTGAGCTCAGTAGTCAAGAATGCTACGTTGCAAGAATCACTCTCGTCATGACATTTATCTATCTGTATAGTCAGCCTTGGCACCCCAGCAGGCGGATAAAGTGCTGATGACATCGCCGAAGCCTCCAGGAAAGTCATGCGACACAGCTTCCACGCCTTCGATTTCTCTACCATCTCAATCAAACATACAAAACACAAACACATACACCACAATGCAGCCATTACTTCGCACCTCGACGCGGAGACTTTTCCAACCTTCGGCCTCTATCCGCCCCCTCCTCTCCACCCGCACATACTACAGCTACGAAACCCCCCTCCCACCACCCTACCCACCAACCGAAACTGCAATCCTCTCTTCCGCTCTCCTCCACGTTCCCTCCTCCGGCTGGACACCGCAATCTCTTCGTCAAGGCGCCCGCGATGCAGGATACCTAGATGCCTCTACAAACCTATTCCCAAAAGCCGAATTTGAGCTGGTGCTTTACCATCTACGGACGCAGAGATTGGGGTTGAAGGAAAGAGTGCAATTTGCAGAAGAAGCTGGATTGGGTGTTACGGGGAAAGTGAGTGCGTTGGTTATGGAGAGGTTGAGGGGGAATGTGGAGGTGGGGGTGCAGGGGAGGTGGCAGGAGGTTTGTTTGTATCCTTTCTGCCTTCCTACATTACGGTAATACTAACTCAGAGGCAAATAGGCATTAGGTCTCATGTCCCTAGCTGGAAATATCCCCCCTTCCCTCCGCGAACTCTTCCTCCTCGCCGACGAAATGTGGTTCCTGGCTGGTGATGAAGCGGTGGACAGTTCATGGTACACCAAGCGTGCGACATTGAGTTCCATCTATGCGGCCACAGAGACATATTCGACGACAGACAAGAGCACGGATTTCAAAGATACAGAGGAGTTTTTGAACAGGAGGTTGGAGGAGGCGAGGGTGGTGGGAGGTGCGTACAGGAACTTCAGAGAGTGGATTGGTTTCCAAGGCGTGGCTACTGTTAATATGGCTAGGAATTGGGGCGTGAGGATATGAGTGGGAAAGGAAGAGACGGAGGATGAAGTGTAAGAATACGAATAAGAAATGAGGATGACTTGGTCATATTGAGAGCGATGAAGCTTTCAGAGATCATTATTAAGTCGTTTTTGAGGAGGAAGACATGTCCACTACTGAGAGCCTTTCAAACAGCTCTCCTCTCCGGACAAATGATCGAATGACCAAAACATTGCGCATTCTGATGGCTAAACATTACTGCACGCGATGGCCGGGTTGCGCATGTCGTCACTTTGAAGTTTCTCCATGCTATCAGTTAAGCTACAACCACCCGAGTCTTAAGAAGGGTGACCAACAGCCATCATCCCAACATTCTCAATTCGCCGTCCTATTCGCCGTCCTCGGAACGACCAGAAGATGGCAGACGACCAACAGCACCATCCCATCTATCGCCTGGCAACAGGAAGAACACTGATCCCAACTCGCCCATCGATCATCCTGGAGTCGCCAACTGCGATTCGACACCTCCTGCAAGCGTTATTAACGAGTCACGCTACAACTACCCACGTCTTAAGAAGGGTGACTAGTTCTAGATCGTGTCCAAACATATGAACAACATGGTCAAGATTAGGATTCCTTTCGTCAAGTAGATTACTGTTCTCTTTTTCGAGACTATCTACCATAGCGTCGTATCTTTCACTTATCCTTGCCTTCCCTTTCCCTTCCAGCCCCAGATTTCATAGAGAATGCATGTCTACTGACTGCCCTCCTGACTCTCATCCGCGGCACCAGCCCCAGCACCAGCAAGTCTGATACCCTCCTCATCACCTCTCAGCTTCTCAAAGTAAGCCTTGATATCCTCAGCTCCAACAGGTCGACCGCTCTCAGCAAAAGGCTGCAGGAAAGTCTTGACCTTGTCGCGCAAATGGTTATAGACCATGACACCTTCAATGGCTTTGACACGATCCATGTTGCTGAGTAGAGCTTCGCCGCGTTCGTATGTGCTTCCTGAACCAACACTGCCACGTCCGTTTTGTGCTTCTTCGTCGTCGCTTTCGGAGACGGGTGGTTCGTAGGCTTCTTCCTCCTCAAGGAGTTGGGCATGAGGCTTTAGGTTGGGGAAGCAGGAGGGGCAGCGGCAGAAGTGGTTGCGGAAGTCTTCTTTGAGGAAGAGGGAGAAAGTGCCGGTTGGAGCTGATGGGAGTTTGGTGTGCAGAGGAGTGTCTTCAGCAGGTGTGGTGGTTGAAGGGGTAGTTGTCTCCGCGACGACACCCCCGGTTTCGACCTTTGTCTTCTTAGACGCGGACTCTTCTGAGCCGTCCTCGGCACTTCTCTTCTTGTTGGTCTCTGATGACGACAGGCTTGCGTCTTGTGTAGGCTTCTCCTCAGATTTCACCTCATTGCTCTCAGATGGCTGCTTGTGGTAAACGGGACCCAGGAAGCCTTGTTGGCTGGCGTACTGTTTGATCCAGGGGAATGAGTTTACGCATTTGTAGCAGATGAGATGGTCGAAGTCATCCTCGGCAGGGAAGCCTGGCGGTAGGGGTGCCTCGTCGACTTCTTCCTGAATGTCGGAAGGCTGTGCTGTCTCTTCTTGACCTTCAATGTTGGGCTGCTTTGTCTCTTCCTTGTCTTCCTTGGGAGTAGTTTCGGTAGGTTGAGGTCTCGGCAAGCCCATCAGACACTCAGGGTGCCACCAGTCTTCACCACAACCACCGTCTTCTACAGTGCCCAAGCCCAAGCATTGGAACATGGTTCCCTTCTCTTTCTCCGGGTCGTATTGATCGTCACATGCACAGAAGCGGCCAGCAAAGTTGTGGTTATACTTGTTGGTCTCTGCAGGAGTCTCGCCAGTCACGTCACCCTTCTGACTGGTGGACTCGTTAAGACGGAGTGTACATGGTGACGAGGGTATTCTGGTGGTGCCGCAATCGCAGACGAAGTTGCGTTTGGTGAAGAGCTCGACCAGTTCATGTTCGCCGTGACAAGAGATGCTGCACGAGTAGCAGACAGCAGCCGGAGTATGTGATTTGTTGTCTGATGTGGGAGGAGGATTGCATGTCAGGCAAGCAAAGATGGCCTGCCTGAGTGGACCGAGAGGTTTTGTGCAAGTATCGAATTGCTGTTTTGATTAGTAGTTGTCATATATCTTGATGGTATTCGCGCGTACATAAGGAAGAGCTTCACGCGCGTCGGCTTCGAGTTGAAGTTGGCTCGCAATGAATCTATGAGCGGTTAGAATGAATCGAAATGCTCGGCGGAATCAAACCCACTCTTGGGCGGTCTGTGAGGCTTCGGTATTTTGAGACATGATCATGCAGTAGTTTGTGGCAGATAAAGAGCAGCGACGATGGATGATGCGCGTGTCGCGACTTTCCCGATTGGGATGGAATTGCACTTTACGCGGCACGCGCCGAGGGGTCGCGACGAATGTTTCGGCTGAGTGCTTTTGGCAATCAACAAAGCACCATCCGAATCATTTGACATTTACACCCTCCACCATCCACACTTTCATAATCATGAGGTATGTAGGATCCATGAGATGGAGCTACAGTCGTCCAAACTCACACCTTCACAGTTCACCGATCGAAGCTCCTGAATCATCAGCCGCTGCTGCCAGCCGCAAACGCCAAAGAGACGACGAAGATGTAGAGATGCGCTCATCCTCTGCCGCTCCTCCATCAAGTCCTCCTGCTTCATCACCGCCTATGCTACCACAACACGATGATCTCGACGACGTAGAAGACATCATTGAGCCCGAGGAGGACCAGATCCAAGACATTGACGACGCAGATGAACTTATCGAAGACGACAATGGTGTTGATTTGTTCGGCGACAACTTCGAGAACGACTACAGAAGACCCGCAGATGATTTCTACGAAGGCCAGGATATTGACGATGAAGGAGAATACGATGATCTGGATCTGGCTTCCAGACGACAGCTCGATGCCCGCCTCAACCGTCGTGATCGCGAGCTCGCACGCCAAAGGAGACCCCAAGTAGCTCTGGACGAGGACGAGGATGACTTGATGGACCTGACCAGACAACCCCGCAGGCGGCGACACAGATACGATGAGGAGCAGGACGATATGGATATGACTGAAGATATCATGACAGAGGAGCTCTCAGCCGAAGCTTTGGCAGACATCAAGGCCTCGAACTTGACCGACTGGATTGTCCAGCCCGCAGTCCATCGTGGTATCTCTCGTGAATTCAAGTCATTCTTGACTGAATTCGTTGATGACAACGGTATCTCCGTCTACGGTGTCCGCATCCGCACCCTGGGTGAGATCAACGCCGAATCCCTCGAAATCGACTATGACCACCTTAGTCTGACGAAACCAACACTGGCATACTTCGTTGCCAACGCACCCACCGAAACCCTCTCAATCTTCGACCGCGTTGCCATGGATGTCACTCTTTACCACTACCCCGACTACGAACGTATCCACTCTGAGATTCACGTTCGTATCATGGGTGTACCCACAGCTTACACATTGAGAGAGCTGCGTCAAAATCACCTCAACTGCCTTGTCAGGGTCAGCGGAGTTGTCACTCGTCGCACCGGTGTCTTTCCTCAGCTCAAGTACATCAAATTCGACTGCACCAAGTGTGGTGTGACTCTGGGTCCATTCCCTCAAGATTCGAACTCGGAAGTCAAGATCTCCTTCTGCCAGAACTGCCAGTCCCGTGGCCCCTTTACAGTCAACTCCGAGAAGACCGTCTACCGCAACTACCAGAAAATCACTCTTCAAGAGTCTCCTGGAACTGTGCCTGCCGGTCGTCTGCCTCGTCACAGAGAAGTCATTCTTTTGTGGGATCTCATTGACTCGGCCAAGCCTGGTGAGGAAGTTGAGATTACTGGTATCTACCGCAACAACTACGATGCTCAATTGAACAACAAGAACGGCTTCCCTGTATTTGCCACGATCCTGGAAGCTAACCATGTCGTCAAGTCTCATGACCAGCTGTCTGGCTTCAGGTTGACCGAGGAAGATGAGCGTGAGATTCGTGCTTTGTCAAAAGACCCTCAGATTGTCAACAAGGTAATCAACAGTATCGCACCCAGTATCTATGGCCATACCGATATCAAGACAGCAGTCGCACTCAGTCTGTTCGGTGGCGTGAGCAAGGAAGCTCAAGGCAAGCATTCCATCAGAGGTGACATCAACGTGTTGCTTCTTGGTGACCCCGGTACCGCAAAGTCGCAAGTGCTGAAGTACATAGAAAGTACTGCACACAGAGCCGTCTTCGCCACCGGTCAAGGTGCTTCCGCTGTTGGTTTGACCGCCTCAGTAAGACGCGACCCTATGACTTCAGAATGGACATTGGAAGGTGGTGCTTTGGTGCTTGCAGACAAGGGAACCTGTCTCATCGATGAATTCGACAAGATGAACGACCAAGACCGCACTTCCATCCACGAAGCCATGGAACAACAGACCATCTCCATCTCCAAGGCCGGTATCGTCACCACCCTCCAAGCCCGCTGTGCTGTCGTCGCCGCAGCCAACCCCATCGGCGGCAGATACAACGGCACAGTCCCCTTCTCCCAAAACGTCGAACTCACCGAACCCATCCTGTCTCGTTTCGACATCCTCTGCGTCGTCCGCGATACCGTGGACCCAGAAGAGGATGAGCGTCTTGCCGCTTTCGTCGTAAACTCCCACGGCAGAGCTCACCCTACACTCAGTTCTTCGGCCAACGACGCACCAGTCAACAGCATGCAAGATGCCAACATGGAAGTTGACGGCGACGTCGGAACATCAAAACAAGGCGAGATCCCGCAAGAACTGTTGCGTAAATACATCCTTTACGCGCGTGAGAGATGTCGTCCTAGATTGTACCAAATCGACCAGGATAAGATTGCGAGATTGTTTGCGGACATGCGTAGGGAGTCGCTCGCTACAGGCGCTTATCCCATTACTGTAAGACACTCATCCAACCCCCCTTTTATCCCCCTCCCCCTCTCGAAGCTCTTGCTAATTTCGTATAAACAACAGGTCCGTCATTTAGAATCTATCCTCCGAATCTCCGAATCCTTTGCGAAGATGAGATTATCCGAATACTGCAGCAGCACGGATATCGATCGCGCAATCGCCGTCGCCATCGACTCTTTCGTCGGCAGTCAAAAGGTCAGCTGTAAAAAGGCGTTGGCTAGAGCGTTTGCCAAATATACTTTGGCTAGACCTGGTGCTGTGAGGAAGAATAGAAATGCTAGGGCTGGTGCTGCGCAGAATGTCGGTGTTGTTGCTTGATGATTTTGCAACTGGTGTGATGGGTGGGTTTCGTGACAAAAGGAGGGTAGGATTGGGTTGGCGTTTTTCAAAGAGATACCTGTGTTTTTTCTGCTCTTCTTTACTTCTTTTATAAAGCTATTATGACAGGGGTATATAAAGCCTTTTTCCAAGATTCATCACCAATGCCTGATTGTCCCAGCCCTGTTTTGACCCGTCCTTATCGTTCAACCATGTCTGACTCTAGATCTCATCCTTGGAAATCATGATACCGTAAGGATCACGGTCGACCTCACTAACATGAATTTCGACGTGATCATCCTCAAGAGCCTCGAGGTAATCCTCGCTCAAACCAGCCTTACCCTTCTCTTCCTTTCTCACACGCTCCCACTCCTCTTTAACACTCTTCTCCAATTGAGGCCTCAAGACTCCGTGCAAGAAGCCTCTTTCGGTGTTTGAGTGGAACAACGCGATAACGCATTTGCCTTGCTCAATTGCAGCCAAGGCTTCATGATGGCTCAATTCACCGGTAAACAGCAAATCCACATCTTCCTCGCCGTTCTTGCCTAGACCGCCGAACACACCTCCACCAGAGCCGGCACAGATGGCGACGCTGGAAATATCGATCTCGTCCATGGTCTTGCCTTGAGGGATGGCGATGGGAAAGCCCTTGGGGTTTCCGAGTCCACGACCAATGCGGTCGATGATCTCCAACAAGGGCTGAGGGGTGTTGAAACGCACAATGCGACCCATACCGGCAGTTGTGTTTTGGTATCCAGGTACGGATGAAGGCTTGATAGGACGACGAGTATGCGTGTCATTGCCGAGTTTGAGCGTGCGGTCCTTGATGCTGAGTTGACTGGGGTGGTGTTGAAGTTGGAAAGTAGGTCGCTTCAGTTGTTGACTGGGAGTCTCTGGCTCTTGATTGCTCAGCTCCTCTTGCTTTTGCTCTGCTTGGGCGGCCAGTTCTTCTGCACTCATGGGGGTGCCGGAGACGATGTCGGCGAGCCAGTCGCCTAGGCCACCGGGTGCGCAGTCAATGGCTGTGTGGGGACTGTATACGCTGATGCCTTCGGCAGCCAGACGTAGTAGGGTTTGTTGTTGGGTGTCGGCTAGGGACAAGCTCTTGAGACCTCTGAAGATGATGGGATCTATGCTTGACGTAAAGTTAGGCGTGCTTGCTTCGAGTAGATATTCGTTCATCGGATGGGCGTACGGTAGGCTACGATGATGGAGTCTCCACGTTCAATGGCTTCGTCGGCGACAGCCTTGGTCAAGTCAATGGTCAAGAGGGCCGAGTTCATCTGGCGACGGATGGGGTCGAAAGGCGATTCGAGAAGGACTGATGCAGGTCAGAGTTGTGTGTAGGAAAGAGGTTCGAGAGTATAGACGTACGACCAGTGTTGTCCCAGCTCTTGTCGGCGAGCGCCTCTGGGTAGCTGACTACATTAGCGATGCGATGATATGCAAAGAAGCACTGACGAACAGTTTACGCATTGCGCCGGTGACGGCCTTTGAGAAGGGGGCCGAAGAAGTTGTTGAACTCATCTTGATTGCACGACGTAGAGTAGCCGAGAACATGCAGAGTGTGCGACAGGAAAGAACGATTGTACAGAGATTGAAAGACTTCGAGTTGCTGGTCGAGAAAGTGAAAGTCCAGGCCGAAGCTCCCACGCTGGCTGCGTCATTCTTCGACGTCTTGAGAGGAAGCAGCACTTTTTGCGACAATCCACCTTAGCAGTCAATCACACATTCGATCACCAAATCATGAGCGCCAGAACAGACGTTGAAGCCGTGCAAAACCAGCACTCCTCGGGTGTCACCCCCGAGACCCTCAAGGCCACTTTGATCGAGAAACTCGAGGCGCAGCACGTAGACATCCAGGATCTGTCAGGTAATCGCGATAAGATCCACTTCCTCCTGCGACGACGACACTGACGATACCAGGTGGATGCGGTCAAATGTTCGAAGCCATCATCGTATCACCACAGTTCGAGAAGAAGACGTCGCTCGCCCGCCATCGCCTTGTCAACAACACCCTCAAAGCCGAGATTGCTGCCATCCACGCCTGGACACCAAAGTGCATGACTCCCGCCGAGTGGGAAAAGAAGAAGGGCACCCTTTGATTTCACACATATACCCAGAAGTCTCGGATGACAACCTTATAATGTTCAAATGATACCATTTTCAATCTTCATGTTTATGTCTAGCTCAGCAGCACCTTGATCTCATCGCTTGTGCGAGGGAAGACGTCGCGGAGCAGCATGCCTTCCTCCAATTCTTCGCCTTGCTCGGCCAGTATCGTCTCGTCCAGGCCAATCACGATTCTCTCGGCCGACTCGAACTCCTCCACAAACAGATCTGCTGCCTTGTCGCACACCTCACGCACCATCCTCTTATCTGCAAGCTTGCCAACGAATGCTCTGGCATCTTCCATCGCTCCTGGTAGGAATGCGTCCAGTTTCTGTGCCATGTCTGCCAATCTATCAGGCTGCATCTCTCTCACTTTTCTGATGCCAGCGATGCCTTGACCAAGGTTGGTATCCTTGTACTCCTTGAGGCCGTCGAAAAGTCGCTTGAGACCTGATTCTGACACGAACCATGCGTGAACTGTATGCACAAGCCTCTCTGCTTGATCTTCTACCGCCTCGTCCACCTGGTCTAAACGGTTTGCCGTGAACGCTCGGCCCTTGAGCGTCTCCTTTGTTGCAAGAAGACAATTGATGGCAAGAATCTGGCTCTGTGGTGCTCCCATTCCTTTGGAAATGCTGTCGCAACCTGCCAAGTAAGGGTCGAGTGCCTCTTCAAGTACAGCTTGGAAGCCAGTGCGATCCTCGCCCGATGAAGCGTTGGCTAGTGAGGTATCGTAGCTCTTCATCAAACCTTTCAACGTCTCCAGTGCTTCCAACAAGAAGTCAGGCGGTGAGAGGTCCAGAGGTGTGACAGAAACATCGCTGTGGATGTTGGCGATATGATCTCTCATCAGTGTCCTGAATTGCTCGAAAGCCTTTTGCGTGATCGGCTGTAGTGTCTGAATAATAGTCGACTTCGGTCCGAGAAGTGGTACGAAGATGGAGCAGTAGAACCGGATGAGGTTCGAAATCTGGTAGGCTAACGTGGCATCCTCATGACTTTGAATCGTCTGTTCGACGCGTTGGCGTAACTGGCGAAGTACACCAGACAAGTCGCGATCCACCAAGTCATTAAGCGCCCTCTTGCCGTCAAAAGCCGCGACTTCTTCACCATCAGTGCCATCGGTAATCTGTAGCCAGGGTTCGCGTTCGCGGCCTGCTTTGATGTTCCTTGATATCTCATCTGCGTCCGAGATGAATAGAATTTGCAAGGCTTCACGCTCACCGACTGTAGCAGCATGCGCCCAAGCCAGCATGTCACTAACGTAACGCAGCGGATCGTGTGCGCTGAGTTCAATCGCTTTGCCCGAGGCTGGACCTCCGATACGTTGAGCGAATCCTCCTGTCAGGGCAGCATAGAAGGCATCCGAAAGTACTTGCTCTCTGTTCTCGGCAAAGAAGTCAAGGCAGCTCTGGAAAAGTGCAGGTCTCTCAGCTAATACACGAAGAGCTCGTCTAACAGAAATGCTAAGCTGAGGATTTTCAAGGTCCAAAGTACGAAGTTCTCGTTGCGTCCAGCGGAAGAGCTTCTGGAAAGCTGCGTTCAGTTGTTTCGAGCTTTGCTCCAGGATCTCGAGACCCAGTTGTTGATCTTCGGTCCCCAGAAGCAGTTGACTGTCGTCGTGAATCTGCTTGACTCGAGTCAATGCTTGGAAGAAAGCATCTGTGACCGGTTCCGCAGTAGAGGTCAACGAAGTAATCTCGGCGTCTGACAAGAGGAAGTGTGAAGTAAAAGCACCCAAGAGTTGCTGCTTGGTCTCGGTCTGTTGTCTTTGGGCCATCATCGCTGTGCTTTCCTCCAACATGGGGCCAGTTTCTCTGTTAGCGGCAGAGATGTGTGATCGCATATTTGAACACAGCTTGTTGAGATCCTCAATGGCTGCACCCACTCGTTGCAGTTGCTGTACGACCATTAAGTTTATATCGAAACCAGGATTAAGCTTCTTCTTACCTGTGCAACTTGTCCGAAGTCACGAATGATCTCTCCATTGCATTGAATCAGTTCCTGCTGTGCATCCAGTCGGAGATTACGCCTTGTTTCTGCCGTGTTGTGAACTTGACGAGCATCCAGAGTTTCCAGTGCATCCCGGATCTCCAGATCTGAGTAGGATGCAGCAAGTACACTCGTAATTCTGCTTTGGAGCGCACTTGATCTTTGTGCTGTTGGTCCTGGTGACATGGCCGGTGAAGGCGGCAATGTGGCATCTTTTAGCCTTTCGGGGAAGTAACCAGTGGCCATGATTGCAATTGAGTCAAGTTGAATATATCAACTATGATCCTTTGCTGTTCGATGCAATGTCAGATATTATCGTTCTTGTACGAAGCACGATGCGGAAGTGAGTGGCCGAAGTCTTGACAATCGTCTCGTTCTTGGGGCAAAACCGAACGTAGGACAAAATTCCACAATGTAAGGATAGTAGCGAAATACTACATACCAGTATCAAGGCTGGTTCATGGATATCAACAGACAATACAGTCTCGTCTCGGTATGCAACAAGCCGAACACAAGGGGGGTCTCGTCAAGAGTTGCATGTCGGAGTGGCGCAGAATTGTGGGGAAGGCGTGAGAGTCTCGTGTTTGGTCCAGGTCAGTCGATACGAAAGGGTCTTTTCAACAAGCTTCTGTGGCTCCTTTTGTGAATCTCAACTGGTCTTGTTCGTGGGCATGTTGTCTGTCGTTCTCCATTGAAATCGTCCACTATGAGTTCCGTCAAGATGATCAGTCGGCGCGAGCGAGTCTTCAGCCGAAGAGAAGTCGAAGCTCTGATTGCTGAAGGCCGATCAATTATTGTCATGAATGGGAAGGTGCTCAAGGTCGATGCGTGGCTCAAATATCACCCTGGCGGTGACAAGGCGATCATGCATATGATCGGTAGAGATGCTACAGATGAAGTGACAGCGTAGGTTGCTTTATAGTGTCAATTGGCTATACTTGAGCTCTTTCTGATTGCATATCCAGTCTGCACTCCGCCGAAGCCCTCGAGCGTATGCACGCCTACCAGATCGGTGTCATTGAAGGACGCTGGTCCAACTTCCTTCCCCCAATTCAAGGAGGTCAATTTCGATTGAAACATGTCCTTGACGCCGAGGACCATATCCTCGATGAAGAGCACGACTCGTCAAGTCAGGCAAGCTCAGGAGAGCCCTCACCACTGTTCGAACCTGTCGATGCACAACTCCGCCAGCGCAAGCCCGTCATGTCACGAGCATCCTCCTCCACATCCATGTCGTCGCTGGACGTCGACAACGAGAAACCACACAACATCCACGACCCCGAGAGCGACTGGACGAAAGACCAGATCAACAACGACTTGGAGAAATATCCCGAGCTGGATCAAAAGACGCAGGGTGACATTATGAAAAAGTACCGCTCGTTGGACCAGCGTATGAGAAGCGAAGGCCTCTACAACTGCAACTACAAATCCTACGCGATTGAGATATCACGATACTCTTTCCTGTTCGCTATGTTCCTTACCACCTTGCATTACGGATGGTACTGCACGTCTGCCGTCTTCCTTGGTTTCTTCTGGCACCAATTGGTCTTCAGTGCTCACGATGCTGGTCATATGGGTATCACGCACAAGTTCCACGTTGACACTGTCATTGGCATGGTCATTGCAGATTTTCTTGGAGGTTTGAGTCTAGGATGGTGGAAACGCAGCCACAATGTCCACCACATCATCACAAACTCTCCGGAGCACGACCCCGATATCGAGCATATGCCTTTCTTCGCCATCTCCCATCGCTTTTTCAAGTCGCTCCGATCTACATACTACGACCGCGTCATGACATACGACCCTTTCGCAAAATTCCTTATCCAATATCAACATTGGTTATACTACCCTATCCTCTGCGTTGGCCGCTTCAATCTCTACCGCCTGAGCTGGGAGTACCTCATCCTTGGTCTTGGTCCTCGCAAAGGTCCTGCATGGTGGCATCGCTGGTTTGAAATTGCCGGCCAGTTCTTCTTCTGGTACTGGTTCGGCTACCAAGTCTTGTACAAGAGCATTCCCGATGGCTGGAGCCGTTTCGCTTTCATCATGATCAGTCACGCCGTCACGATGCCCCTTCACGTTCAGATCACACTCAGCCACTTCGCCATGAGCACCGCTGATCTCGGTGTCAACGAGTCTTTCCCCCAGCGTATGCTTCGCACGACCATGGATGTTGACTGTCCTCAATGGCTTGACTTCTTCCACGGTGGTCTTCAATTCCAAGCCATCCACCACTTGTATCCTCGCATGCCTCGCCACAACCTGCGCAGAGCTCAAAAGCTTGTCCAAGAGTTCTGCGATGATGTGGGTATTCCCTACGCTATCTATGGCTTCTACGATGGAAACAAGGAAGTCATTGGACGTCTCGGCGATGTCGCTAGACAGGCGAAAATCTTGGCTGCTTGCCAGAAGAGTATTGCCGAGAGTGGTGAGATGCACTAGAAAAGTTCTTCGCCTCCTCTCGTTTTAGCAAATTAGATGATCTAGAAATTAGAATCTAAATGAATTATGTTTTCTGTACCTTTGTCCTTCTTCAAGACTTTTGTGCTTGATCTCTTCGGCCGTCCACAACTCTAAGCGTACCCATCAAAATGCATGAAATTATTCAAGTGGACCGCCATGTCCATTGAGATCTAGTAAGTGAAAAGGCACTGCCCCTGACCTCTTTCCTCCATCTCAACACCCCTCGCTATCCCCTCATACGTCCATCAAATTGCACAAAGTTTTCACATCCATCGCTCTGTCCAATGAGAGCATTTCCGCTCACTCACTCTCAGTGGACATCCATCAACCCACACTTCCAACTCTGCATACTGATGTGCACAAAACCCGCCCATCACTGCTTACTGGAGCAGCAGTCTACGAAATTCTCTCATCATCACTTCTTCACGAAAAAAATCACAGTTTCTCTATCACGTCTCTTGCATGCTTTGAACTCTAATCCTCGTGTGTATAAAACCACACTCTTCTACCTGATCTCTTCAACCCATCATCCAGGTCCGCAAGGGACACATCGTCCGACATTCCCAAGAAGAACCATGTGCGTCTGTTCGTCAGCGTTTCGACTTTGTCGCTGTGGGTTCGAGGGGGATACGCGAGTCGGGTCGATGACGAGGGAGTTCGAGTGGCAGTGCTCCACTGGCTCGATGAGATGGCGAGAGTGGTATGGAGGTACAGCAGGGTGCCAGTATTAGGAACTTGAGGATAACGAAGCGGCTATAGGGATAGGGTGTTTTGCTGGGTTTGCTGGCGTTGTGAAACTTTGGAGTGGGAGGTGTACGATGTGATACAAGTCAGGGAGTTTCGAGTCAGTGCAGATCGTCGTCATACCACTTTCGGAGTTCCATCTTTGCATGTACATATTTTAGGAGCACTTGGCTCGTCGTTGATCATTTCTCGTCTATCCATTTCTGAAGCTCTGAACGCCAAAAGCAAAACCCTAGCCAAACTCCGATGCTGTCATGTAGAAGATAGCATCATCATCAATGCACCTGTCTATTTTCTTCTGCCAACGCCTAGGGATATCATTCATCATCAACCTATCTTAGGTCCCTTGCCGCCAGCATGTGCCTTGGAATATTCGACGAGAAGTCCCAAGACTCCGTTGTTCGGACGTCGCTCATTAGCCACCTCTAAATCCTCCATATCGGCTCTTTCGCCAAATGCTTTCCAAGAGTCCGATAGATTGTTGTCCTGCTCGATGAGTCTGCTTGTAGTCATGGCGTCGAGACCCGCAATGTGGTCTTCTTCGCCCTCATTGGGACTCAAGTAGTCTGCCGGATTGTGACGTTTACCACCGGCACGCAACTGCGCTAGACGCTGTCCCCCGGCCTTTCTGTAGGGCGCTGAACCAGCCTTCTGTCGCGGAACGTCTAGCAACAAAGACTGATGCGGTGACGGCTGATGCGAGGAAGGCTCCCTTACATTCCTACCCCGCATGGTGGCAGGAGTCTCTAGCGGAGGGAACGCTGGAGGTAGCTGTATGCCATGTGGACGGTTGTGTCGTGCAGCCTGCTGTCGGTCATACTTGCCCAAGCGCTCCATGAAGTAATATTGCGACATGGCCATCTTGTCGTCTTTGGTGCCGAAGTATTCCTCGCGTAACCCATCGACGTCTTTATCCACATCATCCTCAACATTTTTGCTCTTCCTAAATTCAAAGACTGCGAATGTGCACAGGTGACCAAGCCCGTCAACCTGGACCGTGGAGTTGCGGAAGAAGTCGATGATCATTTCGCTCCGCTTTCCAGAGTTTCTCCACAGGATAAAAGGAGCGATCAAAAGACTCAAAATCTCCTCGAGGAATATCATGACTTTCATCTGATAAAGGGCAGAGAACTCGACCCTGACCTCATCACTGTGTAGCTGCTTCTTCCAGCGGGCAGGGCAGTAGTGAGTGGCATCAATGACATTCATCAGGTGGAAGATGGGCTCGTGAACCTTGCTTTCGTCGGGAATAGCACTTCGCGCTCCAGTGGCAATTGCCAAAAGGATAGAAACGTAGAAGAAAGCTGTGCGACCAGGTGTGATCTCGAAGCCAAGAAATAGTTCCGAATCCCACAAAGTGGCAATGGTCAGAAGGCCTGCCAGAGTACCACTGACGAGGCTCACGAACTGTAGAAACTGATGAGTCTTGTCTCTGGGAAATTGATCAAGATAGGCAGCTGCCATCGGATGTGCCTGCTTGATGCGGTGACGGAAATCGTGGTCAAGTTCGTTGAATTCACGGAACTTCCATTCTGCCAGAGGAGTAAAAGTTCGTGCACCGATGGCGGATGGGCTAGCGCGAAATTCCTAAAATACATTAGCACTGAAACAGGCAGTTTGAAGGAGAACCATTTCGGCTTACAGCGTAGTAGCGCGAGAAATAGTAGATGGAGTTTAGAGTAATGGTGAAGGGAGCCAAGAAGATGCTCAAGATAGCAACGAAGCGAAGGCGGGTGCGAAGAGCTTGGATCAATCGACTCCTATCTTTCCTTTGTAGACACGCAGTCTTGACTTGACCTTGCTCGTCGAAGATGAAATCATTGAAGCAGAAGTTGATACAGTTTTCGAGGCTTCTGGAGTAGTACTGACGATTGCCGAGGAAGGGCACGGAGAGGGTGAGATCGATGATCTCTTTGTTAAAAAGAGCAATGCTGTAGTTGTCCTGACGCATGAGACGGTTTGCAATGTCATGGGCGTCCATTCTTTGCTTTGACTGTTTTCCTGCAGCCTTCAAGTACTTTGGAACCTCAGCGGCAGTCTCTGGGTTGAGATCTCTAAGCTTCATGAGCCCTTGTACGACTCTTTCCCAGGAAACAGCTTGGATGTCAGTATCGGGTATGCCGAGCAGATGCTGGTAGAACATTTCCATCTTTTTCAGCCTGGGTATGTCGGCGAGGAATGTAAATAAAGTCCATAACCACCAAAAGCAGAAGACCCACAGGAGAAGACTCTTTGTCCAGGATGAGTTCTTCATACACTGGGGTATCAAGACTTCGGATGAACTCTTGCTGGTAGGGATTTTGGTGTAATCGACGCAAGTCGAGAGGAAGATGAAGAGACTGAAGAGGAATGCGGTGGTGGCTAGGTGAAGGCAACGCGATAACAATATCGACCATATCCCATGTCCAGTAAAGTACTGATAGACCTGGAGGAGGAAGGCATCCAGGTTTTGAACGTTTGTCCAGAACCACATGGCTTGCTCTCGGAGGACGACATTCGGATTGGGTGCGTGTGGCACGACGCGGAGTGGCCGGTCATCAGGGTGTAGTTGTTGCCTCTCTTGGGCTCTTTTCCATTGTGACTCGGCACGACGACTTGGTGATGGAGCAAACGAGCTCTGATCGGGCTTGTCCTCCATGAGCAACGAGGCTGGAATGTCTTCGTCTCCATGAGGTCGGGATGATGTGCCTTGTCGCGGGTCAAAGTCAAGGTCGGCTTCATCGTCTACTTGAGCGAGGAGAGCGTTAAGCTCGTGTTCGTCGGACGAGTCTCTAAGGCCTCGTTCAGCTCTGTCGGACGTCGGACCATGATCATGTCCATAGCTCTGTTGATAAGAGCCATCATCTGCGTTGGGCAGGAAACGAGACAAGATGCGTGAGGCCATCATCTTGGTCGTTGTCGTCTACACCGGCATGGGTGCATGGATGAATATGTTTGCTCAGCTCCAAGGTGTCTTGTTATTCGTGTTGGCTGCTCCCGTGCCTTTACTGGTCACCCGAGTGTTGGTGCTCGTCATTCTCCACCTTCTTGGCGCGATCGGCCCGAGCCTCAGCCCTGCAGATTAGCCCTCAACCTTAACCATCTTGACATGTGATAGAGTATCGTGTTCAGATCATCTTGATTCAACAGCCTTCACGACAAAGATATCAAACATGGATCAGACCTTGCAGACCCTTGTAAAAGAGTGGCTCCGTCTTGATCAGGATGAGTGCACTCGGTCAGAGATCGAGAGACTCGCCGCCGAAAATAATACAGTCGAACTCCAATCACGACTCCAAAAGCGTATTGCTTTCGGTACCGCCGGATTACGTGGAAGAATGGAGGCCGGCTTCTCACGCATGAACTCCCTCACTGTCATCCAAGCCTCTCAAGGTCTAGCTGAGTATTTGCTCAGAACCGAGACCGACGTCAAAACTCGTGGTATTGTCATTGGGAGAGACGCCCGTCACAATTCTGACAAGTTCGCCAAACTGGTCGCTGCCGTTTTCGTAGCAAAAGGTATCCCGGTCAAATGGCTGGGTCAAGTGCATACTCCACTTGTTCCATACACAGTTGCCCATCTAAATGCAGCGGCTGGTGTTATGGTCACTGCTTCACACAACCCGGCCGCTGATAATGGCTACAAGGTATACTGGGGAAATGGATGTCAGATCATCCCACCGCATGATGCTGGGATTGCCAAATCGATTGAAGAGAATCTGGAGCCAATCACCTGGGATATGGAAGTTGTTGAGCGAGGAGGTCCTCTTGTGACCAACGCACTGCAACAGGTCGAGGCAGGTTACATGTCCACTGTCGCCAGAAACGCATCGATCTCGAACTCCGAATCATCGCTCCCCTTTGTATACACGCCAATGCATGGAGTTGGCCTCCCTTTCTTCACATCAGTCATGAAGCAATTGGGACTTGAGAACAAGATGCACGTAGTGCAAAAGCAGGCCCACCCAGACCCAGACTTTCCGACAGTGCGTTTCCCCAATCCCGAGGAGAAGGGTGCCCTGGCCCTAGCCAAACAAGTCGCGGATCGAAATGGTGTCAAATTGATCTTAGCCAATGACCCAGACGCCGACAGGTTTGCAGCAGCAGAGAAGGTTGATGATGAGTGGAGGCAGTTGACAGGCAATCAGATGGGTGTCTTGCTCGCGTCTCACGTCTTGGACACATATGAATCAAGGCCGGACAGCAAGGGGCTAGCGATGCTCTCGTCAACCGTTTCTTCAAAGATGCTAGCAGGAATGGCAGCTGCTGATGGCAAGTTTCACTGGGAGGAGACCTTGACCGGCTTCAAATGGCTGGGCAACAGATCCCGCGACTTGCAGCAGCAAGGATACGACGCTCTGTTTGCCTACGAAGAAGCTATTGGCTACATGTTCAGCGAAGTCGTCTTCGACAAAGATGGCGTTGCCGCTGCTGCTGTCTTCCTAGCAGCATGCAATCGTTGGAACAGGGAAGGCCTGACTCCTTGGACCAAGTACAACCAGCTCTGCGAGAAGTACGGATACTTCGAAGATGCCAACACTTACGTGATATCGCCATCTTCGGATGTCACAAACGCGGTCTTTGAGCAGATACGACAGAACAAGCCTACACATGTTGGACGTCGTAGCATCCTTCGCTGGTGCGACTTGACAATTGGATATGACTCGGCAACGCCTGACAACAAGCCGACCCTGCCAGTTGACAAGAGCTCACAGATGATCAGCTGTGAGCTTGACGGTAATGTGCACTTCACAGTTCGCGGCTCAGGAACAGGTAAGTCCAAATACCGCTGGCACAATGTTGACCATTTGCTAACGTGCACAAGAACCCAAAATTAAGTTTTACATCGAGGGCAGTGCGAGCACGTCCGCAGAAGCCAGAGCTTCAGCACACGAAGTCCTCGAAGACCTGATGAGGGAATGGTTCAAGCCAGAAGAGAATGGCTTGAAGAGAGAGTAAATACAGTTTCGAACAGAGATGATAATACATACTAGACAAGCATCGACTTTGAATCAAGGCTCATCGGTGTATTCGTCATCGATAGCGTTCTCTTGTCTGCGCTTCTTGTCTTCCATATCCGCGGCCCACAGAGCACTTCCCGCAGCAGTAGTAATCAAAAAGAACATGCTCAACACAGGGATGAGTTGCAAGATCAAAGCCACGGTGCCGAACCACATGTACTCATATCTCATCGACTTGTTGCGAATGAAAGTCTTGCGCTGCTCCTTGTTCAAACCCTTGAGATTGTGGTAACGGCGCTGAAGCAAAGGACCAGCACGGTATCCAGTGAGGATCAAAAACAGCGGTACGCCGACGAAAGGAATGAAGTTGAGCGGCAAGAGCACCACGAGTTCGAAAAGTTGGCGAAAAGAGAAAGGTGCGAATACAGCGCCCTTTTCGCGAGGTCCCAAGGCTTTGAGTGGTGTTTCGGGCTCCTCGGTGTCAACGGGTCGCTTGACCTTGATGAGTTCTGCATGGCCTCTGGCAACCATGACAGCATCGAAGACATCGACTTGAGTTTTGTCTACGAGGAAAGCTTCGAAGAGAAGGGCGATGATGAGGTTGCCTTCTGTAAGAACCAGGAAAGTACCGTTGACCCAGGCCGAGCCACCCTTGTGGAAAAGCTTGAGAAGGGCGACTTGAGGCAGATAGGCTGTCAAGAACAAGATGATCAGGATGAAGATTGACATGACGACCAGAGGTAGCATTCTTGCTCTAAGAAGGGGCCACATATATCTGTGTTTCACGAAGAACAAAACTCCCTGTCAAGAAATCATTAGTTCACGGCTCGGAGTGAATCTGGGAGGCGGCACAACTTACCGTCAAAGGATAGAGGAAGCTGGTTGTAAAGTTCGCTCTCGCCCAGCGGCGGAATGGAGTATCCGTTGTATTGGCCATGGTTGGTGTTTCTTGCTAGAAAATATTGCTGTTCAAGTGGAAGTTGGACGGTGGAATCTGGATGCCTGCCACGTCTTCGCGTTTCGGTCCGTGCACAGATGACGTGAAAGTTGTTGGTCTTCCTGCTCTTCATTTTACTCTTCTACAACTTGATTTTCTGTATACACTTCTAGCAGAAAACCGAATCTATCAAGGCTAATACTCACGATCATCTCTCTGCACAGGACCAGACGCGATGGTCTTGAGCGGTGAAAATGGCGGTGCATCCTTCATCTCCACCTCACGCTTGGGCTTTCGGCTAAAATCGGTGCTTGGTTTCAGTATTCTAGACCGACAACATCTCCTTCATGTTCAGTGGACAACTCAATATCTAATTCTCTTTGCAACGTTGAACAACCGAAGTCGCGGTTATGGGATCTGAGGATTGGGATGACGTGTATTTCATGGTCTCGGAAAAGAGACGGGCATCTCAAGGCGACATTCCGGACGTATTCCATGTACCTCAATGTGATGGCAATGATGTTTTCGAGCTGAGCGCAGACGAGCTACAGCACTTACTTTCCACCAATGCGATGACATCCGTGTCTTTTGTAAAACACTGCTTGGAAAGGATCAGAAGAGTAAAGATTGTAGTATGAGCATTTTAGGCCACTGCTGACCAGAACAGGTAAACCCTTACCTCGAGTGTGTCATCGAAACAAACCCGGACGCCCTCGAAATCGCTCAACAGCTGGATGATGAGCGAGCAAAGGGCAAAACTCGAGGTCCTCTTCATGGAATTCCAGTCTTGGTCAAAGACAACATGGCGACCAAGGACAAGATGCAAACGACCGGCGGCTCTTGGGCATTACTTGGGGCAGTTGTGCCTAAGGATGCTCACATAGTACACCTTCTTCGCAAGGCAGGTGCTATCATACTAGGACACTCCAATCTCGACGAATGGGCTGGTATGCGCTCCAAGATCTACTCGAACGGCTACTCTGCACGAGGTGGGCAGACCAGAAACCCGTATATGCTTAGCAGAAGTCCTCAAGGGTCAAGCTCTGGCTCTGCTGTTTCTGTGTCAAGTAATATCGTCCCTCTTGCTTTTGGCACAGAGACCGACACTTCCGTCATTTGGCCTGCTATGGTCAGTGGTATTGTAGGCATCAAACCCACAGTCGGCTTGACCTCCCGAAGTGGTGTCATTCCCATCTCCGAAACACAAGACTCAATTGGCACGTATGGAAGATGCGTATCTGATGCAGCACGAGCATTGGACGCAATCGCCGGAGCAGACCCAGAAGACAAATTCTCTACTGTCCCGGAGAGACGCCAGCCTAAAAGTTATATCGATCATATGGTAACGAGGAAGGCGTTGTATGGTGCAAAATTTGGTCTTCCAATGAAGCGCTTCTGGGAGCTTGTGCCAAAACAGCAGAAACGTGTTGCCGAGAAGGTTCTAAAGTTGATCAAGGATGCTGGAGCAGAAATTATCCCAGTAGATATGCCTTGTGCAGAGGAACGTATCGCACCTGATGGTGGATGGGATTGGTAAGCTGAGAATACACTTGACTCCAAGTCCTAGTCGCTGACAATATACAGGGAGCATGGCAAAGAAGAAGTCTCCGAGTTCACAATCAACAAGGTAGAATGCTACTACCTGATGAACGAATATCTTAGCAAGCTCAAGAACACCAATATAAAGACCGTTGAAGACGTCGTACGCTTCAACGATGAGAACCCCGGATCTCAAGGAGCCAATCCGGGTGACCACCCAGCATTTCCTTCCGGCCAGGTAATACGCTCCAACCCTTCAGCGACTCCGTTGTTACTTCTTCTAACAACGATACTAGGACAATTTCCGCGAAGTGGTGGAAGCAAAAGGCATCAAGTCTCCAGCCTACTACTCGGCCCTCGCACACATGCAGAAACAGTGCCGTGAGAATGGTATCGACGCCGCATTGCACCCAACCGTAAACGGCAAGCGACAATCTCTCGACGCACTCCTCTTCTGCGACGTCCGCGGTGCAGGCCAACAAATCGCCGCTCAAGCTTGTATGCCGCTTCCGACCTTCTCCCTCCTAGATTTTGAGCTAACATATCACAGCCTACCCAGTCATGACCATTCCCATCGGCCTTGATCCCGACGGCATGCCCATTGGTCTAAACATCCAACACACAGCATGGAAGGAAGCAACGCTCATGCGCTGGGCATCCGCGATCGAGGACTTACTGCACGCAAAGGTCGGACCCAGAAACCCACCTCGCTACCAAGACCATTTGGCAAAGAACATCCCGGTGGAGAATGAATATAGATACCCTGGTGCGCCGCCGAGATTTGGAGATAGACCTCCGCCATCATGATTGGGATATTTCATGGAGTATCGTGGTATGCAAGCTGTTGGAGGTGGTTGAGGTCGTACTGCCGTCCCAATACCAGCGCTGAGCATGTAGGATAGAACCACGGCTACAGAGAACCAATCTACACTCATACACAACTGACTGCAGGGGCGTTAGTCGCTCCAATAGGATTACTAGCAACAGGAAGAACACTAATCCCAATTCGCCCATCGACACCTCCTGCAAGCGTTATTAACGAGTTTCGCCACAACCACCCAAGTCTTAAGAAAGGTGACTAGTTCTAGATCGTGTCCAAACATATGAACAACATGGTCAAGATTAGGTTTACCGAAGAAGAAGGAGAAGAAGGATAGGTGCCATGGCAGGATGTCGACGCTAACGATGTAACATCTCTTCGAAGAGCCTCTAAAGGGACGTCGTAGCGTAGACCATATTCCAACTAGTAGAGGAGATCTGCCAATACTTCAAGGATGACCAGAACGCATATTGCTCGATTTTCGACACGCCAGAGAAGAGACTGCTTATGGCTTAAAAGATCTACAACTACATGAAGAGAATTAAGGTGCTACCCGAATATGTCGACGACAAAGATATAGACCTTACTAATCAGCATCTTTTACGAATCCTAACTTCTACATCTCGGACATTACTAATGTCTCGAACCTGATTGTCGATTATCTAATTATATATTCTGATGATCCCAATACTCGAGACTCTACTTGGTAGTACCAGCAGGTACTCGAGTAGGTCTACTCATACACAACTGACTGCAGGGCGCTGGTCGCTCCAATAGGATGTCAACATGTGACGCCAAGCCACCATGTACACCTATAAGGTGTGTTGAATCATTGCTTAGCACAGGGTTGCTTAACAAGAGTAGCGACTGGATGTAAGGGAAAATGCTATTCGCAAGATTAGACATTTTACTGACCGTCGATACCCATGGGGCTCGGGAGGGTGGGACACCGTTTACAACAACAGAGTATGACAGCTGCACATGGTCAGTGGCAATTGAAAAGTCACACACGACTCTTATGATCAGGAAATACAGATACTTGTTTATCATGTTGAAACTGCATTTCATGTTCTGACATCCGTCAAGTCTGTTCAACCACGTCTTCCTTCTCAATCCCTCTCCATTGCAAAATCAAGATCTTGTACTTCTTACAGAGCTCTGTGTGGGTGGCGGTGGAAGTGAGAAGTCGAGGAGGGTATCTGGCAGAAGATCCCTGAGCCTTGTGTGATTTCCGTCATGTTCCGACACACTGTCGTCCTCGAATTCTGGTTCTTGATCTTGTTCACGGCGTCGTTGTGGTACGAAGTCCAGATCCATGTCATCGTCGCCATCATCGTAATTAGGTAGCTGTGGTTGTTCCTCATCTATATCGTCCTCGGCATCATCATCAGAGTCGTACATCGCGAGGAACTTCCTTAGATGTTTTGCTTCTGGAGAAGGTGATGATGTGGATGGTGGTTGAGGTGGCGGGCTACTGCTCACATACGCGGTCATTTTGCCGAACTTATGGAGAGAATGGAACAGCTGTGTGCCACCGACTGTGCTGGCTTGCGAGGGTGGTAGTGGGAGGATGATGGGAAGAGGTGGGGACGAACGTCGTTCGGCGTTGTTCAGTCGTTCTTCCGCTTCGGCTCGAAGACGTGCATCGTTCTCGACAACAAGTGGTGGCGAAGACGGATACTTTCCGCTACTGACACTCTTGCTAGTCGGAGAGGATTGAATCTGTATAACTTCCCTCACGGAGGTCTTAGGCAGTATGATGTCGCCAGTCAGATCCAATTCCTCGATATCGTCAGACTCATATGGTCTGCGAGGAGGCTGAGGCGAGGAATGTGGTGACTGCGTCGGTGAATCATCTTCCTCCGCTGGGGTTTCGTGTTGCGAGGCTGGAACAGGCAAGTCATCGCCGAGCTCTTGTGACTGCACCGTGCTGGGGACAGGTTCTTCGTTCCGTTCAATCCGTGCTTCTTCAGCTTGTTGTTCCGCTTGATCTTCTTCAGCTTGAGAGAAGCTTTGCGCTTTATGAAAGGCATCGTAGCCGGCCTGATCTCGTAAGCGTTGGGTCTGTAAGAAGCGAGCAGCATCGCGGTCCAGAGCGCTGCAGACAGGGTCTATGTTATAGCTGTAATCGTTCTCTGCATAGTATGTTCCTCCATATTGCGTATAGGTGTCAACAGGATACTGTGTCTCGGTGACGGGATCGATCTCTTCGCCGAACATGTCCATCTGGGTATCAGGTATTTGACTGCGGAACTTTGCCTTTTTGAAGGGGGTGACTTGGGTGGCTGTATCTTCAGAGTCCGGTATGGTACTACGGTGCTGAAGGGCTGGAGGCTTGTCAGGTACGAGGAAGGTGGCTCGTCGCTTGACAGGTGATAGGCGGAAGGGGGAGATGGGTTTGACAGGACTTTCGGGAACAGGGCTCATGCGCGTGTCCTCGGGAGAGTGATGTTGCGACCATGCATTAATACTCTTGGAACGCAGAGGCGAACGGTCGGGTGAGCGCATCGTCTTAGCTGAGCAGATGGATATGATGGCACTCTGTGGAGTGTTGGATGAGGGAATCTCAGACATGAATCTTCTTTTGGGCGTCCTCAAGTGCATGACGGGTACTGATAATTCTGGGCTTGGCCGCAGTCGTGCCTGCTGTTTTGGGAAGGCTGAGTCTACTCTCTCGTCGCCTAGCTCTGAGCTCGTGTGTGTCCTCTGGCTGTGTCCCTTTTGTTGGGTGTCATCGTCGTCCACCTCTGCATCGTTTTCTTCGACGGCGTTCACGTCCTCGTCATCCTGATCTATATCCTGAATGCAATCAAGTGCTGGTTGTGATTGTGAATCTCGAACGCCGTCGAAAGAGTCGGGTCGTGCGAATTGCACTAGCAGATCGGCCGGCCCGTCATAGCGCTCTCCAATGAACGAAGATGGGACGAACTGTGTCATGGTTGTCTGTTTTTTGCCATCGCTATTGCCCTCACTCTTGCGTTTCTTCCTTTTCGGTCTTGATCTTTCCAGCTCATCCTCTTCGTATGCTCCGTCCTCGTCCTCGTGGTCGTCCTCAATGTCCTCTTCAGAGACAGGCGAAGTGCGGGATACAGGCCAGTGCGGTTGTTGTGTCAAGGTGGACTGCTGGCGTAGTGGAGCTGGAGTACTGACACCAGATGATCGTACACTGCGTCGTCGGTTTGGAAACTTCTTCTGTCGTAACGGAGTCTCGGAGCGGTAGATGGTGTCGGAGTCCACTCTTACTTGCTTTGGTGGCATACTCGGCTATTTCGACATTCGTGAGGTGTTGTGCTTTGTGATCGAGATGCCGTGAAGAATACTCTTGATTTGGTTGTCAAAGAGTTGCTTTACTCGGAATTGCCTTGGACGATTGCCTTGAATGACTGATCGCACGCGCCTGGAGAGACGCGCCGAGACCGTGCACGCGTTCTTTCCCGAAGTCTGGACTCTACGTCACATGCCATGAACAATAATTAATTGGTACGAGGACAAAGAATAATTTCAAATGGGTATATAGCGCCTGTAATGCAATCGTAACTCGTTGGTCGTGCTTCAGTCAGAATCGTAAGCGACCAGAGAAAGTGCTCGTGCTGATTGCGACTTCTCCGACTTTGGCACCTTCTCTGGCTCGTCTTTCTGATCTGTGGTGTTACTGGGTGCCTTTCTCTTGATGCCAGCAATCGCACGAAAAGTTGTAGCATCCAGGCTGCCAAACGTCAAGAAAGGGTCAGCAGCTGCACGCGAGTTGTCGCGTATCTCTTGCTGGAATGCTTTCTTTCGACGCTCGATCTCTGCAGCCGCCTTTGTCTTGTGGGTAGGTTTGGACTTGGCTGGAGCTACTTCTGCTTGGGTATCTTGATGGAAGAGAGGTCTTGATGTGGCCTTCAATGCACTGTCATCGATACGGTCGTCTGGGAGGCCTCCGAACTCGATTAACGTAGCGTGTCTTCTGTCATCGTCGTTCTCAGGCATCAGCTCAACATCCAGTCCCATCTTCTCCCTGAGCTTCTCCGAGTAATCGTGATCTTTTTCTCTGACTTTGCGCTCGGCTCTGAACGTTCTTCTCAAGCGCTTGTTCGCTTCGTATGGATCATCCCAATGTTGATCCCGTACTTCCTGTAGCTCAACAATACGCTTGCCATGCTCTTTCTCTTGAGCTTTGTCTTGCTTCTTGTCCTCGAGAACCGCAAACGCATCTTGCCTCCTGCGCTCCCTCTCCTCGGCGGATAGAATGGGCACGCCTTCTTCCCCTTCTCGTACGCGATCTTCGCCTGTGTCTCTGGCTTTGCCGCCTTCTGTGACCACATATGCTGTATTTTTAGGATCCGTGTGTATCTCGATCCAGCCTCCACAAGCAGAGTGCTTCATGCGAAACGACCAGATGGGCGTGCTAAAATAGTTGCCGACCTTCTTTTTCTCGGCATTAAATCGCACGCCTTGCCCTATGATTGTTGGTTTAGGACAGTGGTTACACCAGACTGCGTAGGGCATTTCGAAGCGCACGGTGAGGATGCCTTCTTTGATCTTGTTGGCCCTTTTGCCCAGAGCATGTTTGCCGACGGCCTTATTGGCTGACATGGTGCCCTCGAGCTCGGGAGGGACGTAGCGTCCCATATTGAACCCCTGCATGATGGAGGCCTGGGAGAAGCCAATGTGCTCCTAGATGATGTGCTCCGGTATCCTTGGATTGTTGATGACTTCTCAGATTGTTCGAGGATGCGGAACTGGAGATATGGTTGGCATTGCCGAGGAAAGGCCGTGGCGTAGCGACGATTATCCGGCGTTGGTGATGGTGTGGGCGTGGATTGATGTGCTCTTCTTCTTTGACCACAATCCCAAAGGCAAATTCATCAACACTATCGTGAAACCGGGTACAGAGCTCGATCGAGAGCCGGCAATCAATTACAAATGCATAGAGTTACCCATCCAGCAGCGAGTTGAACCAGATGACGCTCACCAAGTACACGCTCTAGGTAATCGACCGAGTACTGGGATTGTTATGAAGGTAAGCTCGTTAATGTTTGGCATGGTAAGAAAGTGAAGACTTCAAATTGGTTCCTAGGATGGTGTAGCCCTCTTGGCTTGTCACGTCCTGGTGCCACAAACCCACCAAATTGTTCTCTTTGCAACCATGTTCTGGCCCAATTCATGGTCCCATTTCTCGCATAGCGTTCTCCTGCATTATACCTCCCATCTTACAAAAGAACCACTTTCCAGCCTAGAGCTGTATCAACAATGACGCGTAGACATCCCGTCAACAACCCTGATGCGGCCGAGGCCTCTAGACAGAGTTGGGAGCGCTTTACTTGGCTGTCAGTCAGCAAGGAGTGCCGCAAGCGCGGCTACTACCCTGACACCGACGCCTACGATTGAAAGGGTCTTCTGAGGGAGTCGGAATACCCTGCCTTGTACCGAACAGTGGTTAGTGTTGAACATACCCTTTGTTACTACCTTGTCATTACCTTGATCCTGATGAGACATAGCACGCCTACTACGGCCAGCATCCCGCCCACTACGGTGCCATAGACGCAATGTAGGCACGCCTTATTTAGTTTGTATATGGCAGTACACTAAGCTGTATACAGGCCCGTCTTGAGACTCAAGTACGGTGTGGTTACCATTCAGTGGGCCACCGTTAAGCAGCACAAACGCCGACAGCTCGTAGGCCACCTCATCAGATACTCCTCTCCCTATGTGTATACTGACAATAGTAGGACCTAGTATCGATGCTTATGAACGACCAACAACGTCACGTTTAACGACAAAGACGGTTATACCACCGCAATAGATGGGCCTTAGAGGAATGATAGCCATGAATCAAGACATGTTCAGAACCATGTAGTTGTCCAGTGAGAGAGCATGTTGAAGAGACTCTCAATGGACAGGCGTTGTGACCCGAATGTCTTCCTGCATTTCAATGTTGATCTTTGAGGGTTGGTAGGAAGATGAGATCGTAAACCAAGTCTTGTACATCCGGCAGACCCTCTCAGTTCTCGCAGCAGCACCTGTGCCGGTTGTTTAGGCGCATCAGAATGCACAATTTATTTCGAAACTATGAGAACATCCAATGGGAGTCAAGTTGAGGAAACTCTCACCGAACAAGCATGATGATTCGAATATTATCTTGCATTTTGATATGTGTAATTGCTTGAGGGCGGTGGGAAGATGAGATGATTGAGATTTGCAGACAGGGGGTTAAATCACGTACACACACCAGGCATGGCATGGCATAGCTTTGGTTGTTCTATCGGATTGCAGAGATCGTTTCATATCCCGGGAACGTCCACTGGGAGTCTGGCCTCACGTTGTCTTTCAGTGGGCAGGTTACTATGTCCGACTTGATTCGTGCATTTTGACGGTGATAAAATGCAACAACATTGGGTGCTGAGAACACGCTGTCATCCTCAAGAAACATGAGCCTCCTCATCACTTTACCTGGATCTTCGTTAGCAGTCTCAGCTCATGCTATGTTGACATATCTCCATCGAAATGCACGAGATAATTCCGGGCAACAAATTTGTCCATTGAGAGTACCCTTAATCCATCACACTATACATTAGGGCATCATGCTTGAGTGTTGTGACTTCTCCGCCCCTTCAGCCTTCTGTTCCTGGTGGCTTTTCAGGCCTTGATAGCCGGGTATTCGGGCTCAACGAGCCCTGCCTATGGTTTCTGAGGATAAATTGACATGCGGGAGCGGTCCACGTCGTTCCTGTGTTCGAAAAGGCGATCCGGCCCCGGATCTGCTTGTTGATCAGTGTGCTTTACGACAGCTCCCCCAAGCGTTATCGCACATGCAACTCGACGCCGGTAGCCGCTGGATTGACATGAGCTGTCACTGAAGTATGGACGTCTGGGCAGCACTTGTCATCCGTTGAGAATTGCCGAAGAGGGTGAAGGATGGCCGTTGCCAGGTGTTGCAATCGGGCTGTACGACGTGGGTCTGTCGCATGCTGAAATCATCCCAGAGCGATCCTTCTGTGTAGCAGATCTTCTTCAGAGCCTGAGCTGCAGGTTCGCGCTTGAGTGATCATTTTCAGAATTGATCAAGTGGTCATATTCCACAACGTCTGCATGCGATGCGAAAAGGAAGTCATCCACTGGGGTGCCTATGGTGTGATGGGTACTGACGACACAGGGGGTTGTGGAGGTTGGTGGTTCTCTCAGGCTACGGAAGAGCATGCATAGATGTTTATGGAATTTTGAGGGGGCATCAGTTGCTTTGCCGAATCGACTGAGCACTGGACTCGATTGTTTCAAGAGATCAACGGTCGATGCCCATTCTCTTTTAGATTGCAGAATGGATGTAACACACTGCCCACTGCCCCGGTTTTCTATGCGACTGAATCGTGATGGGGTTTGACTAGCTTGCACCGCGGGCCACCATCCGATGGAGAATTGCCAAAGTCTAACCAAGGTCAATTCTGCATGGAAGGGATGAAGTCGGTTGCTGGAGTTGGGAGGATTTTGACGAAAGCTGCCGTGTCGTTTTTGGCAGTGCGGGCATCGAATACGGAGATGGCTTGCGCCGCCTGCGTAAGGACCGAGTATGGAGCACAAAGCAGAACTCGATGCCGCACGCTGCTCGGCTAACTATTAAAGCGTGTAGCAAGGCAAGAGTATATCGACATGAATCGCAGCTTCACGAGAGGGGCTTTCTCCGGACAATTGAAGAGCATCTTTTTTTGACACTCACCCTCTGACCTAGGACAGGTTTGGGGCCGGCCGCCTGACTATGCATACTGCAAGCCGATGCATGTTTCCTGTAACGCAGAACCAACACACACCGAAGGCTGTAAGGAGGCTTGCAGGGAGGCACATGCCAAAATATCGGAGTCGAGCGGCGTCTGCAGACTACTCTTTCCACCCGAGACAAGCCAATCTATCTTCAACAGGAATCTTGATGGTTGATAAAAACACAGGCAACGGGGTCCGGCAAGAAATTAGAAGACTGGAACACGCGTCTGTGGATGCTGCTCGGGAGGGGCCGCAGACAGTGGTTTCAACTTCCAAAGGGCCCTTTTAACTTAGTAACCATTAATAAGTAGATGCTTAATGGAACAAACTCTGCTGTACATAGTGTTTGTGCTCTGATTGAATAGAGAGCAACACAGTAGGAAGAAAGTGATAAAAACGGTGGAATTCAGAAGATAGGCTTCAGGTGTGGTTGCAAAGGTCAGTAAGAACCGGGGTCTAGCTGCCACGCCGTCAAACGCTTGTTACGCGGCAAGAAAACGTGGCCTCGGTGGACATGCATCAAGCATGAACGTTGGTCTGGTGGTGATGGTGGTGGATGTGATGCAAAGTACTCTGGACGCAGGTAATAGCCATCAGCCCAGTGGATAGAGCATGTGGCGGAAACAGCGTTTCACACAGATTGGCGCGACACATGCGCTGGGGAAAGGCGAGGAGATGGTGAGGAACAGGAAATTGGACAGCTCCGATAGAGCGAAAGCATCGTGCATCGGTTGAAAGTTGGACGGTGGCCGCCAAGGCGATTGGGGAGTTTGGGGCCGCAAAGGCAGAGGGTGGAAAAGAGCAAGTGGAGATGGAGGACAGCAAGGACAAAGAAGGGCCCATGATCGTTGGCGGCCGTTATGAGAGCGAAAACAAGCGAATTGAAGGGATTTGAGAGTTGTCGGATGTGATTGGGCTCTGCCGTCACGCCTGCCTTCTCATTGTTAAAGTTGTATATTGCCAGACCAGTTTCCGTAGCTGCACGCAGTCTCCCCTGCTTTCGCGTGTCACTTGTCGCCGGCCGCGATTCATTAACTATTCCTTGCATCTCGACGGCTGTACAAATCACGACCGGCTGTACCCGCAGCAGTGTCCTGTATCCGACCCTTGTCGCCGCGTGCTGTCAGGACTCAGTGTCGAGAAGCGTCTTGTTTCGGGCATCCTCCACCACCCACGTTCGCTTGCCCACCCATCTTTGTCCGCAGTCCCGCTCCCTCCTCCTTTCATGGCCGACTCCTCCGCACAACCTCAGCAACTCCTGAGGAAGCATTCGCTGCAGTATTCGTCGTCGTCGCTTGGCCACCAATCATCCCAAGGCCCGCCCAAGCTACGCAGAAGCGCCTCGGCTGCCGTCCGCTCCCAGTACAACACGTCGTCGCACACGACCAATCAATCTCGCCGGCCGACCCATCCCAATCTTGCGCGCGACACCTCCGAGCCCGAGTTGCGCTCCCACAACGGCCTCTCCTACAATCACCTCGCAAATCTCGCAGAGCACGCTGCCGACGAAAACCCCCAGCTGCGTGTCGTACCGCCGGACGGTGCAGCTCGTCCGGACTCCATCTCGCTCTTCAGCGCCGCCTCGCACTCGATTTCTCCCTCTCCCATCGGCTTATCTGCACCCCACTCTGCAAACGCCCAAGCCATCCCTACCCAGCCCAAACGCCCCTCGATTTCCCTCAGGTCGCAGACCGCTGGCTCACGCTTCAACTCATTGCGACACTCAACCAGCTTCCGACTCACTCGCAACAACTCGTCCGCCGGTCCTATGGACAGCCTGTCACCCCGTCCCGAGAGTTCGAAACGCCTTAGTGACGAGCTGAAGGCCAAGAAGAAGAGTACTTTCAGCATATCTAGCTTGTTCAAGTCTCCCGGCCGACCCACCATCTCCGCTCCTGAGAACCCTGTCCACATCACCCATGTCGGCGTCGACAACCGCACCGGTGAATTCACTGTAAGTTCCTCAGACGCCCCAGTCACAACATGGGCTAATTCACTAATTCTTTCAGGGTCTCCCTCGTGAATGGCAAAGCATTCTGGCCAGCGCTGGTATTTCCGAGCAGGAGCAAAAACGTGACCCAAAGGCAATTGTCGACATCGTTACCTTCTACAAGGAGAACGCGGAGAAGAACCCTGAAGATGGCATCTGGCAGAAGTTTGGACAGGCTCATGCGCGCGACACACCTCAGCACATGTCACCCCCGAGCGGCCTTACATCGCCAATAGTCACACCTGGCTCAGGCTTCAACTCACTTGTCAGCCCCCCTCAAAGTCCTCGCTTCCCACCCAACAACGAGGATAGCTTCGAGAACCCGAGAGCTGCTCCTCCTGTCCCGCGTAATGTCGGTCTCGGTCTTGGTCCTATGTCTCCTACTATGCCCAGTGGAAACACCATTCCTCTGCGTGCAGCTCCACGTCCTCCTGGTGCAACTCCTCTCAACACCGGTATGGCTCCTGCTCGCGCTGCCCCCGCTGTTCCTGGTACAACCTCACCTCAGCAGCAGAAGCCCCAGGAGGAATATCCTGCTGTTCAATATGCTCCTCCGACTATCAACGAAGTTTCACAGCCTCCGACTTCCCGCTCAAGATCAAATACCGCGACACAGGCGCAACAGTACCAGCCTCAAGTTGGTACCGCATCACCTTACGCGTATCAGCAACAGCAGCAACAGGCTATGGCTGCCGCTCAGGCAGCGCTCCACCAGACATCTCTTGAACGCAAGCAGAGCCAGCGTACTCCTCAAACAAACCAGCATGTCCAAATCCCGAATCCTCAAGCTGTTCCTATGCCCAGCCAAGAAGCTCGTGTTGGTCCTGTCCCTCGCCCAAGGCAACGCCCTCAGCGCCAAAGTCAACAGCAGAATGGCGAAATTATTGCAAAGCTCAACGCAATCTGTACACCTGCGGATCCTACAAAGAAATATCGCAACCTCAACAAGATTGGCCAAGGTGCTTCTGGTGGTGTCTTCACTGCCTATGAAGTTGGTACAAACAAGTGTGTCGCTATCAAGCAGATGAACCTGGAACAACAACCTAAGAAGGATTTGATCATCAACGAGATTCTGGTCATGAAGGACAGCAAGCACAAGAACATTGTCAACTTCATGGACAGCTACTTGGTCAAGGGCGACTTGTGGGTAGTAATGGAGTACATGGAGGGTGGTAGTCTGACAGATGTGGTTACCTTCAACATGATGTCTGAGCCCCAAATTGCAGCCGTGTGTCGCGAGGTATGTTGTAATCATTTGAGTTTTTCGAGTGTGATCACTGACAATTATCCAGACTCTGCACGGTCTTCAATTTCTCCACTCAAAGGGAGTCATTCATCGCGATATCAAATCAGATAACATCCTGTTATCGCTCGAAGGAAATATCAAGCTGAGTATGTGGTACTGATACACGATGGAGAAGCAATGACTAACCACATGCAGCCGACTTTGGTTTCTGTGCACAAATCAACGAGTCTCAACACAAGCGTACTACCATGGTCGGCACGCCGTATTGGATGGCGCCCGAGGTCGTGACACGAAAGGAGTACGGCCGCAAGATTGATATCTGGTCACTCGGAATCATGGCCATTGAAATGATCGAGGGCGAGCCACCATACCTCAACGAATCACCTCTGAGAGCTTTGTATCTGATTGCGACTAATGGTACGCCTCAAATCAAGGCTGAGGAGGAACTGACACCCATTTTCCGCGACTTCCTTGCCTTTGCACTCAAGGTTGATCCCGACAAGCGAGCTAGCGCACACGACTTGCTCATGGTAAGCTTTGCCGACGCGTAGCAATAGCTATAGAATATTCACTAACATGATTTTCAGCATCAATTCATCCAAACGGCAGAGCCGCTGGCAACGCTTTCACCTCTCGTACGATCGGCCCGCCAGGCAAGGGCTGAGGAACGAAAGAACAAGGGCATCTGATCGACATCGCACATTATCTGAACTGCACGACGGTTCGAGCATTTCTGAGCATTTAAATAACGGGCGATTTTCTTTTTCTCTTCTATGAGGTACGACATGGCCATCACTGAGATGTAGATGTATCTCTTCTGACATGAGGCTCTGGAAAGTCTGGGCCATACCTGAGTCCAGGCTCAGAGGCTAGGTAGTGTCAAGGTATGGCCGATGAAGAATTCTTTTCCTTTTCTGGTGGGTGTCAAGCACCTATGATCTGGTGTGTTGACTTTCACACCGGTAGCATTACAGGGCGAGAGTAAATGGGGAGAGCAATGGGCGTTTACAGGCGAATGATTGCTTTCGAAGACATCACATGGATGTGTCGCTATATCAAAGAAATCCTACCACAGGAAAATATAGCTGAGTTTCATTGCACATTTCAACAACAATGCCGTCCAGTCCATGTGTTGTTGAGGCGAGACCTTGGCCACTCTGTGAGATGTCCAAACTTGGGTTGTGTAGGTACTGTACTCATGACATGAATTTGAAGAGCTCTCGAGATCCTCGAAACCGCTTTGATTAAACACTCTCACGGCAGACAACTTGGTCGAGGGGGAGGCAGTGCGATCTGATAGTGGCAGTGAACAAAATATTGCGTGGCCTTCAGGCAGATATGCTTGTCAATGCTTGGTGGTGGCGGCGAGTTTATGAGGCAGACAGCTCGGCAATGACGTGCGGTTGGACTCCGGGGTGTTCACATGCCCTCGTTGCGGAGAGCGACCTAACAACTCGACTAGACATCTTTGTGCTCAGGCAGCAACATAGGAATTTTGTTTCCAGCAAGTGAGAAAGACAACTGCTCTAGATCAACCCCTGCGAATAAACAGAGCCGGCATGTTTCGCGCTCAGGCAAACACATTCGACGAGGTCGTCAGTGAGTGGCTGCTCCCGTACAACGACGTAGCTATGTATCGACACAGTGGACTAATAGTGCAATCACAGCCAAGGCGACGGACGAGAACTTGACATCGGAGAACTGGGCTCTCATCCTCGATGTATGCGATCGCGTGTCGACATCGCCCACCGGGCCCCAGTCTGTCACGGCTGCCTTGATCAAGCGCCTCGCCCACCGCAACGCCAACGTCCAGCTGTATACCCTCGAGCTCGCCAATGCTCTGTCGCAAAACTGCGGTGCACCCATTCACCGAGAGCTATCCTCCCGTTCCTTCACCGAAGCCCTTCTTCGTCTGGCCGCCGATCGCAATACACACCAGCAAGTCAAGAGCAAGATCCTCGAGCGCATGCAAGAATGGAAAGACATGTTCAAGGGAGACGCCGATCTGGGTATCATGGAGCAAGCCTACGACAAGCTGCGCTCTTCAAATCCCGGTCTTGCTCCTCCAAGCAAGCCCGTCAAGCGACAAATCGAGGACACAGACCGTCGCAAGGAAGAGGAAGAGCTGCAAATGGCACTTGCCTTGAGTCTGAAGGACAAGGGCTCTCAACCTGAACCTGAGGCTTCCTCGGCAACTTCTCCTCAGCCTCAAGCTGATGCCCAACAAGGCACGACAGCCGCCACTGTCAGCCGAGTCAAGGCTCTCTACGACTTCATTCCTTCTGAGCCTGGTGAGCTGGCCTTTAAGAAGGGCGATGTCATTGCCGTGATTGAATCGGTATACAAGGACTGGTGGAAAGGATCTTTGCGTGGACAGACTGGTATCTTCCCGCTGAACTACGTTGAAAAGCTGCAAGATCCTACGAGAGAGGAGCTTGAAAGAGATGCTCAGACCGAGGCCGATGTCTTCTCACAAATCAGGAATGTCGAGAAGTTGTTGGCTCTGCTCAGTGTCAAGGGAGAGAACTCGCGGGACACAGGCAGCGAAGACGAGATCACTGATCTGTACAACCAGACCTTGTCAATCCGACCCAAGTTAATTGAGCTCATTGGAAAGTACTCGCAGAAGAAGGGTGAGTTGCTTGAACATGCGAGAGCGAGAACTTGATACTGACGCTCGACAGATGAGTTCACGCAGCTGAATGAGAAGTTCATCAAGGCTCGTCGTGATTACGAAGCCCTTTTGGAATCATCCATGTCACAACCACAATACGCCGCCCCTGCCAGACAACATTCTGGGGGCTACTACAACCCCTATCCTCCAATGCAATCTGGCTACCCTCCACAGGGCCCTCCCCCTGACCAGCGCTTCTACAACCAACCACCACCCTCCGAGGCACCTCAAAACGCTTACTCCTATCCTCCCCCAATGAGCAACCCATCGGCCACTCCAGCACCGGCCCCCTTCCACTTTCTTCCCAATGGTGCTCCACCACCGGAAGCTCGTCAAAGCCCTAAGCCCATGGGTCCCGGTCCAAGCGCTCCTCCAGGAGATGGTGCATACAACCCGAACATGCATCCCTACAACAACCGCCCTCAAAGTATTCACACTCTAAACTCGGGAAACCCGCAAGAGCTCAGCACGAGTGCGTACGAAAGCCCGACTGATGGTCGCAACAATGTTTATGGTGCAGGTGCCCCGGTACCAGCACCCCTGAACTACACTTCTACACCGCAGCCTCAACAACCAACAAACGCACCCCCTGCTCCTCCACAGCAACAGCAGATGCCGATCAGACAACGTACTTCGAGCTTTGAAAGTCCGACTTCCGCATACTCGGCTCAAGCACCTCAGGATACAGCAACCACCTCATACCCTGCACAATACCCGCCCCAGCAGCATGGCAACCAGTCTTATACCAGTCTGGGAGGTGGCCAACCTTCTGCACCGCCTACATCGGCACCAGCTTATCAGGCATACAACCCTCAGGGTGCACCACCACAGGGACAGCAACAGCCACCTCAGCAGCAGTACGCACCACCAGCTGGAGGTGACGATGCTAGCGACTACTACCGCTAGACGCGGGAGGAAGCGCAAACGCAGTTACATGCTCGCAGTCGTCGTCGCAAAGTGATGTTTAGGGAGTAGCCACTGTTATCTCCATGCGAAATTCCTTGACCTTTATGTACTCAGCAGACCTTATATCCAAAGTATATCCTCCTTCACCATGTGTACTCGTATGTTATCTCACTGTTTGGTCTACTGGACTCCCAAAATTTGATCGTGAAAACGGATTCAAAATATGTAAATTGTCAACCCAATTGCCAAAAATATAGCTCCTTGTTTACTGAAGAATAGGCACAGTCGTTTAGGAAGTAGAACGCCTTTCTGTGTCGCTATGGTTGGAGAATTCAAAACTCCCCCTGCTCTTTGAGCTTGCATCTGCGCAAGGCTCGCAATCTCTCATGGTCAATTGCTCTCTTTCTGCCCGGGATCAAGAGAGTACTCGGGGTATCTTTCTCAATGCTCTCTCAAGTACCCAGGCCTTTCGCTTTCACTTTTTCTGCTCTCTGTCGTCCAGTAATTCCTTTCCCTTCCACTCTACTCATAACCAATCAAGGCGACAAGACAAGAGCAAACATTTACTGCTTGTCAGCACCGTTGGCCTGAAGGTAAGAGTAGGCAAAGTAAGCCAAAGCACCACCGACGAGGAGGATGGCGTAAAGACCGGCACCCAGACCGGCGGCATCGGGACCGCTTGTCTTGGTGGAAGTGGGCTGGGCGGAGGACTTGGGTGCAGGGTCGCCGGGCTGGCGCTTGACGGTGCCGACGAGGAGGCCCTCGAGGATTTCGCGGGCTTCGTCGCTGTGGCCGACGTCTTCGAAGGCTTCGGTGGCGTCTTGGCCGCCGACGTCGAGCATTACTTCTTCACCACCGCTGTTGTGAGAGGCTGGTTAGCGTGGTGTTTTCCTTGCTTTCTTTGTCTTGAGAGAGGGGGTGGTGTAGTGGGTGTGGGATTCCTTTTTCTTGTGGTACTCTGTGCAAGAGTGGGGTTTTGGGTGGGGTTTGGTAGGGAGTTGGGAGGATTGGGCGCTTCGTTGGAGAAGCTCAATGGGAGAGGTATGGAGGAAACGTACGGGTGCTCATCGACGAAGCTTGTGCAGTTGTAGACCTTGTCGTGAACGACCATGAAGAGGTCCTGAGATGCGTTAGCCGAGGGTGTCTTTGGACAAGTTGGTTGTGCGTTTGTTGAGTATGTTGGCAGCGCGCACACGTTCCACTTCTCCCATACATTTGCTCCTTCTCTTTCATGCGACTGCCAACTTCCTCGTGGATCTGCTCACCTTCTTGGTGTTGTGCTCGGAAATGTCCGAGTAGGTGAATTCTTGAGACATGGCGGCGGTTATATGTGGTGTGTGTTTATGGGGTCGACAAGGACGAGAGACCGAAGTGTATCAGAGTGAGAGCGAATGTGAGCGAGTCGGGAAAGGTGACAAGGGTCGTGGTATAGAGGAGCAGAGCAGGGACGAAGAAGTTGACAGTTTCTCTCAGACTCAGCAGATAATCGGCGCGGGCTATCAACTGATTTCCCCGGCTGCTTCGCTGCCACTGGTCCCCTTTGAAAATGCGCGCCTTCTGATTTGTTGAACGAAGCCCAGCCAAATCCCAGCCCTCTTCCCCCACATCGCGTCCCTTCTCCTTGTTCGGGCAAGTTCCAATCTGGAAACACTTTCCGCTGCGGCTTCCTTTCCACCCGTTCCGCTCTGAAGATTCTCAGACCATCTTGAGTTCCGCTCTCTTGTTCAAACTGATCATCCTTGACTTCCATCGGCATCCGATTGTCACAAAACATCAAGTCCTGTCGCCATGAGGGGTCACCGCCATATGCCCGAGGTTAATCTCCGCGACAGCCTCCTGTCTCGAAGCCTCTAATTTTGATTATCTTGTTCTCGGTCTCTTTGAACACGCAATATCCCGGCCACACCCCCCCAAGCTCGATTGTCGCGATATGTGCAGTCGGCAAGGCGAGGAGAATATTGACATGGAATACATACAGTATCTGGCCGGTTAACACAACGCATTGTTTTCACGTTTCGGTGTCATGCGTAAGTCCCCATAAACAACGAAGCGTGATCATTGAGGGACCTCATCTTGATCCACCCCATCTGAGCTCTCAGCGCGAGTTCGCAATCCAAGTTCAGAATCGTGCGTGACAACAGCTGACAACGGTAACCATTCACTCGACGCGGAGACAATGCCAGAACAGATGTGACATGTATCCGGACTACGAGTGACAGATTTGCCATCACACCTCCCCATGTGCAAAAGTTGAGTAGGAGGACTTCGTCCACAGAGAGCGACTGTTTGACGCCCTCCCTCTCCTTGGACCTAGCTCTACTTTCGAAAAACATCGTGCATTTTAAAAGCAGTATCGGTGACAAACTTGAGCACACGGAAGGCAGTTATCTGAGCAGACAAGGGGAGAACACTCTCCTGCAATAGGTAGGCACTTTTAGTAAGACCACAAGTGAACCTGATTTTCCAGTTTGATTCGATTCTCTTGTGTTCTATGTGAACGAACGCGCGAGGTCTTATAGGCTGGAGCTTGCAACTCGTCTCACTTTTGCTCTTGTTTGTCGTTCTTCATTCACCTTACTTCTATCGCGCGCTCTGCAAGGCACGCATCCAACATAGTTACCCCATCACATCAATTCAGAAGTCTGTGTGGTCTAGACTTTCAACACAACTGCCAACATGGAGAAACTTCAAACTGACGACATGCGCAACATGCTTGATGCCGTCGACGATCTTCGCTCAGTGGGCATCAACGATATCATTCCACTGCCTCAGATCGTCGTGTGCGGTGATCAATCATCCGGCAAGAGCTCACTCTTGGAAGCCTTGACAGGCATACCATTTCCTCGCGATGCTGGTAAGTTGTTCAGTCCGGTGGGCTCTCCTTGGATATTTGCTCGGTCCCCAACCCCTTTCTGCATTGCAGCAAGTGAAAGGCCTCTATGGCTTCAGAATCACAGAAGGCTGACGGTTTTGCTTCCTTACAGGCCTCTGCACTCGCTTCGCTACCCAGTTCGTCCTTCGTCACGCCAAGAAGGTTTCCATCTCCGTCAGCATCATACCTGGTACGAATCGCACCTCTGAAGAAGATCGCAAGCGCTTGGAGGACTTTGGCCAGGGAAAGACCTTCGAGCCAACCAAGCTAGCAGAGCTTGTCAACGAGGCCACTCAAGTTATGGGCCTTCCGCCTCTCTCTGCAAACCCGAACGACCGTCGTGCATTCTCTTACGACGTGCTCAGCATCGCAATCTCTGGGCCTGATCGCCCTTCAATCACACTGGTTGACACGCCTGGTCTCATCAAGTCCAAAGGAAAGTTTCAATCTGCTGAGGACATCAAGACAATCGAGAAGCTGGTCAAGTCATACATTGATCAAGACAGCACCATCCTCCTCGCTGTCCTTTCTGCTACGTATGGTCACGAACTCCAGCAGATACCTTCGATGATCAATAAGGCTGCCGTCCGTACACTCGGTGTCATTACCAAACCTGATGGCCCTGGATCAGACAGTGCACTAGAGTCGGCATACATGGATTTGGCTAGAAATCAGGAGATGCCTCTGGGTCACGGCTGGCATGTGGTCAAGAACAGGTATGCTATGTCCTTCTGCAAACGATTTGAATTACAACTAATGATTCGGCTAGATCAGAAAAGGAGATGCACTTCTCTGCATCGGAACGCGACCAAGCTGAAGACACATTCTTCTCTGGAAGCAAGTGGAAGGACTTGGGCTACAACAACATCGGAGTTCCCGCCCTCAAGGAACGTCTTGCTACCCTGCTCTACAAACACGTTCAGTCCGCCATACCTCATCTCCAGAAGAGCTTGAACGAGAAATTAGAGGAAGTGACCAACAAGCTTGACGAACTTGGTCCAGGTAGAGGCACAGTCTTGGAGCATCGCGGCCTTCTTGTCGACATCGCTTCCAAGTTCCAACGTCTCGTTGATGTCGCCGTCGATGGCAACTACAAGAAAGACCCGTTCTTTGGCATGTCCCCACGCAAGCAATCAGCTGAAATCGACACCGATGGTCGTCGCCTCAGGGCTCATGTACAGGAAGCCCACGGTCAATTCTCAGTGGCAATCCGTCGTCATGGATCCAGATTCAACATCACTCAGACTCCCAGCGAATGGGATATGAACGACAACGACCTGCTTGGTCCTGCCACTTTGATTTGGCCTTACAATGGTTACGCATCAAACCAGACAAAGCGGACTTACGAAGAGTACATCGCTCATGTTCACTCAGTCGAGCAACGCTTCCGCGGAGTCCAGCTGTCTGGTGTATTCAATCCTGATATTGTTGATGAGCTTTTCCATGAGCAGTCAGCCCGTTGGTCAGGTCTTGCCAAGGGTCATATCTCTAACTTCAATGAGCAGTGTTTCAAGTTCATTGGAAAGATCCTCTCGCAAATCGCTCCTCGAGACATAGCCGTAAGACTTGTCGAGAATGTTCGTCTCAAGCTCGCTCAGCATAAGAAGGAAGCTCTGCTGGCACTTGAGAGATTCCTTCTGGTCGAACGCGGTGTGCTCATGACCTACGACCCGGAGTTTACTGCTACAATCGAAAGAATCCGCGCTAAACGTCTGGAGCGCAAGGCTGATGAAGGCGCCAAGCGTCCTGTTGTTGAACCGCCTGTTGCGTCTGGCAACTTTGGCGGCTCCCCAGCTCGTGTCACGAAGGTTCCAAAGCTTGACATCAAAATTCCAATCAAGGTCGATGGCTTGGCTGCGGAGGATGCCCTTACCGTCAGCTGGGTGTACTATCGCAGTCAGCGTGAGCACTTCGTTGCCTACTTGACCAAACACATCATCGAGCCGTGCATGGTTGAAGCTCTGTCCAAAGCCATGTCACCCAAGGAGCTCGGAAGCATGACTGATGAAGAGACCTACTTGCTGGCTACTGAAGACGAGCAACTGGTTGAAGAGCGCAAGTCTCTCATCCGTAAGAAGGAGATACTGGAGCAGGGCAAGGCCAAGTTCGACATGGCTCTGAAGAAGAAGTGAAGTTATGGGCTGAGGGCTACGGTATTATGGTATGGTTTTCCACAAATCTCAGGCTGTGCTAGAAGCGCGTGACAGTTTCCACGTTCAATGATCTCAAAGTAGATGGATTCTGTGGTTTCTGTTGTAGTCAGTAGTAAACAGTCATCATTGCAATGCATGAACCTTTTCTGTTCCAGCTCAATTTCACCGAGGACCGAAAGACGAGCGATGGCTTGACTTTCAATGGAGTCATCTTCTTGGTTTGCTCGACTTGTTTCTGGTTGGCTGTTTTGGTAACCCCTATTCAAGGACCGGAACAGCCTCATGGCTAATCTCAAAGGTGTTCACAATATTTTGATGAGAGTGAGAGTATTAGGTATCGTCGGACGATGCGTCATCAGAGAACTGGGGTTTCAGATAACCTTCCTTCAGCGCCCCCTAATCGGATCGAAACGGCCTGTCAAAATGCACAAAGTTTTGTCGCTCAGACTAAGGATCCAGTGAGAGTCGAACCCACTCGCACTCTCAGTGGACGGGACCTTGGTTCGAATTGATTCTTGCCTTTTCACGTACATCTGTCGGAGCTACTCGTTTGACTGGAGCCGCACTGAAAGGCTTGTTACACAGTGACCCGAGCAGTGCCGGTATCATGGGCATTCTTGAACTCTTCGTAAAGCTGGGCCAAAGAATTGACCTCCACAGAGGCTGTGCCTGCGGTGGTAAGCAGGCCTTGGTGCTGGCGGTCGACTCCAGCGGCCACTTCTATGAGGGCGTCACGGGCATGGCGGTAGAGGGGAATGGAGTCGGGTCCGGGACCGCCTCCGACAACAGAAGGGCTGCTAGGACCCAGAATGTCCCAGACATCGTCTCGGACACTTGCCGCGAGCTTTTCATGCTCTGATCCATTGGACCAGGAAGGGGCGAAGTATGCGATAGTCGAGCACGACCTCGCCAGCACGGAGACCAATACCCAGCTCCATGACTTCTGCAGGCGTAAGTAGCTTCTGCTCGAGTTGCGGCCAAAGGGTCTGGCGAATCTTGTGTTAGCGTATGGAACCGTTAGAAGGAAGACGTACTACATACGCAGAGCTCCTTCACGGCCTCTCTGGCCTGGTCGTACCAGGTGTCGAGCTTGAGGTCCAAGACTCGCTCGATGTTGAGATTGTTGGTGATGGCAGGGCGGTGAGCCAGATCTCCAGCGTCTGCTCTTCTGATCAGGTCGCGCATGGCGCCTATGGCCCAGATGCCCTTGCCCTGACGATATGCGGCGCCGTACATGCTGAGTTGGTTTCCTAGGCTAATGCCTGGATGGCTGTTGATGCCTGGGTGTTTATTGGCGAGGGTGTTGGAGACAGATGCAGTAGTGACAGTTGACTTCCCTGTGAGCTCTCTCACGCGGTTGCGGTAGAGGATGGCCCAGCCTTGACGACGTTTCTCGCGATCTGCTTCGTCGTCGTGTTTGAAGTCTTCAAAGAAGAACACATCCTCCTTGTTGCAGTTCTTCAAAAGGCACACACTGGAGCCGTCCTCCAGGGCGATGAAAACGGCTGGCGGTGCACTCTTGATGTCGCCAACTTTGATGACCACTGCGACTCGTAAGGCTTTTGAGTTGGTCTGGATGACCTTGAGCTTGCGTGAGGGGTCCCAACAATGCTCAACATGTTGCTCCTGACGAGGTTTTTGCCGACCGGCGCTCTTTGTGAACGGAAACTGGAAGCATCACTCGGGTGCATACCTACCCACAGGCAAAGGCTGTGCTCAGTGGGGTCTAGCAGCGTCCCATCCTGGTCATGTGTCTCTAGCTCCTCAGGAGTGGGATCTACAGCGGGCGCAGATTCCCAGTCTGCTTCGCCAACTTGGCCTCCCCTCTCAACTTCATCATCTTCGTCCTGGTCTGCCGCATTTTCCTTTCCCTTTCCCTTTCCCTTTCCCTTTTCTCTGCTCTTTCGCTTCTTAGTGGCCTTGTTGGTAATGTGTCTGTGGTAGCGTAGAATGCGGTGCGCGGCGATCGCGGCAGTATTGATGCCATGGTCGTACGATCGGCTAAGTCCTCCTCTGCTGCGGTCCAGGGCGGCTCACATCTAACAGCATGAGTGGCTGCCCCGAGGTCACCCACTCCTCCTGCTGCAATTGAGATTAGGATAGGAGGTCGACGCAGGCCCTGGCTCTGTCTTGTTCGTCCACTGTACCATCAAACCTGATAGAGCTTTGGCCTCGACGATGAAGAAGCTCAGCGACTATATCAAGAAGTTCGGGGAAGCTAGAGAAGACGATAACCTTGGCACCTTGATCGTCCCTTTAGATTCGAGTGCTGAGAGCCCAATTGCGAAACACATTAGAGAGACGCACGACTTTGCCGGGGTCAAATGCAACCGGCCAAGCTGTGAGGATAGCACAATCTGGACTACCTACCAGAAGCTGGCTGAGCACAACGCAAGCCATTCCTGGCCGCCTCGAAAGTGCCCCATGAGTTGCAAGAGCAAGACCTTCTTCAAGGACAAGAATGGTCTCATGGCTCATCTCAAGGGTGTTCGTAACATGTTAAGTAAGGACGCAAGTGCAATGGCACAGCAGATCGAGGTTGAGGAAGAAGACTAAGTGGCCGAGCACAAAGCAAGCCATTCCTGCCCACTTCGAAAGTGTCCGACAAACTGCAAGAGCAAAATCTGTTAGAAAAGAACGACCTTATGTTGAACAACGATCTCCAGCGCATCTTACTCGACTCGAAACTGCTTGTCAGAATGCACAAACATTTTCCTTCCAAGATGAGGGTCCGGTGAGAGTCAATTAAAGCCGTACTCTCAATGAACGGAGCCTTATCTTCGAATTAATTCTTGCAGCTCCACCGACAGTTTCCACGTGGATAGGGGGTGAACGAGATACCCCTGCACACACCTAACGTAGACCTTTCAGGGGCAATTGAATCTAGCACCATGGCATTTGCATCCTTTCGAACAATCTGATAGTCTCCCGTTGGACGATTAGAGAGAGCGGGCCTGTCCTTAAAGGTTGTCTTGCTGTTGCAGTTGGCTCGTGAGCACCTCCGGGGCGGAAAGCTGTGCGTAGCTTCATGGAAGTCAAGTTTCTTGTAGGTATCCCACAGCGTTTCGTCCGAGCAGTGCTCAATTCTGCACCGGACCGAAGGACATGATGTTTCGACACTCTTCAAGCTCGAATTTCCGTGCTTGAAAACAGTAGAATTCCGGAACTGTGCTGGCAAATGCGAGCAGCTTTGCGTCGTCTGTCATACAAGAGGCAGCTTCAAAACTTGACACTCTGTGACTTGCGGTTATCAGCGTAATTTGGCGTTTGTATTGCTTGTCACGGCCTCCAACGAGTTATCCGCGTTGCTCTCGAGCTTCACTACTGCCTGTTCTGTACCGTCCACTTTGCTTGAAGGCGTAAAGATCCCCTGTCGGTGCGCGATCTTTTGTCTTTTGCCGTCGGTCTGCAAAGATAAGTCGAGATCGTCCTTTAGAGTAGTGCGGCGTTCTCAGTTGACCGCACGTATGTCTCCGGCATACTTCTGAGTAAAGCCAGTCGTGGTAGTGGTGGGACGATGGCCGAGCACTTGAGCAGCTGAATCAATGCCGGTTGCTTTATTGAGCGCTGCGGCCTCTTGCGCCGTACGCCTCTTCATGTCGTGAGGTGTGATCTTTACGGTAACACCTGTTCTTGCTGCGGCAGCCTTTAACGTATTGTTGAATTGTGTAGCATACGCTGGTTCGTCGAGGACAAGGTGTCTATCCTGACCATTCTCGATGCAGCAGGGGACTGGTCTTTCGGGAAATGCCCATTGCATCGTGCGATCTGGTCGAGCAATGGTAGCTTCGACGAGATCTTCAATTGAAGTTGCAGCAGTCGCGCCTATACGTAGGGCCATGACGATTGCGAGAGTCGCTGGGTCCATTACGTTGTAGCAGCCAGTATCTGAGGATTCGAGAGTAACGACGGTATTCTGAGAAGGATCGTCCCTACAGTACAACTTGGTCGGTAGCTGCCTTCTTGATCGCTCTGGACTGTGACATACTTGTTCGCTTTGTGTGCCTCATCGTAATCCATTGTTTCTCCCGAGCTCACTGTTTCTCCCGAGCTGGCTTGCGGGTGATGCTGCCTGAAACAGACGGGTCAGAGAGGTCTTGGACCAGAAGTGGACGGTCCGGACATACCTTTCTCTCTCAAGTCATGGAAGATCGACTTGACACGAGCTTCGTGTCCTTCGTTGACTTTGAAGTCCGGATAAGCCTCTTCAATGACATCAATAACCCCTTTAAGAAGGGTGTCGAATGTGCTCTCGAATATTGCACAATTCTCAAGGCGGCCATCGAGTCAGTTGGTAATGTCTAGCAAGAACCGCTCGTAGTCTTCCCATTTTGGGGTGCATCCTTCCTCCAGGACCTGCTACCTAATTTGACACTGCCTGTCAAAATGCAAAATTGTTTCCTGATCGACACCAACATCCCCTGAGAGTTGTATGGGTCTGAGCTCTCAGTGGACACAGTCATGTCTTCGAATTCGTTCTTGCATTTCTACCGATGTTTTATGCACCAAGCGGTGTGTTGCGGAGACCCTTGTCAAGATGGGGGTTGACGCGGCCGCAGCCAACCTCAGGGGCCAACCTCAGGGGCCAACTTCAGGGCGAACATTTGGCGTTTGCCATTTGTAAGGAGGGAAAAGTCTTGGTCGTCTTCTAGTTCTGTGCGCTTCTCCCAGTTGGTCGGGCCAATAGTGCCGACATACCTTTGTGTCACACCTGATGCAATACTTCCTGGCTTGTGATAAAGCACAGCTGCTGCAGACTCAATCCCTGTCGGTGTTGCTAGTCGCGCAGTATCTTGAGCCGCTCCTCTCCTCAAGTCGTGGGCGGTAACCTTGACGGTAACACCAATAGCCCTTGCAGCGGCCTTTAAGGTGTTGTTGAGCTGTGTTACGAGGGCGGGTCTCTCGACCACAAGCCCACGCCCTTAGTCGTTTGCGAATTCACACAGTACCGGTCTTTCAGGACGCGCCCATTGTACTGTTCTGTCAGACCGAGCTAAGGTCTGTTCCATTAGCTCGTCGATCGTGGTCGCCACTGTGGCCCCAGTTCTTAAGGCCGTGATAAGCGCTAACTTTACCGGGTCCATCACATTGTAACAGCTGTCCGTTGCTGAATTCGGTATGATGACCGGGTTGAAAGAGGCATCATCCCTCCTCCCCGTATGCAGAACTTTGTCACGCGCATGCTATAGAAATGCACAAAGTTTTTGAGATCAGTGCAGCCCTCCACTGAGAGCGTGATAGTAAGCGGCTCTCTATGGACGAATAGAGCGATTTTGAGAACATTGCGCATTTCTACAGACCAAACAACATTAGGCATGGCCGTGGGAGATGGCTAGAATTGACAAAATTTAGCACACGGGGAAGCTAGAAAACGATCAGTATGTTGAATAGAAACGATCATAGCGGACACGTACTCGTGATCCTTGGTGTGTCGCAGGTACTCTTTGCCCTGAGGAGGATGGTCCAGTCGATGTGAATAACGATGCGTTGGGCGGAGGCATTTGCTCTGAAACAAGGCGCGGTCGAAGAGAAGAGTCCGAAAACGTCGATGATGTATGCAGGCGCAAATAGATTTGCAAACCTTAGCACATGGATGGCAAAGGAACGCCCTGGAGAAGGGCAATCCAGAGTCGAGTGAAGCGGTTCTTGTTGCTATCACATCCTTGCCTTGGCAGTCCGGTAGAAGCTGCTCGCTGCTGACCACAACAGTCTCTCGATGAACGTATTTTTCCATGTTAACCACCGCTTAACCACCATGGTCACAATCAGCGTGTATTATTCCGAACAGGTAGGAGTATGGTTGACCCATACGTATCAAGAAAAAGACTGTGAGCGGAAAAGTTTCGTAGAATTTTTTCTCCTTTTTTCTCCCACTTTTTCTTTTCTCTCGTTTTTTCTTTTCTCTACTCGACTGAATGCGAGCGATATCAATGCCCTTTAACCTTCAGTTGAACAATCGGCTCAAAATGTATGTCGTTTTACCACGAATATATTGTGAGTTGTTGCGGCTTGAGCCCGTGACAAGAATGGTTTCGCGTCGAATGGTTTTTGGTCCTGTGGCCACATATGATTGCGATTGTAACTCGCTCAATTGGGGACTGGTTTCTGTTGATTTGAAAGGAAGATTACGTCCTGTCCGACAGCTCTTGATGCTCGGTCTTTACATGCTGATGCGTGTCGCGAACCGTCCCTGCCACCGAAGACGGTCTTGTCTATGTGGGTCGTACCCAGGCATGTGGAAGCATGACCGACATGATCTCGCTGGTAAGAAGAGTCCTCTGGTCTGCTGCAAGCCGAGTGCTTCTCACTAAGGGCGTCGGTTCATGGCGTCTGCGTATTATCCAAGTATCCCGATTTGATGGCCATATCAGCTCGTGGACGGATATGGAGCTACACACAGCAGCCCACGGAGGCTCGGACATGGCAAGGCTGCTCTGCTTGCTGTCCCGATGATGCTGCTACTGGTAGTCATGCATAACTTCTGCATAGCATCTCAGTACAACATGCTCATCACCCAAGACCCCACGGTCCACCATTCAGGCTTCGCTTTTCTTCTGTAGGATTCCTCCAGCCATGATTCTCTTGGCTATCTGACTAAGCAGCTCAGCTCTCCGAAGGTATATAATCCGCCCTCACCTCGCCCTCCTCCTTCCTTCCTTAAGTCTCTTGCCTTTTGGCTTAGATCAAGTGTAGTATCTGTTCTTCATAGTTTAATCGCTGTGACATCACTACGGTGATATCAATGATTATTCTTATTTTTGGAACCCGCTGAGAGACCTCTGGGCTTGCCCATGTCTCCTGGCACAGTGTCGCTCGTATTGCACTACCTCGAGCTGACGCGAACCCCTCTTTTTTCATTGGACTCTTTGCTTTGATAGCAGAGAGCTGAAGAAGAATGATCCCAAATATATAGAGTCAATGGAACTGTAATGGTGGAGTTGTGATGTCGTGGAAGCTGGGTACGAATTCTTGAAGCCTGAAAATTCTGAAGCCTGGATTTTGTGTCACCACAATTTCTAGTCTGCCCATCTTGCAGTTGATTTGACTGCCTTGATATATCGTCCTCTTGTGTAGCAACACAACAAGGACATCGAACTTGTTCTGCGAGTATGCGAATTCGATTGCGAAGCCTGGACCTGCGAAGTGTGGAAGCTTTGCTTTGGTCGTTTATCGTACTGATATGCCTCATCTTGACTGCCTCACGCGCCTTCATGATAGTTCCATACATGTATTGATCTAATTATTGTTTATCGCTTTTGCCCTGCTACCTTCTAACGCCGGAGTGCCGTTGCATATATTCTTGCCTCGTTCTCCTTGCTCGCCCTCGTCTCCAACGCATTCTCTGGTCAGCACGAAGGAGTTATGGAGGAGTCCGATAACTCCAGGCGGACATAAGTATGTCTGTTACCAGTGCGGATGGCGGCGGAATGCGTCCTCTAACATTCGCACGGGAAGTTGCCAAACTCGACTGTAGTCTGTGGAGGCGCATCGCAAAAGCTAAATAACGACATGAATCATTGTGAATAACATGATTCATTGCGATGCACTTCGTTCGTGCAGAAACATCCGGGACAAGACTTGCCAAACACGACGAGCTTTATCTTGGTGCCTGGCAGGATGACCAAGACAGGAGACTCATCTTGATTAGACTCGAGCAAACTGGTAGACCACGCCTGAGTATGGTTCGAGTTGCCGAGTACATGCCATATTCGCCGTCACCTGTTGCATTTGGGAGTGAGATTATCATTGTATAAAGACTGCGAGATCCAGCGTGATACTTGCACCACATTACCGTACATTACTTTCTCCAGACACGAAGCACTGGAAAATCCTACCAAACACGATCCATCATGGCCTCTACACCTTCCACGAGTGACCTGAGAAAAAGCATCGAGACCACAGCACGAGCCTTCCTGTCAGCCTTCGAAGAAGGAGGAGCTCGCAACGACGCCTCCATCATCAACCGCGACGTTACAGCAGACTGCACCCGCCATCTGATTCCAGCATCCATACCTCAGGCGTTCGGTCTACCAACAGACTTCTCCTTCAACACGACAAGCTTTCAAGAGGCCTATGCCAAGGACATTAAAGTGCTGAGTTTCAAGAACAATATAATGTCGAATCTGGTAATCGATACTGAAGCCCGTCGGGCTGCATTCACGTCTTGCGCTGAGGTGGAGCCTCATGAGGGAGAGAAGTACACCGTCGAGCAGGCTTGGGTTCTGTACTTGACAGAGGATGGATCCAAGATCAAGAAAGTGATTGAGTTTTGCGACAAGGACGCGATTTTGAGAATGGCAAATGCTAGTGCCTGATCATAGATAGGAGGATATGGGTGGATGTGGAGGCAGTAATTATACTCAAACGTCCTCTCCAAGCGGGTAGCCAAAATGCATCCTCTCGTCTGAATTCTTGGCAATGGTATACCGTGATACACGCGACCCGGCGAACGATACTTTGATGAGCATAGAAATGGTAGAAATTCCAAAGCCCACAGTCCCGATGTATTTGCTCCCATTGAGGCATATCGTCTCATGTTACTGTCGGCGAGACGTAGCGAATACCAATGTGTTCTCGGTGTCCTGAAAAATCAACGCGTTGAGGCTTCACGAAGCCCAGCCTCCCAAATTTTCACCCCCAACTCCCAGCACCGCAACAGCACCAAAACAAAAGCTGTTCACACCCTTGAACATGCAAAAGAAAGCTCTTGCAAGCATGCAGCCACGGGCCAAAGAGTACAAGCAGCCAAGACCAAATACACCCTCATTTCGCCCACCAAAATGTCAAGATCCAAAAAGTTGAAATATCGCGTCCTACACCTCCACCAGGCCTCAAAAAGCAGTGGTATACACGCAACGAGGCAAAAGGAATGTTGATGAGAAGGGGATTCGAACCCCTGCCCTTTCGGACCAGCGTATTAGATTAACCTTAAGCTGGCGCCTTAGACCGCTCGGCCATCTCACCATTGATGGAGAGTATGCCTTTGCAAACGTTTATAACTCACACCGGTAGAAGACGGGCGGATGAGATGCAGTGGACGCAGGACAACAAGAGCGAGTCGAGTGGGGTGTGTGATTGTCTGCTGGAGGATTGATTAGGGAGATATGTCCTGGAAGAGACCTTGGAGGGTCCGAATCGAGCACTGACAGAGTTTTCACTTTCTTGTCGTGAAAAGCAATCAACATGTGTGTCTTCCTTCTGGACTTTCTTGCAGAATCGCAAAGGTTCAAAATATATCTTCGTAAGGGCCCCGAATCGACACAAGACCCTTCAAAGTTACACGAAACGGATAGAGCTAGACAAGAAGTATCTTCTCAATCCCTCTTGTCCACCATAGGTTACCGAAGGGAGGCAAGAGACATGATCAGGTTGAATGTCAGGGTGTCATGCTCAGCAAGCATTTGCAAAAAAGAAAGAAAAAAGAAAAGAAAAGAAGAAAAGAACAGAGCGGAGCAGAGATTGAAAAGTGCAGGAGAAAAAAAAGTCGTTTTTGCGACCAAGTAATATAGTACATTTTGTTCGTCAACACCATGTGTATCCCTTACTTGCCAGCGAACATGTTAACACTCGATCTCGAGTATCCAATGATCTTGTTCGGCCAGCCACTCCAGTCAGCGGAGAACAAAATGGCATCTTGGCAAGCACTGCCCAAGCCGGTGTTGTTCAACCAAGTAGGCTCCCAGTAGTTGACACCTTTACCCCAACCACCAGTGACGCCCTTGACTACGCTAACAATATCTTGCACCCATTCCGTTTGACCGGCAGGGCTGATAGGGACGGAGGTATCGCTGAGCTCAGGTGCGGTGGCGCCGTCGCAGATGGCTGGCCAGTCGGTCTCGACGACGTGAACGGGCTTCTGGTACTTGGTGGCAACGGCATTTAGAGTATCCTTCAGGTTGTCAAGAGTAGCGGCGGTGCCGTAGAAAGGATAAAACGAGAAACCAAAGACATCCCAATCCTCGGCCTTGACTTTGCCAGTGCCGGTCAGTGCGCCAAACCAGTCGAGCTGCAGAGTCTTGTTCCAACCATCGTCAATGTGGATCATAATGGAGGGCTTCTTGACACCAGCCTTGACTGCATCGTCGACACCCTTGCGAGCGTTCGACCACAGACTGGCGAGGTTTGTGAAGTTGGCAATGCGGGCGGAGGTTGGTGCGGTGTCCACGTCAACGTAACCAGTAGGCCAGAGCATACCATGGCGGATCTCATTACCCAAGCTTACGAGGGAGAGATCAACGCCGCCCTTCTTGAAGGCAATAAGGGTTGACTTGACGTAGTCGCGAAGATCTGATCCGAGTGCAGAAACGCTACTGGTTGTCCAAGCTGCAGGTGTGAATTGCTTGTTTGGGTCGGCCTTTGTGATGATTAGCAATCAATCTATCAAGAAAGCAATACAGGTGTATTCACCCAGGTGTCCGAGAAATGGAAATCAAGGTAAATACGGTAGCCCTTCTTAGCGAAACGCTGGGCTTGGCTCAATGTGTATGCCAGATCGTATTGTCCAGGCTCAGGGTTGACCCAGATTCTAAGAGAAGAATGTCAGTCTCCGCTTTGGTATGGGAAACACTTATACCATACCTCAGTCTTACAGTGTTCATGCCACCATCACCAAGGATATCCTCGGCAGGTCTTGTAGCATTGCGACGAGCAGTGTCTTTGTAGGTGACATTGCCAAGCTCCAGGATATGCAGCGAAGACAGATCGAAGCCCTTGTAGAAGAAAGGGTCGACCTGGTTTTGAGCAGGCTGCTTGTGAGGGGAAGCAGTCGCTGCCGACAAGCACACCAGTGCAGCAGAAGCGATAGAAAGAATAGAAGGCATTGTGTAGAAAAGAAGAACAGACAACCTACAGAGCAAACAAGAATCCTTCGGAGGGATCACTTACTCTTCTTATACCTCTCAAAGTAATACTACAAGACTGTATCCTCGGCTACGTGCACCGACCGATCAGTCCTCCTTTTATTACTCCAGTCTCCAGCCGCCTCCAGAACATGGGGCGCATGGAGAAGTTGCGGGGCCGCATATCTCAATCCACCAACTGAATGATCTTCCGTCCAAGCACGGATCTTCACCATGTCCCGTGCGAAAGTGGATGATGAGGGCTCAGAGGGCACGAGAGCAGTTTGCGAAAGCTAGAAGGAGAAAGAAAGGCTACAAGCGAGGGCTTCTTTGCGTCTTCTATATTACCCGACATTCAGCCTTATGAGCCCGGCATCCCGGGTCGTTAGGAAAGCAGGTCGTCACAAGAAATACATCACTCGAAGAACATATAATATAAGCGTTTGGCGTGACAGAGCAGAATATTTCCAGTTCTCGTATTTTCATGTAAGTTTGTGGTGAGTAAGGAGTAGAGAGCTAAGATGCATGAAAAGCCTCCCGTAGGCCTTCCCTCATGTTGTCTTGATATGTTTTCGTGCTTTCCATTTCCCAATATTTTCGCCGTGTCCGATGCCAACAGAGGCCGAGAAAAGCAAGACCGAATGAGGTCGAGTTTGAATGATGGGAGCTCGCTGGAAAAGGGACAACCAAAGCTTGACGCCTTCTGCAACCAATGTCTCGAGCTCATCCTGCCATCGCGAGCATGGCACACTCTAAGCGCCACCACCTCCACGAGCATAGGGGTGGAAACCGCGGTGGCCACCTCTACCACCTCCTCTGTAGTTGGCGCCAGGTCTTCCAGCATTCTTAGGGCCTGTGGGCGCATTAGCCGGTGCATTCGAAGGACCCGCAGGCGTGGGAGTGTGACCACCACCCCCTCTGCCGCGTCCTCTTCCGCCAAATCCACCGCGAGGGGCAAAACCGCCGTTGTTGCTTCCAGGACCGCCGCCTTGGTTGGGTGCGGGAATGTCGTCGTACATGCCCTCCCAGCTTGTGGGTGAGCCCGAGGGTTGGAAGCCGTTGCTGCTGTTGGGGGTTGCAGCAGCGGGCACGCCACCACGCTGTTGTTGTTGGCGTTCGTACTTCTGTTGTTCGAAGGCGAGTTGTTCTTGAGCGTTGTATGCGGGTCTCTGACCGGGGCCACCGTTCATGGGAGACATGGGGTTACCGGAGGGTGCCGGGCTGCCTGAGTTACCAGGGCCACCGCCTTGCATCTGCTGCTGCATTTGTTGCATTTGCTGCATCATAGCAGGGTTCATACCGCCTGGAAGAAGTCTGTCAGCATTCTTGGCAAGTGTAGGGTGAGAGATCAGTCACTTACCTTGACCCATACCCTGTTGCATAGCCATCATCTGCTGCATCATCTGAGGGTTCATGCCACCAGCGCCACCCATCATAGGGTTGCCACCACCTCCCATACTTGTAGCCAACTGCTGTTGCATCATCTGGAAGTATTGCTGCATGCGTTGCCAGTACTGAGCCATCATAGCCGGGCTCATTTGGTTGCCACCCATACCAGCAGGACCGCCCTGTTGCATGCCTGCTTGCTGGCTGGGATCGAAACCACCTTGCTGGCCACCGAAGCTCTGTTTCTTGAAGCCGCCGTTGTTGTTGTCTTCATTGCCGCGAAGGTTGCCTCTGGGCTGAGCCTTCTTGACTTCGATGTACTTGCCCAAGATCTCTAGAGGACGTTCAAGAGTACGGTCGACGGCGGCTTCGCTGTCGAAGGTGACGAAACCGAAACCACGAGGACGGCCAGTATCCTTGTCCATCATCAAGGTGGCATCGAGAACGCGACCGAACTGCATGAAGAAATTCTTGAAGTCTGCTTCAGTGGCTTCCTGAGAGACACCACCAACAAAGATCTTGCTGGTGCGCTCCTGCTCATCGCGAGGAATAGCTCTCTTGGGATCAATCTGTCGCATGGTTAGATCGCGTATCGAGAAGATGAAGAAAAAGGACCCACAATCTTGCCATCGAGCTGATGCTCCTTCACCATGACGATGTTAACAGTTTTGGGGTCTCTGAAAGTGAGGAAGCCGAAACCACGAGAACGTCCGGTAGCGCCATCTCGCATAACAGTGCATTCTGTGACCTCGCCAAACTGCGAAAAATACTCCCTAAGCGATTCTGAAGACGACAGCATTAGTACTGACTTCAAAGACAAACACCCAAGCTCAATGCGACTCACGATCTGTTGTTTCCCAGTTCAAACCACCAATAAACATTTTGCTGCAAACATCATCACGTTAGCAGATAATCTAAGAAGATGCATTTAGTACTGTGAAATCCAGAAAGACATGATTGCGCAAAGGAGTTGGCGTAGCTTTGTGTGCATTCCCGGACACGGTGAGGACGCCGCTCATGTATCAAGCATGCAATCCCGCGATATTTTCTGGCATGACGTCTGGCTTCGTGAGCCCGGCGGACAGTGTTGAGGCAGGCGAAATGCTATCATGCAAACGCATGCATTGCAAAGCAGAATACGATCAGGTCGAAGTAACGTAGTGGTGTGCCTCTTGATAAATGGTCTGTAGAAGCGCTTGCTGGACCGACTGTCGGGACAAAGCCATCGACACGTCAGAGAAACAGCAGCCATCGAATTCCGTGCTTTAGCTAGGCTCTATGAAGAGTTATCGACATGAAGCTAAATAGCTATGGGCTTTGGCTAGATGGGTTCAGAGGGTGATTTGACCGTCATACAACGTACCACTACGACCTTGAATCTCCTGCCCCTGCCTGATATATATTGCCTGATTGGTCTTGCCGATGTATGTAGCTGGCTGCATAATGCTTGATCTGCGGATTGGCGAGCTATGACGCCGCTGTTCATATCTGAGAGCCATGTGATTCCTCATCCTTGCCTTTGTGGCCGCAATGTAAGAGTATCAAGCATACATCGGATGAAGCGCCTGAGAGAGTATAAAATCTCTTCTAATAAAGATCCGCTGCGGAAGGTGCAGATGGCCATGCTCGTACAGCCGGCCCCAAGCATTCAAAATGGGGCCATGAATCCATGGTCATAGCACCATGTGTAACTCTGGCGGATCGCTGAGCCAGAGGAATCGCGAGTACCGCTGGCTCCAGTGCGCATCATGTCTTGTTTGTGTGGTACTTCCTGAGGTTGGGGTAACAAAAGAAATGACCAACGACTTACCCGTCTTCTTTGATGCCAATAGGCTTGTAGTCGTCGTCACCACCACCGCCGTTGTGGTTCATTTGCTGTGCACCGGCATAATCATTACCTTGGTTCTGGTTGTTGTTGTAGTCCCAGTTTTGTTGGCCTTGGTGTTGTTGCTGCTGCTGCTGATCGTTCCAGCCATCATTGCCGTAGGATTGGGGCTCGGCGGCGACATTGGAGCCGTTTGCGATGGGCTCTGATGTGGGAGCTTGCTCTGATGAGACAGCAATCGAGTCGGTCTGGTCGGCGGCGGCGGTCTCTACGGTGGTAGTTGCGGGAGCGGGAGCGGGAGCGGCTGGTGGTGCAGAAGGAGCGGCGTCGTCACCCTCGTAGCTGGCAAAGATGTCAAAAATCATGGTCGCCGAGCAGTTCTGAGAAAGGACAGGCGTACAGGTCGGCGAAGAGGTCCTCCTCCTCATTGTAATCAGCCATGTTTGCTATAGGTGAGGGGTCGACTGCGCGTCGAGAGCGGTTTCGCTTGGTGATGCGATGCGAAAGATTGTTGCAAGGAAAGGTCAGATACGCGCAAAATCAAGAGAAAGGAGACTCGAGCGGAAGGGAGCTGTTGTGAAGGGCGTTTAAAGTGAGAAGTCGGAGACAGCAAAGCTTCACTCAGCAGGCAGCCTCTGGATCTCACTCCACGTCCTGGTCGGTCCGAAGATGACCCTTGACGGAGAAAGGGCTACCGAACACACGGCCTTCTTTATGTGACGTAAGTCAATTCTGCGGTGACTGTTCTGCAAAAGCTCAGCTCAAGCACTGCACAAATGCGATATGCAGTCGAAGGCGCCTTGAGAGACGAAATCATTCTATGGCTTGATAGATACTCTTTCCAATATTATGGATCTGCAGGAAGATATTGCCAGGCCCCCTGTGACTAGAAACAACATCACATGTGCTAGAAGATGACCAGTGCGTTCTGAATCAAGTCTACGCCGAGCGCGTCATCCGTTCGATGTGGGTGGCCGTTGTTGTACCTTGGTCTCATCTCGACACCAAGACTTGACCGCGTTGCACTGCTAATTTCCCCTAGCTATGGCTTCCAAAAAGCAGCAGCAGGTACGTTCTCGATGGAGCAGCCTTCTGCTATACCAGTGCTGACCACTCGTGCTCAGGAAATGGTTCAGGTCGGTTCGTCTCCTCTGCCGACCCTGTCGTGCTTTCCCCACAACTAGATTCCCTCGAGCTAACTGTTATACCTGTGTGTATTAGACAGGTCCGAGTATGTTTGTATCCAACCTCGTCGTCATTGCAACTGTTCTGATCATGCTCTAGCAGGTCTGGCTCACCCTTCTGGCGCACCTCATCATCCAACAGCAAGCGTGATGCAAGTCTCCCTGGCGAGAGGAAGGTCTTTGGAGCTTCATACTCGCATGCGGATATCCTCAACTTCGACAACTTGTATGCCTTTCCTACCAGCTTTAGCCGATCGCTCGTCCTCACAGCTTTCTTAGGAACATCTCCAACAGCAGCACACCACGCCCTCACACACCACCCTCGCGCGACAATCGACCACCCTTGAAGTCTTCAACCAGCCTTTCTCCTCCAGCACCACGTCGATCCTATTCCAATTTCTTTGGCGAAAACACAAAAAGCTATGAATCACCACAAGAAGAAGAAGCCTTGGACTTCGATGAAGACGAAGACGAGTTTGGTCTGCCCAGCATAGCGAGTATGAGGAGGAAGGGAAAACGACAAATCGCAAAGAAGAAGAGAGACCCAGGAGGTTCGCAGTCATCCCTGAGCACTGTTCCCTCGGCCACAGCAACATTGGCCTCGTGGTCCATGAACAACGGAGACATTGCCGAAGAGCGCAGTCTGCCGAATTATCCTACCGCAAAACGTTCCGATGGCAAGATACTCCGACCACAGTACAAAGACATACTCAGAGATCCTGCGAATGCACTGCACCTCATAAACCACGCTCCCGCCCCGCTGAATGCTTCCCCCAAAGAGGTCGAAGCCCACTCAGCCCGCATCACTCGCATCAACAAATTCAAGCGTATTTTGCAAGCTTCTTCGATCAACCTGGCCGAGTTACGCGACTCTGCTTGGTCCGGATTGCCTGATGAAGTTAGAGCAATGTCATGGCAGATACTCCTTGGTTATCTTCCGACGAATAGCGACCGAAGAGTGACTACGCTCGAGCGCAAGAGGAATGAATACCTGGAGGCTGTGCGTCAAGCCTTCGAGAAGGGGACGTCTACAAATGATGCCGACTCTGTCATTGGCATTGGTGGTATCTCCTCATCACCAGCCACTCAGCGAGGCAAAGGCCGCGGGCTAGACGAGGCTATCTGGCATCAAATCAGTATTGACGTGCCGCGAACGAATCCCCATCTGGAGCTGTACAGCTTTGAGGCCACTCAACGATCACTGGAACGGATATTGTACGTCTGGGCCATTCGTCACCCGGCCAGCGGATATGTACAAGGCATCAACGATCTTGTTTCACCATTTTGGCAAGTATTCCTGGGAATGTACATCACGGACCCGGAGATTGAATTTGGCATGGATCCTGGTCAACTACCGAAACAAGTCCTGGATGCAGTAGAGGCTGATACTTTCTGGTGTCTAACGAAACTTCTGGATGGAATCCAGGACAACTACATTCATGCGCAGCCTGGGATTCAACGTCAGGTAGCCAGTCTCCGAGATCTGACCACACGCATCGACGGTAACCTCGCGAAGCATCTGGAGAATGAAGGAGTCGAATTCATACAATTCAGTTTCAGATGGATGAACTGTTTACTTATGCGCGAGATCAGTGTCAGGAACACCATCAGGATGTGGGACACTTATTTGGTACGTTTGATGCGGCAGTGTGTTTGACCGAGCTAATTTATGACAGGCTGAGGACCAAGGATTTTCTCACTTCCATCTCTACGTCTGCGCTGCTTTCCTCGTCAAGTGGTCAGATCAACTGCTGAAAATGGATTTCCAAGAAATTATGATGTTCTTGCAAGCTCTGCCAACTCGCAACTGGAACGAAAAGGATATTGAGCTTCTACTCAGCGAAGCTTTTATCTGGCAGAGCCTCTTTCGAAACTCAAAAGCTCACATCCAAAAGAGCTCTCAGAATGGACCGTTATCGGTCACACTATAGTGACCAGTCCTTAATGCTTCACCCCCCTATCCTGGTAATGTTATGATCTGTATTATACGAGTCAATCGACGGATGTTCACGAATACTATCAACATGTAAATCATGCTCTATCAGAATCTGCGATTCCAAGGTCACAAAGATTGACAAGACCCTCTCGTGGCTGTCGAATGTCAGCGATGTGAGGAGAGGAAGGTATACGGATTGCTTACAGGAGCGTATTGTCGCAGATGCACACCAGCCTCTTGGAAGATCTTTGCACTCTGTAAGGAAGTCAGTCATGCTGTTGTATTGACCAGTACCATGCGACTCACCTGAGTGTCCATGTGGTAGCTCTGGCTAAAAACGACCTCGGTAATACCAACCTGCACGATCTTGACACTGCATGTCAAACAAGGACAACTACGAAAATCAGCATGAGCATTTGTGTTGAGATTTGGGAGAACTTGCGTATTGCAATATAATACAGCGCCGTCACCAACGCGCTCTCTACCGGCTTCAAGGAGTGCATTCTCCTCAGCATGGAGACACAAACAGGTGCTCAAACCTGTACCGCCGCCTTTGCTGGTATTGCAACGAGCACAACCGCCTTCATTGCAGTTTGTGACATTTCGTGGAGTACCGTTGTAGCCGGTACTGATTACACGCTTTCCACGGACAAGAACACACCCCACCTGTCTTCTCATACAATTGCTTCGTCGAGCGGCGAGATCAGCAAGTTGCATGAAGTACTGGTCCCAAGTTGGTCTCATTCTGGCAGGGTCGAGGAGATTCAAGGCATCGAGCGAAGCCCTCAGTTGAGTGATGGTCGTTGTTGGATTCAGAATTCTAATCTGGGCTCTAGAAGAGAGAGCGGCAAGACTGGAAAGAGGGTTGTAGAGATGCTCGTCGTTGCGCAGAACAAAGTCGTCCAAAGCAGGGGCTTCTTGATTTTCCTGAGCACATCTCTCACGGAAGCGTTGCCATCTTACACTGATTGGGGCATCAATACTTAAAAGGATGAAGTGAGGTCGTTTGGCCAAGGTGTCGAGAATAGCTTCGTTCCAGATAGTAGTCAAGACATAATTTTCTCTCCAGTTCTCAGAGACGTATTGATCGAGCAAGAGAGCGGTAGGGAATTCCAGAGCGGCTGAAGTCCAATGTGCGAAATTGGCGGACTTTTCGATTGTTGGAGTCTCATCATCCCGCTTGATTGTGAGGGGAGTGAAGTTGTGCTTTTTGATCAGATAATCTGCTACGGTTGCTTTGCCCGCACATATCGCTGTGACTGCTTAGAGAGGAGAGAAAAACATCATCACACGTTCACTTACGGCCACAGATGCCGATGAGCATCTTTGTAGTGAGTCAAGGTTCTACTTGGGTACTAGACAACGTGTGCCTTGATCGATCCTTCTCGTGCTATTCAAGATAGTGAACAAAGAAGGAGCAAAGAAGCGGACAAGGAGCTGTAAATGTTTGGCGGAAAGCGGCCGCGCTTGTTTGACCGTGCGCGTTGGACTCACTCAGTTGGAAAGCGCGACCCGGACCAAACGTCACAGTCACAAGTGAACCATCACATTCAGCAGGTCACACCTTCCCATGTTCCAACTGAACTGATTTACACTTCTTCTCCGTCAACATCCTCCTCCTCCGACTTGCTACCATTATATTAGTAACGAGCAAGACTATCGGCCTGCTATTCTTCCATCGATACATTACCAATACGAAGCACCCCGCAACGCGACACAACGACCATGATGGAGCCGCTCAAGTTTGCGCCGTGGACATCAGAGATCGACCTAGGCTTTTACTCAGCGCTTGGTAACCTCAAGCTTAACCATGACAGACTGGACTCTTCAGCCCGCAGAGTACTGGGCGTGTACCAGATCCAGACAAAGGACAAACCCGAGCGCTCAGCGCGCATGCAGATTCACAATGCCGCCTTGACCCAAGACCAGTACGGACTCGTTGATGCATGCATGTCTTGCTCATGATGGCTAATGCGATGCACAGTGTTCCCGCTGGCTTCTATCGCGGCGAAGGTTACATCCGCAACTACAACACCATGGACGAGTACAAGCAAGTCGACAAAGCCGCCCACATCGAACGCGCAGGACGAACCATCTGGGACGCCATCAACGACGGAACCATCTTCTCATGTCCCTCGCTATTATCCTCTTTCTCAGCCATCTGCTACGCCGACCTCAAGAAGTTCAAATTCACATACCAATTCGCATACCCCGCCTTGCACTCGGACCCCACATGGTCGTGTTCGACTGCTCAAAAGATCTCACCAAAGGAGACACTCGAGTTGGTTGACAAGGTACAAACATGGAGATACAGCGTCGATGGAAGACAGCATGGCTTCTTTCTAGCAAAGAAAATCAGGGGAGACTTGCTTGATGACGACCATGAGTCACACACCCCGCTTGACGAACCCGATGACCGAGACTTTGAGCATGACCACAAGCCCGATGACACACCAGACTACCGTTGGAAGATTGCTGCCCTTGCAAACTATGAGACGGGCTTCTTCAACGATGTTGACGCCGATGATCAATACATCTGTTTCGCCGACCCCTCGACCTTCGAGTCCAATCCTGGATGGATGCTAAGAAATCTGCTCGTCCTGGTTCGTCAACGATGGAGGCTCGACAAGCTTCAGATTATGTGCTATCGCGACACCCATGTTCGTCGGGAGGACCCACACAGCATCTTCTTCAAGGCCGAGTCTGTCAAACCCACCGAAGGCGACCACTCTGCAACATTCCCATCATTGCCAGAGGGCCGTGACTCACCGTCATCTTCTCCAACACCTAGATCGATCCCACCATCAGAGCGTGGCCCCATGCCAAAGATTACAGGGTGGGAGCGCGACACAAGATCTAGAAACTCTTCTCGTATCGTTGACATGGGCGCGTACATGGATCCCACTCGCCTTGCTGATGCAGCCGTCGACTTGAACTTGAAGCTCATCAAGTGGCGTATTGCTCCTTCAATCGATCTCGACATCATCAAGGAGACCAAATGTCTTCTGCTAGGTGCAGGCACTCTCGGCTCGTACGTCTCACGCTGCCTAATCGGCTGGGGCGTGAGGAAAATCACTTTTGTCGACAACGCCAAAGTCAGTTACAGCAACCCCGTCCGTCAGCCGCTCTTCACCTTTGACGACTGTCTGAACGGAGGATCTCCGAAGGCCGAAACAGCTGCTCAGGCGCTCAAGAAGATTTACCCTAGTCTCGATGCCATAGGCCATCAAATCTCGGTCCCAATGGCCGGTCACCCCATCATGGATGAGAAGAAAGTCAGAGCCGACTTCGACAAGCTACAACAACTCATTGCAGATCATGATGCCATCTTTCTGCTTATGGATTCACGCGAGTCACGCTGGCTACCGACAGTTATGGCTAAAGCAGCAGGCAAGATTGTCATCAACGCTGCTCTGGGTTTCGACTCATACATGGTGATGCGACATGGTGTACCCTCACAGCCTGAACAAGAGAGGCTAGGCTGCTACTTCTGTAACGATGTAGTCGCTCCCGCCGACTCCCAAAAATCAGCTACGCTCGATCAACAATGCACAGTCACCCGTGCCGGCGCCGCACCCATGGCTTCGGCCCAGGCCGTCGAACTCTTGGTCTCCATACTCCAACATCCTGACAAAGCAGCCGCACCTGCCCCTCCGGTGAACGACCCAGAGGCTCAGCACCCGAATCACCCCCTTGGCAGTGTACCACACACCCTACGCGGCTACCTCTCGAGCTGGCGCATCCTCAAAATCAGAGGCCAAGCTTACAACTGCTGTTCAGCCTGTTCGCCTACCATCGTCAAGCTTTACAATGACGCTGGCTGGGACTTTGTAAAGCGTGCCATTAACGAGAATGGATACGTTGAGGAAGTATCTGGGTTGGCAGCAGTCCAGAAGGGAGTCGATGATCTAGAGGACGATCTGGCTTGGAGTGAAGGCGAAGAGGACACTGAAGAAGCTGAGCTCATTTAGGTGAGTAGGGACTACCCCTGTCACCTTTATTATACTCCGCTGGTCGATCATCGTGATATTTTAAAGCTGTAGAAATGCACGATGTTTTTCGTTTACTAGGCTCGTCCACAGAGATGAGGCTTTCGACAAGCTCTCACTAGACACAACTCCGGATTGAAAAGTATCGTGCATTTCTACAACTATTTGAGTCACAGTTCTCAGCGCACGGAGAGGCCCAATGAGAGCTTCCAGTCGAGAAGCATGCTAACGTCTTCACAGTACCATGTCACGACAGCTTCAGCGTGTATAGGCATAAGCAAGAACAAAGCCAAAGGCAGAGGCAACCGCAACTGCAAACGCAACGGCAGAGGTCATGGGAAAGGCTAGGGCAGTGGCAATGGCAGTGGAAAATACTAGGGCAAAGGCAAAGAGAAGACTGTCGACGACAGTACCGACGATGAGAGTGTCGAGGGGGACAGCTCGAACCCACGCCCGCGATTGTCTCGCAAAAGGAAACAAGGCAAAGCCAGAACAGAGGCCAAACCGCCGAAGGCCCTCGCAAAAGCACACAGACAACAAGCAGTGCTGGATAGGCAAACCAGTCACCGACGAACAATACGCATCAAACAATATGTTCAGGGCCTCGCTCAGGGCCTCGGGTTTCTCACTATATTCTGGATATGGGTTGTTTACAGTTTGTTCCTGATATGTGCAACTGCTATGCTGCGCCATTTGCATGGTGGACCCTTGGACAGTGCGTGGCGCGTGAAATTCCTCACGTTCTACATGGGTATTTTCCTCATAATTGTATTCTTCGCGTCTAGCTATGCTTGCATGTGGCTGGACGGTACGCTAGAGCGCGACGAGGAGTGGTTTGAAGCTCAGGAGGACACTAGCGAGGAAGACAGCGATTGAGAAGGGAGAGGCTTAGGGGTCTGCTTGGCGTTATTCCATCACTTTAATTAATCAGTCGTTTGCTCGAGAAAAGTGCTCTCAGTGGAGGCTACTTGTGATCTGAAAAACATTGTGCATTTCTGCAGGTATCTTTGTGACTGTGTTTCGGCACTTGGAGCAGCCCTGTTGACATGCGGTATAAGTTGTAAGCAGGCTTGGTAATTGATGAAATAGATGAATAGAGTGGGAATGAGGACACAGTAAGGATGATTCTGAGTTGAAGGTGAAGTGTGTTGTCGAGTGGGTGGAGTTGAAAGTGATTTTAAGCGCCTGCTAGTATGAAAATGTATGTATGTGCGTTGACGCCGACTACATCACCGGTAACGAACTCGGAAGCTGTCCACCATTCATTCAGCTTCTCACATATCTGCGAAATGTCGAGAATACCGTACTATAACAGTCTGATCACACAGCGCTCCTTGCTGGCATGTTCTCTGTCTACTCGAACATTGAGAAGACCCCTTGGCGTTCGGATTGTTGATCAGACAAGTAGAATGTCTTTTCGAACCAGCAAACCACAAATGAGCAAGATTCCGCAGCTCCCATATGATCATAAATTCGAGGAAGAGCGATATCCCAACTACAAAGCTCACCAGTACTATCCCGTCCAGCTGGGACAGACATTCGCTTCAAGTTATCGAGTGATAGCAAAATTGGGTTACGGTACGGCATCCACAGTTTGGCTATCTCGTGATCTCAAGTTGAGTTGCATCTTGTCCAGGGTAGATCCAAAATTATTACGGCAAGTTCTGACGACAGCATTAGACAAAATACCCTGGTAACGCTCAAAGTGTGCATTCTTGGAGAGGATGAGTCCAACGAATTAGCAATTTCTCACCACATAAAGTCGTTCGACGATGGTATTCATCCCGGCAAGCATAGATCGCGCGTCACGTTAGACGACTTCCATGTCCGTGGACCCCATGGCACACATCACTGTCTGGTGTTTCCAGCCTTGGGTCGGACTCTCGCTCAAGTGCGAAATGTGTTTGAAGACCGAAAACTTGACAAGCTTTTATTACAAAGGTTTCTATACCCAATTTTACAAGGCCTAGATTTTCTTCATCAGACAGGAGTCGTGCATACTGGTCTGTTGAATTTTGTTAAACACCGCAAATGCAAGCTTGAATTTGAATTCACTGACTGTGGACCCTTCTAGATATCTCGCCTAACAATATCCTCGTAGAAGCCGATGATGACATGCTAGCCAATCTGGAAGAAACAGAGAGGCTGAATCCATCACCGAGAAAGGTGCTGGATGATCGTGTCATTCACCTTTCCTATACCATGCCAACGTCATACAAAGACCCTGTTCTTACAGATTTCGGTGCTGCATATCTAGGCGAACCAGGTCAAAAATACCGCGACGACGTTATGCCTGGTGTTTATCGTGCGCCAGAAGTCCTCGCAGGAATGGAGTGGGATTCGAAGATAGACATCTGGTCAATCGGTGTCATGGTACGTTTTGCGTCTCTATTGCTTATCTCATCCCGACTTTGTCTTCGGCTTTACTGATGAGAAACATCAGATCTGGGATCTTTTTGAAGACGGCAACTTGTTTCCTGCATACAGAAATGGTCATCTCGATGATGAACTGCACTTTGCCCAGATGATTGCCTTGATGGGACCTCCCCCTAAGGAGTTCCTAGACAGAATGAGTGAGACGCAGCGGGTCCGATACTGGGATTCTTCAGGTCAGTACACTCTCCTTCACGTAAAAATACCAATACTTTACACAGAATTAACCAGAGAAAAAAAGGCACTTGGATAGCAGAAACTCCGATTCCATCTCAAACACTCGAGTCACGCGAGATTCGTCTCCAGGGCAGAGATCACGAGTTGCTTCTTGGGTTGATGCGCAAGATACTCTGCTGGTTGCCAGAGGATAGACCATCGGCTGAAGATCTCTATAACGATGGCTTTATATATCAGTTTGTAGAGTACGTGATGGAGCTTGAGGAATCATCGCAGGGAAAACAAGGCTAGAGTGTGGAAAATTGAAGCTGAACAAATATGTCTGTGACCGCAAGTTGAGAAGTGGTTTGCGGCTGGTTTTCAGCTCGCGAAATGGTTAGTAAAGATCTCGTCTGGTTGCCCGAACTTTTCACTAGATGCTGTCGAGATCAATACAACTATTGTTAGCCAATCTGTACCGGCGAGTGAAGACGATTGTGTGTTCATCATCCGGCATTTGCGAATCACCTGCTAATGACCAGTCGAAGTATTCGGCATAGTGATAATTTTGGTAGTAGTGAGGCCGCCCGTTCGTTCTGACATCCTGATGAATATTGTCATTACGAGTGAAGGACCTCGCATAAAATGTATTGACTAGGAGCGGTGCTCGGAATATAACCATCCTGAGGGTTCGCCTGTGTTGTTGGCTGCTTGACAAAATGGCTTTCCCGAATGGTCAAAAGCCGTGACTGAAAATTAGAGCTGATATAATCGCAGCGGTCGTGGATGGAAGCAGCACACGTACGAATAAAGGGAAGGGACGTGCTTTGCGCTCTCCGGAAGGGTTTATGTAGCAAACCTAGGACACTGCGATGTACAAAGACCTGAGCTCGTACCCTAAAGTCCAGAGATGCTGGAAGGAGCGAACACCACTTACGTTGACTTCGGTTTACATCCTGTACCAATACGATAACATCAACTTCCGAATCCTTGAGCCTTCTCACGTCATGAGGTTCCAAGAATCCAAAACACACCGAAAGTATCTCCAAAAGTCAATTGCGCAAACAAGTTCAGACTGATTCATGGCGCAGCAGTCGAGTAGTGGAAAGAGCGAATAGATATGAAGGTGAAAAGCCCCATTGCGTTAATATCTGGGCGTATGTGTCAGGGCTCGGTCCGCTTTGAAGAGACTCTGCACCTTATACCACGTGTGAAGAAGCCTCATCCGATGGACGGAAACCGCCTAAATTGCATACAAACCCTACAAAACCATATCATTACTATCTGGAGGCTCCACAGAGATGAATGGGACGAAAGGCCTTATGACCTCTTGGTATGAGGCGAGTTTGTTGTTAGTGGAATATCGAGAGCCAGTAGAATTTGCTCAGATTGAGACCACAGTCATCAGAGAATTTCAGGAGCGACATATCAAATTTTTCCAACAGAGATATAAAAGTAGCAGATGGCTGAAGAACACATCTTTGTCCTTTAACCGATAAGTTTCGAAAATCGTCCTTTACTTCGCCTTTTCGGACCTCAAACGTCAATGTACCTAATCCCCTTTGGACACGATCCGATCGTATTGGTTGCTCAGCGGTTCCAGTACTCCAGAGAACGCAACAGGGACGATCTTCAAAGATTTGGCGCTAACTTGTTCCCGTACTCGCACTGTTTTGACCACTGGTCGAGGGCCAGACAACAGATGGAAGAACGTCTATACAAACAGAGGCGGCTTAATCTCATGGACCAACCATCTGAAATTTGGACGAGGGACCCACAACCTTCGAGGCTCTCATGTGAAGTCTCCGAGAGATGCCCCTGGATGTTCTTTGAGGGACTTGGCCAAATTGTCACCGAAGAGCCAGGGACCCTAAACAAGAGTATTGAGAAGCGTGATTCTTTCCTCGAAGACGAAACCGGAGAAAACCGAGCACCAAGCGAGTCTTCAACTCCCGGGACCGATAACACTTCCCTTGAGATCAAGATGCAGAACCTAGATCCCTACTCCTACTCGCAGCCCGAACTGACTGATCGCGGTTCGATGCTCCGTCCCGGAAACTGTCCATACCGAACGCGACAGGACAATGGCCAAGCTTCAACGAGCCAGATCATCCCGTCACAAAACATTACGCAGGAGGCAGACTTGCAACCTGCTCGATCTGAACCGACTGCTCAAGGCTTGAGTTCCAATACCGGGAGATGGAAGGGCAAAGGAAGACAGATCGGACGGTATGCGAACGGTTTCGTTCCATCCGGGCTCCCAATACAGGAGGAAGAATCGGAACCTGATCAATCTGGACCGTCCGGCCACGCTTCAAGCTCCCATACTGGCAGGTCAAAGGGCAAGCAACGACAGATTGAGTGGAATGACCAGCACAATGCGAACGAAGACGCTACGTCCGAGTGCGTGATGCGGGAAGCAGATTTCCAAGTTGCTCAACCTGGGTCGTCTGCATACGCTTCGAGCTCCCGTCCCAGTGAATTAAGAGGCACGCAACGGCAAATTGATTCACGGCCCCCTACGACCGGATGGACCCAATTTGAGTATCTCATGCGGGCAACAGGATCGACTACTTTTCCAGGACTGTGTGAACCGGCGGAGAACCAAAGCGCGGAATTTAAGGAAGCAGTGAAAACGGTTTCATCTCTGCGACCAGCGCCCGAGGATCTGCCGAGATACGTCACCCTGGATAGCTTGAACCTTGATCCAAGACTCCGAGTCGGGTGTATCGAGCACTCGATGGCTATGAGTGTGCGAATCGAGAACCATGTGTGCCCAGAATTGGAGCCTTGTTGGTCACCAGCCTGTTCAAAGTCAGTCCCGCCCTGCCGATTTGCTGATTCTTGCTTCGAGTATGGCAAGATGCCTTGTCATTGGGGTATGGGAAAGATACTGCGTGATCATGCGGAAACATTTGGAAAGGAGACCGCGATGGAGCAAGACCCGGCTGATATCATGAGAGCGTACCGTTGGCGTTACCAGAAAGACCAGAGACACCAAGGTGATGAATCATGGTACGACCCATCCCAACAGTTCTGGGTTAACGCGAAGTTCGCAACGCCAGAGTGTGTGCAAGCGCAATTGCAGGAGCTTCCGCAATACCTTTATGAACAGCAACAACAGCAGTGTCAACCACAGCAAAGGCTAGAGCTACTGCCTCCGCCTCCGCCTTCGCCCACGCCTCCGCCGCAACGTCAGTATCGGCCTCCACCTCAGCGTCAATCTCAGGAGCAATTTCGGCAACAGGTTGAGCAGCAAAAACAGAAAGATGATCAACGTCAGCAGGAGCTGTTTCAGAAACGGGAACAACAGCAGCAGCAGCAGCAGCAGCAGCAGCAGCACCAGCAGCAGCAGAATAGTCCACACCCGCATCAGCAAAACGGTCAGCAACAGCGACAGCCTCAGCTTCAGCAACAACAACAACATTACCAGCAGCAAAACTGCCCACACCCCAACCAGCAAAATCGCCGACAATGGCCAAATTATCAACAACAACAGCAAAATCGCCGACAATGGCCAAGTTATCAACAACAGCAAGACCGCGGACAACAACAGCAGCAGAGTCAGCAACAGAGTCAGCAGCAAAGTCAGCAGCAGAATCAGCAGCAGAATCAGCAGCGTAGGAGAGATTAGAGTGGAGAATGTGGTCCAAATTAGCGAACATACCAAGACTTACAGTACAGCGTAGAATCCGATCGATGTGTATAACGATCAATCCGTGATAGATCACGCGCAGATAGAACCAAAATCGATTTTTTTGACGTTTGCTCGAACGTGCTCAAAGTCTTAGCCATGACTGCTGAGTGGGAGTCACAGCCCAACCCAAAGGCAGTATACCAGTCATCTATGCAGACTTCAAATAAGAAAATGGAAAATGATTCCTCATCTTTTGTATCCATAGCTCGAAGATATTCTCTGCGATTTATCAGGTCCACAACCAGTGTAAGCTCACGATGAACAATGATGCCGAGACCGAGACACAATCCACCGAGTTCCAGGGCCCCGAGCTTAGGGATCTTCTTCTTGAGTCTTATTCAGAGGAGAGGACACTTGCGCATCCAAGGCAAGAGGCACATCGGCGTAACCATTACGAATCGAGTGCTCGAAGGATTCCCTTGCCCTTCGGAGTCTCTTTCTGTCCAGCCGGGTTTGCAAGCCCCCAAGACCAGCAGAACGCCATCGACGCTGCGAAGAAAGCAAAGAAAGACCACGATGATGCCCAGAAGACCGGATACGCGCCATGGACTCCGACAATCTGGTATTCGTCAGGACTCCGTCACCCAACGATAGAGGACCCAAGTCAAGCAGTGTACGAGCAGCCACCGATGGATCCGAAGATATTTAAATTCAAGTTGAAGCATGAAAGTATGATGGCACTTTGCGCTCGGTCGAGTGATGTGCCACGATACGGACATCCGTATCAAACGGTTCATCCCGATCAACCAGAAAGCAGATGTCCAGGGCATATCGCATGGCGAAATCGGGTCATCCAGGTATGGAAGGAGTCCAGGTCTTCCGACATCCGCCAATGCACCAACGCCGACACATTCCACTCTGACGGGACCAAACCCTGCAAATGGGATTGGGGAAGGATATTTCATGAGTATGCGTTGGCGCACGATCGCTCAAAGATGGAGAACGATGACTTGGATTCCATATTGGAATGGTTCCGCCAACAGCATGTCGGAGAACCAAGGTTCCAAGGCCTTGAGCTGGGTCTACAGTTCCCTATCACCGATGCTCATGCGAACAGATACTGGGTGCCAGTCCAATCATCAGAGGCTCCATAGATCCATTCAATAGCCACAAGAGCGAGGCATAGAGGCGTGGCTTGGACCGAGACCAGCCATGTGGACAAGATGATGGGAAGAGGACGACCTGTGGGCTTCTGGTGGAACTGCTTTTCAGACCATGCTTGCTGATGTTACACAGATAGCCTGTCCGGATTGTTTCCTGCGAGAATTTCAATAACAGTTATCCATGCCTGAATATAGTTGATCAACAAGAGTGCCTCTTCATCGCGATTCATCGAACCTCAAGGTACGACTGAGGCTACTATAGCGACGAAGAAGAAAGCCAGCGAAAGTTTATATTAGAGACATCCACTGTGACGTCTCAGCGATACCCAGGGAAGCCGCTATGATGAGCATCGTACGTTGCGATAGTGTTAGATGACATGTCCTGGCCTCGGAGTAGTGGTTTGTCCATGATCCGTCGAGTTGGAGACTTTGCACAATTGCGTAGGATAAACATTCTTGATTGTAGACAAACATGGTACAGTCGATACTCACAGCAGAAAAACAGCAAAGCAGGAGATGGAGTTGACGAAAAGCCAGAGCTGAGAAGCCAAAGCCGCACGCTTGGCCGTTTCTCCCGTTTCGGCCAGAAGGCGTCTATTCTTGGGCTCCGGTTCACTCAACCAACTCTACTCCTACGCGCCGAGCTGGCCCTGCATGCAGCTTGTACAAGTCGAGTACGGACAAACGGCCTCTCCGAGCAGAGCCGCCGCCTAGTTTGCGATAAGTTTTAGAGTTTCCTTGATATCTGTGAGACACAAGCAGGTCAAGGAGAAGGAAAAAGTCAAGTCGCTCTTTCCCTTTTGCATCCACCATCCCCCTGTTCGTGCCTTCCTCCTGTCTCTTCAATTTCCGTGTCTGCCAGGCTTCAGCTCAGCTCTCGTACCTGGAACCGCCGATCTTAGAATCACTCGCTATTCACGATGCTCGCCTCAACAATCATCTCCGCTCTGTCGCTGTTCGCGGTCGCATCTGCTCAGTCTTCCACCGCTTCCGCTTCCTCGGCCTCCGCTTCTGCCACTTCCGCTGTCGCCGCATCAATCGCCGCTGGCTCTAGCGGATACTCATACGTCGGGTGCTGGAATGAGACAACCGGCATAGAAGGCACATCTGGTGCTCGCGCTCTCTCGGGTGGAAAGATGGAATCGGTCGACACTGCTACTGTTGAGGCATGTTTGGAATACTGCGGTGCTTCCAACTACCAGTACGCTGGTTTGGAGTACGCTCAAGAGTATGTGTGAATAACATCATCATAGCTAGGAGAAATGCTGACTGTATAACAGGTGCTGGTGCAGCAACTACATCTCTTCCTTGTCAACACAATTGGAAGAATCCAACTGCTCGCTTGCATGCAAGGGCAACGACACCGAGCTTTGCGGCGGTTACCTTACCATCACTCTCTACAACCTCACCAGCAAGAAGTCTAGCTCTTCAAGCTCGTCTTCGAAGACCGGTGCTGCCTCTACCGCCGCCTCTAGCTGGACCTATGTGCTGGGCGCAGGTGTCATGGCCTTGACACTCGGTACTGCTTTGTAAGAAATGCATGGAATGAGAATATACCCAGGGAAAATATGACGGAAGGTCATCGGGATAGACGGATACGGAGTTCGGCTTGTTTATCAGCGCCAGGAGTATTGCGGAATTCAGAGAAACGAAACATATGTTGTCATTTTCGCTGCATTGAGGGCAGGATGCTAGAGCCTAAGATGATGTTCTACTTAAGCTTCATTAGTTTTTCACCAACTGGTTCTGGGGCCTGAAGAATACAACAGAAAATGAACGAGTATCATGACCAGATGGACAATAAAGACCGCGGCAAGAGTTATACTAAACTGCATCTAAAATATCGGCTCAAGTGGTGAAGGCAAGCCCCGAGTATACCGAGATTCCGAGCGCTTAAAGCGATGAACGAAGTCTAAACCACATACTTTCTGTAATAGGGTCAGCTAATGTACAGTAGGAGGAGAGAAAACTCACTTGTCGTCTGTCCTTGAATTCGCGGTAGATCTCATTCCATACATCGCGATCACTACAGTCGTCCTCACCCGAGGCGGTCACATGGCATGCAGGCTGTATATCTATTCTTATAGACTCGTCACCAGCGATCCATGGCTTCGGATATGGCCAGTCGGAGAAGTGTAGGAATTTGGCTTCCTGGAGCACTTGACGTGGATTCCACACTTCTGTCGTTGATCCCAAATAGTTCTGGTGCTTTGTGCCACGGAACTCGCCACTGAGTAGGTCGTAGCGCCTATGTGGCAGTATCAGGCAATCTCGACCATATAGATTGTTCACAATTTCCATGTCGAAGTCAGTATTTTGCCGGTGCTCGAAAGCATATAATATGCGCTCGAATTCTTGCTTGGATGGCTGTATCACGACCAGCTGGGACGATAGAGTGTTGTTCAGCCAGTAAGCTCGAGGCATGGCGACAGGAACACGAGGCAAGAAGAAGAGCTCATCCATGGGCTGATCTATATGTCAGCATGATTACAGAGCGTGGACTGGTAGGACCGAAGAGATTACCTGCAGAACATTTGCGTCGGAGTCGAGACTGATCACACGTTCGTATTGTGTTTGGTTGAATGCCAGAAGCTTTGTGAAGCTATCCCCCCAGGTAGCTTCTCCAGCAAAATGCTGGACATGGATTGGGACCAGTTTGACGTTGTAGTCTTCTCGCGCTCTCTGCAACAGATCTGCTTCCGAGGAGTTTGACTCCAAAGACCACTGCTCGGGATACATCATCAGACGCTCTGCTTTGCTCCCTAACCGATGTAGCGTCTCAAAGATCATGAGGGAGTTGCACAAATAATCCTTCCCTGTGACGTATTGCGTATATGCGAATTTGGACCAGTCAGCGTTGATGTAAGTATCTTGCGAGATCTCAAGACCGATTTCCGAGGCCGGTGAGTTGGATGAGTTGTTGTACACTCTCAGGTCCGAGAAGCGACCGTCCACAGACAATATTGAGAAGAGGTATGCGAATACTCCGAGGACCAGCAAGACCAGTACAAGACGTGGAATACGTAAAAATGCTCGGGGAAACGTCTTCAGAAGTCCTGGGTGTCCTGAAGCCTCTGGTCTGTTGTTCTCTTCGTCCGACGACTGGACTGCCTTGTATCTATGCACCCATGGCGAAATGTTATACCAAACCGACATGGCGAACACACGAGAATCTTACAAAAGTTGTAGACCGAAGGTTGGAAGGAAAGTCAATGAAAACATGCACTAATCAGACCGATCATCTAGAAAAGCGAATGACAACAAGAGCCGAGAAAGAGCTGCTTGCTCAAGCCACTGTTCAGTCTGCCGCCGTGTCCTTACCTCTCAAGGCTAGATTCACGCAAGCCCCATAGAACGACATGAGATCTCGTTTGGGCGCTGTCATTGCAAGCTGAGTCTGGGCGGTTAGGTGCATGATTCGATGAGGCTTTGCCGTCAGGATTTTATATTGGACCCAGGTCGTCGGCGCCGCCAAGCCCGGCACCTACACGACGTGCCCCTTTTATATCTTGCAGACTCCAATCATGTCCAACTTTAAGCGCCCACCCGCCAACTTTCACTCTCTTGCATACAAAGGCTCGACCGGTTGCTCCGAATTGCTAGTTCGAGAGAACAGGCGCCTGTGTGATACGCCATTTGTCGGTTAAACGTCTTCTGGACAATCCACTTCAAGTGAAGCAGTCGGAGTAGACCAACCCAAGCACTATTACTATACCACAACTAGCTACTACCATGGGCTTGTGAAGAACCCGCACTGGAACCCTGGTATGGAACCAGCGCAAGAACCCATCCAGTAATGGGCCGGCGACGCAATGAGGCTGAGATAAGGCAAGCCGCAACGAACTAGGTTTCAAAAAGAATGAGCTTGAGCAGCGGTCTCATCATGAGTCTCTGCGCTGCCACATCACAGTCCCGCATCCAATGAATGCTGCATGGCTTGCAGGCAACATTTAGTATCTGGACACCGGCAAGGCTGAAAATCCAACTCGCAGATTCAGGCATGCCCCCTCCCCGTGTGCTGAACCTTGTCACGCGTATAGCTATAGGACTACGCAATTTTCAAAATGTTCAGAGGTGGCCTCCACTAAGAGCGTGATAATCAGTGCCTCTCCACGGACGACTAGACCGATATAGAAAACATTCTGCATTGCTACAGACCAAATAACCTAGGTCTGGCCGTGGGACATGGCTAGAACTGACTGGTGTTAGCACACGGAGAGGCCGGACCTATGCAGGAGCTGATATTAGTCGAACCAAGGTCATGGATTTGTTCTAAGAGTCCTTTCCAGGTGCTATTGCTTTCTGGCCTGCTTTATTTTGCATTCCGTGGGCGTGAAAGAGACTGTGTGTGGGCTGATCTGCCACGACTGGTTCTTCGGAGGCCAGGAGCATGTCAGGGCTCGTCTAGATTGCTCGAGCATCATCGATAGAGTATGCACATCGCGAGTTCTAGCTTGTTGCGATAGCCGCGTGGATCCAACTTTGGCGCCTACCACAAGCCACTCGGGAAACCAAGTGCATATCTCATGCGATTCCATTCTAGTAACTGGGCGCGTCAGCACACTCCATAACTTTGTGCTGTTGAGCACCTTTCGTTCCCAGCCTAAGCATTCCTCTTTCTAGTCCCTTCGAAACCATGTTGAACACTCAGAGTCGTGGCAGCTTTGCCATCTCTTCCACACTCGTTTTGCTTTTCTTCTCCACTTTGGAATGCTCTACTGCTCAGCAGTTTTTACCGATTGACTGGAGCGAGACTAAACATGGGCCAGATGGACCTTGGAACGCCCTGTCCGTACAGGTTGGCGGAATGAAGAATTCGACTCCCATCAAGTTGCAGCAAGTGCAAGTTGACCTTTACCCTGGCAGTCATTGGAGCTCGTTTATCCCCATGAACGTGTCATGCGAGACGGCTGGATCTACCTGTGGTCAGGGTACAACATGGTCACCCAGCTTCGACCGCGGGACCGAAGCTGTGACAACGGTCTCTGTCAGTTTCTCGCCATATTTCGTATGGAATAACACGAACACCAATTTCGAAGGAGAGGTGGTCGCTCAGGCGATCACTCTTGGTGGCAAGACTGTTTATCAAGCCGACCTAGTCAGTTTCGGGCCCGAAGGATCTGGATATGGCTACAGCAGCTCTATCACGTACCCCAATGGCGTGAAAACCCTTCCATCACTTGGACTGCTGGCGCTCAATGCTGGCCCTAACAACAAAGACATGGATCAGCAGTTCGCAAAGAGTGATACTAACAGTACATACGGCTCTGAAAGTGTTTGGATACCCGCGGGATATCTCTACAACCAAAGCATCATTCCATCTTACTCTTATGGCTTGCAGATGGGTTCTGCCGCACTCGGATATCCTGGATCCTTGTACCTCGGAGGCTACGATAAAGGAAGAGTGATTGGACCATACACTACCTACGGCACACAGAATCCGACCTTGCTTGACATTCAAATTGGAGTCGAGACGGGAGGTAGCCCTTTCTCCTTCCAGAACAAGACCAATTTGTTGCTCCTTGACAACGATGATGGCGGCAGCATCAACGTAGAGATTGTACCACATTCACCATCCCTCTACCTTCCGGTCAAGACTTGTGAGGCGTTGACCAAAGTCTTGCCGATCTACTTCGATCAAGTAACCAAGTACTATCTCTGGAACACATCTGACCCGAACTATAATTCGACGGTCAAGTCGGCCTCGTACTTGAGCTTTATTTTCCCTCCCGCACCAGGGGCTTCGGACAACGTCACCATCAAAGTACCCTTCAAATTACTGAATCTCACTCTCACTTATCCTATTGTTGCTTCGCCAGTACAATACTTTCCGTGCCAGGCAACAGTGCCCAACGTTGACAGCCGCATTGTTTATGCTCTTGGTCGAGCCTTCCTTCAAGGCGCGTTTGTCGGCTGGAACACGAATACGAACATCGGATGGCTCGCTCAAGCTCCTGGTCCAGGTGACTCTGGTACGGGACTGGGCACAGAGGGGAAGAACATCGCAAATGATGCTACCGTGATCGATGTGTACGATGGCAGCAAGAGCAATTACTTTGCACAGTCATGGGCCAAACATTGGGAGCCGATACCTTCGACTGCTAATACAGCGCCAACCTCTGCGGCCTCGGCCCCGGCTTCGACAGCTCAACAAAAGAGCATATCTACGGGCGCCATAGCCGGTATTGCTATTGGCGGCGCCGTCGTCGTCTTTGCGCTCACCGCAGGCTTAGTCATATGTGCAATGAGGCGCCGCAGACAACGCAAAACTGTCAAAGAGATCCCACTTGATGAGCGGAGCGACTCTCCTAAGACAGTCGACATTATGATGGAGTCACCTTCTCGGTTGCTTACACCACCGCCGCCTTTCACCCATGGTCCGCACGAGCTCCATCAGGGCCGATTCTACCAGGTTGCAGAGATGCCAAGCAACCGCGAAGTACAGGAGTTGCATGCGGAATCTCGATCCGCACCAGTGAACTTGGGACGACGCGACGTTCACGAGTTAGGACTTCCCCCGACTCCCAGAATTTAAGCGTAGGGAACTAGAGACAGGTGAATGGTGACGGATCATGATGTTTATGGCAGACAAAGGTGCCAACGATTCTTATGTTGTCTCCTTAGTATACCATTGTGCAGGCACAGTTTCGTGCGTAATATGTTTCTTAGGATATAGTTGAATACTGTCTTATTATCAATTTCGGTTGGTTGCTTCGAACGCTGTCATGCCTTGAATGGTGCGACCTGATGTTCAAATATCCCAAAAGTGAAGGAACAAGGCCATAAGTCGTGACTTTCTCGAGGAGCGGGCCAAGCAAACTGACCATCCCTCTCCGCAATAAGGCTTGGCGCCCTCCGCGACGTCCATACAACCTACGTAACTTTGCGATCCACGATTCTGCTATTGTCGCGTGCATTTTCCATCTTCAACGACGACACTCGCCGCCTTTGCCATTTGCGCGCGCACCGGACGGTCTCAATTCAGCAACGTCCTTTTCTTCTATCACGGTCATTCTCGCAGGGAAAGAGCAAGGAACTTTTGGGGGAGCGCGCGCGTCTATTCGGATCTACCTTCCTCAGTAAAAGCGCCATTAGCTTGGTCGGCTTTCACATCTTGTCGCCAGTCGTCGCAGCATTCACATCATCGACAAGTATTGCGAGGGTGAATAGACCAGCTTCACTCCGACACGCAACTTCATATATACCTCTCCGCGCAACACTACAACCTCTCCCTCCGCTCTACGCGCATACACACCTCTCAACACACCGTCGCCATGTTCTTCCTCCACGAAATGGAACGAGTGGTAAACCTCCACCCCTCCTACTTCGACAAAGACACACACAAATACATCACCGACACACTCTACCAAGACGTCGAAGGCACAAACACCGGAAACTTCTACATCGTCTGTGTGGTGTCCGTGTTGGATATCTCCGAACCTCGCGTTCTGCCAGGCTCCGGATTCGCAGAATTCACCATCATGTTCCAAGCGGTGGTTTGGAGACCTTTCAAGGGTGAGGTCTGTGATGGTATGGTGAGCAGTGTGGTTAGCAATGGCTTCTTTGTTGATGTGGGGCCGTTGAATATTTTTGTTTCGAAAGCTGTGAGTTTTCTTTTTGCTATGATATCTTGGGAGTGGTGGGGACACAGGGTGCTGATGAAGGTCACAGATGATTCCCAGCGACATCAAGTTCGACGGTAATGCGACGCCGCCGCAATTCACCGATAACGCAGATCAAGTCATTGAGAGGGGCACTCACATCCGTGTCAAGATCAAGGGTATCAGAGGTGAGGTTGGTCAGATGTACGCCATTGCTACCATCAAGGAGGATTACCTTGGGTGAGTTTTACTGTTCTCTGCTACGTCTCTTGTCAAATCCGCTAACCTTATCCATAGCCCCCTCCTCGAAACTTGAGAGCCGCCTCACCAGAATACACCGGCTACGAAACATCACGAATCGCAAGAGAAAAACAAACAAGATGCCATGCAATGCAAGGGAGGTGCTATAGAAGAAGGTCAAAATGTGTTACACTTCAGGGATAGGAAAGCTCAAAGGCAGCACTAAAGGTGGCTGTTCAAAGTTCTCCATTATATCAGGTCTTCCAGCAGCGAGCGAGCAAGAAAGACCGAAAGCGAGAGACAAAAGTGGAAGAAGCACAAAAAGACAACGCCTTTGATATCCCTTGATATAGTAGTAGAAAACACCCCCTCCCATAATTTCCGCCTTCGAAAGCAGCAGTACCCAAAACAAGAAAAAAGGAAGCCATATGCACATCAAAAGATCCCGTGCCTGTCTCAAGCAATACCAGTGACCCTTCTGACAGACCTCCTCTGACCTTCGCCCGAAATCAATAACTTGCCTTCTCCCTCCAATGATCTTAGAGCCTCCGCCAACTCGGCAGATTCCACAGTAACAGTGGCATCCTCGCCTACTCTTCTCAACACCTCGTTGACCCTGACACTCGACTGACCACCCCTGAGCATATCGTCAACAGCACTGAGCACAGCATCCTTGAGATCTGCCTTCCTCTTTCTCTCACTAGCACTGGTACCTTCAGTCAACAATCCCATATCAATGAGTCCAGTCCTCGAATCCGTCGCCGATTGCTTGAGCGCGGATTGAATCAAGCGTACAGCTTCTCCCACATCGTCAGCGGTGACTTCGCTGCGAAGATGCAATTTCGCATGTGCTTCTGCGAGACGGATCATGGATTCTAATTGACGGGTTGTGGCTGTGATGCGGCGATCTGCGGCGCGGACGTCGGCGCCCAGGGCACGCATGGAGACGTAGGCGTCGACGAGGGCTTGGGAGGCCTCTTCGGTGATTTTTGGTTGAATGTTGTTGCGAGCGTAGGATATGTAGGAGGTGAGGAATTCAACGGGCTGTTGTGTTTGTTAGTATAAGAGACACGGTTGTAGAAGGGATGGTCATCAAGACTTACGAGAATCTCATTCGCACTGGCATTCTCAGGGGCGTCGTCGAGGTACATTCCGACCAAATGCTTTGCCATGCGGCGATCGTTCATCTCGTCGATGCGGTCGAGTACGAGGTAGACCAGATCGAAACGGGACAGCAGTGTAGGTGGCAGGTCGATGTTTTGAGGTACAGGCAGGTTAGGGTTATATTTACTGCCGATGGGGTTGGCGGATGCCAGGATACTGGTTCTTGCGTTCAATGTCGTGATGATACCGGCCTTTGCGATAGAGACAGTTTGCTGTTCCATGACTTCGTGCAAGACTGAGCGGGTCGAGTCATTCATCTTGTCGAACTCGTCAATACAGCAGACACCACCGTCTGACAGGACGAGAGCACCAGATTCCAGAACAAGCGTTCTTGTCTCGGGGTCACGAGTGACATAGGCAGTCAGACCAACGGCCGAAGAACCCTTACCACTGGTGTAGACACCACGAGGGGCAATCCTGTGGACGTAAGAGAGAATCTGCGACTTGGCTGTTGAGGGGTCACCACAGAGCAAGACGTTGATGTCGCCACGGTACTTGGGGCTACCACCTTTGTCGAATGACTTGTTGGTACCTCCGAAGAGTTGGAGAAGAATGCCCTTCTTTACGTCGTCCATCTCGTAGATACTGGGAGCCAGCGAGCGAGACAGCAGATCGTACACGTCCGGTCGAGAACCAGTCTCAAGAATTCTCGCCTCTTCTTCTGCGCTGACCTTTCGGACTTCTTCCTTACCACCGGAAGCTTGCTCTGACAACTCTTCCTCGAGAGTCGAGATGTCAATGCCCATGCGACGCTTGTCGACCTTCTTGATGAACACACAGTCAATGTACGTCTTGAAGATGTTCTTGACTGATCGTTGACGAGGGTTGATGCGGACTTGGTTGCACTTGAAGACACCGGTAATCTCGACTCTGTCACCAGCTTTACACACATCTACCAGATCATCGTAGACACAGAGCGAAACCGAGTGAGGAGTTTGTCCATCGGGTACACGATCGGGAGTCTCCTGCAACTTGATGACTTGCTTGTTGGAGAAGGTACAGCGATTGTGTACAATCTGCATGGAGTTGGGAGAAGCGCATTGATCACGAGGACAGACGGTTGGCTCTGCGATCTTGCCACGATCGATGTCGACCCTGACGGTATGATGACAGACAGAGCATCGGAAGAAAGCCTCTCTCATATCGGGGATGATTGGTGTGGTTCTGATGACCAAACCCTTGACGCTGACCATCTTGTCCATGTCTCCCGGGTTAAGGTCGCGCAAGTTGATGGTCTTGCCCATGTTGAAAGGTCTGATTCTGAAGATACGGGCCTCGACTTCTCGAACAAGGTCAGGCTCGTTGGGGTCCTCAGGGCCTTGTGCAGGCCGCGGTGTAGTAGCATCGATATCTGAAGAAGGAATGGCGGGCACAGAGTCACCTCTAGCCGTCTGCTCACGATGTTGGGCTTGCATTCGCGTCTCGGCCATGCGCTTCTCAGCCAGCTCAATCATAGTGTCTTTCAAGGCCTGGTCGAAGATGGGAAGAATCTCGGCAGGGAAGTTCTGCATCTGGTACCAAAGCTTTTGTGTAGAGGGATAAGCCTTGAGATTTTCCATATCCAGGTTGAGCTGGGTTGTTCCCAGATCCAACATCAGCTCCAGAGTGTCCAAGTAGATCTTCTCGTTTCCAGGATGATTTGGGGGCAGGTTTTGGGTATCTGTGAGATCTCCATCGTGGCGCATGCGGTACTTCTTCTGGAAGTCACGGAAGAAAGTCTGACAGGTGCTCAAGGTGTCGGAAACACTGATGTTGGTACCCCAGACGGTCCTTGTCGAATGGCCTCCGAGAATGTTAGCTTCAGAAGTGTGTGGGTCAACATTGGAAAATGTGGCAGTGTCCGAGTGTGATGTTTCGTCGCGTGTAGGTCTGCCGTTCTCGTCGACGAACAACCTTCTTCTTCGGCCGCTCCCAGAGAGAATATCCGAATCGATATCGTGGCGTCTATTGACCGCGCCGACTGGGGCTCCAGAGTAAGGTGAGCGCACGAATAGACCACTGCTGTCGCTTCTGAGCTGGTTGGCTCGGTCGCCGGCTGTCAAGGGTGCGCCGCTGGAACTGGAAGCGTAACGAATAGGAGAAGAGTCTGAGACGGATAGTCAGTGGTGTGTTAGACTTGTGGTCGCTATGCAAATGCGCACCTCCTATGGTCTGTCCAGATGCTCTAGGCGTGGGACCTCCATCGCTAGGCAGAGTCGAACCTGCTCTGATAGGCGAGCTCATACCATCAGCGCCGCCATTGGCCGCAGGAGATGAGCGGAAGAACAGCGGTGACGATGCAGGCGGGACCTGTGACGAGTTCTGTGTGGTTCCATCGGTAGGGGGTTGCAATGAGCCCTGCGAGGCTGCTGCTTCGTTGCGCAATTGTTCGTCGGGACCATAGTTATCCTGAGGCGGACTGCTCGGTGCAGCTGGCGGTGAAGACATTGTGATTGTGTTATACACAGAACATGGATTGTTCGCGCTGCCTTCGAGGAGAAACAAACAGTGACCGAGCTTGGACAATTTCTGGAGGCGCGACGTGCTGTTTCGTGGAGTCTTCCAATTTCGTCCCCTTTCGGAATAGCTTCTCTACCGCATCTTCGACATCAACAATTAACATCACCATCCACAGCACAGTCAACTACACATAATCAAAATGGCCCCTCCTTCGCAGCTCGCAATCGCTACCTCGGCTGTTAACCGCCTTGTCAAGGAAGAGGCAAGCTACCACAAGGAGCTCGAACATCAGCAAGTTCGCATCGAAAAGCTCAAGCAGGCTAGCAGTGACGAAGAAAATGCCGAATGGAACCTGAAGCAGGAGGTTTGTGCTTCTACTATTCTGAAAACACCACAATACTGAGAATAAACAGAACAGAGCCCTTGAGGAGACCAAGGCCATGTTCCCCCAACTTCGCAAGCGCATCCAGGAATCGTTGGCCAAGCTTGAGCAGCAACTCGTAAGTCTGACTTGATCGAATAACATTCAACCGTGACTAAAATCTCGAACAGGAACAGGGTGAACAGAACAACCCCGAAGAGATCACAAAGGCAAAGGAGGCTGTGGCATCTGCCTTGACTGCTATCAGAGAGACCTCGTAGGAGGATCGCTCCTTGAACACTAATGTAAATACTCAAAAGCATAAACGAGATTCATGATGACCACGGTTCTATCCTATGGAATTTCTTTTCGTGAGTAATTGTTTTGGCCTTCGTGTCTAGGTGACATCCATGTGTTCGCCTTCTTCGGCCGAATCTTCTGCTGCTTCACCTTCTTCGAGCTCCGTGACTGGTGCTGGTTGAGGCGTTTCGCCGGCCTCCATCATGTCCGTATCCAGTGGCTTCTCTCCTGGAGCGGGAATTGTATCTCCGAGATCAGATGTTTGTGAGGTGGCTCCTGCGGCGGGTGTGTTTGCTCCAGTAGCCTGCGATGCTCCCCTGCTGCGCTTGGGATTTGATGGATCATCGTCTTCGCCGCCCATTTCAGGTCCAGGAGTACCCATACGGCTGTTCTCTTTGGTGGCCTCGCCATCTTCGCGCTCCTCGCCATCTTCCATCGTTTCGTCCTTCTCCGGTTCGTCCTTTTCACCCCTAATGACTCTGAGCATCTGCTTTCCAGCGGCCATGATGTTGTCAAACTGTTCCTTGCGCTCTATCCATGTTTGCTCGTATTCTTGACCTTCGTGTTCCAGGTCTGAAATCTCGGCGTTGAGCTTCTCCAAACTTGCACGCTGCTCTTCCCTCGGCTTGAGCATGCGATTTCCGGTAATCTTCTCAGCAAGCACATCATATTCCTTGCGCAAGGTCAAAGTCTTCTGAGCCTCTTCCAACTGTATGCGCAGCTCTGCAGTGTTATCGCGCACGGCTTGGGCGGTGTCCAGGATCTTGGTCTTCTCGTCTGCATATCTTTGACGCTCTTTCTCGTTGCTGTCCTTGAGGAACTGGATGCGAATAAAAGTGCTTTCCAGAAGGGCAAAATCGACCATGACATCTTCACGCCATTGTCTTCTCTCCTGCTCTTGCTTTTGACGTTCTGCATCCTGGTCTGCGCCCGAGTCGTCAGGCGGTGGGGTCGGTAGTTGAGCTGGGGATCTGAGGAGCGAGTCTTTGCCTAGTAATCGCTTGGTAACGCGTGCGAATGGACGTTCCTCAACATTGAGTAAGCGCGCCGTGTGCAATGCATCTGCGTTTATGTGTTAGCACTCTGCTCATAATGCTTGAGCTTTCACACGCTTACCTTCGTCTGCTTGCTCGAGCAGTCCAAACGGGTGACCAGACATTGCGTAAGTCCAGCAGTACGTCGGTCCTGAGTCTCGAAAAAGTGAGTAGGTATTGCTGGGTTGGTACGAAGATTGTTGCATTCGCGCCAGTGACAAGCAAACGCCAGATTCGCGCCGATCAGCCAAGCAAGGACTACCCCAGACCCATGCGGCGGGCCGAGATCCGACGCACTTGCCCTAGCGCCCACATGGGTCTAGGCAGTCGAGGTCATCGGCGGGCTGACTCCATTTCATTGTCCCGCCAGTCATTGTCTGTCCAAACTTCAAACAACCAATCCACTTCACTTTCTCTTTCCGGATTTTGTCTTCTGTACCACGAACGCTCCCTGAGTTTCTATACGCTTTCGACATATCCTGTATCTTGCTCTATAGTTACCCCTGTGACATAGAGTACTTGATAATAGAGTTGGGGCCATTGTTGATCTGACCTTTGCTGCACATACTTATCTCGACATGGCAGCCCCTCTACTTGACATGGCGCAACGCGCTTGTATCAGACATGTTATGGATCTGCAAGATGTCGGTGAATTAAGCTACAAAGTCATCCGCCCTGTTCTCAAGAGCGTCACAAACCCAGCACAACTCGTAAGTAGTATACCACGCCCTTGGAGGTCTACCGCCTTGCTAACATCCCTACAGCGCCAAATCGAAGAAGCTTCTCCTCACATCGCCGAAGATGATGCCGAACTCTGGGAAGCCTTTATCAGGAGAGACATATCAAAAGCCGAAAGCAGATTAAAAACCACACGACCAAGAAATCCCTCCTCCTGGTGGAAGGTATATCGCAAACTAAAGAGAGAGGACGAGACCGAAACAAAAGCAGCAGAAGAAAAACTCAAGGCTGCTTTGAACAGACACAAGGTCGACAAGGGGTCCAAGCAGACCAACATCGTACGTGCCGTCATCCCTTCGGGAGAGAAGCGAACAGGATGGAGTGCCGGTCCGAAAGAAAAGCCTTTCGGCGCTCAAGCTTTGAAGAATGCAAAAACGGCAGCGGATACCATCACCATCCTCAAACGACAGACAGCACAGAGACAAGCAGGTCGCAGCGTCGCTCAGTCCACCCCGATGCATCAACTCCAGCAGATGAGAGGCAAGGTCGCCCAGGCGCCCGCTCATATGATTCGACAATACGCTCAGAAGCCTGGACCATCAAGGCCGGCCCCTATAGCGCCACAGCCTCAAGCCTACAGACCCGTCTTTGCTTCGAAACCACAAACACAAGCCGATCGGGCCCTAGTAACGGCACTCAACCAGAACAAGCAAGAGCAAGAAGCAAGAGAGAGGAGATTACTGGCCCTGACGAGTGGACCCTCGACGAACAAGCCCAGACCTACGGCAGCGGCAGCACCGGCACGTCCACCTCCAGCAACAACACCCGCGGCAATCGCAGCACCAAGAAGATCATCACCCATACCAGTGCGGAAACCATCGCCAGTCCACCATACATCTGGTTCCAATCTGGTGAGGAAGAGACCAGCCTACGATCCGTTCTTGCCGGCCAAGAAAAGAAGACCTTGAAACTATACCATTCCTCTGAAAAAGCATACGGCACATTTGGTTCATAATACCACATCCAGTACCAAGTCCAACGGCTATTCCATCATATTACATAGTGTATCAAACATCACATGTGGATTCGCAGCGAGGAAAGATGAATTGTGAGGATCGCATCATGTCCAAAGAGGAGCTGAGTTGACTAGATGCGGGATATGTACACGAGCGAAGGGTAAAGGGCGTGGAACGTGTATTGAACAGGCCTTGAAGGCTGAGTAGGACGTTCTTACGAGAGACGACCATCTCAACTACTTTGAAAAATAAAGAATATCATCCGTCCATAGCATGATCCTTGAAAGACGAACGACCGCTCCATCTTGCTTCTCTTCATTCTCTCTTTCCAGTGCGGCTCTTCGTTGTCATGGAATCGTGCAGTATGAGCGCTGTGTGTCCGTCGTCTCGTCGGCGTGTAGAGGTCTTCATGTTGTGATTTCGGGTATCATTCATCGTCCACCACGAAGGGCAAGAACCAGATGCAGAGTGGCGCCACCTTCGAGCTGGTACTCGCTGGCGGTCTTATCATCGTTCCTGCACGTCCATATCGTCAGCCACGCACTCGCCATCTCTTGTATCCATATCCTTTCTTCATCTTGTACGTACATTTGCTTGCCGCCGAAAATGAGGCGCTGTTGTGCTGGGGGAATGCCTTCCTTCTCCTCGACACGCTCCTTGATGCGTGAGACCTGTGGGTGGCGCTTTGTCAGCCGGGTCATTCTGGTATTGGTGTATGGTTGGGGTCGTGATGGCGACGGCGACACAAAGAACATATATCTTCCAGATGCTGGTGTCGTACCTTGTAGTCAGGCTCAATGTCGAGCTCGATCTCCTTGCCGGTGAGGGTGCGCACTCTGCGGGATAGTGTGATTAGTTACTGCTTGTGGTAGAGGATGAGGCTCTTGTGGACTCACTTGATCTGCATGGTGAATTGTTCTTGTCAAGAGACGATGTGTGCGGGATCTGTGGCTTGAATATTTGGTTTGGGCAAAGAATAGACTTGACTTGTTTGTGTAGAATGCTTTCTTGAGATGTCGGCGATGACGGAGCGAGAGTTGTCGGTCGCGTTTGGCGGGGCAATCGTTCACCGCCTTCGGACCAAGTTGCTGCCTTCCACGAACTCAATCCCTCCTTCTTGGTCTCGCACGTGTTTGGACCTGTCTCGTACTTTCCGATCGTTCCCAACTCGATCTTTCACGATGATTCCCATGTCTTGAAGCCTGTAGGTCTGGGCGGGCGCTGCAGTTGTTTGCGTTACTTTCGTCTTCAAGGTGTACAGAGGTACCTGTCACATTCAACTAGTGTGTCGTATCACACGTCTCGTGGTAGATCCTGGGCGTCCTGCATACCGCTTGTCTCGGCCTCCTTGATAATACCGCACTCTCTGTTTCTTCTCCTGTCTTCCACTCTCCCTTTATCGTGCCATGGATCTCTCACGTCTGGAAGCCTGGCCCTCGCTAGAGGACGTCTTCAACCTCATGGTTTCTACCTGTCTGGAGGCTTTGATCGCAATCAATCACGCGGCACGTGCGGTCGGTCCATCAATCTGGGTTGGCCTCAACTGGATCGGACATGGGCTCTCAGTGGCAGGTAATGCTCTGCTTGCAGCTGTCTTGATACTTCTTCTATGGATCTCTATCATTTACCTTTGCTGTTTTACAATCTTTATGTTCTGTAAACTGGTACGCAGACATCAGAAGCAGCGACACCGTGGCGAACGTGAGCCTCTCCTCCCATCGCCCCAAAGGCGCAGGCGCCTGCCATCCTGGACCCCATCAAACTCTAGTAGCGAAAGACGTCGAAATCACGATCACCAAGCACATAGAGACTTGTTCCGAGTCGAAATCAGCAGAAGACGTCAAGACATGCTCAGAAGAGAGCAGCATAGAGCAGTTGAGACTCGTTGCCGAGAATACCGCGAGCGCAGACTTAGAGAGGCTATCCTGCATTCTACAAGCACGCCTTTGTATGCACAACATCAGACAATTATCACTTGGCTACATGCCTCGACTGGCTCAACAACCATCACCCACCACCATAACTATGGCACTCTTCCGACGAGAGATGTTCAATCGCGCACAGAGAGACGTGCTGGTCCGCCGCCGCCATACTCACAGAACATGAGAGAGCAACCACCACCATACTCCAATGGCCGCAACGATTTGCCGCCTGCTTACGTTTAACGATTCTGACGGAAAGAGTCTAAATGGATTGGGTAATGGCAAGATCAGACTGTTCTGCTCCGCAACGTTTCCCTGTTGTGATAAAGATGTACATACACGATTCATGAGCTGCAATGACATTGGATTTGCATCATTGTTAACTAAGGGTATCATAACTTCACCAGATTCACATCATAGTAAGACCTTGAACCTTCCTTCGAACGCCAAAACTGTGCCCGAGCCCATCCCCTCCAATCTAGTACCAGTCCCTCGTCAATCATCATCGTTACATTGGTGCAACGACCAGCATATCTCTGCTCTTTGAGAGTCAGCTGCTCTGCTTGGGAAAAGCCTTCTTTGCACGTCTTCTGGATGCAATTTGGGGGTTCCAAATTCCCATGAATAGCTCCTCGCACTCGTCCTCATCCTGGCTATCGAACTCGACATCGTCCAGTCCTCCAGACTTGTTTCTCTCAGGAATACCTCCGGCTTCAACAACAGCATCTGACTGACCCTCCCAACAACTGTTGCGACAAGTCCTTCTGGTTTCCAAGATGAATTTGCCGACCTTGTATTGTTGAGATTCTTCTTCGGCAGCGACGTATTTCCATCCTAGCACACTGCCACATTGTGCACAGCTAATGTCACTAACGGTGTGAGCGCCAGTAACCAGCTGTCGAGGTACCGGTTTACGGGTGAATGTATTAGGAAGGTTGGGATGTGTGTCTTTCTTGCTTGAAGACGAAGTAGCTTGGACCCAGCTCTCCGTAGCAGATACCAGATATGCGCGTCCGTGGCGACCTGTGAAGCCCTTGGAGATAATTTGACTCGACAGAGCTAGGTCGGCTAGACAGCGGGAGCATTGGAGATGCGATTTATTACCGTCTAAGAAAGTGTCGTGGTTCGAGCTGTCATTCGAACCAGTGCTCGAGGTCGAGATATTGGAATCAGTACTCGACTTGCGACGTCTGAAAGGCAGAGAAGGCACGAGGAAAGACGGAAATATGGATGGAGACATGACGAGTCTTGCGATTCAACAATTGCTTTGCCTGTCGCGTGTTTCGCGTGAGAAAAGAATGATTTGTCTATGGCTTCCACTGAGCAGCTGAGCCTGAGGGAGCCACCGGACTGACAGAGCAAAGAGCTTTAGAGAACAACAGATTCAACATCACACAACTCGACGGTTTTTACTCTTCTTATCCATTTCTTATCTGTTGTCCTCGCTGCCTCGGACAATGGGAGCGCGTGATCGTTGACAGGTCGTGACGTGCGCCAGTCCGGAGATCAAACTCCCAGCCCCGCGCGATGCCGTTGGCTGGAAAGCGGTGTGGGTGGGGAAAAGGAGCTTCTTTCATGTGACACGACATGATTTTTCTGTTACCCAACATGCGAACACGATTTTCTTGCGACATGATGGTGAGACGTGATGTCTTGTCAATTGCCTTTGTGTTTCGCGCTACGTCTTGAGCGGCAATGTGGGTTGTACTTGACTCGATGTGCCATGGCATGCTCTTCGGCGTTGTCGCTCGCAAAGTCTCAAACACACTGAGAGCAGGAGCAAGCAAGACGCTGCTTCCTCGAAAGTGTCTGGTTGAGTAATGAACTCTTTAGTATGGCAAGTTGAGCTTCGCATTCTTCATTCTGTCTTCATCGTGCACTTTGTTGTCACGCAAGTATCTTGCTCGGTGCTATCTTTACACTGCATTCTTTTCGACCAGCATCTTCACCATGCCCGTGACTCCCAATATTCAGGCTCTCCGTTTCTTCGACAAAAGGCCTTTTTCAACTCGCAGCCGAAATGAGCGACGTTCTCGTGCTCAACCGAGTCCACCTCAACTTTCAACACCCCCGCCTCCGCCGACAGCAGTCCAGCCCGAGCAGACCGTCCATGTTGTCGACTGCGGCAGCAATCATCTCAACATGCAATGTCAGGGATCTCTTTCCGAACCTCCTCAGTCCCGTCTGAACAGGCTTCGTCGCAAAACAAGCAAGTGGTTCACCAACAGGCGCCCTGCCAAAGGTATGTCTATTGTCCTTGCCTTGCTCCTTGTCTTTGTATCGTCAAGTCTGAACCTTGAACGTTAATGAGGTTCAGACATCTCATCTCTTGATTCTTCTCCAACCTTGGACTCACCTTTCTCAAGGGAAGCGAACATCACAGCAAATCTCCGCCCAGCACTCAAACCCCAAGTCGAAAGCGAAGAAGACGTCCAAAGACTCCCCAGGGCAGTTCACTTCGACGGCACACTTGAATGCGTTGAGGACAAATTCAACATCGTTCCTCCTTGGGGGACATGTCCCCAATGGGTAGGAATCCGAAGCTCTTTGCACTACAGCCCATCGGACCACGCTGAGACTCTCAGTGATGTATACCAGACCGACACCATTATCCGACGTGCTCGTCGACATCCAAGAAGATCTGCCCTGCCTGCTGAGTATCACAACAACAGTACGACCGGCTCCTCTGTAGGTTCCGCCGATGTATCAAGCGCAAGTCCAGTGAGCCAGATTTCGACAAGACGGACCTCGCTGCAGACCAGCGGCCCCGAATCAACAAAGAACTCTGCCATTCCCGGGCACACCTCATCGAGCTCCGATGCTTCTTCTGCTTCGACTACGGTTATTCGTCATGATGCGAAGCCTAAGCTTCCTAGCGTTCCAGAGAGCTTTGCCGATGCGCTCAAGAGGTTTCCAGTCGACGAGAAGTCCCCAAAAGTCCGTCCATGGAAGATCGAGACCATCGAAGACATCTCCTGTCTCAAAATCTACCTCGAGACGTTCTTCAACGAACGCTACATAGAGCCTAGATCTGAGCGCTCCATCAGAAGACAGCGCCTGTATGATCACCTCGATCAAAGCTCTCTGTCTGTCTCGGAAAAGGAGGAGCTGATCCGTCAATGGGAACAGTCGGAATCGACTCATCTGCGACGACTACGTACTCTCAAGAGCACTTCGGTCGTGAGACACGCCACCAAGGGTACCTTCAATGCTGGCTTCCAGGAGCTCCGCATCCTGGGGAAGGGAAGTTTCGGACAGGTCAAGCTTGTGACAGATACTGAGCATTTCCTGACCGAGGAACCATCCCCGTGTTCATTAGACAATGCTCCTTGTACCACACTGGTCCGACGTGGGTCCCAAGATCCCCGCCGTATGAAGGATTACTACGCCATGAAGGTCATTCGCAAGGCCGAGCAGATTCGCCAATGTCAGGAGGCTCGCCTTCGAGGCGAACGCGATTTTCTTGTCAAAGCAGAAGGCTCACAATGGATTGTCCCTCTTATCGCAAGTTTTCAAGACAACACGAATCTCTACCTCGTCATGGAGTTCATGATTGGGGGCGATTTCCTGCAGTACTTGATACGCCATGATATACTCAGTGAAGAAGACACCAAATTCTACATGGCAGAAATGATCCTGGGCATTGAAGAAACTCACAAGATGGGATGGATCCACCGCGACGTCAAGCCAGACAACTTCCTGATCCACTCTTCTGGTCACTTAAAGATAAGTGACTTTGGACTTGCCTTTGACAGTCATTGGTCTCACTTCAACGACTACTACGACACGATGCGCCACTCAATCTTGACCAAATACGATATCAACCTCAAAGGCGATGCTCAGGATGAACGGGATAAACGGGATGAACGGGATCGGGCGAGAACGGCACGCCAACGTAACGGTGTGAGAGGCCATACAAGGACAGGTGATCTGTCTCTTGACATGGACAACGCTTATGACATTGAGCAACTCTTGAGAATGCCATCAAGAATGCAAAAAAACCGGCCCGTAAGTTGTGTGGGTACAAAACAATACATGGCACCAGAATTGGTCGCGGGCCAATCTTATGATGGGAGATGTGATTGGTGGAGTCTGGGCTGCATCATATTCGACGTAAGTGTCGATCTAACATTCACCGACATAATGGCTGACGACTTGCAAGTGCTTCTACTCAAGAACACCCTTCATTTGCGGCGACAAAGAGAAGACAGCCAACTCGATTATGGTATGACTCTCTTGGCTAACGAATAAACTCAAAATACTGATATGGCCAGAACCATCGGAACACACTTCGTTTCCCCCCAGGCGAGCGACTTTCTCATTCCGGCATAGCTTACCCAGCACCAAGCGAGACTGCGATTAATCTCATGAAACTTCTCCTGCGAGAGCAAGACCGAAGACTTGGCTCGGCGGCTTATACTCGTTGTCGCTACCCTAAGCGTCATCGCAGTGCTCCGGAATCGAGTGTTGTTGCGGCGAATGATGCCGAAGAGATCAAAGCACATCCGTTCTCCAGCACAATCCACTGGGAATCCTTGCATCGCTCGAGACCGCCATTCGTGCCGGAAGCAGTGGAAGATGTCGCAATGTACTTTGAACCTGAAGATAACCTCATCAATGGGATTGGAACAAGCTACATGAGTTTGAGGGAGAAGGCCGACCCAAAAGCCAAGCCATGGGTCAACCAGCAACTGATGGGTCCCTACTACGAAAGGTGGGTTGCTGAGCAGCGTGCAATCGAGAAATTTCGAATGGGGTTCCCCCGCTGGACGGACAAATACTTCGACGCCTGCAAGAAAGAGTATGGTGATCACTGGGAAGGTTTCAAGCGACATCGAATAAACGAGACACGCAATGCCAAGCTGAGGCGAGGAATCGATCTTGATGAAGAAGTCAACCAAATCTTCGGCATGAGAGGGCGGATACCAAGACCAAAGGATATTATTTTGCGTGACCCACGCTGGAAAGATCGCGTGCTGGAACGAAGAAAGGTGGGTGCATTCTTGGGATACACTTATCGGAGTCCTCGATACATATTCCCAGAGGTTGGCAAGGAGAAGACGCCAGTCTTCTCAAGACCTACGATCATCCCTGTGAACGACCACGACGATCACGAATGAGATGGAAAGCAGGAATCGGGCGGACGTTCTTCTCTTCTAACCTATACCCTTTATACCTTATTTATTCTAATGCTTGCTTCATATCATATTCTCCCACTGTTCGCTTGTGTTGCTGTGAGCAGATGGAATAGCCATGAAGCACAGCTGTACTAACCATTCTTGTCTCCATGTTCGAGAACTTCGCAGGCCTCTCGTCTTCCATGTCGCATTCGGAGACAAGCACCACAATCTTTACTGATACGATACATCAGTGTACACGTTGACTACATCTTACACGATATCAACGGGTCACTATTGGCACGGTGCTCAACATACAGCGAAACCAGTCAAGTCCGAATGATGAAGTGTTGTCTATTTGCGGAATATATATGACTTTTCAAGTGCATGCTAAGTTGATGCGAGCTCTCATGCACATGGACCATGATGGAAAATCCAATGGCAGAGCAGGATGGTCTATCCATCTAGAAAGGAGGCAGCCAAAAGGGGTAGCCACCGTTCTTGATACGGAAAGTGCTGAGAAGGTAGCTGTACATGGCGAGCATGACGGCGCCCCAGGCAAGAGTAGCGATACCCTGAGCACGAGGGTCTGTCATACGAGGGACCTTGAGAGCAAGAGAGATGGTCGCAAAGGCAAGAATGGCGTCTGTGGTATGGTCAGAACAGGGGTTGAATAGGCGGAATCGAGAAAAGACTTACACATCGCAGCAACAATTTGAGTCTCGAGACCGAATTGGTTCTGAAAACCACCGGCGAAGTAGGAAACACCGCCCTTGCCGTCGCCTGCAACGTAGGGGACCTTGCGGATGTGGTTGAACATGTGGCCACTGGTGAAGAGCAGGACGGCGATCAAGCTGATTGCGGCCCAGAGGTTGCGGCTCTGAAGGACGGGCAGAGCGTATGGAGCAGCAACGGTAAAGGCGGTCACGGTACCGAGGATGGCAACAGTGGTTGTGATGATCTTGACGTAGTTGACGGGACGGACAACGGGAGGAGTAGGGCCAGATACATGGCGAGAGAGCCAGGAGTGGACAGGTTCGGCACGGATGACACTGTACTAAGGTTAGCTTTGACTGTGCATAGTAGGCTTCAAGTAGCATACCCAGTGGTGAAGTCGAAACGGAGAGGCTGAGTATCAGGCTTGGCATCAGGGCCGACGGTAGGAGGGAAGTAGAGAAGGACGGGAGCAGTGGTGAGCATCAGAGACTGGAAAGTTCTCTGGCCATTGACAAAGTCGAGGGTCCCAAAGACCAGCTTGGACTCCTGCTTCTTGTCTCCTTTGGTCCAACTCTTGCCCAGGAGGTCCCACTCGGGCTGGAATTCGTGACAGATGGCACACCCGAATCTGGCCTCGAGGGCAGTCAAGAGAACGGCAACACCATAGTCGCGGGGGGAAGCGGTCAATTTGGCGTATTCATTGTCGTCGAGCTTGAGGGGAGCAGCTGCCGACAGCTGTTGCGATCGGTAATCACCGAACTTGTCGCCCGATGTTTTCTTTGCGGCCAAAGCTGTAAGAGGCAGCAGGAAGGCTGTCACAGTCTGGAGGAACTTCATGCTGAATTGACACGATGGGCTGGAACAACAGACGGCAGACTCAAGCTGTTGTCTACAAGACGTGACTTGACTACGTATGCTTCGTGTCCCCAAGCTCGGCCGCTCGGTGCTTGGCATTGCGGCGCTTCGGGAGAGGAAGCAGCGGGACAGGGCGGGCTTAACAGCGGATGTTGCCGTGCCTTCGATAAACAAACAAGTCGACTTCCATCACGTCCGAGTCGCATCGCAACAAAGCCCAAGCCAGCCCGTGGCCGACGATCAGATATTCTTTCCATGGCCAATGCAAAAATGGCCCCTATCAATGTTGCGCATACTTCCACAAGCACTAATGTATCTTCATCTTCTTCCATACTCATTCATCTTCATGCGCTGACTCTCCCAGTACGACCAATCACTCCAATCAGCATCACTTGAACTCAAATATGAGCGAAGTACACACCTAGTCGATATCATTTCAAAGGACGAGAACCTGCGTAAAATGCGTTTCGACAAGCACAAACTCGAGGATGACAATGAAGAATTGCGCGAACTCTTGACCCAGGAAGAGGACCGCTCAGAGTCGCTGGAGAAGACTGTTAACGACAACCTCGCTCGCGCCGAAGACGCCGAAGCTCATGCTATCGACCTGCAGACCGATCTGCAAGCCGCTGAGCAGGAGCTCTCCATCCTGAGGGTACGTGTCTCGCCCATCTGTCGCGTACATGAACTCACCATAGGACTACACAGGCAGAAGCAAATGCTCTACGAAATGTCACAACCGATTCGGAAAAGCTCCTTACTGAGAAGCTCGACTTGGCTCGTCAACTGTCTACACTCAAACCAGAGCTCGACCACCTACGCGCCCAGGTTGAAGCCAACCAAGATCTCCTCTCCGAAAAGCTTGCGCTGCAACGACAAATTAGCGAAATCCAGACCGAACTTGATCACGCCAAATCCGAAGCTAAGCGCGCAATCGCCAAACGCCGCAACACTCAACACGACCTGAACCAGCAGGATGAGATTGATGATTTGCGCAAGGCCCTGACAAGGGAGAAGCGATTGAGAGAAAAGGCTCAAGAAGATCTGGAAGCTGCTCAGGCCGAGTTGGAACGTGAGAAGGAGACTGCACAGCGCAAGAACACAACCGAAGCTGCAAAGGCAGAGGAGAATGCCAGCGTCCAGGTGGAGACAGAAGAGTTGCGTCGTCAACTCGCAAAGGAGCGCAAGGAGCGGGAGAGGACCGAGAAGACACAACAGAAGATCCAATCCGACTGGGATGCCACGAAAGCAATTCTCGACGACAAACTCAACCAATTCCGCACAAAGCTGAAGTCGACCAAGGAGAAGCTCAAGGAGACGGAAGCGCAGCTCGATGAAGCTCAGAGATGCGCTGCAGCCGACGCAAGATCCATGCCAGTTGCGACTGAAAAGGCCACCAAACAACCCAAGAAGAGAAACGCAGCACAAATGGACCCGGACTCGCAAAAGCTTGGAACACCAGGTCAAGCTAAGCCCGCCAAAAAGGGCCGCAAAGCTGCAGCTGTGGGCGACAAGTCGACCTTCTCCATCACACCCTTCTTGAACCGTACCATGAGCATCGCACCAGAGAGCCCTGAACATGCCGCAGAAGTACCAGCAGAAGCAGCCGCTGAAGAATCGGAATCTGAAATTGAGGCCGACTCGCCAACCGCACCTAGTGTACGACCAACCACGGAGACTGCCCCCAAGCCCTTAGCAACTGTACCTGCCAGCAAGAGCAACATCAAGAAAGCCAAACCCACTGCCGAGCCGAAACCAAAGAAACAAACCAAAAAGCAAGCACTGGAACAAGTCGTTGAAGAAGTCGAACCCACGTCACAAGAGGAAGCTCCAGCAGCAACCACCAAAGTACCCACTTTCAAGGCCAAGAAGACCGCAGACGGCGAGACGAAACCAAAGCCCAAGCAACGCAAGTCCCTCGCCACTTTTGCTGCCTTCACACACGAGCCAGAGCCAGAGAAGAAGCAGAAGAAGCGCAAGCTTGGTGGTTTGGGCAAGACGCTGTTCGACGACGAAGATGATGCGCCTAGTAAGCCATTGCCTGGTCGCGGGAACGGTTTGTTTGGAGCAACACGTCTTGGACCTCTTGCAGCCGGAGGCGTTAGGGGTAGCTTCATTGGCGGTATGGGCAAGAAGAAGTCTGGACTCTTGACAGCGGACGATGGTTTCATGTTTTCTCCTCTTAAGAAGGAGAGAAAGGCCATGGCCAGTTTCATTCAGTAGGTTTCTGATCTCTTGTCGTGGTGTTTTGGGTTGTGGATTTGGGATTCAGGGGTGGAGTCTCGCTGGCATGTCGGCGTTTTTGGGGCGGTCATGATACCTCTTTGTTTTTCTTCTGTGTCTGGCATTTTGACGAATAAGATCTTCGAGTTCAATCACGCTCTGTTTCTATTTCATTCTTCTTGGTGCAATCTTTGATTCCGGAGATGCTTGATTAGGAGAGGGTGGATAACAAACAGCGCAAACAGCTTTCCCCTTCGCAACCAACACCTAACCTCATGTTGATCTCGAGCTCACCACCGAGTATTCGCCAATTGATGGTGATGATGTTCGGGCTGCCCGACTACGCACATGTAGTAAGTCTAACATCCTCTATACGCATGCCCAGCGAATCATCGTCAATCTCAGCATGATCTGGTTTAGACCACGTCGGCGGTCTCGCTAACCGTATAACATGATGTTTTCCTACGGTTTGACGCGAAGACAACATGTGCTACGCTCCTTGGCACATATCAAATACCTAACCTTAGTACCACCTTCGCTCCACCTCTTGGATCCTCACGTGAACAACCCAACCGACAGAACCCAGTAGAGTGGTCCCAGGATCCAAGTGCAACTGCTCAATTCGGCCACCACGAATTCCCGGAACATGTCACTTTTCTCTCCGGCATGGAAAATATGGGGTCGGGTTACCGATGTGTTTCGGCCAATCAACCACATGTGCTCGAGGCTCCAAAAACACCCCTTGCGTGAAATCAGCCACGAGTGCCAAGAGGCAATGACTACACTCCTTCCAGTCTCAACGTCCGATGAAGATGAACAGTAGGTCGAATGTGCGGATTCGTGGATTATGGATCCAGGAGGGTCGGGATGTGATAGAGCAGACTTCCAGTCCCACTTTATACTCTTGTCTTAGCAGAACTTCCGTCACGAAAAGCCTGGCCTGCGAGAAACTTTAGCTCCTCGGACTTGGGGAAGGCTTGTGTCCTAATTCCAGGCTTCTGGGTGAAGATGATACTATTTCTTACTCGACATACAACATTCCGACGTATCGAATGCAACCGTTTCGTCTCTCTATCGGCGATCCCGAGTGAATTTGTCCCTACACCCCCCAAAGGGGCTCTCAATCGATATCCCTGCATCAAGGCATGTCCAGTGGCCCCGTGGCTAAGCTGGATGCCACCTCGGTGAGATGTTCACCCATTCCTTTTCACCGCTTTTGAAATGCTTAGAACATGGTACGCCGTACTGTTGACTCTGGCTCAAAGGTTTGAATAGCAGTTTCTAGCTAATCTACAAACTGCTCTACGCGAGTCAAAGCCATTATGTCTTGCCAGGCAAATCCACCATCTCCAACCTTTAAATATCCGTCCTGGTAGCTGAGTATGCAATAAGAGTGTTTGCAAATACACCTGGTTGTGCCACAGTATTCGCATCTTTGAGATAGCACCATTGTGCATCTTGACCACTTTGTACCCATACAGAAGCCACACAGGCACTATTTGTACTGCAATACTGGATGCACGCATTGAGAGAGCTCATTGCAGTGCGAGCGATATTCGCCGCTGGGTAGTCTACAGTGCAACTGATCTTGTAGGCTTTGGCTGGAGTCACAGTTGTGTCTCTGTACGGAGTGTCGCATACGCTTGTTGGCGTTGCCAGTACGGAGGACGAGCTGGACGATCGACTCGACGATATACTGGACGAAACACTGGACGACGAACTTGACGACCGACTAGAAGACGCACTAGACGACGAGCTGGAGGACGAGCTGGAGGATGAACTAAAAGATGAACTGGACGATGAGCTCCATATCGAAGCGGCTACAGCGGCAGAGACTGGCTGATAGATGATCTGGTATTTCACGGGCATATAAGCGGGCTTATTGGCAGATTCCCAAGAAGAAGCACCGAGGTACGTCCAGTACCCTTCAGCCGCAAATATGCTGAGCACTCCGTTAAGAGCGCTGCAGGTTAAGTAGCCGCTTGAGTCTTTGCATAACATTGGTGATGTGCTCGTAGTGATCGGCAGAATTGGTGGATGAATGTTGTCGTTGGCCTGGACTCCGTATGTAGCCAGGTCGGTCCTCAGGTATTGTGAGTTCGGATCTATTCTGAACAATGCCGGTGTTGATGATGAAAGAGTCACGGTGATAAGACTTCCATAGTTCGTGTCCGTTCTCAACGATAGATAGGCGCCGTCGTACGGACCTCCAATGACCTTGACCCAGAAATTGGTAGATAGAGGCAGTGGCGGACTTGTGGTCGCTGCTGCAGAGCTACTCGAAGAACTGCTTGACGAGCTACTTGAAGAATTACTGGACGAACTGCTGGAAGCTCTTGATGACGAACTTGACGAGGAAACTGACGATGAAATTGACGACGAACTTGACGAAGAAATTGACGATGAAATTGACGACGAACTCGACGATGAAATTGACGACGAACTTGACGATATGCTAGATGATGCGCTCGAAGATGAGCTGGACGACGAAATTGACGACAGGCTAGATGATATGCTCGAAGATGAGCTGGACGAGAAGCTCGACGATATACCAGAGCTTGAGCTATTAGGATCTGGGCAACTGACCACCCTCAGGGCAGAATAATAACTCGGAGTACCAGTTTTACCATCGACGCCAGCGCCAGAAGGTGCGCTGACTTTATTCTTGATATAGCAGGTGCCACCGTTATAGACAAGGGCTTTGCAGTCTGGCTTAGAGCTGCAGTAATCGATACAGATCTTGAGTGAGCCCTTTGAGGTGATCTCAGTGTCGCCACCCATGTAATCGACATTGCAGTTGATATTGTACATGATCAGTGGGTTCGATGAGTCTGCGTATGTTGTTCGACAAGGGTTTGTTGGTATTTCGGTTGCGCCAGGTGATTGGAACGGAATGATCGGGCTACAAGTGGCAGAAGGACTTGGAGACCTGGAGGCACGACTTGTTGTGGCAGTAGGAATCGAACCACGAGCCTGGTAGACGATCTCGTATCTCACTACCACACTGGACGGGTCATAGTCGGCAGCAAGGGCTTCAGAAGACAAGTACATTGTGCCGTCTAGGTTGAGGAGCGTATCAAGAACGCCATTCGACGACAAGCAATTCAAAACTCCACCTGCATCTTCGCATTGTACGGGCAATGTGTCGAGTGGGGTTGATGCAATTAGCGGTGAAGGGTCAGAGTAGTTGTCGTCGGAAGTCGCCCATCCGTCTACCTCATCGGAAGTCAAGAAGCCACTCCGTGAGTCAATCGTGAAAAATGTGGCTGCTGACAAAGTGCCAGTGAGTCCGAGCATGAAGCCGTAGTATGGATCAGCGGTTTGGTGCAAGTAGTTTCCATCGGACGGCCCCCCAACAATCTTGATGACAAACGTCGTAGTAAGAGTAGGTGCAGAGCTCGTAGTAGATACCACAGACGAGATGCTGGTTGAACCGATCGTCGAGGAAGATGTGACCGAGGAGATACCAGACGAGGAGCTGTCCGTCGAGGACGATTTTGAGGACGATGTGCTGGATGAAATTGTGTCCGTTGAGGAAGATGACATGAAGGGGGTGCCGGATGAGGAAGCGACTGTCCAGGAAGATACCACATAGGAGCTGGTTGAACTAGCAGCAGAAGAGGTATTGCTGCTAGAAGCTGTGGGGAGCGATAAGTAAGAGATCTGATACCGCACGGCCAGGTACTCTGGTGATGCCACCGACATATATGCAGTGGAGGACATGTATGACCAAGAGCCTTCTGCAGAAAAGACCGTCAGATCGGCACTTGAACAAGCTAGGTACCCTCCCAAATCACTACAAGTGAAAGGCACCGTGTTCCGATCGCTGGGTACAATGATAGAGTGACCATTGCCTCCAGCCTGGATTCCGTATGTCACGGAAGTCGCCAGATATTTGGTGTCGGGATTGATACTGAAGACCGCCGCATCTGACTGACCACTGGCGCCACAAATAAGGCTTGGAGACTCCGAACTGGCTCTGGTGTGTAGATAGTTACCATCTAGAGGCCCACCAACTATCTTTATCACAAATGATGGAGCAGGGCTCGATACGGTACTAGCGGTCGAACTGCTAATCAAATTGACAACCGGGCCGCTCGTCAGATTCAAACTAGCAGTAGTTGCCGCTAAAGACAATGTCTCGGTGATTGTGGGACCGTACTGAGTCATATTCAGGTTTCGTGTTATTTCGAGAGTTTCGGTGATTTGGGGCAGTGTCTGAGTTCTTTCCAAAGTTGCGGTGATTTGAGGCAATGTTTGTGTCATCTCAAAAGTTGCAGTTATCCGAGGTAAAGTTTGTGTCATTTCAACAGTTTCGGTGATCTGAGGCAATGTCTGTGTCATTTGCAGTGTTTCGGTTATGGGAAGAGTTACTTGAGGCAGCGTCTGGGTGATCTGAATGGTCTCGGTTCCTTGAGGCAGGGTAATGCTTTGAACTTCTGTCCAAGTCTCTGCCGGCAAGGTGACCGATACGTTCATCGTTTCGATCAGCGGTGGCGGGGTGACTGATATATAGATCGTTGTCGTGTTCGGCTCAAGGGTGACAGTGATAAACTCAGTCACCGGCGAGGGCGTGATATAGGCCGTTGCCTGAGGCAGCGTAAGAGGGACGGTCTCTGCCAGATTCAATATTGAGACGACCATAGATGTCTGGGCATCCAAGATTGACGTCCGCGTGATTGGATCGGGTGTGATTGTAATGACCGGTTGTTCTAGTGTGACTACCACAGTCGAGGGCTGCAGGGTAACGTAGGCAGTCGATTGGTCCTGATAAACAGTTGAAGCAGGAAGTGGCACGCCGGGCTGAGTAGTGGTGAACAGGGCCGTCGAAGTTGCGTATTCGGTTTGAATGACGAGGGAAGGCTGGTACGAGATCACAGTAGAGTTGAGTATTGTAGTCAAAGTAGCTATATGCGGTCAGTATTTCAAACAACATTTCTAGAAGATGGCGATCAACTTACTCGTGGTGGTAGATACACTCGAAACTGTGACATTGATGTATTCTGGTATGGCTGTAGTGGCGGTAGCGGTTGATAGCAGGAGAGTTGAAACGGTCCTGGTTTCTGTGATCGGGTTGTTGACCGTGGCTGTCATGTAGATGACGGTTGGCACTGTGGTTGTGAGCACGACCTCTGAGCCGCTGATATAAGTAGTTGTCTCGATCTGTGTGAACGTGTGACTCTGCACGACCGTTTCCGTCCGGAAGACTGTCGTGGTCGCAGTCGTTGTAGACACTATTTGATTGCCACTCGGAGCAGCATTGTTGCTGGTCACAGACACATCATCTAGAGCGACATATCCAGACTGAAGACACCGTAGCTGGAAGGTAGCCACAGCACTGCTCTCGTCAACAGGTGACTGATAGATGAACGAGTACTCGCTATAGCTTGATGTCAGATCGAAAGACGAGCTGCAATCTCCATCTCCGCAAATGACGATAGAGCATTGCGGATCACCATTGCCGTTTGGAACCTCAGCAGCCCAGGCGCTCAACCTGTATGCAGTACCTGCCGATGCAGTGAAAAGCTGCGTCACATTGTAGTGAAGAAGACCGGATGGGCCAGTGGATTGGCGACGGAGTCTCTGCGGCAAAGCAGTGTCGTTGAACGTGATGAGACTGGAATCTATGTTAGCTGGAATCTAGAACTGGGGCACAAGCAGCTGAACACACAGATAGCTATCTCCACTTCGAGGCTGATAGGGGCCACTCTGCACAACCTCTGCCCATATGGATGGGACCGAAGCAGAAGTATTGAAGGGACTGGATGTACCATTCTCGAAGCTGTTGTCCGATACCATGGCGTTGCCGGTCGGTTGAGATCCATCGGATGGCTGAGCAGATGTTGCTTGCTGGTAGATAGTTATGGTTGAAGCTGATTGTGTCGCGACTATGGTCCGATCCGAGCCAGAGACAGTGGACGGCGGCTGATATATGGTGACTGTAGGAGCCGATTCGACTATGGTAGACCCAAAGACTGTTGAGGTCAACGTGGATACCGAGACATTTGGGCAGTAAGTCGGGCTGGATAAAAGAGACGTCGTCCCAATGTCTGTAACGAAGTATGTAGAGGAGTCTGAGGTGTAGACGAGCACACTGCGTTTGACACAGGTGTTCGAGCTGCTGTTTTGGGGTGGGGAAATGATGGACTGGGCAAAGGTGCACGAGGCAAGAAGCAATACGGCAAACAACAACATGCTCGCGAAAGTCTAGGAAAGAGCGACCCATTCAACAAATCGCATGACAACACCGCCTTAGCCTACATTTATATCGAATGCTCGATCGAACCCGGTTTACTCTTGGCAGTGTTCAAACGAGAGACTTGGAATGCAATGAGGGCTCAAGACTCACACTCTCTGGCGCGAGAGCAGATATGATCTGTGAAGTCTGAGGAAGGAATGGGATGCCATCAAAGTAGTGTTCCCCCAGCCGCTGTATGTCGAGACAGGGCACAAACCATGTTCTCTTCGGCGACCCCGAAGCAAGGAAATGAACTGACAGTAAAAGTTGGGGATAGAGATGAGGCTGTCTATATCTTCACACCCGTAGCACGCTCCGGAATGCACACTTCTACGGCCCGATGCAGCAATCAAGTCACCAACAAGGGGTGACGGTGCTGTAGAAATCGTTCTCCAGTGCTTCGGTTTGGCGTGGAATCCCTGGACTGAGGTACGGTCACATTCTTGAACACCAGACTCTCGTATCGCAAGGACGTCACAGGTAACCGAGCGTGAGGTATCCGACTAGTACGCCGTGTAGCATGTGTAGGCAAGCAGAAGATTGAAGAGCCAAGGCCAAGGTCGCAAGGGATCGGGGATATTGGTGATGCTGGTTGGTCGCAAGCGTCGGCTACTTTCACTTGACGTTTGCATGAAGGTTGATGCAGCAATAGATATCGCGTTACTATGCACTGATGGTCTATTGAGTACGTGTTGAGAGAATGTACGGTTCTCTGGAAGATCGGCGACAAAGTCGCGTTTGCAGAGTTTGCACTGTTTGCGTCGAGACTCCCTTCATCGCCCTATTCGAGTAGACCACCCCTTCTTTAGTGATCAAGGTACGATAGATTTCTTATTCAAAGAACCATTTGCTCTGTCCCTCATTCGATCATAAGTTCGACGCCGCTAGCCGCTCCAGGGCCTGTAAGTCTGTATCTGCGGTGACAATTGCACCCTGATACACCCAGTAAGGCACAGCTCCCGGCACACTCCTACCAATCTTCCCAGCACAACCAAAATCAATGAGCACGATATCTCCCTCCTTGCTCTTCATAATATTAGTCGGATTGCCCAAATCACCATGCGAAAAGCCCGCTCTATGCAAGCGAGCCACAGCATCTCTAACCTCCGACATCCTCCGTACAAGTTCACCCATCTCAAGTCTGATCAAATACTCCATCCGATAGCCAAAAATACCTTGCTCGTCGAAGTGTGCATGCTTGTCAACTTTCGGTATTGGCAGTGACTGCTCACCCGCATTCATTTCCCTCATCATCTCAATTTCATGCTGAATCCTCAACCGAAACTCTCTTCCAGGATGAGCGAGCTTGATGATGGGATATATAACTTTGTGACTGCATCTCAAAACAGCATCAGCGCCACAGTTGACCAATTTAGATGTAGACCAAATAGCAGAGATCTCTGGGCTTAGAGCGATTTTCTGAGGCTTGTAGTCGGGTCCGTTCGGGAAGAGTGAGAGGTCGGGATGTATTTGTGAACCGGTCCAGGTGATGGAGTAGGGGTTTCCCAGGTATTCGATGTTGCAGGTGTAGTGGCCAGGTTTTGCGGTTGAGAAGGGGGGTGAGAGGATCTCGCCTGTTATTGTTCAAGGGATATCAGTAAATAGCACTCATCGAGGTTATGGGAGAGTCGTGATGACATACATTGATCTGATGGAGCTTCTGATTTACAGAAGCAATTGCGGTCTTGACTGGACATCTTTCAATGGCTAAATGTCGTGGTCCGAAAATGATCCGTTTGGCGGGCAAAAGAAAGATCGATCACTAGAGAAAGGTAGTCGCCAGATGTACAAACATCAATGCAGCGATACAAATCTCTTAAGAAACCATACAGTCGTGGGCAACTGCAGCTTTTCAATGCCATGAGCGCTTCGGTAACCAATGACCATGTATCAGAATCTTAGATAGGCGCCGACATCATACAGCGCTTAAGCATGCCAATTCCGCTACGGTTCTTGGGCGGGGCTGGGTGAATGAGTTACAACAGACATTATATAGTGAACTATTTATCTATGTGGTCTTCCATGACCTAAATCATTTCCTGATAAAAGGACAACCTCAACAGAGTCTGGGGACATTGTACACGCCACACTCCTGCCAGTCATTGATCAGCTCACAGCTCCAGTTATCAGCATCAGTGCTGTCTCCAGAGCCACTGTATGTAGTGCGGTAAGGAAATCTGCAGTGATTTCTCTCCATCTGTACGCCCTGAGTAGGATCATCGTTGACGAACTTGGTTCCAGTCATGGTGTCTGGTGCCTCGCCGTTCTCGACCCAATTCATGATATCGGTGATAACATTGCCGGTACCATTCTGTGCGTTGATGTTCTGACCGAAAGCCCAGGCGCCAATGCCACCAGTACAGTGGTACATGCCACTGATGCGGAAGAAGCGGAGGAACTCGTCGAGGCCGGTGTGGTCGAGGTCCATGTCGCGGGCGACATTGAGATAGTAGCGTTGGGATGCTTCAGCAGAGACGGCAGGGTCCATGAGACCGTGGTACATGATCAACTTCTTTCCAGCGGCTTGGAAGGCGCTGAGATCGCTGTTGAAGGATGAGACTTTGCCGTGGAGCTCATCATCGTCATCAGCCAGAGTGTACTCGGTCTGAGAAAGAGTCGAAGGATCGAAGCTTGTGTTGTTGAAGCCATCGCCAAACCAGTCAGTAACGTGGCCTTGGACACCGTGCAAGACACCATTAGTCGAAGCATACAGCTCTGCACCAGGAGCGAGACGAGGATAGAGCAGGTTTCCATCTTGATCGTAGAGCTGAGAGAAGACATTCCAGACTGTGGAAGTTTGCTCGTAAGTCAGGCAGCCATCGGTCTGACCATCAGTGCAAGTCAACTTAGTGGCGTTGAAATCGCAGATGGTCGAGTCTTCAATAATTCCATCGGCAACACCATCAAGGGGCTCATCGCACTGGGCAAGAACTTCGTCGTGAACAATGACCCAGTCGTCGTAACTCAAGAACTTGGAGTCGCTAGAGTCAGCGCCGGTGAGAACATACATTCTGCCTGACCAGTCCATGTGGTGGTTGAAGTCGTTAGTGGAAGAACCAGAAATGATACCATCGAAGTCATCAGGGAACATTTGGGCAGATTGAAGAGCCTGGCGGCCACCGTTTGAGCATCCGAGCATGTAGTTATAGCTAGCGGCTTGTCCGTAGTTGGTCTTGATGACCTGCTTACCTGCCACAACAGCAGCGTGGCGGGCTCTGTACGACCAATCGATAACGACCTCATTGTTGTTCAAAAATTGCTGAGCGTCCATACCGAGGTATTCGGTGTTGTTGTGGCCGCCGTTATCACCGACCACAGAAAATCCTAAGCTTGAAGTGTAGATCATGTCGTCGTAGGAAGGGCAGCCAGAGAGACCCTTGTTGTCAGTAGCCCTAAAAAGTGTCAGCAAAAATCCTTGATCTCGGTGGATTGGATTCAGCTTACATGAATCTTCCATTCCAGGCATCCTGTTGGGTGGGTAGCCAGACCTCGACGTAGTTGGAAGATGCATAAGAAGTAACAATGTTCAGGGTGACTCTACGGAGGTCGGTTCGAACTGAGCCGCCATTGCAGTTTGAAGGACCAGTGGGAAGTGTGAGAGCGGTGCCAGAAGTGATATCCTCACAGCTGATAACAGTGACTTGCTGATCGGGGAAAGTCAGGGCTTGAATCAAGGCGTCGCAGCCAGAAACTGCTTGCGCGGCAGAAGTTGAATTAGCAGCGACAGCAGATGTGGATGTAGCGGCAGCGACTGATGCAGAGCTAGAGGCGGCGACTGATGCAGAGCTAGAGGCGGCGACTGATGCAGAGCTTGAGGTAGCGATCGATGTAGAGAGAGAGGAAACGATGGATGTCGAGATGGCGGAAGCAGTGGATGTCGATATGAACGAAGCAATGGCACTAGAGCTAGAAGAAGCAATGGCACTAGAGCTGGCTGCTGCTTGGACTGTCGAGGCTGCAGCTGCGGCACTTCCAGCATTACCCTTCCCTGAGATATGGAAGATGCTGTTGATAAGCTGGCCAATGGAGATGAAGTGAACCATGGCGGATATAAGCCCTCAAGGGAAGTAACGAATGACTTGGTAAGGAATAGGAAACGACGATTGACTACCTGTACAAACGAACGACCAGGCTAGACAAGAGAAGAGAAGAGCTGTAGAAGGGAAAGAGCAACTCACAACAAGGAGACGCAAAGCACCTACCTATGTACTCCATCTGTAATCGATATTGATCTGCGACCAGGATACGCGGCACATCCTTCGAAGAAAATAGCAACTTTCTCTTTCAAATTTCCGTGAAAGATCCATGCTCGCTGAAGTCTGTGTTGTTGTATGCGGATGCGGCTCAGTGATGCAGGTACGGAACGCAGCGGTATGGATCTGCGACTTGCCCTCCCGCCGAGCACGTTCCGCCCGGCACGAGTGTCGCATGGAAACGCCACGCGAACCAGCCACAACAGCCATCTCAAAACGGCTATCCAAAAACTCCTTGCCTGAACACGAACAAGAAACAAGAAGCTTTACAAGCACGAAGTGTCAAGCTTTAATTCCACGACTCTCCAAGTACGTCTGTCAAACAATGATGTGGAACATGCTTGGATACAATTGCACATCCGCCTTCCGCTATCTTCGCATGAAGAAAGCCCTAGCCAAAACGCGGGCCTAGTTTGCAGATTCAACCAAAAGGCCCAGCCCGAATTACGTGTGCATCGCACACGCTTTGACGATATCGCACAGAGATGCCTTGTCTGATATCCACTCACGAGTCTGCACTCCACTGTTCAGCGCGGGCGGTTGCTCAGTGCATTCTGGTTGCAACTGCCGTTCTCGAAGCAAAGATGCGATCGTGCGAGCTTGCTTGCGCTATCTTGGAGCAAAGGTGAGCAAAGACCACTGGAGAAGGAAGCAGAGGCCTGATTGCGATTCGCTATTCGTGGATGCCGAGTGAGGGCAAGAAGCGTGCGTAGATTGCCTTGCCGCAGTGCAGAGTGCGAGCGAGGGAGGGACCTTGCATTAGCCGTGAAGAATCGATTCGACAAAAGTCATGCAACATCCATCCATGCTTCGCCTCGACGGCATCAATACTGTTGATTTGAAATAGCTGAAGGTGTGTACCAAATTTCGATTGAATTATTTCGACGGCAACATCGATGCCAGAAGATCGATCTATCAATCGTCCAATATTGTTTCTAGCTACTTGCACCTGTGAGCTGTGCTTTTTGTAGGATGCCGCTATCTATGCAGCTTCTCTGCGGAAGAAGTAGATGTAGGCGAACTTCTTCATCTCCTCGACATCACCGCCTAGAGCAACCTTCTCGTCGTTAAACAGGATCCAGCCTGGCTCCTTGCGGACGAAAGCGACGTAGTGTCTGTGTGGACTTGTCAGTACAATTCATTTGAGAGGTAGCAAGTGGTCAAAAGAACTTACCCGGCGTGGATTGAACCACCCTTATGGCAGACGATGGACTGAAGCTTGAAGTTAGCGGGCTTGTTGTCTTCTGCGACAGCCTTGCTCTCGGGCTGTTGAGCAGAAGCTTGATCACCAGCCTCTTGCTCCTCGCCAAAGTCACCAGTTGCGTCAGGGTGGTTGAAAAGCCATTCAACTGCACGCTCGACATCACCGCTGGTCTCCTTCAGTGCTTGTCGTGCTTGAGGTGCACCGAAGCCCATGTTGCCTAGCATCTCGATCTTCTCGGGATCCACTGCATTACTTGCACTTGCACCTGCACCACCTCCAGAAAGATCCACAGGCTCATCAATATCAGGATCTTCCATGTGCTCAAACAGCCACAAGCTAGCAGTCTCGGCATCCGTGTTACCAGTGGCGTGGAGAGCCTTCTCGCATCTAACTCGAGGGAATCCCATGGCTTCAAGCATACTGAGAGCAGCTTCATTAGGAACGAATGCTGTTGAGCCAGCACCAGCATCTGCAGCATCGTCAGGTAGAAGCTCTTCGCCAGGCTGTTGACCCTTGCTGCGGTATGCTTCAAAGTCGATGGTGCCCTCATCAACAATGACAGGGACGTCCTGCTTGGTGGGAACCCAGTTGACGATCTCAAATCGGCGAGCGTTGACGGCCAGAATGGAAGGGAAGGTCTTGAACAGAGACTGCTTGGTGAAGTCCTTACCACCACACGCACCGCAGTTCAGCTCGACGACTTCTGCAGCGGTAAACTCGTCCAGACAGCGCTGAAGAGTCACTGACTCGAACTCTTCAGTCTCCTTTTCTACTGAGCCATCGGGGCCAGGAGTGACTCCTTCCATCTTTGTGTCCTTCTGCAAGCGCTTGATGGGTACAGCGACGGAGATGTTTTCGGCCTCGTCTTGACGATAGCGGACCTTGTTGCAGTTCAGACATTGCAGTTTCTGTTCCATAACGAAGCGGAAGGCGTCGACAGGATCTGATACATCCTTGTAGTAGTCTTTTGCAGCGCGTTGCGAGCGAGAGATGAGCTTAAGAAGGTGAAGTAAGAACTCGAACGCATCTTGTTGTCGCATAGTGGAGAACTCTGAGTGGCCTCTGCCAATGAGGTGCTTGAGCATGGCGGGAGCAATACCCTTCTGGTGTGGCTGTTCTGTGGTGTCTTCAGAGGCAATGACATCGGGATTGGGGTTTGCGTAGCGTCCAGATAGCAAGCCGTCTGCCATTTTGCGAAGCTGGATCTCGATATCCTCAGCAGGGTCGGATGTCTTCGGCAGTTTCTCGTCAGGTCTGTAGTATCGCTGGGCAAACTCGGGCATGGCAAACAAGCTCTGCACAACACTGGCAAGGTAGCAACTGTTTCCCAGGTTCTTCAAACCAGTGAGGCCAGGGCCGCACATGGGCTTCAACTCCTTGCCATCTTCGTTGGTCATGCTGAACTCCCAGCGTAGATTCTGCTCGAGTTGCATTTCTGTCAAGCTCTTTTCCGTCTTCTGGCGACCAGCGATGTCAATACCCCAGTGGGCCAGGTGAGCAACTAGTTCAGGATCGGTACGCTCTTCGTTGCAAGCATAGCAGTAGATATCGGCACTACCATCGGCAGTCAAAGAGCCGAGCTTCACAGCAACGGGATGCCTTGTGGAATCCGTATGGGCCACACCGTGCGAGTTGCCACCTACACCCCCAAACTGAGATCTGCCACAGCCCAGGTTACCGCAAGTGAGACAGAGCCAAAGGTTCTCGTTCAAGTCACACTGAGAACAGTGACCCAAAGACTGCGACTCAATGTGGCGAGAAGTCTCCTGCTCTAGACACAGCGTATGTTCACAAGGAATCATCTCTTGTTCCCATGCCTTGACCTCCTCTTGCTTTGCGAAAGTGTTCGCCTTGAGCACACCGTCAACCACGGCTTGTAGGTTTCCCTGGCTCTTCTCGATGTCGTCGTTAGCGCATTCGAAGCACTTGACGCTCGAGACGGTGTCGAATCGGTCTTCTTCAGTTTCGGCGTTGATGGCCAGCTTTGACATCTTCTGTGGCGGCTCATCCCTGTGCTTCTGCTTGCGCGTGCGCTTGATGTTGAGGGCTAGAGGATGGTTGGCTTGTTGGGCGTGTTTTGCGCCATGCTGGCGTTCGGTGGCACATCCTCCGTTGAAGCAATGCAGGCAGACGTCCAGACCTTCGGGCGAATCGATGCTGTCGAAGCAAAGGGTGCAGTCTTCCCTGTAGACTGACTGGCTGGGGCGCGGCGGGCTCAGCGATGCTGATGATACGTGTGGACAGGCTGACATGTCGGTCGCAATTTGATGTGTTTGGATAGAGGGTCAAAGAGAGAGAATTGACAGACAAATGCTTTGTTTGCTCTCATGCTCGAAAGCTCCATCTTCGGTTGCGTCAGTCAACATGTCCGAAACGCGGGGTCAAACTCCGCTTGGAACTTTCACGAAAGCCATCATCACATGTCATCCTGGGTTAAACTTTACTTTATTCTTCATTACGGCGTCAAAGCAACAAGATATTTTGTACACGAAGTCCTCCATCTCTTCATTCATCCTCCAACGTCTTGCAATGCTGCTAAAGTCTCCTTTCTCATCTCCCCAACTCTCCGATCGATACCATCTCCTTAGTTGACGAACAGACTGTCCGAGTTGTCCGACAGGCTGTACTGCTTGATCATGTCTGCAAGCTTCTTTCCTTCTGCTGACCAGTTGACAGGTCCTGCTGAAGACACCTGGTAACGCACCCTGGATCTTGTTAGTGACGTGATCTCATGGCTGCATCATAAATTTTGCTCACCTCTGCTGGTCCTGGAATGTGTCCATCTTAGCTCTGCATCTGAAGACATATGTCTGGCAGACTGCGTTGGCAAACACCTCCTTCTCTCCGTTGCTCATCTCGTCTCTCATCTGCATGATGTCGTTGGCAGGTCTGCCCATGATCATCCTGCCCACATCGTCGAACAAACTCAACCACATCTGTCCAGTGTGATCGCTGACGTTGATACTCATGATGTATCTCCACTCAGGCTTGGGCCAGGCTTTATCACATTTTTCGCAACGCCATTCTCCGTCAGCTACCTCAACAACCTTCTTGTTGCATCCTTCTGACAAGCAGGCTGGGTATGCAAAGGTGCTGTCTGACTTGACGAAGACGATGGTAGCCTTCAATGAGAAGTAGTCTGTCGACTCGCCCATGCCCAAATTCTCATCCCGCACTTGAGCAATCGTCTTCATCTGGTCGTTACGTCCACTCGTTGACGTAGCAGCCATGCTATTGGCGTGTGAAGAGAATGTGTCGTTGCGACCCTGAGCATCGTACCAGCCCTTGAGCTTGTGAGCCTCGTCGATGTCGGGGTTGACGTTCATTGTGCCTGATGATAGAAGCGACAGACTGCGACCACCAAAGTCGCTGACCTTGACACCCTTGAATGCAATGACGGTCTCGGTAGCGACGTCAAAGGTCTGAGCAGTGTTGCCCCAGATGGTGAGGCGAACGTTGTAGCCAGTGTTATCGACCAAAGTCAACTCTCTCTTGTTGAAAGGCTTAGATGTGGTCTTGGAGACGATCTCGTTAACATCGCCAATCTCCTTGAGCACACCGATGGTGTCAATGGTTGTGTCCTTCTCTACACTTTGGAGGTCGGCAAGGGTAGTGAAGTTGTAGGTGATTTCGGGAACGCCTTCGTTGTCTTCAGCCTTCTCGATGTTTGTATCCCTCTCAAAGGTGAGCTCGTAGTCGTGGTTGACGTTGGAGAACTGCTTCTTGGCCAGCTGAACCTTGCAAGAAGACACATAGTAGACGGAGCCCTCTTGCAAGACGTCGTACCACTGGTCAACAGCCTCCTTGAAACCGGTGGCTCTGATCTCACCACTCTCATCGAGGAAGTTACAGCTGAAGAGCTTGCCCTCGCCGTTCTTGTTGTGCCACGTCTTGATCTCACCCTTGTGCGAACATCTAGCCTTGATAGTCCACCTGGGCTGGTAAGGTGATAGGGCTTCGATTGGGTAGATGTTGCCTCCCTGAGGACCTCCTTGGCCACTGGAGCGTGTAGGCAATTGTCTTTGCGGGGCTGACTGCTGCTGTTGCTGTTGTTGCTGGGGCTTGTTGCCGTAGAACTGGTTGCCAGAGATGCTGGCGGGCTGTGCTTGTGGTGCAGGGGCTGCTGCAGGTTCGGATTCGGACTTGACCACTTCGAGCGGGCCAGGCTGACCAAGCTTTTCGCATTCGCCGTACTCGTCGAGGACTTCCAGATCGATGATAACGAGGATACTGTGAGAAGATTAGGAACAGTGACAGATAGATGACCATCACAGAACTTACGGCTTATCCTTGACCGAGTTTGCCTGGAACTGCTTGAGCTTCACAAGGGAGCCCTTCTTCAGCTTGCCATCGTGCACAATGTGGTTAGTCTGCTGGGCAAGCATGCTCTGGATGAAGTTGACGGTATCGTTGAAGACGACGCGGAATCTCTCAACACCGGTTGTTGAGTTGTTCATGGGCTTGATCTGAACACATTGGACAACAGGATCCATAATCTGCTCTCCGGCGAACACGCGGCGGAGACAGCCAGTCGTGATGGCGTCCATAGGGTTGGCCATGATTGAAACGAAGGTGTACTTGATGGACGATTCTCTGATACAGGCGCACAATCTGAATGACTTTTGTTAAGATGACGACAAGAATGTAAGGATTATCGTATTGATTGCAAGAGCTGTTGCAGAAGGCGTGAAAGTAGGAAGGTACGCCACGAGACTTTTGGAGACGCGTCGCGCGTCTAAGGCAGAAGTGGTCTTGGCGTTGCCGCAAGTTTGACCTATGAAGGCATCTCGAAGGTATCATTATCTTGTATCAACTGACACCCAGAACGAGCTGATCCATGAGATTGAGGAGAATATGTACTGGTATCGACTGTCTGTGTATATATCATAGCCCACCGTGCACTTTCGTCTTGCCGTGAGCATGCAGTGTTTCACGAGAACCTCCGCCCGTGTTTGCATGTAGTTGTTCACAACATTCATGAGTTGCTCGGCTTCAGCTCGTTTTTGGTTCATATCTCAACGAGTTCACATGTTATACACTCAAGTGTTATTGGGGGCCACTTGGTGAATTATCTGGGCCTATTAAGCCGCCACATGGTTAAGAAGATATCATCGTTGAATATGTATTGCGAAATGACTGGTTGAAATGCTTGTTTGAGTTATCACCCTGACCCATCAGCTGGTTGGCAACACTTTGATATCAACAGGTCATCGACCGTGCCAAACAATTATTCAAGTTGTCTCGAGATTGAAAATGGTGCAAGCTTTTGTTGACATAGTAAAATGCTTCCCACGCGTTATGCTCCTGGCCTCTGCGTGCTAAAGAATATCTTTCTCCTTGCCTCCGCCTCTCGAACAATCTCAGCACTCAATCTCAGGCTCGGTGCGAGATGAGCCAGTCTGTTCAGCTCCGAAACCACCTCTGAAATGATGACTTCTACAGATATGGTAGGAGGAAGGAGAGCAGCAAGCTTTGGCGACATGGTCGCTCCCATGACCAAGAGTGTCTGAGAGACAAGACTGAGAGCACCCTGCCAGAGGTACGGAAGATGGCCGACTTGACTGTGATCGCTGTTAGCTTTGTGTTTTATGACAAGAGGAATCACGCGAACTTACTGTGCAGAAACATTGTCAATCTGCCTCAAGCACGCTTCGAGGCATTTGCGGCAGTTCTCTCTCACCACTGGATCAGAGACAGCGTTTTCGTCTGAGAGCACGGCAAAGACATAAGGCCGGAAAATTATCGTCCTGCAAGCAAAGTATCGTAATCGCAAACAGACCTGACCAGGCGAGTCCTTGGAAAGTGTTGTCATAGGGAATTTTATCGGTTGTGGCAGACCTTCATACCACTGCGATAGTTGAAAGTCGAGTTCAGCAGTGACCCGTGCCAGCTTCGAAGTAGGCGCTGTGGTCGGTGTCTTGACGTAAAGCAGATGGCTGACTCTGTTCAGAAGTCTGCGAAGTGCGATCTCGGCCAGGAAGTACCATAGTTCATCTTTGCTGGTATATTCTCCTTCTATGTCGGAGAAGGGGCCCGGAAGTCCTACCGTGTCCTCGAAGTTGACGATACCAGAGTGCGGAAGCTCCAACTCAGCAAGCAAATCCGATTCTGCCAAAAGGGTATCCCAGAACAATCTCACAAGGAGCTCTCTTTGAGGAGTCGGTACTCGGTCGGGAACACCAAGAACTAGCTGTAGCTTAGTAGAAGCTATGGTTATCATGTTCCATGCTTCTAGTGGTCGTACAAGATAGAACAGATAGGCCGCCGCTAGTATGTAGCACTGAACCGCAGGTATGTCATTCCGTATCGCCAAGTTCGGTATGATCTTCCAGGCAGATGCGAAGTAGTCAACACCTCGAGGCTCTCCATAGTGGGGGAGTCTCGAGATACTACCGCTGTGAGCTGCTGATCCCAGGGCAAGGACCAGCAAAACCAAACAACTGTCTGCTCCTTGAATGAAGCCGACCGAAGTGGCTTCACGGTAATGATTTGGCCACGCGTGTGGATTCACACATGCGTACCAGACGTTGACCAAATCGAAGTATGAGCTCGCAAATACAGCCGTGTTCGCCATGTCTGGCCGAGGATAGTGAGGAAGATTTATGGGAGGTCGAGACATTTCCAGCTCTACCAAGACCTGCGGATCTAAAGGCTGCGATACCAAATCGCGAATGAGTGGCCACTGCAAAAGATTCAAAGCAGGAGTGGTGTGCTTTTTAGGAATGGTTGAAATGTTGACACTATCCCAGGTTCCGAGACCATTCAGGCGATTGTTCTCTAAAGCAACGCTGCAGCTGATGCGTCTCGTAGATGCATCGTCTGCGGTGCTAGTGCTTGCAGCGGGAGAAGTTCCCATCTGCCCAGCTACTCTCGGGATGTTGGCATTCATGTTCGCTGTGGTCATGGCGGCTTGCAACATGTCTTCGAGATGGGACAGTCTTTCTAGAATGAGTTTGTCACCAGCATCTAATTTGACACCAGGCTCTCGATACACACATCGTGCATCGAGTTCGACACACAATTTACACCTCGCTAAACAGACAGTCAGCTATGTTAGCATTTTTTGATTAGATCTGACATACGTTTTCCACCATCGCATCGTGACTTTCTACTGCGACAAATCTCACAAGCAATTATGGCTCGTTTTCGAGGATAGTCGAGTGGCTCATGGGCCAAACCCCGGGATGGTTGTTCGTTCGGCGTTCCATCTTGAGTAACGCCATCTCTGGGAGACTCGGAGACTGTACGTGGCCTTTTGTTGGGACTTGCTTGCGACATGACCTGTCCTTGAAGGTGTGGATGTTTCAAGAGGTTCGTATGTGTAGAGCAGAGTGCGACCTTTCGCGCTAAGGTTGTTTACCAAGTAGTTCTGAGAAGTCGAAATGATATGTTCATGATACTGTAGACTGGTATCTGAGTACAGCCACGAGTGTTGGGCATCGACGCAGGTGAGTATTCCGAGTATTATCACGTAGTAGAAACATCGTGCCTGCAAAACGAGTGCAGAACAAAGAACACGACTGGGATGCGGGACGAGCGGAGTCGGTCATTTGGGAAATTGATACCACGCGTGCGAGATCTCCTTATAGAACGCCTCCTCGCCTTTACCATGAATTGATATCGTCAAAAGTATGTCAGAACATGGTGTGAGAATCTCCTTAATTTGAGACGTGTCATGGAGAAGTTTGCACTGGATCTCTACCACATGACAGTTGCTAGACCTTTTTGCTCCATACCTTCGTGTGATCAGTTGCAGTGTTGGAAGACGGCAGGCGCTGATTAAGAGGAGCTTGTGCGCTCTCTATCGACTCTGAGACTTGACCTTCTCCACGTTCACACCTTCCTCCCAGGGTCGGCCTCGGCCCGGCGCTAGCGCGTGTAACCCGCATGTAACGAATTTTTTTTGGAAGCAGCGACAACGCCGCATCTTTTGTCGCATATTCAACCAAGACACGCAAAATGGGAAAGAGAGAACGCGAAGAGGCTACGGCCACAGTTGACGCCGAGGTCCACAAGAAGGCAAAGAAGGACAAGAAGGAGAAGTCCGAGGACCCTGAGAAGGCAGCCAGAAAGGCGGCAAGAAAGGCAGCAAAGGCAGCTGCTAAGGTCGAAGGCACATCTGCTGAGGCATCTGCCGACGATGCAAAGGCAGAGGCCAAGAAGCAAAAGAAGGCCGCAAAGGCTGCTAAGACCGAGTCAACAAGCACCACCACCGAGGCCGTCGCTGCCCCCGTTGCCGCGACTGGTGGCTACACCGAGCATCCTGGCTTGACCGCTCTGCCCCAATCCGAAATTGACGCTTTCATCGCCGAGAAGTTCATCTCCGTCACCGACGAGTCCAAGGCATCGCCCGCTTACAGACCCATCACCTCGTTCGACTACGTGCCCATTACCGATAAAGCCCAGCGTGCGCCGTTCGCCAACTTCAAGACCCCCTCGCCCATTCAGGCTGCTGCATGGCCTTACCTTTACGCTGGAAGAGATGTCATTGGTGTTGCCGAGACTGGTTCCGGCAAGACCATGGGTTTCGGTGTTCCTTGTGTGAGATACATTTCTTCCCTATCCGCCAAGGAGCAGAAGAAGGGCATCAAGGCTTGCATTGTCTCTCCTACCAGAGAGCTTGCTGTGCAGATTCAGGAGCAGCTTATCAAGCTGGCCGAGCCTGCAGGCTTGAAGGCCGTCTGTGTCTATGGTGGTGTGAACAAGGACCAGCAGCGTGCCACTCTTACTGGTGCCCACATTGTCGTAGCTACCCCTGGACGTTTGAACGACTTCGTCAGCGAGGGATCTATTGATCTCAGCAACGTCACCTACGCTGTTCTGGATGAGGCTGATCGCATGCTTGACAAAGGTTTCGAGGAGGAGGTTCGCAAGATTCTCGGCAGCTGTGCACCCACTGGCCGCCAAACTCTCATGTTCACCGCAACATGGCCTCCGTCAGTACGTGAGCTCGCCGCTACCTTCATGAAGAAGCCCGTCCGCATCAACATTGGTGAGAACACCACTGGAGAGCTCCGTGCCAACACCAGAATTACCCAAGAAGTTGAGGTTATGGACTCCTACGACAAGAACGACCGCCTCATCTCCCTCCTCAAAAAGTACCAGAGTGGAAAGAACAAGGAGGACCGTATTCTGGTTTTCTGCCTGTACAAGAAGGAGGCAACCAGAATTGAGGGTTTCATTCGTTCCAAGGGCTTCAACGTTGGTGGTATCCACGGTGATTTGAGCCAGGACCAGCGCCAAAGGAGTTTGGATGCCTTCAAGGCCGGCAAGGTCCCTCTTCTTGTTGCCACTGATGTCGCTGCCAGAGGTCTTGATATTCCCGCTGTCAAGGTTGTTATCAACGTCACTTTCCCTCTGACTGTCGAGGACTACGTCCACCGCATCGGTCGTACTGGCCGTGCTGGCCAGGATGGCAGAGCCATCACTTTCTTCACTGACCACGAGAAGGCTCTCGCTGGAGGTCTGATCAACGTTCTCAAGGGCGCCAACCAGCCCGTTCCCGAGAATCTCATGAAGTTCGGTACCACCGTGAAGAAGAAGGCTCACGACGCATACGGTGCTTTCTACAGAGATCCTAGCGAGATGAAGGCTGCCACTAAGGTCACCTTCGATGATTGATTTGTTCTTGGGTATACCTGACTGAAGCATGCATATTACGGCGTTACGGAAGGATATTGTACGACATAGATGGTCCTTAGTTATATTCACCCAAAAGTATTATCTGAACCTGTATAACCACTCTCAAGTCCAGAATGCAGTGACTTGAACACACAATTTGAGTTTGTCTCTCTCTGGCGATAATTATTTTGCTATCGCAGGCCTTGGCAGTTCTTCGGGGATGTGAGACGGGCACCGTTGAGAGCGCGGCCTTGACATCGGCGACCTTTAGCTTTACAGTCATAGATAAAGATCACTTTGACTTTGATCTCTCTACACCCCAACTCTTCACGTTCCAACTCACAACTAAGAATCAAGCATGTGTAAAGGCGCCGTGTGTGACAACTGCAGTCAGTATCCTTCCCCCGCCACCTGCCGCATCTTACATCTCAGCCAGCCTTGTCTATGAAGTAATCTACCAGCCTCTTTGCTGACCACTCTCGTAGGCAAGCGCACCTGGTTCGGCTGTGGTGCGCATGTACCATCGGTCATGGACTCTATACCTAAGAACGAATGGTGTGATTGCGATCCCAAAACCGAGAAGAACGGCACAGAGTACCCTCCTATGGGTGAGTTGATCGTATTGCTTATGTTGAATGAGCTGACAGATGTCTTGCAGGTAGCATGACTGGTGTAGCAAAAGCTATGGCAGGATACTAGTAGCAGTTCGAATCACCTTGGATCGATCAATTGGACATTTTTTGGAATTTCTCACATGCTCGTCATTCTCGAGGACCATGAGCAAGGATCTTTAATTGGATAAATACTGTCAAGCTTGACGAACTTGACAACTTGGCATCCAACATTCCTTCCCGCCTTCTTTCTGCAGCTGTGACTTCATTGCTCTTTACATTGGCCTAGTTATACCAGCCATTTGATTGTCATGGTGTGAAAGCAGATTCATATCTCCGCTGGGCTTGACGATCTCACTCCCTTTGCTGACCACTAATCCATCGTTTGTGTATTTCTAAACCACGAGACCCATGCCGCAAGCTATATTAGCAAGTCAAGGCAAGTCATCGGAGTTCTCAACAGCCACCAAGATTTCTCATTCGTCAATTATTGAGTGCAGTAATAAAATAGCATGAACAATGGCCAGCCAAAACAAGGTTTGGAGGAGCCGAAGTGTGTACCTTTCAAGGCCAAGTCTCTCACCTTGGTTGCCCTGTTCCTTAACCAAAACCTGCAGCAAAACATCATTTTTGTCGCAAGCCGTGCAGTCCATGGTGTGTACTCGCGCCTCATGATGCGCTAAACACAATGATCCTGTAGACCACACCACCTTATGACAGCATAGTACAGGTATGATGAGGCTGCCAACGATGGCTGGATGAAGATATCCAGCCCTTCCTTTTCCTACATCTGCGAGCCCCTCTTTGTACGAGCATTTCTTTCCTCCAGACTGCCTCGAGCTCTCAGCAGTGTAACATGTCAAATGCAATCGAACCGCAAGTAGGCACTCTGAGGCCACTGTTCTGGGCCCACGTGTCTACGAATAGCAACGGCCAACCCAGAGTCCTACACTCCTATACGCTTGACCCTCGAGCTTCTGACGAGGACAGTGATGAAGCAGATTCATCCATCCTAACATCGGACAATAGGTCAAGCCGTCGCCCAAGCTCTTCCATCTCCTCGACTTCTTCCACCTCCTCAACCGAATCAGCAACTTCATCGCAAGCAAGCTGTGAAACTGGACAGTCAATCCGAGTTAGGATCCGACGAGTACCTCAGAAGTGCAAACCAGTCTTGCGGAGATGCTGTTCACCCGTCACCGAGAGCTTACGCGAGATACGGCAGAGACAATCAGAGGAAGACTTGCGACTTCTCTACGAGGCACAGACGTTGGCCTATCTGAACGATGCGATCCACTTCTGATTCTCGCAAGCACAACTGCAATCAGCAAAGTGGCACTGGATATAGTGGCATCACAGATCACAGAAGATGTCGTGGTCGAGAACGAGAGAGCTCAAATCAATGGAAGCCTCGGCGAAACACCCGCAAACATTGCGTCACCGCATCGACCCCACCAGAAAACATCATGGTGCTTACTAAAGCCTCATTTTCCAGATGCCGAGTTATCCTTTTGGGCAATTGCGAAGAAACAGATACTTTTATTTGCTTCGAACCTTTCTCTTTGCGACAAACAAAACCTACCACCTTAATTTCTAAGAAAAGTCTCGACAACCAGAAACAACAGACACAATGGTCAACATGCGTGCAGTCGGTACAAGCTCACCTTTCAAGCTTCAATTGAGCTATTCATCAACTAACACAACATACAGATATCAAGGAGGGCAAGGGTCCCGCAACCTCCCTCTTCATCAACGAGATCGAACGTCCCAAGCCCACGGCCGCTCAAGCCCTCATCCGCGTCAAAGCCTTCGGTCTCAACCGCATGGATCTCCTCCAACGCGAAGGCCAATACCCCGTTCCTCCCCAAGCACCCAAGACCCTCGGTGTAGAATTCAGCGGTATAATCGAAGAACTCGCTTCTGAGAGCGAGAGTGGTTTCAAGAAGGGTGATGCTGTGTTTGGTCTGGTGTACGGTGGTGCTTATGCCGAATACATTGTCGTCAGCACGCATATGCTTGTGCACAAGCCTGATGAATTGAGTTTTGAAGAATGTGCTGGTATCCCTGAGGTTTGTTCTCCCTTCTCCCCTCCCCTGCATACCCTTTTCTTTTCGCAGGCAAGATACTGACTCGAAGGAAAACAGACATGGATCACCGCCCTCCAAGCAATGTACATGGTAGCAGACTACAAACCCAACCAATCAATCCTCTGGCACGCCGGCGCCTCCAACGTCTCAATCGCCGGAATACAACTCTCAAAAGCCGACTCTGCCTCCAAAATCTTCGCAACCACCCGTTCAGACGAAAAGAACAAATTCGTCGTCGAAAAGTTGGGTGCCACCGCCGCTTTCAATTCCGAAACCCAAGATTGGGCTGAGGAGGTGCTCAAGGCTACGGATGGAAAGGGTGTGGATATCATTGTTGATTTCATGGGTGCTGGCTTCTTTGCTAGTAACTTGAAGGCTGCGGCCAGGGATGCGCATATTGTTACGCTTGCTGCTTTGACGGGTATGAAGTTGCCCGCCGAGACGGATATGGGTGCTTTCCTGTTCAAGAGAGTCAGACTGGAGGGTTCGACTTTGAGAGCAAGAGATGAGAAGTACCAGGGCAAGCTCAGAGATCAGCTTGTCGAGCACGCTCTGCCCAAGTTCAAGGATGGCACTTTCAAGGCTTACGTCGAGAAGGTCATGGATTGGGAGAAGATTGTCGAGGCTCATCAGCTCATGGAATCTAACAAGACCAAGGGCAAGATCATCATGACTATCGACTGGTAGATTGTTGGTTGTTAGGTAAATCTTTCTCCTGGTATGCATACGAAGTTACGTTACGATCATGCCTATCTAATGTGCTAGAGTGAGTCTGAAGAAGGTACATAAATGTTCTTCCTCCTCGGTAGTTCGACCGGGTGATGGAAGATTCTCATGACACGGCAGCCAAACTGGCTTCTGGTAAAACCAAAGACTCGAGAGTCTCGTTGGATTGGCCATTCACGACTGGTCTCTTCGTCCCAGACCGTCGGACAGTAGGTTTCAGCTCGTCCTCGGAGCCTTCTGTGACTGTGGGCGCTCCCTCTTCCTGAGCATGTTCTTCTGTAACACGCGGCAGCTTCTTGTCCTTCGGCGTCAAAAGATGACGAGTGTATGCTCCTTTCGCTAGGCTCTTCGCTTGTCTAGACACTTGCCTGTCGACAAGGTACCAGACGACTTGGATGCCAGCCTTTGACAACGCCTCGACCTGTTCCATCAGCCTGGTGAAAGCGTTCGTCTCTCCGGAAGTTCCATCCCTTGATGATCGTCCGAATTTGCAGCGGGGATGCGAACATGTCATTCCTTCGATCAACGCAACGGAGCTGCTGGCGATAATCAGACGAAAACGTGACACAGCTCGAATCTCCTCATCAGTCCAGCGATAGAGGTCCGCCAGTTCTTTTATCATACGCTTCCTGTCTGGTACAACTCTTGTGCGAACCACCTTCAAGGCTTCCGTGGCGACGGCCAGGTCTGGTGATATACTGCGAGGCGAGGAAGAAATCGGCCTCAATCGATAAGTCAGGGGAAGGGATCGAGAAATATTGAGGGCCGAATTTTCGTGAAAATAGACGCCGATGCCAACATATTCCAGAAACTGGTCGACTTCTGGAGGACCGGCAGTAGCAATGGTGACGATAAGGGATCTGAGAGTGCTGCCGCTTGAGTCGTAGATTGTGTGATGGATTGGGTGTGTAACTTCCGGTACGTTTTGGCCTCTCAAGACTGGACGAAGCCACATCAGATTGCAGAAGGCACATTCGTAGGATCTGAGTGGAGATTCCGAATGTGTTGAATCATGATCGAAGCTTTTGTCAAATTAGTCCTTGTGAGTGTTCAATCCAAGACCACAGTGAGACTGACCCGAGTGCTGTATGATTGACATCTTGTAATTCATGAAGGAAGCCATACCATCCTTGTACTTCAGCATCCTTCTCAGGCAAGAATCTCGCTTGAGGTCCACAAAGCTTCTCAAAACGACTTCGGTCATGGTTGGTGTGATCTTTAGTGAGCTTCTCATGGAGAGGTTTGGCATCAACATGGCCGTCGCCGGGATTGTTCTACAGATCATGGGTATCCTCGATCGCAATTGGCGCAAGGGCTAGTAGAGTCTCAATTGCTGAGTCGTCTTGTGGCGGGTGGAGATGTTTGAGCAAGCGTTCGATGGTAGTTCGTACCATGGTATCAGTAGGCTCCAGTGTCTTGGGAGGTGAATACTGGGTTGATGTAGGAGACAGATATGCTTTGGTGATAGAAGGGTAGGTAAATGAATGGACGCAGGAAAGAGAATAAGCAGGGCTGACAGGTGATGGACGATTGAGCACGAGTTCGGTAATAGAGGCTTCGAAGTTGGAGAATAGACCTTACTGTGAGTTTTGACACGTGCTTGTAATAGAGCGAGGAAGGCACAAACGTCTGCAAGCCAAGCCACAAGTCTCGCAGTTGCCATACATCTTTAGAGTGGCACTTTTTTTTACTAAAGTTGAAAGATATTAAGAAACTACAAGCGGAAAAGCCTAATTCGTAATGCTGCCATTTTCAACCAAAGATGTTGCTTTGAAGTCTTATTCTAGCTTCTCCTTATAAGACAAAGTGTCTTTGCCATGCTGAAGATTGTTCGAAGTGTATCCAGAATATTTCTCTAGTGTCTAGATGAGCGGTGTTTCCTCATTGACAACGAGATTAACTTGTACTTCCACGCACAATTGCATGAGCTATCAAATTGGCACACCCACTTGTAGTATAAGATTCCCGAGGTGCGGTGAAAGATCTTCCAAAAGAATTGCTGGTGGGGTTGTGGCGTGCATGATGCTGTCTTTGTTTCAGACCACGCGGGTGTCTGCATACCTACCCATGCAAAGGAAATCTTCAGGAGCCTGCAAACCATTTCCCTGTCAAACGAGATCTGGTAACACAAGTTGTCGTCCATCCTTCGCTCTGTTGGGAAAGGCTAGTGTTCGTGGTCCAAGGTCCTGAATGAGAGGTATTATCAAGCGTGGGAAATCTGTTTGGCCAGCGTATGCAGCTACTCCAAGCTCCCAAGCACCAAACACTTCCAAGGATTTAATCATCGATATACACAATGTTTCTGGGAACTCAGAATGTATCCAACGAGAGGGCAGATAATTCGATCTCTCAGCGAACCCTCTCTGAGGTCTTGATAGTATCGTGCATTATGATCGATAGTAACATGTAGTGTCTGCCCTCAGCCGAACCGAAGCCACTCTGACGAATGTTTGTCGGTCTCCGTTTGTTACGGTCTGCAGGTCTCACGAATGAGTAACGCACGAAGCAAGACCACCTGTCTTTGATCAGCATTCGAGAGACGCGCTCAGTCGACCTCTGATAAACTGAAGCTTTCGCTGTTGCTCCTGCTGCACCTCCTACTCCTGCCACGATACCAAAATCTACGCTCCTGCCGAATTTGTCGGTAGTCGAATGTCCCAGGATCAGCACCTCCTCAAACCAGCTTCTCTTACTGCTTCGTCGAAAGGCTTCAGTCCTTAATCTGTACTTCACCATTACCTTCCACCCTGAATTGTTCACCTTCTCATCAATCCTTCGACACGAACATCATCATGGCGTCCTTCAATTCCGACTATAAGCTCTCTGATGTTCAACTCTGCGAGGGAAACGCATGCAACAGGTGGTGGTTGAAGGCTCTTTTCAGTGTACCTGGTAGTCGATCCTCCCAAAGGTGCCCGCACTGTCGCGGTGCTCCCACAGAGCCGACCAAGTACTGGCATGGCGGCCGCAGTGGCCCCAAAGCTCCTAGTTACGACTACCCAGGATACCTGTCGCCACAGTCAGTCAAAAGACCGGATCAATCGGGCGCCAAAAGATCGACACCGATTGACACAACTATGGCGACCCAGAGCGCGAACAAGAAGCACAAGCTGCAGCAAGTAAGTTCTAAACCTTTTGTTGCTTGCGAACACAGTAACTGACAATCCATTAGCCAACCCCGACCACGCCTACTGGCAAAGTAGAGTTCCCGAGGTCAGATCGCAAAGACAGCTTGCAATCGCCCGCAACCCCAAAGCCTGACCCGGCGCTGCAGACTCTACTCTCCAAGACCAGTAATCTGTACGAAGCGTGGAAGAACTGTGATGGTCGCACAGAAACCCACTTGCAGTCAGAACTGGCAGCAGTCGAAGTCAATGTCCAGAAGATGACCACCTCTCCTCCGAAGATCGAGCGCAAAGTCAAGGAAAGCCAAAGCCAGCTGTCTGTCGCTCAGGAAACCTTGGAAAGAATGGAAACCATGTGGACCGAGATCAACGAATCCGCCAGAAAAGCAGGCCTAGATGAAGAGAAGCACAGGGTGAACAAGGAACAGTGGCTCCAAGGAGCTCAAAAGCATGTTCAGCTCGCCTTTGAAGATAACAACCGCAAAAGCAGAGAGTACCAGAAAGGAATGGAGGACCTGGCACAAGCAAAGCAACTCATCGTCGATATGAAGCAGAAGATCGTCGATATCGAGGAGGAGAGGAAGCGCCTCAAGGCCTTCGGAGAGTTCTTCTGCGTGGACTTGCCTTCCAAGAACAGTGCCTGACTCTGGCGAGCGGTTGTCCAGTTGGCACCCGCCTTGTTGTTTGCATTTCTGGAGACATTTATCTAGCGGATACTGGCCGGTGAGTTGGATGAGCGGATGCGATCTTGGGGATTGCCATTTGGCAAAGACATGCATTGGATCGGGAGACCAGGGAGCAGTGTTTTCTCAACCTTTAATTTCCTTCTCTTGCTTTCACATTTTGTTTCTTGAAAAATGCAAGTCTTGTCTTCCAACCCTCTCGTCCAGAAACAAGCTCATGGTGAAAGTGCAAACCTCGTTGTCCAGAAGTTGGTGACGGTATTGTTTCGTTCGAACTCCAATCCTGTACCGTAATGTTCATCGATCCGACCAAAGTCAGTCTTCGCAAAGTGAATACTGACGAACATCACATCGCCATGAAACGGAGATTGGACGAGCAGGGCTGTGTACTTGAAACAAGCACACTCGAGTCAGTTTCTTCGTTTCAGCTCCAAATCACGATATCAAAGGGGTGGAGATTAGCTAGCACTTCCAAGCTGTCTCCAAACATCGGAGAAGATGTCCTAACACGTGCGGCGATACCGAACTCCGAAAATCAAAGAATCACCTCGTCCGGTTTCTGTTATCGCGACAAACCGGAGAGGAACTCCTGCCTTTCTTTTCGCGGAATAATAACCAATGTGTGCGAGAGATCATGGCAAAAGTGGTAACCAAGGCTGGGTTAACAAGCATCTATGACGCGGAGAAGACAGCCCGGCTGCCGCGAAAGCCAGAAACCGACCATTAGCGATAGACAAAAAGATAATCGTTTACCACCGAGATTTGACCATTATTCTTGCTGCGCCTTCCCCAGCCAGATGAATGCGGAGATGAATCGTGCATCTCCTTTTGCTAAAGGAGAGGAGGTGGCAGAGCCAAGTTCGACACTCAGAGATGGTGGAAATAGATGCCTTTCAACGCGCGTCGATAATGTCAATCAAGCTTCTCTCATGACTTTTTGACTTTCCGCGGGCTGTTTCCAGGTTTTCCAGAAGACTTTTTTGAGAATCCAGCTTTTTGAAAGTTACGTTGCGTCGGCTAGAGCTTCGGAGAAGAATTGACTTTTCCGCAGAGCAGTTGCAAAGCTGTTGCAACTGCCGCCGACTGGTCTGCTCAACGGGACGAATGTAGAAGAGAAAACCGATTCTGGAAAGAGCTCAGAAAGTCGACTTTTTGAAAGATATTTTGAATTTTTTGATTCGTTCGTAACATTTGTAGAAAAAAACTCCAAGCCTCCCACATCTCATGCTCTAAACAGCGAGGACCCTGAGCCAGGTTCTCCTCGCATCCCAATAATCATTCATAGTATTATAATGTTTCTTCTTTGTCCGCAGCATCGAGACCGGCTTCCCGCGTGCCGAAAAAGTTATGCCTTTCCCATGAATCAAGCTCTTTTGAATGTCCTTATGCGCCGCCGTTGCCGAAGAAGCTGCTGTACTTGGTGTTGACGTACTCCTGACCAGCAACAGGCAGGGAAGAGCTGAAAGACCCGAGGAGGAGGAAGAGGACGAAAAGGACACCGCCGAAGACAATGAGCTTTCTGAGAGCGGGGTGTCTGACACCGTAGTCGGCCCAGGCGCGACCGGCACCACCAGCGTATTCCTTGAGAGCATCAGCTCCAAGCTTGTAGTAGACGAGACCACCGAGAGCGATAGAGTAACCGAAGAATTGCAGAGGTGCAACGGGGTCGCGGAAGATGAGCATCGAGGCCATGACGAGGAGAATGTCCTTGAGGACACCGCAAAGGGTGAGAACGAGGGAGGAGGTTCTGCCAATCTATAGATTTTGTTAGCTGCCTTGTTTCGACAATGCGCAGAAGGATACATACCAGGAAAACAACTGAGACGTTCAAGCCAAAGGCGACCATGGCATTGAGCAGGAGAGTGAAGTAGCCAACACGGTCAAAGTCGGCCCAGCTCATGGAAGGGACCTCGACAAGCAGAGCGACAATTCCGTTCATAATGGTACAAGCGGGGGCGAAGTAGTACAGAGAAACCAGAGGGTCCATCTTGAACTCAGCCGAAGACAGAAGGCGCTGGACCATGGTCAAGCGAATAGCCTCGAAGATGATACCAGCACACTGGAGGAGGAAACCGAGCATGACGAATTGGATTTCACCGAACGAGGCGATAATGACACCGATGACGATGAAGGAGACGTTTCCGAGGGTCTTCATGTTCGGGGGAGAAAGACCCATGACCCAGGAGGTGATCAGGACAGCGACGGGGGTGGTGGCCTGTTTATTTGCGTCAGATTTTGCTCATTTGAAGACATAATAGAGCAATCTCATCGTACCTTGATCATCTGGATGAAAGACACGGAGAGGTAGAGGTAGGTCAGGTTACCGCAAATGAGCGACAGAGAGAAGAAGATACCAATGGGGACGATTGCCCTCAGGTAGACTCTGCCGTTCATGGGAACCTTCTTTCTCGAATCCAGCACGGTGGTGAAACGAGCGAGGATTTGGGTGCAGATGGTTGCGAAACCGAGATGCCATGTTGTCAAGAAAATGGGGAAGCCTGCAAGATTATGAGCTGCTGCCAGATGGTCGCACTTTTGGCAGACTTACGGAAGTTCAGCTTCTTCTCGTCCAGGATGTACTTGTTGAAAATGATGACACTGGAGCTCATGGCAATCCAGACACTGCGCGCGCGCTATCAGCTTCCATCCTTGGCTCGTAAGCTCTGGTGCCGCGCGACTCACACTACATAGAGAGCGGGGTGGATGCTACTCTGAGGAGGTGCAGGCTTCTCAAGTGCTGGGTTGACGGTGGGCAGAACAGGCTCAGCCTGCTCGGGTCTCTCGACCTCGCCGGAGGTTCTTTCCTTCTCCATTGCGCAATGTGTGGGGTTTCAAGTTTGTGAGATGGAGAAATCAATGCACTGAACGGCGGAGCTTCAGTGCAAGTCGCAAACGGGACAAAGAATGGAGGGAGAAGGTGGGTGGAAATTTGGTTGAAGAGGATAGGACAAGTTTTGATGTTTGCCCGTCCAACCCCCTTGATGCATCGTCAGAAAGCTTGGAACAGCCGCAGTGCAAGTGGAGCCGCCTTCTTCGAAACCGTTGACACGCGCTTCACCAGGCTCGGGTACGCGCAATCACATCCACTCTACCACCCTTGACACTCAAGAACATCATGACGATCTGAATACTGCGAGTTTCACCTTCAAACACTGTGCCATTGTTTGCGCAAACATGTCACCGTCGTCTACCGGTGTTGCCCTATGCCTTGTATCCCGCTGTCTGTCAATCTCTCGTGCCTCAGCCGCGTCGAGTGGTACAATTATGATGTTCATCGACACTCTGCGGCACAATCTATCTCATTCTCCTGACCATCTCAAACAACATCAGATCCAATCAATGCAAACACGCTGCCCCGGTGTAGGGGCCCGCAAGAGGTCAGTTGCAGCATCTGAACGAAGCTTGGCCGAGCTTGTTCATTTTGAAGAGAGCACCTGTGTAACCTCGAAAATGCCAAAGGGAACTGTCAAACATTGTTGTTTCTTCGGCATGCAATTGGACGCGTGTAGGAGGAGGTGGCTGTACTTTTGGGAGATGGCATCAAACGTCACTGACTCAACAAATTCCACTGGCAACGATTGGCAATTGAACTGGACTGAATTGGTTGACAGACGAGCAGCTGTCAAACGAACTGTAGGTCAGCTCCAGTACTGTATGTTGCTATGCTGTTTACAGAGTGGGATGTGATAGATCAAAAGAGAGTCTGGATTCGGATGGTGGGGCGGGTCTAGTGCAGCAAGGATCTTGTTGAAAGTTGAAACTTGAGGAAGGTGCGGCCCTCGGGCGAGGAGTCGGACCCTGTCCATGGCCGCCAAGTATTGAGAGTCGCCGCTCTCACCTCCTTTTTGCCAGACACAGCAATCACTTTTAAAAGTCCAGTCGACGCTCGCTCTCTTGTCTCTCTGCTCTCCAGTGATACCCTCTTTCGTTGCCCGTCCATTGTTGTTCTTAATTCCTTTAATCCGTTCTTTCACACACCCACCACAATGTCCAAGGAAATGTGAGCTTCGAATACGAGCCGTTGCCACCTCAACTCTGCTGACAAGTATACACAGCGAAGTCGACGTTCTCGTCATTGGTGCTGGCCCGACTGGTCTCGGTGCCGCAAAGCGTCTTAACCAGATCAACGACCAGTCATGGATGATTGTCGACTCCAACGAGGTTCCCGGTGGTCTTGCCTCGACCGATGTTACCCGTGAGGGCTTCGTGAGTAGCTTCGCTGAGAAACTTCGAAGATTTGAGCAGCGCTGACAGCAATCGACAGCTCTACGATGTCGGCGGCCACGTTATCTTCTCCCACTACAAGTACTTCGACGACTGCATCAACGAGGCTCTTCCCAACGAGACCGACTGGTACACCCACCAGAGAATCTCCTACGTTCGCTGCAAGGAGCAATGGGTCCCCTACCCATTCCAGAACAACATTTCCATGCTTCCCAAGGAGGAGCAGGTCAAGTGCATTGACGGCATGATTGACGCTGCCATGGAGGCCAGAGTCGCCGGCACCAAGCCCAAGGACTTCGACGAGTGGATCGTCAGAATGATGGGTGAGGGTATTGCCGACCTCTTCATGCGCCCCTACAACTACAAGGTCTGGGCCGTCCCCACCACCAAGATGCAGTGCCAGTGGCTCGGTGAGCGTGTCGCCGCTCCTGATCTCAAGACTGTCACCAAGAACGTCATCTTGAACAAGACCGCCGGCAACTGGGGCCCCAACGCTACTTTCCGCTTCCCCGCCGAGGGTGGTACTGGTGGTATCTGGATCGCCGTCGCCAACACTCTCCCCAAGGAGAAGACCATGTACGGTCCCCATGCCACTGTCACCAAGGTCGACGCCGATGCCCACAAGGTTTCGCTCAAGGATGGCACCACCATCAAGTACGGCAAGCTCATCTCGACCATGTCGGTCGACTTCCTCACTGAGGCTATGGGCAACCACGACCTCCACCAGCTTTCCAAGGGTCTGTTCTACAGCAGCACCCACGTCATTGGTGTCGGTATCCGTGGCCAGCGCCCCGAGCGCATTGGTGACAAGTGCTGGCTCTACTTCCCTGAGTCGGACTGCCCCTTCTACCGCGCCACCATCTTCTCCAACTACTCTCCCCACAACCAGCCCGTTGCTACCAAGAAGCTCGCTACCATGCAGCTTGCTGATGGTTCCAAGCCTGAGAGCGATGGCCTCAACGAGGGTCCTTACTGGAGCATCATGCTCGAGGTTTCCGAGTCTAGCATGAAGCCCGTCGACTCCGAGAACCTCCTCAAGGACTGTATCCAGGGTCTCGTCAACACCGAGATGCTCCAGCCCAAGGACGAGATCGTCTCAACCTACCACCGCAAGTTCGACCACGGTTACCCCACTCCCTCGCTCGAGCGTGAGGGTGTCCTCAAGGAGCTCCTCCCCAAGCTCAAGGACATGGACATCTACTCGCGTGGTCGCTTCGGTGCTTGGCGTTACGAGGTCGGCAACCAGGACCACTCTTTCATGCAGGGTGTTGAGGCTGTTGACGCCATTGTCAACGGCTCTGTCGAGCTTTCTCTGTTCTACCCCGTAAGTTTCTCCTAGGCAATCTAGAATTGACAGTTGTGCTAACTCACCTTCAGGACTTTGTCAACTCTCGCCAGAACGACGAGCGCAGACTGGTCGACGGTGCCCAGTACTTCAAGTCGATGAAGGGTATCCGCAGCAGCGAGATCCCCTTCAAGCCCCAGCAGGCCTAAACAAGGAGCGAGAGAAAAACATGTTTGAGATACCCATAAAGGTCCGAGGCTGAAAGTGAGCCAACAGACCACGGCGCATGCAGGAGTTTCTGGAAGAGGACCGCTTGGGAATGCTGTGCATTTTTACCGAGCCACATTTTGCATGAAAGGATTAAGAACAACGGATGATAGAAGTACAGATACAGTCGCGATTTCGCATTATAGTCAGCATTGTGCTACCAATAGCAAGTTTCGGTCGTTTCTACCCACACCTCCTTCCGCTTCCATGATTGCTGTCTTTACCTCATCTACTCCAGTGATCAAAGTATACCATCTGCTCCATACCTGCACAGCAGGTCTCGAACGTCTTTAGAATGACGCTCCGCAAACATACTGACAGACATACCCGCCTTGGCTTTCCTATCTGTCTTAGCTCCGTGTTGGAGCAGCAGACCGATGAGTCTCGTGGTGCTTGCTTCTCCTACAGGTAGGTATTGCAGCGCATACAGCAACGGCGAGTTGTCTAGCAAAGTCCTTCCCTCATCGCTGATCTCGTTGGGGTCCGCACCTTCCGAAAGGAGCAACTCCAGCATCTGCTCATTCCCTGTACGCGCATGACTGCCGAGTCTATTTTTCATTCCGAGTGCAAAGAAAAGGCAGTCGCAATACGCGGAGGACCTGTTTGCGCGATTGATGACTGCGCCATTCTTGATGAGCAGCACGACTGACTCTATAGAACCACTCTCAACAGCATGCGCGAGGATGGTCTGGCCGCTGCCATCTATTTTGTCGACTTCAGCTCCGTTGTCCAGTAACAGTTGAATTATGTCTGCCCAGCCATTCTGAGCAGCATATGCTAGAGGTGGAACACTCTTTCTACCTCTCTTAGACACATCAACTCCTGCCGAGACCAAGAGTCGAACAATCGTCTTTGATCCGATCTGCAAAGCTCGATGTAACGGAAAGTCATCTGAAGGGAAGCAATCCACCTCGGCTCCTGATTTGAGAAGCAGTTCGACAGCGCTTCCAAGCCCTGCTCCAACAGCTCGCGATAAGGGCGTGTCGCCTTGCCAGACTTGCGCGTTCACATCAGCCCCTCCCGCGATCAAGGCAGATATCAAGGAGTCAGATCCGGCCTTTGCAGCAAGAAGCAAAGGAGTTTCACCGTTGCGGTCCTTGAGATTCACCTGAACTCCCTGTTCCAGAAGTAGCGTGACCACGCTTTTTGATCCCGCTGCAGCTGCGTAGAACAAAGGTGTTCGTTGTGAGAGATCCTTAGCATTCGGATCAGCCCCTCTATCCAGTAGGAGTCGGGTGACGGCTCGAGAGCCACATTCAGAGGCATGAGCCAGGGCATTCCGGCCCTCATGATCCTTTGATCTCACATTCGCACCATTGTCGATTAATACTGAAACCGTATTTTCATGCCCTCTGGACGCGGCACACAACAGCGGCGTGAAGCCACCATATCCTTTCGCTTCAGATGCCAAGTTGGGATCAGCTCCTGCGCTAATAAGAAGGCGGACCGCCTCCAAGCTGTTCAGTCCGGCTGCATAGGACAACGGAGTTCGTCCATCGCTGTCCATGGTGTTCAGCTGAGGCCGGTGAAGCTGCAGATGGCGCTTCAAGGACCTCTCCAGCGAGGTACGGACTGCAATGTGTACGCCCGTAGTCTCAGGAGCCGTGCACTCGAGCGTTTGACAGGAGGCAGATACCTTTTTTCCATTGGCAAGAAACCGAAGGACAACATCGGCCGTCTCTGAATCGCTTCCGCGAACGTGCTCATACCAGTGTTGAGACGCATACCCGTAGAAGTGATACTGGACAAATCGCTTCTTCATCAGTATTGTTTTGTCTTGAGCCAGACATCTGGACCACAAAGAACTCGGGTCCACCTCCGGGCATGGACCATCTGCAAAATTATCAAGAGACAGATAGCTGATGCATGTTTTGCCAAAAAATTCGTCACCGTTTGGGATCCAGTCGGTGTGGTACTCGACCAGGTAATCATGGAGACTTTTGTGGAACATGTTGACCATATTACTCGAATCGTCCAGAACGATCAGCCCGGCGCATGATCTGATGATCACTGCTACATCGGGTATGTGGTCCTCATCGAAGTAAACCGATCCTTCTCTGACAGCCAAAGCATGAGATAACTCCTCGATTCGGAGCGGTCGTTTGGCGAAGAACAAGTAGCAGAGAATTGTCAAGGCCAGATTTCTCTTACTCATGGGATTGTCATCCGATGTAACTCTGCGGAGTGTCTGTTCGTAAACAGTCTTGTAGGAATCGGAGGAATGGTCAATATTATCGAACGCGATCAAAACTTCTCCGATATCCAGAAAGAGGGACATATGTTCTGCATAGAGTACTGCGATAAGATATCTGGGTATTGTCAGTCTTCGATTAAGCTACATCGTGTCAAAAGTGCCCCTGGTTAGGGTCAGTGGTATACATACACTCCTTTTGCGGCTTCCAGGATCTTTGAAGTCACCTTGTTCTGAAGGTCGACGTTGTTTCGGAACAGAGGACCCTTCTTGAGTTTGGTTCTGACAGTGTACCTCATATCGTCTTCCCGAGCATAGATCCTTAGCTCAGCCGACAATCTCATACCATGTGCCTCTTCTATAGGAACACGAGATGTCAAGTATACCTTGTCTTTGGATCCGGCTCCAATAGCGAGCAGCTCAGAGATGAAGTTGTCTCGAACTCCAGTCGAGCTCGGTAATTCGTCCAAAGCATCGACTATGATGAATGATCTTGTCAGGTTGCTCATGACGGTATCAAGCAAATCAGACATGTCGTCGGGTAGAAGACGTCTTTTTCCCTTCGTTGACCTGTACAATGACCTGACCTCATCGGGAATAACGCTGTGCTGCTCGAGGAGTTGCCTTAGAATGCTCGACATAAGGTGCTCTGCTGTCTGCTCCTTGTGCCGAGCATATTGACAAAATATGTATGCCACCCCAATGTGAGCATGGTCTTTGTACTCGTCGAGAACACGGCTGACGACGAAAGATGTGATCATAGTCTTGCCAACGCCTGGCATTCCTATGCACGTAAGTACGGGTTTGTCTCCATCGAACCAGTCCTTGAAGTCCTTGGAGTCAAGAAACCATTCTCCGATACCTCGTTGTCTCTTCTTCAAGAGTTCTTCCTGCTGGTCTGCGTAGTCGAGCTCGGACGGACATATCCAGTTCAATATCGCCTGAATTTCAGCGTCTTGGGTTTGGCGCTCTAAAACTTTGGTTCTGATATCATCGCGTACTTCAAGCCGTTCGACACCTGCTTGGGTATGACCGACGCCTGCGCATGTACGATGCAAGACGCCAGAATCGAGTCGACGGAGCTTCTTCTCGAGCAGATCTAGTGACAATAGTACACGGCTCCGAGTATCCGCATTAGCCTGCTGATCCCATTTGAGGCTTTGTCTTTAATCCGATTAGCATAAAAGCACCTCAGCTGTCGCTTCTCTAGCAATCTTCGAAGTTCGAGCAGAGTACGAATCCTGCGACGTCGAGGCCAGTAGATTGAAGTGAACATACACTGATCGCTTGAATTTCGCCCGAATACCTTTGTCAACATGACTGGCCTCCCCGAACTTGCTCAACTCAGATTGTAAGTCTTGCACAATTCCTTTACAGGATTCGAGCGACTCCTGAATCTGAGCCCTCTCGGCAGGGCTCATAGCACCATTCAAGCAGCTGGTCTCTTCACTTTTGATGAAGGCTGAGATTGCCTCGACGCTTGGTTCAGTAGCGGTTAGATTTCGATTGTGGAGCTAGATACAGGACACTCACTCTTGTCGAGTATTTTTGATCTGGTCAGGCGAATCCTTGACTCGATCAATGACCTTTATTACCACTTCAACTACTGCTTTGAAGTCTCCGATGCCAAAGCCAAAGCTCATGGTTGATGTTATGTTGAGGCAATCGATCAAGTTTTTGTTTCGACAATCTTTGAAGAATGATGAATGCGAGATCGTGTAACAAGCGGAGACAAATTCATCGAGCTGGCTCCTGCTACTTATGTCTTCTCGTACAAGTAGAATTCTGGGCTTTGAGGCATTGCCGGCGGTTAACGATTTGAAGTGGTAGGTCCAAAGCGATGCTGATGCCTAGATTGCAGCTAATGGAAGATCACTATCGAGCCTGCGTACTGATATGCAGCTACAGCACTGCCTCGTGATTTTTCACAGCCCCCAGAAGGCTTCCGGATATGATGTGATGGCTCTTCGTGGTCGAATCAATCGGCGCTTCCTGAAACATGAACTTCGGTTCATTGGTGTCTTCTTGGGTGGTATCCACACTTCTATCGTGTTGACCAGTCGTATACCAGTCGTATAAGATCGTGTTGGCATGTAGACAAGTACTCCGTACAGAAGGTGGCTTCGGCGGCTATGCTCGCGGCAGATTGATAACCGACCTGGATATGAACCAGACTTTCGGGACTCTCAGAACCAGGCATCGTTGCCTCGACGCAAGCATTGTGGGTGACTAGTTGAGGCAGCAGTCCATCAGCCCTCTCAGATCAGTGTGGCGAAGTTGGGCATGCCGCATACGAAAATATTGTTGCTCTGCGGAGGCATTGGTGGGATCAAGTAGGCCGTCTCCATGACGATTCTGGTCGTTGCTACCTCGCGCCAGTAGGATCTTTGGGTGTATCGACGGTTCGATGCTGTTAGTGGCGCATTGATCTCGAGATGGCTTGTAGTGCAGCCTCATATCCAGCATTGGACTCGGAAGCAGTAAAGTTGTCTGCGTGGTCACTGGTTGACCAGGTCAACGCCATGGCGTTCCCGGAACGCGAACCACCTCCGTCCAACCTTTTGACGACAACATGTCTGTGAGCTTTCGATGAGACCGTGATGAAGAAGAAACCGCAGCTGTTGTCTCTCAACATGATGAAAGATGGAGATGAAGATGAAGATGAGAGCAGAATGCATACGACAATTTTCGTACCCCGCCATATGCTCTGCGACGACACAACAATCACGCCAGTGATCAAACCCTCAGGGTCGTCCCTTCCGATTGCTAGGACTTGGCGCCTCGATTGTTCGCTTCTAACATTACAATGTCAGATACAATAGCGATCATCCGATGTACGATTTCAAGAAGACGGATTTGACATAAACACACATAAGACATCAAGGAAGGACACTCGTCTTTTTGTATTCCACAGCTATCACAGTCCCTCTATTTCTAGCCAGAAGCAGTAGTAGCAACAGGCGCAACCCCATTACTGCAAACACAGGCAGTATTACTGGCCAAAGGAGGACCATTAGTACACCAAGCCCCAGCATCCCAAGGAACAGTAGTAGTCGTAGCACCCTGAGCAACCTTAATTGTCTCTGCCTTCACAAGCACCGGGATGACTGCGCCAGTGACTAGAGAGAAAGCGCGATGACCAAGTACACGAAGAAGACTGCTCGTCTCTCCACTGTGAGTGGTGATGGATACAACGCTTGCGTCGTCGTTGTAGAAGATATCGTCAAGAGCGATTTTGCTTCTGTAATCTTGCGCCGAGGACGATTCCTCAGTGATACCATTCCAGAATTCGTCGTTTTCAGTAAAGGTCTTTTCGAACTTCCAGGTGGGGAAGAGATTGGAGATGTAAGTCTTGTTAGACCTATGATCGCAAGTGTGTGTACTGATACCCTCTCTGATCAATTCCTTGATTGTCGGGATGAAAGGAGATGAAGAGGGGAGAGTCAAGCCGCTGAAGGTGAGGTTGGCGGTCTTCAAGCAACGAGTCAGGGGAGAAACATAGTATGACTCTGGTGGCTGGATCTGTTGTTGAGAAATTTCTTGGGCCCAGAAAGCGTTGGCTTTGAGGGCTTGGGCAACACCATTGGCTGTCAGGTCGGCATCTTGCCATGATACGGTGCTGTTGCCGGTTTGTTGACTCCAGTAACACTGAGATAGATCAGATTCAATGTTCGGTGGCTTGATACTGGAGATAAACTTACGTTCCAAGCAGGTGTACCATAATAAGTCTGAGCGGCGTTGTGGTAGCCTTCTCCGTGGCGACCAATAAATAGCAACTTGTACTCAACATGCTTGGGAGCTTTGCTGTTCAGGTATTTGAGGTACTTGTTGAAGCGCTGCCATTGAGTGCGTGCGCCGTCAGACTTCTTATCCGATTCATAGGTCTGATTGATCAGGCCGAAATTGTTTGCAGTCTAGGAATGGTCAGAAATATAAATTATATGCAATTCGAAGGCTTCTTACGTAGTCAAAAGTGCTGGGAACGGTCGTGTCAAGATCTTGCAGGAAGTAACCACCGACATTGGTGTAATTGATGTACTCAGTACCCTTGTCAACAGTAGGCAATGAGGCAGTCGAAGGAGCGGTCGAAGCCGTGGGGATGGAGAAAGTAGTGGGTGCCTTGGTCGTGCTGACACTGACACCGACACTGCTAGAAACAGCAACGCTTGAAATTGTCGAGGAAGAAACACTGCTAGAGCTCACAGGTGCATCCTTGATCTTGCGTGCGCCTCTGATACCATTGTTGGTCGTAGGTTTGCCGAGCGTCTTCTTCATGTAACAGGCAGTACCAGACATGCTAATGTCAATGCATCCCTCGGTAGCGTCGCAAGCATTGACACAGTCAGCGATTCTATTGCTAGCAATATTGACCGACTTCAAGTCACCGCTTGCATAATCGACGGAACATTCGATAAGGAAAGTTGCGCCGCTCTTGGCAATGAAGACATTGTTGTCTGCTTCAGGGCAGGTAGGGCTGGTGGATGTAGGAAGAGCTGAAGTCGAAGAGCCCGTCAAGGATGCAGTTGACGTGCTGATGGCTGACGCCTCACTCAGTGCCAGGAATGACAGGGCTACAGAAGCCAAGGAAAATGAAGTATATACCATCTTAAAACGGAATGGAGGACGAATGCAAACAGATCACCTACCTCTGTATGCGCAAGGGCTGGCCGAGCTTGAAATACTCTGCGATTGTTCTCGCAATAAAGCGTGAAGAAAGATGCCCCTGAGGACTTCAAACATGATAGCGAATGACATGATGTGCAGGAAACACGATGTGCTCGCGTGCTCTAATCGTGCCGTGTGGATATACAGCCCTTCGGGTGAAGTCGATCAAGGAAGGAGGGCTGGCAAATGTGGAGTGGATTCGAAGAAGCCGCGGCCCAATCACAGACCCCACGTGCCTGACTACCACTTGTCGACAGTATCTCAACCAACATATTGAAGAAAGCCTCAGACCCGCAGCAAATCTCGGATACCATATCGGCTGATAGGACAGGTGAACAGCAGGCGAGCAGGAGAATCAAGGTTCGACAACCGGAAAATCAACACACGTGAACGATCATAGGGTATAATTTTGATTGATGCTGACCACGTGGAATGGTCAAGTCTATTCTGTCTTCGTCATTCGAATACTTGATTGGTATGTATACCTAATCCATGAGCTCCAAGGCTCGCAACGCCGCTCGAGTTGAACCGGAAGACGCCATTGAAAAAAGTAATGATGAACATGAAGTTTAGAAAAGGAGAAAAGCAGCCGTTAGAACTGCGGCGACTCTAGTCTTACCTCTAGAGAAGTGGCTTAGGAGGTGAACGACTGTGGCTTGTTTGGTGGATGCGCCAGGATAGAACGCAGAAATGCAGAAAGCTTTCAGTCAAGAGTGTAGTTGTGGCGAGTGCGCTCGACATCCTTACGCATGGTCTGGCCAGAACCCGTGAAACCGACTGCGAAGAAGTCAGTGAATGTTTGCAGCATTGAGAAGTAAGCTACACATACCTCTGGCAGAAGGAGCTTCACCAGTACGGAACATGCTCTCCTTCTGGACAACCTTGGCAGCCTTGCCGGAAGAGGCCTTTGACTGCCATGACTGCCAGTTGTTCTTGCTACTTTCGAGAGCCTTGGAGGTCTTCACTTTCTTCGGGGGCTTTCTGTCACCGTCGAGAGGTTTGATCTGATCCTTCTTGGCGGCGCTGGCTAGGGCAGGGTTGATGTTTGCCTCGGCGGAGATGACACCGGGAATGGGAGTGCTGACTGTAGGTGTAGAAGGAACGGAGACTGCAGGAGAGCCATCAGCCTTGCGCTTCTGAGAAGTCGAAGATGAAGCAGCAGGAAGAGGGCGCAAGTGTTCTTGACGCAACGTCTCTGTGCCTGTGTAGCCCTTGAAGTTGACTGTGTAGATGGGAGCGGCCGAGGAGCCAGTGACGGAGATGATGCGCGCTTCGTAGAACTGCTTGTCGCCTGCATACTTGGCCAAAACGTTATCGTTGACCTTGAAAGAAACGGGAGCTTTCTTCTCTTCGACGGCAGGGGCAGCGCTGGGTGCCTGCTTGCGGTATGCCGGGTGGTTTTCCTTGCTCCACTTCTCGCTCGACGAGGTGGCTTCTACTTTGGCGGTGGGCGGTTCTGGTTTCAGAGCGGCGATTCTGCTATCGACATCTTCGAGCAAGGCGACGATCTCTGCCTTCATGGAGAGGGCGTCTTCCAGATCGGGCACCTCGGCGAGCATCTGCTCGACTTCGACGAGCTATAACATCAGTCAGCAACAGATAGTACAGGGAGGAACAGTAATCAAGACTTACGTTGCGCTCATAGTCGGCGCGTTCGGATTGCAGCTGGGCGAGACTCATTGTGCGTTCAGTAGCCTTCTGTTTGTTCGTCGGTCAGGAGTGTTACCAATCTGCCCTGGCTTGTTCGACGGGCTCGGCGTCGTATCTGTTCCAGCGACAATTCCAGCAAAAACAATGCGCTTTACTTTAGTCAAGTTTGTTGCGGGTTGACATCAAATAATTCATGGAGAATGCAACAAATCACCAAATGGCCGACAAGCGGGCAATGACGATCCGCGATTCGCGCACTGACCAGCTAGCCGAGGCTCTGCAAACCTGCTTGCTGTCTGTCACCTTCCTGCTGTCTCACTCCTTCCCAACCATCAACACACAGCACTCTCTGCCTTGCATCAAGACCATTGAAACGTGTATTTGCATATGTTGAGTATGCTGCTAACCTGCTCAGAAAACACAACCTTGACGCCTGCCATTCAATGCTTACGCCTTCCACCAATCTTGTCAACCAACTCCAGCATATGCCCAATCGTCAAAGCAAACGCCAGTCCATCCCGATCCCGAACGCCATACCGCACAATCATTAATGTTGAAGAAGCAACCGCTCGACGGACTCTCTGAAAACCCGCTTACAGAAGATACGCCATGTCCCAAATCGACTGCCTGTTCCACTGCTTGATACCCAAGTCTTTCACCAATTTGTCCATTCGCATTTCGAGCGCTTCTCGAAGTCTTTCGGCGTACTTGTCTGACCGTCCACTCGTGTCGACCCGGATGTATTCGATTTCATAGCCACTGTCTCTTCTCTTCGAGTACCTGAGGCGGAAGCAAGCGCTTGCATCACGATGCCATTCATTGTATGCATCTTTGTACACTCCACGCGCAATTTGTACAAGTACCACGGTTTGGATCTTTCCAATCTTGTCGCTGCTCATGTTGTCCAACCATCTGGGAACTCCAGTATTGAAAGAGCTGTAGGGATATGCGATAGGTGCATCGACAATTGGCCTCGGGTGGAAGTTGATTGAATCGCGTCTCCTTACGACAAAGTCGTTTTCTTGGTAGAAGATGGGTGTACCTTCGAAGCGCGCTAGTCTGCAGCTTCGCAGGAATGCTGGTTCCTTGGCTGAATCTTGACTTGCGTTACGAGTTGTACTCTTGCGCATGACTGCTGTCACCCCGTCGTTGACGCAGACCATGCCGTATATCATTTCCCGGAGTTCGTAGGGAAGTTGGAAGATGCGACATTGTTGCTGCGTGTGGATTGAATACTCGTCGATGGTAGAGGGTCGTAACGGTAATTCTGATTTCGTGCTAGCGGTGACCGCATCGAAGGGGTCCGACACAACGGTAGGTGCTGGGGAGGGAAGGGACATTCTTTGTCGTTTGTATCTCGCACCCTCAGCGTCAAAGTCTTCTGCTCCGAGAGCAGCGTCCATCTTGGATACCATTTTGGCGTGTATGAACTGGGAAGAGGGAAGGACATGCATCACACCGCGCTGGTCACAAGGGTGCAGTTAAATACTTCCCCCTCAAAGACCGACGACATCCTTGGCAGGGACCCTTGGGCGAAGGGGTGCTTCTTCTTGCGCCAATGAGATATCGTTATCTGAGCAAAGAAATGAAAGTCATGGGCCGAACGAGGATCTAGAGTTGATAATTCCAACGCGCGTTCCGAAATAGAGGGGTTCCGCATCGCGATCAGCTCCTGTCACCTGCTGAACCGCGGTCAGCGAGGCCGAAAGCCCGTACCAAAGACTCTCCTCAAAGCGATGCGAAGGATGCCCGATAAGCATGGCTAGGGTTGACGAGTTCCGTATCAGGTAGTTGTTCCTCGGTCGTGGCGGAGGATCACCGATAGTCCTAAGCTCACTACTGGACCTGTCGGAGATAAGAGAGATAGGCACGGATAGCCCTGTAGGCTGTACGAAAACCAAAAAAGCACAAGGGTCCAAAGAGTTTAACCCGAGCGGGTCAAACATCGTCGGTGCGGGGGTCGTGCGTCGATCAAAGTGGACAAACACGACTCGGGTCTTCGTGGTTGACACGGGGTGAGGCTTAGGGAAAACATCGCAAGGGGCACATTTTGTCTCGTGTTTCAGGCCATCAAACTTAGCATGTCAAAATGCTTTCTCCCTGAGAAATTGCGCGCGACCGAAGTCGGGATCCAGAACTCTGAATCGAAACAGGATGCCGGTAGTCCGAGATACGCAGAGTACAGGATACCGTAAAATTTCGTTTATTACGGCATGCCCTTAAAGCGTCTTTGTCGATCTAAGACTAATTAGCCCCTACTCTTGTAGCCGAGGGCCCTTATAATAAGAGGCCCTCGCTTAATAGGGCCGTACTATTATAGAGGGTAATATAGATAGCTATAGGGTTAACCCTAGTACGTAATATTGGTCTCTTAGTCGACTAAGTAAGGGCGACAAGGAGGTGTTTTAGAAGGTTATTTTAGTGCGCGAATTAGAGGAGGAGGTAGCTCTATATAAGAGGCTTAAATTACAAGTGTTCCTATTTAAAAATCAGCTTAATTGCCTTCTTAATTTGTTATTATTATTATTTACTATAGTTCTTGCCGAATCCTCCTAAATTGCTACGCGCGCACTAACTTAGTAGTTAATTCTTTAATACTAATTAAACACGCCTATCTTAGAGCGACTAGTTAGTTTAGTTAGCGGTCTAAGAGCTATAATTAAGCGCCCTTACGCTAGTCCTAAGAATAAGGCTCTCGAAGAGCGTACTAGCGCATTCTAGAGCCCTATCGTTAATTCGTAGATATCGACCGTAGGTAGAAGCTCTTAAGGCTCTAATGTTAATAGATCTAAAGGCGCACCCGTTAAGGTTAGTAATGTAATTAAAAGAGAGACTACGCGATTAAAAGAGAGACTAACTAGTATAGATTTTATCGCCTCTATCGTCGCCGTTATCCTCCTCGCTATCGTCCTTACTAGATAGTAATATCGCTAATTAAGAGCCTCGCGGTAGAAGAAGATCGTATACGCGCGAATAGAAGCTCTATATAATCCTTAAAGTAATAAGAGGTCGCTTAATTCGCTAAGTTATATAGACCTTTAGCCTTTAAAGGTCGACGGTTTAGAACTAGATACGCGAGCGTAAGAGAATTAAGTCCTCTCGCGTAGGAGCTCGTCGCTATAGCGGTATAAGAAGTATTAACTTAATTCGTTTTTAAGAGCTAGAATAGCGCCTTAATGCTAAGTTCTTAAACCGCCGCGCTTAAGGCTATAGCGTAAGCAGTCTCTAGTTCTAACGCGCTGCTCGAGCTCTATATATATAGCTTTTTCCTAGCCGTGTTTATTAGTGTACTAGTAAGCGTACTATTTACCTTAGTTTCGCTTTTAGTCGCGGTTAGTTTAAGAGGTTTAAGAGGCGCTATAGCATCTTACTTCGCTACTTAACTTATAAGGCTTAGAAGTCTCTAGATTAGCTCCGTAAGCTAATCCTCTTATATATACGCTTTAACTATCGTAATGCTTAACCTTACGAAGGCGAATAGACCTTCGACGTAGGTCGCTATAAGCTTAGTAACATCGCTAATATAGACTAGACCCCTCTAGAATTCGATTTCCCTACCTACTATACGTACGACCTTATTAGCGCGAAGATAGTCGGTATTAAGACTAGCCGCGGCGGATAGGATAAAAGATAATGTACTATCTAACTAACGGTCTTCGCTAATAGTAACCCTTAGTGCCGTCCTTAGATTATCTTCCGTAATAAACTAACCTTTAGTAACTCGGCTAATAGTAAGAAGGAGGCTAAGGCCTATTACCCCCTTATCGCTAACTGTTACAATATGGCAGTTAGGGTGACAGATGTAGCAAGAGGAAGTTAGGTAATGCGGAGAAGCCGTAACACAAAGACTTCTATACTGCAACAGTAGTTAACCAACTTAATTACAACACACGTATTAGTTCCACCCCTTAATGCCTATTCCCTCTAGAGCTCTAGCTTCCGATTACTAGGCGATACTTTTTAACTGGTTATAAGCCCGGGTTCGCAAGAACTCGGAGGAATATAAGCGGTGTAAAACTTACACTAGGATCGCGCCCGACCCGAAACAGCAGCTATAAGCTACCCTCGCGTGAGAGGACCTACAGTTAGCCTGCTCTAGTATCTTTAGTAGAAGACTACTAAACCTAACAGTACTTAGACACTGTTATAAGTCGACGATAGACTTACCCTCGAACCCGACGATCGAACACGAAATGGACGACGCCGAAACACAGAGAGGTAGGCTAGTAGCCACCCTCACTAGAGAAAACTAGGAACTATAGTTCTAAAACATGAAGAGATAGCTATACAGCAAGGACTGCTAGAAAGCAATTAAAACACCTGAAAGCAAGCACGAGGCAGCTTTCACTAAAATCGACAATACAGCTTTGTACTAGATTAACAAATGCATCTTAGAAGACGATCAGATGCGTTATGTTAATACAGCCAATTTAAAGACACTTTAGGACTAGTTACAAGCCAGATATAAGAAGACTCTACCTGTTTAGAGAAGACTACTTATAGAATCGTTCCACTCCTTCTAGAAGGACTAGAACTAGACGATTTAAGATGCGTGGCTATACCTTCAACAGCTAGGACGAAAGATTGCAAGCTTAGACCTAACTAATGCGAACCTAGGCAAGCCTAAAGCTAGGATTTAAAAGCTACTTGTAAGTCTTCTAGAAGAGTACGACATAACTATAAACGCCATCGACGTGCAAAGTTATCTAGACCTAGAAGATATCCTTGCACTTTTAGAGAACTTTAAAGCAAAACTAAACTTAAAGACGACCTCACATGCTTATCTTGCAAGGAATAGATAGGGCCCTATTAAATGTCATCTTTGCAAGAAGGATCACTTTGTTAAGGACTGCCTATCACTTCCAGCTGCTTAACGAGCTGCAAGAGATGATCGAAGACAGAAACGGTCTTCTTAGTCATCCCGCTAAGAGCCTATGATTGCTATGAAAGACCTAGAAGCAGTAGTTGCTAGGGTCTTCACATAAATCATGGAGGATAAGGCTAAGGTCTAAACTAAAGTTGCAAGAAAAGAGAGAGCCTACAAAGCAGAGGAAACCTCCACTGTTAGCTCTAGAACTTCGAAGTCACCTACTGCTGTCTTATTTGATGATCAAGTATCTTATGAAGTTGCCTACCTTTTAAAGGATGTCACAAGTAAGAACCCCTTCTAATGGTATATGGACAGTTATGCTAGTTCACACATAACTAATAAAAGCAACTGTTTTAGAGGACCATTAATTCAAATTAGGAGGAGGTACATCTAGGTTAGAGGTGGGATCCTACACTTAGATTTAATGGGAACAGCTATACTAGCTAATCAAATAGGAAGAGAGCTAGAGTTGAAACAGACGCTCTTTATACTAGGACTCGGTGCAAACCTATTGTTAGCAAGAAACCTCTGTCTTTAGAAGAGGCTAAATAGAAAGTTCAACTCTAACTCTATGACAATGGTAGATGCTAGTAGAAATGCAGTGGTACATAGCAAAATACAGCATAGGGTGTATGTTGTTACTGATGTCTATCTAGAAAGACTGCCTAAGTAACTTAACACTATAATGCTAGCTACGGATAATACTACTGCACATGCATTTAACGCTATCGTTTCTCCTTAGGAGGAGGAATTAAGCTTAAAGGCACAGGAGGAGTATTAACTCTGGCATAGAAGAATTGCACATCTAGGACCTAAGAAGATTAGGAACTTGCATAAGGTTACTACTCTAGAGAAGCTAGTCTAGGTAACTCCTGACTATTAGTGCATCGTATGTTTAGTTGCAAACATTAGAAACAAGAGAGGTGCAACAAGTAAGAGAAAGGAGGGAATCCTTGAACTTATCTACATTGATACCTGTGGTTAGATGCTAGAATCTCGTGAAGGATACATCTACTTTATTTCAGTTGTTAACAACTTCTTAAGGAAAACCTAGATCTTTCCTATAAGGGCAAAGTCAGATGCAGCTCCTATCCTNAACTAATGGAAAAAGGAAGTTAAAACTGCAACAGATCTAAAGATCCTAGCGGTAAGGTCCGACAATGCACTAGAACTAGAGAACCTCTTCGGATCCTAGAGACAAGAATTAGGTGTGCAACACGAGTCAACTGTCTACTATATGTTAAGTCAAAATGGACTAGTTGAAAGATCACACTAGACAATTTAGAATGGCACTAGAGCTATGCTAAAAGATGCAAATCTACTAGTAGAGCTATAGGTTGAAGCTGCATAAGCAGACATCTACATTAGGAACAGAGTTTCGAATGGCCTAATCATTAATAGAGTACAAGTCAGCCTAGAAGAAGCGTTCACTAGGATCAAACCATCTATTAACTATTTAAGAGTTTGGGGCTGTTAAGTAGTTTCATACATGAATCTAGACTCCCTACCGTAGGGTACTAGGAGAGATAAGTTTATGGATAGAGGTAGGCACTATGTGTTCCTCGGATACGTTAAAGGGACTATAAAGCAGTAGCTCTTTTAGGCTCTAGACATGAGAAAAGTGATTAAATTACATAGAGCAGACTTCTTTAAGAATAAGCAAGGAGGAGACCTACAACTAGGTATTCCTAGACGAGCTGCACTAAACATAGCTCCCCTAAGGAATCTTAGAGGCCGGCCGCCCTTATAACAGACTCCTACAACAGATGCAACGACCGTTCTACTAGCTGCAACTGCTACATCAAAGAGAACTGAACTATAAGTCGAGATCCTAGCATTCCTAGAGCATAAAAGACATCTCTATTAGGACTTTACATAAGAATCTGGACAGCTATAACTAGGAAATGGCGCCAACTCACAGGAGGAGCGCGATTTAGAGCTATTAGAAGAAAGTGATGTCGAGTCTTAGGAGGAGCTACGGCTATCTTCATTAGTAATGGCTGCAACAACAATACTAGCGGCAACTATAGGAAGAAAGGTTCTCTCTTATGTTGAAATTCCCCGAGTATTAAAGAGGATAAGAGAAGAGTATGGCATACTAGAAGGACAACCTAATTTCAAGCTGCATAAGGCAATGCTAGCAATTAACCTTCCAAGTCTAGGAATTGACTTAGAAGACAATAATCAACTTAACATCCTGCATCATGCTTTTATGGCAGCATTCTTAGCAAAGGAAGAAGTGCCGATTCTAAAGTTATATTAAGCTGCAATTGATGATCTAATATGGGGACCATTATGGCAAGAGGCATTTAGGCTTAAAACAGATGCCTTATAGGCAAACGGGACCTTTAAAATCACTAAGCCACCTACAAGGGCAAATATCATTATAAGCAGATGGGTACTTGCTGCAAAACATAACCTAGATAGCTCGTTGCAGAAGCTAAAGGCACGCCTTATTACAAGAGGGTTTACCTAGAAATTTGGAGTTGATTTCGACTATACCTTTACGCCTACCCTCCGCCATAATACACTGCGGGTGTTCTTTGCAATTGTTGTAATAGAGGATCTTAAGTGCTATGCTGTCGATGTTAATAATGCCTTCACCGAGTTAACATTAAAGGAGGAGATTTATATGGCAGCACCACCTAGAATAAACATCCTACTAGGTTGTGTACTTAAAGTCCTAAGATCGCTCTATAGCCTGAAACAAGCTACAAGAGATTAGAATTAGAGCTGTATAGAATCGTTGCAGAAGATAGGTTTTATCTAAATAGACGCCGACCCATGCCTTTTAAGACATCTAGAGAAAGAAATCCTCATTCTAGTCTATGTTGATGATATCCTAATTGGATCTAAACAGACGGACAACATCAACTAGTTTAAGAAACACTTTAGAGAGATCTATAAGATCAAAGATCTAGGAGAAGTAAGCAAGATCCTAGGAGTTCAAGTCATCCGTGACAGAAAGAACAGAACGATCACCCTAGATTAGTCTCACTACACTAAGGATCTTCTATTAAGGCATAGAATGGACAAGGAGAAGGCTAATCTAATTAGTATTCTACTGAATGGATATGATCTGTTGAAACTAGCTGGTCTACAAGACAAGAGAGCAGACTAGAAGGAGTATTAAAAGATCATTGGCGGCCTTATCTACCTAGCAATTCTAACGAGACCTAACATTGCATTTGCAATTAGAAGGCTAAGCTAATATCTGTTAGATCCATCAGAAGGGCACTTTAAACTGTTAAAATCCCTTATAAGGTACCTACGTTTAACAACAGACCTTGGCCTAGAATTTAATGCAGAAGGCATACAACAACTCGTTAGCTACTCTAATTCAGACTACGCAATGGACAAGTTAGACAGGATATCCATTTTAGGAAGTGTATTCATAATGGGCAACTGTCCTGTTAGCTAGTCTAGTAAGAAGCAGAAGTCAGTTGCAACCTTAACTATAGAAGCTAAATACATGGCCATATGTTAGGCTGCAAAGCAGTTATAATAGCTAGCTCAACTTCTAAGAGACATGGGCTATAGCAAGTACATTAGTTGCAACTAATATTAGCTAACTATGAGAGAAGAGCAAAGCTTCGTTATTAGGTCACTAGTCAAACTGTTCGGTAACAATTAAGCCTCTCTATCGTTGGTTAGAGATGCCTATACTTACGAGAGGTTAAAGCACATCGATGTTACATACTATTATGTTAGAGACCTACACCGAAGGAACAGGATTAATGTCGAGTTTATAGGGACAAGAGATATGGTTATAGATGGCTTCACAAAGCCATTGCCTAAGCCGGACTTTGCAAGATTCATTAACTAGCTAGGTCTTACTAGCATCCGCCGTCTAGACTGAGGAGGAGTGTTACAATATGGCAGTTAGGGTGACAGATGTAGTAAGAGGAAGTCAGGTAATGCGGAGAAGCCGTAACACAAAGACTTCTGTACTGTAACAGTAGTTGACTAACTTAATCATAACACACGTATTAGTTCCACCCCTTAATGCCTATTCCCTCTAGAGCTCTAGCTTCCGATTACTAGGCGATACTTTTCAACTCTAACCGAGTAATATTTAATAAAAAGGTATAGGTAAGCGAGAGAACTCTACTTAAATAGGTTAACTCCTACTAGCGCTTCTCGTTCGCTAAGGGCTTATTAGTTAACGAGCCTCGCCTCTTATTACTTAATGTACTCGCTACGTAGAAGACTAATGTAGTTAAGGCCGCCTTTACTTCTTAGAAGACTATCTGTTTATTTATCCTACCTAGCTATACCGGCTACGTATAGGTACTTAATATATCTATTAATAAGCTTTTTAAGGACCGGATTAGACATTTAGCTAATATTTACTTTACTAACCATCTAGAGGACTAGGATACTACTATATTAAAGCGTAGGGTCCTTATTACCTATTAGGTTACCTAGGTATATACCTAGATTTACGACACGTATAAGGACTTAATTATTAAAACCTTCTAGTAGGTTAGCCTTACCCTTCCTATTAATGAATCTTAGGATAACCTCCTTAAGGTTAAGGACCTGCCTAACCTTAATATTAGTAACTAGCGACGTTGTAATAAGGACGGTAGTCTCTACGAGCCCGGGTAGCCTAAGAACTACTTCGATCCTAAGGATGCTTCTTAGTAAATTAAGCTCGAGGGCGACGACGACGACGACACTTAGTATACTATCTACGCTATAGACCCTACTCTAGCATCGTAGGAACTAATTATTATTAACAACGACGAGCTACTAGAGCTCGATATAGACGACTTTAAAAACAACGATTAGGACGTAGATTACAAAGTCGACATAGATTATATTAGCAGTAACCCTATGCCTCTTAGAGAGCTTTAAAATACTTGATCTAAGAGCTCTAAAACGCTTAAATTAGCAATAAAAATCGAGACCTGATGATAGTTGTGTGTTTGCCTTGTTTGCTCTAATATCTCAATACTTTCCTCCTCTTCCACCTGTGCGCACGCCAAGACTCGCCTATACCGCTTACATCAGCAGCTATTGCGAGGGGGGGGGCCCTTGTTCGAGGTAAATAACCGTGTATTGGAGCTCGAGCTAACCCCTGCCGCTGTAACCGAGGGGCCCTTGCCGCGACGGGGGCCCTTGAAAACGAAATTTTACGGTACTCAGATGTGACTGTGAGTCAGAGAAATGGTTTTCAGAAGCGACGAATGAGTTGTACGGTGATTCGGCTGGCAAAGAGGCACGAGAGTCGTGCTGCGATGCATGTCAAGAGTTGACTGGTCAGCTTTACGTTGGATCCATGTACTGATAGATTAGCTGTGGTTTCCTAAAACAGTGAGGTGCTGTATTGCAGCTGAAGCACACGAATACAACGTCTGTACTTTGTCCCAACCGCGATCACGGGGTTGAACAAAGTCATCAAGTGGCGGACGCATCGAAACGCTTTGTTCTCGGTGGTCTGAGACACGAGCGGTCTGGAATAATAACCTGTTGTAAAAGATACATGCAGGTAAACGGGGTTGACAGGGTCACAGCAATAGCAACAGTTGGGGGCAACACATCGAGATGAGGAGGAGAAAAAAAAAGAAAGAGAAAAACAAAAAGAAGGTAGGGCAGTCACGAGCGGTTTCGAAGGCGGAGTAGAAGGCCGTGGAAGGCACTAGCCAGCCGTGCATGAAGTGGAGGAAAGTGACTCCGACCAACCCGCAGCGACACCATGATGGATGGAATCAGAGTCGAAGGCGTGACAGAAGACATGGAGGTACAGCCAGCGTAGAGACGACGTGAATGGCATGGAAAGCTGCGAAACAGGCAGTGGTTGGGCGTGTTAAGGAGAATTTCAGTCGAGTCTGGGCGACAAAGATCGGATTTCTAAGCACCATCCGTTAGAGACTGGCGGCGGTAAAAGCCGGGGGCATTCGAGGGCGGGCCTGTCTGCCTGCGGTGTCTACATTCTCACTCCTGCCTAGTTTCTGCCCCTCAACGCTTGCTGCTTACTTTGATCTTTGCAATCCGACTTTCGCATTTTTCTGACACAAATTGGAGACCGACTGCACTCGCAAAAGGACACTTCGACGATCGCAGGACCGATACCCCGATCATTCATAGCTGCATCATCTCAAAGCCAAAGCGTGTTTGCCTGGCCGCTGGACTGGCCAATCGCCCAACCTCAACTCATTTTCTCCACTGCTCCATTGTCCTTCTTCGTACTCTCCGACGCACGACAATCGCATTCGAAGCTACAGAATCTGACCGACATCGATCGCATTCGACCGTCCTCTCCGCTCTGGTACCAATCGTACGACTGTGTCAGAAATGGCGGGGCAGACGACCGGCAACCAGCCCTTCAATCCCTATCTCTCCAACGCTCAACAGGAGCTCCTTCTTGCCGCATTGGCATCCAACAACCCTTCCGGCAATCGCGAAAAGAATAAGCCCTCCGCCGATATGAATGCTCTCGAGTTTGAAGACACAAGCCCTTATCTGGACTACCTGGATGGTGACACCAGCTTCGACTTCGATGCTTCCGATCTAGGAGGCCAACACATGTTCGACAACATGGGTAGCAATGCTAGCAACAAGTCCGACTCGACCGATGGTGGTGACAAGCCCGACAAGCGCAAGAGTCCTGAGGAAGATTCGCTGGATGACGAGAACGACGCCAAGAGAAGAGAAGGCGAGCCAAAGGAGGCCAAGAAGCCTGGCAGGAAACCCCTCACGTCAGAGCCGACCACTGTAAGTAACCCATTGTAATGCTGCTCCAAGATCATGGGGCTGATACAGTGCAAAAGAAACGCAAAGCCCAGAACAGAGCTGCCCAGCGTGCTTTCAGAGAGCGCAAGGAGAAGCATCTCAAAGACCTCGAGACAAAGGTCGATGCTCTCAGCAAAGCTCAAGAACAGGACAAGCACGAAAACGGTGTCCTCCGTGCGCAGGTCCAGCGTCTCCAGGCCGAACTCGGCGAGTACAAGAAGAGAATGTCATACTCCAGCGGAGGCATTGCTTCGCACTCACCCCCTTCTGCCGCCCGTGGAGTTTCAAGGAGTAACAGCAACTCTCAGACCGACTTCCAGTTCGACTTCCCCAAGTTTGGTGCTCTTCCCGGTAACCAATTGTTCGGAAACAACGTCCAATCAAGCCGTGAAAAGACTGTCAGTCCACCTGCCGGACAACATGCCAGTCTACCAAGATCGAACAGCATGGCCAGGAACCCAAGTCCTGGAACTCACATGAGCAACCATCCGCTAAGCCCGGGCAATAATTCCAGGAGCGGCAGCATGAACAAGGGAACCAATAGTCCCCTTGCTCAAATTTCGGCTACTGGCACTACCTATGCCGATCTCTTCAGCCCTTCGACGCTCGGAAACCTCAACTCGGCCGACTTCCTTATGCAAAACAACAACAACAACAACAACACCGATGCTCGCGCTTTTGCTCAGTACGCTGACAACGGCACTGACAGCACGAGTGGTATCTCTAGAGTCTTCAGATTTAACAGTGGCTCTGGCTCAGGTTCTGGCACCAACTCTAACCAATCACCCTCTGTGCCTTCCCTCACGCATTACAACACCAACTCTTGCAATACCTCGTCTTGTGGAACTTCGCCCGAATCTGCAAATTCTCCTCCCTCCGACGTAAACAAAACTGGTGTGAATGACTTCAACGACATCTACTCGCTCAAGCCAGTCAACTCCAACAACACTCAAAGTAAGCATTTCATCGATGTGAGGTTTGAGCGTAAAGCTGACACAATAGCAGAATCCGCTCAGAACGGCGGACTTACCAACGCTTCTACTCCTGGCTTCGACTGGCTTGCCACACAGAACGGCGGTCAGTTCGATCCTGTTCTGTTTGGTGACTATCGTGAGAGTCAAGATGCCATTGTTGGCGACGGTGACTTTAACAGTGGCTTCTTCGAGGCTGCATTCCCCTACGACTTGAACACGCCATTCGCCATGAATGACTTCTCTTCCCCTAAATCTGCACAACAGACTTCGGCGAGTGCAAACTTGCTGGCAGAGGTCGAGAAGTGTCGCGAAGGTGGAGACGATGATATGTACTTGCCTCAGCAGGCACCTACCCAGCAGAGCCAGCAACAAATCAACGAAATGAGCCTGAAGGCTGCCGAGAAGATGCTCAATTGCAACACGATATGGTGCGTGGTTACCAAAGCCAATAATCCCTTCATCGACACTAACACCTCTCCAAGGTCGCAACTACAATCAAACCAGGACTTCAAGGAGGGCAAGTTCGACCTTGACAATCTTTGTGCCGAGCTTCGCGCCAAAGCCAAGTGTTCCGAGTCTGGCGTCACTGTACCATCCGAATACGTGGATGCCGCTTTTAAGAAGCTGTCAGGCACTAATGAACAGCCTCCTCTCGACGACTATCATGCTACGCATACTACAAAGGGTATTGATTATCTCTTCAACCAATACTCCGTTGATGAGGCGCTTAAGAAGCTGGCGGGTCAATAATAACGGCCTAAATCAACATCAAAACTTCACGTACGACATGACGGACTGGTTGGGAGTTAGCCTCGGGCCTGGGAAGAAATATCTGGGATGGTGGATCTGTTTATGGGAAATTTTACCCTCTTGTCTTGACGGCTTGATCTCTGCTCACTTGTTGACATGCAGACATGATCAGAATGGCACCGAAAGTGGGAAAGGAGTTTTATTGATTTATCGCTGCAAATTGTCCAGAATAGACGCCAAAGAAGCCTCTGGGACACACATTCACTATCGATCTTTAGCATAGCAATATACCTTTAAGTTTATCTCTTGCCCTTCGTTGTAACAGTGAATATCACCACCATCTCACGATCTGATACCTTAACGCTTTGCACCATCCAAATGACGATGGTATCGAGTCACAGCCTCGTCATTTACCAAAGAGAAGGTGAAGCATTGAGAAACTCGAGTCGTTGAAACATGAAGGAATTTGGGAGATCTGGGGAACCATGTTTCAGAGAGCCTCTTCTCGTCTGTGAATTTCTTCTTTCCCTCCTTGATACCAATGCCCAAATGGATATTCTACTTGGGGACGCCTGATACATCAGGTCTCAGTATCTGACCGCTCAAACAAGATCTCACTTCAACTGCGGCGGTGTCCGGGCGAGTCAGTCTGCTGCACGTAATTCCGCTTGGCGTCGAGATCTAATCTGGACATCTCGACCTCTTCCACGCGAGATTCGTATCTGGTGATAGTGAACAGGGCTGGTTAATATGTTGAGAAATGGTATGCGGCAAAGCGGACCTCAATAGAGGGCTGTGAGCGCCGTCGAAAGCTCAAGATATTTCTTGCATGCAACGAGACCTGTCCGGAGAGATGATCGACCGCGGCCAGGCGCCGGGACAGGCCACCGGTGCATGACTTCCGCTAGCGTGCCTGTGCAATCTCGAGCGACGTCGTTGATCTCTCCGACTCGTGGTTTCGGTCATCAATTTTTTACGCTGTCAAAAGGCCGTCTGCCTCGAATTGGCCTTGAGCATGAGACTTTGACGTTTCGAGGGCTCCGTAGGAATGGAACCTGTGTTAGGCGTGCAGCACGATGCCCTCACCACGTATATGACAGGCGCCTAGGGTAAGTCGAGTGCATAGATGAGTTAACCATCATGTTGTCGCGTCCCTATATCTGTTTCCTGCTGTCCCTCTCTCTGCTTGTCCCAATTTTGCTACTCTACCTACGACTTTCACCACCAATATCACCATCATGAAGCCTTCAACCATGATACTACCTGCTTTCTTCGCATTGCATGTAAGCGCAGCACCAACATACTACCAGCCACCACTTCTCAACACGACGACATCCATCAACTCTACTAGCAGCGACTTCAACCCTCTACCACCGTCATCATGTCTTGCCAAACTGGAAGGAACTCTCAAAGACCTCACCAGTTCAACCTTGTCCATTCTGCTCGGATCTTCAACCACTATGCTCGGCTATGCTTTCTGCGGAATGACCATGCCAGCAGAGACCTGGGAGACCTGTACAGACTATGCCGTAATTGCTGGCAGTGTTGTTGGTCTCAGTCACCTGGCGATGTGGAAGTTTCCTGAGATCCTCGACGATCTGAACATGTACGATACAACTGTCAGACCTTGGGAGCAGGCTCCTGCCGCCTGGGGGTTGAATGAAGGTCCGAATGGCAAAGTTGAAGTCAAGCCTCGTGTGGAGCTGCCGAAAGCCAACTTAGGAGCATGGCCTTGAAGAGGCACACACTGTTACCACTCCACCAATCCCCCGGCTTCGACCAATCTGCCAATATCAAACAACAAGTCTGAGACCACTGAACATTGTGTGATGCAAATTGAAGCTGCACAACAGTGTCATCTTCGCCAATTGCGGCTTGGAGAAAATTTCTTTAGGAGCCGTCATAAGCAGCAGTTTCGACCATACGCCGTGCAGACCGCTTTGCAAGTCTATGTCCAGACGTCGACCGGATTCATCTTTGGGGCTCTTATAATGCACCAGCTGGAGCCATGTGTCTGTCTGCAAAATCAGTACACCCCTACGAAGAACAACAAGTCGAGCCCTACATGCGCTGGCCAGTACACGCGCAACCGCAAACATCAAAGCTTTTGTGTTGATCTCACTGCTTTCAACCTCGCGTTGCATAAACTTTCCTTTGTTGCATTCACGCCTATCACGATCATCACGAACTAGATACCCTTAGATAGCCTCAAGCAGCCCATTCTTATGCAAGCAAAACTTCCATTACCTATCACGTGTCAATCAACCGCTGTTGAGAAGTCGCAAGTTTGTTGGTCGAAGATCGGAGATGGCAGTCGTATTGGGGTGCTCTTGCCATTCGCATTGAAGTATTGGCAGCCACTTCTTTCCCATCGCTCTTGCGCACTTTGGCGGATTAGACTACTTCAACATCGATCCTGCTTCGTTCGTCAACCACAAACTTCATCCGCCACAAAGCTTGTCATCTCAATCCTCGTTGTCGAGTCGTCCATGCGACCGCATCATCCCGTTCTTCCTCCACGTACCGACTCGAGGGCTTCAACATTGTGACGTACACCTTCGAATACTAGTTTCATCGCTTTCTAGGAGACATGCCCCCACCCTCTGAAAATGAAGTAGTGCGTCTGCTTCCTCCAAGGAAAACCAGACGACGCTGGTGAGTGCCCACCCTCCTCTTGCACTTACGTTGATCAACGACTAATATCTCATGTAGTCGAGACAAGATCATCGCGCCATACACCATCAACGGAACGATTCCAGTCCGCCGCAAACCTACTTTGTCCGCCACTATGTTCAGACTTCCTTTCAAGGTCCCCTTCTCGACTTCATACCTCGTCTACCTTTTGGAACTCATCATTGGGATACTTTGGTACAGCTTCCGCTTCCAACACCGTCACTATCATCCGCCGACTCGAGAGCGGGACATCCGAGTTGTGTGGTTCTATCTTCGGATCATTTCCAAGGACATTCAGTACCGGTTTCGAATGATGCAGTACCGATTTCGAATGATGCAGTACCGATTTCGAACCCTGCTGCACCGATTTCAAATCCTGCTAGATGACATGTGGACAGTCATGTTCTTAGCCATGGCTGTCGATTCGATGACCAACATATGGGACACGTGGTACATTGGCAGATCTCACTTGCTAACACAAGGAATCTCGCACGCCATGCTGTCCTACAGAATACTGGCAATGCTTCTGCTTTCGGAGTTGGTCCAGGAAGCCTTGTTGTATGTGAATCGTTCCTCTCAATTAAGGGATGCTGACTTGCTCTAGCTCGCCACACCAGGCTTACTGGATCATTCCATCATGCTATCCCCTTGTGGTCGTATATTCGATAGCAACGGAATCTTGGTTTTCCTATTTCATGCGTTTTGTTTCCAAGGTGTAAGTCACCTTGATCATGTCATGGTCTACGAAGACTGATCACTCACACGTGAAAGGGCATCGTTCTGGGAGCCTTGTCCGAATACAGACATCAGAAGTGGCATTGACTTCGCCGCTGTGCATACTCTGGGCTTGTAAGAAGGTCCGGAATCACAACCTCTCTGGACGTGTCATACTGATCTGTCGTAGTGCGCATGTCTGGAGAGACATTGCTGCCATCATCCTCTTTGATGCTTCTAAGGGCCTCTTTCTAACTGCCATTACATTCGTGCCGATCAAGTGTTTGTACGAGTTGTTCTTCCACTCTTTGAGATCAGAAACTCACCAAGGTGTAGACTCCCATACTGCTTGTTTCGATGCCTTATGTTAGCTTTGCTCATCGTCTTCTTTTGCATCAATCTCACATTGCTTTACTTGTAAGACCATTTGCATCCCCTAGACAAAATCATGCTGATCCAATGTAGCACTCTTGCTTGTCTATACGCCTTCCTGATCAAGGGCGTTTGGTTGATCTCACCACTGGTGATTACCTCGGCCTTCGCAGAATACGTGAGCGAATGCATGAGCAATCGCTCGCTTCACAACAACAACTCGAGTACATTCTCAGACGTACAGGGACGGATGGGCATCGGAGGATCTTGAACTTGTTGCGTCAGTCTGATTAAGCATGGGAAAGTTTGGGCGTTCAAGCTTGGTGAGTTTTCTAAGGACAGGAAGTCTTGACGGCCAATTTCTTATTTTTGTTCCTACGCCAGAGCTGCAATATCATTGTCTGAGGGTGAATCACCCAAGACGAGCTCTCATCATAGATTTTAATAAGTCTGGATTTACTTGCATTTCCATCTTCACAACAAGAAACTCACACTTCGAATCACTTAGATTTAGCAGTGATCTAGCTCGTCATCTTCTTAACATTCCGAGATTCTCGGATTGATGATAGAACCTATTACACTCTATAAACAGCACAGCTAGTTAGTACGAGTGCATGTGTGTTTAAGTTCATGTTCGCCTTTAATGTATAATCTGCACTTTGTTGCATCTTTGTTGTGTTATCGTCTTCTTCCTCTTGATGACGCGAGAACATATTTTGCTACCGTCAACTTGCGTCTGACCATGTATTAGTCTGTAAGTAAATGCCTGTATCAAACAAAATGCGAAGAGACGATGTTCAAGAATGTCAAATGTCGTTCCCCGCCAAGCCCCGAAAGCCCGTTATGGAACTTTCTTCCACACCCCACCAAAAATTTCACCCAACGCAAAAAAAAATGGCACTCCATCCTAATATTACATATCTCTCTTCTCTGGTACAGCTAGACGGTCGGATGAAGGGCAAAAAGGATGGTGAAGATGGTGGGATTCGAACCCACGCGGTTGCCCACTAGTAAACTCATTTCAGGTGAGCCTGAAACTAGCGCCATAACCACTCGGCCACATCTCCTTGGAATGCTGGGACAGCATGATGGAATATAATCCTTGCCAATGCGAGCGATGAGGTTCAGGGGACTAGGTGGAAGGGTTGGGTTGAAGTTTTGGGTGGAAAATCTGCATTTGCAGGTTGAAGTTTGGTGGGGATTTGCAAGATTGAAAAGGCGGGGAGGAATTGTGCAGTTGTGCTTACTTGGGGAATGGTGGCATAGTATAAAAATAAGGGGGAGAGGTGGAGGGATTGGATATTAGACCGGCTTGATTGGTATAGAAATATTATCCTTCCAGGATATATACGAGACTTGACAGAATGGCAAGGATTCGATACCGAAAAGCCAAGGAAGATGGCAACAAAATTGGAGAGACCGGAAAGTGGTTCCACGAGAACAATGAGACACACACCCTAACGCCAGGTCATGTCATTATCAAGAAAAAGGGAGGGACACAAACGTGATACTCAGCCCGGGAGTTCCGCCAAGACAGCGGTACTGTCAAGCTCATACACTTGCATTTGTGCGAGGTTGGATGGCGACCACCATCCATTCGCTCGGTCCTCCGGCCCATCAACCATTCTACCCTGCAGCTCTTGCACGATATCCTCTTGAGGCATACAACCCTCAGCTCCTTTAGTCAGACGTAGTTGTTCAAGCTGGAGGTCTCTGGCTGTCGCGTTGCCCAGCAGGTGCGATGTATGGTTGAAGCGCACAAGCAGACCCCCTCTAGAGTCTGCGACATGCTTACGGGGTGACCATTTGATCTGCTTGTGCCGTTGACTTTGGATCCGAACCGCCCAGCGAGTTGTTTCTGTAGACGTCAGGGTTCTCCGAGGTCCTGATGGCTTGTTAGAGAATGTCCACTCGGATTCACAGCATTTTGAATATACCTTTAGAGTGTCTGGTAGGAGATATCAGGCATTTCGGGAACCCACTGATGGGAAACTCCTGCCCTGCACCATATCGAAGCGCGATATTCGTCTTGTAGATCTCGTTGCTGACGGGTATTTTTGTCTGTTTGAGCTGGAACTGGCAATTGCGGATCATCCGTTCTAAAACCTCGGCACCTAGTTTGACGGTCGTGTGTGATCCCACTTGTCCCTATTCACTGATGAGAAAGTAAGCTTCGTTTGCAATACCAGTCTTTTCGAAGATGAAGGTTCCCAAGGCAGAAATCCTTGGGTCGTCGTCTGCAAAGCGACAGCGGATGTAACCTGTCGCATCAGAGTTAATATAAAGTTTTCAGGATACCGTTCTAGCGAGCTTACCTGTCACTTCTTTCCTCTTGAGAGGATCGGTCTCGTCGGGTTGGAAGTAGAAACTTGTTGCCACTAATTTGAGAGCAAGCATGTTTGTCTGGTATTGACCTGCAAACTGCTTCTTTGCCATTTCGCGCAATTCAGATAGCATGGAGAGGTCGTCCAGTAAAGGCGGATCGGTCGGGAAACTAGTATTCAACCGCACATATCGGAATCGATCATCGGACTTTTTGCTGCTAGCAAGGAAATCCTTCCAGGTCTGCTCAGAGTCGAGCGAGACTGCGATATGATCTTTCGCCATATTGGCAAGGAACGCACCCTGGGCAATAATTCCGCGCGTGGCAGTAGGCTTGAAAGGCGCAGCTTTTCTCTTTTCGAGTTTGGTAAGATTGTGTCCAGTCCCGACTGAGATGATGACGTCTGGTTCCTTCAGATCAGGCCAGATGAGCTTCCTTTCGCTGTCAGCAATTTTTACGGGGTTGTTATGGTGCACGCCGCCGTCATAGTATGTTTGTTTTGAGCCCGCATGGTTGAAGGGTGTGAAGTACAAGGGAGCCGCTGAAGTCGCTCTTGCTCTGTTCAAAGCCCGTTAGAACAAACACAGAAAATCTGCCAATGAACCTACGCTTCCCAGAGCCGCAACTCGGCACATCCCTTTTCTGGACGCTCAAAATGGTAGGGTACTAAGAACAGTCAAAAACCTGGACATGTTTCGGTCCCGAAGGCACTTACGTGATGTCCCTGAGATCCTATTATAGTTCGAGAGCACGACACTGGAACTTACAGCTGTAGCTGTGACAGCGACTTTGATACCGTAGATGCCTGAGCTTGTAGGCTTTGCACCAAAAAGGTCGGCAGACTCCGTGAATGCCTCCTTGAGAGCACCTTCGATAGCAGCAGTTCCGTAGAGCGAATGATAATAGGTCCGGATCAGCCTCCCTAGGAAAGGACCTCTAGCCATCATACGTTCCTGGAAGGCTTTATGACATAGATTCTCGAACTTCCGGGTGCAATCATCGACACTCCAGCCTTTCGATACTAAGCCGAGCGCAATTATACCGCCAGTGCTGAACGGGTTTTAGTACAAGCGAATATTTCAGAAAGCGAACTTAGCTGGTTCCAACCACAAAATCCAAGAAGTTTTGAATACGAAGAATGCCATTTCCCAAAGCATTCTCGATCTGCTTCAAGATTTCGAGTTCTGCAATGCCACGGACACCGCCTCTGGAATACGGGTATTAGCGATGCGCCCACTGTGTTGGGTAGAAAGTAGAGAAGTTCACTCACCCATCCAGGGTCAAAATCCTGACACCGCAATGCGGAGGTTTCAGGTAGAAAGGCGTATAGCCAAGGATTTTGCCATCCATTGGACATTCCCAAAATTCGACAGTATGTTCTTTGGTGACATGGCCGTAGGCTTTGAGGCAACCGGTACATATCACATGCCCACATGGTAAAGTATGCTCTGGGAAGTCAAAAAGGCAGCAGAAGCAGACCGTGTGGCTAGAGAAGTCGTATGTGTCATTTCCTTCCAAGGCGTGAGCAAAAAATGGCTTCAAGACTTTGTTCTTATGTTGATCCGTAGCGGCATTGATCTCAGGGCTGTCGGCGCAAAGATGATTGCGAGGGAGATTGCAGAGCAGCTCGTGGAGAGCCACGTAAACTTCGTTACGGAAGTGCTCCCGAAAGGCGTCAAACGTGAATTGCGACTCATAGTCGCCACCTGCCAGAACCTTTCCAGAGCTCGATTGGTGTCCCTTAGTATGTCCGCTACGAACATTGACGCAACGACCTTTGCCAGGGCGCACGTACTCACACGGCCAATATCGATCGCAGAAGTTCATTAAAGCATTGTCCAGATGTTCGAAGTATGGTGGAACGATATCAACGGCGGTACCTGATCGAGTCAGCCCCAGCTCTTACAGTAGGTCATGTACGAGCTCTCACCAAGGATACCGTGACGTGTTGCATCGAGCATGATGCAACTGGCAACTACAACGGCTAGCTCTTCAAAAATCGGACGAGGTCCCGCGCGATCTTTCCAGGCTTCCATGAGTTGGACGGCAAGCTTCAAAATATTTCCGCCAAAGTCATCCGGTATAGGACTATGCGCGAATGACGCTTGGACGAAATCAAATGGTGATTCTATACTTTTCGAGAAATGGTCAAAGGCGTATTGAAGATAAGGTTGCATATCTTCTGCATTCAGAAGCATGCGTAGATCACCTTTGCGTCTGCCAGAAACTTGACATGCCGACCGGATGTTGGCTGTGAGATCATTGATTTGTTTGGCAATGAGGTTGGGTCGGCCGGTTGTGGGAATACGAACCACCTTTATGGACGTGTAGTATGATAGGATGAGATCCTCTACCGTCCTGATTATTTTATCACGCTTGTGCCAGAACTGAACGTACTTCTTGAGAGTCTCGTTTTGAAACACGGTTTGGGACATCTCTTTCATCAGAGTTGTGGTTGCAATGTCAACATCCCACAACTCTGTAGATGTTGCATTTTCTGAAGCATTCAAGGCAATGATGGCGTGTGGCAGAACTGGTTGGTTGGAAGATCCCTCAAGCGCAGCCGCAGCCCATTCGACTAGTTTGACCAATACGCTTTCAATGACTCTATGAACTATGTTAGTTTGAACTTTGCATTGCTTCGGTGAAATGTGTACTTACTTCGGGTTCTTGAGTACGAAGACGATAACGTCTGAGAAAGTGTAAAGAAGACGAGGATAAAGCTCTCTGACTGCAAACTCTCGAGTCTTTCTCCATGATTTGTCTGCCCAGATAAGATCTCGCTCGGACACATGGTGAAAAGAATGATCCGAAACACCCGGAATCGCTTTCTTCGCTCTTTGTTTGATTGCCTTGGCCGCGACTGGTTCCCGCTCACCCCCTTCAAGCCCTTCGCAATCAGCGTAAAGAATCGGGTGATCGGAATCGGCAGTCGGAGGATCCACATAGAGATGAACGTCAGTGGAGGTCGGCGAAGTGTTGCCAACCGCGCCAACTACTGGGGTGTCGAATAATGCTGGTGTTTTCGCACCGAGGTCGATGATTAGCTTTATCAAGGAACTCTTTCCAGCTCCAGTCTGGCCAACGAAAGAAACAAAGCTAGGGTATCGTGCGCTTGGATCGAGATAGGAGTGATTTTCTTCAGCAAGTTGTCGCGTGGAGGCCATTAGGCCCTCAAATCTTCCATAGTCTCGCAGAAGAGGACGCGCGCTATCCTCGCGGTGGACGCCAAACCAAGAAGTAAGGACATCTTCACAATGCAATTTCTGGCGCTCGTCTTCATCAATATTCGGGTTGAACACAGCTTGTGTCTTTCGCGCAAGTGACCGTGGCGTCTTTTCGTGAGGAATGTCGTTCTGCGATGCATTGTTCTTGTGGGTCAACTGTCGTTTCCAACAGTACTCACACATCGAGAAGGTGCAGACATTGCAATATGATCTGTTAGGTCCAAAAGTCTCACAATCGTCACAATACTCGTGGTCTCCCGATGCGTCAAGACTCGGTGGCTGGGGGTCCGGCATCATGATGCGTTGAGCAGGGTTTGATTCTCCTTCATCGTAATATTCGTCGATGGCTTGTGCGTGCGAGCGCGGTTGGAAGCATTGACTTCCTCTGCGATACATCTTGTAGGAAGTGGTTGATGTCTTGCTTGGATTGTAGGCTTCGTACCAAAGACGACTATGGACCTCTTCCGCAGCGGTCTTATGAGAGGTCTCGAGAACATCTTGTTTCGTTCCGTCTTCCGATGCCCATGATGATCTTCTTGTCTGCTGCTGATCTTGTTCGCTGTCATCGGGCATAGAGACCTCGACGTTGGGTATGAGTCTCGAATCAGACTGGGTGTTGTCATCTCTCGGTCCAAGACTGAAGCTCAATCCACCGATATCCTGCGGCTCAGAGAGGTTCAAAAAAGAGAAGTCTGTCATTGCCATCGTGGCTAGAGACGAGGGAACTTTACGAAAAAAAAAAATGAAGACGAGTGCTTCCAGGGGGAACCTCTGCTTCTTGAACAGTTCAAGCTGCTATCCGCCGGGTAGTAAAGATAGTCAGTATGCACGCTTGACGATTTGCGCGCCGGGTCCAGCGATGCTCGTGGCTGTGGGTTGTAGGCGCCGTGAGTTGATAGCCAAGTGATTCTGCCCACCTTCTCTGACTGGTGACAAAGATTCGATCGAGTCTTCTCAAATCTGGACGATCAAGCACAGCCCACAGAGATGGATGTCGTAACCCCAATCGCAGTCGCCCCAGCAGCGCCTTCAGCATGCGATAGTCTACACAGCCCTGACATGGATGCCAAGTATATATGCGATTGGTTTGATCAATTGGGGCTGTCTTTCGGCGGCTAAGCCTGAGTCGCAAGCCTGCGAAGCTGTTAACATGGAGCTGAACAAGCGAAAACTGTTCGGGTCGGCTTGCGCCATTCTAGCCAGACAATCTGCTTGTAACATGCATAAGTTACATATAGAACGGGTCGGGAATGGTTGGAAGCGGTTGCCTGACTCGTTCCTAGACTCTCGATTTGGAGGTTGGTCACGATGTGGCTGCAGCCTGCAGGGCGCTTAAGTACACCACATCGAAGACATCCAGATACCGATCACTTTCAGTCAACTGCAAATTATGCCTGCGATTGATGAAGGCGGCATCATAAAGACGAAGGTCGGAAACAGGTTTTGGTTGCAAGAGCGTGTTGGTTCCGGCAGAAGATATCAGCGTGGTTCGTGCGTGCGAAGCTGTTGGAATACTGGAAAGCTCAGAAGTTGATGTTGTTGTTGTTATGGTACACGATGTCAGCCGATGTCAACCGATGCCAACTTCAGTAGGTGGGGCGCGTTCGCTCCTTCCACTGTAGCTTGGATGTCAGCATAAGTTGGTGGAATTGTATAGTATGATCCAGTCATTTATAAAAAGAAGAACGTTACATGATACTATTGATTTTTTAAAGTCCGAGATATTAGGTCCTAATAAACACCCAAATCCCTGTTACAGTGTCTCCCGAGTCACTTTTCTACATCGCAAGTCTCCAATTGTGAATGATTCTGGATTTGAAATTTCTCTAGAGCTCTACTGCTTTCGTATGGATGAATGCTGACGAGGAGATAGTGACCTCGGGCATTATTGAAGTTCAGACATTCCATGAATCCCCCCTTCACGAATCCCAAATCTGCCTAACCTCACCCCTCTTGCCCCAACAATCATATTCCACCCACTCCACCCTTCTCCCTCTTCCCTCATCCCTACAAAGCTTGCCCGGATTAAGCACATGACACCCCTCAAACGTCACCGCGAATGCCGGCGCCTCAGCATCAGCCAACACCAAAGTATGCGGTAACGGATACAAACTCATCGCCGATCCTTGATCCCAAAGCACCGGTCTAGTAGACAATGGAAAAGGAGAAAGATTACTTTGAGGCAGTAAGGAGAGGACCAGTTGTCTCGCTATTTGCGTAGGTGTGGGGATTTCGGCGGAAGTGGTGTCTGGCATTTCTTCATCGTCTTCATCTTCGGGGGTGGATGCTTTGCCAAAAGTCAAGGCGTTTCGACGTAGACGGCTGGATATGTCGTCGCGGAAAACGGTGATTTCGTGGGCGGGGCCGAAGATGGAAATGCGTGTTGGATTGGACGTCCAGATTGGTTCTACAGGGACATTGTCGTCTGTTTTTGGTAAAGGCACTTCTGCTTTGGCGGCGGCGAAGGCGCGTTTGACGCGGCTGGTGAAGAGACCTGGGATGGATGGGCGAGGAACTGGGTTGCTGGCGCCGGCGCTGAAGGCAGAAGCCCAGGGGTCATTATCGCCTGGTACGAAGACCCAGGTTGAAGTGCGTAGGAGGGTGGGAAAGTCTGCTAGTACGGTTGCGAGGTCGTTGAAGTATTCTTTGTACTCGATGCTGCCGCCGCTGCCTCCTCCTGCCATGACTGGATGGCTGACGAAGTTGCCTATGAGCATGAAACTCAGAGGTGTGAGTTCGTCTTCTGAAGCGTAGACACGCAGGACTGCACGCAAGGCTTCGAGTGATGATGGATCGTCGAGATTGACTTCGCCTAGGATGACCATTTTGCGTTGTTGTGCGGCTTCTTCTTCATTCGGTGCTAGAAGGCGCTTTTCCAATTTGCGCATCTTGGTTCCCATGACCTTCTCACTGCCCAAGCCAAGGAAGTCGGTCCAGCCAAAGCCACCGCCAACGCCAACATCTTGTTGCTTGGTAGAGTCGGCGACACCCAGTGTTGCATTGCGTTTCTCTGACGGTGGAGCACCGATGCTGAAGCCAATGAACTTTCCTCCAATAGTGCCGCCAACACCAGTTGCAGCACCCAGACCACTGGCACCTGCTCCTGAATACTCTTCCTCGTAGACACCTTCGATCAGTACGACCATACCTGGACAGAACCAGGAAGAGTCGACACCTTGCAGCGGCTTTGCGTGCTGCAGATCCAGAGTGATACTTCCGGTCAAGTCGTTCAAGGCCAGAGTACCAGTAGGAGTGATGACCAGCATGCCGAGCAGGACGTGGTTGCTGCCATTTCTACCCAAGAGGTTTGCGATGGGAGTGAGCTTGTAATATTGCTGGATAGAGGTTGAATCCGAGCGTTTGAGGGAGCGAGTGTTAGCCACTGAAGGTGCCTGGAAAGCCTCGTTTCGCATGAGACGCTGGTGAATGAGATTGTATCGGTCGCGGAAAAGTTGTGTTCTATGAGCCGGTGAAGGCAGGAGAGTAGACTTTGTCGTGATCTTTTCGAAATGTTTCTTGTGGACGTTGTAGCTCAACCTGGGCTGGTCAAAGGCACTGACGACCTTGATCCATGCTCGAGGATGGTTGATATCTGCACCCTCGTCTTCTTCGAGGTCCTGTGACTGGAAAGACGTCTCGGCCAAACTTGGTCTTCTCGCAAGCTCCTGACTCTCGCCAGCGAAAGCGAAACTGCTTTGTCGGCTCAGATTTGTTTTTGTCGAAGCAATCTTGCCACCACTCATAAGACTTTCTAGCGTCTTGAGGATGTTCTTGAGTAATGAGCCATCGTTGACAATCAAGCTGCCTCCACTCTTCTTCCAAGCTTTTGCGACTTCCTCGAGCACGCCCTCTGCTGTGCCCCTTTCACGCCATCCTGAACCGCAGTGTTTGCCGACAAAAGTGGCTAGTGATTGTAGTGCCGGAGAACTGAGAGTGAGATTGTGTTTTTTCGTAAAGGTTCGGAAGGCCAAAGGTCTCAGACTGGCTGGTGGGAGGAGAATGGGTAGGATTGTCGGTATTGAAGGCTTGAATGCTGGCGGAGGAATTCGTTTTTCGCGAGGGTTGATGGGATGAACCGGAGTTCCGAAGGCCGGACTCGACGAGGGAACCGTGTTTTCCTGTAGACGAAAGGTAGCTGCCATTTTCTGTGTTAGTTGTGAAATGTGTTGTCGGTTCTCTGGTGGTTGACGCGACGGCTAAAGTGCCTTTCGCGAACGACACGCGACGCGCGCGTGCATCACATCAATCTTCATGTGATTGGCCGAGCAACTGCTCAAACATTGTCGCAATCATCTTGTCCAACTTTGCAACTGTTTGCTAACTTCATCATCGAGTGACGATATCTCACATACACGTCTTCGTTCGGTCCACCACATCGCACGTCATATTGAAACATCACCATGTCGGTCCCCGAACAAGCACAACCCCTCGACACTGTCTCGGAAGAGCAGGCACCTCAGATCGAGAACACCGAAGAAGCACAAGCAGAACTCGCGAGACTACAAGCCGCCGCCACGAAAGAGTACTCTCTCAAGAACTATGCCGGAGCTTCGGAATTCTACTCGCAAGCTTCACAGCTGCAGGCACAACTGAATGGTGAAATGTCCCTCGACAATGCCGATCTACTCTATCAATACGGACGCTGCTTGTACCACCTTGCTGTTAGCAACAGTGACGTCCTGGGTAACAAGGTCGCTGGCAGTGGAGAGCCTCAAAGAAAGAAGCGCAAGACAAAGTCTGCCGCCGCAAACAACGATGCCCTCAAGGACGGCGAGCAAAAGACTGCAGAGGAAGTCGTCGAGGCCGTTGTGGATGAGAATGATGGCACTACCACAAAGAAAGAGGACGCAGCAGCAAATAAGCCCTTCTTCCAAATCACCGGCGACGAGAACTGGACAGACAGCGAAGACGAAGGAGATGATGCCGAAGCAGAAGACGAGGAAGACGAAGATGAAGCCGATGACTTCGCTGTCGCCTACGAGATCCTGGACATGGCTCGCGTCCTCCTGACCCGCAAACTCGCTTCCCTCCCCTCCACATACTCCGGCAAAGGCAAAGCCAAAGAAACGACCCTAATCGAAAACCCAGAAGCCCGTCAAGTCATGGACCGCCTCGCAGACACCCACGATCTCCAATCCGAACTCTCCCTCGAAAACGAGAACTTCCCTCTCGCCGTAGCAGAAGGTCGCTCCGCCCTCGAGCTCAAGCAAAAACTATACCCCCTCGAATCCTCCTTGCTCGCAGAAGCACACTTCAAACTAGCCCTGGCCATGGAATTCGCTTCCGTCACCACCACAAACGAAGAAGCGGTAGAACAAGGCGCAACCAAGGAAGAAACCGTAGACGAAGACCTCCGCAAAGAAGCTGCCACCCACCTGGAATCGGCAATCCAATCCTGCCGCCTCCGCATCTCCAAAGAAAACACCTCCCTCCCTTCTCTCCCCACAGACAAACAAGATGCCAAAAAGAAGGAAATCAAAGATGTGCAAGAAATGATTGAGGAAATGGAACAAAGGCTTACAGATCTACGTACTCCTGTTGCTGCAGCTTCTGGTGCGGAAAATCCTCTAAGGGGCATTCTGGGTGGTATGTTGGGGGAAACCCCTGCTGATCAGAAGACGAGAATCGCGGAGGCTACGGCTAATGCTAATGATTTGAGTGGGTTGGTCAAGAAGAAGAAGAGTAAGCCTGTTGAACCTGCCGCTGCTACTCTGCCTATCCAGAAAAGAAAAATTGAAGACGGAGAGGAGGTGACGAGTAAAAAGGCGAAGGTTGAGGAGGAAGTCAAGGATGCTTAGAAGGTTACTGGCGCTTTTTGCTGATATGATGATGGGGCTGTTCAATCTGGTCTTGGGATGGATCTGCTTTTTTATGGCATCGATCCTGTGTAATCCTTGATGATAGCCAAGGCTCGGAGAAGAAGAAGAAGGTTGATTCATTAGCGTTATAACCTATGACCACAGCAGAAAAGTAATACATACACTTTTACCATCATCTTCCACATCTAGGCAAGCAATCTTCTTGTCTCTGCATCTTCTGCACAACTTCAAATATAGCCATCTCCTTTCCTCCAAAGTTTGGCTTTAGTATGTAACGCTTGTCGTTCTTTTTCGTATATGAAGCAGACATATCACTAGATAGTAAAAGTACAATACAGTAGCGGGATAATTGCCGTTTCACCGATGACGTGATGATCTTTTGAGAAATTTATGTCTTTGCATTTTGCGTTTTTAGTATAGCCTTAGCATTGAAGGGGAAGGGAGTAATATTTCTATTCATTTTTTGAACCTGCCTTTTTCCACCCGTGCCGTCATCCTGTGTAGTGCACTCGCTGTGATTACAACGTAATCTAAGGGTGTTTTCTTTGGAGCTTGTATTGCAATGAAGTGTTAAGCATTAGTATTAATGCATTTTGAAGTCAGGTTGAAATTGAGGGAGGACGTGAATAGATTTTTTACATATTTTGGCGTGAGGATGCAAGGCGGTGATTCACCACTTGACTGTGAAAGACAAGCACTCACAATGTCCATGTTAGTATGGCAAATAGAGGATAGCGGTTGATATTGCTGATGTTATCGTCGATATTAGGATAGGAACCATTGTCTAGGGGGTCACCCTGTCACAGTCCACAAATCGCAGTTTTTCCACTCGCATTGGGTAGACACACCAGCGTCAGGACTGGAGGGGAAAGCGTAGTGAGGATACGTTCGTCGTCCATTGCGATGGGAGAATCGCAAAAGTAGAGTTGTGCTGGACTCTCTACACGATGAACGTGACACCAAAGTTTGATCGAATCGCGTATGGGAATGCTATGAGCTGTGTGAAACCGATGGAACTGCACAAGCATCCCGTATGGCAGAAGTTGCCATCGAACAGGCCATTGCAGAAAATAGCGCAATCGTTGCGATTTGACGTTGTCGATGCTCTAGATTCTTGAGGAACTCGCCCTTTCACATACCTCTTTTGCGCATACCTGACTTACATCTTGTGATTGTGAAGATGAGCCGCATTCTGACATGGTCAAGAAAGCAACCAGAGAAGTTTTCCAGTGAATATTTCAAAGGGCATCGCTTCATACCCTACTCACCTACCACCATGACTTACAGCAACTCGTGACACTGACTTGCAATCTCTTCTTCTCGCGATCCATCTCTAGCAGACCAAACAAGATCCTCGATGCAAGACGAAAGACGTTCGGGATTCGACGTTTCAGCGGTGAAGGCGCACACTGCATCGCGTCGTGTCCAGAAAATAAACCTGCTTCCATCATGCTCGTAGAGCATAGAGTGCCGAGGGCGTTTCTGGACCCTGTGGAATTGTGGATCGCAAAGGTAGCGTGTGCGTGCAAGGCGCATCGCTCGATTCAAAGTCCTTTACTTGCCTACAAGGCTAGTTGTCATGGAGAAGCTTTCGAGCCGATACGTCCAAAAGCGTGACATTTTCGGCTGCTCGAGGAAAGGCTGGAGATGACGTTGACGTTCGCTCTTGAATCAAGATACCATCGAGCATCGCCAGCTTCATGTGTGACAGCGATGTAGAATTGGTGACTGGACGTGGATGCTTGTCGTTCGTCGCGGAGCTGGCCGCTGTGTTGAAATGCAGCCAGTTCGCTCAGCAGATTCCACAGTGTTGTTGCCCAACGTGCAATGTAATCGAGATTGGACACTTTCGATCCCGTAGATGACTGCGCGCTGGGTCCAAGGGTTGTTATGCCTCTTCTTCCACACATCGTGTTTTTGGTGAAAGTGTCGACATGTGACATGTATCAATCGATGATTGGATCACACGATTTCTCCCTCGATGCTTGGGCATAAGGTGATTGTTTGAGCCACCATGGAGAATGATCCGAAGCCTCTTTTGCTATCGATAGAGACGACGCCGTTCTGTATGACAATGATGACGAAAACAATAGAAGGGAAGGGGTCTTGCATCGCAGGGCTGGATGGAGATCAGAGAAACCAGTGAAAAGAAGGGAAAACTCCCAGCGCGAATCGACGATTCGAAGAAACAATCGGAACCGGGAGTGGCTCCGAGCGTCATACCAACAAGCCGACAACGAACATCAAAATGATGACGGGCGTGACACAGAATCATGACGCTCACCAGTTCCTCACCTGTTCTGGTGCTGCAGAGAAGCAAACGGCCGTCAGCAGCATCGCCTGATAGCAGATTTGAGGTCGATAGCGCCAAAGCGTGGGCGAACATTCCGTGGTGTTATTGTTTCGACTGTGCAGCCAGGCTTCATCGCATCGCCGACATCCATCGACAGCGGCAGCGGCGGTGACGAGTCCGCGCACCAGGCTGCTTCGACCTGTCAGCCACCACAAACTACGATTGTGGGATCCGTCCAGGTTCGAAACAGCATCCGTGATCAGGCTTTTTGGTGCTGCTGTCAAAAACGATCGCGGACGCCAGCGCCCAGCGTTTTTCTGGAGCCGCATCATGCTACTTTTCATCGCCGATCTGTAAGAGGCTTCGAGGACTGGGCCATGCGATGCCTCTCAGGACAAGGAATGCGATACGTGTTGTGAGCTGAGCGTGGGACATGGCGAATCGTCTCCATGTTCTTGTAGCGCTTGCCAGGTGAGAGTGTGGAAACCAAAGATGCTGATAAATTGGTGAAAAAATTGTAACAGCAAGAACGCGAGTAGACAAGTGCCCGAGTAGGAGTACCAGCACCTTGGGCATCTACTGAAGCTTGTTCAAGTGCTCGTTAAACATACCTTAAACCGAAAGAGACATCCGCGCGAAGATCAGGCAACATCTCGATCTCTGATTCTGTACGAAAGCAGGCAGTGGATGATCGAAGTGTTTGCCCAAATCGAAATCGCGACCCGGATTGGATGACGCTCACGTGGGAGGGAAAGCTGTCGGAAGGCGCGGAGGTAAGATTGACCTATCAGCGCCAGGTATCCTAGCTCGGAGTGACGGCCGAGCTGGATGATCGAGAGATAGACAACACCGCAATTTTCGGATCTAAAGCCTCGATGCATTCGAGCGGTGTTTCGCACAATCAGGGCAATATCAAGCAGGCCAAATGGTCCAGTGATTTTGGACAGTATTGGATGGTATTAAAGAAGCCTTACCACATACAGAGAGCGTCTTGTAAGGATGTGACGCAGCAAACAATACAGACAAGTCGACAGAGCATGGGATGATGGATCTCAGATCTCAACTACTGAAGGATTCACGTGCAGCAGAAGACATGTTCTGAAAGGTTACACGGTAGATAGGCAGCTGAATTCAATCAAAAAGATACTCGCAATAGGCTTATACACGGCACATGGTGTAAGAATAAGCAGGCCAACGATGCTGAGAGTAGACGTGTGCCGCAGAACTTGTTGCAAGACATCAGCCGTTCGGTGTTCGCATCGAGATTTGACAGGAGCATCAGGCATGTCTCCTAGCGAAAGGAGGGCTATGAAAATGGGATGAAGTCTAGATGTGTGTGTGCAAGCTCATCGCCGATGTGGCTTGCAACATGGCGACGTCGGAAAACAAGCAAAGTAAGCTGTCAGATCGACTGTTTGCTCGCAACTCAAGTAGGCCAGCGTTCGCACACCTCCTACGGGTTTCTCTCTGTCAAGTCCTTGAGTTCGACGAGAAAGCTGAGAAATCATACAGTCTGGGCACTTGAAGGGTGAAAACAGTTCAGGAGAGAAAGCGGCCACAGAGCCTCGAACATGGTGACCTTAGGCCTAGACCGGAGGCGTTTCGGGCCAGGGTCCATACGATGACATAATCTTGGCTGTGACGGCGATTGAGCCTCCAATAAAAGGCTACCGATCTCCGCGACTTCTAAAATGGCATTGATGATCGGAGTGTTTAGCCGCACAGAGCACACAACGGAGTTCGATTCGGGCGCAAGACGAGTGATGGCCGCAAAATCGTGTCTCGCTTGTCTGCAGAGTCAATCAAGGGCAGTTGCTGCGTCTGATCCCCCACCACGTGAATCGACGTTCGATACGTCTCATGCCCTGCGATGGTCAAGACGATCTGCTTTTTTGGAATCTGTGATTGTGGGTAGCCATCTTGCTGGATCTCAGGCAGGTGTTTCGATGCCCTGATTTGGTCGAATGTTCAGCCCACCGGTTGCCCCATAGGCCATTGATCCTCTACTTTGTTGCACTTGTCTCCTTCTCTCTGATCAACACCTACCTATTTCACCCACCTATACGCCTATATCGCGCTCTGTACTCATTCATTCTGGAACACAGCCATCTATACTAGCGCCACTACATACAAGTACCGACCCGTTTTGACACACATGACATTGCCTCGTCGATACCTCTTCGACACAGCCGCCTCGATGGCATCAGAAGCCTATCTTCGCCCGCCTCACCCCCGAAGGCCGACTGCCCAGCGCTCAGTCTCTCTTCGACACAGCAGACCTTCGCCAGACTCCAAGGACACTAGAAGCTCTCAGACTGAAGCCTCCAGTGGCTCGCCGTCGAGCAACAAGCCTAATGTTAGCAAGGCCGACTCGGGCGAGAGCAGCAACGCCGACAAATGGTTTGAAGGCGCCAACAACAACGCCGACGGCAAGAACAACACATTAGGTGACAGTCAGTCATATTCCCGTCCACGGTACTTGTAGCTCGTACACTGACCCCCTCCATGCAGACGACCCCCCGTTTTTCCTTCAAAACTCCAGCTCGGAAGAGACTCCGAATTATCTAGGCCCAAGCGCTATGCTCGAGCAATCCATGCCAATGCATGCTCTACTACATAAGAACGATACCGAAGACAGTGGCAGCTCAGATTTCCGTGCTGTCATTGATGACCTCACCATTCAGAACAAGAAGCTCAAGAAACGCTTGAAGAAGTACGAGAAACTCCACGACGCCCACCTCAAGGATGAGAAACTCTTCGAGGTTCGCGTCCACGGTCTATCGTCGAACAAGAGACGCGAACTTGAAGAGATCCTTCGTACCTTTGCTGTTGGCGCTGCTGGTCAGCCGAGTGGCTCTGCCTCCCAAACGAGCAACCTATACGACCGCGTTGTCCCAACTCTTAAAACTCACAAGACGGCCTCGTCCTCATCCAACTTTGCCGACTCTGCTTACGCTTCCAACTCGGCTTCAGCCTCCGCCTCAGGCCTTTCTAACTCAAACAGTGGCCAGCAGAGTAAACATTCTTTCCGTCGATCTAACAAGAGTCGCCAAAGCAACATTCAGACTTATCTCCACGACATTCCAGAGGGTCTGCTTCCGCAGCACCCTGCCGTCATGACTGAATACTCCAAGAAGAAGCTGGTTGTGCGCCGTCTGGAGCAAATCTTTGCTGGAACTGGCGCCGTACTTGGGGATCACCATCACCCCATTCAACAACAAGAGGTCTCACAAATGGCTGCGAGGGCCGACAGAAGCGCCCTGGAGGCCAACGGTCAGACTGCTAAGATCGAAGGCAATAGAGAAGCCCCGATTATGAAGGACGACGAAGAACGAAGTGCTCAGGACTCTCCAGAACACAGCAGCGGTCCCGAAGTCACTCAGGGAATTGAGCCTTCCCTAAAGGTCGTAGAGCAGGACTTCGCAGGTGTCTCACCTCAGCAAAGACCTACGAGACCTCTGGATTTAGACCCTCATCGAGCCCAGAATCCTCGCGATAACTTCCAGTACATTCGCCACCTCGGCTTCTCACCACCTGAGCCCAGCACTATGGAAGCTCAGGAGGGCGGCCATGGCTGGATCTATCTCAATTTCCTGTTCAACATGGCTCAGCTTCACACTCTCAACGTCACTCCAGAGTTTGCTAAGAAGGCTCTGATCGATTTCAGCACAAAGTTTGAGATCTCTGAAGATGGACGCAAAGTCAGATGGAAGGGCGGGAGAAACATCACTAGATCTGCCAGCGAGGCTGACAGCTCGCCATCGACGTATGGAAATTCCCCTTACGACAAGTCACCTCTCAAACGATCAAAGTCGTCACACCACAAACACGGTGGCAAAGACTCAAAGCGTAGAATGCTCGAGAAGCAAGACAGCAGATTTGCCTACACGCCACTGTTCTACCATCGTAGCAGCGAGGACGACAGCGATATGTCTTCTTCGGAGGATGAGACCGAATCTCCATTCGTGGGCCCTCCAGGGGGTGACTCTTCTGCCATGACCAGTTCTGGCATTCGAACCGTCTCATTCAGACAACAGAAGAAGAAGACAGATAACGGACCCATCATTTTCTACAACAATGCTAGGTTTTGTACCGACCTTAGCGGCGAATCCACGACGGAAGTGGACATGACAAACAACATGCTGATGTACCACCCCATGACCGATCATGCCCTTGGTATTCCAAAGTCTCCGGAACCAGCACCAAAGGACGTTCTAGAGCACCGCGGTCCTCTCAACAATGCAAAGGACCTGCCTGAAGCCATGAGCCTTAATGACAACCCGATACCCGAAGCTCTTGAAGTCAGCTTCCCTAGCGTCTCACCCATGTCGCAGGCCGGACCCACCAGAAGCCCAATCGCTTTGGAGGCTTCCGGTATTGGTGGTATCTGCCCCTCCGACAACTTCCTAATCAATGTCAGGACTGAGCACAAGCGTGTTTATGGCGCCCCGATCCAGCCCGCTCCGAAGAAAGCATACCCTGCCCATATTGCCTCTTTATTCAAGGAGAGTGGCCGTCAGCAGCAGCAAACGCCTTTTACGGACTATGTTGTCAAGACGTTCCACCAAGAGTTGCCACCTTCTGAGCTTCCTCCTGCTTCCTGTTTCATGGATGTGGACGAATTTGACGATGATGAGTCAGAGTTTGGCGATTATCAGTCTATCGTTCCCGAGATGGATCGTATGCACGACGTTCCATCCACAGCTCCGCAAACCATCGACATGCCGTATTTGAGCAGCGACGAGAGCGGTGAGGAAGAGGACGAAGAAGATGATGATGCTGCATCAGATGGCTCCCTTGATCTGCTTGCCACTGCCCGCAAGCTTGATCCTCAATCCGTTCAGGCGCGCGAGCGTGAATATGACGCCCACATGGCTGAGCGATTGGCCGAAGAGATCCCTGCCGGCAGCTCTGCAGCTACAGCAGGTGGTGGCAGCGGCTTTGCTAGCCCGATAGCTGGTATCAGCCGCAAGGAGTACGAAGCTGCAAAAGCAGAGCACATGAAGCGCCATGCTTCCACCATCGCGTCCGCAGTATCAATCCCGAGAACCGAGACGAACGAATCAATGATTGTCAATGGCCAGTCGCCTTGATGAAAGACATGTATATGGTTGTAATTCATTTGCATAGTTGAAGGCGTATGTTTTGGATGATTTGTTTTTGGATATGGTTTTAACAAGATACCCCCCCATCAATATGGGATTGTTGAATTGAATGATTATCTTCTTTTATTTCTTTGCCTTGCAGTGCCACTGAATAATGTGATTTGGTCTGATGATTCTAGCCACACCGTTCTAGGGCAGATTTTGCTCGGAGTCATCGGTAGTCGGGATTTGCGCCAAGTCCAGTATCTCTCGAGGGCTTGCGAGAAGGGAAGTCGCAATTCAGACAAGGTTTCTTCGAGTACTCATAGTTGGAGGCCTCATTCTTCGACTCAGTCTTTACCAAGTTTCACATCCTTTGAATCCCAATTCCATTCTGACTCGTACTACCACCGCTGCGTGAGATTGTTGCGTTTCATAAGCAATCGAAGCTCCCCGCAACGCTAATAATTGCCGGTAAGCCCGCCACCAAAAACATCTTTTGATGTTTCTCATCTTTCGCACGTAGAATACCGGATAGAAGGAAATTGTTGCGCAGCAATGGAGACTGGCACGCCAAATATGACCCCAGCACCAGGCGATGTTCCTGCCAAGGCCGAGGTGGACGACTTTCTGCGGCGCAAACGCAAGGCGCGGGAACACAAAGCGTGCTATCCGTGTCGACAACGAAAAGTTCGCTGTGACCTTGCGAGGCCTTGCCGTACCTGTGTCGAGCGCGAACATCCCGAGCTATGCGACTACCATCCGCCAAACAAGAAACAGAACAATGGCTCTTCTTCGTCAGCATCTCTTGCGTTGCCTAGCGCGAGTACCAGCAGCGGGGTTCCTGCATCGAGCGCAAATACCGTGACGCTGGCACGATCTGATTTTGATCATCTTTGTCGGAAACTGGATAATGTCGAATCAGCTCTTGAGGAATTGCGAAGGGAGATGAGAGGATCTAATAGCAGACCACATCAGCAAACTTCTGGCCGTTCTTCACCTTCAAGTACTACTCAAAAAGCGGATGCTGCCCAACCATGGATTAACAATCAGTTTACACGCCATACTACGGTCCATGGACTTCATGCTCGGAATGACTTGACTGGCCAAACTGTACATCTGGGAGGTTCTTCGGTCCCTGCACTTGTCATGGCTTTAGGACAAGGCGATCGTGAACAACCTTCAGTTCAGGAAATCCTCGGCAGATCGATCCTACCTATGTTTGGTCTTGACAATGAGACAGCAACATATCCATTCGTCGATCTTTGGGGTCTGGCTCACGGCTCTCTGGCACGCGCTCAAGAATTGGCCAAAACGATACCCACGGACAGTCAATGCTTATCCTTCTTCCGATACTATCAGAACCTTGGAAACATCATCTTCCCAGGTGTCGCGGATATCTCAACCTTTGAAATGGACTTGACGCGCTTTTTGCAAAAACGTAATGAGCAAATGGGTGTTGCTGGATCTCTACCAGAAAATAGTCCCCTTCCTGGAGTCACTGAGCAGGCAATTTACGACAAGAATTTGGAATGGGTTGGTTTACTATTTGCTGTTCTAGCGAGTGGTTGCCAATGTTCTGGTTTGCCGAGAAAAGAACGTGAATTGACATCTCAAGTCTACAGTGAGCGACCCGAAATCGTAAGATAAGAATGATGAAATGTACTAACGATAAACAGTGTGCTGCAGTTTCGAGTGCTTACGTTTCACCAATTTCCTGTCACATGTGACTCTGGAGAGTATTCAGACTTTGTTGATTCTCGGCAATGTAGGTTCTCTGTGGCCTGTGCTAAATGCCAATAGCTAACACAATTTCCAGGTCATCTCCAACAACATGAACGCCGGAACTTCCTGGTCTCTTATGGGTCTGACGCTACGCCTAGCAATGAGTCTTGGTCTGCACCGTAGCTGCCCACCTGCCGCAGACATCGAGACCAAGGCTATTCGCTCCAAGGTCTGGTGGTCAATTGTCTGGCAAGATAGTTTACTATCAATCACGTACGACAGAGCAGCTACAACAGCATACATTGACCCCTCAAGCATGCCAGCACCAGATGCGTACACGCAAATTCCTCCTTATCATTTGGCAATGTACAGACTCTGCAGCGTCGGTCTGGAGATTGTACGCGATCGCACTAAGACCATGAGCTCTCGCGAGCTGTTCGCCAGAATCACAAACCACAGGAATGAGATTGATGATATCATGGCTGGCACTGCTGACTACCTGCGCGACTCGCGTACCTGCAAGTCTGTGGAAGAGTCACTCGAGCACTGGGCTCTGTACCTACACGTCTCATACATTGTCTCCGAACTCTGTCGACCGGCCATCAGTCCCAGCACCGCCAGCTACGAACTCTCCAAGGCCTTCAAGCAAACCTGCATCGACAGCTTGGTCAGCACAGTCGAAGCTTTCCTCGGCCTGCAAAACATCACGCCCTACGCAAGACAATCCTGGGCCGCCGTCCACCGCAGTCTTTCCTCCGCTCTCCTCCTCGGCATCATGGGTGAACACGCCCACAACGAACGCGCTCGCCGTCTTCTCGGCAGATTCGTCGCCCTCATGTCAGATATGCAATCGTCACTCGACCCACAAGAACTCGCTGCGCCCATGGAAAGAGCAATCACCGCACTCAAGAAGCTGAACATTCAAGAGTCCAGACCGCCGAGGTTTATCGAGGACATTGCCATGGGTGGGGCTTCGGCGCAGAGTGTGACGGATAGTAGTGATAGTCCTGGTATGGCTGGGGTGGATCATTCGAGTGTGTTCCCATCAAACACTTCGGCGTTGGTTGATGAGGAGTATTCGCCTTATAGCGTGCTCAACTCGATCTTGTGGGGACAAGGTACTACGCCTTGAGTGTGACGGAAGGAAAGAGCTGTGGTGGAGAAGAGTCGCTGTACACGAAGAGAGTAATAGCTGAGACGTAGTGTATATATACGAGTAACGTGCATAGGACTGGCTGAAAGGATATAGAAAAAGCTCACAAATACCATAACCATAATGTTCATATATCAATGTCTAGCAGGAAAATTATGAAGTAACACTCGCAGGAAGTATGTCACAACGATCACAATATCACGAGAGAAGAGAAACAGAAGGCATGGTGATCGGACAACGACTTGATTGTAAAAACGCTAGATAACTAGCAAAGTAGAAACAAGCTCATTGGCACCTCTCTCCGAGCGACCCGTTTACTTGGGGTCGTCGAAGACGTAGGTGAGGTGGCAGCGACCGCAGTACTGGCGGTTGTGCATGGCAGCCATGAAGATACCGGCACCGCACTGAGAAGATGAGTTAGTACCTGAAGATGATGCGCGCGGTGTGTGTAAAGCAGAACTTACGGTGTCAGAGGGGCACTCGCGACGCAGACGCTCAATCTTGCCATCACCGTCGACCTTGTAGTACTTGAGGACGGCAAGCTTGTTCTTCTTGCGCTTGTGCTTGATCTTCTTGGGGGTGGTGTAGACCTTCTTCTTGCGCTTCTTACCACCACCACGGAGGCGGAGGACGAGGTGAAGAGTGCTCTCCTTCTGGATGTTGTAGTCGGAGAGGGTACGGCCATCCTCGAGCTGCTTGCCAGCGAAGATCAGGCGCTGTTGGTCCGGGGGGATACCCTCCTTGTCTGTTTGATGCGAAAGTCAGTCTTCTGCGCATGATGATGGATGGTTGATGGTGCCGTCGCCTTCGCGCTGTGTGTGTGGCGATGGCGATGGCGATGGCAGATGGCGAGGGAGATGGGGAAAATGCGCACCCTGAATCTTGGACTTGACATTGTCAATGGTGTCGGATGACTCCACCTCGAGGGTGATAGTCTTGCCCGTGAGGGTCTTCACGAAAATCTGCATGATGGCGACCTAGACAGCGGGGTCGTTGTCGTCCTAAGTCGTGAAGAAAAGGAAGTTTTTGGGAGCGCGCGGAGCGGAATTTCACAAGGGTCGGTGCGTCGCTTCGCTTATCTAATCAGTGTGAACAGCCGGCTCGGCCCACCAATCAATGATCGAGCTTGGGTCAGTCACGTGTTGGCTTTCCTCACTCGACAGCGACATCATCTTTACTCTCACACAACTCATGAACGTATTATGTTTTCACATTGGAGTTATATTGAGCTTGTATGAACGCAATCAACACATGGGAATCCATAGCCATCGATCTTCTGGGTAAACGTTCCAATGGTAAGTGGAGTTCATTAGCCACGAAACATGCTCAATATTGCTGCTTTACCTCTCCCTTCGAGTGCTCGCCGCACTGTTTGTCGTCCAGACTCGAGGATCTCCTGCAGAGATAAGTAGAGTTGCTTGTCCTTGTCAGGCACATTCTCAAGCACCGAGAAATCATACCTTGAGATGTCGACCTTCGCAAATACCGCAACAACGGGACCGTGGCGCGACGGATGTGAATCGCAAGTGATTAACCTGGTCACCGAGTTTATCAACCACCACGAAATCAGCCATCAGAACCCTTGGAAAGTTCCCCAAGCTCCTGTCGAGTCACAAGCAGTCGCTACACAAATCAAGGCCCACCCAAGTGTCACTTCAACAGTGAAATGGGCACTGAAGGTTCGAGAAAGTACCGCGAGTCGGAGAGACCTTCTTAAGCGCATTATCGAAGCTGGCGTACTCACTGATCGAGCAGAGGTCTTTTTCATCACTCTGCTAGCGGAAAACAACTATCTGGGCCTACCAAGGGGAAGCTCTGAAGCTGAAGCGTTGCTCTACCGCCATAACGGAGCGAGCAAGGGTCTCGATTCGGAGCAAGAGCAGCAGAATTTCGATGTTCACCAACGCCGGCTGAATCAATAATTATTTGGCATGACAGAATCGGGAAGAGAAGGGATCCTCGATCTCTCAGCTTGTGAGGAGCAGTCTCTGCGCGACATGGCCGCAGTAATCAAGAGGGAATTTGCAGCCACCAGGAAGCAGATATCCGACGAGAAACAAGAGCTCTTGGAGTTGCTCGAGCGCGTACGCTTCGAGAAGCAACAACTCTTGGACACCATGTCCGGAATCTCGTCGACTGACTCGACGGTAGACGTTTACACGCCAACTTCTGTGCGTCTCTCATCAACTGCTGTATGCTTTGCGTGAATACTGACGACGATTCTCAGACTCTCAGAAATAGCTCTCCTGACGAAATCTCCGAATCTGTAGAACAGAAGTCGGAGCCACATCTGGAATCCAAGTTGACGCTGCTCGTGGGTGGCAATTATCCCGGACTTCGTGATGATAGATCGATGAGCATTGGCTGGAACGACCCTATAGGACTGCTGCGAGCCCCTCTGAAAGAACGTTTCCCGGAGGCAACCCGTGGCTTCTACCACGGCGCAAGACTGGTTTCGGACGATACCACACCAGCTCAGGTCAGTATTTTTCCTATTTTGGTTGCTGAAAGGTTGATTCGAACATCATTAGCTTCGATTGGTGCGTGGGTCCTGGTTATGTCTGCAGAACAGGGGCTTCCACGGTTACCCCGTTATCATAACGGTTCAATGAATACAGCTCCATCTTTTATGACTTGATTCGAATTGTGCTTTTGCTCATGAATATTGGTATAATTTGTGACACGTCGCCAAAGATAGTCGTCAATGAACGATTGACATATGATTTGAGACATGAGTATCCCTAAGCCAATTCATCAACTTTGATAGTTGCCGTCAGACATTGGCGTGAGAGCTCAACAAAGTCTCACATCAATTTGTCTCCAGAACTTGCTCGAAACATTCTGTCAGACATACGCTCCAAAACTCAAAAATGGCCAGAGTTTTGTAGGCACATCTGAAGCTATTTATTGACCTTACAACCATCAGAAATCCAGTTCTTCTTTTTACCCTCAAACTCCTCAAAAATGTCCAATTCCAGATCATCAAGCTGGTGGACAGTAGAATGTGAAGAAATGGCCAATCTTGCAATCGTTAGTCTGGTGCCGGAGGAACAGCAAAGACATCTCTTCGACGGACTCGGGAAACGCCCAGCAACAAGCAGGAGCGTCCAAGAATATCTCCAATACACCAGCTCTCTGGGCTATCATTTCGATGAGTTAAAACTCTTTGAGGCGCTCTTCAAACATTTCGGGATGGAAGATGTTCGCGACACATTCCTGCTTTGGCTACTCGGCGAAGTCCTGCCTCGCTTCCAAGGCTCAACGGAAAAGCTCAAGACTCTTGAGTCTTCCGTTCAAAAGCTTTCTGAAAGGACTGCGAAGCTCGTAGAAGATCTCTCGATATCTGCGACTATCGATGACGGAGGGTTTCCAGTAGATGCAGAAGAAGGAATCAGACAACTTGGTGCTACCTTGATGGCCCAGAAGCATCTGTTTGCCTCAGAACACGACTCTGAAACCTTCAACAGAGACCTCCAGATATGCATGGAACCTTGCTTCAAGAATTTTGTAAGCCGGGTGGAGTCTCTGGAGCAGATGGTCAAGGAGAACCGAGAAGGCATGAAGCTCTACCAGCCAGTCACCCAAGGCGAAGAGTTGGCAGCTCGTGTTCAAGCTCTGGAGAACAAGATAAAAGAGCTGCAACCTCCTTTCTCGATGCTGTCGGATGCCGCAGAATCTTCGACCTGCACTCTCACGCCTGCTTCGGTAAGTACATCATACCAGGATCTTGATTCAAGCTGACTTCCAAATTGCGGCAGACCGTGGTAAATGACTCGAATAACGATGTAGCTGGGTTTCGACACGCTGAAGCGGCCACTGCAGCGCCTCTTCGCCTGCGCGTTGCAGTATACAATTCTCTACCCGGGTGCTCCAACAGCGTCTCGAGACTAACGCAAAAAGTTCTCGTGAAGATGTACCCACACACTCCATTCAGGTTTCTTACAGACAAGCTTGCCGAGAAGTTCGGCGACCACCAGCTGAGCTCGAGTCACAGTGGTCAAAGCATTTTTGACAGCGAAACACCTAAATCTGTGAGTCCTGCTTCACATTTTATAATGCCTGCTAGTCACTAACAATGAGTGCTGAAAATAGCTTGGATTGGGAGACTCTGCGGAACTGACATATTCCAACACAGTTGGTAGTAAAACCATCGATTTGACTGTTATGTAGATAGACCACCATGTCTCTTGTGTTTCATCGCCGAAAGCAATTACAGAAAGAAAACCACGAAACCATGAGGACACGAGGCAGCCAATGAAGACCTGTTCCGAATGCGACGTTGCAATCCAGGGGCAATGCAAGTATGCAAGAGTGTATATCAGATGCGTGCAGACTTTTGCTTACTTCAACAATACCTCTCATGGGTGAAACGTGAGCATGTTTGTACTTCCCCTCAGCAAACCTTCTTCCAATAATGGACCCAGACCTCGCTTGACTTTGTCTTCCCGTGAAAGTCGGGTGTTGTAGTTTCCTCTTTGCTCCCACTACGTCCTGCCTAAATCTCTTCGACCGAAAAACATCGCTGCCCATCATGTCTTCGCGAAACGGAGACCTAGAGACTTGACGTTTGGCGCTTAAGAACAAGGTCAATGTGATGCAACACTTATATGCCATTGCAACATCGGAGGCTGACACGTCTACGACTGGCATCCTAACCCCAACCTCGGTAGGTAAAATACGATCAGTGATTTTGCACAACACTCTAACACACACTGCAGACTTTCATGAGCGAACAAGAAGGATCGGTGCCTAATAGCGAACCGGCTACGAAGCGAGCACAGCAATTCCACCCTGTCTTTTACGTTTACATTGCAATTTTCGAAGAACCCATGACTCTCGAAAACTTCACACACATCATGCCCGGTGGATGGCTCCTTTATCTCAAGATGAAACCTAAAGCCACGTTTGCAAGCATAATGAAGAAGCTGCGCCGAGAGAACATACTCTATGCAACAGTGAGAGCTATGAACTTAGATTAAGCATGGAACCCACGCAAGAATTTGTGATAACGACACACCCAACAGTGTAAGCGATTGCCTGAGTCTCCTGGGGAACAATTTGCTAATCACGGCATCGTTACAGATTGAGACGAGGTATGGTAGTGCTAGAATGCATTTGAAATGGACGAGGGTGTTGAAGGAAGAAGGACTCCCAATTCGCCTATGGCCTAAGCAGAAGAAGCTGGGCTAAGTCACTGGTCAACTCAAGATAAGTAGTATGGAAAGCTATAGCCTTTGCTTGGAGATGAGGTGGATGACGGGACTTACAACGCGGATGATAATGTGTAGAAGAGGAATCGAAGAAGACACCACAATCTTGAAGGGCAATGGGCACGAACGTAGTGTGCATGGAGAGAAAGTGTCTGCCAAGTGACACTTAAACTTGATATTCAAGTTGAACAATCAGCCTAAGAGAACGAGTGGTTCGTTCTTTCCAATTCGAGAAGGGAAGGATCTGCTCTCAAAGCATACGCGTGGCTTCACTGTTTACAACAGCTTTGCTCACTTTCCATAAATTCATCGAAACTCCTGAATACGTGTGCTCTTGTCTGCTTCCAACTCTCAATAACCTCTCCATCAACCATTAACAACAAATCAACCGCCATCATGCATCAAATCACACTCAGTACCGGAAAGGTCGTCGAAGAGAAATCAGGCGCCTATCACACCTTGAATTACCTCCTCTCTGAAGGCGAGTTCAGTGCGTTTTGGAGCTACATCGTCACCATCATCTCCATCGCGTACCAGTCCATGCTCCAAAGCTTCCATGGAACTGCCGAAGACGAGGAAGACACTGCTGCTGCACTTCACGCGCAGAAGGAGAAGGACGCCACAGATACTGACTCCAACTTGATGTCATCAGACTTCAGCGACACAGAAACGGAGACCATGAGAGTGTCCACACCTTCTTCGAGCGGTATCTCCACCCCTGCACCCACAAACTTGGAACAAATTCTTCCCAAACCAGCAAGCGACAAACATCCGAACCTCCGCTTTGGTCCCATGAAGATCAACAAGGCAGAAAAAGGACTCGACAAGAACTCATCAATTCCTTTCGATGGACAGACACCGGAAAGCTACAAGCTCACTTTCAGAATTGCTTCCCCGGACATCGTCGTCCTCGAGATAATCACCTTCCCGGAGCTCAAGTTGAAGTCATTCGTTCGCATGGGCAAACACCAGACGTTCAAGAAGCTCAAGACCAAGATGCGCAAAGAGCCTGCAAGCCTCTATTGCGGTAGATGGGAGCATCCTAATACCTTCAGTCTTGCTTGGAAGCATGCTGGAGGCAAGCATGAGATGGAAAGATTGACTCCAATCTTTGACAACGATACACCCGCATCGGTAAGTGAATCGAACGCCAGGACTCACAAGTACAATGGCTGATTTTAAATAGATTGGCATGGACCAAAGCGTGCACAAGATGATGTGGGGGCCATTCTCCAACATTCCCATCATGTTGGACTTGACCATGGACGATTGATGCGAGTGTTGGATGAGGTGAAGAGTCATATCTTCATCATCAACAATGACTAAAATAGTGCGGAAAGGCACAGGAAGAACAAGACTCGCTGTTTGCGAGCTTTGCAGAAATACAGGTCAAGATTCTCGATATCATCAACACCTTTTGTACTTGCTGTGGCCAATCTCGCAGAAAGCAGTCGTCTCTGAGTGGTTTCAGATGGTTCTTGATCTGGAAGGGGAATAGAGGGATATGGAGCGGTGCTTCCAAAGCTTGTAGTCACCCACGTTCAAGTATGAGCAGATTTCCCACGACTCACTAGACAAACTCACTCATAAAAAGGGCGTCACGGTGTCAAGATCAAAATTCCATTCACCTTTCCAATTTTCACGAAAAAAAAAATTTCTCTCTTCTTCTTTTATTCTCCATCACCATGGACCAATACTCTCTCCTCCTGGATGTTCTAGAGGGTCTACACAGCCGAGGACTGACACAGGGACGGAGAATAACAGAACTCGAAAACCGCCTCGCCGACCAACATGACAAACTCGTGAGAGTGTTCATCTTATCTGCTGGAATTTTTGTTATGCTTCTCGTCCCGTTTGTCGTTGCCTTGTACAACAGAGCGAGATTTCGCAAGACGGAAAGAGTTGTCGCGATGATACCCGCGGGACTTCGGATTTCGAAGGACATGGAGGAGATAGAGAAGAGGCTGAACACGTTAGGAGAGAAGATGGAGAAATCAGCACGAGCTAGACGTGATGGGATTTCGAAAAAGTACAAAGATTGCGACAATCAAGTGGAAGTTGAAACGATGTCGTCAGACAACGACACCACGACCTCAGGATCGACCATCTATACCCCCTCCGCCAGCGATGCGTCTATCTCGGGAGAAACTTCAACAACATCAACGATATCCTCCTCACAAATCCAAGTATTGGAGAAACTGGCATCTGCGCATAATCTAGGAGTACGCAATACAGGCATCATACCACCTGAAGATACAGCTCTCTCTTACAACAACACTTTCCTCCCTGTCAGCTATCATAACCACTTCGACACTTCTTCTCCCTTGAACACCTTCACTCCTACCCACCCTCGTCCGAGAAATTTTGGAAAACTCGAGCCGGCGCAACAGAGGGCATGGCATAGAAGAAACGTGCAGGAGAAAATGGCACAACAGGAGAAAGAGCAGAAGAGGATGGAAGAAGCGATGAGATGCTCCAAGATGAGATCGCATGAGGGGAGCAACAGTAATACTGCGATCAAACCCAACAACGAAGCAACGGGTACTCGCGTCCTCGGCCACGACAAGGAAAGACACAATCTTCCAGACTTCAAGGACGAAAGAGTAGACGACATGATTGCAGAGCTCAACAGAGAGTTGGAAAAGACTGGAGATGCAAGACTGGACGCACATAGATCGGAAGTCGACAAAGTGATACTGGAAGGTCTTAGGATGGGACCGTGTAAAAGATAAGCCCAGTCTGGAGAAGCCGGTGGTTTCGGAGGTGCCCGTGTGTAGCTCGATAGATGGCGACAGAATTCAGATCGTGCTCAAGACCATCTCTCCTTCGCCTATTTCGCGTTGAACTGCGCTAGCATCTCAGACTCTGTGTTGAGATTGCGCCATACAGATGCGAGCTGTTTCCTAGAGCCCTCGTCTTTAAATCGATAGTTGAAAGACACTTAGTGCTTGAAAGGCAGATCGTTCAAGTCTCCAAATTCTGCCTTCTTGCGTCGGCCCTCGCGCCTCATGTTATATTTTTCTCTAACTTCCTCCGACTTCGTATCCAGCTCTTGAGTGAATTCTTCCAAGAACTTCGCGTCCTCATGATGGCCTTCTTGCCTCAGAAGTGCCTCGGCGTGTCTACTCCGTGCGAGCCATGGAACCAGCGATTGTCTCTTCAACATCTTTTGTACGAGACTGGGATGCGATGCCAAGTGGCGAGAGTATTTCAGGAAAGGGAATGGGTCCGGTTTGTCGGGTCTGTAGAGGGGCAGTTGCACTCTGAACGGTTCGCTGACATCCCTTTTGGCGTCAATGTTCTTGAGGAACTTTTCCCAGAGTTCCAGACTTGTGTTTGGCCATCTAGGTCGCTCGATCTTGAATTCGACGTCCGAAGGTTGATCGGATAGCCTGGTTGCCGGCATCATAAGTAGTTTGGCGACTTGCACAATGGCCGGAGCGACTGGTATGGAATATGTGCTCGACTTTGCACGGAAGAATGTTTCCAAAGCTGAATCCAGGCTGTCTTCCGAAGCGAACGCCTTTGCGGTAATAAGAGATCTGACAGTGTCGGCTCTCCAGGCGAACCGGTCGTTAGGGCCGACATTCTCGCGCTTTCTGCTCTTCTTCTCAATCCACTCCCATATTCTATCCTCCTTGCCCTCGTGATAGAGAAACCTCACCATGCAGTCGAGCATATCAGTATCATCCGGGAACTTGTAACTGTCGTGCTCGTTCCAGAACCAAGTGATGGCGGCTTCTCCAAGCCCATCATCGAAGCGTTCCTGTCTAATTGCTGTCTTCAAACACGAAGTAGCCAGCGATTTGGTGAGAGTTCCATCTTTGAGGTGAGCCTTGAACGTTTTGACGGGATCTTGGCCATCCGGGAGCAGACCCTTGGTGAATCTTGAGACGTGGTCAACGTGCTCAAAAGGTGGCCTGCCCTTCGATTTGTCTGTCCCCTTGCCAGTCCCCTTGCCAGTCGTCTTTCCTCGTGCTTTGTGCACAGATCTACCATCGGTATCACCAGCAGCAGCCTTATTGAAAGAGCGACTAATAACACAAGCGTGACCGGTAGAGTTTAGACCCTTTCCATTAAAGAGGCCGCTGTTTCCAAGAGAGCTAGGCGGTTTTTGAGATTGAGATATCCGGAGAGCTTGCCTGAGGCCAGCACGTAAGCTCATGTTGTTTTAGTAAAGTTGTTGATATATCTGATTGGGAAGAGGTCGGCGAGGCAATGTGAAGAGAATAGATGTTGAAGTTTGCTTCAATGCCAAGACTGTTTGCACAGCGTCGATCAGTGAATCTATACAGTTCTCGAACAGCTTTAACTTGCGAACAACATATGGAGGTTAAATGGCAACTAGGAATTGATGATCAGATGTGTTAAAGACTGGACAAAAGTATGTTAGTATTGTGATGAAGTCGGTAAAAATCGAAGTCACTGAAGAGGTCAGACTCGTCATAAAGCGGCCGATTACGGGAAAGGGCCATCTCTGGTCTGTTGTTTCCTTCAAAGTAAATTCACATCAAATGTCATTAATCTCGTCCGCATATACATAATTCTTTCAATAAGGGTAAGCCCTGCACTCATCCTCTCTACTCAAATCCAAACCGTTGGCTATTTGCTCCTCGTGTTTCTTGTCCAGATAGTTCAACAGGACATCCCCATACTTGGCTTTACCCTTATACTTGCTAACGTCATCTCCCCAACTCCTGATCGAACTTGCCAACCTTCCTGGCACGTAGTCTTCTTGCGCTATATCTGTGATGGGGTGGAAATATGTGCGGATGGTGAATAGCACACCTCCAGATCTGGGTAGACGGCGCAGAGATTGACATTCGGAGCGGAAGTAGTGATGTTCGATGGCGCGATTGGTAGCAGCAGTATCCCAAGACGGCTCTCCAGCATCTTCAGGTCCAATGCTGTAGGACCAGGCGAGATCTTCATCGACCTGGAGGAAGTAGTTGTTGCGCTTCACTGGGGCTTCGGGCTTTATGCGGCGGAAGAAGTTATTCATGCCTTTGCGGAGCTTGTCGTGGTAGCCAGGAACATCTCCACTATACAGTGTCAGCTTTGAATGCTCGTATGTGGTAAGAAAAGTCACGAACCTGTAATGGATCTCGTCAAGAGACATGCCAAGCTTATCTTGAAGACGCCAGAAACCTGCCAGCAATACCGCACCAGCGAGAAGATACATCTGACCATCCTCTTTCTCAAACATAATGGCCAAATCATCCTGTACCATACGCGCAGCCATCTGCATAGGGTCCTCGCGGTTACCGTTCATAGTCAACACATCTTTTCTGATATCGAAAATCTCGTTTGCGAACAAGTTGATCATCCCGTGTTCCGTCTTACGGAACATGCTTGGATAACGTTCCGGAAGGTAGCCACAAAGCTCTTCGAGAAGTTCCACTGCGCCGTCAAAGACTTGTGGGCTGGGATCGGTGTGGAAACACTTGCTGCCACGTTCTTCAATACGACGCTTCTTGTCGGCGTGAAACCTCGGGTAGTGATTATCGAGCTCGATCCACTCATCCCAATTCATAGTGCGAAGACCCATTGTGATATTGTATTTGGGTCCATAACGAAAAGGGCGGTACGGTAGGGGCTTGGTCGTCTCGACTGACCAGTCTGGATAGGCAGCGGCCGTTGGCCTCTTGAAGTCGGATGGGATCCATACTGTATGTCATGTCAGAAATGAGACTCGATTGAACATATATCAGTACTTACCACCTGGTGGTCGTTCAGGTACCTTAAGCTTTGTAATAGTAGGCTTTTCCGGGTCTGGTGACCGTGAGGGCAGTCTAGACTCGTGTTTTGAACCAGCGACAGCACGCTGGATGAGATATACGAAAGCGACAAGGGCCAGTCCAAGATAGATAACAGGCTTCGCTTGCTGTAGATTTGAGATGTTCTGGATGTTGCTGATGCTATCCTGCAGTAAAGCTTGTAAGTCTCTCATGGTAATAGCACTATCCGATGTCAAATTCGCAAGACGACGACGATATGGATGGAGGCAGAACTCAAATTGGTAGTAGGCGGCATGATAATTATATGTATTCTTCGTCCTAGATGTTCTTGGTCGTGACGATAAGCCTTCCGAACCCCACAATGACCATCTTATCAGCCCCGGACTAAACATCCAAAAGGGGACACTGATATGGCCAGAGTGGGGCACATGCGTCGCGAACTCCCAGCGAAGACCTCATATTGAGAGCAGGTCGACACGCCGAATTTGAAAGTCGTTCTGACTTTCCCAAAACGCTGAATCAGGTGACTGGTATCAAAAATACAAACAAAATGGAAAGCCCTAGTTCATGGATTTCCTGCGGCGAAGTAGACAGTACTCGCCCCATTGACGACGGTACTTGGATGGAATGAAGTCCCAATCAGGCACCCAGCCGATGCGGCCGATTGTACCGGTCTTCGACGCATCCAGGAAGGGCTCACATGTCAGCTTCTCCCATGTATCTGTCTGGCTGATGTAATCAGGTTCCAGAGGAGAAGGCTCGGAGCTGGGGAAGGACGAGTCGACCATGAACGAACAGTGTGATAGTTGAGTCTGCTGAAAATTAGCCGGTGAAACGACAGATCAACGGAAGAGATAGACTTACATATTTGCTGGGGTCTTCTCTGTTCTCATCATTCATACCAGTGGGTGTAAGCCACGCACCAGGATACAGGCCGAAGCCCTGGTTAGCTTGACTGAAATCGCCTGGCAGCAGGCCACTGAACTCGCTCTTCACAAACTTGGCACGGACGCCTTCAGGCAGATGGAACGAAGAGGGGAAGCGATACCACTCCTTTCCAAGGCATACGTTGTCACCAGGTCTTGTGAGTCCAGGAAGACGCAGTGGCTTGTACACGCTTAAAGGAGCGTTGTAAGCGGTAACCATACCTAGAGTTCTCCATGCGCCAAAGTCGACGGCAGCAATGAAGCACAGAGAAGCAAAGAGCAATCTCAATTTGGCGGGGATCATGGCGATCAGAGAACGTGGATTAGAAGTACCGAGCCAGCTCAGAAGGATGTGAGATCCCATGGCAGCATTGAAACCTAACGCAGGATAGATGGGGTACATGAAGCGTTCCTCCTTGTGGGGCTGTAATGTGAAGATAGCCAGCCAGAGATAGAAGGGGGTCAAGAAGAAGACACCTCGTAAATACGACTGCTTGAAGATGGGTTGGCGCAAAACGAAGGTGTGAACAAAGTAAAGAGGCATAGCAGCAACAGCGATGACGAACCAGATGTTGAAGTTCAGCAGAAGGTTGCGAATGTAGAAGTGCCAGGGCTCAGTGCCATAGATATCAGGACCTTTGCCCTCACGAGCAGCAATAACATTGTACCAGACAATGTTGAAGGGTACAATAGCCACCTTTCTGTAGAAGAAAGCGTCGAGGCAGAACTGCAAGACAAGTACAATGGTGGAACGAACAGAACCATCAAGAATGCGATAGCAGAAGCTGATGAACTCTTCCTTGTCGGTAAAATAGGCGAGGACGAACTCCTCGAGCATGAAGGGCGCAATGAGAGCAGCAGCAAAAGGCCAGCCCAGGAAAGCACCGCCAATCATGCACATCATACCCTGGGCGGTACGCATACCTCCGCGCCAGTCCATAAAGGCAGCCATACCGAGGGCGGTCGTGTACATTGAAAATGTCGAAGGCAAGAAGGAGACGGAAGCGTGGAACATGCCAGGGCTTGTAAGCATGATAAGGAAGAAGAGCATGCCGAGTCTAGGGTTGAGTGTCCTCGAAATCTTCGTGTACAGTCTAGCTTCCGAAGCAGCGCAGACAGCACCTAGCATGATGCGCAAGAAGTAGAACTTCCATACTTTGGGCAGTCCCCAGATGGGGATAACGCGACGTAGGCCAATGACAAAGGCATGAAGAGTGACATAGGCCCAGCTACGAATGGCGTAGTCAGGAGAGTACTCCCACGTCTGCTTGCCGTAACCATCGGTCAAGTAGTGCGTGGGCTCGTAGTAGTTGTAGACCTCGTCGCAATCTTGTATAGGGAAGTAGAGAGCAGCCAGCGCATGAGCAGCTGCTAGGATGTAGAAGGTGATCAAGGGATTGAGGTATATCGGGTCGGCGATAGCGTCGAGAGGTTTTGTGAGGTCGGCAGGAAACATGTGAACCGGGCGTGCTTCTGCGGGAGCTGTTGGCGTCACGGGAAGAGCCTTGTTGTTTTGCAATTTCGCCGCCTTGCTGGCCGTCATGGTCGTCATAAATTGCCTACGCGCCGGACGCGACGGTGGAGGAGGTGATGGCATCGCTGTTGTCGAACGATTGGTGTTGAGAGGGAAGGAGCAAGAAGCAGCTCTCCACTAGCAATTGTCTGTCAATATTGAATCAATAGGGCTGAGCGCGCCATTGCGGGGGCGGGAGGGTCCGCGCTACATTGTACGGAGTAACGGAGATAAGGGCCGCATCAACCATCACTTTTAGGACCTGCAATTCGACATAATCCGACAACTCGACAAGAAACTGATTGTTTAGTTGGATAAGTCACTAGCACTTCGGACTCTGACGCGCTCATCTTAGTTTGTTAACGGAACCAGGCTGGATAGATGTTTGGACTCGATGTGCAGCCCACTCCTCTATCCTCTCCAGGCTTGTCCATCCTAGACCCAATCTGACTACATAATGCTCCCAAGTATCTCTATGGAACATCTCATTGACTTGTTTCTGGGGCATAGGGTAATAGGTGTAACGCTTGTTGTGAGCCTCATCCCTGCCCTCGAGCAGGACGTCCTCGTTCTCATTAGTCGCCTTCCACGCATCCCACTTGCCTGCGAAACATATTCCGTACGGCGAATAGTAATACTGTTGGTGCATATGCTCAAAACTCATAGGCCATTGGAAGAACTTCTGGGGCTTTGGTACCCCTTTCAATATATGATCAATCAGAGCATCTCCCAGCTCGTTGCTTCTGTTGCCTGGCAGCCAGGGCTCGTCTGGCAATTGTTTAGCCGGCTCCGTCATGTCTGGCTTCTCGAAATAAGCAAGGCTAAAGGCATGTGCGAACTCATGGACCAAAACACAAGCAAAGAGAAATCCTGTACGCCTGATGGCACAATCGAGATCGAATGGTCCGGGTTTGCGGTTCTGAGGTATCCCGGCCAAACCCATAAAGTCTTCGAAGTATTCCTCGTACGCGTTGTCCTGCGACCTAGTCTCGTAGTCCCGCAAGACGTTGTAGTACATCCAACCTATGGCGATATCTGACTTGCGAGTGAGACTAAGCTTCGTCAGTATCTCTAGAAATGGGCATGTAATGGACTACTACTCACGGGCCAGAGGCGGGATCATATTTTTTATTCGTACCGTAACGTATGTCGGTACATGCCACAGCACTGTTCTTCATCATGACTCCCTCATCTTCCCAGTAGAAGCTGGTATACTTGCGCATGTCAGCCATTTTGTCATAGGTGGCCTTCAGCTCGGAGTCGGTCAAAGTGCCAGACAATTTCAGTCTCCTGTACGGGCCTAGCTTGGAATCTACAAGAGTATCCCACCGATCTGGAGATGAAATTGCGTGGAAAACCTGCAACGTAATCGGGTCGTCCAGGAATGCAGTCGCTAGGAGTAAAGGTGTTCTAATAGTCGCATACTGGGCATCGTCCATGTTCCGCCACATCTCCTTCCTAAACACTGGATGAATTTGCTCGTTCAAGTCTTTGGTGATATCTCTTAGATTGCGAGCATGTCGGCCGACAGGATCATCTTCCTCGGTTTCTTGGATTGGAACGTTGATGAAACCAGCTCTGTCTAGCAACTGCAAGCCCCATTTGTGGACCAGGTCATGCCAGTGTCTTGATTCACTAGAACTACCAAGGCGGTATTTCACGTCGAATTCGTCGTCGCTGAACTTTCCTCCAATAGGATCGGCTTTATTCAATTGTCTGATTTGGAAGCCCTTGCCGTCGGGATTGTCTGTCGCGCCGAAATTTTTCGCGTACAATTCCAAGTCCGGATCGACAAGAGTGTAGTTACCTTTCATTGCAATACTGCCCGGGAATTTGGGCGGGTATGGAATCTTGAAAGGTAGCCAGCCGTCGAAGATGCTGCCGTTGTTGACATCTGAGTCTTCCATGTCGACATCTGAGTCCTCCATTGCGTTCTTCGTGTATGCCACTGTATGTTTCAGCAGGGTACGTGTTTTTGAGGAAGTCTTGATATTCAAGACACGTTCGGAGAGTCGAAACCCTGCTCGAATATGGAAGTGACTCCAACCGCATGCGGTGGAGGTAACAAAGAAAAGGTGCCTGAGTAGGACCCGAGAGCATAAGCTCTCGAGCGCGTGGTCGAAGGTAGATCGAACAATGAATGCAACACCATTTTCGCGGAACCCATACCTCCTTTGAGCAGTGCGTCAGGAATTGTGATACGATCAAGAAGAATGGATGAAACAGAAGCACGAATGAGAAGGAGCGGACTCCGAAGCATGCTTGGCATGGACGGGCGTGGGGGCGCGGAGAAGCATGGCGCTAAGCGTAACGCCGTCACAAAGTCCGAGTAAATCTCATCTTTTTCTCCTGCGCAAAGAAAACACCGTCATCATCTTCTCACAAGCAATCGATGTTTGAGACGAGTCCAAGACCGAACAAGCGTGCCCGTCTGTCTCCTTCGCCTACCATGTCGAATTCTGCTCCAGTCGACGATGTAGACGACATCTACGGCACTCCATCTGCCAACAACACTCCAGCTCTCCAGACGGCCCAAGCAACCAGCTACATCGATGCGAAGCAACAACCCTCAGTTCACTCTCCCAGCGCCGGCATCCCTGGTCTGGGCTCTTTTCCTCCCGCCGCTCCTCTGATCATCTCCCAACCCCAACCCGATCAAGTCCAACACGCCGCACAAGTTAAGACTGAAGAGAAGGAAGACAAGGTCACCGAAGCTGCTATCGAACAACCTGCCACCGCCGCTGCCGAAGATGCCGCACCCATCGTCGCCCAAGCCGCCATTCCCGATGCTACCTCGGCACTCTTTGACGCTCTTGGTAACAATGACGAACTGAACAAGAACCTTCCTGCCCACGCCGCCGGCGAGCCCGAACCCACCTCTTCATCTACCCTCGCTGCCGAGCCCGCTGCTGCCGAGCCCGTTGCCGCCTCGACGTCAACAAAGCCTCCCATTGATCGGGAGTTCATCGAAGCTGCTCAGGCGCAAAAAGGTGCCGAGGGTGCTGAATGGCAATACGACACATCTGACGCAGAGTCCTCGGACGATTCTTCCAGTGATGACTCCTCCAGCGATGAGGATGATAGTGACGATGAAGATTACCCGCTGCTTGACCCCGCCACTGCCGCCAGGATGCTCATGGACGAGGGTGGTGCCGACGATGAGGATGGTGGTAACAAGGCTGCTGGTGGAGGCCACCTTCGCACCAAGAACGAGCTGCCAGAAGAGATCGTCCCTAAGCCCGATGTCACTGTCACCCCCGATATGAAGATCACACCCCTGGGTGCCGTTCAGCACGTTGTCGAACACATGATTCTCATCAAAGCCTTCACGTCTGGAGAGTACCAGGTACTCGAGTCTGGTTCTGTCTTGTGCTTGGAGAACCGCGAGGTCATCGGCATCGTTGCTGATCTTATTGGCAGGGTCGAGGAACCCTTGTACTCTGTTGCTTTTACCAGACCTTCGGATATCTCAGATCTCGGCATCGCAACAAACACGAAGATCTTTTATGTCGACGATCACTCCACATACGTTTTCACCCAACCTTTGAAGAACATGAAGGGTACTGACGCCTCTAATCTGCACGACGAGGAGGTCGCAGATGAAGAGATGGAGTTCTCTGACGACGAGGCCGAGGCCGCCTACAAGAGAGCCAAAAAGGAAGCAAAGAAGGGCGCAAGAGCTGCCCGCGACCAGCCTAGTCAGGGTCCCGCTGCTGCAACAGCAAAGCCCTACACTGGTGGTGCCATGAACTACGACGATGAGCCTGAAGCTGAGGATATGTACACTCCTCTTGCCCGTCCTGATAACCTTCAAGACATGATGGTGAACGCACCGCCAGCTCGCCGCCAGTTTGCCGAACGCGGTGGTAGAGGACGTGGTAGAGGCCGTGGAGGAGACAGAGGCCGTGGAGATCGTGGCAGAGGCGGTCGTGGTGGTCGCGGCGGAGCTGACAGCGCAAACCAGCGCAAGGGCCCGTCCAACTCATACCCTGACACACACAACGCTGGTGCGCAATCATACACCCAGCAATCTCTCCCGCAAAAGCCTGCCGTGCCCCAGCAAATGCAGCAGATGCAGCAGATGCCGCAGATGCAACAGATGTGGAACCAGGTCCAGCCGCAGATGAACGCACCATTTGGATTCCCCCAGTTCAACCAGCAGCAGTTCCCCCCTCCACCTCCTGTCCCTCAAACTCAGTCGCCTTTCCAGAACATGCAGTTCGGATGGCCACCTAACCCTCAATTCTTCAATCAGGGTCAGCAACAGCAGCCTTACCAGTTCCCTGGAACATCTGCAGGAACATACTTCAACCCAGCATTCTTCCAGCAACAACAGCAGCAGCAGCAGCAGCAAGCCCCCCCAGCACCTGCTCAATCTGCCCCTCAGCCTCCTCCTTCAGCTGAGCAGATCCAGAATGCCGCCGATCTCTTCCGCAGGCTCCAAGAGCAACAGCAGCAGCAGCAGCAGCAACAGTAGTATGGTTGGTAGCCGTCTGTAGCACGAGTCCATGGTAGGACACTTTCAATACCAAGAAAACTACCATATCGTACCCATAATACCAAGAAGTTCACGATAATCATCCATTCTTCTCTTATCACCAGGGCGCAGCAATTAATAGCGGTTGTGAATCATGTTGTTTGTCGCAGGAATCTGTTGAGGCTTGGAAGGATGAAACCCAAGATGTTGGTCAACCAGAAAATAGGAGAAGATGGAAAGGGGAAAAGAACAGTTTCGTAAGTCGCTTCAGATTCACCGAAGATCGGCATGTAGATAGAGAAGTGGAAGGCCTACAAGACGACCTTCTTTTTACCAAACCAAAACTGTAATACATAAAACGCCATGTCTCCCACCCAGGGGCCAGGGCATGTCGGGGTGCATTCTCGGGACCGTGAGATCCTCTGCGGGCGTGGCGCGAGTGTCCACCCCCGGCAACTCAAAAGACTCGTGGCGCTTCTGACACGCGAGTCGCTGTCGTTCAGCGAACCCGAGAACACAGGCAGAAGGCGGTTAAAGCCGGCGCGACGACCCTTGTCCTCGGATTTGGCTTTCTGCTTTCTACTTGCTTATCTTTGCAGACTCCCGGTCGAATCATGGCGTTTCTTTCATCTCAGCAAGCCACAAGATAGCGACTTGCTGCATCTCTGCATATAAAGGTGTATCTTCCTGTAAGAGGCTTTGCAATAACTCGATGCCAATCCACTTGGCGATGTGCTCCGCCCCGTGCAAGAAACACGGCATATCGTCAACGGATTCACATGTCACAGATGTGTGAGTGTTGGTCTGGTTTGGCTCACAAGCCGTTGCTGTAGTGCTTTTTGGGTGAAAGATAAGAAGTTCGCACGGCCAATCAGAACCCCGGAGAACAGACCTCTTGTCAAGCTTCTCGAACTCACAGGGCGCATCGCTAGCTCGAACAGGCAAGGACTAGCCAAGTGATAAGCTCTTCCGAGTTCGGCGATACTACTCTGACGACTCTGACTGGACGACGTTCGTTGTTATCAAGCACTGTTGCGATGGACACATTGTGTTGCTAATAATCATCCACTGTCCCTCTATTTGCAAAACCAAGCATTGCATCCAAGGAGCGCCATACCGTCATGTATTCTGCATGTGTCTCGTCGTGGATACGCGAACTGGTGAGGCAAGCAACACCGAAAAGTCATGGCCAACAAGCGATTGAGCGCGATGATGGTCGTCCAAGGCTTCGAATCGGGCCTGTGGGTGGCAAAACCAGCAAATCACAGCCGGCCCTTTCTAACATCATGATCAAGTCACACTGCTTTTACTACTACCTTGTGGGGTTGTTGATGGTTGACCAAGCAAGTCAGGTAAGCAAGGTTTTTCGGTTGTCTTGTCACGGAGATCCAGGGCACAAAAAAGCAGTGGTTTTATGGCTTGCAGTGCCAAAATAACCCGTTGCGCGCGGTTCGCTGATAAGGCCAGCCCGCTTCCGCAAGAATTTCAGTTTCGATGGGCAGATCGTTTGACGTACAATAAACCCTTCGATTGTCACCTTTAAGTGTGGCCCGTTTCCCTCCGTAAGTTGGGACTCTTCAAGAGAGCCAGATCCCGACCCTCGGGCCCCATTATTTTATCCTCATCCCATCAGTCCGTCAGTGCACATCGCCCGTTGTTGCCGCGTGCTGAGCCAGTGACGGTTGTTAGAAGACCTCTTTATATATCCTCTTGCTTCCCCCAACCTTCCCCAGCAGTTGTTTGCATATCCGTGTGTCCATCTTTCCACCTTTCAATCTATTCGCCCTATTCCACCTCTTCTGTGGAGTATTATTTAACCCTCTGGAGCAACGACTTCACTGGCATTGACATCAAGGACTTCTCTATTCTTTCCACGAGCGCCATCGCTCGACCTTCATATCAACAATGTCTTACTCCTGGGTCGGCGCACCCACCGAATTCAATGGCACATCTCCGTTGGGTGGTGATTCCAGTAAGTTATACTAGACTCATCTCGACATGGTATCCAGAGCATTGTCTGACCTCATCCGCTCGTAGCCAACGAAAACTTGAACCAATGGTACCAATCTGGTGACCAGGCCTACATTCTTATCGCCTCGGCTATGGTGTTGATCATGATTCCGGGTCTTGGGTTCCTCTACTCTGGTCTCGCACGCAGAAAGTCAGCGCTCAGTATGATCTGGGCGTGTATGGCTTCGTGTTCAGTCATCACCTTCCAATGGTACTTCTGGGGATACTCTCTGGCTTTCTCAGACTACGCAACCAACGGCTTCATTGGCGACTTGCAAAAGTTTGGTCTCATGAAGACTCTTGGTGCTCCCTCTCCCGGCTCGCCTCTGATTCCTGAGCTTCTCTACGCATTCTACCAGGTACGCTTTCGTTATATTAACCGTGTTACCGATAGACTTTCTAACAATCTGACAGATGCAATTCTGCGCCGTTACCGCCGCTATTGTTGTTGGCGCCGTCGCTGAGCGTGGTCGCCTGATTCCTTGCATGGTCTTCATCTTCTTCTGGGCCACTCTCGTCTACTGCCCCGTCGCATGCTGGGTTTGGGGTGCCAACGGATGGGCCTTCTCCTGGGGTGTTCTCGACTACGCTGGTGGTGGTCCCGTCGAAATCGTCTCGGGTATGTCTGCCCTCGCCTACTCGATGATTCTCGGAAGACGTCAAGAGAAGATGATGCTCAACTTCCGTCCCCACAACGTCTCTCTCATCACCCTCGGTACCGTCTTCCTCTGGTTCGGTTGGTTGGGCTTCAACGGTGGTTCTGCTTTCGGTGCCAACCTTCGCGCTACCATGGCTTGCTGGAACTCCAACTTGACCGCCATGTTTGCTGCTATTGCTTGGGTTGTTCTTGATTGGAGACTTGCTCGCAAGTGGTCCATGGTCGGTTGGTGTTCCGGTACCATCTCAGGTCTCGTCGCTGCCACTCCCGCTTCCGGTTTCATCACTCCCTGGGCCTCCGTCGTTCTCGGTATCACCACTGGTATCGTGTGCAACTTTGCAACCAAGATCAAGTTCTGGATCCGTATTGATGACGCTATGGATGTGTTCGCTGAGCACGGTGTCGCTGGTATGGTTGGTCTCTTCTTCAACGGTATTTTCGCCGCTTCCTACATTATCGGTCTCGATGGTGTCAACAACGGTATCGACGGTGGTTGGATCCAGCACAACTGGAAGCAGCTTTACATGCAAATTGCCTACATCGCCGCTGTCACCGCCTACTCTTTCGTTATCAGCGCTGCCATCGCCTTTGTTATCAACAAGATTCCTGGACTCCACCTTCGCGCTTCTGAGGAGGCTGAGCTTCTCGGTATGGATGATGACCAGCTCGGCGAGTTCGCCTACGATTACGTTGAGGTTCGCCGTGACTACCTCGCCTGGACTCCCGCCCGCGACCAGCCTGAGACCGCCGACCACCAGATCCCTCAGGGTGACCGCCACGGTATCCCGCAACACTCGCAAATGCTCGAGGGCAAAGCTCCCAGCGAGAGCGACAGCCAAGGAAACGAGCACACCGGTATTGGTGGTGACCGCCACGCAGTCGCCTACGAGAAGGCAGAGCGTGAACAGCGCACTTTGGACGGTTAAACAACCCCCTCTGCCTTTCTTCTTAACGACCTCTTGTTTTTCATGTTTTGCGACAAAGATCTTTGCGTTCTAGGGGTTTCTGAACAAAAGTCTACGTTTATTAGACCGACGCTGGTCCTCGGTGCACCAATCTTGTTAGAACTATCCTATTTTTTTGTTTCCGGGGAGCGGGTTTTGTTGAAGAGTTGGGATATTTGTTGCGCGATACCACCACCATATTGTTTTTCTCATTCTATTTGTATATCTTTCTATACTTCGATCTACTATACCCGATGGTAATACACCTATTTTGGATCAATATGTTGTTCCTTCCTCACCTGTGATTTTGCTCGATCGCTCCTTCTCAACGTTCACGTGTCATTCGAAATATTTTCGTCTTCCACCTTTGAAGGCTGCGAAAACTGATGTATCGCTCCGTCGGCCGAAAGCTCGACCTTGATTGCGACAATACATTATCAAATACGCTTGACTGACAGACCACCACACCCTTCTACTGACCATATTCTATCCGTTTCCACCAATAGACGACTGCGTCTTGTGTCCCTCAACGCATGTCAGGATTTGAAGAGATCTTGTTAGCGGCATGATGCGATCATCGGTATACAAGATTTGCCGGGATCAAGTAATCTGAAGCTTGTGATTGGACAATGCCCCCAGCCACAGAGCCTCAAGCCCCGCTCCGCGAAAGCTAGGTTAGCTCGTCTCCGAATAGGGTAGGTACCGTAGTGTGGTGCCAATCAAGGATATCAAGATCGTGGAATCGTGATAGCACGCAAAAAGCTCGTGTTTGGATATGTAAGCAGGCGTCTTCCTCTGCATCCACGACCTTTTCAACTCGCTCTGCTCACAAGACACGACATACCATTGTTACTTCCGCCTCCTCCTCGGAACTTTCGGTGTTACACGACGCTAGAGAAGGAATCGTACAAGATGTCGGAATCGGAGGCTCAGAGAAGCGGCATGGGCGAGCAGGAGCCCTTGCTCGGAAGGGCTGGTGATGCATCGCAGCAGGATGGTCTGCCGCTATACCACAACCTTGTCATTGGTATGACATCCTCTGCGTCGATTGCGTATCGGATCGCTACTCACACAGAATCTAGGCACCGGAGTTATTGCACAAGCTGGATCCTGGATCCTCGTCGCCATCGTTTGGGGCGCAGTCTTTTCCAACCCTGTTATACTCTTCTCGGCGCATCCTGTAAGGCTTCTCGATTCCAAGACTTGGGCTATGCTAACAAGACTGTTCTGTAGTTGCTCAACTCCGCCGCAATCCTACTCTTCACCCAAGGCGTCCTCATCCTCCAACCCACACACATTGCTAAGCAGAAGAAGCACGGTACCTGGGCCCACGCCGGACTCAACGATCTTGCCCTTTCAGCTGGTATCGCTGGTCTTGTCGTCATTGAGTACAACAAGATTGCCCACAATGGCACACACTTTGTATCGCCTCACGCCATTCTGGGTCTGATCACCTACATTCTCATCCTCATCCAAGGTCTCATTGGCTTCACACAATACTTTGTGCCTCAGATCTATGGCGGCGAGGAGAATGCTAAGAAGCTGTACAAGTATCACCGTGTGAGCGGATACTTCATCTTTTTGATGTTGCTCGCAACTGTCGCCGCTGCCACACAGACAGACTACAACAAGAATGTGCTGAAGATCAAGCTCTGGGCTGTGATTGTCGCGGCCGTCATCACCTTGATTGGTGTTTTGCCCAGAGTCAAGAAGCAGAAGTTTGGCTGGTTGGCTGGACAATAGAGAACAAACGGTATGCAAGGACGAGCATGAACATGTGTGTGGTGAACGGAAGGGTCTTTCGGAAAGCCAAAGATAGTTTCGGAATACGATATCAGGGGAACAGGTGGAGAAGCACGCACAGAGAAGGGATATAAGTGGAGCTTGGGATGGCCAGGAGAAGGAGAGAAGAAAGAGAAGCAGGCTCTTGTGGAGCTGTGGACGCGTGAGCGTAAAGCACGATTGCGCAAGGCTGCTTCGGACTTTGATGCATATGCATATATGCGCTGCACACAAATTGATGATGAAATGTCCGTATGACCTATGGTATGACAGTCTGTTGAGTAGATTCCAACGAGAATTGCAAGTCACACAGACGACCGTTGTGATCAAAAATAGGACTAAAGCAATGGGTGCAGAGCAAGTGCAGGAAACGGGGGTTGGTGTTGGTGTTAGGTTTAGGATAGCGTTACACAGCGGCTTTCGTTCAGGGGTTGCGGATCTGCAAGAGGTCTCGGCCGGGTGATGAGGCAGGAGAAGAAGTCGCAGCACTTATAAGCAGAGCAGACCCGGCGGACGCGAAGATGGCGACAGTATATTGATCTTCGTGCGCAGCCAGCAAGCGAATCAGCACTTCCAAGGTTCAGTTCATTGCTCATCTCGGGTTACGCTTCTCCAGAGTCGCTTGTCCTCCAAACGGCCAGTGCTCCACCAAGGGACTTGGTTGTTGATCTCTCGACCAGCGGCGCATACGTACTGACTGCTCGCCTTGCCAATTTTCTTTCAATCGTCACTTTTTCTCGCCGAAGATATAAAGAATTGATGAGCAGCAGCACACACGCATGCGATTGACGACGAGTTTCGAGCGCGCTCGATTGATCCCAGCGCGAGCCTCTACTATATTTACGAAACACGAGCAAGCGCAGGGGCAACCCGAAATCCGACCATAATGGCCCACAACACAATGCATGAAACACCACCACTCCACACCTCGGGGTCTAGCAACGACCTCAAGCGCGATTCTGGCATAGCGAAAGCCACCCTGACTTCTTCGCCGAGTGTGCCGTCCATTATCGTTCATGATGCCATCACCGCCTCGCCGCCCAACAAGACGACCAAACGGACTCCTCCTTTTCTGCGCCGCAAGTCAAAACCCATTGACGAAGACGACGCCGACGTAGGCGAAAGCGAAGAGGATTTCAGCGAGCAGCCCGAATTACCTCGCTCCAACAGCGCCCACTCACGCATTCGTTCTTTCCACGGCATCGACATGGAGATCCCCACGACGAGCGGCTTCGACGAGCTCACATCGCCCGACTCGTTCAAATTCTCAACGCGCGGTAGCATCCTGTTGAATTCAAAGAAGCTGGCGAATATGATGCGAGCACACGACGGCGACATGACCGATGGCGATGCCACCGACAACGATTTCCACACAGCCCCCAATTCGCCCACCTTCTCCCCTCCCATGCAAGCGCCCCCGTCTCCTCCCCTTTCTCCCACGCCGACCTCCCCGAAGCCGAATCCGAAACGCCTGACGACTGGCCCACGAACACCGAGTGTACACATGCTCAATGCAGTTCTCGACGGTCGTCGCGTGCTATCGGCTGAAGAGAGGACCTTCTCCCACAAGGTCAGGTCCATGTACAAATATGGCGATGAAAGAGCCGCGGATTGGAACATACCCATGGAGCGAGAAGAGACTCCCGAGCCACCAGCAGGCGTGTCTCGCTCGCTCACAAACCCCCGTCGCAGACCCGTTACAAGTCGAAGCGCGAGGCCTCAAGATCCTCACGATAGATTCAGCTTCATCCAAAACGAGCACGAGTGCGCTGGTGGTGTTGAGGATTGGGAAGATCTGTCTGGCAAGGACGTTGATCGTTATGGCTTCATCAACCCGACCAAATTTATTTCGACGGAAGGCCCACAGAACGGATCTGTGAAGCCTAGTTTACAGCGCGTCACCACATCTCTACAACTTTTATCCAGCAGTCCGCGCCGGCGCAGAGGCTTGATTAGAGGTCCCTCCACTGCCAGATCTTCGCGCTCTCTCCCACCTCCTACTCGCACAAATACCCGCACCACCGTCGCTTCCTCTCCTTCTGGCCACGCTGCCTCCATCTACTCGTTCCAATCAGGTCACTCACAACATCGTTCCCACAACCCTTTCCGCTCACGCGATCGCAAACTACTCGATGAGGCGAGCGATATGCTCACACTACCCGCATGCCTCGACAACCTCGCCGAAGAAGATGCCCACGAGAACTTCCTGAGGAGGCGTGAAATCCAGCGCGAAGAGAAGTGGCGTAAGATGGCTCGTTTGATGCCTCAAGGCTTGAGAGGTGGCGGCATGAACTTCGATTTTGATGTCACAGATCCGAAGCTTGTAGCGCGTACTTGGAAGGGCGTACCTGACAAGTGGCGTGCCACTGCATGGCATGCTTTCCTGTCTGCCTCGGCTAAGCGTCGAGGAGGCTGTCAAACCGATGATGAACTTATTGAAATCTTCCACGAATTGCAAGAAGAAAGCTCTGCCGATGATGTGCAGATTGATGTTGATGTTCCCAGAACAATCAGTATGCACATCATGTTCCGTCGCAGGTACCGAGGAGGCCAGCGCTTGTTGTTCCGTGTCCTGCACGCCATCTCAGTACATTTCCCATCTACCGGATACGTTCAAGGCATGGCTTCTCTAGCCGCAACTCTTCTCTGCTACTACGATGAAGAACACACCTTCATCATGCTCGTCCGCATGTGGGAACTGCGCGGTCTCAAAGTCCTCTACGAACACGGTTTCTCAGGCCTCATGACGACCCTCAAAGAGTTTGAAAACGACTGGCTTGCCAACGACCCAGACCTCAAGGCCAAACTCGACGACTTCGGCATCGATGCCATGACCTACGGTACAAAATGGTACCTCACCCTATTCAACCTCAGCATGCCTTTTCCAGCACAACTACGCGTCTGGGACGTATTTATGTTGTTGGGTGATGCGGATTTCCCTGGCAACCCTCCACCTACTCGCGAAAGCAAAGCTACCTTTGACGGGGCCGATTTGAGTGTTCTACATGCGACTAGTGCGGCGCTTGTGGATGCTACTAAATCACTCATCGTCGACGGCGACTTCGAAAATGCAATGAAGGTGCTCACTAGCTGGGTGCCTGTGAGAGATGAAGACATGCTCATGCGTGTCGCAAAAGCGGAGTGGAAGATTCATATGAAGAATCGAAGACATGCCTCTTCTTGATCTCTTTACCTCACAACCACTCGTGGAGTTTTTCTTTTGGTTTTCTTCAGTTTTTTTCTTCTGGTCTTCGTCTTCTTCATATACCCCCTTCTTGCGACGACGCTATAGAGCTCCAGCGTCGCTTTTTCTTCTTGGTCTCTGTTATTCTCTCTTGTTTCTTTTCGACAATCACCTATTCTACAGATACCTTGCATCCACATCTCTTTTGTTTGAAGCTATACCCCCTCCCTTTATCATGGATAGGCACCTTTTGTTTTCTTTCCCTTGGTTTTCCTTTTTACAGCGGACAACGCCCTTAGCGGGTATCTCATTGTTCTTTTTTTTCCTACCTCTTCTGTAATTTTATCTTGTGTTATGGCGGTGGTTTGGAATCGGGGATAGGTGGTTTTTGTTGGCAAGATATACCACATCAACATCAGAAATTCATATGTTTGACAATGTTATTTCTTGAGTCTACTGTATATCTGTTTCATGCGGGATGTTTATGTGGATCTGATGTCTTGATCTCCACATCATCTTTGAAGCATGGACGGGTGTGATTGAAAAAATGGCAGCTGAGAGCACAGCAGATGAGCTTGCCTTGGGTCCGCTCCCAGAACAAATTGGGGTGGTACGTGTCTTCTTGGGTGATTGGTAGGTCTTCGGTAACTCACATTGACTTTATAGCTCTCTGTTCGAAAGGTCATGGCATGTGAAAAGCGTGTGTGTTGATTTGATTGATCGTTTTCTGCGTCCTCAACTTGATGTGTCATGACTTTCGTAACTTCCGGCGAAGAGATCTCGTAGTTGACTTGCAAATTATCCCTCCGTGCTGTCCATGGCTCCTTCTTTTTCCCCTTCCCAACTTCCTTAAACCAATCCCATCCATCCCAATACTGCAGCAAATCCATTCAGAGCAGCTAGTCCAGCAGCAAGTCCCATGCCAACACCTCTTCCAGGTGCATCGTTAACCACGAGAACAAGCCCACAAGCCGCAGCAGCAGTCGTAGGCAAATTATCTCCTTTGGCAAACAGCGTGCTACAAATCGTTGGCGCCGGGCCAGTGACATATTGCGTTGCCGTCGTGGTAGTGGTGACAGTGTACGCCGGCCCAATCAATCCCGTCGCCGTAGTTCCCGACTCTACACCTTATAATCAGCACACCTTCTTTCCTGTCATCATCATCGGGATAGAGGAATCACTCACGCGTCCACCAAGTAGTAGCAGTAGCTGACGGCACCCACACAGTCGTATAAGGCACCACCGGCTCACCATCACAAACCGCATTATCCGCACAACAGCCGATATGATTTTCTGGACCTCCGTAAGCGCAGTAGGTGCCAGCGCCACAGCAGTAGTTTGGGCCAGAGATGCTTTGGCAGTTTATGTATGCGTATTGGGGGCATATTCCTGTGCTGTCTTGGAGGAGGACGGCGGGGGACCAGCCGTAGTTTGAGCGCGTGTCGAGGGGGTTGGGTGTGCGGTTGAGTGGGAAGGATGTTTGTTGGGGTAGGGTTGAGGCGAGAGTTGTGGTGAAGGTGATGGCGAGGAGGAGTAGTGTGGTGAGTAGTTGGCGCGCCATCTCTTGTTGTGATGTTCTGATTTTGTGGTTGGTTGGTTGATAAAGATGCGAATGTTTCGATGTCGCAGAGAAGCGCAAAGATTTTCAAGTCGTTCAAGTCTGTTGATCCAAGTCCGGAGTCGTGAAACTCAATGTGGTAAAGGAGTCTGCAGTGAATGGTGAAAGTCCAATATCGTGAATCCAGAAAGTGACGCCCAAATAGTGATGCTGAATTAATTGCTGCCCGATCGTATGTACAAGTGCAAATAAAGTGAAGTAGAGATGGGAAAAGTAGGAAATGCAGGGAAGTCTTGTTTATCGTGCACTCTGAGGTAAATCACTTACTTGGCCCACCAGAAAAAAAGCAGGATCAAAGAATTGGGGTGGTTGGTATGCACTCTATGGGAGACGCGAGTCGTGGGGCTTGGAGGATGTCTTGTCATCTCGCCCGACCTTGAGTGCATCACTGATCACTGACGATCTCACATGATAAGAAGTTTGACCTGGAGCAGTACTCATAGAACTCGCTAGAAGCGGGCTCTGGCTCTGGGAATCTATACCTACAGTTATCGCGTTCATAGAGAAGGAGCGATGGACAGCATGAGAGGAGGTTGGGAGTCTTGTCTCGCTTGCAAAATTCCTGGGGCCAACCACACCATCAACAAAGAACTGGCGATTCAGATCTGCCTCTATCTGAACCCTTTCACGGTCACTATAACTCAGCTGATGGACTGAATGTAGCATGAGAAGCAGATGGAATGTTCTCGAACCTGCACTAAACGTACAAGGTACATTCGGACAACAAAACCGGGCACCGTAGCAAACCTCATCCCTACGTTTGCTTATTCATAATACCGTAAAGTAGCCATGCTTTCTACTTGGACGTGAGTATACGTATTACTCCTAAGCTGGGTGTGCGAGACTTTTAGTCTTCTACATTTGCTCGTTGCCGTAGGTAGGAGTTAATATCGTTCTTACTCTAACCCAAGTAATCTCCTCTTACGGAGATCGCATAGCAACAATCTAGAGTCTCGTTCGTAGCCCGATTCACGTTCCTAGGTACCATAAGATAGCAGCCAGGCAACTAACATGACTTCTACTCCTTAATACACGCAGCAAACATCTCTCCATCTACCCCTCGTAGCACGATAAAGTCTCCATCGTTCCTACGTCAACGCAAGTTGCCGCCCCGTAGCTACTCCTTACAAACAAGAGCAACAGTAAGCCAGCACCACGTTCGGAGCCCGAGTCGCGTATTCGAGCATCGACGCTCGTATTGTGGCAGCCAAAGAGCAGCGAGATAATATCACAGTAGTGCGGACGTCGATACCGGCATCGCCCTCGATCTGGATGGTAGATTCATGAGAGAGCAGGAGGGCAAATCGCGAGAGGTAGAATGTATACTCTGCCGGTGGTGATTTCGCTAGAAGTGAGTTTGTCGTCATCGATGATTATGTCTTGTGTGTGTGCGGTGCATTTCTTTGATTTTGACTTCAGTTTGTATGAAAAGATACATCGCATGCGGCGGAAAACCTCGTGATGATACTTACCGAAAAGACCGGGTGAGTCGTCGCGAACACGAGAGGATCACTGCAATGATGGGATGGTGGAGGACAGAGGAAATGTTGTAATTAGAGTTCGAGGGATATCAATCAAAGCAAACAAGTGCTTCTTGCTCAACATTGTAAGGTTGTGCATGGTTGCTCCGAGGACAAAACAAAAATGATATTGATAAGAAAATGAAACTTGAACTAGAAGCATCAATACCTCAGCTATAATCTTGATCTCCAAAAGAGTACTGACTCCAGAGTTCCACTTATATGAAGCCGGAAGACTTCAGGGGGTTGTCAGGGTCAGGCCCCGGAGTGCGGTGTACAGCCCACTCGCGGTGTGCCTTGAATTTGAGCGCCCCGATACCATTTCTCAACACATCGTTATTCCATTTCTCCTCGTCGAACATGTCGACAACTTGTTGCTGTGATATGGGATAAAAGGTCATCGGCGCGGTAAGGTCATCTTGTTTGCCTTGTTCCAACAAGCCTTCGTCCGGCTTGGTTTTGGTTGACCATTGCTTCCACTTTCTTGGAAAGTGAAGCCCAAAAGGTGCATAATAACACTGTGCGTATCCTTCCTCAGGAGTGTTGAAATCTTTATGACGAAATACAGTTGAAGTTGGTACGCCACCGAAAATGGCGTCGGTGAAAGCAAGGCCGAGCTCGTTACTTCTGTTGTCTGCTAGCCATGGTTCGCGTGCCCAAGTGGTTGGTGGTCTCTCTGGTGGTCTTGCAACGTAGGCTTTGCAGAAAGCATGGGCGAATTCGTGGAGCAGATATGATGCAAACATGAGGGTGGCGCGTAGTGCAGCCGAGTCCAAATCGATTTTACGAGGTCTGCGGTTCTCGGGTACGCCGGCATTGTCCAAGATTCCATCGAAATACGCCTCGAACGTCGAATCTGTAGACCTGTTCTTGTATCGTTCCATGACTTCGAGATAGACTCGGCTTATGCAAATAGATGACTTAGTGGTGTTGCTGGACATAATCAGTACGTCTTTGAACGTAGGTTGGCTGCTGGTGTACTACTTACGGGCCTGTCGCAACCGGCCTACCAAGCTGGGGCTTGGTGTATGCCACTGCACCATACTTGTTCAGGTTGTCAAAGGTTTCCCAACAAATGGACATATATTGTCTCATCATACATATCTTGTGGTAGGTATCTATTTGCTGGTCATCGTTCAAAGTGGCCGGGACGTCCAATCTTTTACACCAGCCTAGCTTGGGGTCCAGAAATGTTGTCATCTGATCTGCTGGTACTGCCATTGCATGAAAAAGACACAATGTGGTAGGGTCGTCTAGGAAAGCGCTTGCTAAAATCAGAGCAGGTCTCATCAGGTCGTAATCTGTATCGGTCGTCTTATGCCATAGGTCCTTCCAAAACACCGGATGGATACGCTGGTCCGGGAGCCTTTGAGGATTCGTAACCTCAGCAGCAAATTTGCCGAAGGGGCTCATATACCAATCATCGGCAAGAAGCACATCGACATTGAGAAACCCAGCTCTTTCCAGCATTTGCAAGCCCCATTTGTGGACCACTTCAGACCAGCCCATGGATTTTCATGGCGGGCCTAGCCGGTATTGTATAGGGAAATCGTTCATCAGGATCTATCGGTCGAACTTCGAAGCTATTCCCGTCAGGATTTTCTCTTGCGCCGAATTCTCTCGCCGTATTTCTCAGATTGCCATCAGGAAATTTCGGCGCGTGAGGGATGGAAAATGTACTCGAGCCGGCATTAGTACCGCCCATGCTCACATCTGGATGGGCCATCTTGTCGCAGTATCAGCGCTCGCAAGGTGCTTCTTCGTGTGTGTGGTTCGGGATTGGGTATTGCTGGTCTCGATGTTGGAGGAAGACAGGATACGGGGTTTCATAGGCTAAAAGCGACACCACCCGCATGCGGAAGTCACAGCGACGAAGAAAATCCGCATGGACATCCTTAGGCCATCGATACGGGAAATTGGCTGGGATGCTGAGGAGAGTGGCTAGAAGAGAGTGTGTGTCAATTAGAGTCCAGAAGTACGTATAATTCAAAGCAGATAAATGCTTCTTGCTCGAATGGTCAAGGTAGAATTGCTTCATGGATAAGAAAGATGATGGCAATAGTAAGCGGATATTCAAAGTAAGAAGTAATGGTGCCATTTATTTCGACTGAAGTCTTCAAGTGGGTTTCATGGTATCGCTCATCTCAGAGTGTAGTTTCCAGTCTCACCGGGGACTAAATGAGCAGCCCACTCGGGTATCTTTGTCAGCTTGATCGCGTCCAACCCATACCTAGACACTTCATCCCAAGTCTGTTTGGCGTACATGCTTTGGATTTGCCTCTGCGCTATCGGATAGAATGTGCATGTCTTACCGTTGGCCTCGGCCGCACCCTCTGAAATCACTTGTTGGAATTTGCTGGTCTTGGCCCACATATCCCATGGTTCTCGGAAATGCATGCCGAATGGCACATAGTTCCACTGCTTGATAACCTCCGCAGAACTCATTGGTATACGATAAAGAGTATTCGATCCTGGTATTCCCCCCAAGATCTGGAGGACAACGGCGTGGCCAAGCTCGTTATTCCTGTTGTCTGCCAGCCATGGCTCATTCGGTTGCGCTGGCTTCGTGTCTGGCCGTTCGAAGTATGCTTTACAAAACGCGTGTGCAAATTCGTGGACCAGGGTAGCTGCGAACATGTATGCTGTACGCATCTGGGCCGAGATCAAGTCGAAATCTCTAGGCTTACGTTCATCGGCCACGCCGGCCATGTCGAGAATCTCTTCTGCAAATTGTGTGTCGAAGAACGGATACGCTTTGATAGGCATCAAGCTCATGACGTGAAGAATGTGATTGCTCATGTAAATGTCTGTCTTGCGAGTGAAACTTAAGATAGTCAGTAAACTGTTTGAACGAGCTATCGGGTATTCATGACTTACGGGCCTGAAGCAGGGATGTATCTTCTTTTCGCATCTAGACGTGGACTTGTCCACGCAATCGCGTGCACGGTATCTGGTCCTTCGTCGTCTGCCCAATTGAAGGTTGTGTATTCGCGCATCGCAACCATCTTGTCAAACACGGCCTTCTGCTCGATTTCGGATAGTGTGGCCGGAATTTGTACTCTTTGGCAATACCCAAGTTTTTCATCGCGAAAGAGAGTCATCTGACTGGAAGGAGTAGATATCGCATGGAAGAGGCACAATGTCTTGGGATCGTCGAGATATGCGGTTGCTAGAAGCAAGGCTGGCATTATCGCCGCGTATTGTAGTTGGGAAATGTTTGGCCACATGGCGCATCTGAACACTGGATGGACGTTTTCTCTCGACAAATCGTACTTTTGTCTCTCAGGTGCCCATTTGCCGTAAGGTGCCATGTACGAGACGGCTTCCTGTGTCGGATTGTTGATGAACCCGGCTGCATCTAGTAGTTTCAGGCCCCATTTTTGAATCGGCGGATCCCAACCATCAGGCCTGTCATCTGGAGCCCCTAGCTGATACTCGTAAGGCCAGTCTTCTTCAAAATACTTTCCCTCTCCAGAGGGATCATTAAAGTTGATGAGCCGCACGTCAAACCCATTCCCGCCGGGCTTAAATCTAGCACCGTAGTATTTCGCGTATATTTCCCAGTCAGCAGGCTCTGCGCTTCCATCACTGAATGTAATTGTATCGTCGAGAGCCGGCGGATAAGGTATACCGTAGGCAAGCAAGCCATCATCAGGTTCAACACCGCTCATGCTCACATCTGAATCGCCCATCTTGTCGTAATCCTAAACCGCACACAAAGTACTCGTTGTATATCCTGTAGTGTATGTTGAATTGGGAATTTGGTGAACTCGATGTTCGTGTCCAGGTAAAAGTAGATACAGCCGTATGCTGCGGAAGCAAGAGCACAAAGGAACGCCGGATCTTTTGCCGGCTAAGGTCCAGCCGGATCCGCTTGTCGATGGAACGAATACGTCGAGGAATGTAGTTGGACTCGGCCCGAGATGCCAAGAAAGGCTCACATTAAAACATGTGCTTCTGAGAAACTGGAGATTCTATTCATGTTTAGATCATCTAGTAGGAAAGCAAAGAGTGTTCAGGAAAATATAGAAAGGGGGTATGCTGCAAAGAAACCAGATGACCTTTCCTGTTGGACCCAAAATATGTACAATCGAAGAAGAAACGCTATTACTCCAGTTATGCAAAAGGTCATGGTCGTGCCTGAATTTGGTTCGGATAAAATAGGTTTTGGTGACGTTTATGAGATGCTGAAAGATTCTCCACAACCGCATTGTTCAGCTAGAAGATTTATTAGTATTACATCAAAAATTTGACATTGTTCCAAGTCAACTTACTAATGTTGGGGTTCTTGAAGATGAAGCGCTCGTTCAGCTTGTCTTCGAGCCAGTCCATCTCAGATCCAATGATGCTGAACAAGGCCTTGGAGTCGATAAGAACCTTGACACCATCCTGCTCAACAGTCTCATCAAAGGCTCCAGCCTTGTCCACGTATTCGAGGTGGTATGCTAGTCCGGAGCAGCCTCTGTTACGTACGCCGACACGGACCAGCTTTGCCTCGGGTTGTTCGAGTAGCTCACGCAGATGTGACACGGCAGTCTGTGATAGTGTGATGGCAGCCTTGCGAGGACGCAGCTTGCTCTTTCTTTGAGGCTTGGTGGTGGCAGATGTGGTTGCTGCTGATGACGTGTTTACGGCCGAGGACTTTTGAGCTTCCTTCTCGGGAACACTGAGGGGTTGATCGTCTGCAGGAGATGGCTTTGACTGGCGCGAGGTTGTAGAGGGGAGCGGAGGTAGTCCGGCGATAGAAGTCTCGGGAACGCCAGCGTTTCGCGGTGAGGGCATGGGGTCCAATGTGTAAGGGCGGTAGGCGGTGGCAGTTTGCAAGCTTCGTCGCGACGAGAAGTGAAGAGCAGGTTGTGATGAGCGGAAGGCAGGACGCAAACATTGAGTGCATTGAGTACGAGGGGCACCGCCAGCGGCGAAACGGAACATGGCTGTGGATGCCGACGATGTGGCGCGATGCAGAGACATGGCTGCTGTGTTGTATATGTTTGGTTATGAAGCGGCCAGGATGTATGCGTAGTGGGAGATTGGTTGACAAAGTCGTAGGTGAGTGTGATGAGCTGTGTAAAGTCGAAGGGTGGTGATTGTGTCTTTGTCAGAACGGCAAGATCGGGCAAAGCGGAGCACCGAAAAGCTATGATCGCATCCATTTCCGTCGCCCAATCACATCGCGCTTCTGATGGTCAGCAGGGTCCGGTAACCAAGCCCACGCTTTTCCAGCCCATTGCAAAGTGGGGGCTTCATATTATCAATCACTTTGCCACGTGCTATACAGTATTAAACATATCTGAAGAGGTACGGAGTAAATAGATGGTTTTCATTGTCGTGTTTCTACATTTCTGACTGATCGCTGTTCAAGTGTGCAAAGGCTCTTTTTTCTCTTCAAGCCTGTCCGGAAGGCACTTGATAAGGCCCATAGCCAGGTCTCGGGAACTTGGGCGAACCATCAGCATTCCAAGTAAATGGCTGTGCTCTGATAGTTCTTGCACTCCATCCGTTAGCGGGATCTCTCATGCCGTGATACACAATCCAGTCTTCGGTACCATCAGGACTCTTGGTGAAGCTTGCATGACCAACACCATACGCCTCTGCCTTGGGGTTTTGGTAGAAGACACAACCTTGGTTATTCTTGCGCCAGTCGGACGGGTTCATCGGGTCGTCACCAATGAGCTCGAGTTGGCCGAGGCAGTAGTTGCGGTTGTCAGAGCGAGCTGCACTGTAGATTACGAACTGTTGGCCTGTGGTGGGATTGGTGAGTTGCTGCGGGCCTTCGTTGGAGGAAAGACGCTGGTTGAAGGGGCGACCGTAAGGTGTCTTCTCCCAAGGGTTGTCAGGAGTGCTGATGATCTGGCGTTCGGTGAAGTTACTTTCGACAGTCCAAGGATCAGACATCTTAGTAATGCAGAGATTGGCTGGCCATGCATCGTACTGGCGGTACCAACAACTGTAGATGTGGTAAAGTCCAGAGTCATGCTGGAAGTAGGTACCATCAATCGCGAACTGATCATACGTGTTGAGCTGAGACTTGAGAGTGTACGTCGAGTCCCAAGGATCTGAGGATGAGCCTTCGAGAACATACATGCGGTGGTGAACAGCAGGGCAGTTGAAGTCGCACCACATGTCAATCTCGGGCGAGGGCGTGTCGAAATTAGGGTCGGCAGTCATGATGATGTACCAGGAGTTATCGATCAGGTGCAATTCAGGTGCCCAGAGATCAGTCGAGTAGTTCATGCCTGGTGGAGGGTCAAAGGCTAGTTTGACGTCGGCATTGTCCCAGTCTGTCAGAACAGAACTGCGAAGGATGGTGATGTTGGTGTTGGTAGTATATGTCATGTAGTAGTAGTCGCCGTGGCGGATAACCCATGGGTCTGCTCCTACCTCATTGAGGATAGGGTTGTTGAAGGTTGTAGTGCCATTGCTGGCTGTGCCATTGATAGCATTTGAGTACTGAGCAGAGACGAGGGAGATGAGGGAAGCCAAGAAGGGAAGGGCAGATAAGAGGAACATGATGCTTCTCCAATGTTGAGGAGAGAGAAGCGGAAGAGGGAGGTCAGGGAAACCAAGAAGGGAAGGGCAGAGAAGAAGAAGATGTTTCTTCGAAGCTGAGGAGTGAAGCGGAAGAGGTGGACATAGTGAAGACTTTATTTAAACCTACCTGCGCAGATCAGCAGATGATGAGCATCAAGGGAGAAGTAAAGGCATGGCAGCAGGGTGGCAGGGTTGTTGCATCTTTAGACCTCCGCACTCCCCCGCAAACCCAAAGAGGCAGCCACGCGACTTCGGCTTGTTGTTCGCCGAATTTAGCCGCTAACATTTCCATTGCGCCTTCACAACCATCACGGTCGACAAAATCGAAGATGAACAACGATCAATTCAGGAAGCTACTCAACACACCGGCGAGACAAGATGGCGCAAGCAGCACACCGCGGGCGAGTGCTGTACCGTCATCACTCGGATCCAAACGCTCCTCCTTCATGCCCATGACGCCGCGCTCAGTTCGAGGTGCCTCTGGAAACGACTTCGCTCGACAGGTAGCCGAACGCAATGCTGCAGGTCAGACAGCGAAGAAATTCAAAGGCTCTGCTGCACCCAAAGGATCGCGACTGGGATCAGGCTTCACCGACCGTACGCAAAACAGATACGATGACGAGGCCGACGAAAAGGCTGCCCGTATTAAGGCTCTCGAGGAGCAAGTAAAGCTCGGTCAACTCGACAATGCAACTTTCGAAGCTCTACGCGATCAAATCACTGGTGGTGATGTCGGTGCTACACATCTGGTCAAAGGTCTCGATCGCAAACTTCTTGAGCGTGTCAGAAGAGGTGAAGATGTTCTTGGAGGAGGCAAGCCCACAACCGATGAGGACCTGGAAGATGAATTTGAAAAATTCGAAGAGAAGGAAGTTGCTCGTGTTGAGCGAGAACGTGTCGTCAAGAAGGGAGAGATGGCTCCTCCGCCACCAGTCGCCGGCGCAAAGCGATCTAGAGATCAGATTTTGGCCGAGCTGAAGGCACAAAGAAAGGTTCAGGCCGATGCTAGACTCGCTGCTAGACCAGAGCTAGGCGACAAGTTTCGAGCTGTTGGCTCTTCGCAAGCAAGTTCGCGTGTCGAAATCGACTCGAAAGGGCGTGAAGTTCTTATTACAACCGACGAGCATGGAAACGTTAAGAAAAAGGTCAGAAAGGTGCAGGCGCCAGTCGAAGTTCCCGCTCAAGCTGCTCCATCACACAAGTTCCTCGACGAGGGCGTCACGGTCCCAACACCCAAGACGGTCGAGAAGCCTGTGGAGGCAGTAAAGGAAGACTCAGACGACGATATCTTCGATGGTGTTGGAGATGCCTATGATCCTCTAGGCGGCATTGGTGACGACGACGAGGACTCTTCCGACGACGAAGACGGAGAAGTCCCCGAAAAGTTATCAAAGCCAATCACCACATCAGCACCACCAGCCTCCAAATCACCGTCTCCAGAAACAGAAGCAACGCCAGCCACAGAAGCAACAAAAGCAATGCCACCCCCTCCGCCACCATCCCAACCCACAGCCCCACGCAACTACTTCGCCTCCACCACAACCACAACTTCCGAAACAGCAGAACCCTCCGCACCACAAAACCCCTTCAACGACGCCGCCTTCCTCGCCGCCATCAAAAAAGCCGGCGCCCTCTCAAACATCTCCCTCTCCCTCAATGCCTCTTCAGACGACCCATCCGCCCCCGAATCCGCAGAAGCCAAAGAACTACGTCTTCAAAAGCGTGCTCAAATGCTGGCAGCCAGTGATCGCGATATGGATGACATGGACCTCGGTTTCGGATCGTCAAGATTTGGTGACGAAGAGGAAGGAGAGGAAGGGGGTAAGAGAGTTAAGCTTTCGACTTGGAAGGGAACGGGTGGGGATGATGATGATGATGAAGATGGCGGGGATGGAGGAAACAAAGAGAAGAAGAAGAGGGGAAGGAAGAGAAGGGGTGATAAGAACAATGCTCAAGATGTATTGGGGGTCATGGAGAGGAGGAAAGAGGCTGGAAAGTAGAATTGAGGTAGTGAGTTATCATGTCAGACTGTCATTCGGGACTTTTGATTCTCGAATCTCGCGACTGCACTTTTTTGCTCTCCTCTTCTTGTGCCTGCCATTTTCCCTCTTGCACGTGCCTCACACTCTCTGCACTTGCCATCCCAAACTCCCGACCTTGTCTACATAAGTTCAATAGATTCTTTTCCCATCAACAACAGTGGCCAAGACACTGCGTCAATATGTCTTGCAAACACAAGGCACGTCGGTGATCGTGGTGTGCCACCTCGCGGAGGTTCTAAGCGTAACTGGCAGGAGACGCAGAGATCGTGAGTTCGAATCTCACTCGCCGCAATATCTTTTTGCTGTTTTTGTCAAGTCACTCACTGCTTTTTGTCAAATCTGCAACTTAGTCAACGAACCAAGGATACGTCCACTTCTTACGATATGCAATGCTGCTTTACAGTAACTCTAGTTATGATTGTGTTTTTTTCATGTCAATCGAATTCCACACCAGGTAACCCTCTAGCCAGAACAGCCCCTTGGACTCCCCTCTTGACTTCCTCCCACGCCTTGCCCCATCCCTCTTGCACATCCTCCGCAACTCCATCTTTACCCAAGACTTCCTGCTCAACGACCAATCCCAACCATTTAGCTATCTTGACAGCTTTATCCACATCTCTTTCCTGCTTAACCACTGCTTCCAAATACTTCACCAACGCCCCTGTATCTTCCGCATATGGCGCCTCGTCCCAAAACTCTTTGACCCACTCCCTAACCGCTTTCCTCAATTCCGGTAATTCTGTAAGCTTATTGCTAGTGAAAGAGGGTTTCTCAGGCCTCGGAGGCAGGTGGAAGAATTTCTCAATCGTGTTTGCAGGAAGATCTTGTCTTTTCCCTCCAGGCCTTCTCGATGCTTCCAGACCTCCCGATCGTCGCAATTGAGCAGATCTTCTCTCGTCAAGAACTTCTTTGCGTATTTCAGGGGGAAGAGCGGCGAGAAACTCTTCATCGATTTCTCCTTCTTCTTCCGCAGGAGTGTCTTCGGCGTCAGTTTCTCTAGCGACGAAATTGGCTTGTGTGAGTGTGGACATGCCGTTGCTTGGTCGAGCGCGGGCGAACAAACCACCACCGCGAGGTTTCCTGCCACCGAGTTTCTTGACTGGAGGGATGATGCGGTTCTTGCGTGGAGACTGGGGGAGGATGGTTTGGTCTTGGCCTTTACGTGGGGAGGTTGTATTTGTTTGGTACATGGCCATCACGTCTCGCCTGACGTCTTCGGGGAGGGAGTTCAGGATCTCGGGATCGAGTTGTGATTGGTTTGGCAGACGTATCGCTGCTGAAGCTGCTCGAGACGTCTTCTTGACCGCAGGAGTCGGACTTTTGCGTCCGTTGGCATTTTCGGATACTTGGGCTGGCCGTGATTGTTTGATGAGTCTTGCTCGAATCTCTTCTGGCAGTTCTGCAAGTACTTTTGGGTCGACTTGAGTAGGTAGGGCGAATTGTGTTCCAAGTAGATTCAAGGGCCGTTTGCTAGGGGATGGGTTGTTGAGAATGCTGTCTAGATAGCTTGAGTCACCAATATCGCGAACCCGATTCTTCTTTGGCGTCTTGATGTCGTCGGTGATTGGATCTTCGGCGGCTTCCGTCTCAGCCAACAGCTTCGGTCGTGTGTTTTGAGCAATGATTTGAGCCGGCTTGAACTGAAGACGAGGTTGACTACTATCGGCACGGCCATCAGTTCCAGCCTTCAGCGGTTCCAGTTTAGTCATCTGGATTCCTATTCCACGAAGCTCTCCCGGACTAAAGCCAAAGCTGCGCATAACTACAAGAACTTCTTTGGTCATCAGTGTGTTGTCGTTGGTCGCAACTCCTAGTTGTATGCTCTTGTTGTACGTATCGCATTTGCCATGTCCAAGATGTTTCGGTGGATCAAGAGGGGCATCAGGAGAGCGCCGCATGACCTTGACAGTCAGTTGTTTGCCCTTGACGTTCTCCTTGATCAGCCGCTTCTGTAGCTCTCCACATAAGCTCGTCATGAATTCGTCAACCTGCTCTTGGTTCTCGAAGCGTACACCCCAATTCACGTCGGCAGACACTGACTTGCGGACGACTTGATCGCCAACCTCGGCCTTGTCAATGCCACGACTGTACTCCCAGATCTTCTCACCGGTCTTCGGTCCAAGGGTGTTGACCAATTTCTCTTTCGAAAGTTCGCGAATGTCTTTAACATACTTGACACCAATCTCTTCCAGCTTGCCTCCGATGCTATAGGCGACACCTGGTAAGCTTTGAACTTCGAGAGTGCCGATAAAATCAAGGACATCCTCTGGCTTGAGCTGGAATTGCCCCGCGGGTTTTGCTTTGCGCAGAGCAATCTTGGCAAGTAGGATGTTTGCTCCTATACCAACTGAGACGTTGCAGCCAGTACGTTTTAGTACTTCATTCCGGAGATCTCGGCCAATGCGGTCGGCCTCTGACTGCTCACGATAGTTGCTTCCCTCATATCGTTGAACACCATCAGTGCCGCCGACGGCTATGCACTGAGCGCTGATGTCAATGAGAGCTTCATCAACACTGACGCTTTGCACTACACCACCTGTTTCCAGGATAGCAGCGTAAAATTGTCGACTTGACTCTTCGTAAGCTGGGAAGTCGTAAGGAAGTACCTTCAGATCAGGGCACAGTTCTTGAGCTCTTTTCATCCACATTCCATTCTTCACACCGAAATCTCTCGCAGGATAATTGCATGAGGCGATCTCGGACCCATTGCCACCGCCTGAACCAGAGCCATGAGCAACAACACAAGGTTTGTCTTTGTATTGAGGATACTTTTTCAATGACACAGCAGCGAAAAAGCTGTCGAAATCAACATGCATGATATATCGTCGATAGCCCGTAGGACGTTTTTGACGAGCTTTCTGCGAGGCGGACTTCTCGGCAGTGAGAGCCTGAAGTTGCGACTTCAGATCTGCTTTCCAGGTTGACAGGTGGTGTAGTCGGGACTCTCGATAGTACTGCTGGAGGAACTCTGGGTTGACAACTGTCGACTTACGAAGACGTGGGTCGGCAAGGAGCATAGCATTGTGTTCTTCCGCAGTCATCTCGGTGACCTTTTGTGGTGTGGTTTTTCCAGAGGTATGTGACTCCTTTGCGCTTCGTGGATCAGAAGCTTCTTGCCCGTACGGTGATGTTGAATGAGGCGGTACAGAGTCTGGCTCAACAACGGTCTCTTCTGCGGGAGAGGTGTGTGGTGGTGTCTGCGGGATATCGTCGATAGGTTCATGTGGTTCCATAGGAGGTTCCTGAATATCCATGGCAGTATCATCGTCGTCCTCCAACGCCTCGAAGTCCGAATCGTGAATGTCATCGTACTCGGGAGTGAGCGTCGGAGGTTTGGAGGATGCTGGTAAGCCTCGAAGAAAAGATGGCTTGGGTGAGGATACAAGACCATCGACTTGGAAACCTTTCAGCTGAGTATTGTACCAGCTATTGTCACTTTGATCCTTGTAGCCTCTGGCGGGTCGATTTACCTGGCTTGCGATCTGACCGTTGTTGAAAGCCAGCACTTTCTGGCCAACACCTTCGTCAACCACGCGATATTTGTCCCATGGCAGACATTTCGCAGCCGCAATACTGTCGACAATCCAGCTAGGCTTCACAATCCTGTATCGCTTAAACTCAACGACCTTCTTGGGAGTAAGACTGCTAGCAACGATATGAGTTACAAAGGTCTTGCCATCCAGATATTGTGCAAATCCACCACCATGGGCAACGATCATGGTATGCAGATCATTCAAGGAAGGTTGGGTGTAGCCATTAACATAAACCACGATGCCTTTGAAAATTGGAGGGTTGTCAGATTTGGCGCGTATCTCAGAGTCCAAGTTCTGTAATTTGATTCTCTTCCGGCGCATGTATTCTCTGTGGCCACCAAACTTGGAAGCATCATATTCATCGCCAGCTTCATCCTCGAAGGTGTGGTTTTCAATGCGCTTGCGCGTCTGCGCAGACTTCGATTCGAGGCGAGAATTCATGCCGCATCTCACTGGTGTTGTAATCGCATTGTACGCTCGAACTCAGACTATGATTGACGAGGAGCTCTCCAAATTCACATTGTCGATTGATATCTCAGAAGACAAAGAACAAAGTGGAACGCGGCCAACACGCGCCGCCGAGGCAAGCGCCACCGCGATCTCAGGGTCCGGGGTTGCCAAGCTCTATAAAAAATGTACAGAACCGAGTCTGAATACATCACACGAAGACTGGCAGGCCTTCGAGAGAATGGAGCCCTTGATGGAGGGCATTAGAATTGTGAAGAAATCGTGCATCTACATTGTCTGTGTGTTTGAGACAGATGTGCTTCGAGCTGCTTCGAAACTGACGACAGGCGGCCGCGGTTGCCATGGAAGACCGTCCGTGCGCAGCTTTGCTGGATCTTGACCTTAACTTTTTTCTTGAAGAGCCTGGAGCTTTTCATATTCACTCTCATCACCTTCTTTTTTCCAATCAATCCATATCAAATCTATCACAATGGGTGTTCTTCCTATGGCTGTTTTCGGACTCGAGGTCCCCGCCGGCGGTATGCCCGTCGCTGCCAGCGGCGACATTCCCGCTGCTGTAAGTTTTTTCCAAAGACACCATCAGCTATCAAGACAGCAATGCTTACGCGCATCTAGTTCCGCCTGACCATGGCTGCCATCGACCCCAGCGCTGAGCCTGAGTTCGACGAGGACACCAAGGGCAAGAAGCCCCGCGCTACCCTCAAGATCATCCGTGCTCCCCTCCAGATGGACGAGGAGGACGACTCTGACTTCGACCCCGAGGAGATGGACATGATGCTCGCCTCCGACGAGGAGGAGTCTGAGGAGGAGGCCGGTCCCAGCGACCCCACCAAGTCCAAGAAGGCTCGCAAGGCTGCCGCCGCTAAGCAGCTGAGAGAGGAGCTTGAGAGCATGGATGTCGACTCGCCCAAGGTCAAGGGCAAGGGCAAGGTCCAGGCTGATGATGAGGAGGAGTCCGACGAGGACGATGAGGATGATGAGGACGACGAGGAGTTCGAGCCCGAGGAGTTCGTTCTCTGCACTCTTGACCCCGAGAACGTAAGCTACCACGCCTGCCACTCTACTAACCGTGAGCGTCGCTGACAATATTCCCACAGCACTACCAGCAGACTCTTGACATCACTGTCGGTGATGACGAGCGCGTCTGGTTCATGGTCACCGGTACCCACGATGTTTACCTTACCGGTAACTACGTCGAGCCCGACCACACCCACGGCCCCGAGGGCGAGTACGACTCTGAGGATGAGGATGACGAGGACGAGTACGACCTCTCTCCCGATGAGGATGAGCTTTACGGTGACGAGGACTCCGAGGACGAGCTCGACGACATGGAGAACCCCCGCATCACCGAGGTCGATGAGGAGGAGGCTCCCGCTCTCGTTCCCGTCAAGGCTGACAAGAAGGCCGACAAGAAGGGCAAGAACAAGCGCGCCGCCGACGAGGAGGCCGAGTCCCTCGACGACCTGATCTCCAAGGCCAAGCCCGCCGAGAAGAAGAACGCAAAGAAGGTCAAGACCAACGAAGGCAAGGCCGTCCCCGCCGACGAGGTCGCTAAGAAGGTTGAGACTCCTGCATCCGCAAAGTCAGACAAGAAGGTACAGTTCGCAAAGAACCTCGAGCTGGGTCCCACCGGCTCGAGCTCCCCCGCTGCCGCAAAGCCTGCTGAGAAGTCCAAGGCTGCTCCCACCGTCAAGACCGTCAACGGCGTTACCATCGACGACAAGAAGATCGGCTCCGGCCCCGCCGCAAAGAAGGGTGACCGCATCGGTATGCGCTACATCGGCAAGCTCCAGAACGGCAAGGTCTTCGACTCCAACAAGAAGGGCAAGCCTTTCAGCTTCAAGCTCGGTACCGGTGAGGTCATCAAGGGCTGGGACATCGGTATTGCCGGCATGCAGGTTGGTGGTGAGAGACGTGTTACCGTCCCTGCCCACCACGCCTACGGCTCGCAGTCCCTTCCCGGCATCCCCAAGAACTCGACCTTGATCTTCGACGTCAAGTGTGTCGAGATCAAGTAGACGCATCACCACGTTACGAAACAACAACAAAAAGAATACCTGGGACCATTTCCGGCCCAACTTTAGATACCCAACTTGCAGCTTCTCGGCATAGAAGGAGCATTCGACGACCGAAAGAAACATAGGGGCGAAACGTGCCGAGACATGTACAGCGCGTGGCAGGGATGATGGGTGATCCAGTCGGAAGCAGCATCTCTATCCTCACAAAAGAGGAAAGGAAGAGAGCTGCTCTATACAAAAAGTTTTCTTATGTCCATTTTTAGCGAGAGCGTTTTGAAAATACCAATTCATCTTACTATTGAACAAACACACTCATGTTCTCATGCCAATTTCAATCTTGTGTTCCTGTCTAATGTAGGATATCTTGGCTACACACGGTTGCTGAGGTGGTGTCATTCAAGGCCGAGTGTCTATGCTTTATCAGCATGCGAGTGTAGCCATGCAACGTGCCCGACCTCACAACCTCGCTATGCCCACACTTTCCCCTGGAGTCTATACTCTATGTCTGCTAGCTTGTGCAGATTGTCACTATCTATGTATTTGTTGGCATCGACCGGATCTTTATTGAAGACCATCGTCAAGCCACATGCAACTCAGTGATGGCTTCCAGAATTTCAACTTTGAGCTCCTGAAAATGCTTTACAGCGCCCACGATATTGCTTCTCAATGTCTAGATCAATCAGTCTAACTAGCCAGTAAGTCAGTATCACACTGGAAGTCAATTACATGTTATTGATATCGTCGTTGTCGACTTATCGTCAAAAAAAAGGCTTGCAAGTTTTGTTAAAGGTGTCACCCTGTTTCGACTAGCCTCCCAGCCTCCTCCGACAAAGCTAGCCACACATCTCGATGACCTTTTGTCTGCACATGTTGTCACTCGTCTGTCAATCTCTCCCCTGACCCTCTTAGGTAGCGAACCTAAAGCTCGGATGGTCATCGCCAAGATTATCCACATCCTCCCCCTGTAACCTCCAATCCCTTTCCCCCCTATCCCTCTTCCTATTCTCCCAAATCACACCCAAAAACAACACAACACACCCCACACCACAAATCCACAAAAAGCCCAATCCAACTCCATATCCAGTCTTGTACAAAGGAGCTTCCTCGGTGAAGAAAACATTACTCGCGACTATTCCGCCCAGATTTCCAAATCCTACAGTCATGGCTGCGGAAATGGAGCGCTTGTAATGTCCACTCATGCAATTCTGCACCCAAGCCAGCACGATGGGCTGGGTGATGTACCCACCAGGTACGACGAGAAATAATGCGAAATACTTGACCGCCACTGATAAGCCTTCTTGAGCGAGTAAAATCACATATCCCACCGACGCGACCACGAGACCGAAAATGCAAAAGCCGAAACGATGGCGGAGGCGGTCGGTAAGGTAGGCAGAGGCGATGGAGCAAATGGCAGCGACGATGAAGATGGGGATGCTGCGGATTTGGGCGGAGGCGGATGTATAGCCCAGTTCGCGGATTATGGTGGGGACGAAGAAGGAGCCGGAGTAGCCTGTGTTTACTATTCCCATGTACATTATGACGCCGGTGTAGATTTTCCAATCGGTGAAGATGCGTTTGGCTTATTCTTGATCAGCAAAACGCTATAGAACAGGAGGAAAGAGGAAAGCAAGATTGAAAAAGAAAGGGGGGAGGACGGAAGGGAAAACGCACCGGCTGCTTTGTCTAGTCTGTTCATTATTGCTTCTCCCGAGTCGGTTTGGAGACGGGATGTTAGCATTGCTCGTTCTTCTTCTGTGAGGAAGTTTGCGGTTTCGGGCCAGTCGCAGACCCAGAATCTGGCTATTATGCCGACGATTACTGTCAAGAGGCCTTCGATGATGAAGATCCTGTTTCGTGTATTAGGATTTGGGATGCCATGGAGTATTGGACGGTACACTCTTACCATCGCCAGCCTGAGTATCCACCTATTCCATCCATCTTCGCGAGGGCGTAGGCAAGAAGCTAGTGAAATGTGTTAGTCTCGACAGTTGAAGATGATCATTATTGATTGACTTACGCCTCCGAAACCACCGGCGAGAATACTAGCCGAAAAGAATAGAGAAAGTCGCCATTGTAATTCGTAACGCTGATAATACATGCTGATCAAATAGACGCAGCCACTGCGATACAACATTAGTTAGTGCAATTCCTCTTGTGAAGGAAAAAGCGCCAACCAGACATAGGGCAAACTTACGGAAACAGTCCAGCTTCGAAGATGCCGACCAAGACCCTCATAGCTACGAGTCCTTCGAAACTCTTGACCAACCCTTGTCCAATAGTTGCGATGCCTAACGAGGTCAGCCGATACTCCGGGCACTGGATAGTATACACAACTCACCCCAAAGAACCATAATACAACTCAACCACAAACTCGGCGATATCCTCTTCAACACAACATTCGACGGCACCTCTAGAAGTACATACTATTTTTTAGTCTTGTCAGCATATCCTTGCTCCAACTACTGCCAACCCTCAAGACTCACCGGTATGAAAAACACAAACAGAGCAATGTTGTAATCATGTCCGCCCATCTTCAACTCAGCAGTCATACCCTGAATCTTTGCATTACCAATATTCGTGCGGTCCAAGAAAGCCAGAAGAAAGAGAACAGTCAATGGCGGTAAAATCCTCAGATCGACTTTCCTAAGCAATTTTTTCTCAGCTATTGGATCGATAAGAGGGCGATTCACATCAGGTGCAATTTCCAATTGTTCAATTGACTGTTTTTTGACCGAATCCATGGTTTGATGAAAAGGATGAATTGGGTGGAAAGCGGAGATGAGCGGGCTCTCTTTGCGGAAACGCAATGGGGCAATACATGAGATGTTTATATGTAGGCAAGGGAAAGAAAGTCCTTGGTATGTACCTTTGTACTACTTTCTATACCGAGGGTATAGAGTTGTGGGGGATCGACAGGAAGTAGAGTGCGGAAGGATGCCCGCATGTCTTGGTCGAGATGTCGGAACTGTTCCTTTGTCCGAGAGGATTCATCTATCAGATAAAAGAGGGGGGAAGAGACTAGCTGCTAGAGCTGCATCCGACCTTCTTGAGGGCAAGTGCTTGCCGCCATCTCCTAGGATCCAGAATCTTGCACGGGAGTGACGGGGGAGCAATGAAGCTGTAGAGACGAGACTGGAGTGCTCGATCACGAAGATGATCTTACTGAGGTGCTTTTGCCAGAGACTGCTCTAGTACGAAGAGCCTCGTGCACTTCCACTGACAGCCAAGTGGTAAGGAACATTTGATAAGATTCCCAGCTTTTTAGTCAGGCCCAGCCATCTTTTGTCATCAACCGCTACTGTATTAGCGTATGAGATAGCGACTGCAATAATCGAACTCCAAAGCGAAGTTGGATGTTAGATGATGATGATGATGACGCAGAAAGAGAATCGGGTGATAGCGATGTGGAAGGTGATAGGAATTCCTTCCTCCAAGCAAATCCAAGTATTACAGGAGCACATATCCAACGCACAGTGATACATTGATTTTTGTAAAAGAAGTTTCCAAAGCATTGTAGGAAAGAAGACGTAAATGAATACAACAGGTCAGAAGGATATACGCTACCAGAAGCTCCCCTGCACCATTACCGTCACCATAACCACCATGGCCATCAAACAATCACTTCAATCCAAACCCTTCACTCTCAGCCACGGCCCTCCAAAGCTTCTCTTCCAGTTTCGCTTTACTCTCATACCCCCAAAGCACAAGCATGTTGAAACAAGTGCGCGCAATAGGAAACCTCTCTTTCTCTTTACCACCAGCTTCTCCTTGTCCAGCTGTTCCATCACCGCCACAGACAATGCGTAAGATCAGGTTCGTGGCGCCGACGGCAGGGATACGGTCGGAGCCTGTAATGAAGCCGAGGAGTTTGCGTTGTGCTTCTGGTGTGGCGCTGCGGAAACATTCCCAGAACCACGAGATTACTGGGACTTGCTCTGCTGGATTGGGTAGGGGTTTGTGAGGTGGAGATGCTTCGCGCCAATTCTCGTATACAGCGACGGCTTTTAGGGAGTCGACGTCGAGAGCTTCGTCGGAACCGCGGACCATGAGTTCGATCTCCTCTGCACGGAATAGGGACAACGCATTGCCGGCGCAGACGGTGAAGAAGCCACGCTTGAAGGGCTCAAATTGCCTAGCCACGGACGTATCGAGCAAATAGCGGATATAAGCGTCAACATACTCGCGTCTATTCTCATTGGTGACTGGTATCGCTTCACCGCCAGGAAGCAGAGGAGTATCAGTCACAACACCATATCGCTCAACACTTGCGACAAAGTCTCGGCAGTATGTCGCCTCAACATCTCCGTCGTATTCAAGAAGGTCTCGTAAGCCCTTTGCAAGCACAGGTCGCCACTCGGCCAGGTCTTCGAGAGTATAGGTGACTTGCGTTCTGCTACTCGAAGGTAAGGCAGGATTTTGGGCCGAAGGAGGGGCCGATGCAAGTAGCTTGCGGAAAGCGAAAGGTGGGAGAGCCACATCGAGGATAGTGGAATTATAGATTGCGAGTCCAAGAAGAGCGCCTACAAGGTAGTACTGATCGCTCGTCTCGAAAGAAGATGGGTTGAAATAGCAGAAGCCTGAGTCGTCGTCATAGAGGAACATGCCTGAGGTGAATGTTAGTCTCAATTCGCCAAAACCGAGGTTGCTGCAGTTATATCTTACCATGGTTAGGATCGAAGATGTCTCTGACGACTGTCAAGAACCACTCCTTCCTCAAGCCACCTGCATCAACACCCTCTTCATCTGTGAAGTGAACCTTGAGGCCCTTCTTCAACTCTTCTGGACCTGACCCTACGGCACCACTGATTTGCTTTAGACTGTCGTCGACCATGCACTCGCGTCTGACACGCAGATGGAAATAGCCATCAATTGATCTGCGCGTCGTGACGGAATCAAAGTAGGCCTCGCGAGCCATGATCTCCATCTGTCGACGAGCATCATACTCCATGATACGAATTTTGGCGCCCATCGAAAGGAATAACGGATATTGACAGAATGTGAACTTCGCCTTCTTCGACTCCCAAGCTTTGAAATCGGCGACCAGATCATTGTAGTCGAGCAGAGTGTTGTAGAAGTCGGAAGTGGGAAGTAATTGTCCATGCATCTTTGTGCGAGGCCGAGATAGTGTGGAGATGCTTGTCTGAGCAGGGGTGAGGCCACCTTTCTTGGTCTGCCATGTGTTATTTGCAGCAAACAACATTGCCATGATTTTGGCAGCGGCCCTCAGCTGCCAATCTTCACTGTAGTCGACCACACTAATTGTCTCCATTTGAGGCATCTTGTTTCTTCCAGCTCCACTGCCGCTGCCACTCAATCCAGTTGCTGATTGGAGCTGAGCGAAAGTGTTTCTTGCAGATCCCGACAGATCAGGAATGAGACCGCCGTCTTGAGGCGTCACACTACGAGGCCTACTCTTACGGCGTGAAAGACGATACGTGACAAATCGCGCTACCAAATCGACCGTCTTGATGAACTGTTGCTCGGGCATCCTACTAAACCAGTTGGTAAGACAACGATGACAATTCTCAGAGGAATTCGCAATCAATCCGAAGATACGCTTGAGAATACCAGCATGCTGCCCTGGTTCGTTTCCAACAGGTGTACCTGGCGGCTTTTGTGGGGAGATCATTCTTGACGCAGACGGTGGCGCCAATGTTGAGCTCTTGAGCCCGGAAGGAGTACGAGGCATGGGTGGTCGGTTTCCTGAGTTTCGGTTCGAGGGATACAACGAGGGGTTGGCCAGAATGACAAGCAAAAAACGTATGTGATCTGGCTCTATGAGAGGTCGAGTGGGCCGCTTGAGGATATTTTCAGTAATCTTCAGCAGTGCGCGTTCAGCATGTAGTCGAGCTTCCGCAATATCCTCATCAATCTCCTTAGCATTGGCAGGGCCGCGAATATGCTCGTCCACCTTCTCCCGGTCGACATTCCTCAGGTTTGCAACTCTGTCGCGCCATCTAAGCCCAGCAGCGTGAATAACATCGTACCAGTGTGTAAGCTGATCCCAATCGATATGAGGGGATCGGGAAGTGGTCAATCGTCTACCTTCTGAGCCATGATGGCCGCGTTTGTCAGATTTGTCGGAGCGGTTGCGAGTCACGCGACCTGTCCACCAGTCTCCGTTCTCAGCAAAATCACCAAGTAGTAACGTTTTTGCATCCATTTGAGAGAACAAATCGATCGGACTTTGATTGACACCTTCGACAGGTTCAGAAGGGGGAGTTTTGATGGCACTCTCGCTTTGTCTGCGAACAGCAACATGCTGACGTACAGTGCTGAAAGAAGTGTTTAGACAATTGTAGTCACCGAAACTGCTCAACATGTAGTCCTCCAGAGGCTTAAATATAACTTTGACGCGATCGTAACGTGAGATATTTCGGTCGTTCGAATTAGGCGGACCAGGACGCATCGGAAGGGGCGAAGAATGGGATCCAGGAGGTGGAGGCGGTCTTCTGATGGGTGGCAGAGGTGGCATTGGCGGTACTAGAGGCTCATGAGGAGCTGTGTATGCCGAGCCGGCCGTCTTCGGACGTGAAGGGCTCTTATTCGGCGAAAGAGAGTTCGAGTATGAGAAATATTGAAAGTCGTCCTGTGACTTCAAGGTGGCAGAAGCAGTTTCTGGCGTCTCGGTCGGTGATTGCGCGAAGCGTGGTGATGGTTGGAGAGTCGCATGGTCTGTCGTCGGATCACGGCGAACGAAAGGATCTTGGAGGACTGATGGACCTGGAGAAGTTGGCGTATCTCCTCTCCGGCATCGTGCTTCGAGGTATGTGATGAGACATCGATCAATGATGGCTCGACTGCGTTCAACGGATAGCGGAAGGATTGCTGTACGGTTATTAGCTATTGGTGATGACTTGCTGATGCAGTAGTTCGAGACTCACGGCGCGGCCCAGGCTGCTGGTTCGGATATGTTGAAGGCTTGGGGTCCCGAGTCTCCTTGACGTAGGGCTCGAGGTCGTTGATGGTCAAGCAATTGGTGCAACGAAAGACCTTGAGATCACGAGGAAAGCGTACAGTGTTGTCGCAGCACATGCATTGACGTGTGGTCAATTCTTCATCCCTCTTGCGACCGCCAATCGGCTTGTCTGACTTAGGTACTCCGGACGGACCAGCATCCAGCACAGGTACCAAGGATTCATCAAGAGGAACGTCTCGCAAGACAGGGGCACTCTTCTTCTTTCCAAAGATCCTAGGTAGCGGGTGGCTAACGGCGCGCGTGTGTGGTTGCTGACGTGGACTCGAGGATTGACCGCCTCGAGGAGACAACGGTGGCTGTTGCTGGTCGCGAGTGAGGCGCGGAGGAGAAGTAGGCGAAGGACGGTTCGTGTTTCCCGATGAACTCGAAGTTAAGGATGTGAATCGCGGCGGCCACAGAGACATGATTTCCCCTGGGGCTTCAAGTGGCTCCTGGCTCGAGATGGCTGAAGGCGAGGGTGGAGGGGTATCTTGTTGACACGGACGGGCAGCAGCAGGAACGGTCGCTGGGCGTACCGACAGGATCAACGACAGTCATGTCCTGGACACGGTTCGAAAGAGGAAAGATTATCTGAGAGGTGTAAATACGAAGCACCGAGCGGTTGAGCTCGTGTTCACCACTATTGCACCATGCGAATGAACCACTCCCTGACATTGAATCCCTGACCCCCGAGGCCCGTCACTAGACTCACTAGACTCACCACTGTCTATTTCTGGGGTTGCCTACAAGTCCCGTTGCCGAACCTAATCTGTCATTCTGGCAGCCGCGACTGACAAGTCCAACCTACTTGTTCCCTCTTGTCCGGAAAAAGTACAGCTGAAAATTGCGACAATTCCCATCCGTTTGCTTGTCGTCCCTGCCTATAACCTTCGGGCGTCGTAAGCCTTTGCATTTTGATCTCTTGGCTCTCGAAACATGTCACGATTCACAATACACATTCGAACAAAAGGAAGTGAGCGGGTAGTGTTGTGATTTTGAATGACAACAATTTGGCTAGTTCATGATAATGCCCGCTAATCCCAGAAATTTTGTGGATGCCCTCGTCCCAATATCTTGACGACATGAAACAAAGACCCTTGCCCAGAACCCCTTTAACAACCACCACGTCAACACCCAGATGGGCGAGACGTTTATCGGTAGCGCCAGAGAGACAGGGTGTTCTGTCTCTTCCAGGTCTTTCTGCGACCGGCAGAGGTGTTGTTGTAACGGTGACCCTTGTTGATACCACGGTTGTGCTTGCCGGTGGAGGTCAAGCCACGGAGTTCGCGGTGCTTGTGGACGGGGTTGACGATCCAGTTGATGCGAGCATCCTTGCGGATGGCCTTGTGCTGGGGGTCGACGAGGATGATCTCGAAGTACTTGTAGGTCGAGTCCTGGTTGATCCAGTACGAGTTCAGGACGCGCAAGTTGGCGCAGCGGCGGCCGACACGCTCCTCGGCGACGGAACGGAGAGAGCGCTGGAACTTGAGCTGGTTAACACCCTGGTTGGTGGGCTTGCCTGTAGGGGAATATTAGAAAGTGTTGACTTTTTTCGCAATGCAAAAACTTCGATCGTACCGTAGGTGGCACCCTTGGGCACGGGGCGCTTGCGACCACCGCGGCGGACGCGGACACGGTAGATAACGTATCCCTGCTTGGCCTTGTATCCAAGACGACGGGCCTTGTCGGGGCGCGAAGGGCGCGAGGCGCGGTGGATGACGTTCAACTGGCGGAGCTATATTGATGTACTCTCAGCAAAGTTCAACGAGTAGCATCAATCTCATGTAGCGCGTACCTCCCAGCAGCGAACACGGAGAAGGAAGCGCAGGACATCAGACTGCTTCTTCTTCTGGAGCTCTTCGACGTATTTGAGGGCGCCCATCTGTCGTGTCTGTCAGCAACTGTGCCGACTCTTTCCAGGACGTTTGCAATCACGATTGATGCAGGATTTCGGTTCGACGTACTTTGACGGTGTTGGATTGCTGGGATTGTTAGTATCGAAGCGCGCACGAAATCAAAAGAGAAATCAATCTTCAAGCGGTTTGAGGAATTTGCAAACTGTGGGAATGCGCTCGGGGCACAACGCCAAGCCGCCACAAAATAACCGAAACTGTCAGCTTGCTTCACTCGTTGAATGCTCTTCTGATCAAAGAAATACAAAAGTCATAAACAATGCAAGCAGTGAAGAATACTTTTACATTCATGACTGTGCGTACTGGCCCATCATCAAATGGGATAATGTTATTGAGATTGGTCGAGTAGTTCATCGATAGCAGGCTGTCTCTGCAAGCTTACTGGGGACAACTCCGACTTTACCAAGAGTTCCTCGCCTCAAAATCATTGTCAACATTGCTAACAAGAAAAGAGAACCACAACTCGAATACAATTTCTCTGCAACCAACTCTGAAGTATGAAATGCTTCTATACTAAGCAAACTCCATCGTCAATGGCAGATCATGGTACATCTGATAGTCAAAATCAGTGCTCCACTCCAGAATAAAGCACTTCACCAAAGCAACAACATCCATCGTGCCCAAAATCTCCCTCTCTGAAGTCCAAAACTCAGTCACATCCAATTTCTTCGCATCGCTGGTCTGTGCAATACATACTGCAATATCAGTAACCACTCTCACAGAGTCACCAGAATCTCCTTTACCAGCACTGACTGCCGCAGCCGCCATGTCTGCCATGTAATCAGAGACAAACTTAGACTCCCACCCCTTGGCTTCCAGTTCAGTGGCATGTTGCTTTACAGCATTGTGCAGTATATTGGCCAATTCAGCTCGATGGCGGTTCATGCGAGATTTGCTGAATGCGACCAGGATATCTCGTAGACCGCGATGTATGCTGTAAGAAAGAGATGACCATGGAAAAAAGTCCATAGCTTGACCAAGCACTTTCTGCTCTTCCTTTCCCACAAACATCTCCACTTTCTTGTCTGTTTCTGTGCTGTCGAGGATAAGTTTGAGTGCATCTTCGGGATCTGGGTGGTGAGGTTGTAGGAGGTCGGCTCTGAGCCAGTCGACTTCGTACACCCTGCCTCCTAGCATGTTGTACAGATGACGTCCACTGTGAGCTCCAGGAAACCCCTTGGAGGCGAACTTCAAGATGTAACGGCCTGGACGCTTGCGGCCAGAGAAGGCAATTTTGAAGGTTGGGTTTGATTCAGTGGAGACGATGCCGGCCATCAACTCCATACACGGTGCTACCCGTCGCTCAAACGAAGAGGGATACACATCCGTTCCTGCCGAGTGTGAATCATGGGCTTCGAAGTGGATTATGGCAGGCCCGCCTAGAGGCCAATCGATACGCCATTGGCCAGAATAGCAGCCATATGCGACACGATGGCCTGCAGCATCGCTGTGGTGATAGACTGGTCGAGCATTGGTCAGGGCCAACATGGTCATTAGAGTTGCTCTGTTCAAAGTGACGCAGGCAGAAGTCCCTCTACGTATGAGAGGTGTTGTCTTGAGATTACTCCAATTACCAGATCCAAGGTTTTTGAGCTCCACCCCCTTTCCTGGCCGGACGATTTCGCTCTCAAGCTCGCTATCCGCAGATGGGGTTCTGGATGTCTTGATCGCTTCTTGATGAACAACAGACAACAACACAGCTCACCCAGCCAAGCCAGCTTGACCCTGCGGAACACGCGATAGATGAACAGTCTTGAGTCCGCAGAATCCACCTTCACGATGTGCAGTCAACACGGGTCCAAGTAGCGGAGGCTTAACTATCTTGTAGATTGGCAACTGTGGTTGGCGTTGGGACCACACACCCAAGTACGCCACGCTACGAGTATCGTGGAAAGGATCAAGCATATCCGTTACAACAGTGGCTTGCGAGATCAAAGTAGTCAAACCGGCCGTAGTGACGACAATAGACAGCCATCCAACCACCGTGTCAGGGGCGTTCGTCATGTGAGAAATACCAGCGACGACTGCAAAAGCTGCAAGATGAGAGCGAAAGTCATGGGTCGAATTTGGGAGCGGGTTCCAGGAAGCCATGATTGTTTGATATGTATGCGATGATAAAAGTACATTGCATCAAGCAAGCTGTGGAGGCATAGACGTCTTTAGCAGAACTACTCCTTTTGGTCCATGTCGGCAAGATACATATCCAGTAGAGTCGAGATTGGCGCGCAACTCGAGTGGGCGCATACACGCTGCGGCTCATTGGCTGGCAATTTGAATAACCGGTTGATGTAATCGGAAGGTCAGGCCATGTCAGAAACACGAACATTGGTTCACAATACTGTTGCAGCTCTCGATCTTGCTAAGGATCATGTTCTGTTGCATTGAAAATGTCAAACTGCCGTTTCTGCATGTCATTCATATCATGTCTTTATAGTCTGCCTTCTCTCAGCTTTCCTCCTCTTTTTGACACTGTCTCGCCAACGCTTACTTGGAAGCCTCCTTCATCTTGGCCACACGGGCAGATGTTCTCTTGACGACATCCTCCTCATTCCAGATGGTGAGAGCGCTGGGAAGCTCAACGACAGCCTTGGCCCACTTGCCAGTGTTAGGCAGAGCCTCGATAGACTTCTTAAGCGACGAAGGCAAAAGGTTGCCCTCCTTGGAGAAAGCGAAGAAGCGGATCAGGAAGGGAGCGATGATAGCCTATACCTCAAGTCAGTACTACAATTATCAATGCGATCGACAGTAAAACACACCTCAGCAAGCGTGGGCTTATCCTTTCCACCAAAGAAGGGACCAGCATTGGCCAGCAAAGGCTCAATCTCCTTTTCAATAGCAGCCACAGTCTCCTTGGCCAGCTTCTCCTTCTCCTCACCCTCAGCCTTCATCATAGGGTACAAGTTTCCCTGCACCTTTGTATTCCACGTGTCCACAAAGAAAGCCAATCTGGCTCTAAACAGCGGGGAGAAAGGGTCGTGAAGACTGCTAGGCAGCAAGTGCGAAGGACGAGCGTCGGCGAGGAATTGTGCGACAATGCTGGACTCGGTGATGATTTCCTCATCGTAAAGACCGGGGACTGTGTATTTGATGGATGGCACAAGACCGCGAGGGTTGATGTCTAGGTACCATTGTTCGCGGGGCTTGTCGAGGTCGATAATTACTTCGTCAAAGTCCAAGCCTAGCTCTTCCAGAGTGATGTGGGCGCGGTGGGCAAAAGGGCAGAGGTGGTTGGTGTAGAGGGTGATCTTGGGTTGGATACCCTTGCTGTCGCCGTGGTTGCTTTCGCCGTTGGTGTAGCTTGCCATGATTGCTGTGTCGTGACTGATTCAAATGTGTGGAGATTTCGAATAGACAAGTCTGATCAGCTTCTTATGAAGGTCATGTTTCGTGATATGCCGTGATCTTTTGGCGGGTGGGGTACTTCGTCATCAATGGATTTAACCGGAGTTATACATTTATCCCTACGGCTGCGGAACGACATAACTTCCGAGGACAAGCATCATTATAAATGGAGGATGGATCTGTTGCAAGTGATTATCAAGCGTGCATGTATCTCATCGATCCTGCGAGGTCCAACCATAGCTGTCAAGATGCAGAGAACTTTTGTGAAGCGAGGACATGGAAGAAGAGAGAGATGTCTAATCATTAATCTATAGAGGAGTAGTTCTATCAGCCCATTCAAAGTGACTGTGACTGACAAAGGCGATAGTATACACCTTGCTGCTTGATCAACTCAACGTGAGTACCCTGCTCAACCACATTGCCTTGATTCAAGACAAAGATTTTGTCTGCATCCTTGATTGTTGAAAGGCGATGAGCAATGGCAATCGTGGTACGACCAGTAGAAGCTTGAGCAATAGCCGCTTGTACCAGCTTCTCGGACTCCGTATCCAGTGCCGATGTTGCTTCGTCAAGTAGCAGGACTTGTGGTTGGCGAATGAGTGCTCTGGCGATCGACACGCGCTGGCGTTGACCTCCTGACAGTCGCGTACCTCCTGCTCCGCATCCAGTTTCCAATCCCTCAGGAAGAGATGTGACAAAGTCCCAGATATTTGCTTGACGACAGGCAGCTTCGACCTCGGCTTCTGTAGCTGTGTCGACCGATCCCAGGAGAATGTTGTCGCGGACGCTCGTGTTGAAAAGACTTGGCTCCTGTTGCACATATGCAATGCCATCTCTGTACTTGCGAGGACAGTAAGAGCTAAGCTCTTTGTGGTGATGCTTGATTTTTCCAGCAGATGGCTCGTAAAATCGCTCAAGTAGCGAGATCACAGTGCTTTTGCCGCAGCCTGAAGCTCCAACGAATGCCACAAACTCGCCCTGACTGATCTCAATATCCAAGCCTTTGATGATTGTGTTTTTTGGGCGAGTGCTGTAAGCAAACTCGACCTTTTCTAGCTCGAATGTAGCAGAGTCCTTCTGGGCCTTCTCGTTCTCAGACGGTTGAAGACACTGGTCATGCATACCAATGCGAGGGTTTTGAGAACGAAGCCAGAGTATCTCGTTGGCGCCAGCACGAGCCTTGCTCAGACTAGTACTGTAGGCGATCATCTGGACTGAACCTTCGGCAGCAAAGACGACTGCGATAAATACGGTGAAGAACTGTGTCGTGCTGTATTCACCATAGGACATTAACCGAGCACCGTACCACAAAGCCAACGCCATAGCAGCAAATTCGATGGCTTGAGCCACAGCAAAGAACATGTTGGCAGTGAGGATCATCTTGCTCGACCTCTTGGTAATGTTTCTGAGTTGTGCCTGGTATTGGTCGATGATGTGCTGTTCCAGTGCAAGGGAAGCAACTGTTCGGATGGCTGAAACTGCCTCGCTCGCGGTAGCTGCACTGTCAGAAAACAGTCTCTCGGTCTTTTCTTCAAGCCTCACTTCCATTCTTAGACGGCCGTATCCCATGCCCACAACAGGCACCATAATCGTGAAGATAGCCACAAGTGCCAGCTTCCAACCAAAAATAATGGCGGTGACAGATGAGGATACCAGCATGATCAAGACGATTAAGAGGAGCGCAGAATTGAGGCCGATAAACTCGAGCAGGTTCGCAGGCGCTTGAGATAAGCGAGACACGATTGCTCCAGTGCCGTTCTCTGGTAAGTCGAAGTACTCCATGTCTTGGTAGATGATATTCTTGAACATGTCTTCACGATAAGCTCTCGAGATGACCTGGCAGACAACATTCGAGACATAACCAGCGACAAAGTACAAAACGCCGTTGATGATCGCCACGATGAACAACATCAACGCGTAGAAGTTTCCTCGGTCGGTCAGCTCTGAGCCTTGCAGCTGGAATGTGGTGATAAGTCTGCTGATGAGAATCGCAATGGCAGGATAGGTTAGACCTCCAACCACACAAGCAATACCGATGATGAGTAGATTCAGCCAGCAGTCCCGGCGCTCTTTGACGAAGATGGCAAAACACTTCAACAAGCTGTAATTGAGCGTGTGTGCGCGTTCATCCTGAGATCTATCAATCTCTTGACCAACACCAGCCGACTCCTTGCGTGACAAGACACGGTGGGCACCAGCTTCTGTAGAAACAGCGTCTTTGTTGTCAGAAGTCTCGTCGTCGTTTCCAAGATCTTGAGCCATCACGAGACGGTAGTAGGCGCCTTGTTGTTCTAGAAGTTCTGCATGGGTGCCTTGCTCTCGGATGACACCCTTGTCGAGTACCACAATCCTGTCGGCGTTCTTGACGGTGGAAAGCTTGTGTGCAATGACAACAGTCGTCCTTGATCCTTGCAGGCGATCGAGTGCGCTTTGTACTTGGTGTTCAGCCTCAGGGTCGAGAGCACTTGTGGCTTCGTCCAGCAGAAGAATTTTGGGGTTTGAGATGATGCTTCGGGCAATTGCGATTCGCTGTTTCTGTCCGCCTGAAAGCATACTGGCTCGCTCACCCACGACAGTTTGGTACCCATCTGGAAGGTTTCTGATGAAGTCGTCTGCATTTGCATCACGACAAGCTTCAACAACTCGAGCCTCGATCTCCTTCTCGGGTAAATCTGCTGCGCCAACGAGACCAAGTCGAACGTTCTGGTAGATGGTAGTGTTGAATAGCACTGGTTCTTGTTGGACGAATCTGACCTGAGTACGGAGCCATTGGACGTCAAGATCGCGAACATCTCTTCCATCGATCTTGATGGTTCCAGACTCCGCCTCGTACCAACGCTCCATCAAGCCCACGATGGTCGATTTTCCGGATCCGGATGCACCGACCAGAGCAATCGTACTTTTCGCAGGAACCTTCAATGAGAAATTGTGAAGGACTCGGACATCTGGTCTTGAGGGGTAGGAGAAGTTAATGCCGTTTAGCTCGATCTCTCCATCGACAGTTGAAGGACGCTCTCCCTTCTTCTCGAGGGGATCAAGGAGAGACTTCCGTTCAATCACCTCAAGCAGTTCCTCAGCACTCGAGGCACTCTTAGCAATAACCTGCATCTGAGGAGCCACTTGGGTGACAGATTGTGCGGCGACAAGGACAGCGAAGATTACTCTGAGCCACGTCAGCAGTCATTTCCAAAGATGTCAAGGTCAAGTATAAAACGTACGTTATAATCTTGCCAGGAGCTTCAATCTCGCCCCTAGCATACATGTGAATTCCTTGCCAGAAGGCGAGGCCATAGCCAGCGAACACGAGGAAGAATTCGTTGCAGTAGAGCACTCCCCAGTTGAGTGACTTGCGCATACCTTGCTTTTTAGCATCGTCCAGAATCTGATTGTGTCTCTCAATCATTCGAGGTTGAGACCAGTAAGCGTGGACAACGCGGATGCTGGAGAATACTTCTGTGGCAAGTTCACCGGCCTTTCCGTATAGTTTCATGCACTTGTTTTCCTGAGAGGCATCAATTGCAACACCAATGCCAGTTGTGATGACGATGGCTGGTAGGATGCAGATTGTGATGAGTGCAAGTTTCCATTGTACTGCCAGAGCAACGATGAATGCTGTGACCAGCGCACTAATGGCCTGAACTATTAACCCAAACTTCTCAGCAATGCCCTGCTGCACAAGGTTGGCGTTCGTGGTCACTTTGACGGCAGTAGCTCCGGTGTTGCCACTGTCAAAAAAGGCAATCTCTTGCCTCAATGTCTTATCGATGCAGTCAATTCGTAGAGCTCGCACAGTTCGCATGGCAGCGAACGAGATAGTGACTGTTCCGACATAGAACACAACCAGTTTCGCTATTGCGAGGTAGACAAGGTATAGACTTAAGGAAGAGGTTAGCATTATTTCTCATTGATTGATCAACTGATATTCGTACCTAGCTCGTGCAATCTCAGAGCGGAAGTGTCCAACACTGATGTTTCCTTGGGCGAAATCATTGAAGGTGTTGACGAATTGGCCAAAAATCAAGTCTAAGAGAGGTAGGGCCGTTCCTGATACGATCATGCAAAGGATACCAACAGCGTACAAGATGATACCGAGTCGGTCGGCATATGTGAACATACGCTACACAACATAAGCTGATATATCTCGGCAAACATGACCTTACTTACAAAATACGCCGACCATCCTTGTGTTTTTGCTGTTTCGCCTTCCGAGCTAGCGACTGAGGACGCCTTTTCGTTATCTGACATTCTGGAGATTTTGAGTTGTGCCTATGAAACTGCATTGCGAAAGTCTAGCAGAAGCCACGATGTTATATTCTAGAGATCAACACAGGCTCCTTGCTGTCATCAGTCAAAATCGTTTGATGTCGATGTCTTTTCGGTGTTCGCGGAGCCCGGCTTGTCGCAGGACATTCTAGGGAGGCTACAAACAGAGACCAGCTTGAAAGGGTGTTAAATACACAGCTTGGCGGCTTAGCTTTGCGCATTTGAGACGGATTGGGAAGGTCAAGCCGTTCTTTACGCTTGACTCTCGCTGTCCGCGGGTCACCGAAGCTTGCGAAGGAACAAACAATCGTCCACTTCTTCATCATCCTTTGAGAATTGTTTGACTATGCAAAGTTATCTCCGCTGCCTGCAAATCATTGCAGCCTGCCACGCGCCCAGTCTTGGCTCATGCAATATATTCATTGAAGGCGCTGTTAGTGCATCTTGCAAAAGCATTCAGGGCAAACCGAACATCTACCATACGCTGTACGGTGCTGGTCATTGACTACGTTCTCGGGTCCTCGGTCATTCTGCTATCCGAGAAGGGCCCAAGACTACTGCTTCCTGTCGATATCGAACGTTTCATAGCCAGGATGACAGATTCTGAGGATGGAGGGTCGACTGCTTTCAGCAAGTCATTGCCAAGAGCTGTATGTCCATCAAGCCAATGCACCGTTTCTTTACTGACATGGAATCGATTCTAGTGTGACAACTGTCGTGTCAGAAAAGTAGGGTTTTGACACCACTCGATAAAGTGTTCAATTGTGCAAGGCTGACAAGCTCTTAGGTCCGTTGTGACAAGACTACACCCTGTTCCAATTGTCGAACTGCTGGGGTTACATGCAAAATTACTAGCCGGCAAAATGATATCACTAAACCACGATCCAGAGTTCTCATTTCTAATCAGTAGTAAGTAGTTGACTCTTAATTTTCGTAATGCTCAATGCTCACCTGAAGTAGCGAACAAAAAATAGACCGTATGGAACAAAGACTCGAAAGTATCGAAAAGTTGTTGCAAGTATTGGCCTCGACAGCGAAGACCCCTTCAGACAACGAACAGTCTACATCGTCTTCGTCAAACTTTACGCCTGCAGGAACTGCAGCTATAGCCGTACCCACTCCTCAAGTCGAACAATTCGAGGGTGAATCATCTTTGGTGGCTCATTCGAGACAAGCCCATGAAGCCCTGCAAAGACTCTTAGAATCAGCACCGATCACGATTCGAAACGACCCTAACACAGTCAGCGCTCTGGCCGCTTTGCGAAATCTCCTCGAGAAACACCGATCCGAACCACCTAGTCTTAACCTGCTGTCGAAAGATGGATCGCCACAAGACTTACAATACTCCGATCTACCTCCAAGAGAGGAGGTGCTGATACTTCTTGCTTACGTCGAAGGTATTGATCAACCTCTTCTTACTGCTGAGCCTGACTGACCCTGAGTTTAGCGGATCCAATGAGCGATCTGTTCACCTGGTGGTTGTTCGAAGACATCGAGGATTTTTACAAAATGTATGACGAGTTCTGTCAATCACCGGTAAACTGTCCACTTGCAATATCTATACTGGTTTACTGTGCGTTATGCTGGCTCTTGGACGGCAATCCGATCATGACAAGAGCGGGAGTCGATGTTACCAAGTACTCTCGATACGTCTCCACATGCGAGAGGCACCTGGAGTCATTAATATCATCCTACAGCCTCTTCTTGGAGCCCACTGAACTCAACATAGCAGCTCTATCTGCAGCTGTATGTATCTCTCTACTTGGGTATATGTGGCAGTACACATGCTGACCGGTCTTAGGGCGCGTACGCGATATATGTGGCTGATGTCAATGCGGCTTGGATCATGACGAGCTCTGCAGCGCGGCTATGTCAATCTTTAGGATGGCACCGTTTGACTCCTGAAAGGTGTGGCGGAGATGAAAAATACCACAGGAAGGCTGTGTTGTTCTGGTCAGTGTACTTTATCGACAAGTCGTTATCACTGCGCCTCGGTCGTGCATCCGCCATGCAGGACTATGATATCTCGACTTCTCTCAAGGACCTTTGTGGTGTCTGGGACCGCCAGGAGGGAGGTCACCATAAAATGTTCGCGGGATGGGTTGAGCTATCAATCGAGATGGCGTCGCTGCAGGTGAGCATTCAACCCGTCTATCCGATACATGCGGGTACTCATCGTTCTAGGGCGTCATTTATGACAGACTGTACTCACCGGGGAGCACGAAGAGTCTTTCAGAGCGACAGAAGGTTGGACAAGATCTCATTATCAAGATCCACGAGATACTGGTACTAAATAACAAAGTCAGTCAAAACAGCTCGATACATTGGTTGTCTATACTGACTCCAACTCTAGTGCTTCGGAAACGGGGACTGGCTACTCGAGTACACTGATTTCTACAAAGAGTCCGGCGACGTTGTTCTCTACAGCCTGTTTACACTCGTCTATCGAGCCATGCCAGATGTCTCCAACGCTCATCAATTATCTCTCCAAGCAGCAAGATCAACCATGCAGGTCCATTATAGCTGCAGCAAGAAGGTCGAAGCCATGGGTGCAGGTGTCAAAATCGAATATATGACTTGGTAGGTCGAATCTCCACATTCTCTAACTCAACTCGAGTACTAACAGAAGCACAGGTCCATCATGCTATGTCCCTTCACACCCTTCATCGTCCTCTTCCGCAACGTAATCACCGACCTCAATCTCGACGATCTGAAACTTCTCGAAGATTTCGTCACCAGCATAGAATGGATCAACGACAAAAGTCAGCGCGAGCCCCTCCAACGCTTCGGCCAACTCTGTCAAGCATTCTACAATCTCGCCAAACACTTTGTCGCTGCCAGGTTGCGTGCAGATAATGAACACAGAGCCATGACGAGTGCGGGTCAAACACTGGTATTGAACACAATGCAGCAGCCTGATTTTGGAACGCCACCGCCGCAGTCACAGTTGGGTGATATGGCATTTCCCGAGGACTTCCAAACTTGGATGGACACGAACATGGATTTTATGAACGACAATTGGTTGGCTTTTGGAACGCTTTGAGGGTGGGTTTTCTACCTTCCTAAGGCTTCCTTCGGTTATCGAAGAAACCATCTTGTGATGCATCAAACCCGACACGACAGCCCATCCAAAACCTGGAGCAGTAGCCTTGATCAGCACCTGCAAGACAGGATGATGATATTCAACGCGCGTCTGGTCGCTCACTATTTCGTGGTTCTACAACTCGTTCGTCATTTTGCTCTATGGTGGAATGTCCTACAGAGCAGCCCGATGTGAGCACACCACATGACTATGGCATCAACGATTCTCACGTGTTCCACACCCAACACATCAACACCCCACATCTTCCACGGATTGTCTTCGGAATCTATACTCCGAAGGTTTCCTTTTCGCGCAACCAAGCCATACTTCATGGAGATAAAGAATGTTCAACTCCTCACATTTCTTCTCGGCTGGCAGGCGTACACGTTCTCACTGCTCTTCTGGAAATTGGTCGGGTTGGCAATCTTTCTCCAATGATGCACAAAAAGTAGATCATCAGTAATCACTGGAGTGTCGCACTGATCATTAGTCCATACCCATCACGCTTTTACCTTTCACGATTACCCTCAACTACAACAATCCATCCATCCATAAACTTCTCCATTACTTTCCTCGACAGTAACATCCAATCGTCATCATGACGTATGTTATTTTTCCCAAATCATTCTCCATGTTTAAAGGTTGTGCTTATCTGCTGTGGTATAGACCCATTTTCCAAAAACAGCCAGAGTTAGAAACACATGATTTCAATTCGCGTCCTCAGTACTCAGTCTGCATATCTAAAACTCTCACATCCGCTACACATACCTTATAGAAACACAAGAAACATGAAATTACCATGTTAGAACCAATCGTGTTGGTGTTACCGTCGATTATATCGACACAAATATTGTAAATGGTGTCACCCTGTCAGAGAGGCTTTACCAGTCTTGGCGCGTTTCAGAGTGCGACATAAGATCAACGTCGATCACAAAAAGATTTGTGCCCGTCACAACACGTAACGATCAAAAACACATGCAGGTCAAAAGGAAGCAGGTGGAGAAATGGAAATATTTGCTCGCTCATTCGAAAGACAAACAACAAAAAAGGATCCCTAGGTATCAATCTGTGTGTTCCCCAGGCGCAATCCTCCTTTCAATAAACTAAAGACTACATTATCGACTCTTTGTTCCGATTGTGCTTTTTGTGATGTTCATGGGTAATGTGAAAAAGTTTCATCAATCTTCGTTGAATCCATCATCGCGACCGTATCAATGTGTGGTGATGTTGGCTCTTTACAGAAGAGGTGCCTCCTCTCTGACTTGCTCGGGGGCAGAGTTCTCGTGGTAGACATTCTCGTCCTTGAGAACGGGAAGAGTGTGTGAGGCGGCGCTGGGCTCGGTGGTAGGGACGCTGGGAGCGTTGAACTCAGTCAAGGGCTCAGTGGAGCGGTCGATGCTTTCCGAGGCAGTGCTCTGGGAGCCGAAGGAGTTGTAGGAGTTACCAGTGGCGTTCGAGGTCTTGTCGGCGGCAGACTGGGCAGTGGCAGAGGTCTTGTCAGCAGCGACCTGAGCGGTGCTGGCGGCAGAGTCGTAAGCGTTCTGAGCAGTGGCCGAGGTCTTGTTGGCGGCGTCCTGAGCGGTAGCGGAAGTCTTGTTAGCAGCATCCTGGGCGGTAGCAGCGGCCTTGTTGGTGAGGTCGTTGGCGGCGTTCTGGATGTCCTCCTTCTTGATCTCTCTCTCGGGCTCGTTCTTGGCGGGGTTCAGGTTGGCAGGGTTGGGGGCATCAGCCTGACCGGCACGGTGCTTGGCCTGACCGATGAGCTCGGAGGCGCGGTTGGAGAGGTCAGTGGCAGTGCTCTTTGCGATGTCGGTGGCATGCTGGGTCTGCTCGGCAGCGATGGTGCGAACCTGCTGGGTCTGCTCGTTGATGATGGTGCTAGCATTCTCGATCTGGGCGTCAATGACCTCGCGGTTGTTGATGTAGACGAGGGGGACGGTGTAGATCAGAGTAGTGAAGAGAAGAGCAAGACCCCAGGTAGGCATGATCTTGACGAGGAAGTAAGAGATGAAGGTAACGAAGAAGGCACCGACGGTGACAAAGACGTTCTCGCCGAACATGATGCGCTGGAACTCAATGACGAAGAAGTTGATGAGTTGCTCAACATCGTCCAGAGAGGCCTCGAGGGTCTCACGGGGGATGGTGTAGTACTTGCGAGGGCGCATCTGCGAGGCGAAGCCACGGTTCATGACAAGCTTGCCCACGACTTCAGCGGCAGCAGTGACTGGAGGGTTGTCAGTTGGAGATCTCATCAGAATGGCTTGGTGGAGCTACTCACTGCCGAGGACGATGTAGAGCGCCTTGAAAAGGTACTTGAGGATGGGTACGTAGCGGGTGAAGAAGATGAAGGTGAGGATTGAGGCGAAGGAGATGGTGGTGACACGGGGGTTCTCCCAGCTGAGGAGGTTGTAGAAGAAGGAGTGGTAGTGGGTCAATGACTGGCCAGTGGCAGCGGGCTGCTCGGGCACTCTCTTTGAGTCCATCAGGTTGGAGTACTCTTGCGAAGTCTTCTCGCCCTCAATTCTGGCCTTCTCGGCAGCGGGGCCGTTGGCGATGTTTTGGTAAGCAGCGTTGGCATCTGAAGACATGGTGAGTAGGAGCTCAGATTTGCTCAATTGTGTACGAGTACTGTGGAGAGAAAGAAGTCAGCAAGGTTGAAGTCGAATTGGAGGACAGCTTCAGTTTGTTGACAAGGCTGATTGGGTAGCGAAGCAGCAAACGCCCACCAGGAAAAAGCTGCCGCTGTAGATTGATGCGTCACACAGCGTGCCTCTTCTCGATGAGCAGAAACCGCCAGAGCTATGGATATGGGAAAGTCGGCCACGTACCTTACTGTTGACGACAGCGTCCTTTGCGTTTTGCAGCTGGGGGTTGAGGTTGGGGTAGTTTGTGTTCGACATTGCGGCGGCTAGTCTGTGAGATGTTCAGCAACGATGCTCGAGGAAGCAAGGGCGAGCAGGTGCAGATGATGCCTACCGATCGATTGGAATAGGAGATGGGAAAAGGTGAAGATGACAGACAAGGATGCGTTGAGGAAGAAGCACGCGACAGAAGAGATGTTAACACCCGCAGCCCGGCAGCTTCCCAAGCTCGCGCCCTGATTTTTGGTGCAAAACGTCATCCGCGCGAAACAATCCGCCATCCGTGCACTTTCACATGCACGACTGTTGCAACAAACACAAGGAACTTTGCTGCCCTCGTCATTGATCGTGCCTTCCCCGATTCGCTGTCTTTCCTGCTGCCTCCAGCCACAAAGACACACATATTCCGGTATTCACTCCACCCAATCTTGTTTAACACATAATGCATTTAGAGAGTAATACCATCGACTTGCTGCCAGAATCTTCTATTCGACTCCCCGTCCTATCCCGACGCTGTATCGTTTCATCCGTCCTTTTCGGATCCACCCAGCATCGCAAACAAATAAAGATCGACCACTAAAAGCCACAGACCCGCTACCCAAAACTCCGTTGCGGCTGAAAAACGAGCCTCATGCCCAGAACAAGAAGAGATGAAAGAAATACGAAATTCTTGTGCTCTTGAATGCACACATGCTCATGCCGTCCATCATGTTTAAGCGTCCTGTCCGAACCTCCAGCCACCTTCCTTGACCACGCGTGCACGCATCTCGCGATCCTTGACCTTTTCCTCTTTCGTGACTGCATCTCCGGTATCAACCCAGCGAGCTGAAGATCCACGCTCACGGAACTTCTTCAATCGTTCGGGGTTCTTGCTGTTGCGGAACACCTCCTCCATCTGTAGCGGTGCGATGGGTCCGAAGATGCTTTCAGGATCCACCAATTGCTGCTGCGTGAGCAAATCGCGAAGTGCTGGTGAAGCAACCCAAGATGGTGCTCGGAAGCCGCCAGTTTGATCATCGTCCGAGTCTTCATCTTCACTGTCTGTGGCAATCTCAGGCAGGTTGATGTTGTCGCCGTTGGGGTACAAGGGCGAGGATTTGGCAGATTTAGGCACCGATTTCTTAGAAATAACCTGAGCTGCCGGTCGTCCAGGAGTCTTGAAGGCGGATGGGGGTGGTCCCTTGCTCGAAGATGCTCCAGGAGGATTGGAGTTTTCTGCAAAAGGAATTCGGGCGGTTGACAGCTTCATCATGTCATTAGGGTGCATGCCTGCTTTGGCGTGCTGTGCGTAATGTTGCGCGGTAACTGTAGCCTTCAACATGTTCTGAGAATGGTGAGCAGCCGGTGGAGGTGCATGCGTGTAGCCATGAGGGAACTTGTTCAAGGTAGACTCCTTGCGCATGTTGGATGGTCTCTTGGGAGGAGCTGTCAATGCATTGTCTGATGGTCGGTCGACCTCATCATCCTCGCCCTCCAGAGTCTTGCGTCTCTTGTCACCTTGCTGCTGGTACGATGCTGGCGCTCTGCCAATAGTAGGACGCTGCGATGACTCTTCTGCATCTTGCTGGAGTGGGCGCTTGGCGGGCTTTGCAGTGTTGGCTTGTGGTGCGGGTCGGTCCTGCTTGGACAGCTGTCTCAATGTGCCGCCAATGTCGCCACGGGGGAGCGTAGATTGTGCTTGTTGCTTCTCCTGTCTCTCCTGCTCGAGAGTGGCAGCCTGAAGTAGTCAGTACATGTAAAAGCCTTGTCAAATAGTCCAAACTTACCAGCTCAGCACTCTTCTTCTGTTGCAAAGCTACCTGTCTTTGCTGCTCGATCTTCCTCTGCTCAGCCTGCTTCTGTGCCGCGATTCTGATCTCTTGAAGTCGCTGCTGCTCAGCCGCCTTACGTTCCTGCTCTGCTTTGCGATCTTCTTCGGCCTTGGCAGCTCGCTTGCGTTCAATCTCGCGCTTTTGTTCTGCCTTCTTTTGAGCCACCTTCTCATCTTGCTCCTTCTTTCTAGCTGCAGCCTCGAGGGCCTTGACACTGCGAACTGAGCCAGCACCAGCGCCGACTGACTTTGACAATGTGGGAGGTTGAGCGCTGCCAGCTCGCGATGGCTGTTGACGGGTCGGCGGAGCGACGCTCATGTCCTGAGAAGAGCTTCCCGGCTGAGTGGAACCAAGTCTCTGTGATCCTGATGCAACCTTGATGCTGACAGGAGCAGGCTTTGGTTGAATGCTACCCAATCTAGAAGGCTTGGCTAGTCTGCCAGGTGCTCTCAGCTTGCCTGCTGGGGCGCCAGTTTTCGGGGGTACTGGAGGGCCTGTCTCATCAACATCGCTTCCCTCGTCCGCAGTTGACCTCCATGATTGTTGAGAAGCAGCTCCAGGGCGAGCGGCAGCTGCGAGTCTCTCCTTCTCCAATCGTGCAGCCTCGGCAGCCTTTTCTTTCTCTGCCTTTTCGTGAGCTTTTTGGGCCTCTTGCTGTCTAACTCTTTCCAGATCGTCCATGGCACTTTGTTCGTCTTTGTTCTTACGGGCGTGTTCAGTAGAGCTGCGGGTGCGTCTGCTTCCACCAGTTGCAGCAAGAGCGGTGGCCGGCCTGTTTTGGCCAAGATCAGGGTACAATCCACCAGGCATCCTAGACATGTCCGGATCAGGGCGCTCGAAAGTTGCAGCAGAAAGTGGGCGGGGAGAAGAGAGTGAGCCCAATTTCGCATGGGCGCTGGCCGCAGCACTACTGCCAAACATGCCCTTGGCAGATTTAATGACCGAGTAGAATTTGGCCTTGGATGCACTGATTGGAGCATCTGCGAACTTCTGTTTTGCTGGAGAAGCGAGAGGAGAAGCGGTAGGAGTAGAAGCGCCAACAGTGGGAGGGAAGTTGGGGTTAGAGACCGAAGTGTTCTTCTGATGATGAGCATGGTGAGGAGCGGTTGCGACCTTTGCGGGAGAAGCGAGGGTGGCTGTTGAGTTGGACTTGTGGTGACCCATGAAATACTTGGATGGCGATTCGCGTAGTGCAGGCTTGGGGATTCCACTAAATGCTGGCTGCGCTTCCTCGACCGAGGCCGAATCAGAGACTTGGTCGTTCAGCTTCTGAGTGTCGACGCCACTAGCGGCACGAGAGCTGGTACGGATAGGAGCAATCCAGTCATCGTCGTCGTCCACAAGCGGTTGAGTATCTCCAGGCATGTTCTCTTGAGAAGCCCCGGCAGTAGACCTGTGTTCGTGAGCGGGCAGAGAAGGATAAATCGGCATGTGAATCGACTTTGAGGTGCGAGGCTCCTTTTGCTGGCCGAGTAAAGTTATACGCTCGTGCAGTCTCTGAGTTGACGTCTTGTTATGTTCATCGGCATCGTCTGCTGGCTGAGAGGGTCCCTGCTGTGTAATACCAAAGCTCTTACCCAAGGCACTGGTACGAGCACCACCGAACGCGTCCATGTGACTACCTCTTGGGCCAATGCTTCGCTTAGCAGTCAGAGGCTCGCGAGCAGGCAGCGCGGCGAAAGTCAAACTGCTCTTACGCGTCAATGGCTTGTCGGGTGTAGATGTGTCGGATGGCGATTTGGCGTTCTCGTCTTCTTCCTCCAGCTCTTCCTCATCTGCCATGTCGTTTTCTTCCTGGGCCTCCTCGGCTTGCCAGTTCTCGTCGGCGAACGGCGCGTTCGAGTCCTGTGTGACGGGTCGGCTACTAGACTCGGGGTCAGGCACAGTGGCCTGGTCATCGTCTTCTGCGACGTTCTCTGCGACGTTCTCAGCATCTTCGTTGGCCGAAACAAAGGAAGCCGTGTCGTTAACTACGGGATCATTTGTGACGTGCTCTTGCAGAGGCTCGAGATCGGGGGCTTGGGCGTGGCTGTTCTTGATCATGGACTGCTGCGAGTCCACATCCATCTCATCCTCGGTCATACCGTGGTAGCCAGAGTCGGTGTTCTCCTTGCCGACGCGTAGAGGGCTTCTTCTAGAAGTTCCTGAGCGAGGGCGCTCTTGGTCGGCATCCTGGGCAATCTGGAATTGGGCGACCTTGGAGTAGAAATTGTTCTTGGGAGCAGGGCTGAAGGTGGATTGAGGGTTGGGCGCAAAAAGGTCAGTCAGAGGCTAGACATCTTGTTAGCCTGCTTTTCATCATCATCATGGTTGAACGTCACTTACGGCACGAGCGGCGTTCTTGCGCGCAGTACGGGGAGTCTTTCCTCGTAGCTTTCCAGGAGTCTTAAAAATGTCGGCAAAGCTTCTGCGCAAAGGTAAGCGCGTGTCCTCAGCAAAGAGTGTGGGCAGCATACACAGGATTGCTGCTGAAAATCTCGGCCATGTGCTCGTTCAGCCATTCCATCTCATTCTGAGCAGCATAGCCAAACTCCTCGACCTCCATGTCCACGAACTCGGCGGCCTGGTCGCGCTCAGTCTGGATCCATTGCGACGAGCCGACAGGGGCCGTCTTGAAACGAGGCGCCATGGTTGTATGTTAGACGCGTTGTTGTTGTGCTTCGACGGCAGCTAGCCAGGGAATGAATGCGCCGAAAGTTGTCTGAGCTGGACGTGCAGTTGATCAGACTAGATCATGTCGTTAGTCGTAATTGGTTGGTGTCGAGTTTCCGGACGACGTGTTTGGGGAGGCGCAAAGATGAGACCTCGAAGCTGCTTTGTTGTGACATGTTGCATGCATGTTTATCCCCGTCAACTTTGGCCCATCATTGTCTTGGCGCCACCTCGACCAATCACGCTTCACCTTACCTCGATGATCCAGACTGTCTCAATTCCGACATTCTACCGATGTCACGAGACAGACACGCTTGCGGTTAAATGTCGGCTAGACAGTCTGGGTCTCCGAGGTAAGCTTCACCGGCCCGTATTGCTTTCTCCCCGCCGCTTGATCAACCTTCCATCATCATCGTCTGAAACCCCTCAATCGGCGTCTTCATCCTCTAGCCGAGTACCAGAGCATTATAACAGTAGGTTGTTCAAACAAGTATTATCTCTGTCAATTCTGTCCCCCTTTTCTCTTTCTCTGCGTCCGTTGTCTCTTTCAAAATGTCCAGACCCTTACTATCTCCTTTCCGTGCTCTCTCAAGACCTTCCCTCATCAAAAGTGCTCTTCAACCATTACCATGGGCCAGGACTTTCTCTGTTTCCAGACCTACTCGTCTAATGGAGACCTCCGGCTTTTCAGAGGAACAATTGGAAGTTCGCGAAGCAATTTCAAAAATCTGCTCAAACTTCACAGATGACTACTGGCTCGAACACGACCAACAAGAGAAATATCCTCACGAACTCCATGCTGCCCTAGCAAAAGACGGCTGGATAGGAATCGCCCTGCCAGAATCCCTCGGTGGAGCAGGTCTAGGCATCTCAGAAGCAACCATGATGCTGCAAACAATCTCCGAATCTGGTGCTGGCATGGCAGGAGCTCAATCCATACATGCAAATGTGTACGCTACACAGCCAGTGGCCAAATTCGCAACCGAAGAACAACTCAATCGTATGCTTCCTAAACTCATTAGTGGAGAATGGCGAGCTTGCTTCGGCGTCACAGAACCAAACACTGGTCTAGAAACCCTGAAACTAAAAACTACTGCTCTCAAAGATGGAGACCACTATAACGTCACAGGACAAAAGATCTGGATTTCTTCTGCTCAGGTTGCGACCAAGATGATATTGTTGGCTAGAACCACGCCTATCGAACAAGTCACCAAATCCTCCGAAGGCCTCTCCCTCTTCTTCATCGACTTCGACAAAACCCAACCCGGTCTCGAGTTGAAGAAAATTCGCAAAATGGGTGGAAGAGCTGTGGATGCGAACGAAGTCTTCTTTGACAACTACCGCATCCCCGCCGACTCGCTCATCGGCAAAGAAGGCCAAGGTTTCAAGATCGTGCTGCACGGTATGAATGCAGAACGCTGCTTGTTAGCTGGAGAAGCGCTGGGCTTAGGGTATGCAGCTCTGCGCAAGGCGTCACAGTATGCCAAGGAGAGAGTCGTGTTCGGACGGCCCATTGGTGTTAATCAGGGCATCCAACATCCACTTGCGCAAGCGTATATGCACCTTGAAGCTGCTAAATTATCGACTTATCATGCAGCTAGACTCTACGATGCTTCTGTTCATGACAGCAGTATTACACAACATGCTATTGGTCTGGCATGTAATACTGCAAAGTATCTTGCTGCCGAAGCGGCGTTCACAGCTTGTGAGAGAGCAGTTCTGACGCTTGGTGGTATGGGATATGCGGCTGAATACCATGTCGAGCGATATCTGAGAGAATGTTTTGTTCCCAGAATTGCACCGGTGAGCAGGGAGATGATTATGAATTACGTGGCAGAGAAGGCTCTGGGCCTCCCGAGAAGTTACTAGTACAACAAGATTGTTGCATCTTTCACACCTAAGCATTGCGGAATCTGTCCAGCTGCGAGTATCTTGCGTTGATTGACTGACTGTAGGAGTATCCACTCATGTATGTATTTCTCCTGAATTCCCTCTTTTCTCCATCTAGTCTCTGCCTTTCTCGTTTACCTCTCCAGTACTTTCAGATCTTGACCCTTTGATACATGAGAACAAGTATCATCCCCTCTCAGCCCATTCATTCAGGAATATGTAAACGGCAACGCACCCATCTCTGTACGCAAAGGCGGCAACCCAGCCACATCTCCCTCCCCCAAAGGCTTATACGGCCTCTCCTCATGCAATGCCTTCACCAAAGCCACCGCCCACTCCGAATCATTTTCAACCCCAAACCTATCCAATTTCGGCGCCATCCTCATCAACATGTTCGCATATTCGCCCGCCAACCAAACCCCCATGAAGTCATCAACATTGTGGACTTGTAGGTTCGTCAGATTAGGCAAGACCGACAATGATGCACCGAGTGCATTCAAAACACTCAAATTATGTGTATACATCAACGTACACGTCTGCAATAATGGACACGCATCTGCCAGTGCTTGGATAGCCATGACCGTTAGCTCCGGACACTCACATCTTATTTCCAACCTCTGCAATTTCGGAAAATTGGCAATCCACTGACGGAAAGTGGAATCGTCAAGATTGGGCATTTGAGCGGGTCTCCAAACTGGTACTTGGCTTACAATAGCCAGAAGTCTGAGGTTTTTGAGACTTGATAGAGCGAGGAGATTTGCGTTGGTGATGATTTGGAAGGCGGGTAGTAAGATAGCCAGGGTGTGGAGGTTCGTTTGGCGGGAGATGGAGGTAAAGAATCCGGCGGTGATGTCGCTGGGGAAGAGGTGGAGAGTACGGAGGTTAGTGGAAGTGTGACGTAGAGCAGAGATCATGGTTGCGGAATCGGTCTTCAAGCGTAGACGTTGCAATCTTGCAAATGGAGCAGACGTGTACAGCAAAGTCTGCTCTATGAGTTCTGGAGTGAGGAAGTCTACATCTAGACATATCAGAGGGTTGACGTGCAGAACATGCGCCAGTAGTTTCCCAGACAGTAGTCCTTGATGTCTGCTCTCTTTTATGTTGTAGAGGCAGAAATGTTTCAGCGATTTGCAATTGGCCATGAACTTGCGAAAACCTTCTGGTTCTACGGATCCAGTGAGGTAGGGTAGACACAATATCTCAAGTCGTGGTGCCAAAGTATCCGCCGTGATCTTGAAGAGCGAGTCTATGGTCGCGGTCGTGGACTCATTACCCAGCGTCAAATCGCGCAGGCAGGGCAAAGATTGGAGGAACTCTGCAAACACGTCGTCGCCGAATTCCCTGACAGCGTGATGGAGCTCGATGCTCGTGATGAAACCACAGTGACTCTTCACCTGACTCAGAATATTCTGAGGCATTATGCAGTGATGAAAGCTTATCGCCTGAAGTTTGGCCTGCAAGTACGGACCAGCCTGGATACTGGATCTTGATCCTGGCTCGCAGGTGTTACCGCACAATCCAAGATACCTCAAGGATGAGAATACCAGACTGCTGTAAGCAGAGCAACGCTTTGGCTCTTTGATGTGGACTACATGTATCTTCGAGGCGTAATACTGACGTCTTTCCAGCGGCTGTATCACAGCCAAAGTTGCCATTCGTTGAGCAGACGGGTAGCTCCAGAGTATACGGGCGCTGAGATCGTGCCATCGTTTGTTGACTTGCACCGTAGAGTGTAGTGTTGCTCTGTCCATACATTCGAAGACATCAAGTTGGAGTTCTGGCGGCAGATTCGAGAAGAGGAAGATTTGATCCATCGTAGTTATTGCGATACTCGCGATCGGACAATCCCAAGATTGTAGTAGCGGTAGTGGTGACTGATGGATTTGATGATGCGTAGGGTTGTGAAAAGATCCAGAAAGAAAATAGAAAATGCTTGCAGGTAGACAAATGACTCAAACCCACTCTGAGTCGTAGTTGTCCTAGATAGAAGAATTCCAGCAACTCCCTCCAGACAACGTCAATAGCGATATTATAGAACATCGTGTTGACGCGGATGCAAGATGCCAAAGTCTGTTGATCATACTGCAACTTCTTAAGAATCGAACTGATGAGCTCTACAGGTGGTAAGTGAACAGGGGGGACGGGGGTATCTGACGATATATTGAACTTTCTGTAACGTTGGGGAAGGAGGACTCGATATTCGGAAGACAAGGGGGCGCTCATGGCACATAAGTAGATGCCTGGGAGGTAATGACGAACCCAGCAACAAGGCACCAGTGGCATGGGGGTACTTTTACGGATCCCGCCGAGTTCTGTTGAGACCAATCATTTCACACCCTTCAAACATGAAGAACCTGACCATCGTGAACACAAAAAGGAAGGAGCGTTGGAGGAAAAACTGGACTACCTTACTCGCTATCCTGATCCTGCGGCCTTTCGATCCTTCATTCTTCTTCATCTTCGTCCTCGTCCTCATCATCATCATCGTCCTCGTCTTCCTCATCACTCACTTCCTCTCCAGCTTTCCTCAATCTCTCCCTATACCCCTTGGCTTTGTCTTCCAGATCCGCCAATACCATCAACATATCCTCAAGCTCTGTTCTAGCCTTTGTAGCTTCCTCCTTCTCCTTTTCAACCTCCTTGGTCTTTGCTTCCAAGTCTTTCTGCAAAGTCTTGGTCTTGTCGTCGTTATCAGATTTTCTGGACTTATTGTTGGAAGTGGTGGCGGCAGTAAGCTTTTTGGTGGTTTCTGCCAACTGCTTTTTCTGTTCCGCCAACTCTTTTTCCAATGCTTTGACTTTGTCGCTGTGGTCGGGAGTGGCAGGTGCGGACTTGGCTTCCGAGACCTGCTTTTCGAGTTCCTTATTTGCAGATTCCAATTTGCTGTTTGTAGCTTTGAGTTCGTTGATTTCGGTTTCCAAATCATTGTATCCTTTTCTTTCACCCTCGAGTTCGAGTTTCAAGCCTGAGATTTCCTGTTCCAGTTCCGAGATCTTCTGCTGCTTGGTATCGAGTTCTGACTTTGCGGTATCGCGCTCTTGGGTAAGCGTTTGGACCTTTGTGGCCTGAGATTTTGCTTCTTCTTCCAAGGTCTTGACTCTCGCCATGGCTTTTGTGTTTACTTGTTGCAGATCCTTTTGCAATGTCTTTGTGGTCTCGAGCTCCTTTTCCAACTTGGCCTTTTCTGCTTTGCTTGCGTCAAAGTCGGTGCGAAGTTTTTCGAGTGTGGAGGAAGTGGCGGCATGGTCTTGCTTGAGAATCTTTTCGCTGCGGGCGTGATCTGCAATTGCGGTTTCATGCTCTTTGATCGTCTTGTCCTTGGTCTGGATGGAAGTATTGAGTTCCTCGAGGGCTTTGCGGTGCTCAGAAGTGATTTTATCAGTGCGGATGCGGTGTTCTTCTGCGGTCTGCTCCGTCGCCTTGCGGTGTTCTTCCGTGGCTTTGTCGACGGCAGTTCGTTGTTCACGAGCAGCGTGTTCAGCGGCTTTGCGTGCCTTGTCGTCCCACAGGGATCGCTCGCTTGCTAGAGTTGCGCCGTGTTGACCCTTCATGCGCTCCAATTCTTGCTTGTGTTGATCGCGGAGAGTCTGGAGGTTATTCCTGCTTTCTAGTTGGAATTGAGCGAGTTGACTGCGTAATTCGCCTGATACTCGTTGCAACTCAAGATCATGATCGCGTTGAAGGGCTTCGTTGATACGTTTGACGCGCTCGACCTCGGCCTCCATTGATCGTTGTGAAGACTGCAAACTTTGGAGTTGATGACGGTACTCGGCTTCGGCTTGGTCGGCCTTTTGTTTGGCGGCTAGATCGTCTTGCTCGATCTGTTGTAGCTTGTCGTCGCGAGTCTTGATCTTCTCTCGCAAATCGTCCAGGACATCGCGATCTACACCAACGTCTGAAGGGCGAACTACCTCGATACCAGGTTCGCGATCAATGACTCGCTTCAGACGACCATACTCGTCTTTGAACCAGTCTACAAATTCATCATCAAACAAGATGGCAGCACCCTCAATCTCTGGTGCGAGGAACTCTGAATCGCGGATGATTGGGTTCTGACGGAATTGCATCAGTGCATCAAAGTACTTTTGGCGGCCAAGTTTGGATGTTAAGAGAGGATGAAGTGTCCGTCGAGGAATAGGGCTGTCCTTGGTACTGAATTCATAGATTGTTCCAAGCAAAATAGCGCAAAGACCAGGGAGTAGAGATTTGATCGGGTCTGCAGCGACTTGAGAATTGGCAGCAAGAAGAGCATTGTCAATCAACACGCCCATGAGAGAAGAGCCTTCGGCCAGACAATCATTAACAGCGGCTGGTTCATCGAATAGGAAGGTGATGAGCAGACTCAAGTATGAAATGGAGATCTGAGGGTCGAAGTCATTTTGCAAAGAAGAAAGGAGGTGGCCGGAAAGCGTCTGGATAGCTGTGATGACGTCCTCACCCTTCTCAGCATCGCCTTCGGATACACCCATCAACATCGCTTTTGCGTCTTGCAGATTGAACAAGAGCTGGCATGTGATGTCGCTGGCAAAAGCAAAGCGGGGTGGGTCAGGGGTGGCAGGGCCGAGTTGAGGACCATTCAGGAGAGTGCTCAAAATGTTGATATCTTCTTCTTCACCCTCAGTATATCCTGCAATAGCTCTTTGAAGGAAGTGGAGCTTTATGCGATCGTGGCCATGGAAGTAAGCCTTGATAAGAGAACAACCGGCAGATCTCAGATCCAGAGTGCGGGCCGATGAAGCAGAGAGTACAAGATTCAGCAAAGCCTCGATCACATACATGGTCTTTTGTTGAGATTTGCCTGCAACGCCGTTGACTGGTGCAGGAGTTTCGGAAGTGACGGGCACTTGGAAGGAAGCAAAGGCTTCTTGTAGCGGGGCATTGAAGATGATAGCGTCGGCACAGGTCTTCAAAGCATTCATACGGATATGCGGAGCGGCCCTCTCGTCGAAAGCAAGAGTCAAGACGAGATGTAGGACACCGCTGCGCCAGAAGACATCTTGATTCTGCTTGGTGCCCAATTCGCCTCGTTCCAGGAATAGGCGCAAGACAGCGAGTAGACCCCAAGCATTCTTCTCGCGATCGCTGCGACTGAAGTCATTCTCATCGTCAGGCGGAGTTGAAGCCTGCTTGATCAAGTCGATCAAACGGGGAATACAGCCGGATTCACGGAAAAGAGCCTGGTTGGAATGGCTGTGTCGAATGAGGTTGGCCAGCAAGGAGAGACAGTCTTGGGCTACTATGCCTCCTTCTGACAGACCTCCCTCGGACTGGATGAGGTTGAAGGTGCGTTGGAAAGCATCCTCAAAAGCAATGAGCTTCTGCAATTCAGTTTGCGACACGTTGGTCAGATCAACCAGAAGTAGCAGGGCAGCATTGCGCACAGCGTCTCTTCCATCATCCAGTACGCCAACCAGTCGGGCTGTTCCAAGAGGTGCTTGCAGAATGCATTCCTGGGTTCTCTCGGGTCTGGCGGCGGAGACAGCTGTAAGTAGCTGGATCGAGTATATACGGGCGTAGTAGTCGGGCTGATCGAGGAGGTCTAGCAGAATGGTGATGTTGTCTTGACGCTGGGCCTTAGCTCAGTTTCGCGCAAACAGTGTAGAAGCAATTGTATAACGACATACCTGACTAAACTCATCGGCCAACCACAGGGCTATGTCCTCGCTGGCCTCGGCACTCTCTCGGTCTGGCTCGAACAACATGAGCAGTGTCTCGAGCACCAGCCGTACTGTATCAACATCACCCTCTCCATCCTTTGTCAAACCAAGACCATCGGTGCGCAAGACGGCGATCAGATCGCGAAGGGAACCGCTGGCGACTGAAGCGGGATACTGTTTCGCGAAAGAGCGGAGGCCGAGGATAGCTGCTCTCCTGTCTTCGAGAAGAGTGGCCGATGACAGGCGCGAGGACAGAGTGGCAATCGTGTCCCCGGCCGTTTGTTTGATTGGCGCCTTTAACATTCTCGACTCTATCTCACGCCATAGACATGAAGTTGCAAGTTCCAAAAACAATCATGACCATGTTCTGGAATCTGAACAGCTCCTATTCCGTGATTCGTGTATCGATACGAGCACCTTGACGCGAGTCACGCACATGCAGAGGAAGCTCGGTCCCATCGGACGTAGTTTTGGAGCAACGCCGACCGAAACTACGCAAGGGCAGCGAGGCGAGTCCATGGTGCAAGTCTCTGCCTGTTCTTCTTAGAATTCATCCACTTTCGTGCCTTCTTACACATTTGTCGCCTTTATTTTTCTTATTGTCAGCGTCGCCAACTTTAACTCGACCCACTTTCAGCTCAATTTCTGGACAAACTCGACCGAATAGTCACATTCGCGCAATCTGATGAGCGCAATCTAGAAGTCGCAACTCTCAAGAAAGAACCAAACTCGACAAGGACGCCAACATGGGTGTCCCCGCCTTGTTCAGATGGCTGTCGCAAAAGTACCCCAAGATCATCTCGCCTGTCATCGAAGAGCACCCGGTAGATGTCGATGGCCAGAAGATCCCCATCGATGCCCGTAAGCCGAATCCCAATGGCGAAGAGTTCGACAACCTGTACCTCGACATGAACGGTATCGTCCATCCCTGTTCTCATCCCGAGGATCGCCCTCCGCCCGAGACCGAGGAGGATATGATGTTGGCCGTCTTTGAGTACACCGAGCGCGTCGTCAACATGGTCAGACCCCGCAAGCTCCTCATGATCGCCGTCGACGGTGTCGCCCCCAGAGCAAAGATGAACCAGCAGCGTTCAAGACGTTTCCGCGCCGCACAAGAAGCCGCCGACAAGGACAAGGAAAAGGAGGAATTCTACAAGATGTTGCGCTCGCAAGGAAAGGAGCCCGAGGGAGGAGACGGCAAGCCCAAGAAGACCTGGGACAGCAACGCCATTACCCCCGGAACTCCCTTCATGGATATCCTTGCTGCCAGTTTGCGCTACTGGTGCGCCTACAAGCTCAACACCGACCCTGCCTGGGAGAAGCTGAAGATTATCATCTCCGATGCGACCGTTCCTGGTGAGGGAGAGCACAAGATCATGCAGTTCGTCCGCTCGCAGAGGAACTCACCTCAGCACGACCCCAACACTCGCCACGTCATGTATGGTCTGGATGCTGATTTGATCATGCTGGGTCTGGCTACACACGAACCGCATTTCCGCATTCTCCGTGAGGATGTCTTTGCCAACGATACAAAGCCTGGATGCTGTCGCATTTGCGGCCAGCCTGGACACATGGCTGCTGAGTGCAAGGGTGTTCCTGCAAAGAAAGAGGGCGAGTTCGGTGAAAAGAAGGGTGGTGCTCCCTTGAAGCCTTTCATTTGGCTGCACGTCGCAGTGCTGCGTGAGTACCTGGCTGTCGAGATGAGTGTCCCCAACCAGCCCTTCAAATTCGACCTCGAACGTGCCCTGGACGACTGGGTATTCATGTGTTTCTTCGTCGGCAACGATTTCTTGCCTCATCTGCCCTCTCTGGACATCCGCGAACAGGGTATAGACACTCTGATTGCCATTTGGCGCGACAACATGTCCACCATGGGAGGCTATGTCACCAAGGATGGCCACGTCGATCTTGCTCGTGCACAGCTCATCCTCGAGGGACTGGCCAAGCAAGAGGATGCCATCTTCAAGCGTAGAAAGGAGGTCGAGGAGCGCAAGGAAGCTGCTGCAAAGCGTAGAGCCCAACAAGCCAACAAGCGTGCACGCAGAGGTGGTCCGAACGGAGACGATGCTCCTGTTACGCCCGCAGGAAATTTCATGGGTAGCCGTAAGCGTGGTGAAATGGTGCCTGATATCAACGCGCTGCCAACCTTCAATCCTGGTACCGCCCAAACAAGTTCAGACCCTCGCTACATGACACACGATATGGTGGTTAACAAAGCCAATGTCGCAAACAAGAGCGCTGCTGCTGTCTTGAAGGAGAAGCTTCTTGCTCAGAAGAATGGAGCTCCCGCTGAGTCCCAGAAGGATGCTGTCGACCAACTGATGGAAACTGTTGATACTTCAGCTCAAACCTCACCGGCTTCTGTCCTCGGCAAGCGCAAGGTCGACGAGGACAACGATGCTGGAACTCCAGGTCGCAACTCTCCCGATCCGGCCCAGAACGGTCCAGCCAAGGATCCTGAAGGCCCTGCCGAAGACACTGTCATGCTCTGGGAGCCTGGTTATGCCGATCGTTACTACGAGCAGAAGTTCCACGTCAAAGCTGGTGATATTGACTTCCGTCACCAAGTTGGCCGCGACTATGTCGAAGGCCTGGCCTGGGTCTTGCTCTACTACTTCCAAGGATGCGCCAGTTGGACCTGGTACTACCCTCACCACTACGCTCCTTTCGCAGCTGATTTCGTCGATCTCAAGGATATGAAGCTCGACTTCCAGAAGGGAAAGCCTTTCAGACCATACGAACAACTCATGGGTGTCATGCCTGCCCGCAGTAACCACGTTCTGCCTGCAGTCTTCCACCCTCTCATGACTGACGAAGACTCCGACATCAAGGATTTCTACCCCGTAGACTTTGTGGTAGATCTTAACGGCAAGAAATTTGCCTGGCAGGGAATTGCCCTCTTGCCTTTCATCGACTCAAAGCGCTTGCTAGATGCTATGGCCACGAAATACCCCCTGCTCACTGAAGATGAGAAATCACGGAACGCTTTCGGTCACGATGCACTGTTGTTCAGCACAAAGCACCCATTGTATGAGGATGTTGCCACGAATTTCTACTCCAAGAAGGCCGGCGCTGCGGAGTTCAACATCAACCCTCAGGTCTCCGAGGGCCTAGCTGGCAAAGTTGAGAAGAACGAGGAATACCTCCCATCTTCTTCCCTGTCGTTCCCGCTTCCCGGTGCCACACCGTTCCAGGATGTTGACGATGACCAGAGTATCACTGTACACTACGTCATGCCTCCAACCAATACCGTGCACAAGAGTATGCTGTTGCCCGGCTTGAAGCCCCCAAACCCTGTTCTTGACTACAGCGATATTGAGTCGACAAGGCAAGCTTCGCAAAAGTCAGGTAGACAATTCGGTGGTGCACCGCTCTATGACCAAGGCTCAGGTCGCGGTCGCATTGACTACGGCGCGGGTGGCGGCTATGGAGGCAACAACGGCGGCTACAGAGGCGGAAGAGGTGGAAGAGGAGGCGGCGGCGGCGGCTACAACAGTGGTCCCCGCAACGATGGATATGGCCGCGGAAATGGTGGTGGTGGCTATGGTGCACCTCCCCCTCCTGGCGGCTTCCAAAACCTGCCGCCTGGATTGGCTGCACAAGCTGCAGCACACTTTGGCAGAAACGGCGGTGGTGGCGGTGGTCTGCCTCCACCTCCTCCTCCGGGCTGGATGCCTGGTATGGCTGCTCCCCCTCCTCAACATCAACAAGGTGGTTACGGTGGAGGTTATAACAACAATGGAGGCGGCTACAACAACAACGGTGGAGGCTATGGAGGCGGTGGCTACAATAATGGAGGTGGCCATAATGGAGGCGGCGGCGGTGGTTATCGTGGCCGTGGCGGAAGAGGGGGCGGTGGTCGTGGCAGAGGAGGCTACGACAGATACTAGGCGTCTATTTTGGTAATCGACCCAAAAGAAGGTCTACAGAAAGTTTTGAAAATATGTGGGAGTCATAAGAACTAACCCATTTTACCGCACAATCATATCTTTTGCCCAACCATCCTTGTCAATGTGATTTTACTCTTGAGCACAGCACATCGTGAATCAATGCCGTTGCTTCAAACAATCATAAATTTGATGACCCTGACTTTGAGCTTCCCCACACTTTCTCAGAGTCTCTCCCATTCAGCTCGGCCTCGACTTCGTCACCTTGAAACCATCAACCACAAAAAGTCAACTCCATCACTACGTGTCTCTTGTTTCCAGCGACCATCCCCAGCCACAATCGCACAGCACTCCATCCGCCCCAAACACATCACACAAACAACCATGGCCGACCGCAAAGGCGCATACGGCGGCGCCCCAGCCAGCGACACATCCTTCCGCAAAACTTGGGACCGCGAAGAATACGCACAAAAAGCCCTCGACCGCGAATCCCGCATCAAAGAAGAAGGAAAAGCCAAATACGAAGCGGCCATTTCAGGAAAAAAATACCACCGTCGCGCGTCCACACCACCCGACGCTCGAGACACGGAAGCACGACGAACACGACTAGATGTTTCCGCACAGATTGGCAAGACAATGTTGGTGCCCGCGGGCTCTGCGGTGGGGAAACGAGGCAAGGGGGCGGGGTTTTGGTGTGATGCGTGTGATTTGACGTTTAAGGATAATTTGCAATTTGTGGAGCATTTGAACAGTAAGCAGCATTTGTATGCTACTGGGCAGAGTGGAGAAGTCAAGAGAGCTACGTTGGAAGATGTGGTTGAGAGGTTGGAATGGTTGAAGAGGAAGAGGGAAGAGGAGAAGGCGAAGGAGACTGTGGATTTGGGGACGAGGTTGGAGGTTGCGAGGGAGGAGGAGGAAAAGGAGAGGGCGGAGAAGAGGAGGAGGAGGAATGAGAAGAGAAGGAAGAACAAAGGTGGAGAGGAAGAGGTCAAGGTTGAGGTGGAGAATGATGGGGTTATCTGTTGAAAGACCTGGACACCTCTTCTCGTTGAGTAGGCTACTTCTAACAGAAGTCATGCAGAGGCCTGCAAGATGAAAGCACCCTTACCAAACAGGCTGGTCTTCTGCCTCTCGAAACCTGAGACACTCCTACAGTTGGGAACAAAATCGATCACCATCGCCTTAGCATCTACCAAGGCTGTCAACAACATATTCAGGTTACTCGGCACCCAGATTTGACTCGCAATCGAGCCACATTCGACTGCTGCGAACACATTGACCAGAGCATTCCGCCATTCCCGATTTCAGCTCGATTAAGAGCTAGATCACAGCCACGAGTGAATGGATTCTGGGACGTCATTTCGAAATCACGTTCAACTAACAGGCAGCGTGTGACCGTCAAGGTCTGCTGCTGTAATGTTCTGCGAATGAAAGCTCAAGCGAGAGCATCTGACGACGATGGTCATTACATGAGAAACGGATTTCGATTAGTGAGAGCATTTCTTCAGTAAACACCACACATCTTCACAAACTATCAATGCTCTTCACAAGCTGTGTTCCAGAATAGATAGTAATGATGGTTGTGCAATTAATCCACGATTTATGACGACGCGACTTCTCGTGTGATGGTCGTGAAAGTTGCCAAGGCCGCAGCGATTTGTGCTTGACGTGTTGTGGTGTGGAGTAAACAAAACAGTTTAGCTATTGTAATTCTTGTGATTGCCCCTTCGAGTCCTTCCTTTCAACCAAACGACGACGACGACACCATACGCCCAGCGACTCAGGACGACGATACTTCAGTGATAATTCGATCGTTCACTTACCCCCTTCGATGATTGTTGATTGAATATTGTAAACCTATTCAGCCAAAAAGCCGGCGCAATGGACGACTCAATGGCAGAGTCCGACTATAACATGGACGCCAGCAGTGACTTTGAACCACCAGTCAAAGCACCAGCAGTTCGTATTGTTCCTTCGTTCCTTCCACTTTCACACCCTAACTTTACTTCAACAATAGAAGAAGGCTGCTCCTGCAAAGAAGGCAGCTGCACCCAAGGCCAAAGCAGCAGCTCCCAAGAAACAAACCACTCTCAAACCTACCAAGACGACGAAGGCCGCCACAAAGAAGCCGCCGACACCGATAAGTGACGAAGAGAACTCCGACGACGACGCACATCCGGCCAATCACGACGACGACAGTCTCCTTGCCGAGACCCCTCCCAAGAAGGCCGCAGTCAAGAAAGCACCAGCGAAGAAGGCAACCAAGCCGCTACAAGAAGTCGACAACGAGAGTTTCACAGCAGAAGGCGCAACCATGGATATCGACGGCGCAAGCGACGAAAAGATGGTCCAGCCCAAGCCGAAGAAGGGCAGCGCCACATCGCAATACCAGAAGCTCACTCAGCTCGAGCACATCATCAAGCGTCCTGACACATACATTGGCTCCGTCGAACGCCTCGAGAAACAGATGTGGGTCTACAACTCGGAGAACGAGGCCATCGAGAGCCGCGAAATCAGCTACGTACCTGGTCTTTACAAGATTTTCGACGAAATCCTGGTCAACGCAGCCGACAACAAGCAACGCGACAAGAACATGAACGAGATCAAGGTCTGGATCGATCGCGAGAAGGGAGAAATCTCAGTGCGAAATAACGGTCGCGGTATCCCAGTCGAGATGCACGAGAAGGAGGGCATTTACATCCCGGAGATGATTTTTGGTCACCTCCTCACATCCTCCAACTACGACGACGATGAGCAGAAGGTCACTGGTGGAAGAAACGGTTATGGTGCAAAGCTCTGTAACGTCTTCAGCACCAAATTCGTTCTGGAGACAGTCGACTCGAAGCAGGGCAAGAAGTACACACAGACATGGCATGACAACATGACCAAGAAGGACAAGGCAAAGATTACCTCGGTGAAGAGTGACGACTACACAAGAATCACTTTCTACCCGGACTTCTCAAAGTTCAACATGGACAAGATGGACGACGACTTCGAGGCTCTGGCCAAGCGTCGCGTTTACGACATGGCTGGTACTTGCCCTGGAGTCAAGGTCTGGCTGAACGACACTCGCATCAAGATTACGAAATTCAAGCAATACATGGAAATGTACACCAAGGCCATCAAGACTGAAAGCTTGATCAATGAGGGCGTTGAAAACCAGGTCATCCTGACTGACAACCCCAACGAGCGCTGGGAGATTGGTTTCGCTGTTTCTGATGGCTCTTTCCAGCAAGTTTCTTTCGTCAACTCGATCGCCACTACCTCAGGAGGAACACACGTCAACTATGTGGCTGATCAAATCATCAACAAACTACTGGAAATTGTCAAGAAGAAGAACAAGGGTGGTGTCACACTCAAGCCTGCCCAGATTCGTAACCACATCTTCCTCTTCGTCAACTGCCTGATTGTCAACCCAGCCTTCAACTCTCAGACAAAGGAACAACTCACAACCAAGGCCTCTCAATTCGGTAGCAAGTGCACGCTAGGCGACAAGTTCCTCAAGGATATCGCAAAGACTGAAGCCGTGAACAACATCATGCACTTCGCCCAACAGAAGGCCGATCAAGTCCTGAAGAAGTCAGATGGTAACCGCCGCACTCGCATGAGCAATACCAAGCTCACAGACGCCAACAAGGCCGGTACCAAGGATGGCCACAGGTGTACTCTCATCTTGACAGAAGGTGACTCGGCTGCTATGCTTGCACTTGCTGGACGAGCTGTTGTTAACCAGGATCTATTCGGTGTCTTCCCTCTGCGTGGTAAGATGTTGAACGTTCGCGACGCATCAGTCGATCAGATTTCGAAGAACGCAGAAATTCAGAACATCAAGCAGTTTATGGGACTGCAACACAAGAAGGAGTACACAGATACCAAGGGTCTTCGCTACGGCCATCTGATGATCATGACCGATCAGGATCACGATGGAAGTCATATCAAGGGTCTTTTGATCAACTTCTTGCAAGTCCAGTTTCCCAGTTTGCTTAAGCTTCCTGGGTTCCTGCTGGAATTCATCACACCTATCGTCAAGGTCTGGAAGGGCGACCCCAAGTTCCCAAAGGCGAAGCGCGACTTCTTCACGATGCCTGAGTACGAGGCCTGGAGACAAGAGCCTGGCCATGATAAGGGCTGGGATCACAAGTACTACAAGGGTTTGGGAACTTCGGATACCAGAGATGCCGAGATCTACTTTAGCGATCTAGACAAGCATCTCAAGGAGTTCCACACCATGCAGGATCACGAGAAGCAGTTAATCGACCTCGCCTTCAGCAAGAAAAAGGCCGATGACCGCAAGATGTGGCTCCAGAACTTCGTGCCAGGAACATACCTCGACATGTCTGGCAAGGAGAAGATCAGCTACGATGACTTCATCAACAAAGAGCTCATCCTCTTCAGTATGGCTGACAACTTCCGTTCAATCCCTTCTCTGGTCGATGGATTCAAGCCTGGTCAACGCAAGATTCTGTACACCGCTCTGAGGAGAAATTTGAAGAAGGACGTCAAGGTCGTTGAACTTGCCGGTTCAGTCTCAGGTCTGACCGCATACTCTTACGGTGAAGCATCTCTGCAGCAAACGATTATTGGTCTTGCTCAGACGTTTGTCGGATCCAACAACATCAACGTTCTAGAGCCCAGTGGCAACTTCGGTAGTCGTCTCCAAGGTGGTAGCGACGCAGCCAGCGCTCGTTACATTTACACCCGTCTGTCTCCTTTCGCCCGCCGCATCTTCAACGCGCATGATGAACCCCTCTTGACATACAACACTGATGATGGCAAGACCATCGAGCCTGAGACCTATGTGCCTGTTGTCCCCATGGTTCTCATCAACGGTGCTGATGGTATTGGCACTGGTTGGTCGACTTCTATCCCCAACTACAACCCTGAAGATGTCATTGAGAATATTAGACTCAGAATGGCAGGAAGCTCAAAGTCTGACATGAAGCCCATGCAGCCTTGGTTCCGTGGCTGGAAGGGAGAAGTCGAGGACATTGGCAATGGACGTTTCAGATTCACTGGTACTGTCACCCAGACAGACAAGGATAACGAGATTGAGGTTACCGAATTGCCTGTTCGCTTCTGGACTCAAGACTTCAAGGCTCACCTCGAAGAGATTATCAAGGCTGAGAAGACTCCCTCTTTCATCAAGGACTACAGCGAGTACAACACACCCGAGAAGGTTCACTTCATCATCACCTTGGACGACAAGGGCATGAAGGTCTCGCTCGACAAGGGCCTCATTGAGCAATTCAAGTTGAGCAGGACCATGGCAACCACCAACCTGGTGGCATTCGATGGCCAAGGCCGTATTCACAAGTATGAGACTCCTCTGGACATCATGGAAGAGTTCTACCACATTCGTCTCGCTTTTTACGAGAAGAGAAAGCAGTACCTTCTCAACGAGATGCAGAAAGAGCTGGACAAGCTGAGCAATCAGTCGCGCTTCATCCAGATGATCATCGACGGCAAGCTCACTGTCTCCAAGAAGAAGAAGGCTGTCCTTGTCGCCGAGCTTCACAAGCTCAACTTCAAGCCCATCCCCAAGTTGGCAGATGCCAAGAAGCAAGGCGAATTCGAAGAGGTCGTCGAGGAAGACGATGATGCTGAAGATCCTGCACCTGGCGCCAACGACTTTGACTACCTTCTCGGTATGGCCATCTGGTCGCTTACCCAGGAGCGTGTTGAGAAGCTTCTCAGACAGATTGGCGACAAGGAAGCAGAGGTCGATGCTCTCATCAAGCTCTCGCCCAAGGATCTCTGGACCAGAGATTTGGATGAGCTTCTCGAGGAGTGGCACACCCAGCTGGAAGTTGAGGAGACCCGTGCTAAGAAGTCAAAGAGCAAGGGCCGTCGCACATCTGCAAAGCTCGGGTTCGGTGGAGCCAAGAGCAAGAAGCGCAAGTCGGAAGATAGCGACGACAGCGATGATGATTTCATCGTTTCTAAGAAACCGAAAACCGCCGCAAAGCCCGCCGCCCCCAGGGCTGCTCCAGCTCTCAAGTCAAAAGTGTCGAAGGGAGCGACTGGACTGCTAGACAATTTCCTCACCAAGTCCAGCAAGCCTGGTATCTTCCCCGTTGTGGACGGAGTCGAGCAACAGCCTATTGAAGCACCTCCTGCAGTCAAGGCAGGTCTTATCGAACCTTCCAACATCACAAAGCCGATTGCAAAGAGAAAGACCGTCTTGTCAGACTCCGAATCTGACGACGATATTGAGACGATCCTTACAAAGGCAGTCGCAAAGGCACCTGTCGTTAGAAAGAAGACAGCCCTTGATACTGAGGATGAGGAAGAAGACGAAGACGTGAAGCCACCTGCCAAGGCTGCGGCGAAACCTGCTCAGAAGCCCGCACCCAAGAAAAAGCCAGTCATTGAGTCCGACTCTGGAGAAGATGTCGACATGTTTGATGCCGCGAAGATGAAGCCCGCCGCTCAGCCTGCCGCTGCTTCTCGTGCCGGACGTGCTGCCGCGAAGAAGCCAATCAAGTATGCCGCCGACTCAGACGAAGAGATGTCCGACGACGACCTCGGTGACATCAGCAAAATGGTCAAGGAAATCCCCAGCGCAGCTCCAGGTCGCTCTCTCCTCAGCTCTGCCCATCGCACAGGCGCAAGCCACGGTATCAAGAGCTCTCACGGCAGAAAGGAAAGTGTCGAACCTGTAGACGACACAGACTGGGCAGAACTCGCCAAAGGCACACCAGCCAAACCCATCGCCCAGGCCAATAACTTCTCAGACGATGACGATGTGAACATGGACGACGACAGTATCTTGTTGTCGACTCGCAAGCCTGCTCCTCTAAAGACAATCTCCAAGAGCACTAATGCAACCAAACCTACGGCATCTACAGCAGCAAAGGCCAAGAAGCCCGCAGTCGCACCAGTAAAGACTCTCTCACCTGCAGCCAAAGCCTACGCAGCCAAGCAAGCCAAAACCGCTGCCGCGAAACCAGTAGCCAAAGCACCTCTTCGCAAGAAGACTGCTTTGGACACTGACGACGAAGATGACGATGCCGATAACCTCGCCAACAGCATTCTTAGCGATGATGAAGGAGACGAGTCGATCGTTGCTAAACCTGCTGCTGCTAGACCTTCGCGCAGAGCCGCTGCCGCTAAGCCTAAGGCTAGTTACAAGCTTGACGATGAGGATAGTGAGGAGGACGAGGAGTTTGCAGAGGAGAGCGAGGAGGAAGAGGAGACTTTTGCTGATGATAGCGAGTAAGGGCGGTGCGTGATCGTGTATCCCACGGTTCGAAGGCGTTCAGGGGTCTATGTGGCCATGGGTGTGAAAGGAAGGCTTGGTCCTTTCTAATGCGGTCGAACAGACGGCAATTTCGTATTTCTTCATTTTGGCATCACGCGGGCTCTTCATGGTTCAGGGGAAGCATGTCGCTTTCCTAGCCTTCTCAATCGAGAGTATTTGTTACTGTAACATCCTGTGCCATCCTTCGTTGTTGTGAATCACGGTAGTTGGAAGTCGAGCGCAGCAAGGTTGACAGAACAATCTCTCACCAGCAGAGCATGTAAGAAGGAAAGTCAAAAACTTTACTCATGTCTGAGCCGGATCAAATTAGGGGTCGTCGATCTGTGTTCCGGGTCGTCAAGGTCAAAAAGGCTCCACAAAATAGATTTGGAGAAATTGAAGCGCTGCTGACTATCCAGTTCTCTTCTCGGATGTTCTTGAACCTCATAACGAAAGAGTGAGATTTGCACTAGAGAGCTTTTTTTCTCGAGTATCCTTGGTACTGTTCTCTGCTGATCTACAAATGAAAAGGACGAAGAAGAATTCGAATGTTTGGTAAAAGTGTTTAGGTAGAGCAGCAGCAGCAGCAGCAGTACAGCGATATCACCTTTCCATCTGCCAGCCACCCGATCTTTGAGAATAGCATTCTGCAATTTTTTGACCAATATATATAAACATCGAAAAACCCAACCACTTAAAAGCTTTTTTTGCAAATCGCCGAGTCCAAATTTTTCTTGATTAATAGTACTTGCTTGCTTGCTCCCAATGAAACCGAAACTTGTTGTTGTGTGGAAAAATGATCTTTTGCATTTTTGGGATAGATATAAGTAGAGGAAGTGTGGATGGAAGTGCTAATAGGGGAAAACAAGGGTTACTATTGTATTTATGGTGAAATGTGCAGTTGACTGGATATATACTATCCTGGATTTTGACAGTTGAGAAGGAATCAGACGTGTTATTCGAGCTGGGAGTGACGGAAAAATTGTCCGAGGATCTCGCTTTCCTTGCTTTGTGAAGACTGATTCGTGGAAACGAGGCTTACGTTTTGATGGACAGTTTGCTCCGGGAGGTTTGCGAGAGATAGTGTTCATGGGCACTGCTCTCTTTCACGCCTAGGGACTGTTGTTGAAAGAGTTCATGCCATTTTGACGAATAAACCAGAAAAGGGGATGTGAAACAGTGGACGATATAAATGCCAATGCACCAGAGCGAGGATGACGGTCAGAATGAGTGCGCGGCTCCAAGGCGCCTGCGTTTCTAACAATTAGGGACATTGTGAGATTTGCAGTGCACAAAGAAGAAGGCAATATAATGTCAATTCGTTCCATTTCAAAACTCGCTATGCTAAATGCTCGTAGTGATCAATAACCAAAGGAAAAAACCTAAACCCGTAGCCAGTGATGCAAAAGAGGAATCTATCCTGATTTCAACCCTCCTCCGCACCAACATCTTCCTTCTCCTTCTCGCTCGACTTGGACCACGACATCCATGTTCAAAGCGGTAAAGTACTGCACCACGCGATCTCTGACGTCTTCTGGGTCTGCTGCTCGTGCGGCAAAGACGTGAATGACGCCCAAAATCTTCTTTCTCTTTTCTTCGTGCTCGTGTTCGTGATGGTGGTCATGGTCGTGATGATCGTGTGCAGCGTGGTCATGGCTGTGGCCGTGATCGTGATCATGTCCGTCGCCAGCTTCATCCTCGACCCAGAACCTAGGTACTGCATATCCAGTAACGCCTCTAAGGCCACTGAGCTCTTGCAGTGCATTCTTGAGTCCGTACTCCAGCTCATCAGGTATGACTAAAAGTAGTTTACCGCCAGAATCGCGGACCAAAGGGACAGCAGCGAGGAAGATGAGGATGGCAATGACGATGGTTGCGAGTGGGTCCCAGAGATACCATGGTTTCCAGAGTGTGAGGATTGTGCTGAGGATGACTGCCAGAGAGCCTCCTGCATCGGCGGCGACATGAAGGTAGATACCGTGCATGTTCTCGTTACCATGGCCATGAGAATGATCATGTCCGTGATCATGTCCGTGATGGGCGTGACCAAAAGCAAACAGACCAACCATGTTGACCAGGAAGCCGAGAGTACTAACGACCAGCAGTTCCTCGACGTGGCGCAGCTCAGTTCCTTCCATGATCCCTTCGACAGCTTCCCAGATAAATTCAACACTGACCAGCATGAGGAAGATACCATTGCCGAAGCCTGCCAGGACGTTCAACTTGCCCCATCCAAAAGGCATTTCTGGGCTGGTGGGCCATTTACTGGCGACAGCAGCGCCTAGACCAATGACAAGTGCCAAGCAATCGAAGAACATGTGAACAGTGTCGCTCAAGAGACCAAGCGAGCCACTGACCCATCCATAAAAGGCCTGTACAAGCATGAAACCAAAGTTGAGGCAGGTAAAGTAAGCAATTCGGCGAGAGTCGCGTTCGCAAAGAATGCTGTGAAAGAGAGAGCCCGGACGGCAACGTGCCAGGAGGAAAGATGTGAAGACTGACGTCTCGGCGTGAGTATGATGTTGATGGCCATGATGATGATTGCAGTGCGTATGTGCAGCAGCATGGGCGTGTGCGTGCCCAGTGTCGTGAGCATGAGCGTGACTGTGTTCATGAGAGTGGGCGTGAGAGGTTGAAGTGTCGTAAAGAACTCCGACGTAGGACAAAGCGGCAATTGCGCCGTTGCAGAAAGTACCGGGCCAAGTATTGGGGGAGAAAAGGAAGGATAAAGCGGCGGTCAGAAGACAGCCAAGCGCCAACCCAGCCTTCTTGTGAGTGCGGAGATGAGCTGGTCGAGCGAAGAGGACCAAGGCAGCAGTAATGGCCATGGAAAAGGTAGAGAAGGTGATCGAGAGGGGCGTAATCGAAGGCGCAAGAGAGAAAATGATGGAAGCTCCTATGGTGAGAATGGAGAGAATGACACCAGCATACAAGGTGGCCGAAGTGTCCGTATGAGTAGCAATGAGTGGAGACGTAGATGAGCCATTTGCTGGCAGAGGAGGGTTTAATACGAAGATGGACAAAGCAAGAGCCAGATAACCAGTTACGAGATGGTAGGTATCAGCGTAGACGGTCAAACCAAAGGCATCACCCAAGACACAAAGTCCAATTGCAGCCAGCGTAAGAGGACGAGCGGTCAGAGAGCCAAGTAATGAGTGCGAATGCTTGTCGGAGCAGGACAGGTTTGAGGCGAGTGCTACCAACAGGATCAAGCCGACTCGCATGCCACCAATCTGGATGGCAGCATAGTACGGCAGTCCGACTTTCAAAGTGCTCGTCACCATGTTGACGATGGAGCTTGTCGTCAAGGAGGCAGGATTTGCCAGACCAGCATTTGAGCTCTTTCGTTTGTCCAAGCCTCTTTCTGATGCTCGTATGCTCGCCAATATCGCAATCAGTAGCAGCGTACCAGAGGTCAAAGTGCATGCTTGCAACAAACTTGATGCATGGTGTGCGTTGGTGTAATCTTCAATCTTCTTTCCTTCTGGAACAGACTCTTGCAGGCGTGCGTATGCAGAAAGTGGAGGGAAATTTGTGTTCGGTGTTGAATAGGCGGCAGATGCGAGGAGGTATGGCAGAGGTATGAGAAGGCCAGTCAAGGCTTCAGGGAAGGAGAACCACGAGCTGTACAAGAGTCAGCAAAGATGATGGGATAACAGGGGAACACGACGAACCTCTTGGCAGCCGCTTCTGAAACTAGAGAAGATGCAGCAGACGGCGGCGCATGTACGTGGCCGTGGTCGTGGTCGTGTCCATGATCGTGGCTATGACCATGGCTGTGGGATTGGTTGTGCGAATGGCCATGGGAATGACTGTGCGAATGGTCGTGACCGTGGTCATGCGATTGCGCATGAGAGTGGCCATGAGAGTGACCATGTGTGCTGTGCGCGCTTTGGGTGCTCTGGCTGTGCGTGTGGGTGCGCGCAGGGCTGTGACTACCATTGGGGTGTTCGAGAATGTGCTCAGGGAAAGCGGCCGAGACTGGTGAGAGAGCATATCCAGACCCCTGACGGAGATGGCCCTTGAACGAAGGCTTCGCAGGCGTCCGTATCGGCGACTTTGGACCAGCAAAGGAATATGTGCGTGTGTGACCGCCATGACCGAGGCCATTAGGGTTGAATTGGTCCGTCTCTTCAAAGTCGAGTCCGCTGTCGAATGCCTCTGCCGCTGTGTTTTGCTTGTCGCTGTCGTCGTCAAAGGGGCTGTCATTCAATGCCCATGATGGCGCATAGCTCATGGATAAAGGTCGACTTGTCGTCATCCTGGACACCGGGTGCGTTGCTCAACGTGGGACAAGATATCGTGGCTGATCACAAGAGATCAATTAGAAGCAGACAACAAGACTTTACTTGGTCGTATCCATCGCCGTATGAATAAAGCTTCTTTGTGTGTCTTTGTTCACTTCAAGTCGCGACTTGAGAAAAAAATAGGTACAATACAAAGAGGAAGTCAAGAACTAGCAACAGCAGCTTCCTTGTCGCTTATCGATTCCCATGTCATGGACGTTGTTCACATTGCCCGCCTAAGAGAGCGAGGAGGGTTCAGGGGTTGGCCTAAACTTTGATCTGAATCATCAAACAGCCTTTCCGTCCCGCCTCCAGATCTTCCGCCCGTCGTTCACCGCCCTGTCCGCTGCCTTGGCACACCACGGCAGAAGCCCACATGAAACACAGCCTCGTTGCGTAGGTGTAGCTATATCACAAAAGTGACGTCGACAGTTTGCAACATCTTGCTTTTCTTCCAAGTCAAGACCTTCATCCTTCCCAATTTCGCAAGGAAAGGTCGTCGACATGGATGTACCATTGATAGAGGAAGGCGGCGTGCATCCGCATCCAGGACGTTCATGGCTATCTCTACTCTGGACTATCCTTCTTCCAATCGCTGTCACAGTATCTACTCTGGTAACTGGATTTATCCTCACTCTGCCGTCTCCATACAATCCTCACCAACAGAACTCGATAGACGAGTCATCATTCTCTGAAGATGACAAGAAGAACAAAGACTCTGGATATGCCTATTATACCAAGACTCGTGGTGCCAACAAGTCCATAAAATCAGATGCTTCAGTCACTGTTCTGGTCCTGGGCGATATCGGGAGAAGCCCTCGCATGCAGTATCACGTCGCCAGTATAGCAGCTTCTGGAGGCCACGTCAGTCTGATCGGTTATCTCGAATCTGAGCTGCTGCCCGAGATCCGCAACAACCGCTTCGTCACCGTCATTCCCTTGGCTCCTCCACCTGAGGCTCTTCGCAATGCCAACAAGATGTTATTCCCTATCATCGCACCTCTCAAGGTCCTCTGGCAAATTGGAACGGTCTGGCATGCATGTGGCTACCGCACCAAGGCCACAAAATGGATGCTGGTTCAAAATCCTCCTTCAATTCCTACTCTGGCAATCGCACAAGCTATGTGTTTCATCCGTCATACACGTCTAATCATCGACTGGCACAATTTCGGCTACACCATTCTCGCATTGAAGCTGGGCAACAAACACCCTCTAGTCAGGATATCGGAAATGTACGAGCGCTACGTAGCTCGCGCTGCAGATGCACATTTCTCAGTCACAAACGCCATGGCTCGCGTTCTGAAGCAGCGTTTCGGTGTCGAGGCCACTCCTCTCCATGACAGACCTGCTGAACAATTCCAACCACTTTCAGCAGCTGAGCGCAAGGAGTTCTTGCACAGACTTCCCGACACTGCGCACTATGCCAAACACATCACTCATGGAAGCTACAGACTCCTCGTCAGTTCCACATCCTGGACCGCCGATGAAGATTTCTCCGTTCTTCTTGACGCTCTCGTAGCCTACTCAGCCACTATCTCCATGTCGCCCACCTTCCCCAAGATTCTAGCCATTATTACAGGAAAAGGGCCACTGAAACAATACTACCTCAACAAAATCGAGCAACTTAACAAGGAGAAGAAACTTTCTAACGTCAAGATTCAAACTGCTTGGTTGAGTAATGAAGATTACGCTTCTTTGCTCGGTTCAGCTGATCTGGGAGTCTCATTGCATACGTCATCTTCTGGTGTGGATTTGCCTATGAAAGTGGTGGATATGTTTGGTACTGGGTTGCCTGTCATCGGATGGTCTCGATTCGAAGCTTGGAAAGAGTTGGTCAAGGAAGGTGTCAATGGTTTCGGTTTCAGCAGTGCTGACGGGCTTGAAACTCTGCTGGAGGAATTGTTCAGAACAAATCACGGACAGACTTTGGCGGCGATTAGGAGAGGCGCGCTGGAGGAATGCAGCAGGAGGTGGGGGGACGAGTGGTTCCCTGTTGCTGGCAAGTTGTTGGGACTGCAGAGAGAGGGCGAAGGCGAGGGCAACAATGTGGATGCTGTTGCTGATGGAGAGTCAAAAGTCATTTGAGGTTGTTGATTAGAAGCTTTCCAACGACAATCCATGTATGTATCTATATATGTAGCGAAAAGTAGCGAGCATCTGAATTTTCTATTCCTGCAGTGCTGTGTGATTGGTGATACGAGAAGCCACCTGTCTATCCCTTAACCCAACAGCACCGACACTCGCCGAAGACGTCCTAAACGCCGACGTCGAAGAAGGCAAATCATGCATATAAACACCCCCCGCCGTGCTCTCAGCCCCATTATCCACAGCATACCTCCTCTGCGTCCTCGCCGACATCTTACCCTGCAACCAAGGCCTCAAATTATAATACCCACCACAAGCGAAAATCCCCAACCAAAGCACCAACTCAACCCCATAGATAACGATGCCCAAAACATCCAGCTCTGGTTGAAAGAAGACCGAAATCAACGAAGTCAAATCCCCCAGCGCATCGATGGAGCAAAAGGTAAAGGAAATACCTCTGACGGTGCGATGGGTGCAAATATCCCAGTAATGTGCCAGCACACCCAAAGCTAGAAACAGAGCGGCCAAGACCGCCATCAACGTCCGCGGCCACTGCACACCTTTATCCTCTCCAATGCGCAACGCAAAGATCAAAGCGACTTCAATCCCAGCCATGCAGCTCGCAATGGGAACAACTACGGCGAGACTACGAGCCACGGACCATTTCTTTTCGTAATAGTAGACTTGGATCCAGGTGGCCAAGCTCAGAAAGGAGAGGATTTGAGGTTGGATTTGCAAGGCGATGTTGAAGGAGGAGGTGATGTTGTAGACGCCCAAAGGTACACCTGCCCATGCCCAGAACATCATCATGGAGGGTTGGAGACCGGTGGCATTGTGACGGCGGTGGTTTATTATGATCTGGGGGATTAGCTTGGGATGTGGTTAGTCTTGTGGTCTTTTGCGTTCGTGGCCTTCTTCCTCGTGACAGATGGTACGGGTGCCTGTCTGAGCAGAGTCACAGTAATACCATGGGAGGGAAGCTCGTGGAAGATGAGTGAAAAAAGCGTACTTGAACAGACCAGCACACCTGCATGTCGCGAGATTAGATTAATTTATAAGAGATGACTGCAGCAAGCTAGAGAGACGTACAGCTCCGAGAGTGCCGAGCACATTGGCAGCTACAGGAACATCCATGATGGATACAGAATGGATACCGGATTGAAATGTACTCAATGATGTGAAAAGTATAGGAAAGTCACAGTATGTGTGATTGTATAGAGGTCTAGAAGAGTCACTGTACTCCTCGCGTGGTGTGATTGGTCGGGACTTGAGGTTCTCCGCAATTCGTCGAGGGTCTAAAAATCACCCGTCGTCGAGACTCGAGCACGGGGAGATTTGGCAAAGGTTATTGCAACGCTGGCTTCTTTCTCCCTTTCCCTTCGACCAGCAGTCTTAACCTCTGTACAATCACAATGGCCGACCTCGCAACACCGTCCGCTGCCACCATGAGCACCATCGACGCAGGCGCCCAGAAGCCCGCCTTCTCCAAGCCCGAGAGACCTGACCAGGCCGACTATGAGAAGTCCCTCGCCGAAGCACAAAAGGCCCTTGATGCCGCTGTTGAGAGACAGGTGCGTGCATAATATACCCACAAGAGCTTCTGATGTTTATTGACATGTGACTGCAGAAATCCATCAAGGCCAAGCTCGACTCGCGCCCCAACAACAAGGAGTCCCCCGAGGCCAAGAGACAGCAAGAGCTCCGCTCAAGACTGAACGAGATCCGCGAGGCACAAAAGTCTGGCAAGTCGAGTCGCGCCCAGCAGATCGGCCAGATCCAGCGTCTCGATGAGCAGCTCAAGTCGCGCATCACAGAGCAAAAGACTGCCCGCAGCCGTGTCGCTTTCCGCTCCGTCGAAGACATCCAGAACGAGATCAACCGCCTCCAAGCCCAGGTCGAGACCGGCACCATGAAGATTGTCGACGAGAAGAAGAACCTCGCCGAGATCACCGCCTTGAACAAGCAAAAGAAGGGTTTCGCCGGCTTCGAGCAGGCCCAGAAGCAGATTGACGACATCAAGGCCCAGATTGCCGAGATCAAGAAGTCCATGGACGACCCGGCAAGCAAGGCTCTTTCCGAGGAGTACACCAAGATCACCACCGAGCTCGACGAGATCAAGGGCAAGCAGGACGAGGTCTTCAAGAACTTGAACCAGCTCCGCGACGAGCGCACCCGCGCAAACGAGGCCCAGCAGGTCGCATACACCAACGTCAAGGAGATCAAGGACAAGTACTGGGCTGCCAAGCGCGCCTTTGCCGAGTACGAGAAGGAAGCATACCGCGTTCGCAGAGAGCGCCAGAAGGCTGAGCGTGATGCTTACGAGGCCGGCAAGCGCAAGCAGGTCGCCGAGGCCAAGCTCGAGGAGGCCAGCGCTCCCGCCTACGGTGACGAGATCCAGACCGCCCAATCCCTCATCCGCTACTTCGACCCTTCATCGCAAGAGGCCAAGGCTGCTGCTGGTCCCGGCAAGTTCGCTGCTCAGGCCAGCCGTACCGTCGAGGCCACTGGCATCAAGGGTACTGCTCTGCCCCGCAAGGGTGAGGCTGAGGAGGACTACTTCGCCGGTAATGGCGGCAAGAAGGGCAAGAAGAACCGCAAGAACCAGAACGCTTCTCCCGCCCCTGACGCCCCCGCTGGAAAGTTCAACCTGTCCTTCGGTGTCATCGAGCAGCTCGCCAAGATTGATGTCCAGCCCCCATCATCCCAGGCTGCCGTTGCCGGTGTTGTTGAGCAAATCAAGTCCAAGCTTGAGAGCTGGCAAAAGGACCAGGACCGCAAGACCCAGGAGGTGAGTTTCTGAGATACCATGAAGACCATAGCCAGCATACTGACAAATATTTCCCAGAACGTCGACAAGGCCAAGAAGGAGATCGAGCGCCTTGAGGCCGAGACCAGCAACGAGGATTCCGCAAAGACCAACGGCAACTCCGCCGACAACGTCGCCGCCGACCTTGAGAAGACCAAGATCGAGGAGACTTCGTAGAACCAAGCGTCCACCATACTTGTGTCTCTCTGAACCCTTCCCAAAAGTTATGCTTCACTTCTTTCGGATTATGGAAAAATTGAGCAAGGAATGCTGGCGGATACAAGAGAACGAGAAGAGAGAGTGATGTTGGAGGGATTTTCTTCCATCCATTTCTTTATTTCCACGAGTGGGTTCCAAAAAATGCCTTTCTTACCCTTCTTATCACCTTTTTTTTTATGTTGCAATCATCCCGATGAGCGTTCAGGGATTTTCTCACTACACTCTTGTCGTCTTTTTTGCATTTCAGGAGTAAAATTGATCCTCTTGTGCAGACACGTCTCTACTTTTGACAGTCTCGGAACCTCTTGTGAAATTTGTTTGCTGCTTCAAGGTGGGCTGCCGCTCCCTGTTCGACATGGTCGTGCAAAGCGCGATTGATTTGTACCTTTCCTGCAACAATCCAACGTTTCACAGCTTCTCTCTTGCACAGCCAAGAATCCATGGTTATGGTCATCCTTGACAGTGGTTCAGAAGTAAGGAGCAAATTACTGCTCAAGTATAGCCTCGGAGTGATGCAGGTAGACGTCTGTATACAGTACCCCGCATCCTCTTCGATCGACACCATCCTTCTCCGCACTCCAACCACAACTCTTCCATCCGAGGCTGCGAAACATGTAAAAGAGCAGTAGCACCTCGAGCTTATTTCCACTCCCTTTCGCAACCTGCGATTTCGCGCCGAACATTCGAGCAAAGAACAATATCTTCAAGATTTCTTGACAATGCCTTTTGAATCTCCCCATCCACCTATCGATCTTCCTTCAAAAGAATCGATCTGGTCCTTTTTCTTCAATTCAACGCATAGCCCATTATCTCAATCTCCTCTACCTTGCCCTCTAGCCGGTTACCTGGACGCCAGCACAGGACATTCCCTCTCCTATCTCGATGTTAAGAATAAAGCCACAGCCCTCTCCACCGCTCTGGTCAATCATCACAATTTCAAGCCCGGCGACACGGTGATCTTGTTTTCTCAAAACTCGATATGGTATCCGGTGGCCATGTTTGCCGTCTTGCGTGTTGGCGGTGTGGTCAGTGGAGCCAGTCCTGCTTATGGGGTTGAGGAAATGATATATGCGCTCAAGACTTCTGGGGCCAAGGTTTTGATGACGCATCCGGAGAGATTAGGGGTTGCTGTTGAAGCTGCGAAAGCTGTGGGGATAGGAAGGGAGAGTGTTTTTTTGTTGGAGGGAGAGGAGAATGGGTTCAAGGGGATTGGTGAGTTGATTCAGATGGGGGAGATGGGGGAACAGGTTGAGGAGTGGGAGGGTGTGAGGAGGATGGGGAATAAGCATGTTTGTGCATTCTTGAGTTTTAGTTCTGGGACTACTGGGTTGCCTAAAGCTGTGAGTGCTGCTTTACCTCATGTTGGACGAGAACCAAGCTGATGTGATTCTAGGTCATGATATCCCATCAAAACGTACATGAGATCAAATCACATACATCTGACAATCAACATGCTAACACCAAAACCAGGTCATAGCCCAATGCCTCCAAATGCTCAAAATCACGCCTCCAGATCTCGATCGCATCCTCGCGGTCCTCCCACTCTTCCATATAACCGGTCTCGTCCACATCCTCCACCTCCCCATCCTCTTGAACGCCCAAGTAATAATGCTCCCCTCCTTCTCAATGCCAACCATGCTCTCCACCGTCACGAAATACAAAATCAAAGAACTACTTCTCGTCCCTCCTTTACTCATCCGCTTGGTCCGCGATCCAGAAGTCGACAATCATGATCTCTCCTGCATCGAGCGCTTTTCCTCCGGAGCTGCCCCTCTGAGCGAAGAAATATTACAACTGCTGCAGAACAAATTTCCGAATACCGGGTTTAAACAGGGCTATGGTATGACCGAATCCTGCAGTTGCATCACCGGTCATCCTCCTTCCCATTACTCCTACAAATACGCCCACGCGGTCGGAAAAATCGTTTCCTCCACCTCCATCAAGATCATCCGCGAAAATGGCACGGAGGCCAATACAAACGAGCCAGGAGAAATCTTGGCAAAAGGCCCACAAATCACCATGGGATATCTGAACAATGATACCGCGACAAAGGAAATATATGATCAAGAAGGATATCTGCACACTGGCGATCAAGGATTCATCAACGAAGAAGGTCTTCTCACAATAACCGACCGTATAAAAGAAATGATCAAAGTGAATGGTCATGCGGTGGCGCCAGCGGAATTGGAAGATTTACTCCTCGGTCACAGTCTCGTGGAAGATGTGGCTATCCTTGGGATACCCGACACTTATACCGGGGAAAAGCCAAAAGCTTTTGTAGTGCTGAAATCAAACAGTGTTGGGAAAGAGGAGGCACTGGGGAGGGAATTGCTGGATTATGTCAGGGAGAGAAAGATTAGATATAAATGGTTAGCGGAGGTGGAATTCGTGGATGTGATTCCTAAGAGTCCTAGTGGTAAGATATTGAGGAGGGTGTTGAAGGATAGGGCGAAGAAAGGGGAAGTGGGTGTTGTGGTCAAAGAGGCGGTAAAGGAGAAGGCGAAATTGTGAGGGTCATGTTCGATGTTACTGTGGTCTTGAATAGAAGTTTGCAGATGCTGGAGAAAAATCAAGACTTTGTTTCACTTTTCTTCATAAGGTGAGTAATTGCGATTCCGAAATTGTCGATGTGCAGGATGTTGTTTGTCGATATATGAGTGTGACCGGAGAGGCCGCTCTCGGTAAACACGTTTCCAAAGACAAAAACATCTTTGCTCGAATTTTGCAAGGTTGAGGAAGAACCCGACATCGACTGAGAATCCAAAGAGTATGAACGAACGTATGTACAAATACAGCAAAAAAGTCTATGCATCTATCATCTAAATCTATATTCCAATTGCATCATCACAAAAATCTACGCCCTATGCTCTGAAGACTGACTCATCCTTTTCCCATTCGCAACACTCATTTCCAAATTCTCATCCTGCAACTCCTGCATCAAAATCGGCTGCGCTTTTCTCGGCGGCTGGATCTCAAACAACCTGTTCATCTTATCCAGAGGCACTGATTTGGTCTCTGGCAACAGATACCACACAAACAACAATGACAACGTGCTCATACCCGCAAAGAAGAAATACATGCCACAGCCATCAGGTCCCATGCCGGAAATCATGTCTGGAGTGAAGCGAGCGATGATGAACGTCCACAGCCAGTTGGCCATGGATGCGGAAACTTGGCCCACGTTGCGAGAAGCGGTTGAGAACATCTCCGAGTTGATGACCCAGGGAGTACCGTTCCAGGAGGGAATGTAGAAGGTTGTCCAGAGGTATACCATGACGATTGTGGCGATACCTTGGGAAGACAGGTGGGAGGTATCTTGGTTGCCTTGGCCAACTTTGGCAGTGATGAGGGCGCCAATGATGTACATGCATGAGGCACCTGCGATGGATCCGTAGACGAGGAGTTGACGGCGGCCCCATTTATCGACGAGCACGGTGAGCCAGAGGACTGTCATGACTGTCTTGAGAACACCGAAGATGCCGGTCATGAGGTCGACGGTATAGTTACTGTTGATACCCATAGTTCTGAAGATGGTGGGGGAGTAGTAGTTCTGATAAGTGTTAGTATAAAAAGTCGCAAGAAGGACAGGAGCGACACTCACAATAGCATTAATACCCGAGAAGTTCTGCAAGACGAAGAGCATATGTCCAAGGAAGAGGCGCCACAAGATCTTTCTGTCGGTGAGTGCGAGCTTGATGGGCTGGAAGAATCCTTTGGGTATCTCATCGTTTGCGGCCTCCATCATCTCGACTTCTTCGATGATGTACTGATCGGTGGGTTCGAGGTTACGGATCCAGCAGAGGTTCTTGATGGCTTGCTCACGGCGACCCTTGCTGAACAGCCAGCGTGGCGTCTCTCTGAGCATAACACTTCCGATCAATACCATACCGGCCGGGACGAGTTGAATAGCGAAAGGAACCAAGAATTGATCTCTTCCAGTAAGGGGCGACGACTCGGAAACACCAAAGATAATCCAGAAGCCTACGAGGCCACCGGTTTGCCATCCAAGTTCGTAAAGACCGACAAGTCTACCACGGATGGCGGGAGGAGCGATCTCGGAAAGGTAAATTGGAACCTGTACAGAGCCATGTTAGCCACCAGCCATTCACAACACTCTCATTGATCACAATCAAGACTTGGGGAGGGACATTGATGCAAGGCGGAAGCGATCGGGATTGATGTGATTGAGAATAGGGGGTGTAAAAGCAAGATGTTGGAATGGGACCATCAAGGGGGAACGTCACTTACCACCATGGTACATCCGCCTACACCGAAGCCAGAGATGACTCTTCCGGCATAGAGGGGACCCAATGTGTGGCTTGGGCTCAATGTGATGCCAGCACCAACAAGGAAGATTGTGATGAAAATCCAGATACTCGCCCTGCGGCCAAGGAAGTACGATGTGGTGTATGCAAAGATGGAACCAAAGAAGGCACCAGCCTGGAAAAGAGAGACGATGTTGGCAGAAATGAAGCTAGACTTCGAATCGCCCAATTTGTCAAGACCATAGTATTCTTGGAATGAATCAAGAGCGACTGTCGTGCCAATGAACGAAGTAGTATAACCAATCATGCAAGAAGAGAAGGCAGCAACGACGGCCGAAAGGTACACACGCCAGTTGTAGACGCATGGCGGCGTAGGTCTGTCTTCGATTTTGGCAAGGACACCCATTTTCGCAGACTTGGTAGGAGGAGGTTGCAAAGACGAGGACGAGGGAGAAGAGTCTTTTGACATGTCCCCTAGGGCTTCTTCTCGGGTCGCCATCACTGTTCGCATCCGACGTCAAAGGCCGGTGACCGTGCTATCCAATGGTCGATTATGACCAGAGGTGGTGAATGATCTGCATCCGAATTTCTCACCCACTTCGCGGAGGTGCGGGTCTAACCAACCAGATTTTTCACGATTCTGACTCAACCCCACAGCAACTCCCACAGACCAAGGGGATTGTGGATCGTACTGGAGTTACTCCGTGGGGTTTTCTTACCTGTTTAACACATCTAATTTGACGAGTGCTAAGAACGTGCAGGCATGCGTGTTCAGCGATGATGCTCATGTTGATGCCGAATGTTGCTTCCGAAGCCATCCCCGGGCCGAGCAGCCGGTTTCTCCTACCTGAATGCGCTTTTGACCGCGCTTGTTACTTCCAGAATGGTCTGTCCCCATTCGCTAGAACCTGTCATAGTCTACTCGAATCGCTGGCGCGCTGTCGAAGTACACAGTCGTTTCCATATCTTAGTCGTGTCGAGGGTGGGCGGATGAGACCTCTCCGCAGCCAATCGTGCCCATCTTCAGACGCATCTTGTAACTCTACAACTTCGAACTTGCTTTGCTCTTTCTTCCGGGTTTACCGCCAGGCATCGCCGCGTGGCCGCCTGAACTCTCTGACTCCTCCAAGACCGGGTTTCGTGCCGAGTCACAACGTCGTATCAAAGGAGACGCGAGCGGCGAGGCTATCGGAACGTGCGCTGAGCATATCAAGGGTCTGAATATAGGTCGCCCAACCAAATGCAAGGTTCGGTCAGCATTGACGGTCGTGCTCAACGTCTAGAGATATGAGGTCGTTGTGGGTCTTCGTTTGGGTCAGATTGCGAGTCCGGAGCAGAGTGCTGTGTGAAAAAGGTGCGGGGACGGAGGTGGGAAGCAGTCACGGCAGTTTGCAGCTTTATATAGGAGATCCTTCTCCGAAAGGACTCTTGGCTGAATGATGCACCTCGGATGTAGGAGGGGTGAGCGGAGAAGATCAACTTCGGTTTCTGATGTTCTTTATGGTCGTCATACCCTTCTTCAGTACCATAGGACCCGCAATCTACAGTGTTGCAAAGGTTTCAAAGTGTTTTATGATACATTGAGGTTTGCGCCGATATCGACATCGCTCGGCCGATGACAGGGTGATACATTCAACAACACCTTCCAATCATTTTCTCTCAATAAAAGAGTAAGCAAGTAGTCTGGCGCTAGCAAACTAACCTCAATCTATGTTGCAATTAATACTGTCCAATCTGAGGGCATGATGAAAGGAATTGATGGTCGTGTCGCCGATAATTCGCAGATTTATGTTTTCCGTTCTTGAATTCTGGCATCTCACTTCGGACACCATCTGTTCTGGTATTGAAAGCAAAGAGAATAATTAGCGCCCTCAAAGAACAAGGAGTACAACGAGTAAACATACACTAAACGTTCTTCAAATTCGTGAATCATCCGCGACGACGCTTGCAGTGTGAAGGCAGAAAAAAAAGGTAGATGCGATCGGTGTCTTCATCATCTCCTCCAAAGCGCGACGCCTGGCTTCACACAACTTTTCTGTATCCCTCTATAGGTATGTAAAACGACTTTCCATGATTGCTGGGGCGCATGATCTCTATAGATGTACTAGATCAGAGGTCTACAAGTCATACCTCGACGCTATTTGACAAAGAGCACCCAGAAAAGCCTTCGAGTAGAGGGCCGATGCGTCGTGGCAGTATGACAGGAAACCCAACGGAATCGATGCTGCATGTGCGCCCGCAAAAGACCCCGAACGTAGCCACCTGGCAAAACAGTTCCTCGTCAATTCCGTAAGAGAGAGTGCTGATAACTCACTCCGTCTGTCCTGCTTGCAACATTCTTGCTCTCATCCTCTGGCCATTTTCAAGGTGCGACCTTTTCCGAGGTCTCCATGACGTCAGCGATATCGCGAATCACAGTGTCAGCACTAAGTCCCTTCGGACAATTTTCGCGTTTCTGTCGCCAAACGAAACACACTGTGTCTGGTTCGAAGACAAGTCATAGTCCGAATGTTCATTCTCATAACGTTACTGTAGCAGGCATGTGCGATCTGGGGCCGTCGCGATGACAGGTCTTATGACGACTGACCACTGACATAGCTGCACGATGCTTCGACCTTGCCAATAGGTAACGACAACACCAAAACAACCTTGTACATTGCGACAGCTTTCGATGATGCTTGTCCTTGATTCCATGGTGGAAGACCTCGCGATACGTGGAAATGCATAAGCCGTCGGTGATAGATCTGACATATCTCGGTGAAGACAAGGATACTCGTGGACAAAACAATGGTGACATCAGTCGTTAATATGTGATTACACAGTCAAGATACAAAACTCCAGCATTCACCACAAGAGGTAGATAACATTCTTTTCGACTTCCCAAATACCAATATCATGTCAAAACCGACAGTTGCCGTCATCGGAAGCGGCTGGGCCGGCTTCGTCCTGTCGCAGCAATTGAATGTCGCCAAATACAATGTTAAGATTATATCGCCGGTTCGAACAATTCAATACACACCTTTACTTGCGAGTGCAGCCTGCGGACTATTCAACTTCCGACTTGCCGAGGAGCCCGTCCGTCGACGCAGTAGACCGAATGTTGACTATTACAAAGCAATCGCCGAGTACATTGATCTTGAGAAGCGCATCATCAGATGCAAGCCATCGGTATCGGAATTCTGGAAAGACAAGGATTACGAAGTTCCATACGACAAGATTGTCATTGCTCCTGGCTGCGACATTCAAACTTTTGGAACGCCGGGTGCCTTGGAGCACGCGCTGTTTTTGAGAACGACCAATGATGCACGCCTCATCCAACAGAGGATACTGGAAATTCTTGATGCAGCGTCGTTACCTGGAGTCACTGAACAGCAGCAAAGAGACATCTTGACTATCCGCGTAGTTGGTGGAGGAGCCATCGGCATTGAGGCTACGGCGGAGCTTTACGATCTCTGGAACCAGGATATGAGATTCCTGTATCCCCACCTTGATGGCAAGCTCACGATCGTCATTCATGATGTTGCACCTACGATCTTGTCAACCTTTGATGAAAAGCTGGGAGACTATGCAACAAATTCTCTTCATCGGAAGAAGGTGGAGCTGAAGACCAGCTCTCATATCGAGAAAGTGGAGCAGGATGCCATATACACAAAAGAAGACGGTAGACTTCCCTATGGCATGCTGATTTGGGCTACTGGCAATAAAGCCAACCCTCTACTCGACAACTTGGACGTCAAGAAGACGGAGAAGGGCATGCCGCGCATCTTGACGGACAAGTATCTGAGAGTCTTGCGACCTGACGGCANACCTCGAATAGTCAACCGGGTATTGATGGAGGAGGCTGTGACAAGATCTGCAGCCATGATATTCGTCGATTATGGTGAAATGGGGAGAATGTCACTATGGAGAAACAGTAGAAGTGAGAGAAATGCAGCAAAGAACGATACCGAGCCGTAGTCGATGCCGCCTGATCCATGAACCCGATTTTGCCTGAGGACATTGCCGTCTTCTCACCAAGAGTCATGATATGGTCAAAGATCCAAGGCATATTCTCCTATTCAATATTCAGGAAATAGGCACTTTCATCTGCGTATTCGTACACGTACTCGAGTGCTATCACCCAGAAAAAGATCTGTCGGCCGGAAGAATGCTCGTAGATCCTATGGCGTCAAATCAAGAGCGAAAAAAGAAGGCTCGCACAAGCAAGAAGGCTTTGAGCTGGTGATTCGAAAGCCGATAGTGCTACGAGGCTGAAACGAAGCTTCTTGGGAGAGGTTGTTTCGAAAATGCCCTCCGCAAGGCACAGGGCAGTTTGAGCCGGATTCTTGGCCAAGCTCCTCGGCCGTCGGCTTGCAATTTGGCCCCGGCCCGAGGCCTTCCGACGCTGCACTGTCGATCATGGGGAGTTCTGCACCGCGACGTGTCACAACATCAGTTCTTCACTCTGACTACTTCCACATGGCTCTGCTTGCTGTTCATCATTGCGCGATTACGAATCTACGAAAGTTGCTGAGACGAAATTCCAATGCGTCGATGCCTCTTACAAGCAACAAATTTCGCTCAGCGTATTGGCAAATCTCTGCCAGTATTTGACCTAGCCAGAAATAGGCACGCGTTTCAACACCGCCTCCCGCACAGACAGCATCCAGTCAATCAATCATCCACGCAACTCTTTCTACACTCCCGTTCCTTCCGTGGTCGCCTGAGTTTGGAGCTGTCGTTACGGAGACTGCTGCGGAGTTTGTAATTCATCACTGCTGCAATGATTGATTACAGCTTTCGTAATCGTCAACAGCTCTTTCCCTGTCAGGATTCAATCTCTGCGACCAGCTGCTGTCAAGAATCATTCTACGTTGTCTGACCGCAATCTCGTTACATGTTCAACGAACAGACATGAACTTGACCGAGCTCCTCAACGTCTTTACTGCAGAAGCACATTCATCTTTTGAGAACTGGGGTTTGTGGAGCATGATGGCCAGTTTCATCTCTACAAGGCTAGAGCGAACTTGAGACTGTCGATCACCATACTTCTTTTCGCCGTGACTTCCTGCGAGGTTCTGCTTTGAGACAGCTAATTTGCAAACCAAGCTGCTTTCGGTCTTACCACCACGAGACTTCTCACGCCTAGCACCGCTACGCCTTCCCCATTACAACAGATTCATGAGTCGTCGGCCATGTCCCGCCTGAACCTTCACCTTGTATCCATCTTGCATGTCAGCAGGGCCATGGCAAATCTGTCAAAATCCTTAATCTCGAGCAAGACTGGTATGATCGATGCTCTGTTGCTAATCCTGTAGCAGGTCAATCCACCCTTTGCGGGTCGATGCATCCTCTGTATAAAGCATGTCTCTTCGCCGGCTCTCAGTACTTTTCGAATCATCCCATTTCGTCTTTCTTTCCTTTGCCAATCAAGAGCTGTGCTCTGAAGCAATTCCTCGTTCTTTGTTTTCGTCATTAATACACCCACCGATCGTTTCAGTCCTTCGTTATACCTTAATCGACAGTATCTCAACGTAAGCACCCGCTTCGCTTCTTTCTCAAGATGAAGCCTAGCACCTACTTGTACCTGGCAGCCTACTTTGGCTTGTCAACTGCCGCCCCCTACAACAAGCGCGATGACTCTTGCACTTGCGCACCTGGAGAGTCTAAGGGCACCACCGTCCTGACCGTCACCCAGTGGTCTACCCAGACCAAGACTCAGACAGTCACTGAGCACGTCACCGCCTACGTTACCACGACTGCTGCTGGTTCAGCAGTCCCCTCATCCGTGCAGACCGACGCTGCCGCCTCCTCGGCTCCCGCTTACGGTGGCGACAACTACGGTTCTTCACCTTCCTCTTCGGATGTCGATGCATCCAACAATACCCCTACCACTGCTGCTGGTAGCGAGTCGGGTGCCATCACCACTCTGCCTACCGCTTCTTTCGGCGAGGGCAACTACGGCGCTACCACTCCCGCTTCGTCTGCCGCCGTTCCGGCCGTTACTGGAACCACCACCATGGGCTCTTCCGGCCCTGAGGTCGTCTACGTGACTGATGTCGTCTCCGAGACAGTCACGACTTGCCCTGTGGGACACACAATAACTTCTGCTGGTAGCACCACCGTCTTGACTGCTCCTAGCGTCATTACTTCGACCATCACCAACAGAGCTACTGTCACTTCGGCCGCCTCGGATGTCGATGCTGCTATGCCTTCTTCAGCAGCTGCCACTCCCGCAGCTTCCCAGGGCGTTCCTGCAAACGGCACCCCAGACACCACCCCTGCAGCCTCCGAGGGTGTTCCTGCAGCCTCCGAGGGTGTTCCTTCCGCTTCGGAGGGTGTCCCTGCAGCTTCCTCAAGCGTTCCCGCTTATGGCGAGTCCACTCCCGCTGCATCTCAGGGCGTTCCTGCTTATGGTGCCTCGACTCCTGCCGCCGAATCTACTTCGGACGTTGATGCCGCTATGCCTTCTTCCGCAGCTGCTACACCCGCCGCTTCTCAGGGCGTTCCCGCAAACGGTGTCCCCGAGACCACTCCTGCCGCATCTGAGGGAGTTCCCGCCGCATCCGAGGGTGTCCCTGCCAACAGCGAGTCTACTCCTGCTGCCTCTGAGGGTGTTCCCGCATACGGCAGCACTGTTGTCATTCCTCAAACCTCGACTGTCATGCCTATCCCTTCGCCTCCTGCCAACTCTGACGAGACCCCCAACAACATGCCTTCGTACGGTCAATACTGGGGAACTGCTACCGGTGGTGCCGCTCCTTCGGGATCGATGCCTGCCGGCGCTGCTGCACCCTCGGGCCAAATGCCCACAAACTGGTACCCCAGCAACTGGCAAACCGCCGTCCCCGTCTCATCTGAGGCTAGCCCTGACACTCCCGCTCCTACATCGGTTGGACCTATCACCGTAACTCTCTACAGCACTCACGTCGGTACCGTCACCTCTTGCGCAGCAGATGTTACTGATTGCCCCGCATCATCGACTGTTCTTTCTACTTCTTTGATCGCTACTGGCACCTCCATCTCCAACGGCCCTTCGGGTGTCGCACAGCCTACTGGCGGCTACACTTGGGGTAACGGTTACTCGGCTGGCGTTGCTGCCCCCTCAGGCTCTGCTCCTGCCTCCCCCAGTGACAACGCTGTCGACGGTGCTCAGGCATCTCGTTCCTCCGTCCCTGCTGGTGTAGCTCAGCCCACTGGCGGTATTCCCGCTTACGGCTCTTCCGGATACGGCAGCGGCTCTTACGGCTCTTCCCCTTCATCCCCTGCTGAATCTTCTGCTGCTGCCTCGCCTAGCGACAATGCTATCGACGCCGCCCAGGGTACTCCCTCCGCAACCGACTCGGCCTCTTCGCCTTCCGGAACTGACGCTCCTATGTACGGTGGTCTTTCTGGCTCGTCCAGCGGTTCCGCATACGGTCAAGGCTCGAACAGCGCTTCATCTCCTTCCGAATCGTCTCCCGCCTCTTCCACAGAATCTACTGGCTCTTCCCCCAGTGACAACGCCATTGATGCTGCTCAGGGCTCTCCCTCAGGATCTGACTCATCTTCACCTTCTGACGTTCCTGCCTACGGTGGTGCTTCCGTCTCTGGCTCATCCCCTGCCTCGTCCCCTAGCGACTCGATCGCAGATGCTGCCAACGGTACTCCCACTGCCTCCGCTTCTTCGCCTGACGTGACTGGTGGAGCTGGTGCAAACGTTGGCGGTGAGGGTTCGCTTTCTGGTGGTCTCGGTGGTGAGGGTTCTCTGTCCGCCGGTATCTCTCCTTCAGCTGGCGCCGCTTTATCAGCCGGTGCTACCCCCTCAGGCTCTCTCGCAGCTGGTGCAACTGGAACCGGTGATCTTGGTGCTGCCGCTTCAGGCGCTGCCGGACTTGGAGGTTCAGCATCGGGCTCTCTCGGCGGATCTGCAGGTTTGGGCGCAGGCATCGGAGCTGGTGCAACTGGAACCGGTGATTCTGGTGCTGCCGCTTCAGGTGCTGCCGGTCTTGGCGGTTCAGGCTCTCTCGGCGGATCTGCAGGTTTGGGCGCTGGCATCGGAGCTGGTGCTGGTGCTTCTGGCACTGGTTCCCTCGGTGCCGCCGCATCTGGCGCTGCCGGTCTTGGCGGTTCAGGCTCTCTCGGCGGATCTGCTGGTTTGGGAGCAGGAATCGGCGGATCATCGACTGGTGGCCTTGGTGCTGCCACAACAGGATCCGCAGGATTGGGCGCCGGTATTGGCGGTGCTGCTGGTCTGGGCGCAGGTATTGGAGCCGGTGCCTCCGGAACCGGTTCCCTTGGTGCTGCCGCATCAGGAGCCGCTGGTTTGGGCGCAGGCATTGGTGGTGCCGCTGGACTGGGTGCAGGAATCGGCGCATCCGGAACTGGTGCTCTTGGAGCAGCCACTTCGGGTGTTGCTGGACTCGGCGCTGGACTGGGCGCATCTGGCTCTCTCTCAGGTGCTGCCGGTGGCTCTCTTGATGTTTCTCTCGGCCTCAACGCAACTGTCGATGTCTGGGGTACCTTCGAGATCCTCGCTGACCACATCCACTCGTACACCGCTGAGATCAACGCTACTTGCAACGGCATCTCCGGCACCGCATCCGCTGCAGCCATCGCCGACGTCAAGGAGAATATCCAAGTCCTCATTACTCTCATCGGCCAGGCCAAGGCTCATCTCGCTACTGTCGGTGGCATCTCGGGTCACAGCAAGGCTGAACTTGCCAGCTTGATTGCTGAGCTCCTCGTTGAAGTCGAGTTCACCGTCAAGTTCGCCATCAAGGTCTGCGGTTACGCCGCTCTCAAGGGTGTTGTTGTCACTCTCGCCACTGCTTGCCACGGTCTGATCACCATTGCCTGCTCCGTTGTCGCTGGTCTCAAGCTTGAGCTTGCCGGTCACCTCAGAGGTGTTGTTGGTCTCGGTGCCTACGTTCTCGGTAGCATCGTCTCCTTCATCCTCTAGAAGAAGCAAAATATCTCCTTTCGTATCATCATCGCATGTAATATAAGCTTCTGCTCTTTTGAGTATTAGAACGACACGTAGTTAGCACACTATATCTTTCCTTAGAAACTTTCGGTATCTTTATCAGAATTGTGATTCAAAACATCTGCGATCATTCCTTCAGCACAACGTGAATGTAGACGTAGCATCGGTACATAAGTGGTTTGTATCATCAAGCAACTTTGGTGAAGATCTGGTTGGCTCGATACTCCAAAGGCTGAGATTAACCACTTCAATTCTAAGGATATTGACATGCAAGAAGTGGTAGGGACAATAAAATGGTACCCCAAGACCTAGAATATTCACTTCTGGTCACGGCCGCGAATTTTCAGAATCAGTTGTGCTTCTGTTGGCTTGTTCTTGATATCTCTGCCGGTCGATATTTGTGTGACCAGTCGTACATACGACGCCGATCAGTGGGGCTATACCGTGGCGCAGAAAGATTCTGAACGATTCACCAGCACTCCTCCATTTAGCGGACTGGCAGTAGAATAGCTATGTTGTCACGGTGATCAGACCGAAGATAATATGCCAAGCTTAGGAAACATTCGAACCCGGTACGACGCGGCAATTTGTTGCTGACTAGGCAGAGTAGCCATCATGTCCATCTGACCAAGCCATACAATCAACGTGTTGATATTGCCAAGTATAGCGTGCTTACGAAGAAACTCACCTTTGTTCGCAGGTAGTACCGACAACAGTATTAACGTTCGGTTCTGTCTGCCTGATGAAGAGTGTCATGGCGAGCACGGCAAAAACGGGCATCGAGAATCAACGGTGATAAGACGTATGCATGGTTTGTCTGTTACCGTCTCTCGTGTCTTCGTTTGACTGAACTATACCGACGTCGTTCATATGTTTGCCGGGCTTGACAAGTAAACGTCTGTCGGTGATCGTCTCGCGTCTGAGTGATCAAAATATTCGAATTCTCCATGCTCATCAAGCTGATCAAGCTGATGCTTCCGATCGGAAGGGAAATTGTTTTCTTATCGCGCAAATCTTCTGAATCGATTCTTCCAAGTACATGCGTTCAATATTTGGTGGGTCGCCTCTGCTTGAACAATTTCCAGGAGAGATGTCGCGACTCGTGATGGTCAAAGTTGTCTCTGAAAGTACCGAAGCTTGGCAAACAGGGGGGTTCGAGACTCCACGCGATGGCGGCATCGTCACCAGCGAAAAGCCTCATCAACTCTTTTATTTGCGCCCGCTTGATGCATGACCATAAACCCCTTTGTGTTCATGCAGCGCATCCTACTTTTGGTTGCTTTAACAAGCCATACTGACTCAGTATGATACCAAATATATATGATAAATGTCCGGTCATTCGCGTGGAGGATGGCATTTCCGGACTGCGACGTTGTGACGGATGCCGAGGACGTTGCAACCGTACGAGATAGGAGCTCTCAAGAAAACCCCCTGGCAACCGCAAAGACGCCATCTGACGACGAATATAACTGTCATGGATGCCTCAAAGATGAGGAGACACGCTCGCTCTCCTTGAACGTCGTTCTCGCATTATACCACACACTCTCTTTCAATCACTTCGATTTGGCTGGTCCAGTCGACTATCACACTCTCTCAAAATGACCAACTACAACACTATGTACGAGAAGAAGCATGATTTGCTACCACAGTCGCCTCGCTGGGCGCAAGAACCAGCATTTTACCACATACGAACATACAGCAGCACAAGAGCGAGAGCCGCGAGGCTGCCAGCTCTCATTGCAGCTTTCATCTTTGCCAGTATCACATTTGTGTTCTTTACAGGGACCGGCCCAGACATGTCATCCACACCAGTTACACAGACAGTACCAGGCAACGTACACCTTCTCATACCGGCTTCAGGAAAAGATGAGAATCTCTGCAAGGCTATCGTCGGAGCAGCTGTTCTCGGATACCCTTCACCAAAAGTCCTCAACTGGGGCAAGACATTCAACGACGCGCACCTCGTCTCTGGAGGTTCCCACATTGCTAAGATTAGCGGTGTATCTTCATATCTCGAGAGCCTTTCTCCGGAACAAGACGAGGACCTGATCATCATGACTGATGGTTACGATACCTGGTTCCAACTGAGGCCTGAGACCCTCATCGAACGCTACTTTGACATCAATCGCCGAGCAAACGAACGCATTCGTCGCGAACTCGGTGATCATGTCGTCAGCACGAACAAGATTGAGCAAAAGATTGTTTTCTCTGCGCAGAAGAGATGTTGGCCTTGGGCAGCAGATGCAGCACCTTGTTATGCCGTTCCGAATTCGACTCTACCTGAGGATATCTTCGGACCCGACACTGACACAGACGTTGGAGACCGAAACCCATACCTCAAGTTCCGTCCACGCTACCTCAACTCTGGAGTTGTAGTTGGCACAGCCGGTGCCATGCGTGTGATGTTCACTGAAGCCTTGAACCGTGCGAAGAAGGATCCCAACTTCGGTAGCGATCAAAACATCTTCGGTTCAATCTTCGGCGACCAAGAAGTATACCGCGAAGTTGTGCGACAAAGAGACATGTCTTGGACGGATCACATCAGCCTCCGCAGCGAAGATCCCAGACGAGGCTCAATTCGCGAGCAAGATCTCGAAGCTGTGAGAAACATGACCAGAAGTATGGAATTTGGCATCGGTCTCGACTACGAGGGCTCCATCTCCTTACCCACTGTATTCTCTGAAGACGACACAGAGTGGGTCAACTTCGACAATACGCCTTGGGTGGACTTCTATAACGTCAAGCGCAACATCGATAAATCACAGAACAAGCTCGTCTTGCACCAGGATATCGCAAAGACACCCGCACCATTCCACAGCAATGGTACCGATGATTTAGAAGCAAAAGAGTGGGCTCAAGTGCCATTGTTTACCAACGTGCCCACTGGCTACACTCCTGCAATCATTCACCATAATGCTCATCGCGATGGCATGAAGAATCTCCGTCGCAAGGTTTGGGACAAGATTTGGTTCCAACCTTACGCTCGTGTTCTCATGGACCAATACATGGATACTCCCCTCACGACTCTGGCAGTCGCAGGAGGCAGACAATGGAGGAACAGTGATGAATGGAAGGGCGGTGTTCGGGATGATGTTGGTGCTTGGTTGCCATACCAGGATGTTTGTGGTGGAACGGAAGATGAAGTCTTCAGAGACGGAAATGGACCTTGGATTGCGCAAGCGCACGCTTGATTTACTTTTGCAAATTGTTGATTTAGCTAGACATGAATACAAACTTACGACATATTGGGCTTGACGGCCTATACAACATATTCTTTGAACCTCCTCGCCCCAAAAAAACAATGTGGATGGATAGTATATTTCTGCTTCGATGCTGACTATAAAATCTGTCCTCCCACTAGTCAATTATCTCCATCCTTAACAGTAATCTCTGAGAAGTTGTATGAATGCATACGCGGTGTTGCGATTTTAGCCGTTTTGCCGCACGGGATTTGAAGAATCGCGGGAAACTGACGGGCAACTTTCGGGAAATGCAAACTATGACTCCCAGCTACGGAGCAATTTAGCTTGCAAATTCTGTCATATTTCCGACAACGCTCAAAGGCGCAAGGCGCAAAGAGTCATCTAGGAAACATGTAGTCCTCTTCTGCACCTCGCTGTGATACAGGAGTATCATCAGCCAATCTATACATCGAATTATCTGGATCACAATGGGCAAACAACCATCTGTGGAATTGACGAGTCTCGGGCTCGCTTCCGGTACTACTACCAGAACTCCTTCGATTTCAGGCCCATCGAACGAATGTAATCCTCAGCCTGTCAACACTGATTTGGAAGCATCATCTGATGATGAGACACCTCTCAACGACGAAGCGAAGGCCATTCTCTCCAAAGGACGAACAATCGTTGTCATTGCACAATTAGTCGGCGTACAACTCTTCTCCAGTTTCTGCAATGGCATTATTGTGATTGGTCTCCCCGCTATAGCAAAGGCACTGGAAATGGAAGCCGGACTGCAACTTTGGCCGACTTCTGTATTCTATCTTACTGCCGGATCGTGTCTCATGTTGGCTGGATCCCTGGCTGATGTTCTCGGAACACGGCCATTGATTTTGTCTGCGAATATCCTGCTTGCCGTCAGCGCTCTGGCTTGTGGTCTCGCGCGCAATGGAGGTGAAATCATTGCGTTCCGTGGATTGCAGGGAGTTGCCAATGCTATGGCTGTTCCAGCTTCGGTGTCTATGATCTCGACAAGTGTTGAAGATGGTCAACGCCGCAATATGGGATTTTCTTGTCTAGGCTTCGCGGGGCCTCTCGGATTTTTGCTTGGCCTGATTCTGGGTGGTGTGTTTGTTGACGGTGTTGGATGGCGTCCAGCCTTCTATCTCGTGGCTGCCGCAAGTTTCACCTTGGGTCTTGTCGGATTCTGGGCACTGCCAAAGAATTCGCGTCCGCACCCTAGACGCAGCATTAAGAAGCAGTTGGCTTCTGAGATTGACTGGGTCGGAACGATCATCTCGACTACTGGTCTTGTGGCTATCTCATATGCTTTGGCGTGAGTTTTCATTGTTCGAACTTGATGGTATGATATACTGACATGACTTACAGCACATTGTCGGCCAGCGTTCACAACATCAAGACTGCAACCACCATTTCACTTTTGGTTGTTGGTATTGCTACCGTTCCTGCCTTTATATGCTGGATGGCATGGCAAGAGAAGACTGGAAAACCTGCTCTCATTCCAAACTCTTTCTGGCAAAATCTCAGCTTTACCAGTGTTTGTATCATGATTCTCTTCAGCACTGCCGTCATCAATGGTATGGAGGTCTATGTCAGCTTGTTGTAAGTTCATACACCCACAACTTACCTAGGCGCAAAGACTAACTCAATACTAGCTTCCAGCAAGTTCAAGGCTTGTCGGCGCTTGGAGCTTCCATCCGCATTCTACCTGCTCTGATCACAGCAGTCATGATCAACATTTCCACCGGCTACTTTGTAAACCGCATGCCCGTCGTATGGATTGTATTAGCTTCTTGCGGACTCACCTCCATATCACCCATGTTGATGGCCATCATAAACCCTCGCTGGACATACTGGAAAATGGCATTTTTCGCTCAAGTAAGCACAGCCCTTCGACCTTCCGAATCAGAGCATCCTCTAACATCATCAACCACAGCTTCTCCAAGGCATCAGTGTAAACGTCCTCTTCACAGTCGGTCTCCTCATCATCTCCTCCATCTTCCCCCTCCGCACACAAGCACTAGGCGGTGCCGTCTTCAACACTTGCGCTCAATTGGGGACTTCGATCGGTCTCACTATCACCTCCGTCATTGCGGATTCCAGAACAGCCGCTTCGGGGATTGCGGATAAGACGTCGCCTGATGCGTTGATGACTGGTTACCGAGCGGTGTTTTGGGCACTGTTTGCTTGGATGATTATCGTGTTGTTGGCGGGTGTGTTTGGGTTGAGGAAGGTGGGGAAGATTGGTGTTAAAAGGGATTGAAGAAGATGTGAATGTGTTTTCGTGGATGCAGATGTTGTGGTTGTGGTTTGACGTGTGGATGTCGCTTTTGAGTTATATCACCACGGCTCATTGCGAAAGTTCAATCTTGTTCGGAATATTATTATTCGACTCTTCATCAGAACCAGGGACATGTATATATAACGCAAACACGATATCCGAAAACCTCTTTGTTCTTGATATTGGATATTCCGTTTACCCCAGATGAAGACCAGACGAGCGATGATGCTCACTTCCAAAACTTGCGATGGTTTGTCGAAGAAAAGAAAGAATGCTTGTACATGGATACAAGTGATTTTGTGGCTTGCCGAGAAGTAGCTTGTACCTGTACCACGGGACTTGTTTTCAAGGTATCCGTTCCTTGGTCAACGTCACTCGGTCTTGGATGCAGAATGAACTACCAATGCTGCAAGCCTCATTTCTGGCAGAAGAAACACTTTACGATCCGCACAAACAAGCAAGTAAAAGGAAAAGCACGAAGGAAATACGTTGTAAAATGTAAAGGCAATATTCACATGCCATATTAAGATCATTGGGTATATACAAAAACGAGTCAGATCACAGCTGTACTCGTGTGGGAAAACAAGAAACATTTAAATCATGATAAAAAGCATCTATGCCTTCTCAAGCATCTCATCGCTGGGAGCGACAGAGGTCTTGCCCTCGGCCTCAGCCTTGGAGCGAGCGGCATCCCAGTCGCCATTTTGCTGGCTGATCATGGGGCGGTAAGCTTTGCTCTTCCATGCCTTGCCGACAGTGTTGTAAAGCTCGTTGACCTCCTCGAGGGAAAGATCCTTGGTCTCGTAGATGAAGGCCCAGACGAAAGCGACGGCGATCCAGCAGAAACCACCCCAGATCCAGAAGATGTTGGGGCCGAGGTTGGCGTATTGAACCTCAGTGAGGTAAGGGGTGATGAAAGCGAGGAGCCAGTTGAAGAACCAGTTGGCGGCGGTGGTCATAGAAAGACACTTGGCGCGGACCTTGAGAGGGAAGATCTCGCCAGTGACGACCCAAGCTGCGGGACCGAAGGTGGAGGCGAAGAAGAAGATGTAGATGCAGATGAAGGCGAATTGGGCGCAGGCGGAGGTGTAGTCGGTGGGAGATGTTGCGACACCAGCGGCTGCGACAATGTACTGCGAGATACCCATACCGAGAGCACCGGCAAGGAGGACGGGACGACGACCGAAGCGGTCAATGGCCCAGAGACCAGGGAAGGTGGAGATGACGTTGATAACGTTGGTGATGACGGAGAGGATGAAGGCACTGGGCAGCCACTGGATGGAAGGGTCGGCAGGAGCGTTTCTGCTGAAGTAGGAGGTACCGTAGTAGAAGATGAAGTTGACACCAACAAGCTGCTGGAGAGACTGGAGGGCAATACCGGTGAAAGTACGCTTGCCAGTGTTGCCCTTGAAGCACTCGAGGTAGGAAGCAGTTCCGAGAGACATCTCATACTCGTAGTTGGCGGTGATCTCAGCAAGCTCGGCGGTGAGAGCGGGGTGGTCCTCGGGAAGGCGGCGGAGGAAGTGAAGCGACTTTCTGGCTTGTTCTTGCTTGTTCTTCTTGATCAAGAAACGAGGGGTTTCGGGGAGGAAGAACATTCCAATGCAGAGAATGAGCGACCAGGCGAATTGGATGGCGAGAGGGATACGGTACGAGCCACTGTCGCCGCGGTCCTTGGTGGCTGGAGAATGTCAGTACTTGTAGTCAGAGATGAAGAGTGAACGACATACCATAGTTGATGAGGGAGGCCAAAAGCAGACCAATGGTGATACAAAGCTGGTAAGAACCAATGATGAAACCACGAATCCACTTGGGCAGAGTCTCGGCTTGGTACATAGGAATCTGAACAGAGACGAGACCGACACCGAGACCAGCGAAGAATCTACCAGCAATGAACATACTCTGTTCGGTGGAAGCGACCTGAAGAATGACACCAAGGTTGAATGGAATGGCGGCGCAGATGATGATACCCCACTTGCGGCCAGTGTAGTCGGCGATCAGACCAGCAGCGAGAGCACCAACGAAGGTACCGACTGAGAGAATGGAGACAATGAGGGAGATCTTTCCACTGGCGGCAGGGTCGTTGAATTGTTCGATCCAGTAAGGCATTTCTTGGATTCCTGGAATTTTGTTAGAACTTTTACTTCCTCTAAATGACGAGGGTTTTAGGCACCTGAGATAGTTCCTGTGTCGTAACCGTAGAGAATACCAGCAAAGGCAGCAAAGGCACCGACCATGATGGAAGGCCATGCGGCACCGACCTCATCGTCGGGCTTTTTCAACGACAAAAAACCCATGATTGTGTGTTTTTCCGGGGTAGTAGTATGGGCACGAGTGAATGGGAATGTCGTATGAGGAGACCACGCGGAGAAGAAGAAGTTGCAAGCGATTGGAAAAAAACGATGATCACTGACCTGTATGGACTGGCAGGTCGCATGCTTCTTATAGAGGAACGGCTTCCAGCGGCACCCACCTACGCACGCCACGCTTTCTGGAAATCAGCAGGAAATTGGCGCCCAGTGCATGGATCGGGAGCCAAACCCACATCGTAAGTCCCGTGTGTTCAAAGAGTCAAAACCGTCAGCTAAACGCGGAGCGCAAGCCTCGCAAGACGAAGGTTTGGAGGATTGGCAACCGAATCGCGGGGCTTGGCCTGGAAGTAGAGTGCACTCCCCATGGCACGCTAGACGTCATGCATGTTTCCGTGTGGTGTTAGACGACACGCGAGCGCCTGTGCGGTGAGGGCTTCTTGTTACATCGCAGCGGTTCCTGCGAAATTATCGGACCGGGACCTGGTCTATCCGCACAACGACTCCATATGGAGACCGGAAGATGCAGAATACCACCGAGGACAAGGCCGAATTGTCGGGGGTTGATGGTGGAGACGTGGGGGGCATCCACATCTAGAGTTTCTGATGCGAATCCTGCGAGAGCCTGAAGAGTTGTGTTGATGTCGTTGAAGTTGACTTCAACAGCATGCTCTTCTGTCGCAAGCGATGGTGAAGGTTTGAGATGCGGAAATAACGATCGCAGTGTGTTTAGCCAAAAGAAGGTGTTTGGAAGAGCCGATGGAAGGCGTCAAATGGCGCATCAGGCGTCTGTCTTGTTCGCGCCACCCGCGTTGTCGCTTGGCGCTCGTGAAAAAGTTCCAACAACAGTCAACAAAGGATCCCGAGCCGAGTCCGTGACCTCCTGACACGGGGTCATGTTCCAAGAGGTCGTCGTTAAAACCACCCCGGGTCCCGCAAAGCATTGCTGCGGAGCAATAGTGTCGGTGGTATCGCGGTCGCAATCAAAAGCTGCTGACTTGACGACTGGAGATTGAGGAGAGGCCAACCCCCCGACTCTCTCCCCCAACTGTTCGGCTCCATCAACTCCAGTCTCCATGCGAATCAGTCCTGTTTCGCGACCCTCGCATCCCCCATCCTGATCCTCCGCAACTCCCTCGTGCTCTCTCCAGCCTGCCGCGAAAAGGACCGAATATGTCTCCAACCATGAGATCTGGATCGTGGAGTCATTCTAGGGAGCATCATCAAGAGCTGGAATCCTGCGTCCAGTGGTATCGGACCACCACAGGAGATGTCGCGTAAGAGAATACGCTGGACTCTTCGAGAAACGACACACGACAAGAGATTCTCAGAGACGTCTTACTGTGCCATATATGTGCAGAGCAGTCTTGTACGACTCGGACCGAGAGATCGCTGTTGGCCAACAAATCTGGCAATCTCGGAAGAGAAATTTCCTGATTCGACGCTTCGAGATCCGCCTCTTGGATGAACTTGCCAACATCGACAGACAACGCGGCGAGCTCAAGGTAGGTTCTTCGCAAGACTACGCCGACCGCAGCCTTTCTCGGTCCATGAAGGTGAGCCAGGATACTTCAAGGTAAGCACCTTTGTGCAAGGCAAGGGGAGAATAAAAAGACAACAGCGCGAAAGCTCGACTTCATGTTTTCATACCCGTGCTATGTTGGTACACTTCCAAATGCAAGATCGCAAACCACAAAGTCGAAAGACCCCCCCAGACCATCGGGAACAAACCCCACACCACGCTCAACAGTTACCATCATCGAAGCAACGCAAGACAGGATTCTTGGACGACTACCAAGACCACAGGTCAAAGCCTCAGCATCGCCGCCATAATCAACACTGCAACCGACATGTCAGAACATTCGAAACAAAACAGAAGGGAACAAAACCAAACACTTACTAGCAACTACCAAGACAAGCCTCGGCATCATGCAAGAAAGCATACCTCTCACCCTCAGGAGGCACACTATCAGTCGGATCGCCATTGGCCCTGAAAGTGCCACAAGTAGGCTCATGACCCTGAAGATTGAACTCGCGCCCGCAAACCTTGAGAGGGCTGTCTGCAGTCGAGGCACAGAAATCTCCTTCTCCGAAAAGGAATTGATGCTGATTGCAGTCTTTGGGGTTACCGTCGGGGCAGTCTTCCGATTCGGAGGTCATGATGTCGGCGCTCATTGCTGCGCTGGGGGCGAGCTGGGGTTGGCCGGAGAAGAAGGAGTGTTCGACTGCTTTGATGCGGAAGTTGAGAGCCTGCGAGGCAAGCGCATAGGCGATGAAGGAGCCGAGGAGTTTGGTGGAAACCATTGTTGCTTGAGTATAATAGGTTTTGAACATATGGAAGAGAGGAGAGGAGGTGAATGATTGATTGATGAATGAGAGGTGAGTAAAGTTTCTACTTCTTATATTCTTCTGTGACACCTCGTCGTCGCATTCAAATGATCCAAATGTACTAGCAGTATCTCCAACTTGTCGTCAGCGTACATGATAATGTGTCATGCCTCTCTTCTGCCATCTTGGCCCTCATGCTTTGTAGAGTGGTTGTTCGATGGTAAATGCAATCCTTCTAGTGGTGAAACTTGTAGTTCTGGGAATTGATGTTGATCTCATTCTTCTTACATCGTCTTCCTGTATTTGACAGTCATGTTGGAAGTGTCAATTATGTATGTTTACCAAGAACAGTAAGTATGATGATCATGCTACCTAGTCTGTGGTTTAGATCCTACCCAGCTCTTCCCACCCGTTCTCGTCCGGTGTCTTTTTTCTCCACTGCTCGATGGTCAATCCTTACACATCTAACACTATGATCGTCGGAGCTGCAGATGTATACTTGATCGTCCGGATTCCTACCTTTGTTGGTTTAGTGAACATTATCCTTGGAGCGAGGTAAGTGGCAGTGAAGCTCGATTGATTTGGCAGGGTAGCCCTGCTAGCAACTTTTGCATCGACATATCAGTTGGTGACTAAGGCATGTAAACTATCTCATTGAGCTGAAGGACATGTTTCGCTATAAATCCGCTTCCTATTAGAGTATCATGTAGTTGTTCTATCCCGGGATGCGCTTCATATCGATCGGCTCGAATTTCTAGGCCGACTTTTCCGCCAGCACCAGCATTTCACAGGAACAGACGATATTGCATCTATAGTAATAATCGCATCCGTGAACCAAACGATCTCTTGCAATCACTTGATCTTTTCCATAAAACAAAGATATAGCAACAAAAAAAACAAGACACAAACACAAAACATGAACTCATCAATTCATCGGCAAGGAAAACACATGATACGACTCCGATACTAAACTATTCTCCGAACGCCGACATCAACACCCCTCGTTCCCAACACTCCGATATCATTATGCAAGGTACGACGACAAGTATGCACAAACCAAAGCCCCAACGGACCGTACCGCTGCACAGCACAAACACACGGCACACCACCCTTCCCATCCCCTGCCGTAAGTCCCTTACCGCACATGCCGAAAAACAAGCCACAAATGTTTTTCTTAACCTCTGTTGCTTATATTTCGCACCTCCATATCTGTACAGTAAAAAATGCATGCAATATATATCTCCGCAAAGGAGTGATTTCGTAGATGTGTTAAAACATGTCAATAATGCAGATCCAGGATTTGAAAAGAAGCTTTGATCACTACGTCCTGTGTTTCCCTGAAATACGCAAATACGCATAACTCCTTACCCGAGAGTCCGGACAACAAGGGGAAAAAGAAAAAAGGACCGACTTTTCCATGGCGTCGAGAGTTCGAGAACGAAAAGCATGGGTCTTCTTCTTCTTCTTCTTCTTCTTCGGTTGTCTCGACCACATGGGAAATATAGAGCATAGCTACCTATATTGGTCTGGGGTTCTCTGGAGATGCGAGCCGATGGGAAAGTGGGATCCGATCAGAAAAATCAGGCGAGGTGATTAGATGGTGGTACGCCTGATCGCTGATAAATCCTCAATCTCATCGAGCAGGTGTTGCGCATGGTAACACAGCAAAACTCGCGTCGAAATCTTGATACCAAAGTCGCGATTGCAAGCATAACGAAAAGCGGAAAAGTGCAAGTTGTGTGAAGTGTAGAGAGTTGGTATTTCATTGACGTTCCGAAATAATAAAAAAAGAAAGACGTGACAAGTTATTTATATACATGAATTCCCCTCATGAGGGAAAGAGTAATAGGACAGCAAAAAAGGGGGTATCGTACGCGCTCGCAGAGTCGATCAAGCATAAGCTTCTTGAGAGCAAGTAAAAGGCGATCTCACAGAGCCAGAAGCGTAAGAATCAACAATATCCTTGACACTGGCATAAGTACCGCAGCCGAGAATGGTCAAACCGATGACAAAGCAAAGTGCGTTGAGAGCGGAAAGTGCAATGTTCTTCTTGCTGGCATTCCACTTGCCCTCCTTGATCAGAAGGAACCAGAAGAGAGCGGGGAAGTAGAAACTGAAGCCTGAGATGAAGAGGGCGGAGGTGATACCGAGCAAGTCGCTGAAGAAGGGGATGGCTTCGGCGATGACCCAGGCGAGGACGATCTGGGCGACGAGGACGAAGATCCAGACGATCCAGCCCTGCTTGGTGTTGGTGTAGCGGATGGGCGAGTTCTTGAAGAAACGGCCAATCAGGTAACGTCCGACGACGGTGGCGTTGATGGATCCTGAGATGAAGATAACGGGGAGAGCAACACCGAAAGCAACACGGGTGACGATGTGACTACCAGACAACAAAGCAGGAGATGCGACATCAGTACCGACGAAAGCGTAGATCAGAGCACCGGTAACAGTGTAGATGATGATCTCGATGATACCAAGAGCCCAGATGGACTTGACGTAGTCCTTGGGAGTGTGCAATTCAGCCATGAAGGAGAACTGGCAAATGGCGAAGGAGTAGGCAAAGACAATGTTGGTGACTGCGAGGAAAGCAGATTGGAAGGTGATGTCGGCTGGGGGCCAAGCACTCCACTCAACAGCAGACAGACCACCGGGTGCATCGGAAGACTGAATTCCAGTCGCAATAATGGTGATACCGATGGCGCCAATAATGGAAGCGAAATCGATGTATCCAAGAATGGCGAATTCGGCAAAAGTAGGAGGAATAGCCAGAAGGAAGAGAAGAATGGCCGAGATGACGGACCAGACAAGGGCGCAAACCTTCGGGTCGTCGACAATGCGAATCCATGCGATGGTGCCGGTAAGAGTGTGCGAAGCCGAGAGAAGGATCAAATGGAGGGTGAACATGGCTCCGACAATTTCCATGCCGACGCGACCAAACATGAGACCGACAGCATCCGAGTAGTGCTCAACGTGAGGGAACTTGATCTTGACTTGTCCGACGACGTAACTCGTGTAGATGGCGAGAATACCGATGCCGACGGAAAGAATGACACCCGCGACCATGCCGACTGCAGCAAAGGCAGCAGGGACCGACAGCGCACCAAGAGCGATGGCCTCGACAATCAGACAGATGGTCAGACGCTTCCATCCCAACTTCTTGAACTTGGCCTCTCCCTCCTCGAGTGTGGCCGTCTTTTCCAGATCAGGTGCGCCGACCTTATCGGCCGAACCAGCCTTGCTCATGCTGTCCTCGTAGTGGGGAGGCATGTTGGCGAGGTTGCCACCAAAGGGACCGAATCGGGCAGCGTCGGGGTGTTCTGGTAGAGACATGTGTGACAGGGTGGGTGACTGAGGGGAAGGGAGCTGGGGATGGGCTCGCTCTTGAAGTAGCAAAGGATTGTAAGCCTATCAGCGACGTAAGCTACCGATTGGCAAATGCGATTGTGTGGGATTTTGAATGCAGAAGGAGCAGCACTGTGCAGGTCGGGGAGAGTTGACGAATGGCGAGGTTTCTGTTACGCACCTTTTACGCGTTGATATTTGCAGCCGAGCAGCAAGAAGCCAAGACAGATGTTGAGCTCTGAAATTGGATCGAGCAGCTAGAAGACAAAGCTTGGACTGACAAGTAGGGCGTGCTTGTAGTGCTTAGGGCGTGCTGTAGGGCGTGGTACGACTTGTTCTACGTGACGACTTGTGGTCGAGCAGTTTGTTCTTGCAGTGGAAAGAAGTCTACGTCAAGGAGAAGAGGATGGAAGAGAAAGAGATGACTGCTTGAGAAAAGCAAGTCGCTGCTTACCATAGACTTACCGTGAGATCCGGACTTGATGAGTTACTGTGACAAAGCAATACCCGCATACGTGCGCTATGGTCGGTCGTCGATTGCGGGTTTTGCAGCGGTCCTTTTGACTTCGGGGGAAGGAGATTCCGACTTGTCGAGCAAATTTTCTACACCATGACGTCGCCGAGAAGTCCGAGCTGTCTGCGCGCCGGCGCCGAAGAGGCACACCACCAGGCCTGAACATCACCTTAGCAATGCTCGGACGCGCTCGCCGGTGGGTTTCGATCAGTCAAAACATCTTCAATTGCTTCGCCGTCGCGCTGTTGTTCTCCGCATTCTGTTATCGAGAAGAAAATCAGTGGCCTGTTCGAGTCGCATGCCGACTTGCTCGCACAGCACGCGAGTCGGACCTGTCAAAGCATAAAATCAGCCAATAGCCGTTGCCGCCGGTCGAGTTTCACTTTCTCGCGGTCTTCGTGCCGATTGTGCTGCCGACTTTCGGCTACGAGTCGGCAAGACCCTTCCGTCTTGGGCAAGGTATCAACATCACCACTCCGAGCTGTATGCGACGGCAGCGACGGTTAAAGCATAGCATACCTCTTCACAATCGTGTGTCTTGTTCGTAGTTGTTTTCCAGGCGCATGGCGTGAGGTCAAGTATCCAGCCTTGTCCAGATTAAGCTCATTTCAAGGCTTGCCCAAGCATTTTAAGCCGCAACTTTGGCGCCCGCAGCAAAAACCAACGCCATCGTGACATACTCACGCTGTTTGTACACCTTTTCCACCAGCCACGCCGGCTGTCTCGACGTCGCTTGTCCAATCGCACTCGTCGCACACGTCGATTCGCGCTCTGCGTGTCCGCCCTTCGGAGTCGACTCGTCGCCAATGAAGATGCTGCGTCTACTGTACAGGCCTTCATACCATCTCCGTCCGCGCTACTCGAACTCGATCGTCTCATCTCTCTGGCTTCTTGGTCAATCTCGCTATCCCACACGTGCCGCCTCCGAAGAAGCGCCTACACATCAACATGTCACCCACATGGCCGAGGACAAAGCTCGCGACAAGGCTTCCGAGGCTGGGGCTCACGAGAACTTACGCGCTTACCAGAGGGATTACCAAAAAGAATACAGAGATCGTAATCGCGAAAAGATCAGAGCTGCACAAAGGCTCTATAGAGAGCAAAACAAGGACAAAATAGAGAGATGGTATCAAGAGCACAAGGAAGAAGCGAAGGCTTACAGAGACCAAAACAAGGACAAGATGAAGGCCTACACAGCCAGATATCATCAACAGCACAAACAACGCGTGGCTGAGCTTGTGAGACAATGGAACAAGAAGAATCCAAGCCGGCGATATGAATACGGTAGACAATTGTCTCTGGAGAATCGAGAACTCTACCTCCAAAAGATGGCCGAGTACAGACTCAAATGCTCGAATCTAGGTCTTTTTGACCGGTATAACGCTGCTAAGAGAGAGAAGTACAACAGCGACAAACAATACAGAATGGCTCGTCGACTGCATACATGGCTCACGCAGTCTGAAGAGGCTCGTCAACTATCCTGGCCCACACATCAACCTATACTGTATGACACGAGACAATCACATCACTGCTCTGGTTGCGGTCATGGCAGGTACATCAAGCTTTGGTGGAGAAAGTTGAGTGAAAACAGGAACCCAACAGGAGAATTCAACTGCCATTCATGCTTCACAAGCGACTGGTCTAGAGCTCTGCCGATTGGACATGGAAACATGTTTGTCAACGACAGACCCCGTCACCGCTCGCTCAAGAAGGCTCCCGACGACAATATCGAGGACAAGACTGAGACTGAACCAAGCGAAAAGCCCGATCAACCGACCTGAAAGCTATTCTTCTACGCTTTGAAGAACTAAAGCTGTACTTTCCGATTCTCCAGAGTCAGTCATTCAAGCTCGACACAATGTCACTTACAATCCACGCTCATCACGGCGATTGGCTGTCTGATACACCCCCGAACCCCCGAAAGACACAAGGTCTGCCATGAACCTTGCCCCGAAATTGTCATGGACTCCGGGCTGAATGAACAAGAATCCCGAGCTTTGCGCAATACTTCCAGACGCCGGATTGTATAGAGACCTCTTGCTGCGTCTTTGCAAGGGTTTCTGTGGTTGATTGCTTCTTGACCATGGCAACGACGACATCGCATCGCATTTTGTCCATCCGAGTTCGAACCGAATTGTATCTCTAGCCTTAAGGTAGGTGAGCAAAAAAGAACACGACCTGAGCACACTCAGTGCAAGTGTGTGCAGATTTCCCCTCTCACAGCCGACAGGTTGTTTTTCTTCCGCTTCAAACCGCATTTCATGTCCATCATAATCACAGTAAGCCACCGATCCCATTCTGTCCATATTTTAATTGGCAGAACAATCGGAAGTTTATTCCATCAACTGCGCAAACATTTAGTAGTTCCTTACAAACAAGTTGTCCGCATTCTTCGTCAACAGCATTTCTTTCTTCTCTCCATTCCACTTCTTTTGCATCGTGCCATCCATATTGGCGTAAAAGGATAATCACTCCCATAAAGCAATCTATCAACCCCAATTACCAAATCTCCCTCCATCAATTTCTTTTTAACCTGGAGAATCCAGCACCAGCCAAATCCCGGCAAGATTATCTGTCGAACGTCGCTGTTACTTCTCTTTGTTCAAGACGTTGGATTGATGAGCTACTCGAAGCGCAAGAAACGCTCGAGTGATCAATGACTAGCTGCCGCAGTCTACCTGATTTGGCTTTCCAGTGCAGACTCGAGTGTGGGATGTGTAAAAAAGACACAACGCCCAGGATGAGTTATGATTTTTAATCATGGAGTGCTCAAATCTGATCGACCCCAAATCTGTCAGCAGCCATTTAGCAGATGGCAGGAGCCAACAAGACATCGTTTTAGAGGTGTTGTGGAAAAAGCGGATGGCAAAGATATTCCGCAATAGCCGCTCCTGCAGCCGCGGTGTACTAAAACGTCAGACGGATCATCAACCTTGTATGTTGATTCAAAAGGCAAGTCTATCGTCTTGAGCATTGATCAATAACACTCTGTCACTTCTTCAGTATTTGCAATCGACTTGGGTTTTAAACTGAACGAAACATCCTGCCTTTTGTTTCTCTTGAGTACTTCATGATGAGCGCCCGTCTCTCACACGAGACTAAGGATGAAGAGTGTGGTGTGAATAGAGATTGGCTACCAATGGGAGGAGGCAAGGGCCATCCATCACATTGTCCGGACGCCCAGGAATACATTGTCGACTTTGATGGCCCGGACGATATTTTGAACCCGCAGAACTGGCCAACATGGACAAAGTAAGGAACTTCAAAGACAAGTAGAGATGACCATTTGTTGACCAAAGCTCACAGGTTGTACATTGCTGTTGCTATCTGCAGTGGAACATTTGTGGCATCTTTCAACAGCGCAATCTTTGCCGCAGGATCCAATCAGGCGAGCAGAGAGTTCGGTGTGTCCAGTGAAGTCACAACTCTCGGAACAAGTTTGTTTGTACTCGGTTTCGCCTCTGGACCTCTAGTTTGGGCGCCTGGCTCTGAGCTCATAGGAAGACGTTGGCCTATGATCCTCGGCATCTTTGGCTCCTCAATCTTCACCATTGGCTGTGCGGCCGCTAAAGACATCCAGACACTGATTATCTGCCGGTTCTTTGCCGGTTTGTTCGGAGCAAGTCCACTTTGCGTAGTTCCTGCTGTCCTAGCGGATATCTATAACAGCAAGTATCGAGGCATGGCGATTTCCATCTACGCACTTACAGTATTCGGAGGACCATTTCTGGCACCTTTTATCGGCGCATTCATAACGACAAGCTATCTCGGTTGGCGCTGGACATTGTATCTACCCGCAATATCAGGCTTCTTCAACGCCGCGATTCTGCTCCTCTTCCTCAAAGAGTCATTCCCACCCTTCGTGCTGATCGAAAAGACTAGAGAGTGGAGTTTGATGTCAACTCTGTGATCCGGAATTATCTTACCCGACCTATACGAATGCTGATTACAGAGCCGATTGTTCTTTTGGTTTCTTTGTACATGTCTTTCATCTATGGCTTGGTCTACGCACTGCTTGGTGCGTATCCCTACGTATTCGAAAGCGTGTATGGGATGCAGCCAGGAGAAGCCAATTTACCATTTCTTGGCCTTTTCATCGGTGTGGTTTTGGCAGTGCTGTCTATTCTCGCCCAGCACAAGTCGTATCTACGGAAGGTGCAGGAGAATAATGGAAAGATCGTGCCAGAATGGCGACTGCCGCCTGCAATGGTTGGAGGGACCATATTCACGATCGGTCTGTTCTGGTGAGTCGGTTTGTATGGTCAAGAATACGCGCGTCCAATCGTACTAACATACACTTAACGTAAGGTTCGCATGGACAGGGTTCAATCCAGATATCCATTGGATAGTCCCTACTGTAGCTGGAGTTTTCATCGGGTTCGGAGTCCTTTGCATCTTTCTTCCATGCTTCGACTACCTTGTAGACGCTTACCTACCAATGTGAATTAATCATCATACCCACCCAGCTCTAAAATTACGATCTTCTGCTGATATCTTTTGCCAGGGCAGCATCTGTCGTAGCGTCAAACATCATGCTTAGGTCCGCCGTGGCTGCTGGCTTCCCCTTGTTTTCTAAACAGATGTTTCGAAATCTTGGAGTGCAGTGGGCGGGAACGTTGCTGGGATGTCTTGGAGCTGTGATGGTCCCCATTCCTGTGCTATTCTGGTTGTACGGTTCAAGATTGAGAAGCAAGAGCAGGATGTTGATGCATGATTCTTCGTCATGATGAGATAGCCATAAGCTTTGTGTTGAAGACGATCTAGAACCAACCTTCCAGACGTCGGACATATTGTGACTTCCAAATTTGGAGCTCCGGATTCTCGTCAAACATCAAAATCTGGAATCTGGATCAAGAAATTCCTCGGGATTTGCACATGCCTCTGCGCAACAATATTTGCTTAGAGGCAATGTTCGTCAACGCATTCATGGTTGTGTACTCCGCTGTAGCCGATAGCCGCTCTATCCGCATGATGATAGGAAACAAGATGGAAGCATCCGAGTACTGTAGAACACACCAAATTTGTGATTTCGATACAGTAGTTGACATCATTTTACGAAGCGCTGGGTGTTCCTGGTGGTGTGATTGAAACCAACAAGCCAGAGTCCGAGGATGTTGAGTGGAAAGGATCTATAAAATTACCCACTCTTCCTTCCTGGTGCCAAGTTATAACACATCAAACTTACTTATCCTTGGCTTCCAACTCCCCTTGATCATCCTGATGGTCCAAAGAGCAACCTCATCAAACCCGAACGAGCACTTACATTCGAGATCTTGGAGAGTCGCCAAAGCTTGCGACAGATGTCGAATGAAAAAGAGCAAATGCAATGGCACACAGCCATGCCATCGCTGCAGGTTGGCCAACGTAATCTGCACATATAAGTACGTTTCGTTTCCAACTACTCAGCACCAAGATAAAATGCTAAAAGGTTTGCTAGTGCGAAAAAAGCCAACATCTGAGCCTTATCCAAAAGGTTACGCGCAATTACTGGAAAATTACGCGCAATTACTGGAAAAACAGCAAAGTCAGCTGACTACATCTTCTTGGCTCTTGGTGCGCTTGTATCGGTATATGAGCCGTGCTATCTGGAGATACTCCACTTTCCGATGGGAAAGCTTGAGCGGGTGTCGAGACGCGTATTGCCGTGTCTTCGCACTCGCGCTCTTCGGAGATTTCGTGCTGCGAGCGCACGGCACGGCTCCCCAACGGCTCAATACTGCTGTATTCAAATTGTGCCAGATAATGTCCATGTCCTTATATGTATTTGTACTTGCAGGAGGTAGAGGGTAAGCTCTTTCCCAGACCAGCCTTCCTACGCCGCTCAATCCAGTCCTTTGCAAATCACAAAGGGTGTTGATAGCCTCTCTTCCATTGTTTCCACTGGTCGTGTTAGGAACTGTCGAGCTGGGAGAACCATCATGGTATTTGATCCATCCAAAGCCGATACTCTCGAGAAGCAGCCGACCACAGCAGGCGGTACCACGATGCTGAGTAAAAACTCAGACGAGGAAAAGACAACAAGTCTACCAAACCCATTTGATCCTTCGCAGTTCCCGGATGGAGGCACAAATGCCTGGCTGTGTGCACTCGGCGGCTCATGTTGCCTTTTCGCCAGTTTTGGATGGTTGAATTGTGAGTGCTCTGCATGTGTAACGAGAGCAGAGATACTGACTATTGCTAGGTATTGGCGTGTTCCAGAACTACTACTCGACCAACCAGCTACGAGATTACTCCTCGAGTACCGTTGCCTGGATCTCATCGTTAGAAATCTTCATCATGTTCTTGGGTGGACCTTTCATTGGCAAAACGTTCGATTCTTACGGCCCTAGATGGTTGCTATTGGTTGGTACTTTCTTGCATGTCTTCGGCCTCATGATGACGTCTCTATCGACGGAATACTACCAGTTCGTCTTGGCCCAAGGAATATGTAGCCCTATCGGAGCATCTATGGTCTTTTACCCAGGCAAGTACTAGTCCGGGGAGAAAGACGCATGTTCACTCCGCAGCGACTAACATTGTCATAGCCATGAACTCGGCGACTTCTTGGTTCCTAAAGAAACGCGCCTTGGTCCTGGGCCTACTTGCTGCAGGATCCTCGCTTGGTGGCGTCATCATGCCAATCATGGTGCAGCGCCTTATTCCTAGAGTTGGCTTTGGGTGGGCAATGCGTAGCGTCGCTTTTCTGATCTTGTTCATGTTGGTTGTGGCCAATCTCACTGTCACCAGTCGCTTTCCGCATTCCCCAAAGCCGCTCGTTTTCAAGGAGTTTGTACGACCATTCGGGGAACTTCCGTTTTTGCTGGTCACCATCGGGTCGTAAGTAGAGTCACCGACGCTTATGGTACATCAGGTGCCTGACATTACTAGGTTCCTATTTTTCTTCGGCATGTGGTTGCCAATCAACTTCATCATACTGCAAGCTGAATCTACTGGAATGTCGTCGCGGCTGGCGACGTATCTCGTTCCTATCATGAACGGTGCAAGGTTTGTTGCGAGATTATTCTGTCGCAAAGAACGATACTAATCAGTTGTCAGTCTTTTCGGTCGGGTCCTGCCGGGATTCGTGGGAGACAAGATTGGGCGCTTCAATGTCATGATAGTTAGTGGCTCAGTATTTACACCTACCGATGCTTGCCAAGTACTAACTCCTTCTGGATAGGTACTTTGTTACTTCACGAGTATTGTTATACTGGCATTGTGGATCCCTGCTACCAGCAATGCTTCAGTCATTGTATTCACCATTCTCTTCGGGTTCGGACAAGGCGCGTTCGTCGGTATGGCGGCTGCGTTGATCGCACAGATAAGTCCTGACTCGAGAAAGATTGGAATTCGAACTGGTAAGCTTGCCCCTAATCACGTCTCTTCGGAGGGGCTTAATGATGATCGGCTCACATCTAACCCCAAAACAGGAGTCATGTATGCAGCCGTGTCGTTTGCCGTCTTAGTAGGCAACCCCATTGGAGGAGTGTTGGCCGCTGGAAATTCTGGTTATACTGGTCTACAGATATTCTGTGGAGTTCTCTGTACTGCTGGGAGCACTTCTATTGCAGCGGCTAGAGTGTTCCTTAAAGGGTGGAAACTTAATGTAAAAGTATAGATAGATACCCCTTGTTTTATCGGACTAATGCACGTGCAGTTACACTAGCATCAATAGAATCTGTAATTAGACCTAACTCTTAAGCTGTGTTCAAGTTGAATAGCTATTTACGTTATACTACTCGAAAATAATATTACTATGTTAATCGAATCTACTCAGTCGACTATAGGTATGGTAGACGCGTTAAGGTATTTGGCTAAAGTCATGTGTTTTCGAGACCGACTTTTAGGAAGGCGGGACTGCCCTGATTATGGTTTTGGGTGTTGCCTACATAGATTAATTAACGCGTAGTCCCTTTCCACCCAAGTCTATTAACGTTATTCCTGATCTCGTCAATCACATACCCCTAGACTATTAACACTACTAAGGCATACTACAACTTTGCTATACACCTCTGACTATAGGATTGATTGATTGACTGATTGATTGATTAATTGAGCAAGGAAAAACCACCACTACGTGCACCCGCACAAACAAACAATACGGTAAGGCTAACACTTTCGGAGAAAGAAACTCTGAGTAATAGTGCATAAGACAAAAAGCAGAGGATGTCGACATCCTTGCAGACACAGATGAGAAAGGAGTCAAAGGACGATGATGGAAGATTAAAAGAAGAGTACACACCGTTCAATTTCTGTAGACGAGCGGACAAGGAATGAGGGGTGGCGACCGAAACAGAGTTTCCATCTCTTCAAGAGACGCTCTGCGGAGACAAAATCCTTTCTTGCGACATGGTTGTACTCCTAACCCCCAAGTACCCATCCTGAATCACAGCCTCCTTCCTTCCACTGGGTCTCCAGCTCTTGTCCCAGACCCAGTAGAAAAGTGAAGAGCTCATGATGAGGATACAAGCAACACATCCTTGGAGAGTCCGAGACCAGTGAGAGAGTATGAAGATATAAAAACCCATGAATTGAGGTCTGCACAAAGGTCGGAATGCTACAACCGATCCAAAGTCTGTTGCGGCGGCAGCGCTGGCAAGCGCGGATGTGACACTGGCGACATTCGAAGATGTAGTACTGCAGGTGGTGGTTACATTCCTCGCAACGACAGGGTTCACGGCGACACACCCATCTCTCGTGATCACACTCGTGGTTCTGCTCGAGACGACCTCTAATTGCGTTGACCAAATGGTCATAATCGGGTCGAGCGGGGGGAGCAAGCTGCTCAGCGCGTTGAACACGCATGAGCGCGGCTCGAGCAGCTGCAATAGCAGCAGGCCGAACATGTGGACGAGCTGCCGGCTGGACGATAGGAGGAGGCGGTTGCCCGACAGGGCGAAGAAGTGGAGCAGGTCGGAAGGCTATGCGAGGAGGTTGCATCGGAGGGAGAGGTGGTGGAGGAGGAGGAGGCTGGTCGGCTTGAGGAATATCAGGTCGAGCGTCTGGGGCGGGTGGGTGGACGATAGGGTCAGGTTCAACATTCTGACCAGCCTCCAAGACAACATCGTCCGGAATGATGAGTGCCTCGGCAGGAATAGCGGCAGCAGCATCGACGCCAGGATCCAAAGCACCTTGAGGTGGGCGGTAAAGTCTGTGGTGAGGATCGCGGTTGGCAATCTGTTCAGCCCGCTCTTGTAAACGCTCTTCGTCCCATTGAGGGCAATCGCATGTTCTTGGAACCCATGATGCTCCACAGACATAACAGAAATGAGCACCGCAAGGGCAGCTGCAGCTTGTCAGTAACAAATCTGATTCGAGAACATGTAGACTTACGTTATGTGGTTACAGCCTGTGCGAAGGTCGACGACACGGCGACAGCTGTAACAGCGCTGCCATCCTTGATCATCCGCAGTCTGGAGGAATTCTTGGAGTGCCTCATCACGAGGACAGTCACCAAGATGAGCAGCAACCTTGCAGATTGCACAGGTTCTCCTTCCGCAGTCGGCACAGCTAGCGATGTTGTCCGTGATGTGGTCGATCGGAATGAAAGTAGAACAGCGCGGGTCGAAACAGTAGGTTCTGTCCTTAGTGTCCAGTTCAATGCTCTTGTGTTCAAAATCTCTGACAAGCTTTGGGTGAAGCACGAGCTTTGCGTCCTCCAGAGGAATGACTTGACGACAGCAGCGAGGAGGGTACAAAGACTCATCTATCATGGAAGCCTGAAAAAGTTCGGTGACACAGTCGCGGCAGTACTGGTGATTGCAAGGAGCCGCGAGAATGTCGAACCAAACAGCGTCTTCGGTGCAAGCGACACAGGTGATGGAGAACTCTTCGTCCTCAGCATCATCTTCATCAGAGGCTGACCCGTTCTTGTGAAGAACATGCTGTCCGCCAGAGTCGTCCATGAGGTGATCTTCTTGCTCGAACTGACGCGCGAGCTCGCGGTCAGTGAAGACTTGTCGTACGGCCGAGATCTCATGAGCAAGGATCTTTCTGTCGTTGAACACAGCGCGAGAATGGCTCTGTGCCATAGACCGATCGGCGAGATAGATGTCGAAGAGGTTGCATTCTTGAAGTTGCAGTCGGAAGGCAAGGTCGTCGTCAGTCACTCGACCTAGAAGCACCATGATGAATGATAGAATGCTGCGGCCAAGCGAAACAGGGGAATGTAAGAAGAGCATGTTGAGTGAGGAGAGGAACATGGAAGATCAGGGCGGCAAACGGGGTGCTTTGAACAAAATGATCGCGCGAGCCTTCACTAAATAGCAACAACCTTACGCGAGGGAAACATAGTGAACAGGTAAGTGAAGAATCCAGATCCCATGGTTGCAGGACAGTATCATGGTGACCAAGCCGGCGTCAATGCCCCTTCAAGCTACATAGAGCATCTAGAACGCATCGCTACACTTACTACACTTACAACAATTACAACAGAGTTCGACCAATAGCTACATCAATGTCCAAGTGATGTGCTCGCGTAAAAGATAGAAAGAGAAGGTCAAGAGAGGTGGTTTTCAGAAAGATTGCGGAGGTGCCAAGCAGGGGGCAGCGGAGGAGAGCTTTGACCATGAAAGCGGCATCATCGTCACATGGGTTCGGAGATGCATCAAGACCGAAACATTGAACTTGTCGACTTTGGGAAAGGAAGCCCCAAACACGCCGAGCGAACAAGAGAGAATGAAGCGATAGAAAGTCGCAGCTCATGATGCAAGCGAATTTGCCCGGACGACCGCAGGCTCAACTCCAGGCCGTATCGACAGGAGTCTTTGAAGGGCAGACGGTCATTTCATACATCTCAGGCAGCGCCCTCATCATCTGCAATAGCCCCGACTCGCTTCTTCAGACAATCTACCATGACGAACTCCCTCCAGCATCCGGACTCGTCGCCGTCTCCTACGACCATCGAAGCGCAAAGATTGCGACTGCCTCGGCCGACAATGTCTACGTCTATGTCTTGCGCGAGGAGATCAAGGGACAGTTGCGCTGGTTCCTGGACATGACCTTTGAAGTCAATCAAGAGAAGGAAAAGGACACAAAAGCGAGCTGTATACGGAGTTTGTCATGGGGAACCGACGAGGAGCTACTGGTAGCTTCGGACAAGGTCACGCTGCTGTCGACGCAGGACCAAACCATTCGCTGGACTCGTTCATTGCCGTCACCCGTGTCGCATGCCACCTTCTCGCCGTCCGCCGCACTCCTTGCTACCACCTCACAATACGACCGCCTCGTCAAGGTCTGGCGACGTCTCTCGTTCGAGTCTGCCATCTTCGACTATGCCTACCTTGCCCACCCAGACATTGTCACCCACGTTGAATGGAGGTCTGACTCGGCAGAAGAGGATGTTCTTTACACAATCTGTCTCGATGGAAAGCTGCGCGTTTGGAAGACAGGCCTGCCGCGGCAGATGGACGTGCTTGGAGTTTACGCAGACCTCGATCTCATGACGGCCGTCCGCCCTCTGGTTCCCTCGAACCGTCGCTACGCCTTCCTCATCCCGTCCACCGTCTTCTCCGAAGCTGTTGAGCACGCCCTCAGCAGTCAAACTCTCCCCGCCGAGCGACATGCTATCGAGTACATGAAAGAGCTTGCGAAAAGTCATCCAGACATTGTGGTTGTCACGGACGATCAAGGGCACATGAGCGCTTGGGGGCTGGAGAATGTTGGATGCAAGAAGAGGACAAGCATATATGAACACGGCGACTTCTTCCACGCTACCCATGTCGAGAATCTTTTCTTCGACTTCTCCAAGAAAGCAGACATTTCTGAAGACAACGCACGCATCATCAACTTCCCTCTGCCCGGACAGCCAGGAGACATTGCCTTCTTGGTTCACCACTTTGACGGCCGCCTTCAATGGTACCAGGGCAAGGTACACCATGTTTTTGATCCTTCACCAAGGAAGCAGCGCATGCGAAACCTGGCTTCTTGGACTGGCCACTCCTCGTCAGTCAAGAAGCTCATCCGTACCGCGAATGGATCGGCCGTCATCTCTCGTACTGACACTAATGAAGGAGTTGTTTGGAAGCATCGTGGCAACTTCCTGGTCAGAAAGAGCAAGACAAAACTACAAGAACACATCCATCGCACTGCACTGCTGAGGGACGGCGACTTCATTGCGCTTCTCCACCATGAAAGCATTTCTCTTTGGGACGCTCGCCTTGCCAACGCAAAAGAGATTGGTCGGTGTACTTACTCGGTGTCGGGCAAACCACTCTGTCTCATTCTCCTTCCTACCCCTGAAGATGCTGGTCATCTATCCTACCTTGCCCTTGTCACTGCCGACATGCACGGTATTGTCTGGGAACTGAATCTGGCATCGTCTTCGCCTTCCATGACTGAGTTCTGTACCTTCCAGCTCGGGCGCATTGAGAACTTGTCATATTTCCTACCCGTCGACCCTGCAGGCAGCTCCCCTGTTGTTTCTGGTCTCTTCGACACTTTCGCTCAAGACGTTGCTGTTTCCTGGACCACGACTGGTATTCTCCACACGTGGACAGCCAAGATCGACCGCCAGAAGAAGTCTGTGACTTGGCTCAACATTTCTACCACCGACACGGGCATACAGAATCCTTCCCTTGGGAGTGGTACCTCAATCCGCAAAGCTGCTTTGGTCGATAAGTCTCGCTCCACGCTGACTATCTGGGATACCAAGAGTGCGCGTCTTGACTATGAGGAGACTTTCGATAACCAAACGATTCAAGACCTTGACTGGGCTTCAACACCAGACAACCAGTCCATCCTTGCGGTCGGATTTTCTCACACAGTCTTTGTGTATACTCAGCTTCGCTATGACTATGTGAATGAACGTCCTTCTTGGAGTCGCATCAAAGAAGTCAACACTCGCCACCTATCCCCTCATCCTATCGGAGACTCTGTCTGGCTTGATTCTGGAAATCTCGTGGTCGGTGCTGGCAATCAGCTTTATCTTGCTGGCAACCAGATTGATCCGCAAAAAGACCTGTCACCAGACCTGCAAAGCTCAACACCGCACAAATCTTCGACCCGCATTCAAGATGTCGTTCGCAGACTCAATGGTCCCTTGCCTGTCTTTCATCCGCAGTTTATCTCTCAATGCATCCTCGCTGGCAAGATGGATATCGTCCACCGCATTCTGCTCAATTTGCAAAAGACACTCAAGTTCTATACCGAAGGCGACGAGCTTGACTCTTTCCAAGGACTTGACGTTGACGACTTCATGTCATCCACCGAGGTATGCTATTACGACTTGTTCATTCGTACACCAGCTAATTCCATGATAGAAATTATCAAACTCAAGCAAGCAATTGCACAAATCATACAGCACTCTCGACATGCAAGAGGAATCCACATCTGTCACCGAAGAGGTCGCCACGTCCATTGTCTCGCTACTTTCCGAAAAGTCGATACCGCAACTCTCAAGTACTGAACAACTCAGCCTTGCCGACATTGTAGAATGTGTTGGCATGGCCGAAAAGCATCGTCGCTCAATTGATGACAACGCTGCTCGCTATCTACTATTCTGGAGAGAGACAATCATGCGTTCTCGCCAGTCTTCTTCGCCTGCTGCGGTCACTTGGAGAGAAATGCTATGGGCCTACCACAGCAGCAGTCAGGATATACTTGTCGATCTTATCACACGCCAAAACAAAGGCCAGATGTCATGGTCCCATGCCCGCGATGCTGGTGTCTTTGTTTGGCTTACAGACCGAGAAGCATTGCACCAGCAGTTTGAAGCTGTTGCCAGAAGCGCATATACCAGCACCGAATTGCGCGATCCAGTCAACTGTTCTCTTCATTACCTCGCTCTACGTAAGAAGAATGTCTTGCTTGGACTGTGGCGCATGGCTACATGGTCAAGAGAACAAGCTGCAACAACGCGTTTGCTGAAAAACGACTTTACCGATCCCAGATGGCGCACAGCTGCGAATAAGAACGCATATGCGCTGATGGGCAAAAGACGATTCGAATATGCTGCAGCCTTCTTCCTTCTTGCCGACAATCTTGACTCTGCTGTCTCAGTGCTCAGCAATCAGCTTGGTGATATTCAACTGGCCATTGCTGTCGCCCGTGTCTATGGTGGAGATGATTCACTGGCACTCAAAAAGTTCCTGAACGAGAGGGTGTTGCTTACTGCTGCACAAGAAGGCAACCGCTGTCAAGCATCTTGGGCATACTGGATGCTCGGTGAACGTTCTTTGGCCGTACGTGCTCTTGTCAGTCCTCTGCATTCGTTACTCGTACCACCAGGCTCACCACCCGATTCACTCCAAGCCAAGAGTTTCCGCAATGACGATCCCGCTCTTGTCATTCTCTATCAACAATTACGAGAGAAGAGCTTGCAAACCTTGAGAGGTGCACTCATGATTACCGGCCAAGAAGAGTGGGAGTTCATCACCAAGTCTGCGACGTTGCTCCTCCGCATGGGCTGTGATGTTCTGGCTCTTGATCTGGTACGGCATTGGGAATTCCTGCAACCACCGCCAATCACGAGACAGGTCGAAGAGGAGAGCGAAACGGAAGAATCCGTCGCAGATTTACCACGTCGCAAGCTTTCCAGAACGACTACCGAAGACTTTGATCCCAGGAAGCTGTTGCGCAGAAGAAGCAGTCTTGTCGTTGCTGACCTACCAGAAGGAAGACCTGTGGTTCATGAGAATACTGCGCCTTCAATGCTGGATGGCTGGGGTATGCCGTCGTCACCTGCGAAACAATCATCTTCATTACTCGATCAATGGGCCGTGCCCACACCTCCGGCAAGCAAACCTGCCCAATCAATGCTCGATCAGTGGTCCGTACCCGAAAGACCCAAGCAGACCACAAATCCTGCACCTTCAATGCTCGACAACTGGATGCCACCGTCTCAACCAGTCTCAAAGCCTGCGCCTTCACTTCTTGATGATTGGACGGCTCATCCTGCCAAGCCGAAAGTCGAAGAGCCAAAAGCTCCAGCGCCGTCTATGTTGAATCAGTGGTCCACACCTGCGTCTGCAGTACCGAAGCCGGTTTCAAAGCCAGGCTCATCCATGCTTGACGAATGGACCACGCCTGTATCGAAACCTGTCACTGATATTCCAAAAGCCGCTCCACCGTCCATGCTTGATCAATGGACCGAGCTCGCACCTGCTCCCCCCAAGGCAGCGCCCTCAATGCTCGAAGAATGGAAGACACCAGTGGCAAAGCCACCGAAGCCTGAGACTGCAGCTCCTTCTTTCCTCGACAATCCAACAATGCCAACCTCTATGCCCAACTCGGCTGAGGATCAGATTAAAGAGGATGAGAAGTCAGACGGTATCGGCGACGATGACGACGATGCGAAGAAAGAGCCCAAGAATGGAGCTTCCGGAGAGAAAGAAGACGCGAAGAGCGATGCAGTGGGGAAGAAAGCGGAGGAGGAACACAAGATGCCAAAGGGCTTGAAGCAACCACCCCCAGAAGCCTTTAAAGAGCCGGATCCTAATTCTTTACTTGATGCGTTTGGGTTTTGATCAGTCAACATAGCGAGGCGTTCTGAGGAGCATTGTCTTTATATCTGTTTGTATAACATTGCGCTTTGTTCTTGCTGGCAAATGTCAATATGACCTTCTCATTTGAAAATCATTTCACCTGTGCCGAGATGTTTATATCAATTGCTTGTGTGACCAATGCGATTTCAAGCCTTCTTGCGCGACAGCAAAAAGCTTATGAGGTCAAGAACGCGGAGCAGCGGAGTTGCTTGCCGCTTCGCCGTTGATCATGACGAAAACGTGTAACTTTCCCACCCTCTTCGCTCCATCGTGACCTCTATCAACCACACTTTGTGATCTGGTCGATCAACTGTATCGACATGTTCCGCAAGATCTGTCGCATGCCTGATGTCGATGAAGTCATGTCCCCTTTTGCAGTGCCCTCTCACGATTGCCATTATCTATGTGGGGTCTTTTGGAAACCCATTCAGGGTTGATTCCCATGCTGCCGAAACCGTTCTCTTACAAAATAGATAGCTACTGGAAGTCTTCTGGCTCTTCTGGTCTTCCTTTGATCACTGACTTTCAATTAAGCTGTCATATTGTGATGGAGGTGTTGCCTGAAGCGACTCAAAGCACTACAAAACCAAAGATCATCAGCGGCTGTAGTGACAATTAACTTCAGATGGCAGATGCGCCGCTGATGTACAGCTTCGAGCGGAGCAGCCCCTCGGGGCATGCTTGCTTATACACATTAACGTTTGCTTCCCGAGACCATCAATGACATCGACTTCAGCCAATGCCATGCTGATACGCTGTTTGAATATGATCTCTATAACTAATCCCTTCCTCCGCGTCTGCGCGACTGCTATCTCCTTTTCAAAACATCTATATCGTTCTTGCAACCATGGCTTTGTCACATACAGGGTTCCTCGGGGACCGGATGACCGGTAAAGCGCTGGAAATCGGTGTCTGCGCGACGGCATCGGCTGGTTTCTTGTTGTTTGGATATGGTGTGTTGTTACATCCTATTGCGGTCACACTCTTGTCTAATCAATCCCATAGATCAGGGAGTCATGTCTGGTATTATCACTGAACCCATCTTTCTTGGAACTTTTCCGAAAATGGCAGAGGACTACAAGTTAGGATCCATTCAAGCGCTTGTGGTTGCCATTTACGAGATTGGTTGCCTTATTGGATCATTCATCATCATTGGATACGGAGATAAACTCGGACGTCGACGAGCAGTTTTGGTCGGCGCTGCAATTATGCTTGTCGGAACAGCTATTCAAACATCTTCTACCACCCTGGCACAACTCATCATCGGAAGGTATGTCCTTCTGCCTTTAGTCAATGCTTGGAAAATCACCTAACACTACACAGGATAGTTACGGGCGCTGGAAACGGCATGAATACTTCCAGTATCCCGGTTTGGCAATCGGAAATGGCACCTCCGAAGATTCGTGGCTTTTTAGTGCTTTTCGAAGGCGCCCTCATCACCGGCGGAGTCATGATCTCGTACTGGATCAATTACGGATTTTGGTTTTACAACAAGAGCTCTTTCCAATGGCGATTTCCAGTTGCCTTCCAAGCTTTCTTCGGCATCATCCTTATTATCGGCATTCTCGCATTCCCCGAATCTCCTCGATGGCTACTCAAACATGGCAAGGAAAAGGAGGCTGCTCAGATCATGGCTCGTCTCAAGCAATGCGACGTTGATGATCAAGAATTGCAAAAGGATATTGAGGATATCAAGAAGATCAATGAGATTACTGCAGGCCGCAAACTGACGGTCAAGGAGTTCTGCTCGAACGGACCTGACATGCATCTTTGGCGCGCTTCCATCGCTTTCGCAGCCCAGGCTTTCCAACAGATTGGCGGAATCAATTTGGTCACTTACTGTAAGTTTGGAAATCCCCAAGGACTCACAGAAAACATTGTTGACAATCACAGATGCAACTGTCGTCTTTGAAAATTCCCTCGGCTTTGATCCTACCTTCGCGCGTCTCCTTACCGGCGTCCTCGGTACCGAATACTTCCTCTCCGCCCTTGTCGCCCTCTTCGTCGTCGATCGTCTTGGCCGCCGTCGCCTCATGATGTGGAATGCAGCAGGCATGGGTCTCGCCATGATGGTCGCTGGTATCGGCTTGTCCGTAGGCAACCAGTCCGGCGCTTACGCAGCCACTGTCATGATCTTCCTCTTCAACACCTTCTTTGCGATCGGCTGGCTCGGCGTCACCTGGCTATACCCCGCAGAAGTTACACCCATCCGCATCAGAGCCGAAGCAAACGGACTTTCTACATCAGCGAATTGGTTATTCAACTATGCCGTCGTGCAGTTGTCGCCAATCATGATCAACACCATTGCTTGGAAGACCTACTTCGTCTTCATGTGCTTCAATTTCGCCTTCATCCCTGTGGTTTACTATACTTTTGTCGAGACCAATGGCTACAAACTCGAAGCGATGGATACCATTTTCCAGATCGCCCACAAGAATAAGGAGAATCCTGTTTGGGTTGAGAAGAGAGTGCGCAAGGGCAATACTGATGAAGCACATGCTGTGGAGAATAGATCTAGCTCGACTGGAAGCGGTGAAGGTGAGAAAGAGAAGGTGGAAGATACGGAGCACAAGGAAGACGCCTAGGTGTGCTTGTACCTTACTCTCTCTTGAAAAAAAATATACCTTATTTACCCTATTGTCTTTCTAAACCTCTCCTAGTGGGTTGTTCTTTCTGTTTCGCAAAGATTATGCATTACTACGACTGGTACCTGTGATAGTTTGGTCAGAATCTCCGCATCTTATCTGATCCTGAGAGGATGACCCTGACCCGTGGCTGATCATGATCACAATCGAGGATCTGAACGCGACTGCTACAATGAAATACAAGAGCTGGCCCAAAACTTCTCGGCCTGACCAGCCATATGGCATATAACGATACGTTACTGTGTCATCTGGATGTAGCAAGGATGTTAAGTATCTCTGTACAATTGAAGGAGGCGAACAGGTCAAGATTTGTCCGTGATAGGAAAATGGATAGAAAGGAGCCTCGTTGACAACGAGATTCTCCAGATGGCAACACTTTGCTCGAAACTTTCGGAACTGGACCCTGCAAAGCTGCAAAGAGTCTCCAGGTGATGTCACCAAAAGCGCCATCAAGCCGGTTGTGAAGTCTGGACCCGGCCGCGAGCCAACGGGAATGTTGTCCGTCGTGCAGCAACTTGGACATTGGCATTATTAGCATTTGCATCCGATTTTGCTCGCAGCGTCTCCTTTCCCATTTCGCGCCCCCAGTCGTCTTCTGCCTCGGGCGCAGCATTGCAATGTCATTAGTGACATCTCTACCGCCAGAACTGGACGTTTTCCTCGACTTTATCTCCGACGACGACCGCCCCACGTTCATTCTCGAGTACTCATCGCAACCGAAGGTCGTCTTTCGCAACAACGCGCTCAATGCGCTGCTTACCGGATATTCCCACGACTCGCGATTCTCCATCTGGGTCAACACATTGTACAAGATCATCGGCGACCATGCAGGGCGCCACGCACGACACATTGCGAAACTAGGCGCTTTTGCGTCGCGACTCTGGTCGTGCAAGCGATTGAGAGGACCTTGGATAGCCGTCTTTCCTCGCCAGGAAGATCCATCCGAAGACCGACCGACCGTCCGGAAAAAGCAAAAAGAGTCGGATCACAGCGAACAACTATGGTCAGACGAGGATGGCGAGCAAGAGTCGGACAGGGACAACCCGGATGACTGGGAGAGTGTCGCAACAGCCAGTACAAGGGACATTTCACAGGAAGGCCGAGGTGCTGTTATTCTTGAAGATCTGACGGTAGACTGGCTCAGGTTCCCGCAACTCACCAGCGATCCGTGGATACAGTTCCTTGCAAAACACGACTGGAGCAAGACAGCAGCAGGTCCTATGCACACTTGGCACCCTACGCTTCGACAGATCTTTATGACCATCTTATCTTCTGAAGAACCACGCGTGATATACTGGGGCAACGACCTTCACATGTTTTACAATGAGGCGGCAAGATTTGTTGTTGGAGAAATGCACCCGAAACCGCTCGGTAATTCCTTGCAAGAGGTTTGGGGGACTTCGATGTGGTCTCACCTTACGAAAATGCTTGTCTCCGGTATCGAGCGGCGCAGACCCACACACAACAAGAGGACTGAACTTGTCGTCTTCCGCAACGGCTTTCCGGAAAGTGGCTTCTTTGACTTTGTTTTCCTACCCATTCCTTCGGCGGACGGTCGTTTCCTTGGCGTCTTCAATGAGTTTACAGAATGCACGACAGCTGTACTGCAAGAGGATCGCCAGCAGGTTTGTAAACAACTTATCGAAGATGTCGCTCGGGCGACAGAGACACGGCATGTATGGGAGTCGTTCATGCGCAATTTGAAAGATTGCAAGGACGTATCATACGCGACAGTATACTCATACGGCTCGATCAAACTGTCAGGCTCCGAAACACCATCCTTGCGGGCCCAGTTCTCTTTTGGTGATGAGGGACACAGCAGCGTCATTTCTCCTTCGATCAAGGAGGTCGTGGAAGGGTCTGCCAACAAAGTCTTGGTTCTGGAACGATCGAACTCAACTTTGCCAGAAGAATTGGCAGTGAACATTACAGATCAAGGCGTTGTCCACACTTCTTACGTCTTGCCAATCGATGATCTCTATGGTAAGGGTGTTTACGCAATTGTCGTGATAGGATCAAACCCTTTGAGAGCAGTTGATGCTGGCAGCATTCAATTCTTCGAATCGCTTCGTGATTTGTTGTTCAAGTCGATTGCTCTGCTATCGCTACCCGCCGAACAGCGACGAGCAAACGAACTTACCACTGCATTATCTCATCAACTGGCGGCTGCAACCTCCAAAGCAGAGAAGAGTGAGAAGAATTTTACCGAGATGGTTCATCACGCACCTATCGGCATGTGTATGGATCGCGGAGATGGTTATCCTGTATACGTCAATGACATGTACCTCGACCTCCTGGGTACAGATAGGACGAGTTTTTACGACGCCGCGAGAGCTGGTTTCTCATGGCGGAGCTCAGTCTTTGAGAATGACGCTGATTCTATCGAAGATTTGTGGTGGTCTGCCGTCAGGGGCGGGAAAACGACAAGCTTTGAAGTTCGCATCAAAACCGGGATTTCGCATCGTTGGCTTGAAGTATTTGTACAACAGCGATACGATGAGAACGGCATGCTGGTTTTCATTTTCTCATGGCTCACGGACATCTCTGCCAGAAAGTTGATGGAGTTTGTGGCGGAAGAGCGACTGACAGAAGCGATTGAGAACAAAAGAGCTTCGGAGAATTTCATAGACATGGTAAGAATCATTGTTTCGTTGCTTTTACTGAAAAGACGAAAGTCTGACGTTTTGACAGATCTCACACGAGATGCGCAACCCTTTGTCCAGTATTTTACAACTCGCCGACAGTATACCATCGACATTACCTCCTTTAATAGCAGACGAGAAACACAAAACCTCAACAATAGAAGGGAATATCAGCAACTTGACAGAAGATGCGCGGAATGTGCTTCTCGACACAGCACAAACAATCACACTCTGCGCCAAACATCAGAAGAATATTATAGACGAAGTTCTCACCTTCTCCAAGTTAGATTCCAAGCTTATAGTGCTTGCTCCGGAAGCAGCCCAACCACTGGATATCATCACGGACGTCTTGAGAATGAATAAACCGGAGCTTGCCCAGGCAGATATTGAAGGTTCTCTGAATGTGCAAGCAAGCTTTACGGATCTCGGCATTGATCACTTCTTACTTGATCGTGGCAGAGTTTCACAGGTCATCATCAATTTCATGACCAACGCTATCAAGTTTACGAGGAGTTCTGATGTCCGCAAGATTCAGATCAATCTTGGCGCGTCACGAATCAGACCTACCGCCGACAGTTGTCATGTCACGCTCATAGAGCCTCGCGAGAAAGGGCGATCTTTGTCGATAGGTCCCGTGACCGAGGATGATGTCTTCTTATCCTTCAGTGTGCAAGATACGGGATGCGGTCTTACTGAAGCCGAGACGAAAAATCTGTTTCAGCGATTCAGTCAAGCTTCCCCGAAGACTCACAAACGAGTGTGTATAACGCTTGACTCTTTCGTGATGTGCGCTAACAGTTGAATAGTATGGCGGCAGTGGTCTGGGCTTGTTCATCAGTAGAGAATTGGTCGAGCTGCATGGAGGCCAAGTAGGAGTATCAAGCGAGGCGGGGAAAGGCAGTATATTCGGCTTCTACATCAAAGCGACATGTACTGAACGACCACTCGAAACTGCGCCAAGCTCTCCAGAGATTGGCAAGTCATTGACAGCACAAGATCCGCCGGTGGGTGCTTCGATGAGCAAAACAGAAACACAGGACTTGCATGTTCTTGGTAAGTATGAAACTATTGCACAAGGATAGTATACTAATACCATTCACAGTGGTCGAGGATAATACAATAAACCAGCGGGTCATGTCTCAACAACTCTCACGACTAGGATGCGCCAAAGTCCATGTCGCCAATCACGGTCTTGAAGCACTTGACTTCTTATCAACAACCACATTCTGCAATGGGGAAGTTCCGCTTTCAGTTGTCCTCCTGGACGTGGAGATGCCAATTATGGATGGTTTAACCTGTGCTCGTCGCGTCCGCGAGCTTGAGAAGTTGCAGGAGATTATTGGGCATGTGCCTATTTGTGGCATCACGGCAAACGCTCGCACTGATCAAATCGCTTCGTGTATTGAAGCAGGAATGGATGAAGTCGTGGTAAGTGATACACTGTTATGGATATGATGTTGGACCAAGAACACTGCTGACACAATTCAGACGAAACCTTTCCGAATGCCCGAGCTTATTCCTCGCATGCTGGCGCTCGTTGATAAACACAAGTCGCTGTGAGCTGAAAGTATGCGACGTGATTAATTATAATGCGAACCCCTCTACGTCCAAAGTATGGACAGAAACCACAAACATCCAATCTCACAGTACGAGTGACCATGTGGGAACGATTGGCAAAAGGCACGATGCTTTTCAACTCGACGCGACAGCCCAGAAAGAGCTTCAGATTCGAGTGATTTCTGAGTGCGAAGCAGAATATCGAGGCAGCGACGCCTTTCTCGACAATGAATCGCGCCGGCCAAGAAGCAGTGTTTTTGGAAGATGCCTCCGTTGAAAGGCGTCTTTGGACCGGAAAACACGGCGCTTGTACGAGAGTGTAAGTAAATGGCGCAGAGGTGAGGGACAAGATTGGAAGGCGCAACGGTACGTCATCTGACCATGGTGGACGCGTCGGTCCCGCCGCAATTCATCTACATAACAGCCAAGCATCTCCATCGTTGCAAAGACCAAACAAGCATTGCGATTGAAGATAAGCATTGTTGATCACGAAATCAGGACCCAAATCCTATCATGAGTGACGAAAAACCCAGACTCATGAACAAACATTACTGCCCTCGTTGTGAATGCGAAATTGATGCGCAAACCAAGGCGGAACATGATGACTGGCATTTTGCGAAAGACCTGGATGAACAGGATAACACTGCCGTTCTCAGCCAAAGCCAATCAGTCGCGCCTCCTTCCTATCAATCACCGACATATTCGAAATCTGTTGTGCAGAGCGACATGAAACAAGACCCATCATTCACGCATGCGAAAGCGACACACAAACAATCGGGTGGCAAGCAAGCGCCCGGGAACAATGCGACAACTAGTCGGCGACATGTAAATGCTGTCGACGAAGCAGCTACATTGAGAGCCAAGGACGAGGTATGAAAGCAATATTCTGCTCGATGCTTCCGCCGATTAACATTTGCGTGCAGCAAATGATGCAAAATGCTCTTCAAAATCTCCAACTTCGGTATCGCATCTACAATCCCGAGATTGAGCCCGAACACGAAACCGAAAATCCATGCAGCTGCCCCATCCATCAGTACCAGCGCATGAAAAGGAGTCGTCGCAATGTCCTGGAACAATGGTCTGCTGCAGTCATGTACCCTGGCGAGAAGGTATACAACGACTTCATCCCAAGGACCCCTTTGTTCAGCAACAATCCTTACCTGCTTCGCATCACGTCACCATACGGCTTTGGCGGCTCATCATGGTCGAGGTCGCATCCTCAGCCAAGCTACCATGTCAAGTTCATTCATCAGACTATTCAGCTGAACAACTCGCTGAACCATGAGGCTCAGAGGAAAGTCGATGCATTAGAGCCAAGGAACAGTATCTGGGAAGACAGAGTACCTGAGATGGCGATGTCGCAGTTGTTTGTAACCTCGGAAAAGGATAAATTGCACAATGGCAACGACGACATCAAGGGTTGTCCTCCGGAAAAAGGAAAACTACCACCGACATCGCGAAACAATGATTTGCCCGAATCTACCAAGGTGTCGAGATTTTCTGCGTTCAGGAAAGCTGTAGGAATCAAGTCTTCGGAGGAGAGAGCTGTTGCAAAGACCGAAAAAGAGTATAACAAAGGTCTCGAAACTCGGAACAACATACTCCAAGAGGAAGCAGCTCGTTGGCCAGATCACGACACCCGACAGATCGTGGCAGCCTATCAGAACAAAGTTGGCATGGAAACAAAGATCGCTCACCTCCGCGCTTGTCAACCTTTGCAGTATCTCCATCTACTGCGGGCAGGTTATTTCGAGCCAATACCTGTGGCTTGGGCAGATCAACCATCGAACATCCTCACGTTCAGCATTGAGGCTGCTGGTGGATGGCGAGGAATCACACCTTCCTGGCGAGGATACGAAGACACCGCGGAAGAGCGCTTGTACTGGGTTTTGAACCATCGCGAAGGTCCAGCCGGTGTACGTATGAAGCCCGACTTTATCTCAGAGATGAACATGGCTCGCGATCGCATGGCCAAAGCTGTTGAGCCACCACCAGACTACTATTCCGCCAACGATACCTGCCACTTGCAGCACACCTCCGAAGGTTACTCGAAGCAGGTCATGCCGCCACCGTTCAGGTCCAGCGATAGACCCGAAGTCCCTACTGATGATACCATGATTTTGCTTGATGTCTCTGGCTCCATGGACTTTGATCCTCTCCGACCGAAGTAAGTCTACAATCTTGACTGACGCGCGGGAAAAAATTGAGACCGAGCCAAGATCTCTGCTCAAAGACTACCTATCGCACCATCTACCAGAAGGCAAGATACTCTTGACGAGCAGCTCTTTGTCCAAGGAGATCATGAAGAAGATCTCCTTGGACGTTGAGATCAAAGTCAAAGATATCCTGCCTTTCGACAGTGGATTGAGTGAAGTGGCTCGGCAGGCGAGAGCTTGATTTGTATATGCTTTCTGTCGTCCTCGAATCCGTGTGATCAATTGTTTGAATGGAAAACAAGGCTGACCTTCAATGCAGTTACGATCAATACCTTATCACAGGCTACTCTCATTCCACGCAGCCCAAGAACAAAGGTAAATTCCCTCTCCCTTTCAATTGTGACCAGCGGATACTGACTGTCATCAACAGATGTCGCCAAAGCTGTCATCCGTCGCTTTATTGACGCGATGGCGAACCACGATCACGAATTTCGCGGCTACGACCTCGTCACCTTCTCAAGCCATGCCAAATTCGCCGGCACTGTCAATCACACGAACCTTGATGCGACATGGGACAAGGTCAAGATCGGTGGAGGCACTCGTGTCATGACCGGCTGGCAGAGAGTCAAACAACGACACTTTGAAAAGCATTCCGAGTCTGCTATTTATCACCCGATTTACGGATGGCAAGCAGGTCCGGAAACTCCCATGCTTCGGCTGCTTCTCCTCCTTGACGGCGAAGCAACGGATATGGACGAGTTTGAACTTGAATTGCTGGGTTTGTCGTGGGCGCATGTCACGATCTTCCTTATCGGAGTCGACGGATGTCCGCATCATCACCGACATGCAAATGAATTGCAGCGCATCAGTGATGTGAATCATCACGTCTCATTTGTGGACGCGCAAGGCAATACCCCAGAGAGATTCGTCACGCATGAGTTGTTGAAGAGGCATCTGGGGTATGATTTGTCCATGTCCGAATTTCAGGAGTTGGAAGAGCTGCCTCCGTATGTTGAGTGAGATCAAAGGATCAGACATAATCATTATAAATAGCGCATGCCAATCTTGATTCTTGACTCTCCCTGTCCGACGTGATCGATGCTGCTACTACCCATCAAAATGCACAAAGGTATTTGAAATTCGCAGAGGGTCCACTGAGAGCTTGATTTTTTGCTATCTCACTGGACAGCCTCCTGGATATTAATAACATTGTGCCTTTTGACATGTCGATTTTGAAGAGAGTCGGACGCTTGGAGTAGCTGCATACGCGAGCCAGTGTTGGCTTTCTTTGCACAGTGTAGTCGATGCTACTATTCATCAAAATGCACAAAGTTATTGGTAATTTGGAGAGGGTCCGCTGAGAGCTCGATTTGTTTCTTATTTTTTTGTTAACTTGCATCCTCATCTCCCTCTTCACTCCCACTCATTTCGGTCTCATCTTCACCCTCGGCGGCAGGACTGCTTTCGCCTTTGTGACGGCGAAGGGGGCGGTCGTCATCGTCTTCATCTTCATCACCGTCGAGCATCTGCTCACGATTGCGAGTCGTAGCAGTGCGCGGGGGAGCGCGAATGGTGGCACTTGTGGCCGAACTTGCATCTGCCGGAGCAGGATCCTCATCTTCTTCGTCGGGATTGTCGACGTTGGGAGGTGCAGGGTCGATGTTTCTGTCGACCACTGCGGGAGTGGGAGAGGCGTTGTTGGCGGGATCATCGTCCGAGGCCAGGTCGTCTTCGTCGTCTTCTTCTTCTTCTTCTTCCCAAGTTTTGGGAGGCTCCGGGGAGTTGCGGCGGACTGCATTGTTCGAGTTGCCAGCAGCATCCGCGGCTCTTCTCAGGTGCCAAAGGGTCCAGGCGGTGCCAGGGTTGACGGGCTCACGGCCCCAAGGTTCGTCAAGGTTCATTCTCTATATCCCGCATTAGATGTATACAAGAATGGGCAGGAATAAGCACAAATAACATACGAAGAATGGGCAGAAGGTGCGACAAAAGAAGGAGGAAGGAATCCCACAGCAGAAAAGTTATTATCAACCGCGCTTTCCATGAGAATTACTTCACTTCCAATTCCCAAGATTCTTCACTTTGCATTTCTGACGACTTACTGTTCAATATTAAGTGCTCTTGGAGAAAGGTCGCTCTTGAAAACGGATGACACAGTCCCTCTTTAGTGGACATGAACCACTTGTACAACATCTTGTCTTTTGATTTGCATCAAATGACTCAAGTACCAAGGAAGGAAAGGGCCCTGCTGAGCAGATGGAGTAAGACAAGAACAGAACGAATCTCATTGCATAAGTGCTTGATCGTTTTCATTGCGCCCACAGCATTTACAAATATACCCTGGTACATTTCCAAAGCGGAAGACATGCTCATCCACGAAGTGCAGCTCTCGTAGAGACGGCCCAGATCTTGGCAGCCCATTCTTATTCGCTGCAGCTCTTATCCATGCAGTGGCCCATATGCATGCGCTTTTTGAACTGCAGTGACGGCAGCACGATTCCAAACACAGCCTTCGAGGTCTGGAAGCGAGCAGCTGAAGATAATTCAGCTCCCAGATATCGGTCTCGCCGTGCGAAAAGCCAAAAGCTAATGCATGAAGAGTTAACCAATCGCGAGATGGAGCTTCATAGAGGAAATAGTGATGGACTCAGCCTTCATGAGAGTTTGCTTGATTCCGATACTGAAAACAATATCTTCAAGACATTCCTACCGAAACAATCAGATGTCTTCTAATCTATTTTACACTCATAACGATTGTTCACAACCTGTGTCATCGATATGGTATCAACAACTTCCAACGTCACAAGTACTGCAGGTCCTTCTGATTCTCAACAACCACTCGTTCACTCCAAGGCTATGGCTATCTTACCCACCAAAGACTACCCAAACATTGCTTCAGGAGGGACGCAGGGCGATGCCTCAAAGATCCGCGTGGAAAATCTCATTGGATTTGCAAGAATACCACTTGGTCTCGCAGGGCCTTTGACCATACACGGTGAACATCAGAAGAACAAAGTGTACGCACCACTGGCGACCGTCGAGCCCACTCTCGTCGCAAGCTGTTCTCGTGGATGCAAAGCGTTCGAATCAAATGGAGGCATCCACGCTGTCGTTCTTTCTGAGGGCATGTCTCGAGCTCCGGTGTTCCGCTTTGCAAGTCCCGTCGACGCAGTTTCCTTTTACCGACAGATTCCTGGGTTGGAGGAAGAGCTGAGATGTTGGGCCGAGGATACAAGCAGGTTCGCCAAACTGGAGAAGGTGGTACCGCACCTTCTCGGCAAAGACGTTCACGCCAGATTTGTTTACACTTGTGGCGACGCTTCAGGTCAGAACATGTCGACTATTGCTACGCACAAGGCATGTCAGAAGCTGCTGGCCGCGCGTGGAACCGAGCTCAAGATCATCGACTTTCAACTCGAAGGGCAAATGGCTAGCGACAAGAAGTTTGCAAACATTCATGTTTATGAACCTCGCGGTGTCCAAGTTTTTGCCTGGGGCGTGCTTTCGGACGCAGTCTGCAAGGTTGTGCTTGGAAACTCTGCGGCCAGAATCCATGGCGCGGTCATGATTGGTCAACAAGGTGCCATACGTGCTGGTATGATGGGAAGCAATGTCAACGTCGCCAACATCCTTGCAGCCATGTTCATCGCGTGTGGACAAGATGCAGCTAGCGTATTAGAATCGGGATGGGCTCAACTGACATCCGAATACGACAATGAACGGGAAGAATTGACTTTAAGTCTGTTCATTCCATCGCTGTTGATAGGTTCAGTTGGGGGTGGCACAATGTACAGCACGCAGAAAGAGGCGCTGGAAATGGTAAAGTGTGCTGGAGATGGAAGGAAATGGGCTCTTGCGGAGACCATGGCTGCGTTCGCGCTGGCACTTGATGTCAGCACGGTCAGTGCTATGGCGGATGATAGCTTTGCAAGGAGTCATGAACGTTTGGCAAGGTCCAGCAAGATATGAGTGTCTTGTAAGACCTTGACGAACTTTCGGACAAAAGGAGATGTTACAAAATTTCTAGCAGGCACGACTTTCTATCACCGAGTTCAAGAACCCAAATTGAGCAAGTCATCCAGGTCCATGGCCGTGAAAAGGCACTTGTGATGGGATTGAGTACCAGCTCTGGCGCGCAGCAGAGATGGTGAACTAGAGGTGGGACGGAGTTCGCCGAGGTCGCAGATTTGTGCACGGGCGCGCTTCTTCTGACTGCGACTTTCTTGTTCGGTGACTTGTCGCAAATGTCAACACCCGGTTGATTGAGCTCTCGTCGCCCATCCTTCTACATGCCCGCCATCACCATGTCGCGTAAATCCCGTACACTCTTGCGCTCGCTATCGCCATGATCGCCGATATCACCGTCGCTTCCGGATGCCCCATGACCTTCGCCTGTCGCTGTCTATCCGCTGCTCGCCTTGACCCAAGACCAAAGCGCCCACCGTCAATCGCAGCGCCGCCACGCAGCCTGCGCAAGCGACCTTCAGCTGAACACGAACGATTGATGAGAAAGAGCATGGGAATAACGCTTGAGGCGCTTGTGTCAGCGATGAGTCCACGACTCTCTTGAACGGCCGTCATGCCCGAGTCAACAGCTCGGCCTTGAACCATCCTCGTGTCGCTTCGTGCGCCGGCCAATACCATCTGTCGCAGCCTACCTCTTTCTGACCGTCACACTCATCGTCCTACTGCTGTTCAGCGCACAAGCGACTCACTCAACCACCTCGAGCGGTCCGCAAAGAAGAGCCGATACCTCTCCGCGTCTTTTCGTGCTTCTTTGCTTTGGTCGTCCACCCCGAACCCGACCTCTCCGTACTCAGTCTACTCTGCCATCCCGGAATTCGCGTCATCAGGTAAAAGAAAGAGGTGGAGTCATGCAAACCCTTCGCCAGTCTCTGCTTTGATTTGCAGCATGCGCTGATCGCTGAGTCTAATCGAGCTATCTCGCTGAGGGCGCATTCACGAACGTTGCTTTGGCTCTTGCCATTGTAGCCGCTGCTGTGCTCGCTGTCTTTCGACGGCGATTGGATCATACATCGGGGTCCAAATGAGATGGTTGAAAATGGTGCTTCATGAACGTTGTAGTCACATAGTATGTTCTTGAATGACAACGGCTCTGCTTCTATCTCAATCTGAAAGACATGAAGACGGTCGAATTTCCCCGCACTCTGTGAGCAAGCTGTCCATCAAGGTGCCTTTCCATCTGGTGTTCCAGACTTGGCGTCGGCGTCCGCGGATGGCGCGGCTTTGCGAAACCTCTGTTCAGTGCTGCGTACAGTGACTTCTTGCTGTAACTTTATACAATCATGGAGTTCTTCAAGACAAATGATGGCTGCAACATTGCCTATCAAGACGTTGGTTCCAAGTCGCTACCTGTATTGATTCTTGTACGTGACACAATATCCACCGCTCTCATTCTCGAGTCTCATCCTTCGACACGTAGTTACACGGTTTCACCGGCTCATCTGAGGTCTTTCAACAAAACATTCCCGCTCTGTCAAAGAGATTCCGTGTGGTAGCACCTGATTTGAGGGGCCATGGTGCCTCTGAGAAGCCGCCGCATGGATTCCACGTCTTCCGTCTGGCAATGGACTTGCACAACCTTCTCGGCCATCTGAAGGTTTCTCAACCCGACACCGTGAAATGCATCGCTGGAAGTCTCGGCTGCTCAATTCTGTGGTCGTATGCAGAACTCTTCGGCACTGGCGTCTTCTCTCATATGATCTGGATTGACCAAGCACCGATGCAAAATTACGCGAGTGACGGGAGTTGGGGTAGTGCCGAAGGAAACCGCGGCATGAATTCTGCAGCTGCTGTCGCAAACCTCAAGGCGACACTCAAGTATGATCCCGACAGTGTGTACAAGGGTACTATCGCTGGGTGTTTGGGTTACAGAAATCATCCTGTCGAGGGCGAATCTATCAGCGACGAGACCAGAACTGCCGACGAGGAGTTCTTCTTGGCTATCGCAAGAAAGGGAAACCCTGAATGGTATGGCAACTTGATGGCAGATCACACTGCGCTTGATTGGCGACAGAGTATTGTGGAAACCTTTGGAAAGGCGGAGAGCAAAACCAATGTGCTTGTCGTCGCCACAAACAGGAGTGGATGCTTTCCGGCTGCTGGACCAATGGCAGCAGTCTCTTTTGCCAATTCCAAAGCAGAAATCCCTCGAGCTAGAGGTGTTGTCATTGAATGGGGAGGCCATTGGTGTTACTGGGAAGACTCGGTGAGATTCAATCAACTGGCGCTAGACTTTCTGCTATAGAAAGAATATAATGGCGATTAACTAGGGATGCGGACGCCGAAAATCTGAGCCTGTTAATACTACCGCCTCTAAATACATCATGATCCGGTCATGTGGATACTGTGCGCAATGGTTCAAGGTTTGTCAAAACCAGGAGCCAGACCTGAGGTCTATAACCAAGTCTGGATTTACAGTGATGATTCTCTGGTATCACACTGTTTACTCATTCATCCACTATGCCCAGCAATCATGTCCTCTGACTGGGGTTTCCGTGGAGGAATCTAGACTTCCCTATAAGCTTCCCGTCAAGGTAGCGCCTTCGCTCGACGCCCACGACCGAAGATCCGGGATCAGGTACTTTTATCTTCAACCCTGGAATGATTAGATAACAGGAAAAACGACATAGGAAAGGATAATTAGGGCTGTCAAAGTGATGCTAGTATCTCAATTACCTGAACGATATTCTCCTCCTTGCTGATCGGAAGTGGCCGCCCTCCACGATTTCGAGTCGGAGCGGGGGTGGAGTAAGCTAATCCTGATTTGGGGGTCATAGCCTACGGTGCTACGACAATACTACGTGACTCCGCAAAATCCTACTCTGGGGCTACCGATTGCGTGTCCGGGGCTTGCGGGGCTAGTTCATGTATTATAGCAACGCTTTCGCGCAGTATTTCTCTCGGAGAGAGTTATATAAGGATCATCTGGTCGCCCTGAAGCAGTCTTCGATTGCACATAGCTCTCTTGCTTACCGACATCATGGGTGCACACTCGAACGCGACAGTCTGGCAATCCATTCAGGGTAATCCCAAGGTTCTGTTCATCGCTCTGTTCGCATCGTAAGATCGCACTTTTCAACTTCAGGAGCTATTCACTTATACTTGAACAGACTCGGTGGTTTCGAATATGGTTACCAGCAAGGTGTCTTAGGTAGGCGAGCTCCTTGTGAACATTGAAGTCGTTCGAGAGTTGACACTCGAACCAGGCCAGTCCTTGGTCATGACACGATTTACTGAGAACTTCCCGTCCGTTGTTAAATCCGCTGGAGCAACTGGCTGGCTCACTTCTATTCTTCAACTTGGTGGTCTTCTTGGATCTCTTACGGCTGGCATCCTGAGCGAGCTCATCTCGAGAAAGTACACCATGTTTGTGGCCTGCTGCTGGGTTGTCTTGGGCAGTTTCCTCTATGTTGGTGCTCAATCAGGTACGCCAGCACCTTTGTACGCCGGAAGATTTTTCACTGGTATCGGCGTTGGACTGTTCAGTGGTGTCGGACCGCTTTACAATGCCGAACTTTCCGCTCCTCACATGAGAGGCCTACTCGTCTCCTTCTATCAACTTGCAACCATTCTTGGCATCATGCTTTCTTTCTGGGTGGGTTACGGCAGCAACTATATCGGTGGCACCGGCGATGGTCAGTCGAATCTCGCATGGCGCCTCCCTTCGATCATTCAAGGTATTCCTGCTGTAGCCCTTGCTTTCGGTATCTGGTTCATGCCATTTTCACCCAGATGGCTGGTCAAGATGGGCCGTGACGAGGAAGCCAGGAGCACGCTTGCATGGCTCCGCAAACTACCAATCGATCACGAGGAGCTTGAGGCCGAATACCTCGAGATCAAAGCAGAAGCACTGTTCGAGCAGAAGGCATTCGCTCGCGACTTTCCTGACCTCGCTGAGCAGCGACAGAGCCGTCTCAAACAGCAGTTTGCACAATATCGTATGTGCTTCCGATCAAAAGACAACTTCAAGCGCATTTGTACCGCATGGCTTGTCATGTTCTGGCAACAGTGGTCTGGCATCGATGCGATCATCTACTACGCCTCAAATGTTTTCATCAGTCTCGGTCTCACAGGCGGTACAAATGCTTTGTTGGCCACTGGCGTCACTGGTGTCGTGTTCCTTATCAGCACTATTCCTGCCATGGTACGTCCAGCTCTTACACCTCGAGTGTTCGAAACTTGAATGCTAACCAGGGAAACAGCTAATCATCGACCGAGTCGGCCGTAAACCCATGTTACTGGTAGGCTCTGCCGTCATGGGTGTTTCCATGGTGATCGTTGGTGTCATCGTCGCCAAGTTCAGTCATGATTGGCCAGGCCACGTTGCTGCGGGCTGGACCGCCGTCGCACTCATTTGGGTCTACATCGCTGCTTTCGGAGCTACGTGGGGACCTGTATCTTGGACTCTCGTTTCGGAGATTTTCCCTCTTTCTATCAGAGCGAAGGGTGCTTCGATCGGCGCATCGTCAAATTGGCTCAACAACTTTGCTATTGCATTTTTCGTTCCTCCTATGTTGAAGGCATGGCGTTGGGGTACGTACATATTTTTCAGCGTCTTCCTTGCCGCCGCCATAGTGTGGGTGTGGTTCTTCCTTCCTGAGACCAAAAATGCTACTCTGGAAGAGATGGACCGTGTTTTCAACAGTCAGGCGGGCGAGAAAGATGCTGCACTGCTTAGAGAAGCCAAGCAGGAGGTCAGCATGCTTACAACCAGGGTCTCAATAGAGAAGGGTAAAAAGGGTCATGTAGAGGAGATTCATATGGTCTAGATGAGCTATTACTGGCGGTAATGAATGAGAACAGCGACAGATGAAGAATCAAGACTTTCACCATTATATCAGCGAATCTCAGTTCTTCATAGTTCTGCGATCTACTTGACTTGACTCTACGAGAAATGATCAGAAGAAGTAGCCACTAGCCACACTGTGGTGATGCCTAAGAAGTAGACTAAATCATGCATTCGCGTCGCAGATGCTACCATGATATGTTCATGGCTGGTTCTTCGAAGCAACATTGTCATGCGATGAGTTCGCCACAACGTCGGAACGCATTCCTACTCTGGCTTTTACCCTCCCGATGTGCTAAAGTATGTAACTTTGACTCTTAAGCCGCGGCGATACGCATCGTTCTAGCCATGAAAGTGCATAGTAATTCTAAGTAAGAGGACGTCGTCCACAGAGAGCGACTATCTGAAGCTCTCTCGTTGAACCCAGCTCTACTTTCGAAAATCATCGTGTATTTTACCAGTGACAAACTTTAGCACACAGGGCCGGAGAGCGCAAATTCGTGCAGCACACGGGACTTCGCTTGCCAGATCTCGGCTCCAGCCGCCAGCGTGGCTACGCCCCCCCTTTTGGGTATAGCTTTGGGACCCACAGAGCTGACACCGCTGACATGAATATATTTTTTCGCGCCCCGTACATGACACCTGATCGCGTGCTTCTCAATAGGCGTTATGGCGACACGTGCGTCAGAGGATCCGTCGATGGATCCACGGTTTCACAATCTCCACGAGGAACTCAGATCTGTGCTCTTCGATGGCTTGTCCGGTCTCTCACCCACCCAACTCCGTCTCGTCCAAGTCGGCGGTTCGGAAACATCACCAAGCTTGAACTTCTCGTCCGCAACGGTCAAGATACCTCAAGCGCGCCTCGTACGATATCTTCAGAACTGGATAACCGAGTGTGCGCCGCAGCTGGACAAGTTTGACGAGGAGCAACACTTCCAGATTGAAGTTCCACTTGTCGCTCAACGGTCTCCTGCTTTGCTCTATGCTATCCTTGCCTTTTCGTCGCGACAGATGGAAAGGCGAGGTATGGTGCGAGGATGCTACGACAGCCTCGAATTGTATCAAGAAAGTATACGATTGTTGGCACCTGCACTCCGGGCAAAAGACTCGGTCACATTGGTGACGGCTTGCATTCTTGCTGTATTTGAATTGATGTCTAGCGAAACAGGAAATTGGAGACGCCATGTCGAAGGCTGTGCTTCACTCTTCGAAGTATTTGGTGTTAATGGCTTCTCAGGCGGTTTGCTACAAGCCGTCTTTTGGTGTTATGCCAGGATGGAACTTTGTGGAAGCTTCACATCTGATGGTGCGGAGACTATGGTTTTGGCAATCGAGAAATGGGTACCGGAACTGGATCGGTCCCTAGTATCCTCAGAAGATGGCGAAAAAATAATAAGGTCGTTCTTCCACGAAAAGAGCCGAGAGTCCCATGACGCGCATGCCAATTGGGCGATATATTTGTGCGCAAGAGTATGCGACCTGAAGTTTCGCAGAACAAGTTACCTGGAGCTTGGTCGTACCGAATTCAGCGACAAGAGACCCTTCTCGCAACAATGGCAACAACTTTGGAAAGATTTGCATTTCTGGCTCGATGAGCGTCCTACGACCATGAGACCTATGACTCTTGTCGAGGAAGACGTCGAGCTCTATTTCCCATCTATCATCTTTCCACACTGGGCGGCAATCTCAAGCAACCAGGTATACCATGCTGCCTGCATTCTGATGCTAGAGATGCAGCCATCCGGGAGCGGTCTCGATCGTCAGACTTTGTCGCTGTGGCATGCGAGGCAAGTCTGCGGCATCTCGTGTGCGAACCCACACCCAGGGAGTATGGTGAACTCGATACAGCCTCTTTACACTGCAGGTAGGCTGCTCACACATCGTGGTGAGCGACAAAAGATAGCTCAATTGCTAGAGAACATCGAGCGCGAGACTGGATGGGCAGCTTTATGGCGCCTAAGAGACCTCGAGGTCGAGTGGGGATACGAGGGCGTCATTGACTGGGGACATAAATCTATAACCTTCGCGAAGTAGTACGTGGTGTGGCCCAGACAGCTGTACTCGTCGCATTGGAGTTGCGTACCCCCCCCGCGTGCTAGATTGTGTCACTCTTAGCCATCTCTCGCGATCGTAACTAAGGTTATATGGGCTAAAGGGATGCACAATGTTTTTAAAACCAGTGCAGACCTCCGCTGAGAGTCTGAAAGTCAGCGTTTTTCAGTGGCAGGCTGCACTAATCGCAAAAAGATTCTGCATTTCTACAGCATGCGCGTGACAAAGTTCAGCACACGGGGAGGTACTAAATTCTCACGAGTCGCAAGTCAGCTTATTGGTTTGAAGATGAATCAGCCTATCAGGACTGAAGCTCTTCCCCGAATGCAGGCGACAGATTTGGCGGGTCATCCTGTTGGATCGATTGCCAGCGTGTGCGAAGTTCGGCGATATCCTTTTCCATGGGGATCCGTGTTTTACTCGAGATCTCATTGAAGCAAGATAGAAGTGCTTCCTGCTGGGATGGGTGCGACATTTCTTTGGCGACAGAAAGCAGTGCAGCAATGACTATCGGGTCCCACTGCTCATTGAAATGATTACCAAGCAGCATGCGTGCAACCTTTTGAATATGCCAACTTCGTGATCCTAGGCGCAGAAAGGTCGATGTTGCGTTTGCAAGACGAGGTTTTTGTGATAGCAGAATAGCTGCTGAGATGTGCATGACGAGGCTTGCTTGCAGAGCAGTGGCGCTTGTGAACACATCAATGGGGAAGGGTTGCTTGTCACTAGCATCTTCATCTGAGCCTTCGAGCACAGGTCTCATCTTGGGAGGTCGGTCCTGGAACCATGCCATACATCTACTCCAGAGTTCAAACCACCGATCCCATTTGGAGGCGTGTCGACCGACAGGCTGTAGAAACGATTCGTGGAAACCAGATAGCATAGGGATTAGTTCGAAGTGAACCAGACGCAGACAGAGTGCAAGGCAACAAAGACAGCTGTCGTAAGATGAGGGAGGATCATCGACGTCGCTGATCAAAACTTCGACCAGAGGAATCACAAGATCAGCCGAAGGAGCCTTGTTCGTTGCAATGGATGCTGCAAGATCTACTCGCCACATGCTTCAGTATGATCTACATGTTTTCTCGACTTTGTCATTACTTACCCACTTTCAACTGCAAGCGAAGGAGCGACTTCAAAGGCTCCATTGTGAGTTCAAACTCGCCACTCAATAGAGCTGACATGACCAAACGCGCCTCACGAGTAGAGGCGATGGTGGCCCATTCGGAGGGCGGTGTATCGAAGACGCTACTGATCGCGAGCAGCGAATATCCGACACTTGCGGTAAATGTATCCTCGTGAGCTAGTCGTTCCAGAAGTTTCGAGGGCACTGTCAAACCATCAGACATGATATGTTCCAGGTCAAGATTGTCGTCCCTCAATCGTGTGCAAGTGGAAATGCAATCGGAGATGATCTTGCTGTCGCGAGCTAGAGATGTTATCGCCGGACCGAACATTGACTTGCAGTTGTTGGACTCAATCCAAGGTACCACTTGATATCTGAAACGTAGCAGAGAAGATCGTCTATTCATTGATCGCTGCTGCCACGAGCGGTCGTCGATTGCCCCTAGGGGTATGATCCCTGCATAGGTCATGTCACCCGCGAGATTTTCTGATGTCCAGGCTGTATTCGGATCGATGTCAGTGGGATTCTGTGTAGCGGCAGTCACCGTCGCGGTAGTGGAGGCGATGAATTGAGGGGTCGAGGGCTTCTCAATATGGCTGACTGATGAATTAACACCGCCAGCCTCCTGGTAATTGACCATGTCATTCATCAACTGCGATGTTGCGACTAATGGCGGCGCTGCGACAGCATGGAAGTTACTGTCAACTTCTAGTCGCGTTGCGTCATCATCTGCACGATATGTTTCCGGCCCATCGGATACAAACGTCCAGTCGCCATATGTGCATGTCACGCTCCTCGTAGAGCAGTTCCGACAACTTGGCTTCCGCTCATCGCCTAGTTTCGCTCTCAGTAAATGCTGACGACAAAGGCAACGGAGTTAACGCGGTCTACCGAGATCGCGCTTCGCATGGAAGGAGGGCGTTCTTACATTTCCTCCGCCGCTTGCGACAAGTCAGGCACCCCGTACGAGAGCGTCGCCTGTTACCTGGTATGTGTCGCACCGAAGGCATGGCCCCTCAGGTAAGGATGTTGACTCTATAGGCTTTGAGTAGGTAAAGCAGAAATATGTTTTGCCTACTTCAGTATACTCTCCTACACTGTAGGCCTTTCTCATTCAATAGAATGCGCGGGATACGAGAACGAGAGCCTACTGTAAGCCCGTGTCGTTGTTGTTGGCCTCTCGCTAATCCTTTTCTCCAGTTCTTGGCCAACGTCATCGACGTTCTCTACAACTAACCACACTTCATCTTCTTCCAGAGCTCATCGTCGTCTTCCAGAGTTAAGTTCTTATCCCATCCTCACCTTTCTCGCGCTCGGTGAACGAGTCCGAATAACTGCTACAGTCTGAGTGATCGTGATGTCTGAGGGCCCAAAGGCAACCTATATGAATCGCTTCCTCAGAATTACCAACATCGCTCAGATTAGTTAACGCATATTCTGGCGGTTTCATCGAGCGCACCAATACTTTACTCGCTTGTTCTCTGCTTCAATTCATGCTCTAATCTGTTCCTTTCTCCAGTTCCTTTTCTTGCGACGACAACAACAACAGCGGTCATTGACCAAGGCGGAAGAGCGGAAGAGGCTGAGTATTCAAGTATTGTGGTGCGACAATTACCTTTTTGACACGATACTTACTAGTGCACTCCACTGTTCTTCTTCACTCCAGTTTTAGATTCCCGAGCCCTCCGAACCGAACGAAGTTGAAGTTGAAGGCGGTAGAGGATTGGTGATGGCATGGTGTTGTTTAATGATGGTGGTTGAGTATCATTGGCGTTGTCTTTTGTTCATTTCAGATAGCACCAGACAACAGGTCGCAGCACTTACTGCCTGCTTGTGTGACACCAGACTGACGCTGACACTCATCATCGCAGCTGCTCACTCTTTCAGGCTCTCCGGACTTGGACTTGGATCTGGCTCTTCTTCTCTGGCTCTTCTTTGGATCCGGCTCCGGTCTTTGACTATAGGCGTGCTGTCTTAGTCGTCGTGCTTACTCATGTCGTGCTTGTTGTTGTTGTTGTTGATTTGTCTTTTGTAATGGTAGCAGTGCCAATTTGCACTCTCTACCATCTTTTTCATGGCAAGTACCAAATTTTCCACTTTTCTGTCAAATCTTCCTTTCTTCCATCAAGAAAATGCACTCCTCCTCACACAAGTTTGAGAGCGCGCGCAAGAGATGGAAAAGAAATGACTGTTCTGTTGTGGCAAGAATTGGATGAGTTGAGATGGATTTTGGTTGATGTTGATGGTTGTTGTTGTTTTGTTGGTGACTTGTTCAATGGGATTTGTCCTTGATCAAGTCTGTTGTATCAGGGCGCAGTATTGAGCAGAATTGCTGCTTCTTGTCGCCGTATTTAGTCTTGGGCGATTTATTTTGCCTTGTCGGCGCCGCATGAATTTGCCTTGGCGAAATTCTACAAGTCCTGCCGCCGTCTTTGTTATCTTCGCAATCAGTCAGTCAGGGTCTTCTCCGCACAGTCCGGTAAGATTCTCTCTCCAAGCCGAGCATCAAATCATTGCTGACCTTGCTTTGCAGTAGTCATTTCCGCTTTTGAAGCCGCAGTCACTATGGCTTTCGCGGAAGCCTTCTTGTGTCCATCGACACTCATGCTCATCATCATCGCCTTGATTTTGTCTTCCTTCTTCGGAATCAGCTTGAACACTGTTACTTGCCTCCCTCTCCCAGATCAAGTCCTTGCCAAATTCATTCTCTTCGGCTTGAAACTCGGCACTCCTCAACGCCGTCGCCGCAGTTCAAGGCTTTTTGCCTTCTCCATGCCTTCTCCATGCATTCTCCATTGTGCTTCTCCAGCTTTAACCGAGGCAAGTTAGTCCTCTCTTCTGCAGTACTTCAATGTGCTGACCGTGCTTTGCAGTATTCTCTCTCTCATCTCTTTGGGATCTGCGCTTCGGCGCAATATCAGAGCTCTTTCCATCTCGCGCTCGGAGACAGCTATTCCCCTGAGCCAAGCTTCCTTTCCAGCTCCTTGCTCTCGACACTTCCTTTTATTCGACATTTGCGCCACATATTCCATCTTTGGTGCTGCCACCCACGTATCATCTCCGATCTTTCGCAAGCTTTCGGTACGTCATTGTTGTATTCACATTTTCTTCTACATCCATTGACTAACTCATCATTACAGCCGCTTACACACTGTTTCTCTCTTTCGCAACCAGAGCGATCCGGACTCTGGCGTTCACTCGCCACAACCTTGCGCATCTTCTCAGGAAGACTGATCGCTGTCGCTATGAGGAGCTGGGCTTCTCTTTTCGCTACCCCTTGCTCTCGACAATGTCTTAAGCTCTTGCGCTCTTGCGTTACTCCTCCACCAACCCGTTCGGCTTATCGCATTCTTGCTGGCACTCACGAATCACTTCCATCGCTCAGCCGCTCGCCATAGTCCTTTTTCTTCTTGGAATCAGGGCACTTGAGAGTCTTTGATCGCTTTCTCCTCTTCGCCCTCTCCCATATACTCTCTATTCCCACCAATTTCTCAGCGACATGTTTCACACTGGAATGTCGCTCATGCTTGCTTTGCCCTTCAAAGACTTCTTTGTTCTCTTCTCATCCTGGTCATCACCGCTGGTTTCGCCAGGGCCTCTGTTTCACGCTACCCTGCTCTAATCTGCTCTACTCTGTCAATGGTACGTCTCTTCCGGAAACCTTCTCTTGGACTTTTGACTGACCCTAGCTTCCAGCTCTCTTCTCCTCTTCTCCTCTTCTCCTCTTCTCTAGAGCCTCGTTCGCACAGCCCAAGTCATGCTTGCTGCGCCCCTAATCCCACCCTCTTCTCGGCGCTTTCCTTCTCGCCATGTCTGGCCGCAGACATCTCCACACACTTCTGCGCAACAGACGACGACGATACTGGCGAATGCAGGCTCTACCAAAAGATCTACCGCTCTCTTCAGCGATTGCTCCTCTGTTTCTCGTTCCCGAACGCCAGCACGCCCTACACCATCTCTACACAGGTTCGCAACAACTTGCCCAGATTACACTTCAAGATCCTTTTGACTGACATTGAACCAGGTCATACCTCTCTGCCTCCTGAACTCCTGAGCGCCAATGCCACTTCCGCACGTCTCCATTACCACCACCACCAACAATGTCATTGTTGCAGTACTTCAAGATCTGGTCCGACGCCCGTCCGTCTCTTCCTCATCAACTCCTTGCTTTCGGTGACGAGGGCTCTGCTTCACCTCCGCGCCACGCTCCACGCTGCTTCTCCAACGCCAAAATCGCACTTGCATCACTCCAGGATGGCTTTGCTGCGGCACATCTTGCACCCGGGAGCAAAAACACCCTCGCACTCGCCATCATGCACAACTTCCAGCTGTGTTGTGCACAAGCTGTCTCCGCCTGCTTGAGGCAGTCCGTAGAGAACAGCAACGACCTCACTGCCGGCCACTTCGCTCATCTTCTCGTCGAGACCGCTTGTTCCTACGACTACACTTCTCAAATTTCTCTACCGTTCTTGCAAAGTAGCCGCCTTTCTTCTCTGGCTTGCTGCTGTTACTGCTGCTACCCGCTCTCACCAAGCTCCACTACTGTTTGGATCAAGCACACCTCTTGCTACTCCAACACCTCAAGACCACCTTTACCGCCAGCAACCTTCGCCACAGCTTACTGCTCCCATCATCATCGCCTGCTGGCATGCGGTCTCTCAGCTTCATGATTACAAGTCTCTTTGTCTCTTTGTTGACGCTCTCTTCTGCTTCCAACCAGGTATCTTTTCAGCGTAAACGTACTCTGTCAATCTTGACTGACCCCCCAAGCAGATCCACTCATACATCTTCAAGCTCAAGAAACTCCCAGACCCCCTCACGCCGATGTTTACCGCCGCCACCACCATCACAGCAAAGGAAGACCTGAGTCTTGTCTACGAGTTCGAGATTTCCTACTTCCTTCGCCCTTTTACCTTTCAGCCTTGCCGACATTTACGTCTCTCGGAATCTTCCTTCGGCTTGAAGCTTTCGCCCGTCAATCTTCGCTGCCGCTCCTGCTGAACATTCGCATTTCTTCATTGGCTTATTGTTGTTGCTGCTACCATTTGGGTCGCCAATGCCCTGCTTCTCCGAGAATCTCACGAGTGCCGCCATGACACGTTACTTATTGGCGTTGACTTTTTCACCGCAGGCTTCACTGCCGTCCTGGCAATACAAACATCTCTCTGCTTCGTATTTCAGAGTGCCACTAGCATGCTGCTGCTACTGCACTTCCAAATCTTCCGAGCTTCTTTTCAGGCACGATCACATCGGCGTCTCTTCCTTCGCTCCATACGTTTGCTCTTTCACTCAATCATGACTCTCTTTGTCTTCTACGACCCACAACTTCACACGCTTTGGCCTGCTGTCCGACTCCAACAGGCCCATCACATGTTTTGTCTGGAGTTCTGCGCCATACCTGTATCTCACCAACAGTCTGTCGCAAACCCTTGATTGGCCGAAGCCATCGGTGCGTCCAACGGACCTTTTGGGACAACGACATGCGCCCGCTGTTCCCACTATTTGTTCCAACAACCTTTGCCATACCTCAAGTCCATCCCCGCTGCTGTTTTCATTCTCTTTGAGTCTCCGTACCGGTACAATCTCACCGAGGCTTCATTTCCGACTCAGGCAATTATTCTGCTTCTCCAAGCGCCCCGAGATATCTACCGACGTTCCTGGCAACTACCAGGGTTCACTGCAAGTTTGGGACAGTCGCCCATCCTGTCTCTCTGCATCTGCTAAGGTATTGATATTGATCCACGCTGTCTTCTTCCACTTGCTGACATGTTCCAGACAGACAGACCTTCTCCTCTCCATCGCCACTTACTTCTCCGCAATACGTTCCTTGATCACGAGCTTCCAGATCAGACGACATCCTCTTCAGCGTCTTGCACAATTCTCCTGCCCTGTCTTGGTGCTGAGTCTTCCCGCCCACGCATCACTGCAAAGAAAGATTGCTTCCATAACTCCTTGTTGCTCCCAACACCTCGGCCTGGTCCTGCTGTTCTCTTCAACTCTGCGCAAGCTTCTCGACGTTAGGCAAGGCAGCCCAGCTTGCCACACCACAATCGCCCTGTCTTGACTTGCGTCTCTTCTATTGAATTACACAGTTCTTCAATCAGCAGAGTCGTTCACCGCTCGTGGTACCGCCATCACCAGCCCTGCCGCCTCCAGCTCCAAGCTGCCGCATCTCTCGTCATGTCTGTTGAGAGAGGGTCAATCATCATTCCACCACAAAGCACAAGGCTCTTGTTGCTCTGCCATCTCTTGCTTTGCTACGCCTCTTATTCTCTATGTCGTCTCAACGTCGCCAGGCCCTTACACGTTCTTCTCTGGGTTCTTTTGCCACTGCTTCTTGCTATCACATCTCGGTACCTTTTCTCAGCCTTCAGATTGCCAGGGTCGTCTGCTCAATCCACTTCATCGCAGATAATCTCTCACTTCTTGGAACCCTTTGCTTCGCCACAATCCAAACTTGTCTTGGGCGTTGCTGCACTCTTCACTTCGCTTTGGCCAATCTCGCCACTGCCGCCTCCCTTTTCACTCCTGCTTGAAGGACCTATGCTGTTATTGCTCCGGTCAATGAATCAAATACATAGGCGTGGATTCGGCCCCGCAGTACTCTGGTCTTCAAGCAGTTCACGACTTTCGGCAACTTTCTGCGCCGAGGCTTCAATCTCATCTTCTTGGCCACCCCTATCACCTCAATTATACTCCCTCTCGCCTGTAAGGCCTTGCGACCATAGCTGCAAAAAGGCAGGATCCTTTTGATGATTAAGTACATGTCCAATGAGAGCGATACTGCCCCTTAATCTCTTTGGAGCTACATCGAAAACTCAAAATCATTGTGCCTTTTGACTGCTATGTTGTAGGGAGCCTTTGCTAGGCTAAGAGCTCGGTTCTAGTGCAATTCCTGTGCCCCTACGTCTACGTTATTCAATAGGGATGTTTCCTACATTAGAATCGATAATAACAAGCATCAAAAGTAGATAATGTGCTGTATAAATTTGGAGTTGTGATTGTCCTTGTTCGCATCTCGCTGAAATTCTGAGACTTCCGGCATGTTCTTGCAAGCTTTGTCGTTTCTTCACTCTCACTCTCACTCTCACTTTTGGTCTTACTCTCACTCTCACTCTCACACCTTATGCGCAATCAATCAATCGCACATATAAGAGACCACCTCTTCTCATCATTCTCTTCTTCTCTCCACTACTTCTACCTCCACTTCCTTTTCTTCCTTTGAACACAACACAACACAGTGTCACAGAAAGATCTCTGCTTCCCCTTCTTTCTCTCTCGAAACACAACAACACACTTCATCATGGCAGACACAGTCACTAAAGTCCTGCAAGCACTCGTCTATTGTGGCAATTGTAGAAAGAGCGAAAACTGCAACAACATGACTTCGACCGTCATTGGCTCTGCCTGCAACAAATGCATCCGCGAAGGCAAGCCCTGCAAGTCACTCGGCAACGACTTGTACATCCAAGTTCGCGATGAACTCTAGAAGACCCTCGTCCCTACCGACGCCGCCGATCTCTAGACTCAAGTATTTAACAAGCACATGGTCGAGCACCCTACTCTCGTCTAGGACGCCATCGTCTTCGCCTCGACACTTAAGCACCCTAGAAGACCCCCTAATTAGAGACCTAGACATAAGGGCGACTATCTAACCGTGTCCGGTCTATTAAAGATTAGAAGAAGCGTTTAGGGTTAGGAGATCACCGCCGACAACTGCGCCGCCTTCTATATCTTCTACCTGCTCTTTAGCGCTGCTCTCTTATAGAACGCCCTACTATATAAGCCTTATATGTCCTTAGTCTCTAGCGTTACTAGCGCTATGCGCACCTTATAGCACATCTAGTCTAAAGTCGACCATTACGCTATTACGCTAAACTAGGAACCACGCATAGCCCTTCTTAAGGACAACGTTACCGTAGTGCATATAATGACTCTAGAAAAGATACCCTAGTATAATAACCTTATTATATACATCGACTCTCTCCTAGGAGATAAATAGGGAGTTAACACCCGTAGAGTTAAGGCCTACTATACCGAATAGGTGCAACATCTCTACACGTCGTACTACATTATGCTTAAGCATAGTAGAGTAGCTAATTATAAGGACTGCTTACTCCTTCTTTAGCCCGCTACTAAAGTCTACGACGAGGAGGTTTAGAATGCTTTAACTAAGCCTAGTACCGATAAGGATAAGCACCTACTCTAGAAGCTAATACTAGTTCTTAGGGTTAGGGTTAGGGGTTTAGTATTTAGGCTACTATAGAATGAACTATATCTAAAGGGCGAGCCTACTCGCTTGCTTCTAGAGGTCTAACTCGGCTCGGATGTAGCATAGCAAACTACTTCTAAAGCTACTCGTACTATACGAACTCCTCCTCGATCTACTCCTTCCGCTTCTTAGCTTAACTATGTTATATATCTAAAGGGACCCTAAAGGAATCTCTACTAACATGCCGCTAATCGGAGAGGTCTATCTATATATAACTAGTTAGTCTTTCCTCTAGGATCGTCCGACTTAAGAGCCTAGAAAACTAGTATAGACCGCGTCCTCTAGATCGTCCTACTTATAGTTATTTCGATAAACCCGCCTAGGGGGAAGAGACTAGAGACATAGTAGCTTGCCGCTCCGTACGACCTAAAATATTATCCTAGAGATATAATAAATTAGCGTAGGCGACGCTAACGTCTCTCGGATTTTACGGGTCCCTAATAGGGCTATCTTAGCTAAAGGAAAGTAACCCCCTTCCTTCTAAAGTAGGGGACATTATGTAGAATAGGGTAAAGTCCTTTTTAAGCGCGCTACGGTGCGCTAGTAGTCCTTCTGTTCCCTCTATATATAGAGGTTCCGAATTTTATTAGTAAAGTTAATCTAGGGGACCAAAATATAATGGAGAATCCGTATCTCTAAGAGTTTATCGATAGGTAAGCCGAGGGAAGAGCGCGATGCTAGAGCCGCCGCTAGTATAAGCTATTAAATGTTTAGGAGAGCTCTCGTCTAAGGATTTAATTATCGCTTATTAGAACGTCCCGCTTATAAATCTCCTAATAAGGTCTCTATTAGTTAGAGTTTTCTAAGGTCGTCGCCTAGATCTATTGTCCTTCGTTCTCCCTTAGTAGTATTAGGCTCTAGCGACGTAGGAGACGTAGTCCTACTNTTTTTAAGGTAAAGAAAGTGGATAGGGGGGTATAATCTATTTATAGCTAAGGTTATAATTTTATTAAGGGGTAGGGTAGAGTAGTAGAGATTGTTAGTTTTTTCTTATGTTAGAGAGGTTCGAAGTTTAAGAATAAGAGTAAAAGATTAAATAAACATAAGAAGAAAAGAATTTGAAGAAATGAAACACATTAAAAGAAGTAAGATAGGTAGAGAAAAGGAAAAGAAAAAAAGGGTAGAGTTAAAGTTTCTAAGTAAGTTTAGGGTTATATTGTATGTTAGGTATAGTTATTATATTACGCCACATGTTATAAAGGGACATCTTCGTAATAGAAAGGCATATAAGGGTGTTAGAGGAAAGAAGATTAAGGAGATTAAGGAGTAGATAATAGGTTTAGAGGGGTTAGCGATGTATATAGAAGATATAAGATATCCTAATCGTAGAAGTTTAGGTGTTAAAGAGATAGAGGTATTTTCGGGTAGTTATATTTATTATTAGTAGGTTAGAGAAGGAGAAGGAGATAAGATAACTTGTGATTATAGATTTATAGGAGGTAGTAAGAGAGTAATGTAGGAATATAGGAGGAAAGTTCATAGTTAGGTAAATATCTTAAAGAAAGGAAGGAGAAAGAATAGTAAAGAGAGGGAGATTTTTTAGAGAAGTAGTATAAAGTTTTAGCGATTTTTTCGTTTAAATAATTAGAATGTCGCGTTTAAAGTAAGAAGAGATGTTATTAGGGAGGAAGAAGAAGAAGGGGGAGTTAGTAAAGGTAAAGGTAAAGAATAGAGTAGAAGTTTAGAAAAGTTAATGTTAGAAAAGAAGAATAAAAATTAGAAGATGTTAAAGAATAGAAGGGTTAATAGTAAGATTAGAAGAGTAGATGTAGACAATTAGTTAAAGATGTCGCGTTAGAAGGATGTATTAAAGGGTATAAAGATAGAAAAAGTGAAGTTATAGTTAGAGGATATTAAGGAAGAAGGGTTAGTAGTGTATAAGGCGTTTGTTAGAAGATTAGTAAGGAATATAATAGTAGTTATAAGAAGTTTAGACATAGAACAATAGTATTTAAAGATTCTAAATAGAAGAGAGGCTAGTAGAAAATAAGATAGAAAGCTAATGTATATTAGACAGATAGTGTCTACATTAGAGTAGTATATAAAGGTGTAGAAGATGTTATTAAGGTTTATTTAGAGGATATAGAAGGGTATAATAGAAAGTGAAGATAAAGGTGTTTTGTTTAAGGGAAGGCTAGATTTTGTTTTAGGTTAGAAGGAGAGAGAAGTGTTAGGTATATTAGAAATGAGAGTAGAAGAGTTAATAAGGGTAAGAAAGGAAAAGAAGAGAAGGTTTAGAGGGAAGGGAAAGGACGTTTAGAAAGATGAAGAGGTAAAGAAAATTACTGCTAAGGTTAAAGAGTGTTTATTAGATATGTAGGTAGTAATGTTAGGGATAGAAATAAGAGGAGATAGTAGGAAGAGTGTATTTATTTGTAGTATAGCTTGTTTAGGTTTAAATTTAAAGGTTAGTAGTTAGAAAGAGGTAGATAGTTATATATAGGTGTATGCGGCGGTGTTAACTCTTAGGAAGTTGTTTATGTTATATAATTATTAGTTAAAGAGAAAGAGAGAGGTAGATTTATTAGTTATTAAAAGGGGAATGTTAGAAGATTAGGT